AAAACTATTATATGGTCCTATCTTGATAGTTTTGTATTAGGTTTCTGGTTTTAGTCCTTGTTTGAATATAGCCATTTTCTGCTCGTTATCGTGGATTCCTAGTTCTTGACAGATCTGCTATAGTTGCGCTGCGTACTGCGCTGCGTCCCTAGTTTATCTGAGTCCCTATAGTTTGCGTTATAGGGTCCTCTTTCTGTTAGTGTCTCCGAAGAATTGTTTGAGTACTTGTTTGAATCGTGTGTAGCTATTAAGTATATCTATATATAGTATGGGTCGTCCTCCAGTATTAGTCCAGTCCTTAAGATATGGTTTGAACCATGTTGCCACTACCTCTCGCATATAGGATTCTGCAAAGATAACTTTTTCCATATTAATAACTCCTGATTTAGTTGCCAGATAGATGTTACATTCCTCTAGAAAGTGTTTCAGTTTGGCGCGGTCTCCTTTATAAGTATTGGGTTTATGGATCTTAATAGTAGTTCTCTTATCTCTAGTTCTGACTCTAAGTATATCAATGGCGTCTTTATGACTTTTAACTTATTCTAAAGTCTATTTGATAATATCTTTGCATTTGTTAAGTAATCTTTATTATTCTTCCACTTATTTGTTAGTCTTATCCAGCTGCTCATCATTAAGTTACTCTTTGACTCTTTTTTCCAACTCGATGATTTTCTGTCGCATTTGCCCTAACAAGGCGTTGGTGTTGGTGGTTGGTCCACTTACTAATGACATATTGGCTCGTCTTACTTTGGTATATTCCTATAGTTAGTATACTCTCAGGGGTAGGGTGATATGTACCTAGTTTTGTCCTTCTTAATATATAATTGTAAATCACTTAGGTCAGAGTGTCTATAATAGTATGGTGGCTCTAGTAAGTCGGAATTACTTTTGCCTCTTTATAACCGTGAAGTCGGGGCTCTATTAAGTCGAAATTGATTATGCCTCTTTATAACCGTGAAGTCGGGGCTCTATCAAGTCGAAATTGATTATGCCTCTTTGTAACCGTGAAGTCGGGGCGATCAATGTCACAAGCTGATAATGCTCCTTAATTACCTAAAGGTAATCAGAGGTTCACACCTGCCGTAAGACAGAAGGTACGAAGGTCTTAAGGAAAGCTTAAGTTAGAAGTAAGTTATTATAGGAGATAGCTTAGTACTAAGGCGAGATAGAATACTATAGTAAGACCATCCCTTAGTTCCAAGTATGGCTTTAGTCAGTGCCTAGGGCGGATAAAGGCTAAAGGTCCTTATAAGTAGTGAAGATAAAGTTGACCTATATCAATAGGCAAAGGGGTATTTAGTGAATATAGTATAAGACAACTAGAATGGTGCTTTGTATTAAGCAGTATGGTAAAACTGTAGCTGGTTTAATCGCAAGTATAAGACTCTTGATTCTAAAGTAATAAGCATCTTTATATATATAGTATATATCTAGTAATAGATACAATAGTTCTCCGCCAAGGGGTTCCTATCACTCCTATTAGTTATTATGATAGTATCAATAGGAAGCTGCCAAGCCTATCCTATCGGTCCTATCGCTATTGGTCACGTGACTAGTGCCCTCAAGGTCTGGCCCGTGATCCTCCTGTCCAATGAGTGTATATCCTGGGGCTGCGCCGCAGGTGGTCTGTAACAATCCTACAAAGATAACTTTTTCCATATTAGTGACTTCTGGTTTAGTTACTAGATAGATATTGCATTCCTCTAGGAAGTGTTTCAGTTTGGCGCAGTCTCCTTTATAAGTATTAAGTTTATGGATCTTAATAGTAGTTCTTTTATCTCTAGTTCTAACTCTAAGTATATTAATAGCGTCTTTGTGGCTTTTAACTTATTCTAAAGTCTATTTAATAATATCTTTACATTCATTAAGTAATCTTTATTATTCTTCCACTTATTTATTGATCTTATCTAGCTACTTATCATTAGGTTACTCTTTAACTCTTTTTTCTAACTTGATGATTTTCTGTTATATTTGCCCTAACAAGGCGTTGGTGTTAGTGGTTGGTCTACTTGCTAATAATATATTGGCTTATCTTGCTTTGATATATTCCTATAGTTAGTATGCTCTTAGGGGTAGGGTAATATATACCTAGTTTTGTCCTTCTTAATATATAATTATAAGTTACTTAGGTCAGAGTGTCTATAACAGTATGGTGGCTCTAGTAAGTTAGAATTATTTCTGCCTCTTTGTAATCGTGAAGTTGGGGCAATTAATATCACAAGCTAATAGCGCTCCTTAATTACCTAAAGGTGATCAGAGGTTCACGCCTGCTATAAGATAGAAGATATAAAGGTCTTAGGGAAAGCTTAGGTTAGAAGTGAGTCGTTATAGGAGATAGCTTAATACTAAGGTGAGATAGAATACTATAGTAAGACTATCCCTCAGTTCTAAGTATAGCTTTAGTCAATGCCTGGGTTAGATAAAGGCTAAAGGTCCTTATAAGTAGTAAAGATAAAGTTAATCTATATTAATGGGCAAAGGGGTATTTAGTGAATATAGTATAAGATAACTAGAATGGTGCTTTATATTAAGTAGTATAGTAAAACTATAGCTGGTTTAATCGCGAGTATAAGACTCTTAATTCTAAGGTAATGAGCGTCTTTATATATATAGTATATATCTAGTAATAGATATAATAGTTCTCTGCCAAGGGGTTCCTATTACTCCTATTAATTATTATAATAGTATTAATAGGAAGCTGCCAAGCCCATCCTATTAGTCCTATCGCTATTGGTCACGTGACTAGTGCCCTCAAGGTCTGGCCCGTGATCCTCCCGTCCAATGAGTGTATATCCTGGGGCTGCGCCGCAGGTGGTCTGTAACAAAGGAATAAGGAGGTATATAGAAAGGAATAATATTATTTTCTATATAGAGTTAATTAAATTTAAATATAAAATAGCTTCTATAACTATCTAATATAAATAAGGAATAACTGCCTCTTTTTTATATATTTATAGTTAGAATAAATATCTTTGTAAGCTATTTAAGCCTAATCTTATCTATTATCTAACTATTAGGACTAGTATTAAGTCTTTAGCTATCTAGAAGCCTATTAAACTATCCTTTCTAAGTATTTTAGCCTTTAAGAATAATATATAGAGGTAGATCCTAACTAGATATATTTACTAATTTAATAACTATAATTTATTCTTAATTTCTAGACTATAGAAGCTTTATATAGCTATATTTCTTATAGCTAGAAATAATATTTATAGTTATATAGAGTCCTATTATAAATCTAGTCTTATTAAAGTTATAGATATCTTTTTATTAAATTCTATATATAGTAAAGGTGTCACAAGCTGACGGCGCTCCTTGATTACCTAAAGGTGATCAGAGGTTCACACCTGCCGTAAGACAGAAGGTACAAAGGTCTTAGGGAAAGCTTAGGTTAGAAGTAAGTCATTATAGGAGACGGCTTAGTACCAGGGTGAGATAGAATACTATAGTAAGACTATCCCTTAGTTCCAAGTGTGGCTTCAGTCAGTGCCTGGGTCGGATAAAGGCTAAAGGTCCTTATAAGCAGTAAAGACAAAGTTAATCTACATTAATAGGCAAAGGGGTATTCAGTGAATATAGTATAAGATAACTAGAATGGTGCTTTGTATTAAGCAGTATAGTAAAACTATAGCTGGTTTGATCGCGAGTATAAGACTCTTGATCCTAAGGAAATGAGCGTCTTTATATACATGGTATATATCTAGTGATAGGTATGATAGTTCTCCATCAAGGGGTTCCTATCAATCCTATTGGTTATTGTGATAATATTAATAGGAAGCTGCCAAGCCCGTCCTATCGGTCCTATCGCTATTAGTCACATGACTAGTGCCCTCAAGGTCTGGCCCGTGATCCTCCCGTCCAATGAGTGTATATCCTGGGGCTGCGCCGCAGGTGGTCTGTAACAAAAGGTAGTATTTAGTTAATTAAATTACTCTTAAATAATCTTAATATCTTTATATTTAGTCTATTTATAGTTATAATACCTTAAGTATTAACTTTAGAGCTCTATATAGCGCTTTATTAGATTTAAGACTTAGTTTTTACTAACTCGTGGAGGTAATAATATAGACTCTTATATAGAAAGAAGATAATTAGCTATATTCTTAATAAAGGTAGACTAAGGTAGTAGTCCTTATTTATCTAGGTCTAGAATCTATTAAATAAGTAATTCCTCTTTAGTATTTATTAATTTATATAAGTTTGTATATAAATTTATATATAAAGGGTGGCCTTTAAGTTAATCTATAAGAGTTAATCTTAGTATATTAAATTAATATATAGCTTTATAAATAGAAGTAATTTCTTTATTTTTTAAAGTAAGAATTATAAGTTTAATCTTTCCCTCTATCTCTATAGAGTTTCTATTATTTTTGTTATAAATTGGTGGCATTATCGCGTATAGAAGTTGTTAATTAGTTGAAAAGTGTACGCGTTTGAATTTGGTGGCCGGCTCGCTTGGGTGGCCGGCTCGCATGTGGATTACGTTAGTTAATTTACCGCTTGACGCGTTGAGTTCGCGTCTTTCGACTTCATCTTCAATCCACAAGGACGCAAACAGGCACCCCTCTTGGTTGAACAGGGGATTGGACGGTTATACGACCCATCCTTAGCTGCTAAACCTTTCCTCTTGCTCACATATAGAGAGACGCCTTTCTTTCCTTTGCTACTATACCTTTGGCTATCGAGATTATAACTAGACTTGAAACGTTGCTCGCTCCTTTCAGAGGCCCTTCCTTTACCAAACTCCGCCCAGATCCCACTCGTTAAATTTAGAACATGACCTCCTCGACCGTCATTTACATATAAACCTCTTGAATTCTACCGACCCCAACGTGTACCCACTAAAAAGTCGACTACAATTGAAAGGACAGGAGTTGTGAGACTATAGACATATTTCGGGCTACACAGTTGAATGATATGGTGCTAGAAGAGAGAATTATCAGTGGTAAAACCGCGTGATTCTTTATTCTAGCGATAGCAACACTTGGAGGCGGGTTAAGATGACAGACGTCGATGTCCGGCCAGGAATGAACGGGTTACCAGCTCCCAGGATGACGCCTGATCCCCCGAAGAAGCGTATATTCGATGAACTGGAAACGACTGACCATCCGGAGTCCGTACCGACGGCACCACCTAATGCCGAAAATGATATTGATTTGAAGGCCACCCCCACTGCCATGACCTCAACCATAACCGCAGACCCTTCCCCTGCTCCATCAGGGGCCCCGTCATCCAACGTTGACGTAGCTGGCGGTCCAACCCCTTCTACACCAAATGATAAGTCTACCAACTCAAATAAAAAGCGGAGGCTATCGCCTGCCAGTAAGGAAGCCAAGGAGCGACAGAAGGCAGAGGAAAAGGCTAAAAAGGAAGAGGAACGGAAGCTAAAGGAGGAAGAAAAGAGGAAACGTGATGAGGAGAAGGAAGAGGAACGCAAGATAAAGGAGAAAGAAAAGAAGAAGCGTGAGGAGGAGAGGGAGGAGAAGAGACGGCAGAAAGAGGAAGAGAAGCAGGCAAAGGAAGACGAGAAGCGCAAGAAGGAAGAGGAGAAACAGAAGAAGGAGAGGGTAAGTGGCTTGAACCAACGCCGAGGGAATAGACATGGCTAACACACAACAGTCCCAAATGAAGCTGAATGCTTTCTTTGCAAAGCCGAAGGGCAGTTCTACCTCCTCAAAGACAACGGAGTCTGACGGAGCTGGAAGTGGAACCACCGTCAACTCAACCTCGGAAACTATGAAGAAGGAGAGCAGTCAGAAATCCGATTTCGAACTTGTCTTTCCGCCATTTTTTATACAATCACACGTAAAGCTGGCTCCGAGCCATCGGTTTGAGCGAGACGCAAGTTCCCTGAGCCACGCTCGCGAGAAGCTAGACAAAATCCGTCAAACGAATTTTGGACTGGACAGTTCTATGCCACCTCAACAGTATAAGCCTACCGAACTCTTCCAGATGATATCATATAAACGGCTGCAAGGAGATCCAGCCATCCCGTCCGTGAAAGAAATTCTCCTTCGATTCCAAGATCCGGGATATAATAGTATTGACCTTACGGATACGAATAACACGGCTGCAACGGCAACTCATGTTGAAAAACTTCTTCGAAAGATACCCATGAAAGTCCTGAGCTTCAGGGAAGACGTCCGGCCGCCATATCAAGGCACATTCACCAAGCGGATACAGCAACGATCTGCTCGAAAGTTATGTCGAAACCCATTTTGGCGAGGTGTACCTGATTTTAATTATGATTACGACTCAGAAGCAGAGTGGGAAGAACCCGAGGAAGGAGAGGATATTGTTTCGGAGGGCGAAGACGAGATGAGCGATGACGGGGAAGACGATATGGATGATTTCTTGGATGACGGAGAAGACGACACTGCGAATACTAAGCGGAGGATGATTGTTGGAGACCTCGAGCCTAAGTGTACGGGGATATGCTGGGCAGAAAATAGCGCTGATAACCCAATATTAATTCAACATCAGATGGAGATTATACCTGGTAAGAATCAGCAACGCATTGCTACAAACTGAAAGATATACTGAACTGACTTCCCGCAGACACCATATCATTTCCCATCGACCCTTTTCACAACTACTGGAAACCGAAAAAGACAGCGCAACCCAACGATTCTCCATTCAAGGTCCCTCATCGACCATCTTCGACTAAGAAGACTTCCTCGAAATCTCAAAGCCAAACTTTACTCTCCGCATCAGCAACCTCCTCGGCAGCGAAAAGCTCAAAGAGGACCGAGCAAATGGTCATGGTAGCAATACCTAATCCAAAGCCTCGACATCGATTCCCAGAAGATCAATTTTCAGATTTTAAAAAGGCTGTTTCAGGAAGCAATCTAACAAAGGCAGGATTGATCGAAGTTTTAAAGAAACAGTATGTGATACTTAGCCCTCGTATATTTCATAATCCCGTACCAAAACGCTGACCACTTTCTCATTTCATAGATTTCCCAAAGTTTCGAAAGATATTATCAAGGAGACTTTATCAGCCATAGCGGCGCGACAGGGCCAAAAAGAGGTAGATAAGAAATGGGTTCTGCGATAGATATTTATCGTGTCCTAAATTATTTCCCCCCTTCTCTCATCCAGAACCACGAAGCCTGGATTTACTTATCTCGTGCATATACCCCATCACCCAAGGCCAATAACCTCCTCCTGCACCCTCAATATACCCTCGTGCATCTATTTTTTAAGCATAACCTTCACAGCGCCGACTAGCCTATCTCTTCGTTAGCTGTTGTTCATATACCCTACATCCACGAGTAAATGACTTAGCATCTATACCGACGTCGTGGGCATTTTACTTGGGAGTCTTTTCGCTTTCTATAGATGGGAATATTATACATATGACATATCTTTGACATAAGCACTTGCGTTTTTTGATATAAAATTAAAATTGCATGGATTCACCTCCGCCTAGTAGCCTAGTCTTTTTTTTATTTCTTACAGAGAGGATACATTATAGAGTGTATAGAAGTCTAGTTTGAGGTAGTCAAAAGAGACCATCTTCGGAACGAAGTATTTCTATCGGGGTGGTTATTAAATTATACAGGGTTATCCATAATTTGAAATACAGCATAAGAGGTGAATTATGGATTGATCAAAGTACCATCTCGAAGTCCTCACCAGGAGTTGCCGGATCAGCTTGATCTTCTTCCCGGGATACCAACTCGAATCCCTCAGCCGTAGCCGTCAGGTCAGCGGCGTATTCTACCCATCTATCCCCAACATCCGCTGGTAACCATTTAGGTGGCATTCTCCAATTGAGTCTGAGTGTATGGCCGGCGAGGTTCCCCGCTAATTCAATAAGATTGGCCCCAGGTGCTTCTGGAAGCCTCACTCCGCATTCAGTAAACCTCCAGGCGTGTTCTATAGCGTCACGTATTTCGGGGTGCTGCTCATAAGTTCTAGGTTTGCTCGTTGAATCTGCCCCAGCCGCCGGATGGCTCACTCTTTCATATACTTCCAATCTCTGGATTTTTGGGAAAGACTGAAGGTTGTGCATATGGTTGCGAAGGGGCTGCTTCACATCAACGTGTTTAACCATCGTGTCACAGGGGCAAGGCGCCGTCGAAGTTTTAGCCTCGAAATCTACTTCACAACTGATAACCAACGAGAGAAGCTCCGGTGCTACGACTTTTGGAATCCTCGACCCCGGGGGTAGCACCAGTATGAACTCCATACAGAGTTGACGGAGCCTTAGCCGGACATGTTCGAGTTCAGAAATACGCGGTGCGATGAAACTGCATAGATGCATTTTTTCACCAGTTATCTCGTAGCCAGAAGTATCGAGTTCGATATTCTTGCATGAAGGAGGAATTTTCCTCAACAGATGTTGAATTGATGACACATCGAAAGCAGGCCACGTATCGTCCCTTGAGCGCGGCTCTTTTCTGTGGGGATAGTGCATATTGGAATCATCGATGTGTAGTGAGAATGTTTCCAACGAAAGCATGTAACGGCCCACAAGTCTAGCAAGTTGGCGAATACGTTTGTCAAGAGGAACAGGCGTCAATCCCGTGGGGAAGTGTTTGTTGGGCCAGCTGGCTGTCCCAGAAAGTGTCAACGCCTTGGTAGGAAGGGGACCTCGACGCCTCTCTCCTATATCCGCGCTCAGAAACTTGAAGAAATTGTCGCCCGTCAGGCATACGACAGAGTAAAGAAGGTTGAAGGCGATATTGGACCATCTTTTGCAGACATAATGGCATGGGAGGAATTCAGCGGTGGTGGTCGTCCCTCGAATAAGGATCATGAGTTTTGTGAACAGATCCTTGTCTCCCATGAACCTCTCCGTTGCGTTTTCTGTTGCTTCTGGCGTACTCCAGTACCACTTTGTAGGAGGCATTTTGGCGACTGTATCAAGGCCGAAGAAGCGTCCAGGTAGACACAACGTAACAATGTAAACTTGAGCACTTCTAGTAGACGTAGGATGTCTGGAGAGATGTTGTTAAGAGTTGAGATGGCTTTTGGCATCTTCGTAGTTTCGCCGGATGTTGATATGTAAACAGAGCTCTCGAAGCAAGAGCAAAGAACATACAAGGAAGCAGTAACCCGTAGACAGTTGCGTTTCAAGTCTATGAACACAAGTGTATATCAAGTAAGATACAAGAGAAGCAAAGGAGATATCCATATCTACCCATCTCCTTGACCTATCCATTGAATATGGTATAGGCTTGCATGGCGCAGCTGTATCCTCCATGGTGAATGTCCAAGTCAAAGCCATATCAGCATGGCTACCGTCACAATAGAAAATCAACTATGAGGCAGTCAGAAAGATACTATTAATTCTTCCTGTCCTGACAATGGGTATCATGTTCACAGTGGGTTTCATCGCTGAAGTCAAGATAAGAAAGTTGTCCCAGCCAAACGGAGTGAGCTTAAAAGGACTTCACATCTTGATCCAACGTCGACTTCCCAGCACAACAACCTATATCACAAGATAACAATCTATAGCACCAGATAAACATCTATAGCAACAGACTATTTGGGTAGAGGCCCACGTCTAGGTATAAGGAAATGACGTGCTCTTGAGGTATGTGAGGCTTCTCCGCGCTCTCCTGTGTTAGATACGCTGACTGGTATGACATCAGAGGGCAGTAAGGACATGTGAGAGAGAGATGTCCGGCTGGACAGCTGCCTGACACCATGAATGCCTTACTCCGTACTATTACTCAGAGCTGAGGATATTCCCTCTTGAGCCTCCGGAACGGCGCCAGAGTCTTCACGGCTCAGCTGTGAAATGTCCAATATTGGCCACCAGGCTACTGGTCAGGCCAAAAATACGACACCTCTGCCCTTTGCCAGAACGACTCGGGCACCTTATTCGCCGTCTCTTACGATAGCCTGCCCCGTTGCTCCCCCGGAGTTTGTTTTGCTTTCGTGCGTTTATGGTGGGATGGGCGTGGCCCAACCAGAGTTGGCATATCATCTGCAAGCGGGGCGCTAGACGTGGTGGAATGCATGCATTGTTGCCAGCTCATCGACCAGACCCTGTCACCATGCTAGTCGCTCATTTGGCGCATTTGGCTGCAGCTGCAGCAAATAGTACCGTTTTGGAGTGTTTTGAGTGTGTGTCAAACAGAAGGGATGGGCGCTGGGGAACGGCTGTTCTACCGATGAAAAACAAAAGCGAGAGGAAGGGGAGGGAAAAAGGAACGCGAGAGAGGTGTCCGGGCAAACATTCCGACTTGAACATGGCAAGCCTTTGACTTTGTGTTTTTGCTTCTTTCGCTCTCGCAGGAGGTCGTTTGATGCATTGGACCAACGACGTGGCAGAGCTGATCTGCGACCAAGTCCAAGACCACCCAACTATCTGCACGACGACACAAAGGGCGATGAGATGGGGCCTATCGTGTCTTGAAGGCCTTGTCATCGTCACCATCCTTTACGAGGAGCATGGCAGTTACGAGGATACACTAGCACGAAAATCTATACACATTTTTCTCAAAAAAAAAAAAAAAAGAGAAAAGAAAAAAAAAAAAAGAGAAAAGAAAAAAAAAAAGGATTCATTGTTAGATATGCGCGGGTCCTCACGAATCTAAACCGCCCGCCCGCCGCCATTAGGTTCGACATCTTAGGGCTGTCGAAGGCTGAACGAGTTGATATTGCTCCCGTATCAGGCGGTGAGACGGGCAACAAGGCATGGTTGTCTGCGTCTGTTCAACCCATGCGAAGCCGCAACCACGGTCCAGGATCAGCAGGATCTCAGCAGAGACAAGAGGAAATGAAAACGCATCTACAGATACTCTATGTATACTAGCGTACGGAGTATAAGCCGGGCCACCGCTTTCCTGGGGGGAGGGAAGCAAGAAGCAGTCGCAAGGTCAGAAGGAAGGCATCCTGCAGACAGCCAATTCAACGTGCAGCTCGAGTTTCAACGCCGGGGACAACCCTGACCGTTGAAGTATGACATCGCAAAGCTCGTAGCCAGCCAGACGGTTCATCGAGGTTTCCCGCGTTTCCCTTACTCAACATGGCTGGCCTGGTATCACCCTCGATCGCCACTACATGGCGGCGTGTACTCCGTACTCCAGACGACCGCAACGACGAACATCCAACTGGGCTGTACGCCCCTTTCTCTCTCACATGCAGGAGAGACGACGCTGCCAATCACACGCCTCACCAGCACGCCGTCCTCTTTATTCTCGATCACCTCAGGACCTGGCCATCTCTTGATCGGAGGGAACCGAGCAAGTAGGAAACGGTACATCTCTAGCCACCAAGCCAGCCTCCGTACACAACAAGCCCCCCCATACATGGACGAAGCCCGCTAGAAACCTTGAAGAAACAGCCTGTCCACGATACGATCGGACTTCATTAGTTACGGGCCTACGGAGTCCCCTATGTAGCGTAAGACTAGCAGACAATAATCGTGATGGGGCGTAAGCAATATGTAACCAGCAAAAAAACGCAGTCCATCTAGTCAGTCCTTGTCGGGCCAACGCACCCCTCCCCCCTAGCATCATCCATCATCGCAGCGCATCGCCGCCCGCTGGTACATAGCAGACGACTTCCTGTACCGCGCCCCCCCCACGACGAAGACTTTTCTTCTCCTGTAACAGCGTCCTTCGTGAATCCTGCGTTGTTGCGTACGATATAGAGCGGCGGCCGTCTTTTTTTAGACCCCCTTCGGGCCAACTCATCACCACCACCACGATCAACTAACCACCCCACGCTGGCCAACTTCCAGCCACTTCTTGCGCTTCGCTCGCCGGTCTCTGTTCTGTTTCTGCTTTCCTCTTCTCTGCATCATCCAGGCTTCGAGCGAGCATCTCGAGCCATGCGATAGTCTGCGAGAGCTCCTCAGTTCGCTCTGTCAGCTTGGGCGCTCGGGACTGTGTGTCTCGAGATCGATGGCCCTGCCGTCGCCCATGGAAATATGATCAGCTTTCAACACGCCTGTCTCCCATCGGTTCTGGCGTATGCAGCTGCCACCAGTATGTACTTGTTAACGGGGAGTGTTGGGAGGTCGATATATAGTGGCTAACACGCTGCCCGGCGCGGGACACCAAACAGCTCTACCTCCATCGCCAACCAGTTCTCCGCTGAGATGCTATACCCCTACAACTGATACAGCAGAGACCGATGCTCACACTCATTCTGAAGAGCAGCCTACGCCCCGGCCTACTCTACGTGAAGACGGTCCCGCTCCCAGCGATGTTTCCGTGGGTGCTACGCCGGTTGAACCTTTGGTTGCTGTGAATGCCCAACCTGGACCTGAACCCGACCACAAACCCGAACCCGAGTTGGAACATAAACCCGAACCTGAGCCGGAGCATAAACTCGAACCTGAACCGGAGCACAAGCCCAAACCTGAGCCGGAGACCGCGAAACATGGCGAGGGTGAACGTCCGTCTGAGGCTACGCCGGTGACCCCCGAACCGATGATATCTGTCTCCCAGTTTGCCCACCAGTTCCACCTGCAGAGATACCAGGAGACCCAGAGACGTGCCAACCTCCTCCGGATCAGCGACCTTCACGTATCCGTTCACTTTTCTGCCCGGCTACTCCGTGTTGCTGCCGTTTCGCAAAAGGGCCTGGTTGAGAGCCTCAAGCATGGGGACAAGTCCGCGTTTGCGTCTATTTACAATGCGGTCCATGATATTCGCGAGGTCTGCGAATCCACCGTCCGCCGCAATATCCTTGACCATGACCCTTTGGTTGGATCTCCTGCCGGCTCCGTAAAGGGAAGATCGCATACCTTTGTTAACAGGCTTTCCGCCGTGTCAAGAGCAGACCTGCTCGAGATCCTCACCCTTGTCCGGACTGATCCGCAGTTTCTGTTTGAATGCATCAGCGGCTTGACTCCGTCTCAGCTTTCTGCGCTTGTAAGCTCTGTTCATTCGCTGGAGATCAGTGGCGCCCCTGATCCACGAGGGAGAAGCCAGCCCTCGTCCTCCTTTTACAAGCGTAATGCTACTCATTCTCCTGCCTTCAAGGAGCACGCTTTTTCTTTTGAGCGCACTGATCCGCTCTTCGCGCTTGTTTTTAACGTTTATTCCACCACCTTGGACCCAGATTCCTCGGAAGCCCAGCTACGTCTGGATGTTTGGTCCTCAACCTGTGCCAAACTGATATCCCACGGAGGTAGCGGACAGTATAGTTTCGTTGGCCATCTGCTCAATATTTGGTCCGGACTCGGTGAATGGAAGGCCAGAACCAAGTTTGAAATCTACCTTATGGACATTCTCCAGAATGGAGCCTTTCTTCTTGAACAGTCTAATTCCCGACACTCGGATATGGATGGCGATGTTTTTGATCCCATGAAAACCGACGTTGCTGAGCAGTTTTTTAGAACATCCGTCCAAGCGTTGTTTGAAGTCCTCGATGATTCCGATGGTGGTTTCCCTGCCGGAGCCCTCGAGTTTGGAAGAGCTATTGTTGAAAAACTTGGCTTGTCAGATTCCCGCCGACGGTTTTTAGGTTATATCTTCTATCAGTGGTTCTTTGGCAAATTCCTGCATAATGCCTTGTGCTTTCCCGAGGTTTGTCAATTCGTATTCTTACATCTCTACACCTCTTTTCGCCTTTATACTTACATCTTGCGCAGAGTCATGGTTTACTCCTTGACTTCCACGTCACCAAGGACGCACGGGAACGACTGCTCGGGCATATCGCTCTTTACGCTCAACGACAGGTCTCCCACATCCTTCATTCATCGCCTCCGTTCCCGTACGCCATTCCAAAAATTAGGATACATGTAGAACATATGCTTTCTCGCCTCATTGACCCAATCGAACCCACCTCCGATAACAACACCCCATCAAGCCCTCTCTCTAACCCTTCCTCCCCCGTCTCGGTCGAAACCTCCCCGGAACAGAATACTGCAGGTCCCATTATTCTTCTTTCGTCGACCGATATACTCACGATACTGGATGTCTTCTTCCCCAAGCCACCCGCCTCCTCTTCGCCCGACCTATTTTCCCAACCATTCCCATCCTCCCCAGCCGCAACCTTCTTCTCTCGTCCTAACCAGTCAGGTCAAGCATACGAATCCAGTCTATTCCAAGGAAGAATCGATACTCTCTCATACGGCCAACCCACCGCAAAAACCGTTTTCACCACCGAGATAAGTTTTCAAGATGTCACAAAATCCTATTTCGTACGACCTAACAAACCATCAATGCCGGAGTTGCCCAAAAACCCTCATGCTCGAAAAGCCGATCGTATTCGTGATGAGATTTTGGAGATCAGAGAGTCAGAGGATCGACCGACAATGGACCACCCTGCAAACGAGGACTGGGCTATGTTCTCTGTTTGCGGTAGGAAGCCTGTATGTTTGTATGCAACTGACGCCGAGCAACCTAGCCATCAAAGTTCCGCTTCTAGGGCCGAGCCGCTCCGGAACCAGGATAAAATCGAGGCTGCTGTTGTGAAAATAGTCCATGAGTTTGACTTCCCCCGAAAGCAAGCTCTTAGCCAACGATCATCTCCCGATGGCGCAAATACCGACCTTAGCCTCAAGCGATGGTTTTTACATGCCATGGGAATGTACCAGCGAAAGTCTGACTTTTCCGGTGCACATTTCTGGTGGGAGGCCTCTCTCGCCTTGCGTGACGCATATGCAACATTTGGACAGCCTGCCGCAGATACCAAGTACCTCAGCCCCATGTATCTTTCCGTAAAACAATCGGCAGATATGGACACGAGTACGATCCAGAGTTGTGAACAAGCCTTTATCGACCTTAAGAGAAAGATGGACCTTCTTCAGTCGCAGGTTAATAAGACAATGAGTATTTTGGCACAACTCCGGGACAAAATGTGGTATATGAGCGATGTCAAGAATTCCTTACGTTACGAGGATGCGAAAAACGTGGCTTTGGCTTTGAAAACCATGGCTCTTGCTCACGCACAGCCTGCGGCAGAGCCCAGGACAAGAACAGGAGCACGAACGCTCGGCGGATCGTTTTTGCAAAAACCCGAAATACAAGTCATGAACGTTATGCGAGCGTCGAAGAGCCAAGGAGGCCCATTCAAATTGGCCGATGAACAGGTGGAAATTACTAGAAAGTGGCTCCAGCGCTTTGGGATAGATAATTTCTGTCGAGGCGAGGAGCGAATTCATCGATTCTGTTACGAGGTGAAAACGAGTGTGAACAAGCTCGCTGGCGAGACTATGTATGATACCCCTGTTCTCTGGTCGAGCGAGCTTTTCCAACGCGAGCGGTCGACATATGAGACTTCCGGGGCCCGTCCTATGAGTGGAAGTGTACGCCCATCCAGTATAGCGAGCGAAGATTCGTTGGGACACCCCTTGCAGCCTCCTGCGATAAGATCCTTGGACCAGCTTTTCCGACCTCCAAATGACTTACCCATGCCTCCGTTACTCCGCAAGTCATCTTTCCAGAGCGTGACTTCAGATAAATGGCAAACGAATGGCAACGCATCTTCCATTGGTGACTCCCCCGGCAAGACAGTATCGACTGCTACCACTGATTCAATTTACCCATACTGGTCTCCAATGCATACCCAGACCCAGTCTATAACGAGTGCCTCAAGTCTCAGGTCAAGACCTCCCTCTATGTTCAGCGACAACATGCCCCTGAGGCGTTTTGAGCATAGTTCTCACGGAAAGCACGCGTTTTTGGATGGACTAAAGCGAAGTTTGACTAGTTTACTGCTGAGTGACCTTGGCTGTCCAGTTTGGAGCTGTGGATCCGAGACTGATGCCTGGTTTTCTGCCTACTTGAATCAATCTCGGGTGCAAAGCCAAATGGAGAAACGTGCAAGGATGGACAAGTTCCTATCGCAATGCTCAACTTCGCTAATGACTGATCTCCGCGAGAGGGATACTGCTGGTGGTAAGCTTCGTCGAAGTCGCTCTACTCCATCATTGAGATGTCAGCAGGAGCCTGTGTTCAGCCAGCAGCCCAACGAGAAGGATACGGCGGAAACGCTTGGAGGGGAATGCGATTTCGGCTATGAGGAAGCCTTTGAGCAACTGATGGACAAATTCTCGCGTCCTGCGAATCCATACGTCAAACTCGAGGCGCTGCATGAGATGTGGACTCTGGTAGCGACGTCACTGGTCAATAACCGAGATCAAGCAGACAGCAATTCCTTCGAAGAAGCGCGGTTACGCCGTTCGATGGATGGCGTCTACAGGCGTAATAGCCTACAGACCCGTCAGCAATGGCGAAAGCCGAACAACGACCAGACGCCAACTCCATCGTCACCTGGCTTTAGTTCCACCGAAGCTCCCTCCGGCCTCTCCATAGACTCAACCATGAATGAAACCCAGATCACCAACACACTTCGGGATCTGATTCAAAAGTACCAGCCAAGAACGCTCTTCCGAGATCTACAGTTCATCGCCTCCTTCGTTCCGTCCGACATTCTAAACAAAACCGAAAGTGGTACCGCTTTCCTCCAATTTAGTCTTGCTGCCCTCAAGCTAAAGGACGACGTCTGCAACAGCATGATTGAAATCGCAGATAAGATCGTGTGTGACGAGCTAGCTCAACGACATCGACACGCACACCCGATCTCATACGATTTCTCTCCTAAAGTTGGCAACGGCATCAAAGATGCGGCGAACATGTGGATTGTCACTGCTAGAGAAGGCAACCCCGTTGCTCAGCGAGAGCTGGCAATTCTGTATCTTACCCACCCACATCTACTACGCCCCGTCACCCTCCCTCTCACCAAACCAGGTGATACCTTCAAAGCAGAAATGATGTATCGACGAGATCAAGATTCTAAATCCGACCCTCAGAATATGTGCCTGGCCCTGCACTGGATGCAGCTGTCAGCCGCTGGGGGCGATGAGCTGGCCAAAAACAGGCTTAAAGAACGACAGGAGTTCGAATCTATTTCTTGATGCAAACGAATTTATGAAATATCCAACAGCTTGTGAAAGACTTGTTTTCTTCTTTTTTATTTTTTTGCCCTCGAAAAGGATACCTGTTAAATATTTGTTAAATACGTGTTCTGTACTAATTTTCATTCTCTTGCGATTCTTTCTCTTTCTATATCATTTGGCTCGTCTGTGTTTATTAAAGATTCACCCTACGTGTCTTTCTAACCCTCTTTCAGTGCTTTATAGTAGTGCATGGCTTAAAGGTGTCTCTGTATTTCAAATGGCAGATTACTTTCAAAGACCTTCTAGAGTAGTAAATAGGAAGTTTAATACCACCTCCCTCTATACCTGTCTATATTATCTATATTAACTATATTATCTATACTAACTATAGTCTCCTGTCACTCTGGATCACTGGGCAAGCACATGTGCCTGTAAACACTTTGTGTGACCAGATCAGGAACATCTACGTCATTTTCAGCACGTGAGGGAACAAACAAATATATAAAAGCTGCCTCTTAAAGAGTGTTGTCTGGTTAACGAGCTGCCTTCTGAAACAGATCCCTTGGATAAAGAGAATCCGACAATCTCGACTGCTCTGTCGCTTTAGAGCGTTAGGACGGCAGCGTTTGTCGAGTCAGCCAACGGCCAGCGAGCAACAGGACGCCCCTCCAATTAACCAAATATTCAACCAAACCCCGCCCTCCTTCAATTCGCCGCGAAGAGAGAACCAACACTCTCTGGACTCACCGGGCCTGGAGATACTGCGGTTGTCGCTGGACTAATTCGCCGACGCATATCTGGATATCTACATACAGCTACAATGCCAGACCAGACCTCGAGGACTTCTACTACCACCCAGCAGGGGCAGGATGCAGCACCGCGGCCAAGGGGTATGTACTCCTACGATCTCGAGAGCGCATTGCTAGGAGACTCGCGTTTGCTAACAGCATGTCTGACCATGTAGGCATCCTCAAACAGTCTGCCATGGCGATATCGACAGTGACACCGCAGGCAGACCCCGCACATATGTCCCTATCGCCGCTCGAGAACAAGGAGCTCACACTACAGAATACGATGCAAAATGCCGGTTTGAGCACGAAACAGCGAGCTCGCGCTTCCTCACGTCGGAAATCGTCAAGCTCCAAGGCCTCGAATGGCGATGAAGAGGCGGACAACTCACCCCGGTTGAAGTGGGACGAGGCCAATCTATATCTTACCGAACAAGAGCGGTCCTCGACTATGGAGATAGACGAACCCAAGACACCGTATGTGCAGAACTACGACTACCATGAGGAGGAGGACATGGATCTGGGAGCGGATATTGGGTTCCACGTTGAAGGTGTTGCGGTTGACGAGCTGGATATGAACAAGAGCCGAGCGGGAACGAGCAAGAGCAAGGCGAGGGATGAGATACCGGATCTAGAACTTGGGGAGCCAGAGGAGGATACGTGGAAGGACGTCAGGGCTAGTGAAGCGGACAGGATCATACGGGAGCGAAGCCTGAGCTTTGGCAGCACGGGCAGCAAGAAACGGGTTGTTGTGGGAGACGGCAAGGATGGCCCTGACCTTGACCCGAACAACCAGGAGGAGGTACAGAAGCACCATGATTTCGAAGAGAAGCGGAAGAAGCATTATGAGATGGCTGGGATCAAGAACTTGCTTGGGTATGTTTCAATCTCCTCTCTTTGACCCGTATCAACGATGATACTGACATTTCCAACAGACATCCAGAGAAACTCGACGATGTCATGGGTGAGGGCGAGGGCGATGACGATGACGATGACGAGGAGGACGAACCTGCCCCGAGGGTTCCTCCAGCCGTTCCAAAGATCCCAGAACAGTTTGCGAAACAGTCTCATTAGGCGGCATCTATTTGCAGTTTCGACCTTGTACAGACTAAATAACGACACGCTAAATTTTTTCCCATCTTATGCATCTGTATTTATCTTATTCAATCTACTGCTTGGGTTTTTTGTATGTACCTAAGCCTGCATAGTCACTGTCTTGTATACCAGGAACGTTATTTGAATTTACCTGCAGGATACTAACTCTCATCGAACAGGTTCCTGCTGATAATTATCCGATAGTAGGCCATTAGTATGAAGGCAAAGGCCCACTGCATCTAGATACATCTATCGAGAAGAAGCAGAATAGGGGAATTTGGACATCGGATATTATATCTCGCCTGGGCTAGCTTTGTCTGGGGTAAAACGCCCCGATCATCGAATACGAATATCTGCCTGCCATATTATAAGCACAACCGAGCGGTTCGATACAGAATGCATCAAAGACCTAGAAGCTGTATGCTGTCAGAGGAAGCGAGCCGTTCTGACTTGTAACAAAGTCTGGACTGCAAGCCATGCATGCAATTTCTGTGATACAGAAACAAGGTCCCCCCTGGCCAGCCAGCTAGTCTCTGGCACAGAGCAGAGAGGCTTGTCTCAGGGGCTGCTAGTCGGATGAATGCTTGCCATACCAAGCATCTTGCTGTGCATTCTAAGGATGGTTCTTGTGCTTCATCTAAAATCTGTAGAAGGACGTCTTCTTCCTCTTCTTTCTTTCCTGCTAACACACGCACTCGCTGACGCAGCGCAGATTTTTCCTCTCCCCAGATATTTTTCACCGTGGGCTTCTTCCTCTTCTCTTTCATCCATCTAATACGTGACACTCTTTTGCAAGCTGGTCAAAAGTGCATCTGGGAGCTTCCTTTTTATTGTCAACTAGCTTGAAACGTGACTTTTTGCCTAGTGGTAGGGAAATACGCCCCTTGTTTACATGGACACACGTTAAACAGCTGGAGAGGAGGCTGACAATAACAATGATGGACAGCTACAGGATCCGCGTGAACTACGGTCCTAGATTCGATCCTTGACATAATGGACAAGCCTCAGGAGAAGAACGAGCAGCCTGCGGCTCAGACTGAGGCTGCCGTTGCTGCTGAAGACCAGAAGCCAATTGAGGAAAAACCGGCTGAACCAGCTGCTTCGAAGCCCGTCGAGGCCCAGGACGATGACCGTATCGAGGAGGTCAAGAAGGCCGATGCTGGAGCTGCTCAGGTCAAGGCCGAGGAGCCTGCGCCAGTCGACGACCGCCCAGAGTACCTGATCAAGCATGCCGGACTCGCCCAGTTCTTCGACCGTTTGCCTGCCATCCTCGAAGCTACCGGCCACAAGGAGATGTGGGGTGTGCCATTGAAGGACTCGACTGATATCCCGACTGTCAACATCATGATCAAGTTCCTTCGCGCCAACGAGGGAAACGTCAAGGCGGCCGAGGAACAGCTCACCAAGGCCCTCGCCTGGCGCAAGGAGATGGATCCTCTGAGCATCGTCGCGGACATGAAGTTCTCTGCTAAAAAGTACAAGAACTTGGGCTTCATTACTACCTACGGAGTGGACGAGGCGAAGTCTGTCTTTACCTGGAACATCTACGGTGCTGTAAAGAATATTGAAGAGACCTTTGGCGACCTGACTGAGTGAGTGAATACTAATCGTGGAATATAAACTAAGACAAAGCTAACTGGATGGAATAGGTTCATCAAATGGCGCGTTGCCCTGATGGAGCTCGCTATTCGCGAATTGGACTTGGACATGGCAAGAACTGCCATTCCAGCCATCGGAGAGGACTCCTACCAGATGTTCCAGGTCCACGACTACCAGAACGTCAGCTTCCTTCGCATGAGCCCTACCATCCGCAACGCCTCCCGCGAAACCATCAATGTTTTCAGCATGGCCTACCCAGAGCTCCTCCGCGAGAAATTCTTCGTCAACGTCCCTGTCGTCATGGGATGGGTTTTCAGTGCTCTCAAGGTCTTCCTGAGCAAGAACACCATTCGCAAGTTCCACCCCATCACCAACGGCGCTAACTTGGCCCGCGAGTTTGGTGATGCCGGCGTCGAGTTCCCAAAATCCTATGGCGGGAAGAGCCCTGAGCTGGCAGAGAATGCGATGACTGTCGGTCTCCTGGAGGACATCTCTCAGGAGAAGGAGGCCGAGACCAAGGTAGAAGAACCTGAGGTCAAGAAGGACACTCCCGAAACGAAACCAGAGGAGACCAAGACCGAGACTCCCGTCGAGCCTGAAAAGACTACCACTGAAGTCGCGGATAAGCCTGCTGCTGCTGACGCCAACGGAGCTCCCAAGGCCGCCGAGGGATCTACCCCAGCTAACTAAACGAAAATGAACGTCCCTCGATGCCAATTGGCGTTACTTTCCTACATTAATACCCGTCGGACACGCTACAATGCGCACCATGACACTCCCTTCTTCCAAAAAACAATACCTAAAACAACAAGAAAAAAATGAGAAAACCTCTTTTAAATTCATTCAGCAATGCGAACTGGACTTCACACACCTCGCCGTACGACAGCCACGACGGGCTAGGAACGGACGGAACGACGATATGCTGGGCTTGGTGTTGGTTGGTGGTTTGCTATTTGTTGATTTTGCTAGCGCCTGACTTATTAGATACCATGGGATGTCCTTTAATTTGTGTTCCATCGAGCTGCCTGTCTAGGATGAGGATATCATCTTCGTTGTGATGGCGACTTCTCTGCTGTCCTGCCCTAGATTAGGTAGCTACGTATGAACTCTCGTTGCACTAGGTAGTAAAAAAACTGTCTCAAATCGTTCCTACATCCTAACTCGAAGTTGATAGTAGAAAGTAGAAGAGAAAGAAGAGAAGTTGATAGAGAAGAGAAGTGATATAGAGAAGTTGATATAGAATACGGGGGACAAGTGACGCCACAAGCGCACTTAACTTTTGGAGCTTCGAGCAAGCTTCATATTCACCTTCACACTTGACCATGAATATGAGCTTCTGCTGAGGCACACACGTCTTATTTTATATCGGTCTGCTGGTCGGAGATGCAGTATACCTTGATCTTACCTCCAACCTCAGTTTAGCTCTCACCGTCCTCCTCTCGCATACACGGAAAGCCGATCTCACACACCCTCCACCATGTCCCTCTGGAACCCAGATAACATCCGCGACGTCGCCGAATCCGTAGGCATAAACGCCCTGAACGACGATGTGATCGAAAACCTCTCCCGCGACGTCGAATACCGCATCTCACAAGTGCTGGAAGAAGCTCTCAAGTTCATGAGACATGGCAAACGTACACTGCTCACTACACAAGACGTATCGAATGCGCTGAGGGTACTGGACGTCGAACCGCTATACGGATATGAATCTGCCCGGCCGCTGAAGTTCGGCGAGGCAACTATTGGGCCAGGACAGCCTCTGTTCTACGTCGAGGACGATGAAGTCGATTTTGAGAAGCTGATCAATGCGCCGCTTCCCAAGGTGCCGAGGGAGATTTCTTTTACTGGTATGTTATGTGAACGGCTTCGTGTATTTTTTTTCACTGGCTGATATGTCGTATAGCGCACTGGCTGGCCGTCGAGGGTGTTCAGCCTACTATACCACAGAACCCTACGGCGGCGGACTCGCGACATCTCGAACTAGTTTCCAAGGGCCCGAATGCGAATGCGAACCTTGCTGCTATGAGCGGGAACGAGAATGTGAGCGTCAAGCCACTGGTTAAACATATCCTGTCGAACGAGCTGCAGCTTTACTTTGAGAGAGTGTGCAATGCCTTTCTGGACGAGTCGAACGAGGAGTTTCGGAATTCTGCCTTTTCGAGCTTGAAGGAGGACCCGGGACTGCACCAGCTGGTCCCTTACTTTGTTCAATTCATGTCGGAGAAAGTTACGCATAATATCAAGGATATCTTTGTGTTGACGCAGGTTATGCATATGATCGAGGCCTTGATTAGGAACCCGACTTTATACGTTGACCCCTACGTAAGGATATCCCCTCCGTCCGTCGACCTTGTCGTGATGGCTAACCGTTATGATGTAGGTTGCACCATTGATACCGCCAGTGTTGACCTGCCTGATTGGCCGCCAGCTGGGGAACAACAATGATGCAGTGGAACACTTTGCTCTCAGAGACCTCGCATCCTCTCTCGTTGGCATGATCGCAAAGAAATACTCACATTCTTCGCACACTCTAAAGCCTCGCCTTGCCAGGACGTTCTTAAAAACATTCCTCGACCCCGGCCAGACCTTCGGAGCCCACTACGGTGCCATAATAGGCTTACAGTCCATCGGTGGCCCTAACGTCATCCGCGAGCTGATAATTCCTAATCTCCCCGTGTACGAAGTGGTGCTCAAGGACGCCGTCACCGACGAAGGGCTACGGAAAGCGGAGGCAGAGAAAGTGACCGGGGTGATCATTGCCGTGCTGTCAACCATCCAGGATGAGTCCCTAGCCCACACGAACGGCTATTCCGATGCCGCAGCGGAGGCCCTCAATAAGGAACTCGCAGAGAAGGTTGGCGAGCTGATTGCGTCGCGCATTGTGGAGTCCGGACAGCTTCCACTAGCCAGGGCGATCCTCGACAAGCAATAAGTGATATCTGCCTAACTCTTTTCTTTTCCATTTTATGATTTATTTGCTGTCATTGCTTACCGGGGGACCTGGCTGGTTTTGTTTTCGTCCTTTTGCGGGAGTTGCTGGATCGGCTGTCTGCAAAGAAGTAGCGGCGAAGGGCAGGTTGGGGATATTTTATGGGATATTTTATGAATAGAAGCGATAATCAGTTCCTCATAATACGAAGATCCTCTTATATTTTCTTCTTCCAGCGCTTCTGGCGGGTTTTTGTGGCTTGAACTCCCGCGTGTTCCCCCTTGCTGTGACATATTACGTTATCGTCGAAACACACAAGAATAATTTTTTTGCCTTGGTCGCATGGGCAAAATCTTAATTTCTTCCTTTGAGGGGCAAAACCACGACTTCTCTTGTTCTTCATCCGCTTCAGCCTTCAGTCTTGCAACAGAACTCGTCCGTATCTCAGCAACTGCTCGCCAGTGGGAGTGGAATTGACCGTATACCGCCGTTGCTATCGCTCGCCCGTTGAAGAGCCGCCTTCGCTCACCGTATCTTACCTTCTAACGACTTCAACGGTTCTCGCGTCGTGTCAATGATCTGACTGACGTGGTTCCATCACACACAACTCTGAAGAGGACTCCCATTTCCCTCCATGAGTCGAAAGGATCTGCTACGTTTTCTATCAAAGCCTGCAAAGTGAGTTGCTCGTTGAGACTTGAGAGTGAGCTTCCATACTGACGCTGCACCAGACCTCGATAACACCCCCAACGATCAAGAAAGAAAAGAATCTACAGCCTCACCTCGCGTTTGCGTAGGAATATCCTTATTATACACAGCAGACATCCTCCTCTGCTAGACCCGATACTTTCAACGGTATCGGCATCTGTCAGTTCGAGGGTCACCGACATCTGATCACAATTCCGGCACTAAAAGCGTTCTACTTCCCCCTCTCCGCCCGCCCGCCCTAACGCCGTTAAAGCGGTGTTTTATTAGTCAAGCATACTCTCTGCCTGCTGGTGGGGATAACTAAGCGTGCGGCAAGCCCTCAGGATTTCGGGCCTTCTCTTCTCAGGCGAACACCGCATTGTTCGTCTGGGTGGCAGATTGTGCTTCTAAGTCTTGCTAGGTCAAGCGTACCACAGTTGCCTGCTTAATAAATTCAAACGGAATCAAAAGAACCCCCTTACGCCCATACCAGTGTCCTTTGAATCACCTCGTGTGAGTTTCAAGGATTTCGTCTCGGATATGGTCTACGCTGGAATTCCAAATAACTATACGGGATCCCCATCCTCGTATGTGGCGCCGTCATTGACAATTAATCATGAAGCCACTGTGGATCTCGATTCGTCCAATGCATTTGAAGGTGAGCTCCGTCTCCGTTTTTAACAGCTTTACAGTGCAGAGTGGCTAATCACACATGTTTGGTAGGGCCTGAAAAACTTCTAGAAGTGTGGTTTACTGCGTCTCCGGAAGAGCTCGTCAACACCCCGGTACCCAATGGCCTCAAGGCCGTGTCGTCGGACATCTGGAAAGGCATGCTTGATCTGGTCAACTGCCAAGTACTTTCAATCGTCGAATCCGACGATGTCGACGCCTACCTCTTGTCCGAGTCCAGCATGTTTGTCTTTCCTCACAAACTGATCCTCAAGACCTGCGGTACCACCACCCTTCTGCATGGGCTGCCTCGCATTCTCGAAATTGCTGCGCTTTACGCCGGGTTCCCAAAGTCAAGCCCTCCATTGGTTGGCGGGATTACAACTGCGACTGCTCCGTACCGTGTCTTTTACAGTCGCAAGAACTTCTTGTTCCCCGAACGCCAACGTGGACCTCATCGAAGCTGGAGGGATGAAGTCAGGGCCATGGATAAACTCTTCTTGGGAGGAAGCGCCTACATGATTGGCAAAATGAACGGTGAACATTGGTACCTGTACCTCACTGACCCGTTCACTTCCCTGACGCCCCCTGCGTCCCCCACCCACGAAACCGACACCAAATTGATCAATTTCCCGGGATCCCTCGAGAATGGTGTTACGAAGCCCAAACAATGCGAGAATGACGAAACATTGGAGATATTGATGACTGACTTGGACGAGGAGAATTCCAAGCAATTCTACCTCGATCATGCGAGTGCGGTCGCAGAAAGTCGTTATCGATATCAACACGAGGAAGAGGACGACGACCATGTCGACGTTTTCAGCAACACGTCCTCTAACAACAGCGATGTGGGCTCGGCTAGCCACTCGCTGCCCTCGGAGCTGTCCAGCGAAGGCCACGCCCTCGGCACCGTGGTTAGTGAATCCTGCGGACTAGCCAACATGTATCCAGCCGACAAGCACCCAGACTCTCGAATCGATGCATACCTGTTCTCGCCCTGCGGGTTCTCCGCCAACGGAGTCATCCCATCGAACAACGGTAAATCAGGAACCCACTATTTCACCGTCCATGTGACTCCAGAGCCTCACTGCTCTTATGCATCGTTCGAGACCACCGTGCCACAGGATCAATCTGGCCGTGAAACCGCTGATATTGTCAGCCAGGCCGTGGACATCTTCAAGCCTGGCCGTTTCACCGTCACGTTGTTCGAGGCAAAGCCGTCTCCCAAGGCGAACGTAGAGGATCTCAGCCAACCCGCCGAAATGCGCCGTCTTGCTCGTCATGCTGCACGTCTCAATGGCAAAATGGAAAACATCCCTGGATATCGCCGCGTTGATCGTATCGTCCATGAACTCGATGGATATGATCTTGTTTTCCGTTACTACGAGCGCCATGACTGGCGAGGCGGAGCTCCACGGATTGGAGAGAACTACCTTTAAATTGTTTTTTTCAGATTATTTCGGGCTTCTTCTTTTTTTTCTCTTTTTTGACTGCTTGTATATTTCTTTGGCAAGCGCTCCACTCACTCACTTGATGCTAAATTGTTAACTGCTCTGGATTTTTGGTCAACAGACCACTCTATTTCCCTTCGTACTGTCATTAACGTCTATGGGTGTTTGGCTTCCAATTGGAATCGATATTAATTGCGCCTTGCCATCGATCCATTGGCTTCCTAACGCCCTTTATGTATTTATCTTCACCCATAATTCACTTGACGTTATCCTGTCGCATCCTGTCCAATTATGACTAATCAGTCATATGACCATTAACAGGATATATTTATGTCAGGTGATTATATTGATGACGAATCAGTAATATTACCGTAATAGGAATAGCGTGGCTGATAAATATGCTGACTCATTATAATACAAATACATACCGTAACAATAAGAATAAACCAATAAAAAGAAGCTATTTCTGTTATAAATGTATTAGATACCGCCAGACCATACACGTATTTATTAGGCGCGACCGGCAAACTTTCCTTATTGAGAGCTCCGTCATCGTCGCAAAACGCATCAAGAAGTTGTTCAGGCGTTCTGCGTGTGTTGCTCCTGTTCTTATGCATCGCCAGGATCGCATATCAAGGATAGGAAGGGCAGTGAAGATTCAGCTATAACTATACAGTTCGCTTTATCTCACTTCTTCCTTTCTTTCCGCTCATCCGCCGTTAACTCGCCAACATACCCGACACCCTGTTTGCGCCTCCTCGTTGCTACGAAGCTGGCAAACATGTCGCTTTCACCACCTCCTCCTGTCTCTTTAAGCCTGCCGACCGCAAACCCCAAGAAGCGTCTATCTATTGCATCTGGCTCTTCGAATGCTCCTGCAAACTTGAAGCGTCAACGCACTCACCCATTACGCCAAACTTCATTCCCTGTGTCTGCGGACAATGACCCACGGGTTTACACGGGCACAAGCTCCAGATCAGAAGCCGACGCTGGAAGCATAACCGGTAGCTTTACAGGGTCCTTTGGGGGAAGCGTTGCTGGCAGCACGGTTGGTGGAAAGGGCAAGAAGAGAAAGAGTAAAAAGGACAAGGATGCTACGGCAAGCGTGAAAGGCGGCGCTGGTAGTACCACCGGTCGACGAAACGGTGCCACTGCATCTGTGAAAGGCGGAGCAACGCAAGGGGATGAAGATGGTGATATCGAGGAAGAGGATTTCATAGATGAACCGGAGGTCGATGGAGGTGCGGCGATTGACGCGGCTGCTGAGAAGAAGAATCTTGCGTATGTGATATTCCCTTGGAAGGTGTATTCAACGTATATTTGTACTAACATAAAGTCTTCTAGTGTTTTAATGGACGCTTTCAACCCCGAGCAGTCATCCCGGTACGACTTCTTTAAACGCGCCAAATTGAATAAACCCACTCTTAGAAAGATTGTGAATCAGACGTTATCACAGTCTGTTCCGCCTAATGTTGTTACTACTATTGGTGGATATACCAAGGTCTTCATTGGAGAAATTATCGAAAAGGCGAGGACGATACAGAATGAATGGGCGGACGCTCTTGATGCTGCAGCTATAGCTGAGGCCGAAGCAGAGGAGGCAGAGAAACAGCGGATACAGCAAGAGAAAGAAGATAAGGAGAAAGAGAATAATGCTGCACAAAATACACAGACGGCAAACCAAGGGGATAGCAATGATTCACAGGTGAAAGCTGAATCGCCACATGAAAATGCCGCAAGCGGTAACATGAATGGCATCCAGTCTACGAACGTCTCGATTTCGATCTCACAAACCCAGGTTACAACTACGGTTAACGGTGATTCTCCTATACTTGCAAATGGTACTGCACCAACGACCAGCAGGACAATTAAACTCCCACCAAATCCACACCGTGGGCCATTGTTACCCTCACATATACGTGAAGCCTTAAGGCGATATAAACTCAGCGCGCAGGGTGATAACGTTGGCTTTTCTGGCTTGAGTCTCAAAGGATTTGGGGTCAAGGGTCCATTTGCATGGAGCCTCAAAGGGGTTGGCGGAAGAAGATTATTCCATTAAGCCAAGCTTGAGCCAAAAATGCCAACCGTGGCATCGCATTTCTATTTTTATACCATTATGGCGCTTTTACCAGGTTATTGAGGTGGGCGTTATAGCCCGGAGGCACCGGGGGCTGGATTTTTAGGCTGGGTTGTTACGGGAAACTGGCCTGCTGGAGCAGTCTCTTTTTCTAGGTTTGCGGAGCATATGAATGTGACAGGATGTGATAACCGTGGATAGACCCTGTTCTATACTATGGTTGAGGACTCTAGGCTTTGAAATAATCTCCTAGACGGGGCCTAGTGATACAACATTTAATGATTAGACATCTATATTTGACCGAGGAGTTAAATAATAATATAACAAAGATGGCTCATAATATACATTGAAAAGAGCAAGTACAATCTTATCGAAATGCCAACCAGACCTCAGACATGACTCCCAAACATACAACAGCAGTAAATTAACACATTGTTGAAGAAAGGAATAATATCAAACTTCCAACACTCCTCCTTTTACCAAGGCCTTTATTCCTTTTGTTCGGATTTCTTTAAATATTTAGCTCTCAGTTGCTGGTTCTTCAGTTCCCGCTCAGCTCTAAGTTCTGCCTTTCGACGATCCTCGTACGCCTTAGCGCTTTCGAGTTCCTTCTTGCTAAGTCGTGGCTTGCGGCCAGCGGAGTCAGCGTCGGATTTCTCACCAGACATGCTGTCCATTTTCTCCTTGGCCTCCTTGACTGTGTCGCGGTAAGCTGACTTTGCGCCGTCCATAGCTCGATCTATTATGCTGATTTTTTGAGGTTGGATAGGTGCCTCCGGTTCTGGTACAGAGGTAGCTGTGGTAGAAATGGTACGGATTCGGCTTGGGGGAGGTTGCGGCTCGGATGAACCTGACGAGAAAAGCGTAGTTTTAGGGAGAGGACCGAGGCCGGCAAACTTGCGGAATCCGGGTGAGGTCACTAGGTAGGCTTGACACATGGAAAGGAAACCGGTGGTGAAGAAGTAGAGCTGTAGAATACCAGGCCAGAAGGACATGGTTGCTAACGTGAGACCGGGGAAGCCGTATAACATCGCCTTACCAAGCTGGGTGTTATTCAAGTTGGATGTACCTGCATCACCGCCGCGCTGAGATGAGAATATACAACGTTAGCGCTTGGCTGTGTGGGGAGGAAAGCGAGTGAGACAAGAAGTAAACATACCTTGAGAGCCAAATACATCATGGCACTGGTCGCTATGGGTAGGATGTAGTACGGATCACCCATGGTAACGGTAGGTATCCAGAGGAAGGATTCATTATCCAGGCCTGGGACAGGAAGAGCCGACATTCCTCGGAGGACTCGGAAGCACCCAAAACCGAATGGTACCTGGAGCAAAGGCACAAAAGCCTTCCATGGCTTCACGTTATGCTGTTCATTAAGAACAGCGAGTTCTTGCTTTGCCTTCAATGCGCCCACGTTATCGCTCTCGCGTGCACATTTAAGCATACGTTCTCGAATAGGCGTTGCTAGAGGTTTTATGACTTGAAGTTTGCTCGAAACCTCAGAGGCGGATAAGATGGACTTAAAAAGGGCTGCTCGAATGATAATTGCTGCCGCAATTGACGCTCCCCACCACGGCAATCCGCCCATGATATGTAAATTCTCGAGAAGAAATTCCACCATCGACGACGGACCCCATCCGTAATCCAACCCGAGCTCCTTTAGGTATCCAATCTTTTTGGGGATAAGCGAGAGATCAAAGTCTGATAAACTGGCAGCGGAAAATGCATCCGCCCCGGACGTAACATCTTCTGCTCCAGGTGTGCTTGCAGGGTCACTTGGGGTGCCGGAGAGAGCAGATGTGCCGGCGGAGGTGGATGCGAATCGGGAGGAGGCTTTGAGAGGCCCTGAACTCCGGGCAAGTCGTATAGCACTCAATGCAGTATCATTTCGCCCAATCAACCTCGACCGGAACTGTGAGTTTTTTGCCGAGTTAAGGGAAGAGAACTGTTCAGAGCAGAGTGTCAGTTTGACTGGAGAAAAATTTTCGTCTCAACGGGCGTCCTACCTGTCGCTGGGCGAAAGTTGATTTGAAAATGGCGGCGCGCGCAACCGCACTCGAGTGCCTAACACCAGCCCCGACGAGCATTGTAAAACGAGACCTCCGAAGGTGTTAATGGTTGCATCTATTGTCGACAATGCTGCGGTTTCGTCGTTCGAGATGTTGAAGTCGGTTTGGCTCCGGAAAAAAGTTGGCGTCTGGTTCGGGAAGGTTTGCCGACACGCCTAAAAGTTACTCGCTCGACCAAGTAGACATGATAAACAGAACCCCTTGATTATTATTCGATTCTTAGTGCGTAGTATCAGGGAGATATGAGATATATGCTGTAACTAGAAGTTTATAAAATAATAGTAACGTTGTGATATAGTAAAGTTGCGATATAGTAACCTAAATGAGTTGCTAATTCATCCTCCAAACGCCGTTCACCCTAGCTGTATTTCTTCATTCATATGTACAGATATAACTACCTTGTACAAATAGCCGTAGATGGACAAAATCCCATGACTGTAGCCCTAGCTCTGAGTAGCATCCTCATCTCCATATTCAACCAAGCGCATTAAATAGTCTATTACTCCAACGACGTGACATTATCTAACGCAAATTAATCGTCCCCTTACGATCTTCGGTGCGGTATATCGCGAAGCCCGATTCCACCGCCAATAGGCTGCTGGGTTCGTCGATGAGTAGGGAATATCTAGATGGAGTCGTTAGTATATACATCGCTAAGTAGCGGTGGTGTCAGCCGACTCACCTTGGTATTGGTCCAGCCTAATCTGAAAGCAGCTTCATGTGCGAACAGCTCTCCGAAGCCCAGCATAAGCCCGTTGACGAAAGGCAGGATGAGGTTGATAGCGGCTCCCTGTATTATCTGCCAGTACGATGGAGGTGTGTAGAGCGTCACCGGGGCCGTGGTAGCTTGTCCGGTAGGCGGAGACAGCTCGATAGTGGCCGAGTAGTTCTCGGAATCAGACGGGAGGGTAACTGCTGAGTCGGAGAGCTCTACTCTCGGTGCACTCTCGTTCGACGCCATTGTTGGGGACAAGGGTCCGGCGGTTGGTAGATCGATGGGGGAGAGCCTCGGAGTCGTTTCTGGCGGAAGAAAAGGCCGTAGTTCGCTCTCAAGCCATGCGACAGGGAAGACTGCACGTTTCCTCTATTCCCTCTCCGATCACAAGCTGCTCAACAGGGTGATTCGGCGGTGCTGTTATCGTCCTTCTTCTTCTTCTTCTTCTTCTTCTTCTTCTCTCCGTCTTGTTTCTTCTCTTTGAGGTCCAAAAGATGCACCGGAAGATAGATGTTCCGTGGCTTACCTAACCAGGCACCAGTGACGTAGATCCAAAAGCTTCAGGCGGGAAAAGATACAAGAGAGAGACACGAAAGACACAGTTGCTTCTCGCCGATACTTGTCCTGTTCCTCGTCCTGTTGGATCAGTAAGAAGAGAGCTTGATCATTAGTTTACTTACCCTCCTCAGAGACCGCCTTGTCTGCAAAAATCTCAGTCATTCCTCCGGCAGCAACCCCGCAACCTGCTACCATGGCCTCTGCTCCGCCTCAGCAGGATGAGCTGATCTCACACTTCTGTGCTATCACAGGAGTCAGTCCTTCCACGGTACGCTTCACACTATCCCTTGTACTACCTGTCTTTTACTGGTGGTATTCCAGCTGACATGCATCAAGGCTAGAGACCACCTGGCAGCCAACAACTGGGATCTGGACATGGCTATTGCAGAAGTCTACCCCGAAGAAGGAGGAGCCGAATCAGATTATGATGTCGATGAGAATCAAAATCAACAACCAGGACAAATGCCGGCAGATCGGACGGCAGGAGGTGGCTCCGCACAGGGCCCAGGATCGAAATCCAACCCAGCGTCAAAGAGATTCGCAACCCTAGGGGACCTAGGATTTGGTGACGGAGGAGGTCACCCTGCCCACGATGAAGATGACGATGAACCCCAAGACCTTTTTGCAGGAGGCGAAAAGTCCGGCCTTGCTGTCCAGAATCCAGACGATATCAAGAAGAGGATCATTGAGAAGGCAAAGAAGTATGATTTACATGTTCGCCCCGTTTGCTTCAGCAGATTCTTACTATATGTTCTTCTCTTTATAGGGCACTGCCGCCAGCTGAGCGTAAGCCAACGTCAGCAAAGTCACACTTTACCGGGACTGCTCGTACACTCGGCGGAGATGACACTCCGAGCAAGGTCATCGAAGACCCGAACGCGGCTCGACCTCAAGACCTTGAACCTGTACAGAGAACTCTAAACTTTTGGAATGACGGATTCTCCGTCGATGATGGCGACCTATACCGATCCGCCGACCCTAAGAACGCACAGATATTGGAGGGTATCCGACAGGGCCGCGCACCTCTATCCATTATGAACGTTCAGCCCGGACAAGATGTCGACGTCCAAGTAAAACAGCACGATTCAGACTACATAAGGCCCAAGGGAAAATTCAAGGCGTTTGCTGGATCCGGCCAGCGACTAGGTAGCCCAACTCCAGGTGTAGGGTCGGGATCACACACGCCCGTACCCGCGGCAGCGTCGGCCCCAGAGCAGGTCAGCGCTGGACCAGAGCAGCCAAAGATTAACGAGTCGGAGCCGACAGTTACGCTACAGATCAGATTAGGTGATGGTACACGATTGACGAGCCTGTTCAACACCACGCATACTATTGGTGACGTGTACCAGTTTGTGTCAGCGGCCAGCCCCTCTAGCCAGCAGAGGGAATGGGTGCTCATGACGACTTTCCCAAGTGTAGAGCTCAAAGACCGCTCGGCTGTACTTGGGGAACTCAAGGAGTACAAGCGCGGTGGCGTTGTGGTTCAAAAATGGACTTGAATTTGTGCATTAGACAGTGACTCTCATCTACGACTAGCTAGCTAGAGAAGAATAGCCTTTATCTCAAGGAAGACTAGAAGATATCTTCCATCAAAGGAATAGATTAGGCTGCTCTTAGCAATATCTCATAGAATACAGCTGTGTTTTTACAGCTTAATAATCAAAACGAGAAGCTTGATAAGCTAAAGTTTTGAGGTTCAAGATGCATCTCTAAAGATTTCCAGACCTGCCAATTCCCATAATATTGATAGATGATTCCGGATACCCTTTCCCTCCGACTCTATACCGTTTAATCTCATCTTTTAACCATCATGCCGCTGGACGGCGTCAAGAATATAGTCCTGGTATGTGCCCCGCGGAACCTGGAGCTTCTTATCGATAGCCATTTTCAAAAACTCGCATGAGCAGGAATCACACAACCAACAATAATATTTAATATAAAGCTTGAAGTCCTTGTATAATATGAAATATAAACTAACATGGAATCGCTATGCAATAGGTCCTCTCCGGGAAAGGCGGAGTGGGAAAATCATCAGTCACGCTCCAACTTGCGCTCTCCCTAACACTTCAAGGACGATCAGTTTGCATCCTGGATATTGACCTTACCGGGCCCTCGATGCCACGGCTGGTTGGCAAGGAAGATGCAAAAATTGTACAAGCTCCTGGTGGTTGGGTGCCTGTCACTGTGTATCCTGCCTCAGATCCAACGACCAACATAAAAAATACGACCACATCTACGGCCGACAAGCTGCATGAAGAAGATCAAGAAAGCAACACCCCTCGTTCTCACAGTTCCCTCCGATGTATGTCTTTAGGTTTCCTGCTCCGAGATCGAGGCGACGCAGTGATATGGCGTGGGCCAAAGAAGACAGCCATGATCCGTCAATTTGTATCAGACGTCATTTGGGGGGAAACAGACTATCTACTGATAGACACACCTCCGGGAACGAGTGATGAACACATCGCAATTGCTGAACAGCTGCTAAGCCAAGCCACCACTGCCTCCAACCCTGAACCATCACAGCCGCGACTCGCTGGTGCTGTTCTGGTCACCACCCCTCAAGCAGTGGCTATCTCTGATGTGCGGAAAGGCGTCAACTTTTGCGCCAAAACAAACATTCCCGTTCTTGGTGTTATAGAGAACATGTCGGGATATACCTGTCCGTGCTGCGGCGAGGTAAGCAATGTTTTCTCCAGAGGAGGGGGGAAGGTGATGGCCGAAGATATGGGGATAAGGTTCTTGGGTGCTGTTCCGATTGATGTAGGTTTTGGAGAGCTGATTGAAGGCAGCCGGGTGAGTGCGGGCAAGCAAAATGGGGAACAAGAATCGGGGCAGAATGGTAGCCATTCTGGAGAGCAGCCTGGTTCGTTGGTGGAAAGATATCAAAAGTGTTGGTCCCTATCGACCTTTGAAACGTTTGCGAAAGAGGTGATCCAGCTGGTGGAGGAGCCTACTTCTTGATGTTGTACGATTATGCGTTGTCTTTTTGGATAGAGAGGGGGTTCGGAGTTTGGGTCATGAAGTGAATATAGCACCAGGGAGTTCAAATTCATGGTTAAATTATCTAGCATAAATCTCGATTGAGTCATTTGAAGCTATGAATACATGGAACTTTCAGGTATCATCGTGATGCGTAGAAAAAGGGTGGAAAATCCCTAGCGAAATTGCAAAGTGGTAAGGGTCGAATTCTTAAACCAAAAAGCCAACCATAAACGCATTAAGCCATCAAGAGAAAACGCCAGAAGAGAGTATAGAGATTCATGGTAATCGTAAAATCGTCGTTCGCTTGTTTCATAATAATTTGGGTCGTTAAATGCTCCAGCATGTGCAGAACTTCCATCACCTAGACGGCTGAGCAAGAAGGACATTCTGTCTCTCCAGGAGGTCCCGTAATTTTTCTTGGGCGGTTATAAGGGATGTTACTTCATGATTACACTTTCCATGGGAACGGCTCACGTTTCCAAGCCAACTGAGGAAGCCTTGCAATTCCGTAAGGACGGAACCCCTTCCAGTATGAGATTTTGGTATATGACCGTTGGAATGCAATATATCATCATAGTCTGGGTCGTCAATTGTTGGGTCGGTCGAAGGCCATGGTCTATCTGGCTCAACCAAGTGGTAGGTCCTATCGGCTTGAGCATCTAAATGTACTTCGGATATGACTGGTTGCGTCATCATTGACTGTCTAGCGCTACCACGCTGGCCATTGCTATCAGTATTATTCTCAAGAGCCCATGGTAAATAGGGTAATTTCCCTTTCTCCACATGGGGTTCATGTGTGGAGGGAATAATATCTTCATATGTAGGTATCGATTCTCTCCGGAACGCCGACCTCTGGGGTTCAGCTTGCTGATGGGTCGTGCTTGCCTCAGCCCATGACTGGGGGATTGAATTTCGGAAATCAAAAAGACCAGTGGGACGATGGATTGGATTCAGGTAGTCGTATGTAGAGGAATAGTGACCATGGCCATCCATGGTGCTGATATCATCACCCATGACAGCGACATTATCGTCTACCAGCCTTTCGCTGCTTGAGCTGGCTTCTTCAACTGTCAGAAGGCCATAATCGCCTGTCCGTACTGGAGCTCTGATCTCCCCCAGTGGTGGTCGATGGCTTTCGTACTCATTTGCAAGACTCAGTTTGCTTCGCCCGCATATATCGGCTATAGTGTCCAGCGTGACTTGGATGTTAGGTTCAATTGCCTGCAATATACCCTCGATGCCGAATTCTTCAACGGGCGGTAGCCGGGCCGGAGGGCGGTTTGTTTGTTGCCGTCCCGTATCTAAGCTTTGCCTCCTCGACATTGCAGAGTTTCCCTCGGTCCCAGCGGAATACGTCCGAACAATAACGGGCTGCGAGGATAGAGAGGATCGGCTTGCAACAGACGGAGTTTGGCGTTGTTTCCGTTGTGGTGGTCTAGCAGCCCCGTGAAGTTGCCGGAGAGCAGTTGTCCTTCGTGCAAGCGTGGGATCGTCCAGGGCAGGATTGAATACCCGGCCGCGGGTTCCGAAGGTGGAAAGAGACTGATTTGCCCATGGCTGAGATAGAGGGAGAGACGAAGACAGATGCTGCTGTATGCTGGACAGGGCAGACGGTCGCTCAGAGCTGGATTCCATCGTATCGTGTCAGGCGCAAGTGATACGTGGAGTATCAGCAGCAGGAGTTTACTTGGCCCGTCAGACTGGGATATTTCAGGCGGTCTTCCACGGCTGCACTGGCATAAGTAAATCGATGTAGCGTGTCAATATGTATGACGAGCCAATGTATAAACTATGCGACTGGACTGCATACGCAGGCTGGCCAGGGATTGGATGTCAGCGGGATAGAGAGGCCGGGATAAAGCTGAAGCTGCATGTCTTCAGCCCCGGTGTCGAGGAAGGGATGTCTCAGGCTTTTACTCGCGATACACCCTCCATGACGCGGGCAGTATGCAGAGTATGCAGAGTATGAGTTGGCCGTTTTCCTGTCGTGATGCGGTTGGCGTGGAGGAGAGTTAATTACTTGCATCTTATATAAACGGTTTATGTGGGGGAGACAGCACGGAAGATCGATGTTCCGCCTATCTCGAGATGTTGGTACTAACAGCTTGCTACGAGAAGACATGAAGGAGTGAAGGAGTTATAATACTGCAGCTGGTGAGAGGAACGTTGCTTAATCATGAGTGGATTCTATGTTCGACCTACCATATCGTATTTACCGCCCTGACTGGAGATATATGGCTAATATCGTATCATCTAGTTCGGCGATTCTGACGGGTCGGACGACGACTTGAACGATGATAATCTTCCCTTTCCTAAGCCGATATCAAGAGCGTCGTTTCTGGCGCCTGACTTTGACGCCTCTACGTTCCTTTCGTCTCTCTCCAATCGCCATCAGTCGTTGGCTGATTTACAGACCGAGCTGCGGGAGCTCAGCGAGTCTTTGAACAAGGAACTCCTGGATCTGGTCAATGAAAATTACCAGGAGTTTCTGTCTCTTGGAGCTGCTTTGAATGGAGGACAGGACAAAATTGAAGAGGTTAGGGCCGGGCTACTCGGATTCCAGCGAAATGTGCAGAGCATAAAAGAACAGTTTGAGTCAAGGAAGAAAGAAATCCGGGAATCCCTCGATGCCAAAAAACAGCTACGGTCGAAGATTGCGATTGGCTACGACCTACTAGATATTGCAGAAAGGGTTGAAATGCTAGAGACAAATCTCATGATCCGCCATGCGAAGGACGTAAATGAAACAGAAGATGGAGCGCAGGCTGAGGACGATGAGAGTGATGGCCTATCAGACGTTATGCTGGGGAGTGAGACAGAAAGTGAAGAGGAAAAAGAAGATCCAGAGAATGAGAGTGGCAGTAAGCCCAGAATATCACTTCGAAGATTGGAGTCCCACATACAGCAATATTTAAGCGTGAAGATAATCGCGGATCGGATAGGGGAGAAACATCCATTCATCGTCAATCATGCGGGCAGAATAGATTCCATCAGATCAGCACTACTCCTGGACTTAAGCACCGCGCTAACTGAGTCGAATAAACTCGGTTCAAAACGAGATGAACGAGTAGCTACGATATTACGCCTGTATGACTCGATTGGGCATCGTGAAGAAGGCTTATTGTGCCTGAAAAGGCTTGAGTCCTAGCTGGCGTTAGAACCTGCCGGCGCCTATGCATTTTGGAGTGAATCTCTTGGAGTTTGGGAGCGAAGGGTAATTTTTTTTAACGAGGAATTATTTCTATGAAACGCCAAAATAGATATACAGACTAATTTACAGCTTTGTTCCGCTAAATCTAACAGCCCGTCAATTCATGCGTAGGTGGAGAAGATTCGCTCTTGAAGTCGCCGTTCAGACTGAAGCCAGGGCCATTGGTCGTGCTCAATACCTAAAGTGTCTGTTAGTTAAGGCCTCGCCGATAGAAGATCTATATGAAAGCCAATATGTGGGATAACTCACAACTTCCGCGATATCCTTGGATATCTGATGCGATATTGCTGCTGCATCTTTCTTGAGCGCAGCGATGAAAGCACTCAAGTTAGTCCTGAGCTCCTCGGGAGAGAATCCCAATTGACCAATTGCCAACTTGACGACACCAGATCGTTCTCTGTAAACGCTACCGGCACGCATATTTCGCACCGTGACAGCAACGTTGTCGACAACAGTACCCATCTTCGTACTGGGCATCAATCCTTTGGGACCCAAAATTCGGCCAAGTCCTGCCTTATTCATGTTCGCTAAACTGGTCGTGTGGCAGATGCAGACGTCGAAGTCGATTTTTCCGGCCTTTATAGCTTCAAAAACTTCATCTTCGCCGACGATATCTGCACCGGCAGCTTTGGCTTCCTTTGCGGCACGGGAGTCTGGCGTAGTTATTACGCAAACTCGTAGATCGGATCGGACTGCGTGTGGAAGGCGGATCTGGTTTCGAATCACCGTACCATCTCGTTTCGTGCGCAGTTTTATGTGAACTTCATATTTCACTGATGTTGTGCTTCGGCCAGCTTCGTAGGCGCGAAGGTATCTGATTGAAATCATTCAAATTAGCATGAAAAATAAGTCTAGGGAGAGCAATAGCTGGTTCGCAGAATTTGCGATTGCCCCCTTCTGATAGTACGTACCTCATGGCATCACACAGGGTGAATTGGATCGCATCTCTCGTATCATACTGCGTATACATCGGCTTCTTCTTTTTGGGCTTGCCATCCTTTGACCTCGCCGTTTTCGATGCGTATCGGTATTGCTGCTGGAGAGGACATATGAACGAAGGACTTGCAACCTGTGGTCGAAGGGACGCTGATAGAACCCCCCTCGAGAGGGGAGTCAAATATCTCTGAGCTGCAGCCATAACGCTCGAATTGCTGTCAATCTCCTCGTTCGTTCGCTTTCATCAAAGCTGGAGGTTTGATGGGCTCAACTTGGATTTCTTTACGGATATACTTTAGTCCGCTCCGAGATCGGATAAAATAAAGCGCGCTTCCGTCACTATATAAAATCCAGCTTTAAGGTCGTAAAGGGGAAGCAAGGATGACATCTTAGGAACGTGCGAGATTCATAAATTGTTCTCCATACCCTTCTATGGATATATAAGGCTAACTGTTTATACATGACTTATTTCATGCTGGTATAGCCTGGGGTATCCTCGGTCTCATGCTATACGTTGTCTAATACAATATAGTTAGTCAACTTTGCCTCAAATTTCAGGGAGAATGTATTTACATCATTGTATAGAATAACCAAATAGATGATCGGTATTCGTCAGATAATAGATTCAAGCCAGAAGATGTGCCTGGTAACTAGATCGGATGATTGGAAATAAGCAGCCTTAGTAACTAAGTTTTAAGGTTTAAATAAACCTTGGAACGCAGCTCGGAGAAACTTTGTAGTTAAGCGCCCTTGCTTAGTAACGACATCCTAACCGCCCTTAAAACAGCAATCCCTCAGATTCTCTGTGTGTTGGGTACAACTCGTTCCTATAACTAGCCAATAGTTCCCATTGGACACTATACATTTTTATCCCTTGTGGTCCAACGGGTGATGAGCCTTGTGTTGGTGTATCGGGACCGGCACTACCCCCTCGGGGGCTTGTTCAATCGTTCCCTGCGTTCTCTGTGCCAGTTCCTGGACTTTAAGCGAAGTCCAGCGAAGGCCTACCCGTGAGATACGGCGTGATAACGGCACCGGATTCAAACACTATCTCACGTAGATAAAGCTCAAAGGCGCGAATGTTCAATTAACACCACTTCGCTCACCCAAATTAAACGGAGTCTCCGAACGCCATACGACTCACATTAAATACTCGACAACGTTAATTTACCAAGATCTCTAGCCTTGGGCGACGGAGACCGCATGCTACATCTTAAATCGCCTACCGAGCGACGCTGACAGTCACAAGTCACCTTACGAACAAGCATATGGGTCGAAGCCCGCACTTACATATCTTCAGTGCTTCGACTATGTGGTATACGCATATATCCACAAGGACGACCCGATCGTATCTAATCTCAAAAGCTGCACCCCCGCGCCTAAATTGGACGTCTCGTGGGCTATATCGGTAACGATCAAATCTACAAAATTTGGATCCCTGGGACTGGCAAGATAATACAAACAAAAGACGTGGCATTCCTAGAGGAAACAAGGCCTCCACCCTTTCCAGCAAGAGATCAAGCTCCGCCACTATGCGCAGGCCCAACAGCGGCTCCGCCGAATGTCCAGGAACCAGCACGGAGAATACTCATTTTTTTGTCCCCTGTGGTCCAACGGGTTATGTGACCTTGGTGCGTGTCGGTATTCCCGTATAGGGCACAAAATAAGGCGAGCAGATGAAGAGATAGTCGATTGATCAATCATTTACGAACCACTTCAAACTAATAATCTAAGAAATCCGTCTCAAAAAGAGGACATCCAAGGAATCACGCAAAAAAAAAAATAAGCAATGCAATTAGCGGGCTGATCAGCAAGCCAAGCCAGTAACAAACGTCCCTAGTTACTGCGCTGCAAGGAACAGGGCTGTGATTTGCATTCACCCCTTTTTTCAGAGTTACTCATTTAAAGAGGATGAAATGTCGCTATGCTAACTTGAAGTACTCCGTAGTTCTGTATTTAAATTTGTTTAAACAGGGTAGACTACGGAGTATCTTTTCCACTTATTTCTTCTAGGAAAATTATAGAAATACGCCAGCTCTGACACTGATTTTCTAATTAACGCTTTAGCTACGCGCTTCTTTCGTGTTGAGATGGGTGCGATTGCTCGGTCACTGCTGGCCTGTTCCCTTGTTGGGAGTACGCTTGCTTCGTACTCTCTAGTCGATAACTTCGAGGGCTCGACATTTTTCTCCAATTTCGACTTTTTCACTGGCGGCGATCCCACTCATGGATTTGTCAAATATGTGGGCGAGGACGAAGCGCGATCTGCAGGTTTAATTGCTATCGAATCGTCTTATGATGGCAGAGAGGTGGTTCGGATGGGCGCTGACCACGAGAACGTTACTCCCGATGGCCGACCAAGCGTGAGGATAACGAGCAAGAAGAGCTATAACCAGGGCCTCTGGATCATCGACTTTGCGCATGTTCCTGGGGCTGCGTGTGGAAGCTGGCCGGCATATTGGTTGCTGGGACCGAATTGGCCGACCAGTGGAGAAATCGACATCTACGAGGGTATCAATCTCGATTTCTCCAACACGATGACTCTTCATACCGGCCAGAATTGCACGATATCGAAGGAGTCCGAGTTCACTGGAAGACTGACTACACCATACTGCGATCAGAACGCTCCTCCGCCTGAAGGTGGTAATGGCTGCACCATCAAAGCAGATGATCCGGCAAGTTACAGCAGCGGCCTCAACATCGCAGGAGGAGGTGTCTACGCAACCGAATGGACCACCGAAGATATCAAGATCTGGTTTTTTCCTTTGATTCTCGGCATTCCAAGCGATATCCAGGAGGGAAACCCGGATCCGTCAAACTGGGGTACGCCTGTTGCTCGCTTCGCTGGTAACTGCAGCTTCACCGAGAGCTTTAAAGACATGCAAATCATATTCGACATCACCTTTTGCGGCGACTGGGCTGGGAAGCCAGAGATTTGGGAAGATTCTCCGTGTTCTGCGATAACGTCGGAGTGTAAAACGTTCGTTGAAAATTTCCCCGGCGCATTCGAAGAGACATATTGGTCTATCAATTCTTTAAAGGTATATCAGCGGGGGACGCAAATGACAGGCCAGCAGCTGCATAGTCAAAAACATCGTAGACGAGGACATCGTCACCAGCACTCGCCTCAGAGAGAAGGCCTCTAGATGCAGGTTCATTTGGTTGGATGCCATCACACATATTTATGCATACCTTTCGAACTTAGCCAGCTCATCATTCATGTATTTATATAAAATATAATATATTTTAATTCATGTCTATCTCGAGGATTTTTAACCCAACTGGAATATGTATAACTAATCCAAAGCCTCTAGAATAACATGTGAAATATAGACAAACTGCAACGACCAACTAATACATTATACGATTCAACCACATCTGATTTCGTCCTCGCTACGATGATGGAGCAGGCCCCAGGAATTAGGCTTGGAGATTCCGCTGGTAGAAGCCTCCGGGATGGACCTAATTTTGAGCCACGATATCGACGGAAAAACGGAAGATAGGAAAAGACCGTCGGCCCCAATTTTAACCACGGGATCTGCGCGCGGGGTGTATATATATGCTCTGCTATACGGGTCGACATGGGCGTTCTTCTTCACCCAACTTGTTGTTGGACTGGAAGCGAGTTCTACGTCGATACAACTCGCGCGTACACGAAGTAGTTAAGATCAGCGATGTCGAACAGCTCTCGTGTTGCATTGCCTTACAGTGCGCCTTTGCCTCGTGTCTCCCCTGAACATATTGGTGGCGGCAGGGATGAAAAGTATGAGGTCGTCGTTGTCGGTGTAGGTTGCTCCCCATTCCAGGAAACATACATATAGTCGCGTTCTGATATGACCGTAATGGTGAACAGGCTGGCCCGGCTGGGTTCATGCTTGAATTACTACTTGCTCGCCATGGCCTGAGTGACCAGTCTTTGCTATGTATCGATTTGAAGCCGAGCAGGGTAAGGTGTGGCCAAGCGGATGGGCTACAGCCCCGGACGCTGGAGGTGCTGAAGACTATGGGCTTGGTGGACACGATCTTGCAGGATGGATGCCAGCTGTGGGAGATGGCGATCTGGAAACCATCTCAAGATCAATTTATAGAGAGATTTTCTATCACTGAAAATATAACAGGTCCCGCGAGATACCAGCGGGCGGTTACGATCAGTCAAGGCATCATTGAGCAGATCTTTGAGGAGGACTTGTCCCATTACTCTCAGAGAGGAATTCAACGAAACAGCAAGCTTGTTAACGTATCGATTGACGAACTCGGTGACCCAGATTTTCCCGTCGTCGCGACGGTTGAAACAGATGGAATACCACGCACGGTGCGGACAAAATTTCTCGTGGGAGCAGATGGTGCACACTCAACGGTCCGGAAATGCATAGGCGTTCATCTCAATGGAGAATCTATTGATGATTTCTGGGGAGTGATAGATTTCGTGGCTGATACCAATTTCCCTGACATTCGAAGATTTGGTCGAATACATTCCCATAAAGGTACTATCATGGTAATTCCGCGCGAACAGACCGTGAACGGTGATTATTTGACACGTCTATACGTCCAGATGCCAGTGCAGGAGCTACCAGAAGCTGATAGCCGACCTGTTTCTCAAAATGGTACTGACTCAACCAGGAAGTCTCGAAAGAGTCAAATTACGTTGGAAGATATTTTCCAACAAGTCTCTAAAATATTTGAGCCCTATCATATCAAGGCTAAGGTGGAAGGGGTTATTGATTGGTGGACTGTATATCAAATTGGTCAGCGAGTAGCGGATCGATTTACTATCAAAGACTCCAAGGGAATGAACCGGATTTTCCTCACAGGAGATTGTACGTTGGTTCGCTTTAATCGTTCCCCAGATTCCGTTCCGTATGCTAATTATGAGAATATATAGCCTGCCATACCCATAGCCCCAAGGTTAGTCCACTGCATATTCTAGTCAAGTGAAGTCCAACCTACTAATAACCCATAAGGCGGGACAAGGTATGAATATATCTATGATGGACGCTCACAATCTTTCCTGGAAACTTGCCTACACTGTTCAAGGGCTTTCTCTAGATCCTGCTGAAATCGGTGGCTCTAACACCCTACTGGATACATACGAATTTGAGCGCTATAAAATCGCCCAGCAGCTAATTGACTTCGATAAGGAGTATTCTTCGGCATTCTCGAAAAGAGTGAGGGTCGGGGAAGAGAAGGATGCAGAAGCCACGTTAAAGCAGGACCTGGAGCTATATGAAGAGTCGATCTCTTTTGCTAGCGGTTGTGGAGTTGAATACCCCGAGAGTAATATTGTTAATAGAGCATTCCCTGATACGCATGGAGATCCAATTCACGGTACAAACTTTTTTCACGGAATTTTGAGGCCAGGAAGACGATTACTAAACGTGAAGGTGAGGAGGTTTGCGGATGGATTTGATCGAGACTTGCAAGACGGTGAGTCAAAGTGATGGGAATTGTCCATGCAATATACAGTGGGCATTATATTTTACTAACAAATCGAGCAGACTTCCTCTCTAATGGTCGTTTCCGCATCCTCTGCTTAACTTCGACTGATCTCTTGGATCCTAATGGAATCTCTGCCCAGACCTTGCGTTCAATCTACTCTACTATTCTTCCGCTATTCCCAGCGTCAATTATCGAAACTGTGGTGATACACCCCCGTCTTCCACGCGCATTTGAATGGACTTGCCTCCCTGAAGAGTTAAAGCGAATGTCAGAGATGAGACTCTATAGTGGCTATGAACCTCAGGACGCTTATGAAATATATGGCGTAAAACCAGCCGATGGTGCACTCGCAGTTGTGAGACCAGATGGCTATGTTGGAGTGGTTTCAAGAACTGATGATATCCAGCGTTTAAGAGGTTATTTGGAAGGGTGCATAAGAAAACTTTGAAAAATGCACAAGAATATTCATGATATATGGGAGACGACTTTTGTAAGGTGTAAGGGAGAAGAGGAAACATCCCCTTTCTTAATATATAGTACGTATTTCAAAATTTGGACAGCACAAATTCAATATAATTTTGATATTCCTTTCAATATATATACACGCTTGGGAATAAATGGATATTTAAAGACTGGAATATAAAACATATTATGCGGTCTGGGTCTGCATTATTTTGAGCTCCTTACTGGCTAGCTGGAATGCCGACGACTCTTTCCACTGCTTCATCGTTGCTGATGTCTTGGGGAACCACACCCGCAGTCTTCAACACATTGACTACATTCTCAATCGTATTTTTATCAACTCCTCTTGTGCTTCCTTTTACAAAACGGACATCCCTGAGCCATTCCCTTGCGTCGGACTCTGAATAAGTGCAGCCAAACTCGCCGGTTCCTAGCTGCTGAATAACTTTATCTGTCTCCGCTTGGAAAGCAGCAATACCAGAATCTAGGAGGGCGAATAGCTGTGTGAGTCGGGCATCTGACTCCGGTGAAGGGAACGTAGAGGTTGAAGCTGCAATCTGCCATGAAGGCCATGGGGTAAATATCTCTCCAATCTTTTTAAGGGGCGGTGTTGGAAAAGCCGGAGTTGGCTCAAAGAACGGCTTTGTAGTGAATTGCTCCCACATGAAGAAATCTGCTGATGGGTTCGGTTGAGCCTCTGGTTCTTGAGGGTTGTAGCCTGTTACTCCGTCTCGTAGGGAAGGGAACGGCCCTAGGATGGCTGGAGTAAGGGGTGATGAGGACGGCCAGTTCTGCTGCTGGGCGAGAACAAAGGACATAATATGAGAGCCACTACAACCTCATTAGCGGAAGGTAGCTTATATATGTTATTTCGATACGGGAGAAACGAACCTCCCCAAGCGAGATACTCCAACCCGTCCTCCCTTTAGGTCGCTGACACTATGAATGTCACCCCGTTCGTGGCCAGTCACAATTGCCCACCTCAAGGGAGTTTCAACCCATTGACCAGCAATTTTATATCCACCGTCCTTCTCACCCTTTTCTAGCTGTGGTTTGCCTACTAGACCGGCAACCCAGCCTTCGGTCAAGCCAATTGCGATGTCTATTTCATTTTGCCGTAACGATGTTATCATATGCCCGGTTCCGGAAGGGAAGGGCGTTAGCGAGATTTTGAACGGCAAGGAAGAAGCCTCTGGACTACGGGCGGCGAGATGAAGAGGAGCCAGGTAGTGTTCTTTATGGTAGATTATCCGTCAGCAACTGTGTATCTTCATGGAGCGATGGAGTTCTAGCGGGGTAGATCGCGGGGTGCCATAAATACCAGGAACATAGCCAATTCTGATAGTGCTGGCTTCCGGTGCCATGGTTATAGATTTTTTAGTTTTATCTTGCCGAGTGAAGGATGGGTTGCCCTTGACTATGTGTATATATGGATGGTGAGGTGTGGTAAATGGTTACGAGTTGGTGGGGGTCAAGAAGTCACCATCGGAGTTAATACACCACCGGAGTTATTCATTACCGGGGCTATTCTTCACCAGAGTTGTCTAGTTTAAACTTGCTGTCAATATCGAACGTACACTGTTTAATACTGTTTATAGCTTCACTCTGATATGTTCCTCGTTCTTGTGTCAAATTCTTGAAATTCCCAGACCAAGTGCTATGTTCACAGAGCTGGCCACGAATAATTTGGTCACTGGATAAGAAGGGTCTCTAGGATCCCAATTCAAGCCTATTTTTAGTGTCTAGTTTCTTTGTTAATATCTCAAGGGTACGATAAAGCAAGGTATACTAGCTAAGTCTTTTGCTGGAGGATTTTATCCCTCCATGCTGGTAAATGGGTATACACTACCCACGAACTTAGGAGAATTTGTACGACAGTTACGTGATATGAGTTTGCTATCTCGCATCCACCTATCGCCCCACGTAAGCATTAGAATTTGTTGAAGAGGAAGTGGACATCCATAAAGACCACTCTCCTAGAAATGATGTCACTGTCAAATCGCGGCTAGGATGGTTTCCACTCTAGACTGAGTGAAAAAGGATCCGACAGTTAAAACCGCTGTCGATACTCTGATCATCAAAAAACTCCACATCTTTCTTGATATTTTCCCCACTAGTCATTCTTTTTGAATGTGTCGATTTGCAGCATGGTAGAAAATAATGGTGGGATACACGAGCCCACTATCCGCTGGATAGAGAGTTACCCAGCCCAAGAGACAAGTTCCCGGGATGGACAAAGAGTTGAAATAAATGGTTCTAAAATGTGGAGTTGAATGTCGTTCAATATCTGGGACTCCTGGCTGGCATCAAAGCTCCCGCTCCGCGTTACCCGCCTCCCTGCTTGGGTTGGTACTTGAGGCTGGTACTGCCTAAAGCCAAACAGAGCCAAAGCACAGTTATAAGACGAGGCCACATAAATCAGTCGTTGTAATATGATATGAAACACCATATAAACAATATATCCTCTGACTTGATGAAAACGATCTCTACTCAAGTTGACCAAATGTAATAAAGCGCAAACAGAGGAGAACGACAAATGGGATACCTGTCGACTATCCGCTTTGCATGAAATTGCCCCATATTACTGATGGATTGGACTGGAAGTGAATGAAAAGAACTGCTACACAATGAAATGTAATAATGGTCCATAATGTTGTTAAAAGAAAGAGTTGCCGCGGCATCTTGGCATATAAACACGTGACCAATCCTTGGCGCCTACCTTAATATCACTGCTTCTTATGTCCTTGAGCTTCCACTTCCTCGAGCTTCATATATCAAAAAACTGTCTCTTTTATCCAAGACTAAAGATGGATAGCCCTATCCGCGATAATCTCTGCTATATTATTAAACATTAGTTGACTGGAGTGTCTTGGACGATGCCCAGGCCTACAGAAACTTTAAGGGTACAGCTCGACCTCATTTCATACCAGTGGTTTCACGAGGCATGAAGCCGTTTTGCCCGTTCGGTTCAACAGAAATCCGACTACCCACTTACAGAGGAACCGCTGGAGATGTCGCGCGACGGGGTCTTTGATAGCGCGAAAGGCATTGCCACAATTAAGCGCATTTGCTCACCGACTTAAATGGAGAAAGATATCTGCAAATATGGCCGACGGGCCTGGTATTGGAGGGTGAATGGCCTAGAAAGTACTGAACTTATCAGGGTATATATTTCCTTCTGAAAATTAAGGCCTATGCTTCAATGAATACGCGGCCTGGGCAGTGTTAAAATGTCCTTTTCTCATTATGATACTCATGGAGAATTAATATTACATTTAAGTATTTTATGCGCAGTGCGGAGGGCGCTGGTAGCGTCTTCTTCCGTGATGTGGGTTTGCCGTTATCGTTGTTCTAGCCAATGCGGATAGAAAATACGGATAGTGTTGTCAATTTCGACAGCTATATAGTATGGCCGGTTTGCTGCATGAAGGAATGCCTTCGTCTGTTTTATTCCATCATTCAATCAGTTCGATATTTCCAGGTATATTTCTCGGATAGCCTCTATAACTAGTTACCTATAACTAGTTATTTGCTACTGCGCGCGACCATAACCATGGTCTTAGAAAGACTCTCCGTCCTGGCCAGCATCAGCGCTGTCTTTACTGCCTTGGTAGGCTATTTTGTTATTCGGTGTATTTACGACCTCTTCTTTCACCCGCTGCGGAAATTCCCCGGACCCAAACTGGCAGCCATAGGGTCCTTCTACGAATTTTATTACGATGTCGTCAAAGATGGCAAATATCTATGGGAAATTAAGAGGATGCATCAAAAATATGGTAAACTAACCAAGTCATATAATTATTTTGAGATATAATCACTAAAACGTCCCTTTGAAGGCCCGATTATTCGCATCAACTCCAAATCTCTACATATTCATGATCCCGAATACTACTCCACAGTCTACGCTGGAGGAGGCCGCAAAGTCAATAAAGAAATATCGAGTGTAGCGGGCTACACTTTCCCTCAATCTTCTCTCTCTACCATTGACCATGATCTCCACCGTAGGCGCCGGGCAGTTATAGGTGCCTACTTTTCCCAGCGTGCCATCATGGATATGGAGCCTTTTATTAATGAGAGACTTGATACACTATGCTCCAGCCTTGAAAAAACTATCGGCCGAGGGGTGCATGCTGATTTGACTTGGGCTACTGCCGCCTTCACCGCCGACGTGATCTTGTATCATTTCTACGGGTCGCATCCGAACTTCCTGGACAACAAAGACTTCAAATATGACCTGAAAGATGCACTGACAGGATTATTTGATTTTTACCACCTCACACGGTTTTTGCCTTTCCCCCCTACGACAATCAAGAATCTCCCTTTATGGATTCTCAGATTGCTCGATAGGAGACTTCTTCTAGCTGTAGAAGGGCGGAATAACAACAAGAAAATGATACTGAGTTACCTCAATAGTACTAACCATACAAAAGAGGAGACCAAGATGAGATCTAGGTCGGTGATTGTGAGTGCATTGACAGACTCCAGTGTGCCGGCTAAGGAGAGGACACTTGATCGTCTTCTTGATGAGGGAGAAACGATCATATTTGCTGGGATGGATACTAGCTCTAGGGTGATCTGTTTTGCTATGTTCCACCTTCTCAACAACAAGAGGCTACTACTGAGGCTGCGGCAGGAATTGGACTCCCGGAAGAAGTCGGCTGATCAGTGGACTACGGCAGAGCTTAAAGCATTACCCTATATGGTGAGTTTATAACTATTATCTTATCCTAGTGGTCGGATTGCTAACGTAGCTCGTAGGAAGGTGTTGTCCAAGAAGGCCTTCGGCTTTCATACGGTCTAGTAGTCCGCGTTCCAAGAATTTCAACCCAAGAACCTCTACAATACAAGGGTTATACGATACCACCGGGGGTAAGTTATCTCTATATTTTGACTACCTACTCCTGTTAACATCTGTTAGACCCCAGTCAGTCTGTCATCCTACCTAATGCATAACGATCCATCAGTGTTCCCGAACCCGCATATCTTCGACCCAGAAAGGTGGATTAAAGCTTCACAGGAAGGCATCAATCTTGATAAGTACATGGTCAGCTTTACTAAGGGTAGTAGGGCCTGCATTGGTATAAAGTAAGAGCTCTTCTATTCAATTTAGCTGTTCGAAAAATTATGGCTGATGGATCAATTACCTCCAAGTTTGGCATATGCCCAAATCTATCTTGGTATTGCAGCAATTGCATCACGCCTGGACATGGAACTCTTTGACACAACACAGCAGGATATAGAGGTGTATCATGCCAGGGGACCCGCGTACCCCAAGGAAGGCCCCGGTTCAGTAAAGGTGAAAGTGACGGGTGTGTGTGAGGCCAAGCACCTCATTTAAATATAAATATCGGTTCGGATTTTCGCACTGCCATTAGCCATTAAATCCCCCTTAAAGTCAAATAAATCGTTATATGAATTATTCTCCAACTCTAGTATCAGAAATGGTTGCTTTACTCACACGCAGTTATGTATATAGATTAGGAAATTAGGTAATTACTTAGCGTTTCATAAGCCTCCCTGGTCTGTACTCGAGATATTTCAAATTGATAGTAAAAGTGAGCCTATATCAGTTGCTATGGATGTGTTGGTCAAGTTGGTAGACTATCCCAAAATTTCGCCATGATTGGCAGAATCGTAGAATTATAATTACACTCGTATATATAAACAAGGAAAATAGTATGAGCTCTAAAACGAGTCACCTGTTGATCTTCATGACATCTGCATATCCGTTGACTTCATACCCCATCGATTAAGAGATGGTAGATCATTCGCTGTCCATGAACGCCAGTCCCCGAACCTGTAAAATTGAAACCCTAGATAAATGTCGCAAAAGCACTGAAAAACTCCACACACCCTAAATGACAGCGGAATTGAACCGCCGCTGAAAAAGAAAAAGCTCATCTTCATAGCATCTCCAAGTAGCCAGGATACGAGGACGGAAGGACGGAAGCCTTTGCAAGACCGTGAACGCTGGTTGGAGATGATCTGAGGAATTGGGAGGAAAGCTTCGACGCCGAGCCCGCTGAAGCCTAGTAGTTCTATGTATGCGGGAGAATTTGAGAGTGGAGGGAGGACGACATGGATGACTAGAAGGGACAAAGTGAAATATGCGAGGAAGATCCAGTATCTATAATCAAAAATAATTAGAATGATACGAACGTCGAGTGTTGTGAGAAAAATGTAATAGAGGGGTTGAAAATGAATGGTAGAATAACATACGGGCGAGCTGACTTCCACTGCCAGAACCCATACGGCCGAACAAATCCGCCCCCAGACCCGGATCCTTGCCCGCTAAATGGTGTATGCTCGACGCCAGACAACGGTCGATTATCCAGGGCAACTTTCAGTAAGATCACTTGCACACCGATCATCGAGATCGCCTGTACTAATAAAGGGACTGAGTAATATGCCCCAAACCAGTAGAATATCCTATATGGAAATGACCGTTAATTGGTGTCCTTCCGCAGTTTACCGAGCCCGGAGAGTTGTTGAATAGGTTTGAACGTAATAGAATCAGACGCACTTGAAAATAGAAGCCACCAGCATGATAAGTGGTATATCCAACGAAAATCCACCCGAGGTTTTTGTCTTATGTATGCTCATAATCTGGTCGGAATATGACAGGACCGGGGAGAGGACAAGACTAGTGGCATCAGACTGTTAGCAGCGAACAATAGATAATGCCATGGAATCGTGCGACCAGAAAATAGTAGAGGACATACAGCGGCGGAGCCCCATAGTCGAGCAAGAAGGTAAGTAACCACATATCTACCCGATATAGGTATCCAGACCCTGATAGCTGTATATATAACCCCTTCCTTGCGTTGACGCCGACCCGCTTCTCGATATTCGTTCAGCCGCAACAGTGACTGACGCTCACACAGTCCAGCTCATTCTTTGCGTACGATCGGGGGAATATAGATAGCTCGATCGCGGTGCCGGGAGTATGGTCGGACAATCCCTGTCAATGTCTCGGTCGTTGCGGGTATGAGCGTCGATGATGTGGGGAGAGATTTAAGCTGGCAGGCGAGTCCAATGCGCGATAGGACTGTCCAGGGTAAAAAGCAAGTTCCGTATAGATCGGGGAAGCCTGGTAGCGTTGGTTTTCATGAAACCTGCCTGCACCTTCAAGCTCGGGGTAAGGCTGTGTCCCTGGCGAGAAAAGTTTGAGATGGATTATCTATGTTCCTCGGCAAACTTGGCGATCAAAGCACCAACGTCATACTTCGTAAGCTCGTGGAGCTCAGGGGCGACATAAATGATAGGCAAAGACTCTCTCATAAGGCCGGCGTTGTTGTTGTCATAGATGTTGTAGATGCTAATCATGAGGAGGTTGCAATTTATTGGTCAAGGTTGCCAAATTAAGGGTGCAGAAAACCAACTGTATTTACCAATCCGAAACACAATCAAACGCTACATATATAGGGTTCTTAAACTCAAGAACCAGCCACAAACTTCTATCCAAATATTTAAACAGCATATATCGCTAACGAATTTGCGGAGAGGCTGTTTAAGCAAAGTCGATCTTCCATGATTTGGTGATCGACACTCCTGGTTTCTTAACAACCGCATACGCTGCCTTGCCGTCCTCCGCAGCATGCCATTCCAAGCTGGCTTTAACACCAGACTTTGCACCATCTTCCAAAACCAACACGGTGTCTCTACTCTTCCAGTCGCTGGGGATGCCAACAAGAATTATCTTCTCAACGAGCACTTCGGTCATCTTCTTTAGATATTGGCTCGTTTTGGCGCCACTGGTGGCTTGGTCGCTAGAGGACAGAGAGGTGCCTGAGAAGGAGAATTGGCGGTGGATGTATGCTCCTTGCTGGTAATCAAATGTTTCACCGTCATCAACGTATAATTCACCCTCTGCTTGGCCCTTGCTGTCTAGGACAACGACAAGCGTGTATGGATCGTACTTCATCAATCCGCTGCTTCGACGCGGTCTATCCTTTCTTGGGATGATATGGCCACCCTGCATTAGTATCGGGATCTTCTCTAGAGGGGCATTGACAGTGTGCTTCTTTCTGGCTCCTTGGTATATGGCGAAATCAAAGTAGTCATAGTACTTCTCCTCATCGGAGATGTAAATATCAACGCTTGTAGCGCCTTCAGTGACAACGGGCTTCACCAGAAGTCCTGTACGGCCGAGATAGAGCTGGTCATCGATGGCAAAGCCTTGCTCGTCGGATGGATGTACATAATATTGTGGTCGGACAATCGGAGAACCGTTGACGGAGGCACGATGGAACTCAGTATACCAGGCGGGCAAAAGTTGGTATCGGACTCGAATAGCCTGTGCAATTATATCCCGGTATGGTTCGCCGACCATATATGGCTCTCTTCTGCGGGTGTCGATGTGTGCATGGGCACGGAAGAATGGGTAGAAGGCACCTGCCTGGTACCATCTAGCGAGAAGTTCTTTGCTTGGGTTTCCGAAGAACCCTCCAACGTCTGCTCCGGCGAAGGGGAAACCGGCAATTCCGTTGTTAAGAACCATAGGGAACGAAGCCGCCAAGTGTTCCCAGTTTGCCTGGTTGTCTCCAGTCCACATAGCGCCCATTCGTTGCGATCCAGCGTAGAAAGAGCGAGTAAGAACAAAGGGACGTCTGATCTCTCCCTTCTTGCGCTCAATGAGCGCGTTGTATGTGGCATTGACGAACGTCAGTCCGTTAATGTTGTGGACGTCACGATGTTCCCAGTTACCGTGGTGGATGTTGTCCTTTGGCATGGTTGTCTCAGGTCCGTTGAAGACAGAGGGCTCATTCATATCGTTCCAAAGCCACGAGTTGGAAGCAGTTCCCTTGAAGCTGTCATATTTGAAGAGACCGACCCACCAATCAATGGCGGCTGGCTTGAAGCAGTCCACCCAGTGAGATGAGCCAGGCCAGCACCATCCCTCGTAAATACTTCCATCTTTGTTCAGAACAGCTAGTTCTTTCTTCTTCATTTCATCAACAATGGGATAATTAGCCTCATTTTTAATATGGGGGTCGATGATATACACAAGCTTGCGTTCGGACGCATCAAGCTGCTTCTGCATTCCAATCGGGTCAGGGAAGGTGTGAGGATCCCAAGTGAAGTATTTCTTCCCGTCGGTGTATTCAATGTCAAGCCAGATGATATCGTATGGTATTTGGTACATGTCAAACTTGCGGTCAACGTCTTTCACATCCTCATCAGTGACGTAGTTCCAGCGACATTGGTGGTACGCGATGGCGAACTGTTGTGGAAGCTGCGTGAAGCCGGTAAGTTCTCCGTATGTCTTGGAGATCGCATCAGGCGTTGGGCCCAGGAAAACAAAGACGTCAAACTGTCCACTTTCCGAGAACCAATGGGTCTCCGTGGAGGTCGATGCTTCTACACCAAGAGACATGGGGTTGGGAGAGGTTGTGGTCTTGATAATATCGACCCAGGTTTCCGCGGCATTTAGCCAGAAGACTCCAACTGTAGAATCTTTACGGTGAGCCTGCATAAATGGAATTGATCCATAGAGCGTCATTGGGCTGCTCAGCTCATATTCGAACACATCCGAGTTGTACATTCGGTATGGCTCAGTGTGCTGTCCCTCGCCGCCCCTTTTTATCAATCAGTAACTTGCAATGGCCAAGTGCGTGTCGTAGATTAGACTTACCTCGTTTGTTTCAGGGACATGGAGTCAGCGTGCTCCGGGATTCCAAAAACATGCTCGTAACCAGGGAAGCTGATATCAAGACCCACGCTCTCTGGCCCTCTTGGTTTAGAATCCGTGTTTCCTCCAAATGACTCGTCCCACCAGGTGCTGTCGTCTACGCCGCCGGTCTTGGACTCGGATTCAGATTCGGGTGTTTCGTCTCTTGGCCTCCATTCCTCTATGTTGAGAAGACCCTTGGAGTTAAGCTGGATCTGGGTCTGGCCATCCCTCTGGAAGTAGACTTCAAAGGGAGAATGCTTAATGACAGCTTCGAATTTCTTCTCTGGGCCATACTGGACCTTGCTGGTTCCCGAGGCCTTGTCGGTGCTGAATTCAGCCTCCGAGCTGAGCTTCATGTCACCGGTGATCGCCCATTTAGAGGCCTCGTTATATCGTTCCTTCCTAACAATACTGTCACGACGTAATTTAATGTCTCCCTTCACTCGGCGTTCCTCGTCGATTGTGATGCGTGCAACACCGGATTCCAAGAACGATGCCACCAGGGGGAACCGAACTTTCTCATTATCCCCCACAGTCTTGATGACAGTTCCAAGCAATTGGCCATTCGAGAACGTTAAAGAGCCGGCTTCAAGGTCGAAAGGGGAGGTCCATGCCGACGCCTGGCTGGCTGCGTTGTCTGCATAGTTTCGGTTGCGTTGGCAGAAGCCAGACTGCGAGCACGTCTTGAAATTTTCGTGTTTAACCATGACTAGATTATCGTACGTTAGACAGAGGCCACCATTGCAATGATACAAAGCACCGGCTTACCTGCTGGGACGGCGAAAAACGACACGATGGTGATGATCAACAATGACGGTGACCATCGTGGATGGCTTGCCCGGGACGGCGCCATGTCTGAAGTACGCAAATGAAACAGTAGAATGCTTATCGTAGAACCATTGGGGTTGCTAGACACTCCAACCTGCAGCTTCTCGCGGTGTCTTGAAGCTGTCTGCTGTTGTGTGTATATACAAAGCTGGTCTGAGGTTTGAAGATGCCACGGGTAAAAGCAGCCAGGGCGAGCATGCAGGTCTTGGCACGGGAACCACCGCTTTTTCTGCCCCTCCAAAAGCCCGCACATAAAAACGACTTCCTCCTCCCTCCTCCGTCTACAACTCCAATTGACACATACCACCACATAACAGCTATCTAGTTCTCGTCTCACGACCGCTCAAGATGTCTACCGAACAAACGTAAGTGCCACTTGGCCCCCCCAGCTGTCCACGTAGACGTCGAACAGGTGCTTACTGCTATACTAGTTTCATCGCTATCAAGCCCGATGGTGTCCAGGTATGGCCTGCATTGTATCACCTTTCACGCTTCAGCAGTCTGTGATGCTGTACTCTGGAAGCAGAAGCTGACCTCTGAGCTTCCAGCGTGGTCTCGTTGGCCCAATCATCTCCCGATTTGAGGCCCGCGGGTGAGTTGTTTCCATTACCCCTCCTATACAGCCAAATCCTGATCGAACGGCCTCTGCTAGATTCAAACTCGCTGCCATCAAGCTCGTCACTCCCTCCAAGGAGCACCTCGAGACTCACTATGCTGATCTCTCCAACAAGCCTTTCTTCAAGGGACTCGTGACCTGTTAGTTGGCCCTCGTTCCCTTCTGCTATAGAGGTATCTTGAAGCTCTTGCTAACACCTGTCCAGACATGCTCAGCGGACCAATCTGCGCCATGGTCTGGGAAGGCCGTGATGCCGTCAAGACCGGCCGTGGTATGTGATCCCAATATTTTCTTTGATAAAATGAGAATTGGACGTCTAACAACGTTCTCTCCAGTCATCCTCGGTGCCACCAACCCTCTCGACTCTGCCCCTGGCACCATCCGTGGCGACTACGCCATTGTGAGTTGGAATCCTATCCTAGCTCCCGGAGGCATGTTTCCTAGAAAAAAACTAACCCGTTCTTCAGGATGTCGGCCGCAACGTCTGCCACGGTTCCGACAGCGTCGAGAACGCCAAGAAGGAAATCGCTCTCTGGTTCAAGGAGGGTGAGGTCCTCCAGTACAAGCACAGCCAATTCGACTGGATCTACGAGAAGCCATAAATGGACGACGTTAGGGATAGCTCCTTTTGTCAAGCATAATGGAAGGGGGAACGACTTGATGAGACCAAAAAAAAATAAACCCTTCTTTAAGGAAAGACTAGATTGATCGATTCTATACCAATCTTGCTGTCTTGAGATGTGCAAATATTTGGAGAATAAAAGCATCAAATCTATCTTCGTTTATATGCAGTTGTCACACGCGTAACGGCCTGGCCTAAGGGTCCGATAACGGTCCTTGCAAACCAGGGGGTGGCCCATACGCTCCACGCAATCCTTACTGGTAGTAAAGCCTTCGTAATCGCGTATGCCGTTGCAAACTCCAGTATCAACCGCAGTCCTTGGTTATCCTTGGCGGCAAGTTCAGCAGCGCTGTCCTCGCTGTGTCCTAATTTCTCGTTCGTAGTTGCTGGCCCGCCGACTGAGGTAGGTGTATCCTCAGCATCCTCCTGAACCCATCCTCGCTTTCGAAGCCATTTTCCAAACTTCCTGACTCCTTCATCCACTGACGAGGTGCCATCGGCATTTCCTAGGGACGGCAGCCATCCGCCATAATGGAAGACTCCAACGAGGCCAAAGAGAGGTAGAATAGCTGTTAATTCGTGCAGTATCAGGAAGGAGGTTATATGTGTGACCGGTGCATTGAAAAGGGGCGTTGTGTATGACCGAAGGAACTTTGGGAGACGGTTGTTGAAGGACTGGAGCCTTGCGCGCATTCGAGAGGAGGACGGCTGTTCGGAGTGGATTTGACGGCGTAGGACAGGGCGGAATATGGAACGGTAATTATGAATATAAGAAGAAAAGGAGGTATAAGTCCTTGAGCTTGCGTTCCATCTGGCGGCTGAGAGAACCATCTCCGAGTCAATTCCCGGATGGCGGACTGGTAAACAGAGAAAGTATGGTATATTTCCGGGTAAAGATGGATCTCATAGCATTATGAGCAAATCTCGACTCCCCCAGCAGGCTTTTGAGGCTGACCAGAACGTATATCCCGACTATACCGGGACCGTACTTCGCATGAAGTGCAATCGTCAAAGACTCAGAGCTTGCCTCGGTTCGCTGGTCAGTTACATAATACGCCCTATATGTAAGCGCAGATATATAGCAACGGCAATATCTTTCACAAATCCCTGCAGTATGGTGAAGCCTGAGCCCAGGTGCAGGACAGCAGGAGTTGCAGCTCGAAGGAAGCGCTTTTCTGTCCCCTGAGATGAAGCATATCCTGCAGAGTTGAGAGTCTAGAAAAGCATCCAAGGATTACTAAGCACTCGTTAGCTTCGGCAATGTCACTTTTGGGCTCACATAGAAGGGAACTCTTACCAGGCGAAAACTTCACTGTATTTATATATCTAGACAGTCTCTCGTCTTTTGCCTGGATACCTCTCGCGGTAACTGAGGTAGCTGCAAATCCGGCTGTGTAGCGGTTTCGTTTTGCATACTATCTCTTCAAGCGCCTTCACAGGGTGTCCAGCCGAAGAGAACACAGAGGAAGTCGACCAGTTCTCGTGGATTAGAATCGCAGCCATGGAGAAGATATCCGATAAAATAAATGCTCTTCCTAAAGATGCAAACTACTTTTCTCTGGAGTTTTTCCCTCCAAAGACCCAGATGGTGAGGTTGCCCCTCCAACCCCGCCAGAGCTGCGATCCTAACTGAATACATATCTGATAGGGTTCGTCAAACCTCCAAGCTCGTCTAGAGCGTATTTCCCAGGCCCTACGACCACTATTTGTTACGGTTACATGGGGTGCCGGTGGAAGCACTGCTGCCAGATCTCTCGAGCTTGCGGAAATATGCCAGAGACAGCTCGGACTCACAACATGTCTTCATTTGACCTGTACAAACATGAACCGAACATTGATAGACGAAGCTCTAGAGGAAACGAAGGCTTTGGGGATTCGAAACATCCTTGCCCTGCGTGGAGACCCGCCGCGGAGTGAAGAATACAATATAGATGGCGAGGATGACAGTAACAAGGATTTTAATTACGCTGTGGACCTTGTGAAATATATCCGCAAGAAGTATGGTGACTACTTCTGCATTGGTGTTGCAGGTTATCCCGAAGGACATGCGGATGAGTCTCACCCGGAAGTGCAAGATCCGCTAAAAGACCTACCCTACTTGATTGAGAAAACTCAAGCTGGTGCGGACTTCATCATGACCCAGTTGACATATGACATCGAAGCGTATAAGAAGTATGAGGCCATGTTACGAAATCATGAGTCTGGCACGTTTAAGACAATCCCTATTATACCCGGGTTAATGCCCATCCAGAGCCACCACACCTTGACCAGAGTGACCAAGCTAAGCCACGCCAAAGTTCCGCCTGAGATATTGGCGAGAGTGGAATCGTGCAAGGCAGATGATGAAGCGGTGAAGCGCGTAGGCGTTGATATCGTCAGTGAAATTGTCCAAGATATTAAGAAAATCACTACGCCTGGACATCGTGGGTTCCACTTCTATACTCTGAACCTGGAGAAATCGGTTTCCTTTATCTTGGAACGATGCAACTTGATCCCTCCATCCTCTGAATCACCTAGTGATGCGGAAATTGAGTTTGAGACGGCTGTCTATGCTGCTTCTGGTGCATCAAACGGAGTTTCGGCATCCGATGCTAGATCATTCAATGCATCGAGGATGCGAGCTTCATCAATGAACTCACAGCCACATAACCGAGTTATCGTTGACCGGTTAACGCGTGGTACAGATAGATCGGAGAGAAGCTCTACAGTACACGAAACGTCTGCTCACACTGCTGGATATCCCGCCCTTAATCCGCCAAACCGTAACACGGCCTTGCAAATATCCGAGGGACTTGGTGCGTTAGGACGAGAAGCTACGTGGGATGACTTCCCCAACGGCCGTTGGGGTGATGCCCGCTCTCCAGCTTTCGGTGAAATTGATGGCTACGGACCATCCCTTCATGTAACTGGACGCGTCGCTAGGAAACTTTGGGGCACGCCAACCTCTAGGGAAGACATCAGCAACATATTCCGACGACTTCTTTCTAGTGAACTGCACGCTGTTCCTTGGTCTGAAGGTGGCGCAGAGGAAGAAGGTGGTCTCAACCCTGAAACTGCTACCATTCGAACTGAACTCCTTAAACTAGTTGAGCGTGGATGGTGGACACTTGCATCCCAACCATCCGTCAATGGTGTGCGTAACGACCACCCCATATTTGGCTGGGGACCAAGAGGGGAAGGGTTCGTGTTCCAGAAAGCTTTTGTCGAATTTTTCTGCCCAGGAGATGACTTTCATTCAAAGCTGAAACCTCTTCTGAAGAGCTATGGCCACGATGAGTTTGCCTGGTTTGCCACCAATGCGGCGGGTGACTTTGAATCGTCGACTTTGCCAGAAACACCTGCATCACCAGCAGCAGATCCGACCGAAGCCGCTTTTGATGCTGACCCTTTGACCGAGATGGACAATGGTAGCGTCAATGCAGTGACCTGGGGTGTATTCCGTGGCAAGGAGATAGTTACGCCAACCATCATCGAGGCAGTAAGCTTCCGAGCTTGGGGAGAAGAGGCATTCGGTATCTGGGATGAATGGAGACGGATCTTCCCTCGCGGCACACCTAGTGAAAAGCTAATAAGGGAGGTTAAAGACGACGTATGGCTGGTTTTTGTTGTTGGACAACGCTTTGGAGCAGGCGGGGAGGTTGGAAAGGAGTCTAATGAAGCCGACGGAAAACTGCTCTGGAAGGTACTGGCTGGGGAAGATACAGGAATTTAACGATGAGGGCTAAAGGATGTTGGAGAACGGATATCAAACATGTTGGAGTTAATATATGAGCAATGTTGGTGTCTACAAATACTTATGTGGCTTTTGATTTTTTAATCTAAGGCTGAGAAGGTCGTGTCCAAATACCACGTCTTATATTGTGCATTCCGTAGAAGACCACATCATAAAGCTTTCATTACTAGAGCCCACTTCCATTCTTTTCATTGTTCTGCCCAGAACGTAACGTTCTACCACCTGATACCACACCGTAAACACCGCATACGATATTCGGGTTTTTGGGTTGGACTCACACCCACAAACTCGATAACGTGGTATGTATATGCAGACCCAGAGCACCTGTCTTTAAAGGCCTCGATCATATTATCAATACTCGTCTGGAGCTCGGCAGCTTTCATCTTCTCCGTTTCGAGGAGCTTTCTTCTCTCATCAATTCGCCTGTTCTCATCTTGAACCCCAGATATCTTCACGTCCTTCGTCATAAGCTGAGACTGGAGCTCACCAATCCTGCGTCCCGTATGCATAATGATGGCCATATAAAATTCACTCGAGACATGTGAATCACCCAGGTCAGGAATTGTGAGTAATTCTTGAATATGTTCGGCCGTAGTTGAAGCCAGTAAATCATGAAGATTTGGATCAGTGGTGGACTGTATACTGTGGGCAATAATCTCGGAAAATTTCTCAACTTCCCACTGGCATTTGAGGATGTACTTGATATTATCATTGGCGAGGTCGCGCAGAGAAGGAATGTCATAGTAGTCTGCGATTGCATTCACTTCCACGTGGCATAGAATGATTGCAGCCATTTGGCCCTTCTTTATTTGTTTCGCCTGGGGCCTTTGATAACCTGCAACATATTTGATAGGTATGTAACCGCCATCCCCTAACGTATTAAGTTAGGAACAGCAACAATATGTTACAATGGCGAATTGATGCAGCCAGGCTACCCATGCGCGGTTATACTGAAATGTAGCTATGTTACATACCATTAGTAAATTTAGTCCCAGAGGTTTGACCTAGGTTCTTGACCTGACCTTCGCTAAGTTTAACCTCGTATGTTTTCGTGTATAGAAAGTTGATCATCCGCCGAACTGTTTCCGGTTCGAACACCTCAGCGTTGATCACATTTGTACGTGATTCCTATAGCAAATGGGTTTAGTTTCTTGAGTATCCCACGTTTGTGTATAGAACAATGGTGGGTACCTCGAACTCGCCCTTACAAGCCGCGGCAAGCACCTTTGATTGTGCACAAACCACGTTCTTGTGCACATTGAATTGTTGTCCATGGCAGACGAGCTTCAAGTCACTATAACTGCCAGTGAGGAGGAGATCCTTGAGAAGCTCTCCATTTCCTGTATTCGACATGATTACGCCGTTTTAACGTATTCCGTGGGACTCTTGAATGGTAGAAATTGGTTATTTAATTGGAAAGGTGAGGCAGAAAAGTGAGATTTTTTTGAGAGTAAAGTGAGATATTCAGTCGTTGATGTGATGTTAGTAAACTTCTAGGTGTATAATTTAGTGTTTCCTATAGTAAGTAGTCAGCTACAAGAGTCACTAGCTCCTCGAGATGTAAGATATGCACTTATACGAGCACAGCTATACCTAGGGTATAATCTAAACCTATGGAATTGCACTTGGCGTGACGAAGGGTGAGGGAAGACTGACTCGTTTTCGTGGCCATCAAGTGGAATGGTTGGAGTCTTGTTCGAGAGAAGAGAAGAAAAGAGGAAGAATGTTGTTAAAGATGATACCCTTTTATAAGATGGGCAAAAATGAAACGGGGGTCATAGGGGAGTCGACTCCATAGCAAAGGCCGCATTATAATCCAGTGAGGGATTCCTCGTAAGAAACGCCCTAGGATTGCAGTGCCTCACATTTGTTCATGGGAATTTCTATAACATGTTGTATAATAGCCTAGCGAGGCCTTCCTGGGAAAATCTTAAGCTTCATCCCTTCGATTTTTTGAGCTGTGTAAAGGAGGATAAGACATCTGAAGAGGTAGGTGTTGACCATGTACGTCAAAGTTTTATTGGATGTATTGGACTCCATTAATATCCATTCCCTTGCCTTAGCATAAGTTCCCTTAAAAGTGGTGGTCAGAAATTTCCGGATTCATATTAACTCAAAGGACAAACGGGCGGAGAATAACCACTCCTAGGGCGTGGAGGGCCACCTTGTTGGTTCAACATAACAATATCGATGCGGAATACTCACCATGGAATAGGCAGTATTACTTTCAGTGTCGGAAAATAGCCAGTAAAACATTTCCTATGCCTGTGCATAAGATTAAAGGGCATATTGGCGTAGCTGTTGGGGGAGAACAGGTATCAGAAGTGAGCGTAGTAGCGAGTGCCGGTTAGGGTATGGTGCGGTGCGGGTCGGCCCGCCTGGCGATGCTAGCGCCCAGAACCTTAGTTAACTTTGTTCTCTCAGCCGCTAGTGACCTATGCCAAGCCATCAACCATTTACGGTATGCGCTTCCTTGCTCTTGCCACATATATTCATCGTACATGCGATTGATCGATCAATCAATTGAATAAAAATAATTAGTACGCAGGCGTACTTTGTTACTTTAGTAGACTTCTCACCGGACGATCGGTACCTGGCGTCGAGCTCGCCTGATAGGGCTGCGACGCCTTGGGATCTTACCACGGGCAAGCTGCTAAAGAACTTTGGATGGTGAAATTTGTAAACGAAGATTTCCAAACAATAGCCTTTGCCTAATGGCAACCCGAAAATCCAATGATATTGAAATTCGGTGCTCCTCTTTCTCTAGTTTAATAAAAACTGACGTTGAAATACCTACACTGGAAGATCGGTGGGTGGTTCTCGGGGGTAGAAAGATATTATGGCTTCCTATAGAGTATCGGGCAGCCTGATGGACAGTTGAGGCGCGTGGTACCCTAGCGCTGGGCCATGCGTCTGGGAACATTTCTTTTATCCGTCGCTGTTGAATTATACTATCTCATTAGCCCAATATTTTAACCTCTTTTCAACAGATAGGTTTGGGAGGGCTACTTAGGGGATTTCAAGTCGATGATTTGCCACTAGATCCTTTTATCAGGCTCTCTCAGATGGGAATGTAGCTAGATACCACAGTTATTATAATTACATCACCAAAAACTGGTTAGTTGAATAGCCAATGCGATCGACAGAGCGTGGCTAAAATCAAAAAGGCGTTCAGCAAATGGAAGAGTGGGCTATAGGTAGAGGCTCCTACTTTGTAGTAGAGCAGACCGAACTGATCAACATTATAGGGAAGAAAGATGAATACTAAGAAGGACGGCTGTAGATCAAAAGCGCGACCATCCAACCAACTCTTATTACCAAACCATTAGGAGGGAGCTGTGTTGGAAAAAGCGGCGATCCTGGATCAAGTAAATATCAAAATATCGCACAAGGTCTGTGTCGGGTCAGCCACCCACTGGCGAACCAACGTAACAGAGACTGGACAACATATTATTTTATGCGCCATTACAAAGTCGGCATGCGAGTTAAGGGGGTCCGTCATAGTATAATCAAATGATAAGGGTATAATTAGTTAATAGATCAATTAGAAACTTAAGTTTCAGGCGGTAATTATTTTTTATACAGTTCCATTGGTAAGTGGAACCTATGGAATATATCGAAACATCGGGGCATCATCTGCTAGCTCAGATGTATCCACTCTATCAAGAGGGTTAGGCTTGCCATATTCCCTATCTCTTTGCGCATTGACAATCCGGTGTCTAGTATATAATGTAATGGACATCACGCAGCTCACTGATAAAAATGCAAGCACGATGCTGTACCCTCGCGTATAAGTCGGAGCTTCGTTATGAGGGAAACTCTTGCTAGCAAGGATACTCAAGCAATGCCCTGCGATCACAATGATACAGAGGGAAATTGCTTTCTTCGACTCCGCGCCGGCATTGTCAGTCACCCACTGCACTTCTAATGGTATACACGGGAAGATACCAGCCAGCAGTAAGAATACCCCTGCAAGGGCGACTTTTGGGTTTTCTTTGGCCGGGAACGCATACATCAAGGAAACCCCAGTGATGGCGACCATGGTTCCTCCGATGAGGAATGGCCCGCGTGTCTGAAGCCTATCTGACAAGATGCTGATGCCAAGCATCACTACCCATGCCACCATATATGGACCAATGGTCATATATTGTGCTTGAGTTTTGGTATACCCCAGAGAATTGATGATTGTTGGTAGGAACACCGAGATTGTTGCCAAAGCTGCATCGTGTCCCATTTTGACAACAGCAACACCATACACTTTCCAGTCCTTGAGACCCGAGATAACATGCTTCATGACAAGCATATTGTGACCCTCACTCTGTTGTCCGCGGTTCATGCGGCTGATTGAAATTTCTTGCTCTTCCTTGCTTTTAAAGAATTTCGACGTCTCGGGCCTATCCGGAAGGCATAATAGAACCACAAAGGCGAAAGCAACTGTCGGCAAACCCTCAACTAGAAAAAGCACCCGCCAGTGGCCGATGTTGGTGTTGATTAGGGAAATGCCATATGCAATCAGGCCACCGAATGCACCTGAGAACGCAGACATTCCAATAAATATTGAAGTACGCAGAGCTAGTTCACTGCGGGTATACCAGAGGGTCAAGTGGAACACTGCTGTGGGAGCAAAGGCTGCCTGCAAGTCATTTAGCCAACGGTTTAATCGGCATGGCAATGGTGGTGTGTATTTACCTCGAACAGACCGATAAAGAAACGAGATGTAGCAAGTCCTGCGAAGTTGAACGCACCAGCTCCTGCTGCCGCAGCTACACCCCATCCAACGACTGATACAAACATGAATCTAGATGGATGAAATCGTTTGCCCCATAAGGTGAGTGGAGCTGCGAATAAAACACTAACAGAAGTAAGTCATTATACCGAAATGATGGGCATGGCAAGACAAGGACTGACTATCCAAAGTAGAAAATACTTGCTGCCCAGGTGAAATTGGAATCGTTTCCATCCAAGGCATCCTCTACCACGCCTTGAAGTTTCGCGTTTCCCAGATTTATCCGATCAAGATAGGCCTGCTGTAAATCAGCTAGCTGGCATGGGAGTGTATTTATCAAGAAGGGCTGTAAAACGAACCAGTAGATAGAGCACAACAAACTGGGGCATTATTATCCAGTCTTGACGTCGTACGAGCTTCCTACTCAACGCAGTTAGTTATAATCTAGCAGTCGGTCTGGATAGACTAACCTTTCAACTTCTGCCTTATGCTCATCTGAGCAAGGCTCCGGTGATACCATCTCATCCCCATCACTGCCTTGGTTGCCTCCGAGCTCTACATCTTTTATAACGTCCGTTGCCGCCTCGGGCTGCTTTTCATCCTGAGCCGTCATTCCGCCAGTTCGTCGAGGGAAAACGTAAACACGGGTCCATAAACGGGATGAAAACCGGGAGCGACATCATATATGTACCGCGTACGGAGCAGCAAACATCGAGTTCACCGCTTATTAATTAAACCGGGATGACGGCTCTCAACTTGATCATCGTCAGGTTTTTGGGCTTCTCTTTCTTGCGTGATTCGTTCATGGATTATCGTCTATCCCTTGCCAAGAGCGATGGCTGTAGATGATCGACATGCTTATTTGCCGGCTAATGTTTAAAGGGGCCGAGGATTTAGCCGGTATCAACTCCTCGGTGATGATCGCCCTGGATATATATGCTGCTACGTCACGAAGGAGGGGTGAATATATTGATATTGATATTGGTGAACCCCGGACAGACAAGGGGAGGTATATCCGCGTGCGCTATGATATGCTAGAGAAATACGATAAACGGCAGTTGAGAAGCCTTGATCCTAGTTAACGGCCACCAAGGCTATCTTCTCGTCCGGTAGTCCTCATAAATGCAGAGTTAGGGCGTCCCCCAATTCTTTAACAATTATCTCAACCGAGCGTTGACATTTTGAGGGCCGTCTACAGCGGTATATAGGTTTGGGTGTAAGAACCAGGCAGGCTTGTAGCATGGAATGGGTCGCTGTTGTAACACGCCCGGATAACGATAGCACACAGCGTCGACGTTGTCAAAACCAGAGTAATGCAAGAAGAGTATGACAAGAGAACGGTCGTTGGTCATCGGGCTGTCGAGTTTATATATGCAAGGGGTTTAGCTATAGAGTCGTGTCTATCGGACAGTAGGGTCACATAAACCCATCACTGCGTTTTTTCAGCAAAGCCTCGTGCTTCGAGTTCCTCAGCCCCGGCATCGGGAGTAACTACAGACGACTGCGACTCCAGAAGTTTCTCTGCAACAGCATCTAGCCGCCCGAAAACCTTCGGGTTACGTTTTTCACCCGGTCCTGTTTTAAACTGGTATCCTCGCATCCTGTTCGTCAGTTAGCAAGGTGTCCGGTTGACTTATAAAGGGAAATATAGAACCTACCGAGGACCCTGTCCGCTCGGCTCGGGGAATTCAGTCTCATAAGTTCGTTCAAAGGTGTTGACATCCTCTTCAAACGTCCCGTTCTCGATGCTCGTTCTAATAGCGGCAAAGAACCTATCCATGGTGGAGTAATTGTGAATCTGCAGCAGTGTCCACGCAAGCATTTCTTTTGCATTGAGCAAGTGGCGGAGGTATGCTCGATGGTACGTCTTACATGTGTAGCATTGACAATCTGAGACAAGTGGTGAAATATCGGCTGAATGTTCAGGTAGCAGCATATCAACAGCCAGAGGTAAGGGCGTTGAGTTATTATTATCACCCTGGGAGGTTCCTTGTGGGAAGACAAAACTGAAAGCCAATCCTGCATCAGATGCTGCTCCAATAAATGATATGGCCGAAAGGTCAAGTCCGAGGGAGACGCCCTTGAGCACATCCTGTGGAGTGTTTGGTTCACCAAGGGACAAACGTGGGAGATTCCACAGCGACTGGGGAATGATCTCAATCGTCGACGGATCCCATATTGCAAATCCAGCCACATTTTCATTCATTTCTTCTGCCAGTTCTCGCAAATATACAGTTTGCCGTTCCCTTTCGAGCGGAAGAATTGGTGCAAAGAATGACGTCCCAGAGAGCGGGTTGGCAGTGTCTGCATTTTTATAGAGTACGTCTATTGCCGACTGTGTCCAAGCATGCGTCCGGTCAACCATCTTTTCTCGTCTCTTTACACCAGGCCGTCTATCTAGAACATCAGCCAAGCCAATCGCAACATCTGGTTGTAAACTTTTAATCGCCTCCTGATATTTTTCTACCTGCAGTTGCTGGTACCCGACTGATGTCAAGATCGTTACCGAGTCCGAAGAATTCGAGCTGGCGGTGGCGACGGGAGGGATCCTCCTAGGCCCAAGGAATAGTAAATAATCATCATCGAACGAGAGGAATTTCCGGAGAGAAGATTCTGATTTCTCCGTTGGGACGTTGTATATTGGTGGTACTTCTTTCAGGGCGGTTCGTTCTATGACTGTACTGCTCCAGCGAGCAGAGTAGTTAGCATACAGACATGACTGTTTCCGGCAAGATAGGTCACATACAATCTTCAAGTGCAACGTATAGGCTGCCTATAGACATATGTTCCTTTATATTATCATGGGTAACATGAGGTAGCACCCCTCTCGACGTGATGGGCACATATCCTGGCGTTAGTATCGTTTTGCGCCCGACCCGGCATAACCTCCCAAGCCGCGGAGCAAGCTGAGTTGGCGGGTGTGTTAGTAGACTAAAAGTGAGCATTTCCTCAGGCTTATCGGACGGTGTGTCAGTAGCCATATTCGACTTGTGATAAAATATTTGCGAAAAGCGTTGAACTTGCGGCTTTGCGATCTTCATGCATTTTTTGGAGCTACGAAGAGGTTTGACTTTTGGCCCACAGGCCGAGGCCAAGACTGCCATATAGATAATACTTAGGCCTGACGCTCTTACAGTCGACAACAGGGGCAGCTTTTGGTGATTTATTTGGAATCGGAGTTATCTATATAACGGATCCGTCTTGTAACCATGGCGTTGGAGAAAGATACGCCGGCTGCTGGGAGAGGTGCCCTGGTCGTTGTGGAGGGGTTGGATCGCGCTGGGAAATCAACCCAATGTGCTTCACTTCACCAGTCGCTCGTAGACCGAGGGCACAAGGCGAAGTACATTCGGTTTCCAGGTGCGTATAGCATCATTGAGATGTAATTGTCAATATTAACCATATATTAGACAGGACTACGGCCATTGGCCAGATGATAGACCGATACCTTCGAGGAGAAACGCAGCTAGACGACCATGCAGTGCATCTCCTATTTTCTGCGAATAGATGGGAAGCCGCTAAGCAAATACGACAAGATATCTCAGATGGAATCACTGTTATTGTGGACCGATATTCGTACTCCGGAGCAGTCTACTCGGCTGCGAAAGAGAACGAGGAGTTGCAGCTGGACTGGGCATGGAGGCCAGAAATTGGGCTACCACGACCGGATATTTGGTTCTTTTTGAATATATCTACTGAAGTTGCGGCTAAAAGGGGAGGTTATGGGACGGAGAGATATGAAACTCTCAACTTGCAGAGGAAAGTTGGGAAGCTGTTCCTGTCCTTGTCTGGATTGAAAGGCAATGAGGACATGCGGATAATTGATGCAGGGAGAGAGATGGAAGTTATTTCCCGCGAAATTCAGGATGAAGTGCTACAGACTATGGCGAGTGTTGATACGATAGGGCCATTGAGGAAACTGGCTGCTTTACCGTTTGCAGATGCAGAAACCAAGGACTCTGTCGCATAGCTGTGGAGCGGCTGAAATACTATCATTCAACTATATCTATATCGTCCCATTCGTCTGGTTTGCCATTCTTGAGCGAAATTGACATGTCTGGGTGTTTCCTCGGATGATTGGTATAGCTGGTCAGCAATGAGTTCTCCCCCGGTTCTCTGGTCGGCCGTGACGTTTTCGCTGGGAACTTGACGGTTGAGGGGCCAAAGTCTTCGTCATCGCTACTACTAAGCAGGTCTATGGGACTTGGATGCGCTACGTCTTCTGATAGCTCGCCTCCAGATTCCTCCTCAATTGTTTGCGGCTGGTTGGGATTATCACCTTCCTCGTCCTCTGCATCGGAGTTATCGTCGTGGACAGATCTCGTCCCATGGCTCCGAACTCTATGTGTCATCTCTTTCATGAGAACATGCCACTCGATGCTTGACCGGCAGCTTGGGCACCTTCCATTAACCGGGATAAAACCGTTACTGGTGCTTTCAGACTCCATAAAACTCGACGAGAGGCATAGAAGATGTGACGCGCAGCGACAAGCTTCACATGAGCAAATTACGATTAGATCATCGCTCAAGCGAAGACGGTCGTGGCAGATACCACAATCAATCCGTTCCCCGGCCTCGAGGATGAATTGTGTCTTCTCCTTATATGACTTCAGACTAGTCCCTGAGATATCCAGTCTCTGAAGGGCATTCTGAAGGGGCCGTCCTTCTTCACCCGAAGCCCCGTCGTCGTCAAAGTCAGTCGTGAACCTTATATGTCCAGGGACAAATGTATCAGCAGCTTCGGTCCAGCCCTGCCAAACACGATGCACATCTGCTTTAAAAAACCGCACTTCCAAAGGCCAGCTTGAGAAATACGGTGAACGCAATAGGAGATGCAAACGAGCCACGACGCTTGTCAGTGATTCGCGAGGGTTGCTCGACTTTCTAGCCATGCGTTTCCCTGTTTTAGAACATATTCGAACATTAGTTTCTGTTTCGCTATTCGCTGCATGACGAGAAGCTTGTGTGTTCTGCCACGCCCATCTATATGTGAAGCAGGTTAGTAGGTCAGCCAAGACATATATAAACACAGCTACGTACTCAAATTGCAAGGCACCGGTACGACTGGTAAACCCGCTGACTATCATGACCATCTCCCACGGCCGTAGCTTTTCTCTATGGGTTCTATGTGCCCCACCCTTGATGCGGCCGTTATGCTGTGCAAGACGGCGCACTGGGTTTGGAGTAGATCCGATGTAGAGACTGGCATGACGCACAGTCGACCGGAGTAGATAGGCACAGTAGAAAGGGGGTATAGCTTTGACCAGCGACTGTTCTTGCTGGCTTCTCTCTGTACAGGCGTCTTTGCCTTTGGAGGTAAACAGGCCTGGTGCAGGACTTGACCGCGACCGCTGTGACATGAGTGGGTTATTTAACATATATTAAATTAATAGTTAACAGTAGAGAATAAAGGTATGGCCGTGTTATATCTCATGTTATGATGTGTTTACTCATGTTATGATGTGTTTACTCATGTTATGATGTGTTTATGTAGGATCAAAGTGCAAGTTGGAACCTCTGGGTCAGGTGACGTGGCCGCGATGTTGAATATCAGAGTGGAAGGACACGTTATAGAGCTGTTCCGAAGCACTCCAGACAGCAGGAAAAATGCCAGAAGACCAGGGCGTCCTTCATGTCCGGCTCTGAGCGCGCTTACATCGCATTTGCCCTGACAAAGCGATCTTAGCTTGACGGAGACAGCTAGCTAATTCTCGGCGCTTGACTCCGAGACTCTGCTCGTCTTATCCCTGGAGTACTGTAACGATTACGCCCGCCGTGTAACAGAAGCCGACTCGGGAAGAGAAGAAGAAGAAAAGAAGAAGAAGAAGAGAGAGAGAGAGAGTTGAAAGGAGGTAGCGGACACGACTATGAGCTGCATTATGAGATTATATTGCATGGCCCTGTGCTACCGTCGAGCTCGACAACTTTTTCCGTCTTCCGTACCAGCTCTGTCTTCCAGCTACCCTGGCGTGTGAGACCGGGACCGTAAACCATCGTGGGAGTTAGTTCGTTAGCTGTAACTGAGCTCCCTCTCGCGCCACTGGACGTACTCCGTACCTATATAGACATCTTCAGACACCTCGTACATATCACAAGATCTTTAACGGAATGTTAGAGAGAGTATAGAATGAGTATAGAGAGTAGAGAAAGAGAAGAGAAAGAGTAGAGTATAGAATGAGTATAGAGAGTATAGAGTATAGAGTAGGGAGTAGAGAAAGAGTAAAGAGAAGAGGATGAGTCAGCTGTATTATTGATACATGACTAAGCAAACGGACAAAATAGGCTCTGAGGTATCCAGAGATCGAATATATTGTGCTTCACTCGATGGCTGCACCCATTCTCTCGCCCTTGATCTCGATGGAATGAGACTCAGACTCGGCTCGGCTCGTACTCTCGCGATCGTTGACTGACCCGGCACCGTCGGGCCCCTAATTCACCGCCGGTTCCCCGTCCTTCTCCCCTTCTGCTCGAGTATAGTCCTTTTTTCCCTTTCCTTTCGGGTACCCAGGACGGCCCAGGGCGACATTTAAGCCCTTGATATAATTTGATATAGCCCGCGTTCTGTCGCCCTCTCGCACCTTCGGCCCTCATATTCATAGCCAATGCATTCGCGATACGCCGTCTATATATCATACCAAACGTGACGACGACTACCTACTGCTCTCTCCCCGATCGGCCCCATTCGACATGGCGGCTGCCACTTCATCGGAGCCTCCCTCCGCTGGGCAGCAGCAGCAGCAACAGCAGCAGCAGCAGAACCCGCAGTCGGCTGGCCGGCCGTCTATGCAAACTGCCAATTCTACGACCTCATACGGCTCGAATGTGCCGCTGAGTGCTCGACGGGCAGCGCCCTTGGACCTGTCGACCGTCGAACGCCGCGACCAGATCCCAGCTACGAGAGATCCCCCCAAACGCAACAGGCCTCATGATTTACAGGAGGCTCCCACCTTCTATCCGACCGAGGAGGAGTTCAAGGATCCCATGGCCTATATTCGAAAGATCTCGCCTGAAGGAAGGAAATATGGCATCTGCAAAGTCGTTCCTCCAGAGACCTGGAATCCAGGCTTTGCTATCGACACGGAGGTATGACAGTGCAGCTTTGGGCCCGAGGAGAAAAGGGGAAAGTGAATGCTAACGCGGTCTACTCAGCGGTTCCATTTCCGAACTCGTCGACAAGAGCTTAACTCTGTTGAAGGAGGTATGCACGCGTCTTTCCTGTCCCAAGTCAACGGCTCTCGCGACAGCCATCCTGACTGCCATCTAGGTACCCGAGCGAACCTCAACTATCTCGACCAATTGACAAAATTTCACAAGCAGCACGGCACAAGTCTAACCCGTTTTCCCAGCGTCGACAAACGACCCCTCGATCTATACAAGCTGAAAAAGGCAGTGGAAATACGAGGTGGCTTCGAACAGGTTTGTAAGTTGAAGAAATGGGCAGAGATCGGGCGCGATCTTGGCTACAGCGGTAAAATCATGTCGTCACTATCTACCTCTCTCAAGAACTCGTACCAGCGATGGCTGCAGCCGTACGAAGAGTACCTACTTGTCGCAAAACCAGGAGTACAGCATCAACTGGAAGTTGAGAACGGTGGGCCATTCACACCGTCCCCGAACCAGTCGCCAGCAGAAAAGAAGAAACGCCAGATGCAGAATGGTCATCGGCAGTCGGACGTGGGTGTCGAGGATAGCTCTTCCACGCGAAGAGCGTCTGCAGCTCTCAACGCCTCGCTCGTCGACAGTGATGAGGGCAACGGGAATTCAACCGGTACTCCTCGCGAAGCAACGCCGGTACACGTACAGCAACCTATGACGTTGGGATTCACAGCCGTCAACTCCAGGCCAAGCGGGTTTGCTGCGATAAACACGCCTTCGTCATTCACGGCTGTCAACAGAGCTGTCTCCGAGGTGAAACGAGAAGCAGACGAGGTAGTAGGAAATTCGACACCACATTCACACTCTAACTCTATTCCAATTTCCGCGAAGCCTTCTCCTGATCAGAAACGGGCGAAGTCTAACTCCACTCCCCTTACAAATGGTCACGACGAGCATTCCTTGAAGCGCGTGCATAGCAGTGACGGTCATTCGCACGGTGATAACGACGACTCGGAAGAAGGAGGAAATGGCCGACGAAGTAAGCGTCTGAAGAAGGGTAGGTCGTTCGATTGGTATATCGAAACCCTGCCATGGCTGAGCGTATACTAATGATATCACTTCCACTTAGATGGCGTGCCGACTATTGCCGGGTCTAATATGAGCTTACTACGACCGTCCCCTTCACAGCCAAAAGCCAAAACCGGGACCTGTAAAACTGGAGATGTAAGTGCATAGCAAGAATCATGCATATCACGAGGTGTATCATGAAACTAAAACCCATGTAGCGATGTGAAAGCTGTGGAAAGAGTGACAACCAGCCATCCATTCTCGCCTGTGATGGATGCGACATCGGCTACCATATGCAATGTCTTGATCCGCCCCTGACAACAATACCTGACTACGATTGGCATTGCCCCAAATGCCTTGTAGGAACCGGAGAATATGGGTTTGAAGAAGGTGGTATATACTCTCTTAAGCAATTTCAAGAGAAGGCGAATCACTTTAAGAAAAACTATTTCGGCTCCAAGTTGGCTGTCAATACCAGCTCTGCGCCAAACGCCCAACTCTACGAAGCAGAAGATAACGTGGAACGCGAATTCTGGCGACTTGTTGAGAGTTTGACTGAGACCGTGGAAGTCGAATATGGAGCTGATATCCACTCGACAACGCACGGAAGTGGTTTCCCTACCGTCGAAAGGAACCCTCTTGACCCTCATGCTACCGATCCGTGGAATTTAAACGTCCTCCCATTACACCCAGAATCGCTATTCCGACACATCAAGTCTGATGTATCAGGCATGACGGTGCCATGGGTATATGTAGGAATGTGCTTCTCGACGTTTTGCTGGCATAACGAAGACCACTACGCTTATTCGGCTAACTACCAACATTTCGGATCTACCAAGACCTGGTATGGCATTCCTGGTGCTGATGCGGAAGCGTTCGAAGAGGCGATGCGCCAGGCTGTCCCAGAGCTATTTGAGACACAGCCTGATCTTTTGTTCCAACTGGTCACTTTACTCCCACCAAATCAATTGAAGAAAGCCGGAGTCAACGTTTACGCCTTGGACCAGAGAGCCGGACAATTCGTCATAACGTATCCACAAGCCTACCATGCTGGGTTCAATCATGGGTTCAATTGTAATGAGGCAGTGAACTTTGCTCCAAGCGAGTGGGAGCCATTTGGCCAATCTGGTGTTGACCGATTACAGGCATTCAGACGGCAACCTTGCTTCTCTCACGACGAAATGTTGCTTACAGCTGCTGGAAGAGATACATCGATAACTACAGCAAAATGGCTGGGGAAGGCATTGCGACGTATGTGCGATCGCGAACTCGAACAAAGGGCAAACCTCCTTTTGCGGTCTCGAGAGCTTGAAAATGGGAACGGTACTCACAATGGTGACCAAGGCAGCAAGCCTGCAACTTCTTCTGCGCTGAATATCACCGTGGAAGAAACGGACCTTCTGGAAGACGAGTACCAGTGTAGCTATTGCAAAGTATACAGCTACCTCTCGCTATTCAGGTGTCATAAATCGGGGAAACAGCTTTGTCTAATGCATGCTGGAACAACCGAGTGCTGTGGCGGCGATCCAGCACTTTGTCTACGCGGAACCGATCATTCAATCCGATATCGACTGTCTGATGAAGATTTGCAGAAATGCGTACAGAAGGTGGAGGACCGCGCCAAGATTCCTGAAGCGTGGGCGGAGAGGCTGGACAGAATCCTCGAGGATGAGCCAAAACCATCTTTGAAATCTCTCCACGCTCTTCTCTCGGAGGGCGAGAAGATACCATATCATCTCCCGGGGCTACAGGATCTTGCTGCCTTCGTACAGCGGTGCGATAAGTGGGTTGAGGAAGCGAACAATTACTTAACTCGCAAGCAACAGAATCGACGCAAGAACGAAAAAATCTGGAGAAAGGGAAACCCAGCGAAAGCTGCACAGATGGAAGAACGAGACCGTGAACTACGTAGTATCGAGAAAATCCACAGCCTTCTATCAGAGGCAGACCGTCTATCGTTCGACTGCCCTCAGATAACAGCTCTGCACGAAAAAGTCCAGGAGATCGAGAGGTTCCAGAGAGAGGCACAAGCTGTGTTTCTTAGCTCGCACACCGCGTCCGCCCAAGCTGTCGAAGAGTTAGTGGAACTTGGTCGCAACTTCAGTCTTGATATCCCAGAGGTAGACAAGTTGGAACGCGTCTTACAGCAAATGAAATGGAACGATGACGCACGACGTCGACGTGATCAGTACCAAACGTTAGAGGATTGCGCCGATTTCATCAAGCAAGCCGAGGAATTGAACATATCCGAGGCTAACAACCATCTACTACATTTCCGTGAGATGTACTGCAGTGGAGTGGCATGGGAAGCAAAGGCAAAGGAACTTATGTCTGTCGAGGCCGTCCACTACCAACAACTCGAAGCGCTTTCTGCCCAAGCAGCTCGATTCCCCGTCTCCCCAGAGACACTCGCTTCGGTTGACGCTATCCTGACAAAGCAACGCGAGGCTCAAAAGCAGATATCTAGCCTTTATGAAAAGAGCAAATGTACTGATTTCCGAAATCGTCCGCATTACCGTGATGTACGAGATTTGATGGAGTCATTGGTACAGTTGAACAGCAAACCGAATGGCACAATAGACCTAGAACGTGAGCAGAAGCGCCATGAAGACTGGATGAGGAAGGGGAAAAAGCTGTTTGGCAAAGCCAATGCGCCTTTGCACATTCTCAAGATGCACATGCAGTATGTTGAGAAAAGAAACTCGTATTGCTTTGATCTCGAGGATCGGTTCCGCCCACCCGTTGAACCAGCATCTCGAGAGGCCAGTCCTGATGGTTCTGGGGAATCTCAGCCATGGGCTGGGAGCAGGTCGAGGAAGAAGGACGTTTTCTGCATCTGCAGACAACAAGAGTCTGGTCTAATGATCGAATGCGAAGTCTGTCATGAATGGTAAACACACCACATTCTCCTACCTATTAACATACTGTTCTTAATTACTAACTGACCTTTTTCAGGTACCATGGCAAGTGTCTTAAGATTGCCCGTGGTAAAGTCAAAGAATACGATAGCTACACCTGTCCTATCTGTGACTGGCGGGTTAAAATACCCCGTGATGCTGCCCGACCCAAGCTGGAAGACCTACTCGATTGGCAAGCAGAGCTTGCCGATCTCCCATTCCAACCCGAAGAGGAACAGGTCCTGATGTCCATCATCGATCAAGCATCATCATTCCGGGAATTTTTGCGCCCCTTTACAAACCCCGCCTGCATGACCGCCGAAGAGGTCCCTACTCAGATCTTCTACCTCCGTAAAATTGAAGGGGCAGAAGTTCTACTTGCCTACGAAACGAACTATTTCCGCCAGGAAGTTCATAAATGGTCCCCAGTGGCGCCTGAACCACCACCAATTCTGGAACAGTCGTTATCAACGCGTAAACCACGACCGACAAAGCAGCAAAAGATTATGGCTCAGCTCGGCATTGAGAAACCGGAGGATATCCCCCTCCATCTCCGTACCAAACACCACATCTTCCCCGCGAAGCGAAAGTCCACTGAGCCCCAAAATGGCCGGCCACCACCTCTACAGCCAGCTCCGTCAAACCGCTCAAATACACCCGTGGATGACCCAAGGTCTGTCTCGGTTGGCACCGATCAAATTCCATCGACTCTCGCCACGACTCAAGCTCCTCAGACCCCTGCCTCCTATCCATTCGGCCACCCATTCCAGCTTTCCTCCGGCGAACAAAACACAACGTTTGGAAGTGGCTCCGGCCCCTTCCTAGCCCAAGACAATGGCGACCAGTCACCGTCGTTCTCGCCAGGATCGCCTGCTGCTCGACACGCTGGGCTTGACCCGTCATTCTTCAGCCCTCCAAGCTTCGAACGGAACCACCAGCTACCTCCGGGCTCAGAGTCAGAAAATATGAAAGGCACCGCGGGAGTTGGCGTGGATGTAGATGTTGATGCACATAATCCATTCGGAAGCAGCCCTCGTGCAAATATGGATGATCTATTCGCCGATCTCACAAACCATGATACCGAAGCCGAGCATGTCGAAGAGATTAGCCATGCAAACGAAGCCCTAGAGGCACTCAAGAGCGCTCAAGCCTGCGGTTCCCGCACGGGTTCTGTATCCGAATCTGGAAATAACGGCTCTAACGGGGACCCTGATCTTCTCGAGAATGCTAGCCACAATGATGACAACGAGCATGAAAATGGCGGTGGCCTAGGCGAAGAATATTAAAGTTGAGTTTCGTCAAATCTCTGACCCTTTCGTGCTTATGATTAATGTTTATCGCTTTCTTTTCACATTTCCATCCTAGATTAATGTTCTATTCCCTGTTTTCTTTCGTTGTTTATTCTTAGACGGTTTTCTCTGATGAGTTTTAACCCTCCTTACCTTTTCGGAAAAGGCTCTCATATATACTGGAGGAATCGATAAGGAGTCGTGAAGGAGTCGAAATGGGAGGGGATAGGCCGGCGTACCCGTTGTCACTATTTTCTCTCTCCTGTGCTCTACTTATCTTTATATGTTTTGCGCTTTTTCTGTTTCCATTTCCATTTTTATTTTGCCGGATGGGTGGGTGGCATTAATGTTTTAATGCTTTCATCCCGGCCAAGATTTGAGTCTCATCTATTTCAACATTTCGTCATTTACGTTGTTTCTTGTTTTTATCCTTATTTGCGCTGCACCTTTTTTCATATTAATATCCTGTATCATTCCTATCAGTTGCCACACTGTCCATCGTTTTTCGTTTCTGCTCTTCTCACTCTGATCACCCTTTCCTGCTCCTTCTCTGTATCCTACGTAACTTCGCCAGCTGTTGTAACAATATATGGATTATTCTTAATCGTGGACATTGAAAGTCGACTCTATTCAGCACACGTGACTTGTGTGGTCAAGATCCTGATTTCACATCATACAAACCAGATAAATATAGCCAACTCCCCGAGAATCGAGGGGTGAACAAACTATGCATAAAAGCAATCCGAAGCGTATTGGCTTGGTCCCATTTTTGAAGAATGCGGCCCAATGGTCAAGAACTCCCACGCCTGCTACTAAGGTGCAACCAACATACGTGATTGGGAACTCATCAGCGGATTTAGACTCCATCATTTCAGCAGTTATATATTCCTATTTTGCAACGTCAGCTAGATCTCAAGAGAACCGTCAATATATACCCGTGATCAACTTACCGGATGTTCCGGCAGGAAAAGAATTGAGGAGACTACGACCAGAATTCGCAGCAGCGTTAAATCTTTCTACACAAAGACCATGGGTCAACTCGAAACCCGAAAGTACAGGGGCCTTAAATACTTTACCCGAGGACGGCAACACTGATGATTTGCTCAAAGAAAGTATCTTGACTGTTGCGGAGCTCCGGGGAAACTTGCTTAACATGAAAAAGTCAAGAGATTTGACTTCATCGGATGACCACCCTGAAAGCACCCAGCCAGGTTTGGGCCTGAACGTTTTCATGGTGGATTGGAATGCATTACCCACGATTCAGCCCCATGGAATTGGAATTGACGGTATCTCGGATAAAGCTGAAGATATCAGTATATCGGTTGTGGGGTGTATTGATCATCATGAAGACGAAGGGTTCATCTCAAAGCATTCAATACCCCAATTGGAGACTGAAACGTTTGCCGAACCACAATGCATTCAAACAGGAGTTGGAAGTTGCACGTCCATAATTGTGCGTGAACTGCGAAACCGTGGCTGGTGGGAAGGCTGCAACTCTTCAACAATCGACGGCACTGCGAAGGAAATCTCTCACGGGGAAACGAGAGATTCTAATACTCAAGATACAGTATATGAATCTCAGGCTGCACAGCTTGCACTAGCAGCAATATTAGCAGACACTGCAAACATGACAGCGGAGAGCAAAGTGTCTGACGTGGATCGAGAGGCTGTGGCATTCCTAGAGAATAAGATCAACCAGTGCACCTCTATCAGCTGGGACCGCGATGCATTCTACACTTGCATTATGAATGCCAAATCTTCTAGTGTTGACTTTCTTACGGTTGATGAAACTTTGGGAAGAGATTATAAAGAATGGGTAGATCCAGTTCGCCCAGGCCACAATGTCAAGATTGGAATATGCTCCGTTGTTAAACCACTCTCTTGGCTATTCGAAAAATGTGGTTCAGAAAATCCAGAGAAGAGCTGTAATGAGGCAGCATTTTTTAAGTCTTTAGAGGCATTTTCTCTGGCTAGAGATCTTGACGTCGTTGCTATTATGACTGCTTTCTCGGCACTTCCGGAGGATGAGTTCCAGCGTGAACTAGTTGTTACTATTCTGAATGATGAATATTCATCCAAGCTTGAGGACTTCAAGAACGTTGCAATTACCGACTTAGGTATCGAAGAAGGCCTACTTAACCAGGAGGACATCAAGGACCTAGGCAAGATAGCGGGAAATTCACGGATATGGCGACAGTGCGATGTTACAAAGAGTAGAAAACAAGTGGCCCCATTGATGAGAAAGATATTTACAGGGGGCAATTGATATAATTATTGTCTTATAGTTTACTACTTTGGAAAAGATAAGGAATTAAAATTGAAGGATTCTTTAAACTTGCTATTACAAAGCACTTATAGGATTTTATCGCAAGAAAACACAAACATTTTAGTCTGAAATCATCTGGAATGGGGTGGGCGAGAATGAAATAGGAGGTAAAAGGGCCCTGAAGAATTCTCAAATATAAAATATACTTCCACCAATCTCAAATCATTCCACACATGAAGCCACTCCCAAAATAGCAAATAGTATGTGACTAGAAAAGGAAAAGGGAAACCCCCTTAAAACAAAAGATGCCAGAAATTTTGAAACGCTCAAATACAAGAAGGTCCTCTTTCAACTCTAAACATAAACCGGGTATAGTTTGTACATGCACCAATCGCCAAATAACCATCAATATGAGATGAGGCAAAGACCTGAAAGTTCCAAACAAAGGGCAAAATGAGCTGAAGGAAGGTAAGATCGTGTTAAAACGGAAACAATATCAGAAGCACTCCCACTCGCCCCAGACGCACCATCTTGCGGTGCGGTCGGCAAGGACTAGGCCTCTCCAAACACCACGCTCGCTAACTTTGATAACTGTCTCCCAAACGCTTCCGTCTGGCGGGCCATCAAATCCAGAATCTCCGCCAGGGCTTGTCGTGATCATATGATCTGCTTTTCGACTAAGTCTCAGGATCTTTCCAGATGGAGTTTGGATAGCCAACTTCGCTGGTTTTTCACGCGAGTTCTGTTTACTATTACTCGAGACCGTTGATGAGGAGGCAGTTGATGCATTTGAAGTAGTGGCAATGGAAGAAACCATGCTTAGCGCACTAGATGGCCGGGCGAAAGGATTGGGAGAAATCCGTCCACTAGGTTCTTCAGGTTTAGGAGACGAAGGGAGCGATGAAGTGTGTTGGCGGACTGCGAAAACGAAGGTATTGTTGATGGTAAGTCTTGCGCATTGGGGTTGTATGACGTATAGATCGTGTCTTTGGGCATGGGGCGTTGGATGACGGAGCACAAACTCGTACGGTGGGTTCTCTCCTGTATGCGCCATTGGCAGTGCAAAGGCAAGAGCGTGGGGTATATCTTTGATGGAATGCATCAATCCTTTCTTGCCAGCGTAAACTTTGAGAACGCCTTGTCCTTCATCACCAGGTAGAGCGGCCTTGATAGTGAACCGTTTCTGGCCCTGTATCCAATCCGGTTGGGCAAGGGCACGTTTTGTAACAATATCACCACTTTCGAAAAAGTCGCCATCTGCATCGCGCGCAAAGGCGATAGCCTCCACCTCTGCAATACACTCGACGTCAGGTGGGACGAGAACCCGAACTTGCAGCATCTCCAGATCGGTCAACTGCACGAGACTAGTGTCGTAGGTCGGCATATGCAGATTATTCTTGAAATAGGCAGGGCAGGCGCATGGTAGTGCAAGAAGGACATCTGGGCTGATTGGAGGACATATATGCTGATGCTCGGCGGCGAGAGGGATATGCGTGTAGCAGATCTCCATTGGACGCGCAAGGAAATACCACGTCTCTGCCGCCTGTGGGTTAAAGCTTGAGTAAAGGGATCTCCGTGGGTGTGTTGGGCTTGCAAGGGAGCAGTCCATAACCCTCCATTCTCCATCAATAAGAACAGTGTTCCACCAATGGTTCACACGGGTGTAACCGTCTAATTCTAATTGTTCACCCGGTGATTTCAGGTACCCCTGGACCACTTCAGCATGGAGGCCCACTGCGACGCACATTTCCATGACCAAGACGGCTACCTCCTGAGGACAGCCTCTCTTCATTTGGATAACCCTTCGTACATCGATCTCTTCATCGATTTCTTCATCCCACACGACCTTCTCTGCCACCCAGGTGAATATAGCCCGTAATCGCTGAATATCGCTGCGATGCGGTCGACACACAAACCCTTGAGCTAAACTCGCTGGACTAGTCATTGGAGGTAAACTGTTGATAAATCGGGAGCTTTTGTCGACCAGTTGAAGGTTAACGGCAGCCCAATTGGTTGGTTCCGTCACCGGTAGCCCATCGATGCCCTCATCACCCTCTGCACATTCATACAGTTCCTCAACAGCGTATATAACAGGAGTTTCCATCATCTGGCAGCGTTCGACCCTCTCGACTAGTTCGTTCCGGCTGGGAGAGGTTGCGCGGTTGACGTCTCTTCGCACTTGAACCCAGTCATTGCCTCCTAGACCCGTGTCTGTTGAGGCGTCTCGGCCATCTTTGGGTGGTGAGAAACTGGCCATGCCACCTGAAAGTAGCCCTTTGGTTGGAGATAGAGAACGTGCGTGCTGGGCTGTAGCAATACTACTCCGCGCCGTTGCTGCTCCCGTTTTCGCTGATTCGATCATCTTTTTCAAGAAACCTGTCTTTTTTGATTTGGGAGTGGTAAGGCCTCCGAAGATGCCAGGAGATTCTGCTTGTTTGTTATATTCCGACCAGCCAACGGCTGAACTTGCTCCTTGCCTGTCGTCTTGGGGTAAATGAGGATAGCTTCCGCTTTGGGGAGTTTGGGGGGTATATGGCCTTTGTTCACCACCAGCATCGTCGCCGAAGCCAGTGAACCCGCCCGATCTAGTATTGTCGAAGGATCTAAACATCCCGTGTCGCAATGGGGACCCTTGTTGATTACGCTTTGCAAAACTGCCAGCACTTGTCGCGCTAAATCCGCCAGCCGATGTGCCACTCATTATGCTTGGGTTGGTGAGATTGGTGCTCGTGGTGCTATGTGTGGTATTGCTCTGGACGCCAGAAGACGAGTTTGTTGCAATAGATTTGGTGGTAAATGTCCGTTCGAGCATATCTCGACCTAGATCATATGTTGATCCCCGGGGTCTCGTACGCGGCAGTACTGGTGATTGCCCATAATTATACTCACCTTTTCTCGGGGGAGGTGGGGGAGGGTTGTCATCATCTTCGACATGCATGGGATTATCTCTCTCCGAGCCTTCATCATGATCATGCAACTGTCTCAAGCGAGACTCCATCCTTTGTACGTAATTGCCAAGTTGGGGAGGACCATCATGATACCTATCATGAAAGCTCTCTGACGACTTGTGGCCGTAGTGATCACCGTGACGGTTATATTGGCTGTTTCCTAGGCCCAGTGAGGTAGAAGGTCGGTTGTTGAACTGTTTCGGAGGGTCGCGTAGGTTTTCAAAGGCATCCGGAGACCAAGGATTGAACGGGGAAGGGCTTCGTTGTGGTTCTGGGGAGTGAGCATCGCGTGACATTCCCATATCCTGTAAGGAAGACATGACATCCTCCATGGCATCTCGTAATGGAGATGGAGTATGACCGTGACCCCCTGGTGAAGGTGGGTATGGAGACGGCGTTCTGGACACCGCCCTGAAGTCATGGTTCGCCTGTTGGTAATGATTATGCATGGGAGATGCAGGGCGTACATATGACGGTTGCCTTCGAACCGCAATCCTATGAGGAGGCGGAGGCGGAGGTGGAGGCGAAGACTCGGGTTCAAGTTCACGCTGAGGTTCAGGTACCATCACCGGTGGTAGCTGTTGTAGTTGTAGTTGTAGTTGTTGTGGCTGTTGCTGCTGTTGATACTGTTGATGCTGGTGCTGTTGGTGCTGTTGGTGCTGTTGGTGCTGTTGGTGCTGTTGGTGCTGTTGGTGCTGTTGGTGCTGTTGGTGCTGTTGGTGCTGCTGCTGCTGTTGTTGTTGCTGCTGCTGTTGTTGTTGTTGTTGCTGCTGCTGCTGTTGTTGTTGCTGTGGCGGTGGTGTAGGCTGTGGTGTTGGCTGCGGTGTTGGCTGCCTCGCAGGCTGTGGTGTCTGCTGCCGGACCGGTAGAGGTGTAGGTTGCCGTGGTGGTGGTGTTGGCGAGACCGCTCGAGATGGAGCGCGAGATGGTGATTTGGGCCGTGGAGTTCTATTCAAGACCGACTTGCGTCCACCGCGTGGAAGCGGTGCAGGCACAGTCGATATCTCAGACTCCTTTTCAGCATTCTTCTTCGCTAGCTCGGCAGACGGCCCCAGGACCTGCTTATAACCCTGGAAGGGTTTCCGGAAAATAGTCTTCTCCTTCTTAGGCGCGTACAATGGGGCGTTCGAAGGGCTATCCTTCACCGGCGGCAGCGGGCTCACAGAGCGTGTAGCCGGCACAAAGTCATCTTCTAGAATCTTGACGAAATTCGACGGGAATACGCCGACCATCCGTCTGTCGCGTCGTAGACGGCCAGTCCACCACGATCCGTCTCCAGCATTGAGACATTCGATCAAGTCCCCCTCTATAAACCCCAAATCCTGTTTCGTTTCGCCTCCCCAGGAGTATACTGCTCGACACCAGCAGGGAAACTTGGTCGGGAGTTGCGATGCCTGGGGCGCCATTTCTGGCGACCAAACAGGTAAATAAAGCTCCAGTCGGATGGAGACAATAAATCTATCGAGTGTCCGAAGGTCTAAACCATAAAGAGAGAGCAGCCAAAGGGCAGATTTGGACCGGGGGGAATAGTGTGTAGCGACTGTGTTGTGTTCGTTGTCGGATGTTTGGAATGATATCGTCTCGAAAAACGGACCCAAAGAGCGGTGAGAAGAAAACTAAAGACCGTGAAATCAAGCGAACGCTGTGCAGAGGCAAAAGATGGACCTTCAGCAGCAGTAAACGAGTGCAATGGTGACAGCGCGGGACTGTCTGTCGCAAGTCTGTCTGTTCCCTGGCATCTTGCGACCTGCCGGGAGTTGTTGGGAAGCGCATCGCAGGTCACGGGGGCAACGCGGATGTTGTGCTGTTTACCTTTTTCCGTTTCGGGACTAGCGCCATCTTATCGATAAAGCTCTCCTCCCAAGGTCAAAAATGCAGATTTGACGTCGAGATCGATAGAACTGCACATAAGGCGGGGATATCATCTTTCTAGTGACATCTTGACCATCTTTCTAGAATCTGACATCTAGTGAGATCGCAACTGTGCGGGACAACTGCCATGACAACTGCTAGGAAGTATCCGACGTCAAGGCCGTGGTTTATCCGACGTGAATACAGAGTGTCTACGGAGTACACCTTGATATCGACTGATGTCGACTGATATCGACTATAAGACGCTTCAGTCACTCCGGCCTCGTTGCATGTTCCTGATCGTGGTGTTCAGCCCTTTGATACGGACCTGAAGGTTGGGCCACGCAATTCGAAACCATGCTCAATATATTAAGGGACGGCGTACGGTAAAGGTCTACGGCGAGGTCGGCATTCTGCGACCATGGATGCTCTCAGTGGCCGGCTCGACGTAGCACAGTCACATCCTTCATGTGAGCTCGATCGAAGCTCGGCCTTGGGCGGACATCCCAAGCTGCAGTGATGAATCATGTTGGACAAAGAAAATCTATTTTCAGTCGACGGCCAGCCACCCTTGTAGGCGGAATGATAAGGCCAAGATGCAGCGCCGGGGAGAGACGCCGTCCCATTCACCAGGATATGAAGTTTTCTTTTTATCTGCACCAATGGCTGAAGAGACGAAAATAAAGTGGCCTCATTCGACGAGAATCAGCCAAGCAGCAGTCGGCGGTAAAACCTGCACCTGTTCACTTGCGGTGCTATCGCTGCATAATTGACATATGCAGCCGCCGCCAAGTCATGCATCTAATATCCAACTTCACTCCTTCTGTTGCCATTGAACAGTTTCAAAGAAAACCGACTCGGATTCCCGTTTACGGCGTGCGAAAGGGTGTGAAGCATTGATATCCTAGGTCTAATATGCAAGCAACCTCCGCTGATATTACAGTTGAGCGCGCCACCGCCTTCGACTACATCAGTTCACCACAAGCAAACAAAGTTCGGATTGATATACACAGATTATCAAAATCAATATCATGTGTACCGTCTACTCGGAAAGCGTGTCACTCATTCCTCAGCTGGTCGAGGGACCCTTGCATAAGGGAATGGCCTCTGCGGCCACGAAGGTTAGACACCATCGCACAACATGTGACAGTATCCTGCAGGCAAACGCGATTTGATACCCGTTGGAGCTCTATATGATATCCGAATATAGCTAGTAAGCTATATAACATATCTCTTTTCTCGCCCCTTTGGCGTAGATCATGCTCTGGCCTAGACTTCGTATTATTCAATAATGGCTATGCGGTCTGTCACACATGCACTTCCATCCTGCTGGATATGATTTCTTTTGGCTCCGTTCGATGAAGGGAAACGGAGTCGCGCTCTAATTACCTGCGGGGGGATCTGTGAAGTGTATTATCGAAGACCGCCAAGTATAGCATTGGCGGCATGAGTTCTATGCTTCCGCGATAGTCCATCCAGTCCTGCACTGTGCTTGCTGCTTCCTTGTCCCGCATAATGGCAGCTTTATAGTCCTTGTTCCCCCTCCCATAAGAGCCGCTGATATTCTCCTCTGTCCTATGAATACTTATAAAACGGATATATCCCTTCAAGTCCTGTTCATCTTGATCAAACCTGTTAAACCATACTCACCACAATCACCATGGGCCCCTTACCACCCCTTTTCTCCTCCGAATCGAATGATTCATGGAAGAAAACATCTGTTGCCGCGTTCGGTGAATTTGTTGGAACGTTCATGTTCCTCTTCTTTTCATTTGCAGGATGCCAAATTGCGAATATGTCGGTAGACCCTGCAAATGCTGGGTCAGGTCCTGATCCCACCGTCTTGACCTATATATCATTGTCATTTGGTACCGCGTTGGCTGTAAATGTCTGGGTATTCTATAGGGTTACTGGAGGGATGTTTAACCCGGCGGTATGCATTGACATCATCACCATCTGTTGACTGTATGATGACTGTTTGCGTATTAACATTATCTTCTCGAGATAGGTTTCTCTGGCCCTTGCATTGGTTGGCGCTGTCAGCCCTGTTCGAGCTGCATTGGTCTCCATTGCCCAGGTTGTTGCAGGAATTGCCGCCGCTGGCGTGGTATCTGCTCTCTTCCCGGGGCCCCTGGTGGTCCAAACCAAACTCGGAGGAGGAACTTCAATCATCCAAGGCCTGTTCATTGAGATGTTCTTGACCGCCCAGCTCATAATCACAATCCTGATGTTGGCCGTTGTCAAGCACCGAGCAACCTTCCTTGCTCCATTAGGCATTGGCCTAGCCCTCTTCATTACACAGATCAGCGGTAAGATTTTCAATTCAGCTACCTCCGCTAGTTAATGACACGTTACATAATTTGTACTTACATGCTATCTTCTCATCTTAGGTGTTTATTTCACTGGCGCATCTCTCAACCCCGCCCGTTCTTTCGGCCCTGATATTATTGCGGGAGCATTCCCAGGATATCATTGGATTTACTGGGTCGGACCCCTGCTTGGCTCCCTCCTTGCAACCGCGTTTTACCATGGCCTCAACGTCCTACGATACCAAAACGTTAACCCCGGCCAGGATTTCGACGGTATCGGATCAGAGCTCATGGGGAATCCTGAGAGGGCTGAGTAATGTGTCAGTGCCTATTATATCTAGGGTAATGCGCTGGAGTACGTTATATCGGGAAGTTGATTTGATAGGCAAGATTGTCCATTCTGTCGTTGGGGCCATTCATGGTTGTTTCAATATCCTCCGCATAACAGTGACTATTAGTTAGGTTAATTAAAGCTTGTGTTAGATTAATAGTTATCCGTTTGCAGGAATCAAGAACGTACGCGGTAAATATTTGCATACAATAGTTGCTAAATACTATTCCGGAAGCCTCTATATTCCTCACTCCGAATCTTTCCGTATGAGCATGGCATGGCGATTAGACCGAGGTAATGGAAGCCTGTAAAATCGAAACTACGACTTTTAGAAAAATAAATGAGCAGCTAGGTGATATGAACAAAAACGTCTTAGATAGTGATACCTACGTTTATTGGGTAACAATTGAAAAGCAGAAAGGTATAGAAAAGGAAAAAATAGGAAAAAGAGAAGGGAAAAAACAATATAACAAGGGCAGGCAGGTTATTACAAAAACAACATCTAACTGCTGCCCTGACTTCATTTGTCCAGATTGTTGCCGCCGCCATACAAAATGAACATTTTCAGGCCGTGTTCTATCATCGCTGGATTGCCGTAAATCATCCATTTGTTTCTCAGAGACCGTCCAAAAGAATCAACTATATTTCAGCACGAAATTTGAGGGCACTTCCCCGAACAGCCGAGCCTACGTGGTTGGGTCCAGGGCTAGAAGGCCGGCTTGTACCGTACTTTGGGCTTCGGGGTTGCATGCTTGTAGCCCTGGTGGAAGGGCGATTCTTTTTCATTTCACGAATCTCCTCCTCCTTCTTCGTTAAGAGGGCCTCTCTCGACGCAAGCAAGACCTCTAGTTCTTTGATACGAGCTAGATGCTTTTGCTCATCTTCTTTTATCCTAAGCTCCTTGAGCCTCGCGGCTTCACCGTTTGCTTTCTTTGTAAGATCTTTAACTCGTTCCTCCAGCTGGCGGGCCTCCATTGCTGATTGTGCTGCTGATGTGGAGGCATTTTGGTATTGTTGTCGGGTATATTCGGTTTGCGATCGTTCCTGTTGAACGGTACGCTCAAGGCTCGCCATTGTCTTTTGGAGGTTCCTGACTTCCTCTCTAGATTTCTCTAGATCTGATTCTAACCCGCCACCAGATTTGATAGTGTCCCGCGCTGCTTCTAACTCTGTGACTAATTCCACATTCCGGTCTTTTATTTTCGAGATTTCTTCTTTCTGGCGCTCAAACTTTGCTTGTGATTTTTTCATAGTCTCACGTTCCACATCGAGTTCATGTCGGGTTTCATGCAATTGGTTATGTTTCGCTTCATAACGATATTGAAGTGCACCGATGCTAGCCTCTAATGTCTTTACTTTGGATCTCAAGCTAGTTAGAGCGGCACGCAGACTTTCAGTTTCGGCTGTGGTGGCTGACGGCTTCCGATGAACTGTAGCTGCCGAAAGGTTGCTATCCTGCTCCGTTTGTGTTTGGTCCTTCATGGAATCACTAATTTGTGTGATATCTTGAATTGGCGTGATTCTCTGGCGTTTTGACGGATTGGTACTATCACTCATCTCGCCCTCCTAAAAGATATAAATTAGAATCATTCGCATTTCCCTTTCAGACTTGATCATAAAAAACTCACCAGCCATCTCTTTTGCCGCGAGGAGGCAATCGAAGACATTGGATCAGGCCCAGAAGGGGGACTTTCATCCTCTGCTTCAATTTCCAGAGCTTCCATCAAAGGCAGTTTCCACGATCTCGAAGCAGGGTTCTCCATGACATAGAATAGGGTTTCCTCGGCGTTTTCCTGAACCCCAAGGGCATCGTCCTGTAGCTCCCCTGCAGAATCATTACAAGCTAGAGTATGCTGGATAAGCAGTCGAAGCCTAGTAAGTTCCGAGCATTTGGGAAGACATAGTTTGACATGCTCGACCGTGTTGGCAATAACAAGTCGGACCACGGGAACAATGAAACCTTGTCGTGCCCTCAGTTTCTTAGTACACTCACGATCGATGTTGAAGGAACTGTCCAGGGCTATAATAAGGCAAAGTGGTTTGGCGGATGGTATTTCTCGTTCCTCGGCTGTCGAGCGTACTTCAAAACTCATATTCTCTTTGCTGAAAACAGCCGGGCAACCGCCTTCTTCGTTTTCCGGCAAGGGGTGTTGACTGAACTTTTTCCCTAGTAGATAGCGTTTTACTACATCAACAGTTCGCCCGGGTTTAGCCATTAGAATTATATGCAAGTCAAGTTCCTTCGAGGCGTCCATGAAGTAACCAAGGTATTGGAATTTTGAGCTCGAGTACTCAGCCCACAGCGCCTCCTTTGCGGCATCTGGAGAAGCTCCAGGTGCTTGGTTGACTATATTAATATCCGGATGAGTTGTAATATTGTCAAGTTTCTCAATCATAGTCGCCATCCTTAGAAGAAGGGCTTGGTTCTAAAAATGAGGAGAATTTAGGAAATGTCAAGTGAGAGACAGATTGGGGGTGGTGACTTACATCTCCCTCCGAAGGCCCAATTTCACTAGAATCCGGCGATCCTTCTAAAAATTTCTCGACATACTTGCTTTCACCTTCGAGGGTATTATCATATTCATCTTTCACTCGACAGTCCATAGAAAGTGGAATGGCAAACTCCATTTCACTGAGATTCAAAACGTGAACCTCTTGCTCCACAGCATCGGGATCCTGCTCTTGAGTGCTGGATACATTTGACTCGGCGGTCTCAGCGGGCTCAGTTTGCATATTTGACTCAAGCACCTCTGGAATGGACGCTATCTGTTCAACATTGTAATGTAGAGCTTGGGGTGCCACAAACGGAACAGGCGTAGACAAATATTCTCCACTTTCTATGGTGCTTGTAGGGCCCTTATCTATACGTGTGCGAAGAGGCGAGACAATATCCGACACATTCGGTGGCGCTGGTGGATCAATATCTCCTGCAGAAGATGGAGTCGTGCTCTGCGTAAGGCTCTGGAGCGGCTTTCGGAGAGCGCGATCAGAATCCCATAGCTGTTTGATCCTCTCAGCAACGCTAGTACCCCGTGTATTGCGTGCGGCTTCCCCACCATTCGCCGGCGGATGCGAAGAGTTTCTGCCAGATGCTGAGTTATTCATGGTAACCGAAGAGGAGGGGCGAAGACTGTTACGTTGTGGCGAACTGGACGAACGATTGAAACGAGGGCGATTGCCTATATTGCTGCCTTTTGGTATCACTTCACTGGCCGCTCTTCTGAGAATCCTTCTGTCCCTAGACGAGTGGTCTCCACGATTCGTATTCGAGCTGACGATAGCTAATGGCGATTCCTCAATGAAGGATCGTGTAAAGGGTAACTTGGAGTAAGTGTGTCGATTTCTGATACCTTGGTATTCTGATTCAGGGATTGATTGGCAAGACCCGGTTCTAGTGGTTAATTTAGAAAATGGTGTCTGAAATTCTGTATGCCAAAGAGTTAGCCTAACAATCCGTCCTTTAAGTGCAACTGAGCTTACCGGAGGTGTTCTGAGTACCCGTCCTAAGGTTAGTTACGCTGTTGGTCTCGAAATCTATATGCTCAGGAGAGCTATTACCCGGCTCCTCGACGCGTAACCGAGCTGGCGGAGTTTCTTGTACTTCGTTCACAAACAGCCGAAGGTGTGACTGGCAGTTCACTTGACTGTCTCCTTTCTCTGAGGGAGTGAGGTGAGTATTACTAGCAGTGAATGATTGTTCAAGATGTTCCTCCTCGTCTTTGTGGTTGTGTTGCGGAGAAGATGGGACCGCAGTAGTTAACCTTTGTTCACGTAGAGTATAAGAACCAGCAGTTGATTCAAGTACCCAGGTGTCAGCAGTAGAGTCTGGTATACTGTACTCCTGGCTATATAGATTAGCACTCCTGGGTGTTGTGGTATTATATGATGCTTGCTGCTCTAATGATGCAGAGTGTGATTGTCCACTCGCACGGCCAGAAGAACTAGTTGAAACCTGGGTCCCTTGGGAGTTTGTATTTGGGCAAAATATACTCCCACTCAGTCCAGTTCCCTGGGATAAAGAATAGCCGGAAGAATGAGGATTGGAAGATGACGCTTGCTCAGACCCAATGCTCTGTAGACTAGAGGATACTGGCGATGCAGAAGATGGAACAGCCAAAGCTTTGCGATGAGGTGTTTGACAAGAGCGCTTGGGTCTTTGCTCCTGATAGTGCTTTGCTGATATATATCTCTTTTGCTTCTCAGCTTCCCAGGCCTGGACTGCAGCGTAACTAGCGCAGTGCTTAGGCTCCTATAACCAAAAGGTATGTTCAGTATTAAGGATAGGTAGGAAGAAAAAGCTGAGAGCACAGAAAGCAATTGACAAGGCAGCATAGACAATACGTCAATATATATATCCCTACATAATAAGGGTAGCTCATCGGGAGGTAACACTCACCCAACTCGGTTCAAAAGGACCTTCCCACGCGATCAAATATTTGCCACCAGATTCGTCAAGTATAAACTTGATTGGGTATTCCTGGCTGCTATATGCAGATGCTTGTCCTGATGATCTAGGAGCACTGTGGTGTGGCGTGGACTGTTTCCTTGCGGTACGACTCTCCAATGACGGTAGACTGGAGCTCGATGAAGTAGTGCCTCTGGATCGGGGACCCATCTTAGGCTTGCGCGGAGCGAAGGTGTGCCATTTTCACATAAATGATTATAAACCAACTTTGAGAACTATAGGATCAAGACAAGCACCGGTGTTTCCGCGAGAGACCAAAGAACCCTGGTATAGGAACGGGAGATGTTTTAGTGTTGATGCATCAAGTGCTATGTCCTTGGGGTTCTTAAACAACTAGTGCTCACGTGATATCACTATTAAACAGCGACAACAAGCAACATGCTAGCTCATGGATACTAGCGGCTACTAGTTACTAACCTTTGTGGCTTTGACTATGGAAGTGTAGGTTACTGTGGCCATGAGAGTGGCAAGATCTATTCTTCTATCTTGAGATACTAAGGTATAATAAACACGAACATGGCTAACTCTAACAAAACAGCTCTGGAACGTTCACACTGAATGGAAACGCAATGTTTCCATCCATCTGAAACCATGGCCAGGTTCATAACAGAAGGCCGCGGGCAGGGGGTGATTTAATTTTTCTCCTGCTCCTTTTTCGTTGCTTCATAGTCAAAGCCAAGCTCCTCCAGGGTTAAGCATGATCCCCTCTTGTCTCCGAGTGCAGCATATGCTTGCTTTATCAAGGTGAATTTTGACCTTATCCATCTCTCTTTCTCGCTCCATCTTGGCCCCCATTTCCCATGTCCGTCGTTAGGAAGGCCTGGCCTTGGCTTCGCACTTGCTACCCAGTCATACATCTGATTGAGATAGTCGGCATCAAGAGGATAAGCTAGTGCATGAAAGGCCTTTCCTGGGCCTCGAGCTTCAATATTGGAGTTTTCCCATTCATACATCTCCTTCTTCGATGGTAGATTAAGTCTTCCGGACCAGACTCGCGCAAATGCTGCACATTGGTTCTCCGCCTGTATGAAGGGAATAACTTTCTGATGTAGGCCCGGGAACACCAGTGTGGGCTGTTCGATGTAGAAGAGATGCTGGTAAACATGCAATGTCCTACCACCATCGGTAATAACGGGTAAGTCGAGACCCGAAAGAAAGGGAAATGAATAGAGATATCCAGTGCAGAAAAGGACAACGTCAACGTCCTCTTCGATTTCGCCGTTGGAAAACCGGATAGCCCGATTGTGAGTCTCGGGTGACATGAACTCTGCTATGGGCGGATACTCCTTCCTATCTGACGGAGCAGATGATAGGAAGTAAGACTCGGACCTGATGGAGGATATGAGAGGCTGCTGGCAGACTTTGCTAATCTGTGACCCAATGTCCAAGCCCGAGGCAGAGTTCCCCACAACAACAACCTTCTTGTTCTTATAGGGCGCAGAATTGAGATATTGCTTTGAGTGGAGTATTCCTTGAGGGTATGCTTTCTTCCAGGCTGTCATTCCAGGAACCGAGGGCACATGGGGCACATTATAGTGTCCATTCGCAATTACAACCGCGTCATAGACATCAGTCTGTAACTCTCCACTCACCAGATCTTTCCTGGTAACTGTCCAAGTCCCAAGGTTAGTGTCTGCAGGCGTAATATCCAAAACCTGCACTTGGAATTGTATAAGATGTTTAACGTCCAAGCTATATTTTTCCAGGTACTCAAGCACAGTCTTAAACTTTGGAAACAGCTGCGTTCGATCGGGGAAGGGTAAATCAGAAAACCGCATCAGCCCATGGGGTATATTCGTTTCTAGCCCCTCGTACAGCGGCGAGAGAAATGTCGCTTCCTTTCCTGAAGATTTTGAAGTCCCAGTATGCCAAAAGGGTTCTTCCAAAGGAACGTTTGGGTCTTCTGCGGGAACTGGAATAGTGGCTTGATCCTTATCTTCTGCCGGATTCAAATTCCATACACCCCCAACACAGCTCCTTTGCTCGAAGAGGTCGATCTTATCAAAGCATTCTTCGGCAAGTAGATATCTACATTAGTAATTAGTACTATAGCTTAGAAAACCGAGGGATATCACATACTTGGCTGCAACCAATCCACAAGCTCCTGCTCCAATAATGGCAACCCTTCGCACTGGTGGGGGTGTCCTTGTCATATTCACTGTTCAGTTGTGCTAAGAGAATGGCAATATATACAATTTTATACGGATACTACACATTCCAGGCCGTATAGAAAGTACATTGGTAGAAAAGGCCACCCCCCGCCGGCAAGTACATCAATATATCGGCTAGCAAAAGACCCCCAGGATGTGCCCCTCTTAAGGGGAAAATCTTATGCGGGAAAATCTTATGCGGGAAAGAATGGAGTGATATTGAATTAATCTGGCCAATCAGGATCCAACTTATTAATAATTCACGGCTTGTCGGAGATATAATACTCCGCCGTGACTAATCACTCACATCACATGACATTACATCACTGGAAGTTCAAGGCACCCACGCCAAACAAACGCGCGCTTGGATTTACGTGACGCTCTATATTGAAGCTAGACTATAAATTATTGGGAGCTGCTTCTCTTTATATACACCTATGATACCGAGACCTGTGCCCAATATTCATGGCGTGTAGGGCAGGATGGACGACAAACCCACCGCGAGCGATTTTTCAAGTCTTGCGGTGACCCCGATCGCAGCTCTGTCTCCTGAACTTGATACTCCCGAAGTACGGTATCTCCATGCAGTCGTAATTCTCCTCTGGCCCTTTTCATCGGCTACGAAGCAATTTAGCTTGCTCTTGTCCGAGCCAGACTTCCGGTTACGAGGCGGCAAGGGCCAGGTCAAGGCGATTTTTCGGGAGGGGGCGGCAGAAGCTGTTGCAAAGTCCAACATCGGAATCGGAGACACAGTTTTTCTAAGCTTGCAGGGAGCCAAATGGAGAAGCAATAGCCATGAAGATGCTAAACAGCTAGGCTATACTGAATGGAGTTTACTCTTCAGTGGCCGGGTGCTTCTTGAAGTATGTCAAGCTCCCCACATGAAATATATTTATACACAGCTCCTAAGGCTTATATAGGCACAACGTACCTCGACACCATTAAGTATAGTCAACTTCAAATGTGAACGAGAAAATTTGGGGCCTGCAGAACCACCGGTCACGCCAAAAAAATTGTCTGATGGAATCGTGAGCCCCATATCTTTAGCAAACCGAAGCTGGGCATCGCCTGCATTCTCCCGAGCTTCGAATGCCCCATTTAGCTCGCCATTATTCGAAAGTCACGCCGAAGAGGATGGATATATACCAGGTAACGGGAGAAAGAGAACGAAGTTTGGTCGACCGAGTAGTGACTGGGTGTTTGTGGACTCAGCCCCCAGCCCTACGAAGGAGGGGGATATGTGGGATGACGAGGAGCTAGTTGAACGGGCCGTTGAGGCTGAGGAGGCCCCGCTAAGGCCATCTCCTGAGGCTCCGTCGCCCACCAAGGATGGTGTAAATGTTGAAGAATTTGAAATCCAAGGTGACGAGGGAGTCGACCGAGATGTGGCATCCCTTTCGTATGAAGTTGAACAAGCTCCTAGAAATGGCTCCCCAGTTGTTCCCCCGGTACTAAACCTTCCTGAGATAACTGAAGATGAGCCACGGGATGCTTATACAGAACCATTTGCAGCTGGTATAAACGTCGTTGACCGTCAGCAACCATTATCTCCCAGTCTTCCTGAAATTGAGACCCCCCACCTTCACCCGGTTTCCCCGCTAAATATACCTGCCATCTCTCCGCTTGGCACATCGCTTGGGGCCTCAACGGGTGGCTCGCTGACACCTGCTGATGTAGCAATGGCCGGGCCTCCAATGGTTGACCCGGCCACCCCTTGGATGGCCAAAACAGGGATATATACAGGGAATCAGGAACACTATTCAGTGTCTGACGGGGCGATGAGGGCCATTGATGTTTCGCCCGACCAAGAAAACAGAACGTCATTTGGCGGCCTTGCAGACGTTGTGGCCCAAAATTATCCACTGTCTAGAAACTCAGAGGAACCCCCCTCCGTGGCCAATGATGCCCTTCAAAGTGACTCGGAGGAAGAACTAGAAGAACAACCTAAGGATTCGGGACACATTGAGGACGCAGGGGGTGATGAAGTGCTATCAGTCTATGGCGACACTTCATCGGATGTAGCTGCGGAAGAAGGAGACAGGACCAGAGCAATATCAGTTGAATCGTTCGAGGGGACATCCGACGAAGATGAGGCTAGCGAATGCCCTAGAGATCATCTTACGCCCGTTGCTAGTGATATAGATGAATCGCCATCACCACAGCCCGCTGAGCGATATTCCATCTCTTCTGACAGCGATACTTCAAGTGACGAGGCAGATGAAAACCTTTATCCGAGAGCTGCAGCTACCGAAACAACCGAGCAAGAAGTTTTTGTGATACACGACGATGAATCAGACGACTCTGAATCAGAAGTCGAGAGTATAGGTCCTGCCCAGGGGAGTGGAGGTTTGCATTCTTCTGCTGAGGGAGATAGTGAATCTTCCATTCATCCTCGTTCGCATTCTCCTGGTAAATCGGCATTTGATAAACCTGCTGAAGCTAACACCTACAGAAATGCAGTAGAGACCCAGGGTTCCAGCATTCCATCCGATATCCATGCCGGAGATAAATCCCCTTCTCCCACTGACGTATTGGATGACGATAGGCTAGGTAATGGGACAAAGCCCTTGCCAGAGGGTCAAACAATCACCACTCCCATTATGAACCATGAGTTCACTACAGAGGATATTCACGAGTCAATGGAACCCTGTTCTCAGCCCAGCCTACAACAGTATCTGTCTGATGCAATATGCAATCCTACCCATTCCCACATTGATTCAACCCTCGTTAATGAGGAAAACCCTATGGACCCCCATGGCGACAAGCTCATCTCGAGTTTCCTCGCACCTCAGCCGACAGATTTTATAACTCCAGAAAATACCCAGGGCTCTTGGACGTCATTCGGCTCTCATTCACACCATCTCTCATTTCCAATTCACTTGGACCCAAATTTACCGACTCCGCAACCTTCACAAACCACGGAAGCTACTTTGATTTCCACTTCATTGGCTGAAGATCAGTCAGGTATCAAAACTATTGTTGATGTTTTCCACCCTCCCACTCAGAGCCGCCCCAGCACTTCCTCCTCAGTATCTACCAAAGTTGAAGAGGCAAGGCCATCTACCGCCAATATTCAAATAACCGGAACGACAGATAATTCTCCTAGCGAAATACACGAGGCGGTGCATCAAAAGTCCCCCAGTGAGCCCGCTCCGGTGGTGCCTACTACGGAAACCGAAATCGACCCAGAAATTTCTGGACTACGCACCAAATTTTCATATTTTTGCCCACTTTCACGCCTTCTCGAGAATTTCAATCAATCGGTGGACTGTATCTCGATAGTTGTCGATATCACCCCCATCAATCGTGCAACTCAAGGTGCTAAAGACTACTATGTTTGCCTACGATTAACCGATAAGTCACTTGGAGGGTCGACTACAGCCGCCCAAATATTTCACAAAACCAGAGATGCCCTTCCAATGCCTGCTGAAGGAGACATTATTCTGCTACGAAATTTCCGAGTCCAGAGTTTGAACCACAAGATGGTATTGAACAGCACGGATAACAGTGCGTGGGCATACTTTTCCCAGGAAAACGAGGAAGATGTGCAAATTGATGGCGCACCGGTTGAATATGGGTCCGAAGAACAAGAGTATGCCGCGCAGCTTAGGATCTGGTATGTGCAAGAAGGCTCCGAGTTAGTGGCAAGGAATATCGCGCACGATAGTCAGCGTGAAAGTGTCGATACTAGCAGCAGATCGACGAGTGAGGCTGGTAGCCAACTTAAAAATATCTTCAAAAAGCGGCGTCGAGCACGGGGTTCGACGAATCGAAGGATTACAGTTCATGAACTGAGGCATGGAAGACGTTATGTTGATGTTGGATCACCCTCTGACAATGAGAGTATACACGAGTTGCGAAACGGGACACTATACGCCCATCCAGACTAAGTCTGGCATTTGGATACAAGTTGGAAACATGCTTTACAAAATTTGAATATCAATGAAATGGAGGTCTACGTCAATGACTCAATTTGGAACCCTCATCCTTCTTTGAATATATTTAGGACAAAAATATTAATAATATATAATTATGATACTGCTCCTTGTGCCATCTTTATTATCAACGTAGGTGCGCCTGCTAACTGGCTACAGACTTATGAGTCCAAAACGGCGTTTATTACTTTAAAAGTTGTCCTCGATAGTTGCATATCGAAGCCCTGCAGGGCCTGTCTTATAGACAGGAGCCCAGTGTTCTAATGTTTACCTTGATTGAATTTGAAATATTTGTTGAGGCTGGAGACTTGATATTACACTGGATCAAGATAAAATATAAGTGATTATTACACTTGTTCGCGCAGAGTTCTAGCAGCCATCATCAGCACACTGAACCAGGCAGTCGGCATCAACCATCAGTATCATGATAGAGTACAAATGTCAGACTTTGCCAATTAACTTCAAGCTCCTCCAGCAACGCAGAATATTCCACGAGTGTAAATGCGGTTGAGCTCATCAGATTACCAGAGCTGTCTAATATATATCTTCATTCCACATCGTACTCTATCACGACACCGCAACGGATAGAAGGGAACGCACGTTGGCTTACAGTTTTTAACAGGCGCCCGTAACATGTACGAGCTTGGGTGTGTTTATTTGATTGTCCCTACTAGAAGGTCATCAACGGGTCATGGGAGCTCCGGAGAGCCCTCGTGTTGATGGTTTTATAAGCGGGCTTGCATCGATCTGGACACACGCATCGGAATCGCCAAAGCAGTAGAGAGGAAAACAAAGAATGTTGCTGCAACTAGCGATGATTTGAGTTGGTGGTCGGTGAAAGAAGAAAAAGAAGAAAGAAAGGAAGTTGACAGACGCGAGAAGTCAAAGAAAATATCGAAATTTGTTAGTGTATTACGTAAGGATATGGAAGGGTGTTGCAAACTGTGCAAACTTACCCGCCCTGATCGATATAAGACCTTCGATGGCTTGGGAAAAGAAGCGGTAAGGGGTGAAGTGGCCTTCGTCTCATCTCGTGCCATTATTAGAGTCGTTACAAGTGTCTAGGTACAGATCGAATAATATAGGTACCCTCGCTGCAGGAGGGAGAAAAAAAAAGAAGAAAAAAAGAAGAAGAAGAAGAAGAAGAGAAGAGAAGAGAAAACATCTTGCTGAAAACGTCACGTCGTCAATGGGCCTCGTTTCACTCATCAATCATCTGTCTATCTCAATCCCAGTCCCAAGGCAAGCTCGATGCGCCCTAATGCTTCATGCAACTGATTCGGTTCCACAGAGAAAGATATTCGTGCCCACCCCTTCTCCTTGAACGTCTTGTGAAAGCTTCCTCCGGCATTACTGACCATGACTCCCGCGTTCTTCAAAACCTGTACCATCTCCGCCTCGTCGTCCCGCGATCTGGCATTGGGAGCCAAACGCGCGAAGATGCTCAAGCCTGCGTTCACGGGGATATACTTGATGCCATGCCGTACAAAGAAGGAGGTGATGAGCATGTAGCACTCAGCGAGACCAGCAGAGTTAAGAGCAATCAAGATGGGCAGTCTGGGACTTGAAAGGAGAGAAGTTGCAAAGGCGTGTGAGACAGGAGTGATTTTTGCATTTGGGGCATTAGAAAGCCCGCGAACAAGCTCTTTGTTGCCCTGTGACACGGTACAGCCCTGCAAATTGATGTCAGCTATTTTGCTCATCTTATTTCTTTGCTCACTTGTTCCCGTCGGGTGGAATGGGAATGAACCTACCACTTTAAAGCCAGTCGCGCCAAAATCCGTGCTAATGCTCCATATAGTGTGTATTCTCGACAGATCGCACCCCACCGCACGGGAGTCCAGAGCCAGCGCCGAGACAAAGGGGACAGGATCGGAGATTTCAGCACAAGAAAACGCTGTCAGGGCATATACTTCGTCCGAGATGAAATGGATGCGCCTGTGCTGGCAGAATTTAAGGGCAACTTCCAGGAACTCTTGCGGGTAGCATTCGCCAAAGGAACTGCTCATGTTCCTTATGACCAGCGCCTTGATCCGGCAGGGGGCATTGTCGATTGCTTCGTTCAACGCCTTGAGAAAATGATGAGATGTTCCACACATGTTCGTGTTGACGGTAACCGGCTTCACGCCGGTGTGAGAAAAGTTCATATCGAGATCAGAGTCACCTGCATGCATGTCAGCGTTGTGCTCGTCCAGATTGAAAGAAGTCAGGAGGGACGTACCCCAGTGTGGGCCGGGGATGAGCACCCCGTCGCCAGGGCTACTAATATTATACAGAAGTGCATCGAGGCAGCCAGCTGCACCCGGAGCGGTAGCTATATGTGAACGGCTAACTGGAATACAAGGGTTGAAGTAATTGTTGAAGAGTCTTGCCAGGCTCTCCAACAACCGTGGATCGCCAGCGTCGTCGGACGAAGAAAAGGGGTGCTAAATTCGACGGTCAGCCCCCAGCCAAAAACCAAAAGGAACGACCCTCTTCACGTCCACGCAGGGTTAAAAAAAATACCTGAGAAACGATATCCTGCGTCTTAACGCTCTTGCAGATTTCCGCGAGCTCTTCCCGCAGCAGAAAGTTCTCAGTCCTGGACAGGTCGATAGTGCCCGGTCTGAAATAGCCGTTGCAGGCATCCGTAGAAGTGGGTATCAAAGGCATCTTCGAAGGGATCTTGACTCTGGAGCGAGATGATGGAGACGGTTGCTTCGTGGTGTTCCCTAACATCATTTTCGAAGGCTCAGGCTCCTCTTCTGCTCTTTAAATACTATAACGAACGAACGAGCGCTCAACCCGCTAGCCTGCGATCACACGGCTCGCTGGCGACGATAGAAGGCAAACTTCCACACTCGGGGTATACAAGCTTAAACTGGCCGCGGGCGTGTTGCAATGACCGTTTTCGTGCCTTCAATAATAGCATCTCAGAAATTTTAAATGGGAATTAAAAGCTGGGAATAGCCAGTATGTATGGCGCATTGGAAGCAGCTGTTTCACCGGCCGGTACGAGGGAGGTACCGGGCTTGTCAGCGGTAGCCTGGGCCTTTTCGTCGGTACTCGGCCCTAGGCGTATTGTACGTATGCAGGCGGCACATCCTCTGGAGCCGTTGTCCGCTGTCCGTTGTCCGGGTTTGGCGAGAGGGCAGAGATCAGATGCGCTGCACCATGCCTGCGCTCAGGGGCGTTTCTTTTTCTCCATGCGACACTTGCCCGGCGCTAAGACAAAGCCGTCCATCCAACCACCTACTTTTTTGGGAATCTCTCTCTATCTCTATCTATCCCTATCTCTATCTCTATCTCTATCTCTATCTATCCCTATCATCACGGAGTATCTATCTCTATATCTACGGAGCATCTCTCTCTACGGAGTACGGAGTACTCTATATCTATCTATCTATATCTATCTATATCCACATCCTTTCTATCTCTCTATCTCTACGTCACATCATCAGCTGTAGAGGTAACCGGAGTAGTCTACCATGCGTATATAGATAATAGAGTATCAAAGTGGTATGTAGATGTGTATGGAATAGAGTATGTAAGGATGCGCTTTCCCCTTTCAGCCGGTGGGTCTGCCGCTTCTCACCGCCCGAGGTAAACAAACCCTTGCGAACTTCCGCATCGGGCAATCAGATCGCTGCCCGCTCGCCCAATCAGATCGCCCGCTCGACCTCGTCCAACATCTCAACTCGACGCTTGCATCGCAGCGGCTGTGACACCGCGCCGACAGTGGCGGTTCCATACACCGCAGAACATCACCGTCAGGGTACGTACACTCGAGTCGCCTGCAGACCGAGAAAACGTGTCGTTACGGCATCAGGATCTACTGCTGCCACGCGGCTTACAAGGCCCCGTCCGCCCTCCCGAACCCGCCTCTTGCTCCGTCGATTATCCGCATACCCTGCATCTGGGACTGACTGCAGGGATGTCTGGGATCTGGGGACGTCGCGGCGCCTTCTCAGACGTCGATATGCTGCCCGCTGCTCCTCCAAATGCCTTATACGGTGCCTTGGCATCTGGATATGCATGTACTCCAACGGGATACATTGAGGGGATACATTGAGGGATACCTGAGGGGATACTTGAGGGGATACTTGAGGGGATACTTGAGGCTTATCATCTGTACGCTGGGCCGGAAGGGTACACTGCTTCCGCTGCATACTGTGCATGCTTCTCACAGTCGACGTCATCGTCCTGCGGCCGGTGGCTGTTTTGATATCGAAGCCTCCAGCTTGCAAGTCTCGACGGCGTCTGGATGCACGGAAGTCGGCGGAATGCCACCGCAGAGCAAGACTTCCGCTCTATCCGGCAGTCTGTCGATATACATTCTAGATCTTGGTCAACCAGATAAGATCTATCAACTAGCAGTGGCCCAAGTAGGCATAAGGTAAATAAGGACAAACCTAGCAGGCTCATCGCTATTGGTGTAAGAACTCATATATCCATTAAGGGTAAATGGTAAGAAGTTAACTGTAACAAGCTGTATTTGCAGTCCATCCTGTCTCTGGATAGTAAACTGATTGGACAGGCAATATATTAACAATATATTAATATTATAACTGTTAATGTCATCGTCATAAGATACATTAAGCGCCACCACACGTGACGGTCTAACCCAAACACGGATTACTGCCTCTTTTAGCCGCGCGGTTAAAATTGCGAATGCGGCAAAAGCTTGATTGTTCCTTCTCCGCCCTCATTCCTCTCTGTATCAGCAAATTCTAGCTCAAATCTCGTTCTCTACCGCGCTTCACCCCTAGTCCAACGGTCAATCCTACCGCCTAACGTGCCCCTTGTCTGCTCCCCAGCCTAATACCGACCCTCGCCGCGCTCCTTTCCACCTCGCCAGCTTCACCGCAACCCTTTCGCGCGACACCGAACGACCTGGGTTTTCGACTCTGGGTGAACTCCCTCTCTCTCTCTTATACCTACCAGCGTCCTTAACGAAATAAGCAAATGGAGAACGCTAATTTATGGACTCGAAGATCTAAGTAAGTACACACCCCTCCCCCGGTTCGTGTGCGCCGCAGCTTTTCTCTGCATTCTGCCTCGTCATATCACAGTGTGGGGAGATAAATATTAATTTTCTTTGCTTTTTCCTCTTCTTCTTCCTTCTCTTATAGCTCTGCAAAACTTTCGTTATCTACGCCGGGTTCCGACAGTAAAGACGGTGCTGGTAAATCGGACTCGTCTCGTGGTCGTTCGTCTGGCCGGTTTGACGGCCCGCACAATCGCTCTAATCCCTTCAACGCCATATCGCCCCTCTCAACGGGCGTCTCGTCTCCCTCCGTGGCTGCATCGTCTGCATTCGGACTGGGGTCGGGCGCCTTTGCTTCGTTCGGGTCGACTGCAAAGACGTCCAAGACGCCAAACTCGCTTGACTTCATCGCCGGAAAGCAACAGAGTGACAAGCGAGATATACAGGCTGATCAGGACGGCGGGCCCTGGAAAGCAGTCAAGTCCAAGGCTTCTTCGTCTTCCCTTGACAAATCTACCGCCTCCGTCAAGGATAACGGAGTAAGAGAACTCCCGCTCAAGTCCACGTGGATTGTCTGGTACCGTCCCCCGACGCCCAAGTACTCCGATTACGAGAAGTCCACCATCCCCCTCGCGTCCATATCATCCGTCGAGGGCTTCTGGACGGTTTATTCACACCTCAAACGACCTTCTTTGCTACCGACTGTGTCGGATTATCACATTTTCAAGAAAAATATACGTCCAGTGTGGGAGGATGAGGCGAATAAGAAGGGCGGCAAGTGGATTATCAGATTGAAGAAGGGAGTGGCAGATCGATATTGGGAAGATCTACTCCTGGCTATGGTCGGAGACCAGTTTGCCGAGGCAAGCGAGGAAGTCTGTGGTGCCGTCCTCAGCGTCCGCAGCGGGGAAGATGTCTTGAGTATATGGACCAAGATCGATGGCGGACGTAATATTAAGATCAGGTATTTGCCAACCGTAGCTTTATTCAAAGGGGCCATGTTGCTGATCAAACTGTCTAGGGAAACTATTAAACGTCTTCTGGCATTCCCGCCGGATACAAACATTATTTGGAAAAGTCACGATGACAGCATAGCCCAGAGATCGGCTATAGACCAGGCACGTCTGGATAAAACCGGCGGAAACACCAGTCATCACCACCACCATCACCATAACCAGGGAGCTGACCGCCGCCGTAACACCAACCAGGAGGATTCTACAGGTGAAAGGGTGAAGAGCGTTACCAACTCTTAAATCTGGAGTTTATTTTTGGTTTCTCCAGCAGGCCCGATGTATACTACCTTTGTTTAAATGCTAAATTCCATTCGCCGGCATACCCTTATGTCTTATTCTATTGCTAGCTTTCCCATCATGTCATGTTCTTCTTTTCTGTTTTCTATATTGTTTTATCACGATGGATTGGAGGCCTATTTCGGAGACAACATTGATATGTGGCAACGCTTTCTTCTGGGTCCCTGGGTTCAATATTCAGCATCATGGTGTATTGTCTTTTTGCAGAAGTGGTCAACTGGTTTTACGGCTCATTTCAATTCTACCCTTAGTTATGTTCTCTAGATTATGAGCTTTATCAAACTCATTTCAACCTTCCTGCAGCTATCCTAGCTTATTCTACTTCTTTGTTAGTTTGTCACTTTATTTTTCACTTCTTTTTTCTCCGTTTGTCACTTCTTTTTTGTTAGTTTGTCACTTCATTCTAGCAGTTTGCAAAGTGATGGAGCAAACATCCATGGTGGGCGTTTATTGGTGGCGGCTGTCTATAAAACCCTAATGTCACCTTTGGTTATCGATAATGAATGCTAGTTTTCCAGCACGCAGCCAGCACCGCACTTCTATCCGCCTCCCTAACCGCACATTTAATCTACAAATGTCCCACACACCTCTGCTCTACCAGAAGTGAGGTCTGTCGTTAATCCGCAGAGATAATATCGCCTGATACCTTCTGCTTCACAGGCCGATAAGAGTGAATGCCCCTGTTAGGTGATGGTGGTTGCGAGACACAATTCCCCCAGAGCTTCGCTACGCAATTGCATCAACCTCTGTCTATGACAAGCCTCTACACATATGTCTCGAGAGAAGGGAACTGCCGGTATATGAGAGAGCTTGAAGCTGGATTAGGAACAGGTTACACTGTGCATTAGGGAGGGTGGGTTTATTCTCCAATCTCCAGTCGCGCGGGCTACTTTTACCTCCGCCTACTAGCTTTTCCCGGTTACGATACAGATTGACTAACTACCTACACTCTCTAATTAGGATGCGACCAGGCCAAGTCTATCCTATCTCTCTATTTGGACTCAGGGAGAAAGCCCATCCAGTGTAAACGCAACCGGAACCCAGCCGTTTGAGTGGTTGGAGTTTGAAGCTGATAGATGGGTTTGCGCAGCCAAAGACTGAGCAAGGATGAAAAGCAGAATTATAAGGATGAGCAACGCCTGCTAATTCCCGGCGGCCAGTATGTTATCCTCCATGACGAGAAATATTTTTATATTGAGGACCGGGCTAATACTGTTTCTGGAAGGCCTAAACGGGACCGCGGCGCCATTCCCATCCGACCAGGCTCAGTCACGAAGAAATACGAATCGTTTATACCTAAGAATACCATTGGATCTGGGCCAGGTACGCGGACAACCTCAGCTCCGTCGATACCACGATCCCCCTTTACGATACCGAAGAATTTGGAGTTAGATCGGCATGCTGTTATTCCCGACTCCGATGATGAGGAGATTACGCCGCCGCGGAAACGTTTGAAGACAGTGAATCCCGAGATAATTGATTTGGAAGATGATGACCAGCCGCAGACAGCCCGGAGATCGCCAAGCGTTGATATTCTTCACACCTTTAAACGTCCTCCCCCACGAGTTACAGGTCAAGAGACGAAAAAGAAATCTCAAAATATTTCGAAATACTGGCCCCTTGATGGCAAAAGCCAGCAGCAGCCATCTACAATGACCGCCCAGGGGGAGAGACGGGTTGGCCGCACGGGAGATATCTGGCCGTCCGCGTCTGGCGGTGAACAGTCTCCGGAACCAGCAACGGCTGAGCAAATTGAACCCGCTAACGGGAAACACCAAACCAAACGCGCATCTCTGAAATATTACGAAGGCATTGTGGGTGATCAGATGGTGGCGGTAGAAGTGCCAGTCTACAAGCCAAAACGCAAAAAGTTATCTGAACGCCTTAGGGAAAGTGAAAGCGGGTCAAATGATTGCACCGTTCTGGACGACAATCGGCTGCGTACGTACGACCTGAAGGAAAGCTCAGATGAGCTCCAAGGAGACAAGACAATACCTGATTCTTGGAGAGAACGAGGCGTTTCACCAGGTGATCTTCGTCATTCCAAATTTACAACTCCTACCAAATCAAGGCAGAAGACAGTATCTCGGCAAGAAGACAAGAACCCAAAAAGGAAATCCGAACCCGTGTCATTTGATCTTTGCACGTTCCGTCATGGGGATTTCCATGCGAAGCCAGTATCCCGTCTAATCTACAACAGGGACACGTCCAAGTTCTCCATAACTTCGGCAGGTGATTCTTCGTCATCCAAACAGAGGACCTTCGATTTCATGAAAGCAATTGGAATGTATTATAGTGAACATGCAGAATGTGGGAAGGTCCGGATTAATTTTCCGAAGTCACAAGACGCTGTCGATCAAGTTACCGATATTGAATTTACCAGCGAGCACGAGAAAAAGAAATTTTGGAACCTGATGCATAAGGCGTCGCCCTCTCTCAAAAGGGTCCTCAAGGGAAGGTACTTGTTAACCGTTCTCAAAGTTGTCCTGCCGAGCGATATGCATGCTAACCGTGTATTAGGGAATGGATGGATAAGCTTTTCCAGGCCCCTACTCCGTCCGTGAATACGGGCGCCATGGGAACACTAAAACGCGAGGGCCCAAAGTCAATTGGTGTTAAAGGGGAAAAGGATTCTTCGGCCGTGACGCGGCCAAAACGAATAAAACTAACCGACAACCTTGGGGACGGAGATCCATCTACGAATAACCGGCCCGCGGAGACGTTGAGCCATGCTCACCCTTCTCCGCGTAACAGCCCAAAACTCGCATTACCCATCCCTATTAAGACTTACCGAGATTCGGTTGGTACCCGGTCTAAGGCTCGAAAACAGAACTTAGATATCGACAGGTATATACAACTCTTTTTACTATGTCACCCTTTTTGTTATAAAGTGCTAATTGTTATACATTTAGCCACGACGAGGATGAGGAATCCACAAGTATTTCCATCTTCGACACAGCAGGGAAACATTGGCAAAGGTGAGTTGCTCTTCCATACGACATAATTAGATCTGGGGCTGACTAGAGACTAGGCCTCTTGTATACCCTGAGACGGGAAAGAAAAAAGCAGAGGTTGAAGCTCATGATTTGGACCGACTCAGGCCGCACGAATTCTTGAACGACAACCTGATCGGACTCTACATTCGATTTCTCGAGCATCATCTGGAGCGTCAGCACCCTGATTTAGCGAAACGAATATACTTTTTCAACTCATACTTCTTTGCAACATTAACGAACACCGCCAAAGGTCAGAAAGGGATTAACTACCAAGGGGTTGAGAAATGGACAAGAACTTTCGATATATTCGCCTTTGACTACCTGGTTGTCCCAATTAACGAGAAAGCCCATTGGTACGTGGCAATCATTTGCAACCTACCAGGCTTGCTTTTACCTGAGACGGAGGAAGATGTATCTGGTGCCGAGGATGGTGGCAAGGATGAGGCTCTGGCGGTACCAGACGTAACCGAGATAAAGCCTCTCGAAGTGGCATCCAACGTTACTACTGGAGAATCGGAAAAAGAGACTGGTAACTCCGATAACTCAGTTTCAGATTCCATCAAAGACGATCAAGTCCAAGAATCGTTCACGTCAATGACGTTGAAAGATAATGTCTCGGAATCTAATGTTGCTGAAGACGGTAAAAAAGACGAGCCCCTTGAGCATGAGGAATGGCCGGACGAAGAGAAAATCCAGCCTTCTTCCTCCGCCCAGGAAACACCAAGGCTACTCTTCGGCGAAGCACTCGAGCCGCTAAAACCTTCAACTCCCGCCCAATCTCAGCAGGCGTCCAAACGGCCTAAACCGATAAAAAAGCGTGGTCAAAAGAACCGCGGGCCTGTCACGAGGTATGATGCGAAACAACCGTCAATCGTTGTCTTTGACTCGTTGGACTGTCCACGGCCCCCCACGATTCGAATCCTCCGAGATTACCTCAAAGAGGAAGCTCAAGCTAAGCGATCTTTAACTATCAATGACACCAGAATAAAAGGGATGAACGCGAAGCAAATACCACATCAGCCAAATTTCTCTGACTGCGGGCTATACCTGCTAGCTTACCTCGAAAAATTCGTCCAGAATCCAGATGCTTTTGTGAAATCAGTGCTTCGCAGAGAAATGGACAGAAATAAAGACTGGCCAGCAATGAAACCGGGCTTATTCCGGTCTCGATTACGCAAGTTCCTTTTGGATCTGTATGAGGAGCAGGATGCACAAAAGTCTGGGAAACGGAACCAAGATGTTCCCCTTATGGTCGATGCGAAGACTCTGAACATACTTCTGGATAATGTTCCAGCTGTGGCTGATCGGGTGACTGATGACGATACGAAGGAACCCAACGTATTTCAGGATACTCCAAAGCCAAAGGACAAAAGGGGCCCTGTTGAAAAGCGGATGACCCCTACTCGCTCCTCCCCTCGGCACGATAGAAAAGAAAAAGATGACTCCGGTTCCAAGTTACCCAAGACCCCGCGAGTTGGTTCATCTCACGTCGACTCCGTCTTTGCCAAGCTTCGAGATTTTGCCTCTAGAGATACAAAACCTGAAGTCAGCGGAGGCAGCGATAAAGGGAGCGTGCAAGTCCCTGGCACACCACCTCCCGCAAGTCCAGAAATTATTGACTCCAGCCCAGCCAGCCTGGGATCCGTGTTAGCAAGCCCTAACCGCCGATCGAAACGGAACCTGTCATAGATAAACGGTGCATTCTTTCGTTAACCCTACATATATTTCTTATCGTTTATTCGACCATCTGCCCACTTTTTCTCACTTATCATCTTAATTATGAGTGTCTCCTACACTTTTTATTATGTCCTTTTCTGTACTTGAAGATCTGGGGGGTTTTCTGTGCATCCCTAGGAGTATCCGCATTTTGAGGCGTTTATGTTTATCTCGAGCCCGAGAACATTTTTTATGTGAGGGATACTAGAATTCCTAGGTTAATGACATTATGTGACTATTAGTCCTAACCTTCTCTTAACAAATCCAATAGATCTTACTCTTGAAGTCTTAACAGTCCCCCTTTCTCTATAAACAACAACCAGTCACGTGACTTTATCGCTGTCAACCCTAAGTTATCTGGCCTCATCTGGAGCTCTGGAGAAAGCCATAGCTACCTTGCTATCCGCAGTCAGTGGATGTAGGGACTGTCACTTTCAGCCGTCACAATGCATTCGGTCTCAACCCGGTTTCAAGGCGTCTTTGGTTTTTTAACTACTATTGCGCTTGTGTTAGGTGCATTTATTGCGGCTTCAGTTGTCCTTCATCCCGCTGAGCCCACAACCAGCATAAAGCTCTCGAATGTACAAGTGTATGTTAATGCGCGCGCATGAGAATCTTGGAACTCACCCTTCTGCCGGAAATGCCCTGAACCAAGGGAGCAACCGCAATCTATGGCATCGACTTGTATCTGAAAACCAAGTGGCTAACCAGGGTGATGCAACATATAGAGCCAAGGGACGACCACATTACTATGCCTCGAAACGGGAAGAATATGCGCAAATCAAATTCGATCTAGACGCAGGTACGTACATATATGCGCTGCGAATGAGATTGAAATTCCCAGTTGACGCTAATATCACTAGATTTAACCTCCCTCTTTAACTATAACACAAAACAAGTCTTCGTCTACGTCGTAGCCTCATACCCATCCGCCTCCAACCAATCCCTAACTACCGAATCTGTTATATGGGATAAGATAATCCCGGCTTCCGTATCACCGTATTCGCTCGCATCCTTGAGGTCCAAGTTTTTCCCAGACCCCAAGGCAGCTAAAACGAAACGAAAGGCGTCGAAGAACAAGAATAAGTCAAAAGAAAATGAAAAGAACGCCGTACCTGGAAAAATAAAGCTTCGAAACCAGAAACCAAAATACCAGATTACTGATATCTCAGGTTCCATAGCTGAGAGGGAAGGGGCAAGGTTGATTGTTGGATGGAACGTTCAGCCCTGGATCGGTGCACTGCAGTGGAGCTCGAATACGAATATTGAGAAGAACATTGGTGGCATTTTTGGAAATCTGTTCCTTCAGAATGCTGGTCCTAAGGGGTCATTAAGTGGGAGGAGCGAGCCTTTCAATTTCCCCCCTCTGAAGAAGCCAAAGCCAACCAGCCCTTAATTTTGAAAGAGCATCTTGGACTCGAGGCTGATCTATCAAAATATACGGAACATGGATAGGAGTGCTGTGTATAATTAACTATTTTCTTGAGAATCTATCACCATTTTCAGAGTTGAAAGTGCCTATAACTCTGATTCCATTGTTTGGTGGGCTAATCTAGTATGGCCAGGAGCACGCTTATTGCCCTGACCCTATGCAACCATATTACAATTATTTGTTCCTTACACACTTGACCGGGCCTTAAAACGGAAGTGCATGTTTCTTGAGTGAGAGAGTGGATTGATAGAGATATCAATAGAGGAGCGGTAAGTTATACAGGGTCAAGAGAAGCGTGGAATCATGGCGTGAATAACAATGACGAATCCCCGCTTGTTGACTTTCCTTCACATCAAACAAAAAATCCATGTATCATAAACAGAAGACACTCTAACTATCCGTCGAACTAGTCGAGCTGGCTGCTTATGGCATTCATCGTGCCGGCACGCTTGGTTGGTATCCTCCATTAGTGCCACTTGGTGCCGCAGAAGCGGTTGTGCCATAACCTTGAGCGGCAGGCGGTGCGTTCTGTTCGGGGTAATAGTGTGTCGACCTTTCGCCGCCGTTCAGGATTCTCTTTGAGAAGATACCTGGTGGTGTTTTGCTCCTCATTCTGCCGTCACGGCCTTTACCCTTGGCTTCATAGTAGACCCATAGGCAATAGAACGCATGGATATGGCCTGGAAAGTAACTGTGATGAGAATAGAAAGAGTTAGTGATTTCTTGTATAATGCATTTCATTTAATCGCGAAGACCAACTTACCCTAGTACAGTTAGGAGTATATTGATCAAGAGGTCGGCCGAGCAACCGCCGATAAAAAAGACTCCAGCTGGCGGGACTATAGCAGGTTTCAATATTAGCAAAGTTGCTGTCTCGAATAGATTGGAATCGACATATGGAGGATATTCTTACGGAAAACAGTCACAAGAATGAGGATCACAGCGGCACAGGTATCAGCCATTTTGTTGGTGGTATATGCAGAGTGAATATGTTGTATTGATGCGCGGGAGTTCTTGAATATTGATGCTGGCAGTAGAGGCTGTTGTCCGCTGCGTATTTGCGTATATTTAACCAACAGAATACTCGTTAGGAATAACTATCGTCATAGGCAGCGTAGAATGCCCTTCTACCCGGCAGATTGCAAGGATTATCCATTGTTGCTCTTAAACTGGTTGATGTCTCAAAGTCTTTGGAAGCTGCAACTGGCGCTTTTATCGTGATGATGTCATAAAAAGCACAAGGTCACGTGTGATAAGGAAGGTGCTTATCGCCGTTATAAGGCTCTAAGTATATATCAGGGAGGGATAGCAATAAGGAATATTAAGAGTATCAATTCTAGCCTTGTTACTACCACCCTTATCCTTCTACATCCAATTGTGGGATCGATATATGGCCCAAGTCCAGGGGTCTCGCAGCCCATTTCACTCAGATATACGCTGGACAAGGAGGCGTAAGTTATCCATGTCCAAATCTGGTTTACTTGTAGTCGCTATGGGGGATGGGACGTCTATGACCCATTCTGCTTGTTCCATCATGCGATCTGCGAGGTTTGTGAGGATGGGAGTGGTGGAGATGATTGTTCCAAGGCCATTCACTTCGTCTTTAGCGGGCGGTAGGGCTCCTAGAATAGTATTTTCTTGGAGTTGCGGGATAGCTGGCATATAGTCTCCGCAGTATAGTGATATGGTTTCCCGAATATCATCTTCATTACAAGGGGGTATAGTGGGAGTCTGGCGGCCCTTGAGTATGTCAAGGAGTATTTCGCATTGCCCCTTTTCCACGATTTTCCGTTCAGCAACAGTATTAGGAGTGAGCACAGGTGGCTCTCCCAGTTTATCAGCCGTCAGGGAAGGGAATAATGCCCCAGCCGGGGGAAGGTCGAGGATGAGGCGATCATCATTTTTAGCCCCGGTATTGAGGGCCGGAGGGGAGGATTCAGTTCCCCTCGTCCGAGACCCGAGGGTTGCTTGTGACAGAATCTTCCTCTCTAGCGGGGGCACGCTGCTCCCACGCTCTTCACCTAGTTCGGCAGCGTATCTGGGGAATCTGACCATAACAGCCATTCCTTCTTCGGAAGACGGTGGTGTGGGTATGAAGGATTTTAAACCATCTTCAAGATCCGTGCTTTCATGTAAAGCATCATTCTCGCTCCAACCATTGCTAGATTCATCAGGAGTTTTCTGAGGCATTGCTGCATGCCTCCCACTGGGTGATTGGCTGCCCGGTGTTCCTCCTCCCACTGACCTAGAATATTCAGATTCAGAGTCTGGGTCCGGTAAATGGTACGAGGAAGATGTTTGAGTACCCGATCCGTTGAGTTCCAGGTCCGTCTCACGAGCTACGCGGGATATCATTTCAGGCGAATCCCTTCTCAAAACGTCGATAGTGATTCTTGCCCTGACGATCTGTTCAAACCGCAGTTTCGGCCCAAATTTGCTAGTCGCTTTCCCCTCGACCGTGATAAGAACGGAGTATGAGTAGACCTCAGGATCGTCGCACATAATTACTGTATCGTCGTGCATCTGGCGTTCCACAGGTCCAGAGAAAAATGGCACGGTGCCGGAAAATTGCTGAAGCTCCGTGTTCCAGTAAAGCCATTTTGAAGGTGTTGTAAATTCCACAGCCATCCCGACGTCACCCATCGGCGCAGAGTTATATTTCGGAATCAACACAAACATGTCTCCTTCTATAGCCTTCCAGTCGGTCCCTTCAAAAGATAGATAGTGAGGTTCCCAGCGTATATCTGCCGACGATTCTACCGAGCTGTGCCCAGTATCCTTCAGCGAATATGGCAAAACTGTCACTCCAAGCAGTAGCTCGTCAGCAGCGCACTCGCCGCCGGTAAAGCAGTCATGAGTGCGAATAAACTGGGAAGCCAATGTCTGAATGTCGCCCATAGACTCGAACAATCCCTTGTAGTCTTGCTGTACCTTAGCATACTTCACCATATCCTCCGCAAAATTAGTTATGTTAAATGGCAGCCGCCGGAAAGCGGGCCAATCTTTCCCTCGAATCCCACAGTCAACTTCACGGATATATTCTGTGACAAATCCAAGTTTCCCGCTTAGCATAGTGGACAAAGTAGACCGGAATGCTTTTTCCAACTCTATAAGCTCCTTCGCTTCAGCCATGGACAATCCTCCTCTCCATATCTTGACTACATCGAGGTGAGTAACTTCGGGTCCTTTCACGAGTTCCTTTGGCTTAGGGGGATATGGGAAGTGGTTTTTTGAAGGGCCCCTGTGTTTATGCCTCATGGGTATAAACACGTCAGGCGGGCGTTTCCACGCAGGGAACGATTCCCCTTTGGTATGTAAGGTTAGGGTCTTGATCTCCGATTCACTACTATTGTGCTCAAGAACGGATCTGCTATCTAAATCGTCGACCTAATAACGTGCAATCAGTAATCGGATACCAGTCTTAAAGCACGGGGTAGGTAGGAAGTTGAAAAGTTGTATTCAAAGCTAAGGGGAGATGGGGCCAGAAAAACCGGCCTTGAAGCAAATGGGAAGAAGGCAGACAAGTGGTTTTTAAAGCAAAGGAGGTGGAAACGGATAACCTGTTCTTTAAGCAAAGGGAAGAGGAACGGACAAATTGAGGATTTGGGTAGATTCGCGGGGGCTGCAACCCCAAGTGATATGTCTTTCCACCATATTCGCGTCTGATTGTTCGAGGATCTGCCTTTCTGTGAGCAAGGAACGGAGCGTCTGGGTCATCGCTACAGGTTTTTGCAGCTTGTTCAATGGCGCGCTGACTCGAGAGACCACATTGGTCTTCTCCTACAGGCTGTTCTGAGGCATAACCGCTGGTCTGCTGCAAATCCATTTCTTTACAAGAGCACGATGGAGAAAAAAAAATAAAATAAAAGTAGAGTGATTTAACCGTTCAGCATAAAAGCACAAAATGGATATTCGTTCCCTCTTGAAGGAGAGAATGTAGAAATATCCGAAACACAGCACTGATATATGGGGGAGATTGGCGGATGGGAGAAGGTGCGAGCGATGTTAGGAGTGAGTCTCTGGAAACGGCAGAGTGAAGGACATGGGAAAGGGCGCGGGAGTGCTCGGAGAGTGCGTAGTAAGTTATGCATTTGTCTGGGTGGTTGGTGTTTGGACCGTGGTTGACCAGGCTTTTGTAAGGCTTGATGAAAAAAGTTTGGAAGTATATATATAAGTGTATGGGGTGAGTGTATGGGGTGAACTATACAGCGTCAATGGCCGCTCTCTTGGACACCTGCTCGTTCTGGTTCCCAAGTCTAGAAATTTGCAGGAAGGCATCGACACCGTAGCCTTCGAGACTATGAAGTTCGAGCGTGCCCGCCCAATACTCTGCATAAACACGACTCATCGGAAGACCCATTCCAAGCCTCAGATTCGGCGGACGCGAGCTGAGCGAGTCAAGAGAATTCTCCTTGACGCCTCTGGAGACTTTTGATGGCTGGTGCGAGACCTTTAGCTCCTGCATCGTTGCAGCCATGGCGTGGATCTGGCCTAGGTTCTGCAGCCGGGTTTCCGTACGAGGCCCCTTGCAGAATGACCAGAGATACGGGAGGAGTTCTCGAGGGATGCCGCCGCCCTGGTCAGAAACGCGGATGATGACGTGCTGGGGAGCTTCACAGATGAGCACCTCGATGGGAGGAGGGGCGCCAGGACAGTCCTTGTATTTCTCGATGACGGCCTGCATGGAGTTCCGCAACAGTTCTCCCACGATGTATTCGAGATGGCTGAGTATGTAAGGGAACATGGCGCCTAGATGGCCCTGGATGGATATTTCTGGGATTTTGGCGTCCGGGCCGAGGGTCTGTCGTAGTAGATCTCGAGCCAGCTTGCCGCATCGCTCTACGACATCCTTTGCGTTGCATTTCAGGAAGACTTCACCAACGAAATCAGCGCTCAGCTCTGTACGGTCACCGGGGTCGGGGAAGTGCCATGGCGAATTAAACGTATCTGTCAGAGCAAGGTGTTGCTCTGCTATCACTCGCCGCGAGATTCTCTGCATGGAACAACTCTGAATTAGCTCTGGCCGTATCCATATGTTCATGTCTACTGATTATCTTACCGCTCGCAGCAGAGTATTCATGAACCGGTCCATGACCTCTGGCTTAACGAGGTCCTGGCATTCCAGCACACCCATAGCCAGGTTGGGAATCACGGTCAGATGCTCCTTGAGGGCGTGTCGTAGGACATCACAATATCTATCATTGTCTTCTATCGTCTTTATCTCGGGCACCGTCCGGAAGCGTTCAAACGCCTTGTAGTATAGCTCGTAGACGTAGGAGAGGTGCGGGTTGGTCACGACGACATACGGCAGCTTCTGCATATCACGAAGACGGTGTGCGATCCTATCGAAGCCGTCAGTTATCTGTCTATATTTCGAGGTATCACTTCGAGACATCAACGTATACTCGCGGGGTATCTAACCTGGTGGGCAGCTCCGTCCGCACGTAGTTTGCCGAGCTGATCAGCCTGTTCTCGGTGAGCGTACGGCCAAAGAAGGTCAACTGGCGCAGACTGATAGGCCGGACGTCTCGTTCAACCCAACTGCCATCGTATTCAGCGTCAGTCTCCTGCATGTCTCTGCATCTCTCTCAGCCAGCCCGCAGGTACAGCCCTTACTCATCAAGAACAGATCCTGGCCGCCACGGCGGAGGTCTGTAGCTGTCTGCAGACAGACAGCGCACTTGCTGGCGGCATCTCAGGCGAATGCTCTGCCTGCATCGGCTCGACTGGCTTAGCAGCATGCCGGCGGTGCCATTCACGAGCGCAGCGCAGGCCTTGCAGAGGGTGACTGGGCCAGCTCGGAGCTGAAGGACGCCTGGATGCCGGAATGGAGGACTTTACAACTCATGGTTCACAGTCGAGGCATGTCGAGCGCAGTAGATGTCGCGGAGGAAGAAGAGAGCGAGGAGGAAGAAGTGAAGATGTTGGTGAGAATCTTCACTGGGATCTTCTACTAGTTTATTTACAGCCGGTCTCGGAGCTGAAACGCACTACAACAGATACGATATAGATACAGATATACAGATAGATATAGATAGATAGATAGAGATAGAGATGGATAGAGATACAGAGTATGGTAGATATGTATACAAAGATAGGTATGTGTTAGATATGTATAGGTATGTCTAGGTGTCTAGAGAGTCATGTAAGAAGAAATGTGCACATAAGAGCTCATGATAGGCTAGAGTGAGACTTCATGAGCAGCTATCCAGATGTTATCACTGACATATATAAAGAATGAAGAATATAGAATGTAGAATGAAGAATATAGAATGTAGAATGAAGAATGTAGAATATAGAATGTAGAATGTAGAATGTATAGAGATGTGGTCTGGTTATATAAAACTTACAAACTATTTTGCCTGCCAACTCTCCACCACCAACATCCTCAACTGCGACCAGAGAGCTCCCAGCACCCAGCTGTCCCTCCTGGCCTCCTCTTCTCTCGCCCTCTCAGACTGTTAGACCGTCCAGCTGCCAGTCCGCCACGGCCGCCAGCCAGCGCCCGATAAGAGAAGCACAGTTTGTACCGGTCAAACGGGCGTCTTTGAGCTCATGGACCATGTAGGTCGCCCTCGGCTGTTGCGCCGCTGGAAGCAAACCCAGGCTGATCACCGCGCCTTGAGTTACAGGTTAATGATGCTGATACAATGGTCGATGACTACGAACAGTTCGATAGCAATGACCGGACAGACGTGGTCGTCGTGTCGCCCGCCGGCTCGACCTCGAACGATGTAGACATGGAGAAGCCGCTCGCCAACGACTGTATGGCCTCCCGATGACTCCAGCTATTGCTTCAAAGACTCCTCCTCGCACATCTGCCTGTCTCTATCTGCTTCCCTCGAGCTCCGCCATACAGCCCCTCCCCCTCATTTTCCGTCGAGAGTCCAGCATTTCCCAGTGCCAAGATCAAAAAGACCTTTCCTCTCCCACCGCACCGTTGCATGATGGTCGATAAGATGGGCTCTATGCTAACGCATGCCGCGTGTTCACAGATGAGGCGATGATGGCGAAGGTCCTTCCCGCGGACCCAGACCTGGAAACCGAAGCTGAGACCCATCACACATGGCATATCAAGAACTGGTCGAAGCTACCGCGGAGAGAACATGGACCGAAGTTTGAATGTGCTGGTGCTCCCTGGTATGTTCCGAGATATGATGCTTTATAGCGGTATATACCGGTGGCGGGGACTTGATCTTTTTTTTAACTGGTGGTTAGGAGAATACTATTCTTCCCGTTCGGCAACCAGGTAGAGCATGCCTCGTTTTACCTCGAACACGGCTGGGAGGATAATGCGCCAGAAGACTGGTATGCTTGCGTACAGTTTTCTCTGGTTCTATGGAACCCAAACCACCCAGATATATACATCGCGAACAGTATGGATATCCTGCGGTCTCCCCCCAAGCGTACGAGTGTGGCTGGCTAACTCGGCTGTAGGAGCGTCTCACCGGTTTAATGCCGACGAGTCAGATTGGGGCTTCACCCGATTCTGTGAGTTACGAAGGTTGTTCCAGATGGCCCATGATGACAGAGGTGTGCCGCTCGTGGAGAATCAAGAGGCTTGTCTCACGACATATATGCGAGTTGTGAAGGACCCGACAGGTGTTCTATGGCACAGTTTCCAAAAGTATGGACCTCACCGTAAAAACATGAAGATACTATGAGAGCTAATAAGCCATAGCTATAATTCCAAGAAGGAGACTGGTATGGTTGGCCTTAGGAACCAGGGTGCAACCTGCTATCTCAACTCCCTTCTCCAGTCTTTGTTTTTTACAAATGCATTCCGAAAGGTAAGCCGAGATCTTCTCCGCGGAAGTAGAATCAATCTAAACGGAAGGACAGGCCGTATACCAGATCCCCACGGATGATGAAGCAAGCAAGAAGAACTGTGCTTGGACGCTTCAGCGTTTATTCTACTCACTCCAGACGTGTGACACCCCCGTTGGAACTTCCGAGCTCACAGAGTCCTTTGGATGGAAATCCAGGGTAATCTTTGAACAGCAGGACGTCCAGGAACTGTCTCGTTTATTAATGGAAAAGTTGGAGGAACATATGAAAGGCACACCGGCAGAGCTAGCACTCCCAAACCTTTTCGTGGGTAAGACGAAAACTTACATCTCCTGCATCAACGTTGACTATGAATCATCGCGGATAGAAGACTTCTGGGATATACAGTTGAGCGTCAAAGGGAACAAGACGTTAGACGATAGTTTTAGGTCTTACATCAACGTTGAGATTATGGACGGAGAGAATAAGTACGATGCGGGATCTCCTCATGGCCTACAGGATGCTAGAAAGGGAGTCATATTCGAAAGCTTCCCGCCTGTCTTGCATCTGCATCTGCAACGATACGAGTATGATTTTAACCGTGATGCCATGATGAAAATCAACGACCGACATGAGTTTCCTGAGGAGTTTGATGCGGCGCCCTATCTTTCAGCGGATGCAGATATGTCTGAGCCCTGGGAGTATAAACTTTTCGGTGTCCTTGTTCATAGCGGCGACCTTAACGCTGGCCATTACTATGCTTTCTTACGCCCAACGAAAGACGGCCACTTCTATAAATTCGACGACGATAAGGTGATTAGAGCGACCACCAAGGAGACTCTAGAAGAGAATTTCGGAGGAGAGTATGCCAACGGAGGAGGTGTGCGTCAACCTTATACCAGAAACTATTCGACCAAACGTTCGATGAACGCATACATGTTGGTATATATCCGGAAATCCAGAATTAACGATGTACTCGTCGACGTTGTCAACGAAGATGTACCCGTCCACCTTGGTAAGACACAGCTTTCTCCCTGGAGTTGGTTGTGGCGACTCAACTAACGGATTATACAGCGAAACAAGTTGATGAAGAGCGTGCCGAGGCCGTTAGAAGGAAGAAAGAGCGTGAAGAGCAGCATCTTTATATAAACATCGGCGTTATATCGGACGAGTCGTTTAAACATCACCATGGCTTTGATTTGACGAGCACTGATCTTGATCCGGACGATCCCGCGCTTCCTACACCCTACCGTGTCCGTCGCAATATGACATGCGCTCAGTTTGCCAACCTAGTAGCAGAAGATAGGGGGTTGGACCCTGAACGAATACGTCTATGGGCTATGGTCAATCGCCAGAACAAAACTATTCGCCCAGATCAGCCTCTACGAGAACCGGATGACACAGTGGAAGACGCCGCACAGAAGCAATCTTCAAGAGGCGCTCCGTTCCGAGTATATCTTGAGATCGGGGAACCTGGGGAAAACGGAAAGGTGACCTGGCCCGAAACGCAAGGGCCGAACGCCTCTGTGCTCGTCATATTGAAACACTTTGATGCTGCAACTCAAACGCTGTCTGGTGTGGGCCACGTATTCGTCAAAAAGCAATCCAGAGTATCAGAGCTGGCTGGTCCTATACTTGACATAATGAAATGGCCGCCTGGAACATCGTTTTCGCTATACGAGGTATTTATCATTCTATCTTCCAATCAATAATCACAGGGCGGTTTTCTAACATAGGAACTCTAGGAAATCAAACCTGCAATGATTGACCAGCTAAAACCCAAGCAAACATTCCAGGCCTCAGAAATTCAGGATGGCGACGTAATATGTTTTCAACGAACACAAAGCGACGCAGAGTATGACATCTCACATTCAACGCAGCTCATGGCCGCTGCTGACCTCAATTCAAATAGACTCGGACCCAGCGTTATCTACAAAGACGCAAGACAGTACTACGACTACCTACTCAACCGCGTAATGATAAAGTTTGCCCCTGTCAAAGCCGAATCCGAAGATGCAACGTTCACCCTAGCCCTCAGCCGCAAGATGAATTACGAACAATTCTCTACTAAAGTTGGCGAACACCTAAAAGTCGACCCGACACACCTCCGATTCGCCCCTGTTGCCACTAACACTGGAAACCCCAAACCATTCATTAGACGAAATGTCGGTCAAACCCTCTCTCAGATTCTTCATACACAGTATTCTGCGTATGGAAACTCTGGGCAGAGGAGCGATGCGTTGTATTATGAGATTCTAGGAACCAGCCTGAGTGAATATGAGACTAAGAAACTGGTGAAAATCACCTGGCTCCCCGAAGGGATCATCAAGGAGGTTTGTCTAATTCGACTGCCCTAATTATATTAATATAATCACTGACGCTTATTATCTTAGCAACCTCATGAGCTACTGGTACCAAAGCAGGGTAATGTCACCGACATCCTTCAGGGTCTACAGCAGAAAGCTGGTCTAGATGACGAAACCATGGCCAACGTCCGCGTCTTCGAAGCACATTACGGCAAAATGCAGAAGGAACTGACAGATAAATTTTCCGTTGCTGGAATTATGGACTCTATTTCCTTATACGCCGAGCCTATCCCAGAAGACGAACGGAATATGGAAGAAGGGGATTTCAGGATAAACGCGTTCAACTTTGATAAGGAGCCGAACAGAGAACACGGCATACCCTTCAAGTTTGTAGTGAAACCAGTATGTACCTGCTAAAACTGATTCTGGAAAAGCCATCCACTTGAGTTAACGACTAACACACTTGCAGGGCGAAAAATTCGTTGATACCAAGGAGCGTCTCTCTAAGAGAACAGGTATCAGAGGCAAACAATTTGAGAAGATCAAGTTTGCAATCGTATCTCGTGCCATGTATTCGAACCCGACATATTTGGAAGATGGTATGAATTATTCACCATGAGATAGGCCCCTAACGGTACGAAAAGGCTAACACTTATTTCTTAGACGACATTCTTGCCGAACTCGTCGGCGACTCCGATAGCCAACTTGGACTTAACCATGTAAATAAAAACCGCAATTTCTTAACCAAGAGCGACAATATCTTCATTCGATAGATACCCCGGCAGCTTTCGTCCGTGCCCTTCTAAACGGCACCGCAAGAGTCGACTCTCTATAGCATGGCCCATTTAAAGCCAGCGCTTCGTACCATCACGCGACAACACGATACCTTCAGCGCTTATAAATGACTTCCGTGACGCAAAAACCAGACAAGGGAAAAAAGGGGGGGGGGAAACGTTCCTCAAAGATTTCAGGATTTTTCGCATATTTTGCTTTACCATGTTCTTTTTCATGTTATCTTTCTATCTGCACACCCGATCTTGTTACTGATCTTCCTGCCGAACCCCGTCTTATACTTATCTTCTATTAACTGTTTTTTTAAATGGGCGGTGTTTGGTTGGCGGTGAATGATGCGTTTTTTTGACTCCGGGTGTTTTAACCCACACACAGTAAGGGGCCAGTTGTAAGCTATCAGGAAAGACTAAAGGTCTCTAGCTAGATGATTCCCTTTTTACGGAACGCTCCGTCAAATAGCATAGGAGTGCGATGTTGCTGCTCTTCCTTTTCCAACTGTTACATACTTCTTTCTCCCCCTGAAGGCGAGGTGCAAACAGAGCAAACAACACACTAAGGTGTCAACATCGCAAGCTCGAACGCATCGAATCCCCTTGGAACATCGAAAATTAGAAGCAGGCCTCGACGACGGTTTGCTATCACGGTTCACGGTACATCTCTTGTCCTTTGCTTGCAAGGCATAATGCGGTTCCAAGCTATCGCGGTATGGCTCTTTGCCTGGGCGGTTTCGTCGGTCTACGGGACTGCTTTGACCTACAGACTCGATGCTGCCGAGAAGGCCTGCTTTTACTCCTGGATCGATAAACCCCCAGCCAAAATCGCTTTTTACTTCGCTGTAAGTTAATTGTTCTGCTTGGATGGTTGGTGAAGGGCTGGAAGCAAAGACATGGCTGTCTTGTTTGATCTCTCTACTGATCTTGCGGTTTATGTGGGTGTCTAGGTCCAATCTGGTGGCTCGTTCGATATCGATTTCTCCGTCTATGGCCCAGGAGAGAGACTGGTTATGGATGGAACTAAGGAGAGACAGGGAGATTTTGTCTTTACCGCCCAGTCCGTCGGAGAATATCGCTTCTGCTTCAATAACGAGATGTCAACCTTCGCTGAGAAGACCGTGGACTTTGAGATTGCTGTTAGTCCTTCCGTTTCGCTTGAAAGGATATGAACATCAATTGAACCTGCCGAAACTTTCCTTATCTGACACACCGTACTAATATTTTTATGTTATGCATGGCAGGTTGAGAACGAGGAACGAACCCAGCTACCCTCGAAACCGGGCACCTCCCCTGAGCAGGCGTCGGCGGTGGAAGAGACCATCTTCAGATTAGGTGGCCAACTGTCTACAATCAGCCGAAACCAGAAGTATTTCCGCACTCGTGAGAACAGGAATTTCAGCACCGTGCGGAGCACGGAGAAGAGGATATTCAACTTCAGCGTTATCGAAAGTTTGATGATGATTTCGATGGCTGGCCTTCAGGTGTTTATTGTCAGGTTCTTTTTCCAGGGCGCTAGGAAAGGTATGGATGAACGAATGGGCCCCGGTCTTAGTCGCTTCGGCTTGCTTTGGGCCCATGCGACCCCTCTTCCCCCTTGCTTTGCGTTAACGGGTTGCCAACATATACTAACGGGGCCACTAGGTTACGTATAATCGATTAACGACGATGATTCTTATTGATAATTTGTATTTTCTTTGATATATGTTCCTTCTTGTTCCTACGACTTTCCTACCTTCTTAGATACTGATGACATATGAGCATCTAATCCCTAAAAAATTATTAGTTTACAACATGGTTCAACAGTCAAAAGATCAATATTAGGCACATTTCTGTTTGACAAAACTTCGACCACCGGACGTCTGGCATCTCAAAATGGACCTGCGTGTTCCCTGCGCTGTGGCACCTATAACTCGGATTCTAGTGGCGACATCTTGCACCACTGCAAGGGAGAACACGGGTGGGAACCAGGAGCGGTTTTCTCCTGTAAGTACTGACGGGAAAGCCAAATGCTTCTATGACCACGATCCGCCTTGAGCGTGTAGCTGAATATCGATCTCAACGAAGATCGACGAGAGAAGCTACTTACTTATTTACCACGTGGCAATCCAAGCCAGGCACGTCATTGTTCTCCCTTCGTTGAATATCAAATATTGAACTGCCGTAGTCACTAGTCACTAATCTACAGTGTTCGCACAGGTAGCGTTTCGAGCAGACAGCAGATCTATAGCAGGGGAAGGAAAAGTTGGCCGAACCCACAGATCATCGTTCCCTGCAGCTCTCGCTCCGAGTTATGTCCGTATCGTCCGTTTCGAGGGTACAAGCAAAGATGTCATCGCTACCTCCACTTCCGGCCTGGTTCTTCGTACTATCCTGGCCATGGCGTTCGTCGCTCCAGTTAAACCCGGACGGAACACATCCATCAATGTGCTTGAGGTCGATCAAATCCGCCACTTGGTCGAGCCCAAATACTAGAGCTTATGCGAGATCTTCCCAGATCGCGATCGGACTTGAGGTTATCCTTTTACCTTTCCAAGCCTAAGGGTCTACTCCGTACTTCGTACAGATGTAGCAAAAGGCAAAACATGTCATGGTTAGACATATATTTATTACGGTTAGAGTTCTCAAGCCGACGCTAACTTGTCCGTACTGGTGTTTTAAACGCTGCCCTTATGGGGATTCTCAACCTTGGCTCCAGAGGATCCAATACTTCCCATGCGTTGTGACGACATACCTCTGACATTATGTCCATGCACTTCCCGGGGGGGCTATCATGCTGTGCTACTGTGAATATCTGAGCTCGCGGTGGCATTCCACAATCAGTCTCCATCCTAGGACCTGCTTTTCACTACTCCGATGACCCGTTTTTGAGCCTGGCAAGTCCGTATCTATTGGCCAACACGGTGGCAGCGCCTGATATTACTCCCCGCCCCAAGTCCGATTCTAATCTTTGGGCTCGTACGGCGATATAACTGCGAATGTTTGGCATTCTATACTGATAGCTGTTCCTGTATGACGCAATTGCGCCTCATCCCGGTGTCAGGCTTGACGATGCCCCTTATCGTGATGTGAACACGGCCGATTGATCCCTCGACACTACTTACGGAGTACAAGGGGCTTGTTTTGTCTTGAAGCTCCAATCTATATATTACGATCGAGAGAACTTCATCTATTCTGTCTGCTTTCCCTTCTCCCTCGTGAGATATCCCGCTCGATATCACCACTACTATCCTTCCCGTCCGTCTCTGGATAACATTTTAAACGGCTACTGCTTTGTGGCTGGATGACCGTTGCGACTTGGTAAATTGCAAAAACACCTTTCTTTCTTTCTTTCTTTCCTTTGTTCTATTGCATTACCTTATTTTTTTTCAAGCTTCCCCCAAAGGAGTATGAAAAAATAAGTCACGGCCTTAAAGCACTGTTTTCTCCATATACAAACCACCTCAGCTCTATTCTATCCTCAGAGGCATAGATCCACGGTGCATTCCCTGAATAGATCTCTCATCTCACAATTTTTTTTCAATAGGTCAAGATTAGACTTACAACGATTAGCGAAATGGATGACACGCTTGCTCCGGCTAAATCGATGAGCTCTTCGAGAGGCCGTCGAGATACCCTAACCTCCTACACGCAAATAATGCACGAGCATACTCAAAGACAGATGGAAGAGCTGCGGGCTTCAGAGTCGCCTTCAGCAGTGAAGGAAGGAAAGAAGCGGGAAGATAGTGACGTCACAAAGCACGATAGTAGTCCTTCTAGCAATGGGCTTCCGCCGTCCATTAAGAGACACGATTATGCGCTGGACAACATGAAGGGCAAAACTCGGGACAACCGCACTGATTCATGAGTATGGTATGATATGGTATGCGAAGGGCAATCTCTATTCGTGGATCAAAGAGTATAAACGCTAATTAATATCAACGTCACTTCAAGAGTCGACAATATCCCTACCATCGCTGTTCATGCCTGGCGCATTCTTCGCCTAGATACGGCATAGAACCCCTTCTGCGAGGCAGGATACCCTGTATCCCGGCAAGAGACTTTCTTTCCCTTCGACGACAGCTCTACGAATGCATTCTTTGGTCAAAAATAATTTTTGAAGTTTCAACGTGAAAAGAGATACAAATCTCTTGGACTAATTCGCTCTACATCGCCCAAAGTCAACCCTGCCCTCCCCCTGACCATATTTACACATCCATCCCTTTTTGGCCCTTAGCGTTTCGTCTTACGTTCATCCAAAGGCAATTATTCTGACTGCCACCCGGATAGGCTTCTGTCTCCCATACAGGTATGTTGAGAGAGTGTCTTTCCTAAAATGTATAGCATTTGTTCCATATTATAGAGAGGTGTATTTGCACGATGGTATAAAACTGTTCCTTCGTGCATACGGCTACTTAAAGCCTCTCCCTGAAATCGTACAGTGATCATAATAGTAATACAACGGCTATCTTCATCTAGTCATGTAAGTCGTCATGACCAGCCACCCTGGTTCCATCCTCCCATAGTATTAGGGCCCGAGTTTGGGTTTCTTCGGTACATCTGTCCCTGCTGACCCTGCTGGCCCTGCTGACCCTGTTGCTGGTTGGGATGTGGTGGATTAAAATGATAGCTCCCCCCCTGTTGATGAGGCTGGGGGATAAATTGATGTCCACCCATAGGCGGTTGCTGGAAAGGCGGAGGAAATGGTGGCATAATCATGTTCATACCCATGTTCATCGCCATATTCATATTTGGCGGGAAGGGACCTCCACCCGCTGCGGAGACCCCTGGTGGTGGCGGTGGCGGTGGCCAGGACCCATGACAGTTTGGTGGTCGAGCAGCAGGCGTGAACATTGTTGGCTGGGCGGGGTTAATGGGTAACATGCCTAGTTGCTGTACACCAGAAAATGGGAATTGTGGATTGGGATATTGTACTTGGGTTTGATTTGTGAGTTGCGGGGCGGGAGGAACGTTACCCTGAGATAACGAAGCCTTCGGTGAATAAGACAATGACCTAGATGCTGAACGACCAGTTCTAGATTGACGAGGTGAGCCAGAGCGGGACCGTCGACGTCCTCGAGACATCGACGAGCTTGGGGAGCTCGAGCGGCCTCGCCCGTCCTCGCTCATACTATCACTATATCGTCGTCTCTTACTGGCCGAACGGTGCAGGCTAACGCTTCGACTTGCACTCCGGCTCCTACTGCGAGCCTTGCCATGCTTTCGTTGTTTCATGTTATGACAAAACTCTCGCGACCAGCCGTAATATGTACCACTCTCAATTGACTTTCCAGTCGTGTCGATGCGCGTAATAGTTTGGCCAAGCTCATCAACGTCTACTATAGTAACATCATGAGACTCGTTATCGTTGGTATTATAAATTCTGTCGACATCGTTTAAAAGGGATTTCACTGCTTTGACAAGGGACTCGTCAGCGGGGCCAGCGACGAATTGAAGAGGCCGTAATGATTGCGGTCGAATTGCAATAGGAGAGTCTGGAATAATATGCGGCAACATGTTTCCCGCGGGTAACTCATGATATGGCGCATTGGGGTCACCGTGCGTTGCTGGCATCATGTACGGTAGGGTTCGTGTGTCTGTTTTCTTCTGTCCACCCAGGTTATCCACGTCCGCGGGAGTCTTCTCCCCCATAAACTCGAAGCTCTCTACCGCTTCACGTAATTTCTTCATGTATTCGGCGCCGTAATATGCGTTATCTTCCCATAGCCCCAGAAGGTCCCCGACACGTTTGCGGTGCTTTGGGTTCCGATCACGGCTATAGCTCCCAGCAAGGCCAAAAAGTTCAGTCAAGTATGGCCGCAATGACTCTGCAATTGTTGTAAATGCAGAAGCGGATGCGTGATCGTGGTATTTCGTATGGTGAAGTAAATCATTGAGTAGGTAGAGAATATGTAATGTCTTTCTTTTCGAGGAAGCTGGGGCCCTGCTACCGCCTCCAGTTCGGGTCTGCTTGTTATCCGCGGAGGTGTGTTGCAGCGAACCTGCAAGCGCAACGAAGTATTTGCCCAGTCCTCCCACCCGTGCGGCCGAAGGGGCAACATTCTTTAGAAGCCATGATTTGCATATCTGGAGTGAAAAATCCCGAGGTGTAACGATTTAGTAAACTTGGATTTCCCCACTCTGACGACGCAAGGAGCTTGAAATTGCCCAAACCTGGATGTGTGCTGGTGAGCAATGCGACAGCATCGCGTCGAGCTCATTGTGAAAGCGTGATATCTCTTCTCCCGGGACCGATGATGGATCAGGCCGTAGAAGGCCCGCGGAAAAAGACGCCTTGGCTACTGCGATCTGATGCGAGTTCATCGTGGCCACAGTCTGCGTCAGCCCAAGGACGTTCGATACCTGCGCAGGATATAGTAAACGGGAGACGCTCGATTGCTGGATGTTTCTCCCTTTCACACGGCTTTTTGATGCCAAGACCGAGATCGATCGTTTGTCACGTGATAACTCTATGTTATCTTCGGCTTCTACTTCGTACACTTCATAGCATCACGATAATACAATTAACAGTTCTCTACGTCATAAAGTTAATGGAGATATGGATGTCTTTATTGAAAGATAAACTATACACAGGTCCCTACTAAAAGAACTCAAGGGACTTGAGCTTCTGCCTTTATACGTATCCCCACAGTGGAAAAAGGGGTATTTTCTGAACGTCTATGAAACGGTTATTCACTCTGCCAGCATAGGAAGAGGTCGTGGAAACTGCTGATTGTGTCGATAAAATTTTCTTAAGACTGTGCTTTCTATCCGAATCATCGGGGCCCGAACTGCGTGTCCTTTCTAGTTGCAGCCTGCTGAAGAACTTGTCGGGTTACGTGCTGCTGGAGTCTTCGGAGCTCCCATGTCGGCGGGTGTCGCTAGTTGGAAGACGCGTTAGGCGGCCAGACGACTCTTCCTCCTTAGTAAAATTCGACATATATGCGAGGAAGTGTCCCTCTTTTGGTGATGCGACCTCTAAAGGATCTGAAAACTGAGTTCCTTGGTTGGGAAAATTCCTTCAAAGAATTGTCGGTTGTGTTATTACGTGGTATGGCAATTTCCACGCTCAAGTAATAACACCAGGTTATCAAGCTTTTACCGATTTGGATTCAACTCCGTCGATAAAACGAACTGGTAGATCGAGGAGGGTCTTATCAGCAAGCTCCGCCAGTATTTCGCTGCTTGTCTGTATGTATTTTACCCGGAATGCGGACCATAGACCAGGGCTGGAGGTTGGTCGCGGATAGAATGGGTCATTTTTGAAGAACGCCCTTACTGCTTGCTCGACTCCCTCAATATCGAATGAGATTTCATTACAGCAGTCGAAAGCCAAAATCCACATTACATGATCTCCAAGAATGTTGGATATTATTGCTGGTTTCTTGCCGTTTTTTCGAGGTGGTGCGAGAACAAACTCAACATCGTTGGCATCCATCATTCCAAACCAATGAAGTATGGCTAGAGTTTCAGCCATCAGCTCGGAATAGATAACGAGGTCAGTGAGTGGTATTTCGAGGTCCTCCATCTGATCAAGATGCAGTGGGAAGTTTCGGAGTGAGAAAGCCGTAAACCCCGATTTCGGTCTCTTGGAGTTATAACGATGTCTGCCGAGATATGGTCTTATTAGGCAGTCCCGGTTGGCGTCGCTGTCCTTGATTTGTGATACCAGTCGCGCCGGGCAAAATTTGTCAATGAGGATCTCCCTCGTTTGTTGCCCAACAGGTGGAATGCGGTCGGATCGAAGCGTGTTGCACGGAGCGTAGCCATCTGGGAACCTCTCCAGGTTTTCGGACCACCAACTATCATCGGGTTTCATAAATTGGTGGCACCTCGGAATAGACACATGGAGTGGCCGGGAGATGTTGGCTTGTTCATATAGCTCCATAGCGTGGAGCACAAGCTTATGCATCTCGTACTCCTTTTCGAGGGACCGTCCTGGACCCCCATCCTCGCGTTTGAAGGCGTACTCTTGCGCAGGTGGATGGTTGAGCTCTAGAGCCCACACAGTGCCGCAGAACCCAGCACCTATTCGACGGAAAGCAGCCTTTTTGAGTTGCATCTCAAGGGGTATCAATAGTAATTGTTATAAGGTACCGTTGATAAGTTGTGAAAATATAATATTGTTGTCATACTGAAGGAAGCTGGGAGAGTGAGGCCAGCGACGGATTACTTATACCATTGAGTGACTCATTGCGACCCAGAGATATCAGCATTCCTAACCAGGGATCCAGGTACGGTGCTAATGGTAGCTGCGTCATACTGACATTAACTGGTTGCCCAGTCCCAGAACCGATATAGCGACGTCTCTATGAAACACAGCTGAATAGCAACGGAATGCTATAAAATCTGGAATGCTACAGAAAGGTGCGCAAAGTACGCGTAAAGAGAGGAATGATGATGATATTCAGGCTTATAGGCCATTTAGGGCCTCTATTTGTATGTATGGGTGAGGAGTATGTGGTAGTATTTGGTCACGTGATGCGATATCAACCGGGAAACGATATAAAAAGATTTAAGGTCTTCAGCCTTTGATTGGTCCGTAGAACGCGCTATGACTAACTCTAAAATCGACTTCATGTAACGTGACTTTGTCTCTATTGATACCTGCCTTATATCTATTTGCTTTGTTGATATCAGCCTGCTCTATTGATATCTGCCTCTGTATTCCTTAGGTACAACCAGATAATAGATAATTCGACCCGGCTCTACCACTATTTGAAACCAATCGGGATCTAGATATCGCTCAGGCATGGATAGCGGCAGCTTCTTCATAACTGTCTATCTTTATTCACACTTGATCAATTCGATTCATTTAGGCCGTTCGCTCCCTTTGCCCATTCCAATTCCCGGTCGCGTAAGGCAGATTCCGAGTGTCTATTCCACTCCCAAAACTCAACGTCATCTCCCAGCGGCATTGGTTCGCAATAGAAGGATGTCCACCCCTCAATTTCCAGTCGGTTCAGATGCAACCAGCCAGGTTTCCAGCTGTCTGTTGGTGGGTACGGAGACTTATCAAATGTAAGGCATAGGGCGTATCTCTTGCCCAGTCTAAACACCCGTCCGTCGCACATATCACGGGAAGGAATAAAGCTCCCCTCCTCTAGACGAACATTAAAAGTCCTTGGTAGAAAAGCACTGTCTTCAAGACGACCCTCGTTTATCGTATATCCGGGGACAGCGCCTGGCATTGGCATAGCAGGCTTTGTGATCGTCAGATTGAGGCCAAACTCGGCCAGGAGGCACGACTCGTCGCCTTCATTATTGCCTCTATGAATAGTCTGGTCGAGTATGGCGGGATTTTCAGCGCTCAGTCGAACTTTGCTGCGATGAATATATTGACCTCCCCAGTAAATGCAATCTTTGAATCAGTCAGTAAAATGTTAAACGCATATAGTTCGTACGCCCTTACGTCGCCCGTGCCATCCTCGTCAAATTTAAAACAGACGTCAAGTTTCGAGTCTTGTGTCTAGAACTTGCCGCAAATGGCGGAGCGTAAAGTCTCGGCCATATTGCGCTGTGTTTGAATTTCTCGTCAACAAATGTGCTAATAATGCCAGAGGCAGCCGGGAGAACTACAGGGGAGCGATGCACCTCGAGGATATATAACTAGTTGTTATTTCAAAACTGTTGGATGTGGGGTAACTAACTATTCATAAGTAGTTAGATATATAACAATAGAAGGGTTGTATCTTGTTTCTAACAGGGCACAGTCCGTAAGTGCTTTTTTTGGCGGTTTCATATTCAAAGAAAATAAGACAAGACAAAATAAGACAAGACAAAGAAGGCAAGATAAAAAAAGGCCTGCTTTCATTCCTCAGCAATGTGTTTGGTCTACCGGTAAAATACTCAACATATGAGCAGCGGTTGATAGTATCTGGCCAGGCATAAAGTAGTGGAGGAGTGCAGCTACGCGGCCATCAGCCTTGTTAACTCATCGAAACGAAGTGATTGAGCCGCAGTCTACAAGGTTAAGACTGTAGTTATGTAATGAAAACTATCCAATCAAACAAATAACCATATAAACATACTCTCAGCAGTTGGTCTATTGATTAGAAGCCACAGAATCTTTATATCTTTGGCTGGTCACGTATCAAGTAAAACAAAAGCCGTGTCCTACAGTGACGTCTTAACAGAGACAAAAAATGTGAAGGGCAAAAGATAAAAGGACAAAAAGAAAGCGCTGCGTCGACCGGGAGTCGAACCCGGATCTCAACTTCTCAGTCGGTGCGATGGAAGAGTCGTGTGCTACCGCTACACCATCAACGCTGTTATGCTTAATCAGCGGCCATACCTCTGTAGATACCACATCGTGATACATGGATATATGGATACATGGATATTCTCGCCGAGAAAAATATCGTAGATGAACAAGGAAGAATAAGAAGAACAAGGAAGAATAAGAAGAACAAGGATGAAGAGTGATCAGCCCATCCCCTGCGTGATGTCTCTGGCTTCGGCGTTTTGAACAGCCGGCGCCTGAGATTAGCGTCAGGCCAAACTCCCGAGACGAGGGACAGGGCCGTGAACCGCCGAACTGAACATCGGATGACTGACGGCGAATCCATGGATGCAGCAGCCAGGCTTTCCTACTTAAGCTGCCTCTATCCGCTGTTGTGAAGGGTTTTCACTCGATAGCATACTACAGAGACCTACCGCTAATACTTACCTATCCACAAATTAATCTGAACCAGCATAAGAACTCATTTAATACAGCCGAGCGTTAGAATGTCCCTGCCCACTATCGCCATTCGAACTTCGCTTCGGCGGTTCTCTGCCCAAGCACCAAAACCTGAGAGCAGAGTCCAGCGCTATCTGACAGCGTCATGCATTGTTTCCGGTGTCCTGCTGCCGTTTATCCCGCCGGCGTTGGAGAGCTCGCGGGAGAGGAAGCTTGACCAGCCTCACACGAACAAGTACTCTCGCCTTCTCGAACACAGCTGAGTGCTAGGCTAACTGTCTTCCAGGTACCCGCCTCTCTGCTTCCATGCTCGCTAAGCCGGTGATTCGCTATCTGCAACCCCGAGTTACATCCTTTAGTTATTTGGCTTGAGTTTACGACATCGGAAAAGGCGTCTGGGGTTTCGTTCACTAATGGAGTACGGACAATCATGTTTTGACGGAGCATTCGGGGAAACGAGCATCTGAATACGGCTTATGGAGTACTTCATGTTGCCTTTCACCATCAATATTATTCGCAATTTCTAATACACTCATGGTTATACTTTTATTCAGCGCTGTGGCTCACAGATATAAAAGAGAGACCTTGGGCCTGTCAATCTGAAGAACACAGTTACTTTTACTATCTCATAATAAGTATCAAGTTCTTTTATATCTGGCGTAGTCTCTTATGACGTCCTTAGTCTAGGCATAGTCGTGCTTGAAACCATGAACTATCCTGTTGCCGATATGATATTTCCATTCTCAAATACAAGACTGCCGGCATAACTATAGGGTCCGTAGTTTGATAGTTAAAGAGGCCTACCTTGGATATTCTCTGGTCATAGAGCGGGGAGTCGCTAGGCGTGTATTCACTAGCTATATCTAGGTGGGAAGAAGGGACTGGCTGGTAAAGCTCTTGGTGCAGCTCCTGGTGCATCGTCAGCGCTATTCTTCCAGTTTCCAAGGGAAAGTACAAAATGATATACAGATATGCCCCATGTGGCTTCTTTTCAAGTATAGTATGTGCAAAAAATAAAATAAAATAAAGCTCAGCAGAAAAAAAAAAAAGAGGCATATATTCAAGGCTGCGGTATCAGTTAACTGAAACGGTTACCCTTTTTCGATTTAAATACTTCTGATGCTTCATACTTCCCCTTCTCGGCTAGACGCTGCGCATCTGTTTCCGGTTCGTGTCGTGTAGGGGCCGGGTCATGTCCTATTTCCTCACTCGGACTGTACGTGTCGTCCTTTTGCGGTCCGCCATTAGATTGTGCTAGTCGTGCCTGTGCCGTCTTCGATTGCTCGGTAGCGGCCTGCGGTAAGTAGGAAGCTGGTTAGCAAATCCTATGGTCACAGTATCGTCACTCGTGTATAGATATATGGTATCTGTACCCTTGCCGAAGCTTCAGCTCTTGCCATCTCATCTTTGCGTTTTTGAGTCGCGTCGAATCTAGTCAGTCGATCGGCGTTTATAGACCGTTTGGCAAAGTAGTATGCGCCACCGCCGGCTGGTTGCAGAAGAGCATAGTGAGCTTCCTGTTCGCAAAGTATTCACGTATAGTAGGCTGAGCCAGGAGGCAGAGAAGTGAGTTATACCAACGCATAGAGCGCCCCATCCAATCCTAGGAAGATTAAAGGTATTTAGTCGTCATCCAATTGGTCTAGTTGTGGGTGCGCCGAAGCAACGGAGCGTTCGTACCAGGTCGATCTGATCTAGATGGCACGGGAGATCATAAGTTAGTTTCCGGCTTCATTGGGCGTTGAAAATGAGAGGAATGGTCGACCTACAGTATTCATATTCAAAGCTCAAAAATCAAAGCGTATCGAGACTGTTAAAGTGCTGTTGTTCGGGTTTCATGAGATAAATCTGCATCGAAAATCCGCCGGAGCTCTCGATGTTTTTTCAAGGCGTTGACGTAGTTTGCCTGTGATTAGTCATATGATGTCATGTGATATAAAGCCGAAGAAAGACCGAAGGCTCCAAGCCATCAACATCGACGAGACTTGCTCTTGTTCCTGTTTCTATCGTTGCTCGGTATCGGTGGTGAGAAGGCTGTCAGTGGTTCCTGTTTTTGTGATCTTTGCAGCTGCAACGAGGCCAAGCCCTAAACGATGCTTCCGTAGCTTCGAGGTCACTTATCAACTTGTTTTGGACGACTCGTTACGAAGGAAGATAGGTGAAGAAATTATGCCTCCGAAGCGGAAGGCGGCTGAAGGCATGTTCTATTCGAGCTTTAGAGCATGCATTTATGGTGATAAACAAGGCCAACCTGACTTTGTGATATAGGCGCGCGAGGTCGAGCCTCAAAGCGTGCTACGCCGAACCCTGCCTCGACGCCTCAGAGCATAAGCAGCGATGAGTATTCCGCCGGGCCTGATGAAAGTGACGGCGAAGGGGATAAGCTGAAAGGTGAGAACTACGAAATGGTGCTCTATACCGTGTTCGCAGGGGAACTGATCTTGACTTCTCAAATCTAGATGTCGTGGAGAAATTTACACTCCAATCCTACAGCCAGAAATCACAGGCCCCAAAGCAGGATCCTCATTTTGGCTATAAAGACTTTTCTTCTCTTCCTTTGAAACCCGATCATGCCAACCGCCCGCTCTGGATCGAACCCATAAAGGGAACCATTACATTAGAGAGCTTCTCTCCATTAGCATCACAGGCACAGGATTTCCTGACCACTATTGCTGAGCCTCTGTCGCGGCCTACACATCTTCACGAATATCGGTTGACGGGCAACAGTCTTTACGCCGCTGTGTCTGTGGGTCTTCTCCCTAATGATATCATCAATTTTCTTGACCGACTGTCGAAAACACCTCTTCCGGAAGCTATCAAGTCGTTTATCGTCAACTTTACAAAGTCATATGGGAAAATCAAGCTCGTACTGAAACATAATCGATTTTTCGTGGAAAGCTCTGATCCCGCGACCCTACAGACACTTTTGCAGGATGAAGTCATCGGGCCACAGAGAATCGAAAATTCAGAAGGGATCATACAACAGGCCGCTCCAAAAATGGCAGGGCTAGTAATTCCAGGAACTAAGGATGCAGCCCTCCTGAAGCAGAATCCTGATCAACGGGCAGCCAACTTGCCAGAGCGCCAGACCCAGCCGAACGAAGACGAGATCTTAGTTAACTTACGAGAAGAAGATGACGACGAGGAACAAGCCCAAGTCCACAGCTTTGAAATTCCAAATACAGCAGTGGAGTCGGTAAAGGCCAGATGCCAGAGTATGGGCTGCCCAGCTCTGGAAGAATACGATTTCCGCAACGACGAAATCAACCCGACATTGGATATTGATCTTAAACCAATCGCGCAAATTCGAAGCTACCAAGAAAAGAGTCTGAGCAAGATGTTCGGTAACGGACGAGCAAAGAGTGGTATCATTGTGCTTCCGTGTGGTGCTGGAAAAACGCTAGTCGGAATTACGGCAGCTTGCACTATCAAAAAGGGAACAATCGTTCTCTGCACAAGTTCCATGTCCGTTGTCCAATGGAGAAATGAATTCATCCGGTGGTCAAATATTGATCCGAGTGACATTGCCATTTTTACCTCTGACAATAAGGAGAAATTCCGACGAAATACTGGTGTTATCGTATCTACATACTCCATGGTTTCGCAGACCCGTGCCAGATCCCACGATGCTGAAAAGATGATGGAATGGATGCAGTCACGCGAATGGGGTCTGATGCTTTTGGACGAAGTCCACGTCGTTCCCGCCTCCATGTTCCGAAAAGTCACATCTGCTATTGCTACGCAAACGAAACTTGGACTGACTGCTACACTTTTACGAGAGGATGACAAGATCAAAGATTTAAACTTTTTGATCGGACCGAAGCTCTATGAAGCAAACTGGATGGAACTTGCAGAGCAAGGTCATATTGCTAAAGTTCAATGTGCAGAAGTGTGGTGCCCCATGACCACAGAATTCTATACCGAGTATATGCGTGAAAAGTCAAGGAAGGCGGCCCTCCTATACATCATGAACCCCAGAAAATTCCAAGCTTGTCAATTCTTAATTGACTACCACGAAAAGCGAGGGGATAAGATTATTGTCTTTTCGGACAATGTCTTTGCGCTGGAACGATATGCTTTAAAATTAAACAAAGCCTATATTTACGGCGGAACCCCGCAGAATGAACGTCTAAGGATTCTTGAAAATTTCCAGCATAATGAACAGGTGAATACAATATTCTTGTCCAAGATCGGTGACACGTCACTCGACCTGCCGGAAGCCACCTGTTTAATCCAAATATCATCTCATTACGGTTCTCGTCGACAAGAAGCTCAACGATTAGGTCGTATTCTCCGAGCCAAGCGTCGTAATGACGAGGGATTCAATGCCTTTTTCTACTCTCTTGTGTCGAAAGATACGGATGAAATGTTTTACTCGTCCAAGCGGCAGGCTTTCTTGGTTGACCAGGGCTACGCGTTCAAGGTGATCACCCATCTCCAGGGAATTGAGAACCTTGAAGGCCTCGCGTACGCTACAGCTGAGGAACGTCTAGCCCTTTTAGCAGACGTAACACTCCAGAATGAAACATCTGCTGCGGTCGAAGAAAATGCCGACGATCTATTTAATGATCGGATGGGCGGCGGAAAGCCCCGCGGTGGTAAGAAGGGTGTACGGAGAAATGCCGCAACGCTGAGCGGGCTTGCTGGGGGTGAAGATATGGCGTATATCGAACATAATAAGAGTCGAAATAAGCAGTTGAAAGAACGCAGCTCGTTCTTCAGGAAGATTGATCGCGATCGTGCGAAGAGGAAGAAGATGCTAGAGTCATAGATCATCGGTTCACTAACGCTTTACAAAAACAGGAATTTTTATCATCATCCCTTCATATTCTAGAAACTATGGGAGATTGGTGGTTTTAGCTGTAGGCTAGAAAATGGTACGATATTTTATAATTTCGGAAAAAATTGTTATATAAATAGATCCATTTTATAATCCAGTGATGGAAACCATCTGTCTGCGCCTAAGCGCCTATCCAATGAAAGTTCCCAGAAGATGTAACACAAATAAATAAAAAAAGAGACCAAAAAGAACGAACGAGAGAAAAAAAAAGACGTGGTACTCCATAAAAGTCGATAAAATCAACATTGTAGCATCAGCAACATTGGTATCTGGCAGAAGGGGATATATATATACATACGAAAATAAAAATAAACATAGATGTTAAAGGAAAGAAGACGTGCAACAAAGGATTGCGGGTATAATCATCATCCGCTTGCTCATAGGAGAATTCCAGTTAGCAGATAACTTGGTGCAACTGTTTATTTAAGAACAACCCAAACACCAATAGTCAAAAAATTAATCCCATTTTCACAAGATGGGAGTGCTCGTAAGGGCCCGGAAGCCCTTGATTAGAGTAAAATAGGGCATCATCAACGGGTACTATTCATAGGTAAAAAATGAGGCGCCTGGAATGCAGTGGTGTGTGGTTACTCTTCCGAAATCGAAGAGACGAATTTTGACATTTGCTTTTTTGTAAGTTTTCCAAGCTTAGATTTTGAGTCGGTGCGTCGGTGTTCGCCGCGGGACTGAGAAAACGGAGGTAATTTATCGTTAGCCGGGGATGGAGGGCCGGTTGGAGGTCTGTATACTGCGTTGGTGAGGAGAGTTGGTTTTTCCTGGTGTGCTGATTGTGATGGGAATGGCCGTAGGTTGCCACTTTGGCCGTTGTGGTGATTTTGTCTACTAGACGGCCGCAGCGGTTCTGGCCGTAGTTGTTCTGGCCTTGCGGGAGGGAACCGTTCTGTATCGGATCCTGACGTTATAGAGGCTGGTGACGAAGCTCCAGAACCGGTGCTCCTCTCGCTTTCTTTCGATTCCGTAGAGTTACGATGATTATCTGCAGTAGCTTCGAGAGCGACTAGTTCACAGCGAGTGCAGGCAGCTGCCGCAAGCTCAAGCATGCGAACCTGCTTTTCAAGTCTTGATCGAGCAAGCTTGACGTCTTGAGACTCGGCTGCAAGAGTTTCAATGTCATCGTTGGACATTTGGACAAATTTGGATGGGGATATCATGTCCTCTAGGCCATCTATAAGACAGCCTTCAACAGCGAGGCTTGCGATATTGTTAATGAAGTTGTTGAGAGCCACTGAATAATACGCCAGCATACAATCCAGTATCTCAGACTGAGGGGTTGATTCAGGACCGTCGGCTCCAGCCTTGCCGTTAGCTTTAGTCCGTAGTTGAGATATTCGTTGTTTTAGCTCTGGGTCCACGATCGTTGGGATAACCTTCTTGAATGGAGCTACAATCTCGTCGATCTTGTCGTGAAGTTTTTGCAGTTTCTTCTCCATCTCAATATTGAATATCTTGTGAATGAGGGCCTCGCCAATACTTGCATCGGCGATGTGATGGAGGAGGTCGTTGAGAAACTGCTTGATCTTCGTCCACATCTGATAGACATGAGCTCTAGCAATGGACTTCCATCTGAGGGAGTATCGGATAAATAGTTCACCAATAACTTGAGCGTTCATTAGACCAGAGATCTCACGACCTTTGCTCTGTTTCGCAAACTCTTCAAGGCCCGTCATAAAGTCGCTTCTTGTGACTGGTTGCGGCCCATCCTGTGACTGTGGCGGTGCTTCTTTCTGGGAAGCATCATCGTAAATGGTGTAGCTGTGACCACGTTTCCTCATGTCCTGAGCGAAGTCGTCAGTCCAATTACTGATTGTGGCACGGAGCCGCCTTATGGAATGGGTTGGACGATATCTGAAGTATGGATCGTGGTACTCTCCATAAACAGCTGCCTTTGTAAGAGACTGAAACCTCTCCCCTATTCTAGCCAAGTACACTCGACGTTCAATGGTAGTGCTGTTTGAGGTGCCGAGTTTCTCGAATAATGTGCGATGGGTATCAAGGTCAATATTGATATCCGAGGATAATATGGAAAGTTGACGTTTGACATCGGCCAGTAATATTTTACGGATTCTACTCCGAAGAGCACCGACACCCACAGAATGAGGAGGCAGGGTTCTCCACGGGGTCACGGTTGAGAAAAAGAGTTCTTCAATATCATCACGAGTAACTCTCGGAGGCCGTTCGAGGCCCTCGCTATCCATGTTCTTTAAAAGGTGCCATCCCAGTTGCAGTGAGTTGTTCTGCTGCTTGACACGGTCGTATAGCTTAGCAATAATGGAGGCATCGGGATCTAGACGGTCGAGTTTGGTAATAATACCCATAGTTCGAGCAGTACAAGATCTCGTCATGTGTAGCACCATCTGCTCTGAGAGCTGGCGCTCCGCGGAAATAACGGCTAGGATGATGCATCGTGGATTCTGTAGGTAGGTTTCGGTGAGGCTGTTGGCCATGTCGATGTCCTCGGCGGATTGGCCGTCACGGGGAAGATACATTAAGCCCGGCAGGTCGACTATCGTAAGGTTGGGTAGAGTCGGTCCGGACATCTCCAAGTGTAGAACGTCCTCCGAATAGGCACCCTCGCGGGTAAGGCCCATGATCAGGCGAGCCTCTGAAAATAGCTTGGGGATATCCGACAGCCAGTTATGCGATCTAGAAAACACCCCAAGCTTGTGTCTGTGATCCGGGGAGGCATTTGGCCCCGGGCATATCTTCACCTGTGTGCTGGTATCCGGTGCCCTCCGAAGCACGACTTCGACCACAAACCTGGTTGAAACGCCATTGTTGACAGGCAGCGGAACTCCGGTAATGGCTTCGAATACCGCCGACTTCCCGCTGTTCTGGTCACCACAGATAACAAGCTTGTGAGAAAACACCTGGTGATGCAGGCCCAGGCGGCGTAGCTCGTCGAGGCGCTCAAGCAAGGTGGACTGTTCTTGTGCTTGTAGGAGGTTGATGGGTAAGGAATCGTATCTCGAGCCGCTATTTTGTCCCATGATTGTTTGCTGTCGTGAACGTATTTTGATAGGGACGCCGTCAGGTCGAGGGAGCTGGGTACACGGAAGAGACGACGAGGTAGTTGCGGATGAAGGGAAAAGCCATCTAAATATCAAGGCGTCGAGATTGTCGCATTAGACGATCCTGCTTTCTTGCCTAGAGAATGCCGGTTATACGGAGATTGGTGCTCTTTCCCCTCAAGAAGTCTAGGCTCGCCTCGCTTCAATGGTATATATGAAACCAAACCAGCATGCAGGGTGGCAATTGGGGATTGATTTCGATATATTCCTGCTGTCAAAGCGAGCTCCATGGACCAATTGGTACGGTTCCTGCAGCAGAGGGATTCCTGCAGCCACTCCTAGTCGTTAGCCCTGTACGGTATGAGCAAGGTGGGAACGGAGCATCTAACGCAGTCTGGTTCTGTCGACATTGCAGCAACTAGGGACATCCTTCGACGCTGACAGCGCCCTTAACCAGAACGGTGCAATGCACCGAGAAATGCAGACTCCGCACCACGCCTCTCATAGGCAAGTTTGGCCTAGCCGTTACCAGCGCGTGGCACACTAGTGCAGGTCAGGCCCGTTTTGCCCATCCTATGCAGCCCTAAGCCTATGGAATGTGCAGCGAACTGGAGTTCACAGGGGTGATCCCAGTAGCGCATCGCCTCGTAACGCCGCTCCGGTTAGGGAGCAAAGTATACAGGTCACCGGCATGCCGGAACACGAAGCCTCAAGTCCGACGTCGCACAGTCGAGAGCCACCATATCACCAAGTCAAGCGGGAGAAGCCAACCGGACGGAGTAGGACGTTGGCGCAGTGGTGGAAGTTTAGGAGTTTAAAGAAGTTTGGTGGAAGTTTGGTGGAAGTTTGGAATTTTGGTTGAAGTTTCCAAGTTTCGAAGTTTCGAAATTTCGAAAGTTTTCACGGGATCTACATACGATGACTAAGCATATACACTTTCGGACTTCGGATTTACCTAAAGCCGTCACTTATGTCATACATGTCACGTGTACTCATTTTCATGTCACGTGGTATATATGTTTGACTGGTTTGCACCATCACGTGGTGATATCAACGTCACCAGAAACTCCGAAAGGTTGTTTTGATGGGAAACACCAGATAACAGACCGATATGTGAACAGGCATACGTCTGTAGCAGCCTCAGTTGACGGATTCGCTGCTTCTCTGTAACTGTCAGACGGTTGACCTTGCTAGCAGTATGGCATCATCCGATTCTGGACGCGACCGTTGCCAGAACTGCCCCAACGGTTCTGGTTCTGGTTCTGGTTCTGGTGCTGGTGCTGGTGCTGGCCGAGATGAAGAGAACCCGTTTATAGCATTACGCCGTTACGCCGATAAACAGCTATCGAGTCTCCTTCGGTCAGTGGTTGGCCTCCCGTCCGCGGTCCTCTCCCCTCCGGCAAAGGATTGGCTCGGCCTCAACGATGAAGAGCTGATCAGGGCGCTTAGAGCGCGCCGAGACGCCTCAGACAATGTGTGTTGTCACCACAGCTGCCGTGATTGCAATTCTGGTGGTGACGAATTCTCCAGGCCTCGTCCAAGATATGACGAACGGTACTATGGCGTGAACGCGGGGGCGCCTCGTAGAGATGGAGACTCCTCCAACGCGGAACAGCAACGGAGACACCCAAGCCAGTCCTTTCCGGCCTCAGTATTCGACGACCTGTTCGATAGCGCGTGGCCCATTGACCCTTCGTTCCTGTTCCGAGATCTAGCCCATTTACATGGGCCGTTTATATTCGATTTCATGGCTCCCTCAACCTCCGCCGGCTGGCCAATCTCCTACCTTATGTTTTCCCCTTACTCTCCGCTCCAGCTCGAACGGCAGCGGCAATTACGCCAACGATACGAAGACCATAGCCTATCGTCTTGGTTCACCCCTCTGGCACCAAGCCACGAGGCCCGAGATCCCAAGGAGCCCCGCTGGCGGGAGGCGTTTGAAGATCTACTCCGGCTCGAGAACGGTAAGCCTATGCTTGATAGAGACCCTAGGGACGTTTCGAAGAGTGAATCTGGCAAGGACTGGCTCTCGGGTTTAATACAGCGTGGCAGCCTCGGTGACGGCTGGTCCCACGTTCGCCAGCCAGACGGCGAAGGGGATTACTTCAAATTTAGCCAGACCACATCCAGTGATCCCTCCCCAGAAAATGAGGAAAATTTGCAGAAACCCCTCGAAAACAAGGATGGCCACCCGTTTTCAGAGCTCGACCTGTACGATACCTTCCTCCACAAAGTTAATGACGGTCCGGACGCAACTCAAACCAGCCCCTTGCTAAGAGCAATACTTGAAGAGCGGAAACGGCAGCGTCGCGAACTTGAGGAGCTACAACTCCAGTGGAAAGAGATGTTTCGTGAAAAAGAAACAGAGCGTGCGGACGACCGTCAAGCAGTTGCTGATATAGCCCGCTTTGAACATGCTACACACTCATCTCAAACAGCTCAAGGGGCTGACGAAAATCTACCTCAGTCCATCATCTCGAGTGTAACCACCACGCAGCGCCTGATGCAGCCTGATGGGTCGGTGAAGACGAAAACGATCGTCAGCAAGCGCTTTGCTGATGGGCGAGAGGAAAACTCCGAAACCGAGGAAGTCACAAGAAATAGCCATTTGGCCGTCGATGACAGTAACCAGGTAATGGCTACTAGAGATGGTAAGCAACAAGGACCACCTGATTCCCAGAATAAGAAGCGCAGCGGTGGTTGGTTCTGGCAGGAGTAGCGTGATAACAGCCGGCTGATATCTCTCTCTGTTTGTTCCTTATCCTCGTTTGGCATTGCCTCATGAGGTACCCATCCCTTCATCCTACGGGCGGGAAAATCAATATTTACATTCATCAATTTAATAGTCCAGCGACTCTAACTTACGAACTATATGACCCGTCCTCGACTCGACGTTTCTCTTTTGTTTCTTGAAATCCCCATTCCTTCTGATGGCTTATATCCTATTTTTCTTCCCTAGCGTTAATCTATTTTACTCCTTCATGGAATCTGTACATTTACTTTGGGGCTCTGGAACAATTTATATGTTTTAACATTATTATTCTCAAAATCAAATTGATATTTTGACTTCGATTGCCTCGGCGCAAAAGGCTTCATTACTAATCCACTGACTACTTCACGCCCTCCTCGTACCAAGCTCACGCGGATATCAAAGATACGAGAATTTTCTAGGGCATTAGTCTGGACTATGATATTTATTATATCAGGTTACTCCTACTATCTCTCTGATTGATTTGGCTGAACTTGGCTATAACTCATCCCCGCTATCAAGCCAATCCTGACATCATGGCCACAGCCAACATGCCCAAACCGGCGCATGCCGACGCTGACACTCTACTATCTAGGAAATTTGGCAAAGAAACCGTTAATTATTTCTCTAGTTAAGATTATCCCCATTGATCTAATCGCATTTCCGGGCAGACCGTTAACGATTGAGTTATTCCACAGGTTCCCCCTTAAATCGGGTATCGTTCCTACGCTCTGATAACCTTCTCTTATCGAGTGCTCTGAAGCACCCCTCCACCAAATTCCTATTATTCAACCAACTGGCGCCACTTTCTCAAACATTTGCGCAATTATATTACGCATCATACCAGGAAATAGAGGCGTTCGTCCCGCTAAATATATTTGATAAACCGGAAAAGGAGATTATTCAGACATACGACTCTGGCAAGGCCGCCCCACTAGTTGTGTTCCTAGGGTTGAACGAATCGCAGCCAGAAAATGGATTTAGCTATAAATCCTACAAAGGAAATCCATATTTCGCGGTGGATATCACTCCCCGTGGCGCATTGGAGGAGAAAGCCAAACATATCATTGAGGCCGCGGAATCCAAGGGGCTCATTTTTAACAAGGCAAGGATACTTACTGACTTGCCTCCGGATGATGGTATGGCTACCTTTTTCACTATTTTACCCCATATCTATCACATCTTCTTGAAAAACCGTTAACTAAAATATCACTTGAAGCTGCTATATACGCGCAAGCACGCCAGATAATAGACTGGAATGTTCGCAATGCATTTTGCGGAGCATGTGGCCACCCGACGATCTCTGTAAATGCAGGATCGAAACGGGCTTGTCCGCCAACTGACCTGGGCCTTCTTAAAAACGGTTCATCAACCGATAACTGTCGCCCCCCTTGCCACACTCGCAACACTATCTCGAACCTCTCATTCCCACGGACAGATCCCACAGTCATTGTAGCGGTGGTATCCCACGATGGGAAAAAAGTGCTCCTAGGGCGTCAAAAACGATACCCACCATGTTGGTACTCGACGTTGGCCGGTTTCATTGAACCAGGGGAATCTGTCGAGGATGCCGTCCGCCGTGAGGTCTGGGAAGAATCTGGAGTTGTCGTATCACGCGTTATCATCCATAGTACTCAACCATGGCCGTATCCGGCCAGCCTTATGATTGGCGCGATCGGCCAAACCGCGAAGCCTGAAGATGAGGTGGTGAATCTTAGTCACGACCCGGAGCTGGAAGAGGCTCAATGGTTTGATATTGCTGAGGTTGAAGAGGCTCTAAGGACAGGTGTGAGCTCTTTTGGAGGGCCAAAGCCTGCTGGGTACAAGGAAGGCACTCTGCGGCTAGCACCAAGCACGGCCATCGCATACTTTCTCATAGAAGCTGCTGCAAAGACTGAGCTTCTCGGAAATCAATATTTACCAAGAATATAATATAGGGCGTTGCTGTTGCATAAGGCATCATTTTGTAAATAAATTTAGGAGTTACTTAGAATAGCATGATAGACAAGTTGATTGCTCATATCTGATTTTATCTATAAGTACGGACCACAAGCTCGCAAAGATGAAAAAAATCCATATCATATACGCTCAGCGACGAAAACAGTCAAGGGTGGAACATTGGTTGATTATAAAAGTGATAATAATGGTGGTTATATAGCAATCCCTCCAACGCCAAAGCAAGTCACTCGTCCGTCACCCGTGGATCCTCAGCAAGGTCTTCCTGGATGATGAAATTATACATCATGCCTCCTTACGTTGCGCCAGAACAAAATGCCGTAAATACTAAAACAGGAGGTTAGAATGAAAAAAAGGGGCCAGGAGAAACAAAAGGCTTTATGCGGATAGGTATATTTTAATATTCTGTTTCTTGGCCCTGGGACGTGGGAGCGCTGTCCTCAAGCCGAGTACGTTTGGTATCCCTATCTTCGCTAGGGTCGGTGCTGCCAGCCATTTTGCGCTTTTCTCTCTCTCGCTGCTCTGCACGACGAGCTTCCTTGTCTTTCTCTTTTCGATGAGCTTTGGATTCGAACTCATGCCAATCACCTTCTACATCTGCAAGTCTAGAGGAAGTTTGTTAGTATATCTGAAGATAAGTGGTAGGAGTTGGACAGGGTTCCACTTACTCCATAGCTTGCTGTGCGTCTGGCGCCTCGGACACAAAGTAAGGGTGGGCAAGAATTTCCTCGGCAGACGGCCTTTTGCTAGCATCATACTGGAAGATGTTGGCAACGAGGTCAAGAGCAGCAGGAGATAAACAGTCACGATATAAGTCCTCGAATGCCCTCTTCTTTCTTTCCGCAGGTCGCATGAGCTCAAACCATGGCATGTCAATAATGTCTGGCCAGTCTGCCCTTGTTGGGGTTCCAAGGGAGTTGTAGAGCTTATCCATCTGGCTCAACTCGCTGCCATCGCCAGGGAAGATCGCCTTTTTGGTAAACATCTCCATGTATACGCATGCAGCACTCCAGATGTCAACCGCAGGACCGTATCGAGTCTCGCCAAGTAACAATTCCGGAGGCCGATACCATATTGTGATAACACGGTTAGTATAATCGAGTTGGCGTGACTTGGAGAAAAATCTTGCAAGACCAAAGTCCGCAAATTTGAGTTGGCCTTGGTTGCTGATGAGGATATTTGCAGCCTTGATATCACGATGAAGTACTCCACGATGGTGTAAGTAGTTCAATCCTTCGAACATCTGTTTGGCAAGGTGCTTTTTGTGTGCAGCGGATAGTATGAAAGTCGGGTGGTTGATAAGACCGGTAAGATCGTGAGAAAGGTACTCGAACACCATGAAGCATTCGTTTTTCTCCACCATAACCTCCTGTAAACTGACAACATTCTGATGGCGAAGGTGCTGAAGAAGCCTGATTTCCCGAACGGCAGTGATTGGGAACCCATCTTTCTCTCCTTCCATTCGTATCCGTTTTAAAGCGACCTTATTCTTAGTAAAAACATGCACAGCCTTGAAGACTTTACCATAAGTACCAGCTCCCACCACGGATTCATTCCCAGGTTTGCGATAATATACAGAGTCCGCACGCGAAAATTCTTCAGAGAGCGTAGGTCGGGCTTTCATTCGGGTTAGAATCTTCTTCTTTGGCTTGATACGTTCGACTATTCGCTCTTTTCGTTTCTCAGGTCGTGGTTCCGTTCGCCGTTCTTCTCGTCGGTCCCGTCGTCTATCGTCCCAAGTATCAAATCGTCGATCTACTCGTCGTGCATCACGTCGATCATCCCGACGGTCGGGACGGGTCTCATGCTTCAATTTGGAAGTCACGGATTGCGGCCGTGTCTTGGGAATTTCTAGAGGCCGAGGAGGATCACGCATCTTCTGGGTTAGGTCAGGGATAGGCTTTGGAGCTTGAGATGGTGTAGCCTTGGACTTAAATGCAAAGCTAAATTTCCCAGATTCCTTTGGCTGTGAGGTGGTGCTAGGTTGTCGTTTAGGTGGTGGCTCAGGACGTTCAAGATCACCTGCTGCCCCTTGATCTTCTACCTGTAGGTCTTTTGATGGACGAAACGGGTTGTCTTCTTCGTCAATATCGGGTGACAATCGTTCATCGGATAAGTGATGTTGAGGGGGGAATGGCTGGGGATGTGGCGGTTGCGGATGAGAACCAGGATGGGCACCACGGCCACGACTGCTCCATGATACAGCGTCAAGATGTGAACCGCGAGAACGTGAGCCTGACGTTTGGTTAGAATACTGCTGAGATCCACTAGAGAATCTTCGATCTGAGTGATGAGGATTGTAATTATTACCGCGATATGAGGAACTGCTTCCCCTGTATGGCTGGGCTGAATAGCTCGGCGGAAGATGGCCTGAGCTGGGTGGTTGGCCCTGATAATACTGGCTTGGTGGCGCGCTCTGAGGCGGATAGCTTGATTGTCGGTACGGAGGCGAATAACCATGCATTTGTCTAAGTCAACAGTTAGTATCAGAAACGCATCTGGTTGATAGTTAGGTATGGTTTTATTTCACCTTGACTGTCCGTGATAAGGCTGTGATTGTTGTTGTTGTCCCGACCACGAGCCACGTCCACCGCCACTGTAAGGAGAGCCGGATTGCGGGGACTCGTGTCTGGAGCTCGTGGGAGTTACATATTGTGGTGATGTGGTGTATGGTTGGCGGGTATCTATAGACGGATGTGAGGGTCGCCGTGAAGGCCGGGCTTCTGCCGGCCTTACACCATGTACAGGATATGTGTCACGCATGTGTTCGTCGTTACCGGTTCCCTACTGGCGTCACCGACACCAACACTCGCGAGACGTAGAGGAGAAGAATTAGGCCTTGTAGGGCCACTCGCGATCGATCCTATCGGGTGAGTGGATGATACGGACGGGGAAGGCCGAGGAGAGGTTCTAGAGGTAAACGAAAATCGCGACGGCGGGCGGGAAGGGTTTTCTATATTGCGAGTGAGAACGGGGGTGAGCGGGCGCCCTGGAGAAGCGGTAGGACGACTCTGCTCGTCGGAAGAGGGAGGATATGGTCGAGGGCTTCTGACTGCGGGATCTTCGGTAAAATTGTTAGCTTGTCGATTCTCCTTATCTCGCGGAGGAAATCTCTTTGAAGAAGCGTGGTGGCCTCGAAATTTCCCATATCTCCCGGCGTGGTCTCCACTGCCACGGTTCCCCCAGCCAGAAGATTGGTGGCGACGCGAAAGAGGTGGTGAAGGACTCTTCTGTCGCTTGTGTTTCTGGAAGAGTGAATGTGAAGGTGCTTCCTCGCCTTGTCTGGCCCTTACCTGGTGCTCTGGGTAAGACTTGCGCTGTTCTTGAGAAACAGATTGGTCGTGTGGGGATAGGGACGCGGTTCTCCCTCCACCTTGATTCTGATCGTTTCGAAGGAACGGGGAGTGACGATGATAGACACCACCACGGCCTCTAGCCGGTCTATCCTGCTCCCAGCGACGCGGTGGACGAGATGATTTCTTGTGGTAGCCGCCTCTCTCGTTTGCCTTGGGGCGCTCTCTGGTTTCGTCGTATTCGTAGTGCTCTCTCCTCTGTTCTCTCATTGATGAATTCCCTTCGGGCCCGGCCATGTACCTCCTAGCCGCATCAGCTCTCGTACGCGGGTAATTATATCGAGTGACCCGGGGCAGCCGCAGTGTCAGAGTGCAAGAGACGTCCGTGATGTCGTCGTTTGGTTGCTCTGTCGTGTTATCCAAACTAATGTTAAGAGCCTTTTTGGTTGATAAGTGGCTCCCAGAAAAACGGCGGGCGACGCGCACCACTTGCGAAGTTATTTTTTTTTGCTGCCAAATTTTTTTCTTCTCTCTTTTTTCCTTTTTTTTCCGCGACCCCTCGTAAATATATGACAGAGTCTAGCGTATACTCTGTATATGGCGAAGAACAGCTCGCGGTGAGGACGGTAGGATGTTCGATGTTCCCGGGAGTAGATATCGGTACCTACTGGCTTCCATGCTTGGCGATCGGGCCGTTGGAGCAGTTTGATATCTGCTGAGGACGCATCGTGAAGCGAGCGAGACAAGTTGATATTACTCGGTCTCTAGCCGTAGCACAGCTGTGGCCGTCAACAGGGCCAGTTTGCTCGAGGCTAGCGCAGGTCCGAGTTGATTTGACTTGTCTAGACTTCACTCCTGCAAAAGTCTTCTACGAAAAAGAGGTTTCCATGGCTGCGAAGAAACCAGCCCCATCTCTCAGGGTCACGGCGAGATGTAAGAACCGTCCTGGTCTCGGTCAACCCCAACATCCACATATCTGCAAAGAGTCCCATCTATCGTTGCTGTCTCGCACACAACACCTCCCGGTGTCACCGACTGGCGGAGCCTTCTTGATGGGTACGTGTGTGACCCCTTCCCACCCGAGGTCTTTGCGAGCTCAGAAATATTCCAACCTGCCACAATGCAATGCCCGTGGCATGACACCAACAGTCTATCTACGGTATGAATGTTTCCAGAGGTTCAGGTTCAGAACCATTAAGGGCTGGGTGCACAGACACACATAAGCAATGCGAGCTCCCCACAGCACTCCGCCGGCATGGATGATAGACGCATTATCACCCCGGATTTGCAGCGATATATGCGATATATGACGTGGACCTCGTCCCCCTTGACCCGTCAAAGTTGCTGCAGGATTTGCTATACAGAGGCAGCACCTAACAAGACAACCAAACCAGTGGCCCTCGCAGCTGTAAGATGGATCGTATGGTGAGAACTATCGATATTGCGGCGTGAACTTTAGGTATGGCGAGAATGGGCTGCCTGCCCAAGCTATGTCGACCGAGCTGTACCTGGACATTTTACTCAAAATAACTTGCGGTATCGCAGTAGAATAGTCACATCCACTTGGGCCGTCACCCTCTCAAGACCGCTGGAAAGTCGTATAGAGTGCAGTGAGCCGAGATTACCGGGTAAAGCAGTAACAAGAATAAAATATAGAGACAGCTCTCCCTAGGGCATGGCCGGTAGTAAGACAGCGCTGGGTCTCAACCTAATGGATGATATAATCAATATAACTAGTGGCTGAACTGTAGGCCCGCGGTCAATATTGAAGGAGAGACTGGGCCATATATCGTGAATATCGAAAGACATATAAGAGAGCATACCTAGTCAACCCAGAAGCCGACGAAGCGGGGACTCTAGATGTCCAATGATATGTCACTTATCAAGCATATTCAGGCTGATAACAACTACGTATAATATACCAACCAGCCAACCAGTCACCATCCGCTGTCCCCAGAACACGACTCTCCGGGTCACTCCGCCGTGGACGGTTGCTAGCTTTAGCCCCGGAGAAAGGATTCTGCCTTCTGCCTTCGAGAAATGTGCCAGGGGACGGATGTGACGGTAGCCTGTCAAAGAAACAAGTGTTATTTAAGCCAACAATGCTAGAATTCGCCTTGCCCCTCTCTTCCCCCCCGTGCAGTGGGGAATATGCATCGACGACATGGCAAGAGTGCGAGAGACATACCTTCGACATAAGACGTAGGTCACAAGCCGCCAGCAGGGAGTGAGCTGCCTAGTTTGCGCCCTTGGCCGGTCCTCTTCGACTACATCCCATGCAAATTCAAGCTAAAAGTTCTCGTGTTGAAGTTCGAACTCCAGTTGGCAGATCATGTGATGCTTAGTAAGATAACGTGACCTGTATCAAACAACTTTGATTTTTATATGTTGACGTCAAGCTATTAAACACTGCATATGTGTGATAACGTATATATAACATGGAGTTGGTCCTTGTTACGGCCAATTGAAGTCACGATTAAAGAATTGGAGCTATTTTCTGTCTGGGACATCTTTCCAGGCCTCCTCAAAACCTGCCGATCTCACCCAGTTCGACCCTGGCCCAGATACGGAATCGACGACTATTCAGAATTGCCAGTGTCAGCTCAGTTTCGAAGGGAACGGATGCTAGGGGATCTGGTATCTACTCACGCATATTGCCCAGCTTCAGCCACATATCCCCTTTAATGCGGAACCCATCCTTTCCTTCATACGGCTTGCAGAGCTTCTCGGCATGGGCTACATGTCGAACGAACTTCGCAGCATGTCCGTCATCTTGCTCGAGTCCAACGGTCGTCTTGAATATCTCATCCCACTTCATCTTGGGAACGTAGTTGGTAATGTCTTCCAGGCGTGGCTCAACACAATTGCGTGAGACATAGACGAGAAGATCCATACGGGCCTTCCATTCTAGCAGACGTATCTTCTTCTCCTTCGTCATCCAAGGCTGAGAGAGGAAAGCGGGGAGGAAGATGTTGGAATTCAGCGCATGAATATAGAAGAAATCAAACTTGATCACCTTTCGGGGATTTTGGGCTGCACCGGTATAGTACACTATCCTTCCAAGTTAGTTGATATCGTCCAAACACAGAGAAGGGGGCTCGGTATCCGTCGTACCAGTTGCATTGATCAACTCTGCGAGCTTCTCTTCTATTTCATCAGGGCCAACAGTAAACTGGCTGGCATATTTGATCATTTTCTCGGGCGCTCGATACATCACCCCGTCAAAAATCTTATTGGTATCTGCCCATAAGACGGAGCCCTTGATATCAGGGTCATTGCGCAGCTCATCTTGAAGCTGGACCAATGTCTTCCCGGACTTTCCGGCATCGTTTGCCATGCGCTCAACTGGCTGGAAATAGGCTTGAAGTTTGTTATCGTGGGTAGCCGTCTGTGCGAGTGCCTGTGCAACGATCGCAGGCTGATTGAATTCAATCCCGAAGCCGAGATGGATCATTGGGTGTATGAGACCTATTCACCACTAATTAGCGAACTCGTATAGGGAACGGATAAAGTAGTTTGATGGCCTAGAGTTTGAAGCCTCAATCTATGGAGGGGCGCATGCCTGCAAAAAACCGTGCCAACATATCGTCTGCAAATTCTCCTCCTGCAAAAATATAGTCATGCACAACTTGGCCAACTCCTTTAGCCTCAAGTTCTTGTTTGAAGAATTGCAGGAAGTTCGGGTAGTGCTCCCTCTTGCCGGCCAGTTTCCTGAATTCATCTGGGCTACTTAGGCGTTTCACAATGCTCTCGTCTACCGGGAGCGCAGGTCTTTGATACTTTGAATCGATGGCATAAGATCGTTCTACATCTTCTGGCGATGCTCCAAGAGCAAAGATCGACAGAACATGATGGTCAATGTGATCTAGGGCAATTGTTAATATTCGGGGACACTCGTGGAAGTATGGAAGAAGATATATACTTACTATGGAATCCTTCGTCATTAAAGTAGATATTATGTTCCTCGTAGTCTTTTTGCAATACCTCACTTGCCTTCTCGGCGGTTTCAGGCTTCGGGTTGAAGCTGAAAACAGGTACGTCCTTGACTGATACTTTGATGGTGCTTGGTGACGCCATTGTGCTATTTCTGTTTTGTGTGCTGAACGGCGTGTAGGCAGGTATTCTAGTAAATGGATATTTCGGCGGCCTCGTAGCTGAGTTGGACCAAGCAAGCTGGGATGTAGAAATCCGTCCTAGTGATAAAGATATCCTAGTAAGGGGCACAAATCGGAATAAGAGCTCCCTTCTAAAAATTCCTGCGCTCATGGACTCTTAAGGTTGAAGCAACGGGATATAGTTATTTATAACAAATCCCAGCGAGCAGCCCTGGTTTTTAACCTGATAGCAGCAATTGTAGTTTGGTTAACTCGTACAGCAACCTTGACAACACATCCATTACCAATCTTGTCAAACCTGGATTCTAGAACGGCTGTTTAATCAGCTAACCTTCCTGTCAGCATATATATCTATACACATATATATATATATGTAGTCGCATCTTCCTGTCCCTCCGCCCTCCGCCACCAATATACGTCATAATATTATTAAGCTCGTAAACATCGGCCGCACTGTAGACCGACACGCCGAGATATTCAACGTTTAGTTCAAGGATGCTACGTATATGGACAGCAGATCATGCCGTACGGTGCATGCTGAAGGAATGGCCAGCCATCACGAATAAAGAGGGGAGGTCTAGAAGCTTGGCTTCGTTGAATTATTGGCAGGCTAGAAATTTAGCGAATATGATGCTTTGAAATCTATCTACCTAGGAGGATGTTTCTTTTGTAAATCTAGGTTGACATGCAAGCAGCACTCGAATATCCACGCCCTATATCCCGTTCTCTCCACAAATTCTCCATCTCTAAACCGTTTCCCCGTGGTATTGCAATCCCGTTTGCGCCAAACTAATCGCCTGCCATGCTCCCGTTCCTACCAATAGCCATGGATCTCGATTTCAGCCGCCGTGCCTTTTCCCATTCCTAAGAGCGCCGAAATAAGCTGAAGAAGGACCCTATGCTCCGATGAGATTGTTCAAACTTGTTGATTAGCTCAACGGGTCGCCTGTAATGGCGGCACGCTCCTAACAACAAACTTTTCCTGTTCTCGTTCTGCTTCTGACAGCAAAATCTCCTCCAGTCCTTCCAGTCTATCCAGGGTGCGAACGCATTCTCTCGGGGGGTAGTTGTCCTTTGTTGCTGGGTTGATATATCCCCAAAGGAATATATCAGTGTAATATGATTGAAGGTTTAATTGCCGGCGAATGGACTCTTTGAGAACCAACTCATCCGGACGCTGGAGCACAATACGGCTATTTTTAGTGCCCCATGCCTCGTACTGCATCTTTCCGATCTCATCTGGCGGAACACCCAAAATCGTCTGTCCTTCTTCCTCTGGAGGAGGGTTATATTTCCAGCGAACAAATAACTTGACGACATCCAATTTGTTGATGAGAGCTGTACGCTTCAGGGTTTTCCATAACATAGTGAGACCTGGCTGGGCCATAAGCAAACGACGCATTCCATCTTTCCCACTTCCAGTAACTGGATCAGTGAAGCGCATATCCAGCTTGACGAAAAATGTTGTGGCGAAGAAGAGATCAAGATCGGAGAAAACACTTGAATTTTGTATCAATCCGATACGTCGAAGGTTGTCCGGAATATCCATCAATAGCCATATTTTCTTCAGGACAGTTCCACACATATCAGGCACTGGGACACCGTCTTCGGCCATGATAGTGAGTATCTCATGACATACCATTTCACGGTAGCATACCATCAACAACCATCGAAAGGACGGCACCTGGCGGACTTCCCCTGCCATTGCCTTGGCTGGGACTGGGTGTGGCCGCTTTGCAGGATCAGGGAAGCAAAGCTTGTTGTAGCAGCGGAACGGAAAGGTCTGCGCTGACTCTAGAGCTCGACGATGCGCCTGTGAAACAATGACTCCCGTAATCCGCTCGCGAACGACGTTATGGAACGGCTTAGAGATGGAGTACAGGATAAGCAACTCCTGGATACGAAGATACTTTGCCACCATAATCGTCAATTCAGGGCGTTTGACGAGGTGGTGAAAGATGTTGAACTCCATCTTTGGAAGGCTGCGGCGTACGACGACCCGATTCCTGGCTTCTGGATACTTTTCAAAGTCCATGATTGCAAAATGCTTCAGTGACGCTGAGTCGAAGTCCAACTGGGCGAAGTCACCGAAGCTTTGATAGCCGTTGCTATGTCCGCGATTAGTTATTCGACTTCGGCGGATAGCTCTTGATGTCCAATCCGCGTAGTCCTTCTTTGGGCCGCTGATTGCATGCCAGTCACGATGCTTCCAGACGCTCATGATATGGTCAGAAAGGAATCCACGACTAAGGCGTGGCAATGTTGTCACAAGCAAGCGAATTGTTTTCCTTATATCTGGAAGCTCAATCTTCTCTTCTCTTGTGTTGTCGTCCTTTAACTGCTTCACAGCAACACCTCGCAGAAGAGGCAGCTTGGTGTTTGGAATAATTACAGTGCTTGGCTTGAATTCTTTCCTATAAGCATGAATTTGGGCCAATGCTTTCAGTTCATCTTCAGAGAGCAATTCAATCGCACGTTCCTCATCTGGTCTAGGATGATCAATAGCTGGTTCACTTTGCTGTCCAGAAATCTGAGTATTAAATGGAAGGGCAGCCCCTGACTGAAATGCATTCTCAGTTGATGCTGTGCTGCTGGCCTCCTTTGGCAGCATATCTGTCAGTGCTGGACTAGGCAACAAATGCCCATCATACCCTGCAGCAACAGCCCATTGATAGCCCTGAACATTTGCTGGAAATATCTGTTCAGGCCCTGTGCTCTTACGGACATGCAGAGGGCTAGGTACCCTTTTCTTATCAGGAAATGGGTTCTTTGGATCCAGTTTAAATTTAGGCATAGGAGGATCATCGGGGATTATCTTAATCCGACCAGTCTTATTTGGCACTGGCACATACTTTGGCAGCCATGCTGGCTGTGACAGCGGTGGAAAATATGCTGGCCCTGGGAGTATGTCACGTAGCCTTGTGCCTTGGGCTAAACGTCCATAAGGACGGAATGGTAGACGAAATGGTAGGCGCTCCTCCCTCTGTTTGCCCTTGTCTCTGATAATTGGATTGTTGCTTTGTGTTTCGCGTGTCTCCCTAGGGGGTTCATTATCATTGTCCTTGTTAACCATGTCTGATGCCATTCCAGGGGTAAAAGGTGTCTGCTAATGCTGGCGAATATATCTCCTATCAATAAACAAGGTTTATACCTATGAAACGTTAGCAACTTATACACAAAAAGACTAGGGATTTAGGGGCTTCTAGATACTTTCTGCATATTATGCCAGAATTCCAGGGGTAACTGACTGTTAAAGACCAAGGCATGCAAGCCCTGCTCCCTTAAAGCCACAAATAGCTTGCTAATGTGGGTTAAATGAAGCAAAGATATCACTCAAGGGAACTACTCTGGACTTGGTCCCAAGCTGTCTGATGGGTAATAACAAGAAGAAGGAGTGAGAAAATGCACCTCTTGATACCCTCTTACAGGTAAGTTCTAGAAGATGGTAACTTCCGGCGCTAAGAGTAAGAGCGCGATGTTGTGTTGCTATAAGGGACGCGTTATAGCAAACCTTTTAGGGCATAGAATATCAACCAGCCCTCTTAGTTAGAGAAATTTTCAGAAAGCATGATTTTTATTCTGGATACCAAAAACAAGTAAATCTTTTTAAAAGGCGGGCAAGGTGAATGTTCTCTTATGTTATTACAATAAAAGAAATCGCTAGGAGTGAATCATATATGGCTGTAAAGCAATGATGTTGATTCACTAAAAGCCTTGCTATTATTGTATTCAGCTAGCCAAGAAAGTGAGGATTGGCTTGAGTGAATAAATCACAGGACAAGCAACTAAACAAGCTCATAGATATATTTCATCTAGAGGAATGGCCGGTAGTCCTTTGGGTTGCATAGTTAAGCGTAAATCATTCTCGGGTATAAAAAGGGCGCAATTTAAGGGCTTTAATTATCAGAGCTGGTATGATATTTGTATAGGAGCTTCCTATATCATATACATTTTGGAAACTCGCAGCTGGCATACATCGTCCTGTGGTGGGCATAGGGTATACGAATCATATATGATATTCCATAGGGATTATATACATGGAAGAATAAGAGGAGTGCTAACACCCTATCTTCCATTAGAATAGATATATTATCCATAAAATCATGGGATCCAAGAAATCGTATATAAGCATTGAGAAAGGGAGTAGTTACTTAAAGACTGACCCATAGGGCCAGCCAGGTATCCAGAAAATATGGTGAAGCTGAATCTGAGTATATTTCCTGCCCTAGAACCATGGGCGATAGGGTAAAAAATGCGTTGAGCAACATGAAATCTCGTCTATCATAACTTTCGTCACCGGGGTTGTTGAAAAGGAAGTAAAGTGGTATGGGTATGCAGATAGAAAATCGACGGACAAGTGTAGAGAGTGTGGAACAGATAAGAGCTAACGCCAGATATAAACCTGTTGAAAGGCGACATGAAGGAAGACTCGAGTCTTACCTCCAGGCCATAGTGGTGATGTAAGGAAGGGAAATAAAACACCTCACGCAGGTAGTAGGGGGAGAGGCTCCATAAGTATATGTTGAAGCTTTTATACTGTGCTGGAACACAGAGGATGGCTGTATCACATCCATTGAATTATCTTTTCATATATTTCTTGTGTTTTTTAGTTTTATGTTTCTTTTAAGTTCTCGGACGTTTACCTCCTGTTCAGCAGGCTGAGGAACTCTTCTTTGGTCTTTGCGCTGGATCTCATACAACCAAGCATGCAGCTAGTGGTTGTAGTGCTCCCTGTCTTTTGCACGCCGCGCATAACCATGCAGAGATGGCTTGATTCCATGACAACAGCCACACCTTGAGGTTTGAGCACTTCCACGATGGCGAGGGCAACTTGCTTGGTTAGTCGTTCTTGGACTTGAAGGCGTCGAGAGAACATCTCCGCGAGGCGAGCGAGCTTGGAAAGGCCGAGGACTCTGCGATCCGGGATATAGCCGATATGCATCTATATATAGGAAACAGTTAAAAAGGAATAGGTTGCCAGAAAAAGGGGGGAAAAGGAACGAGTTACCTTGCCCGAGAAGGGTACCATGTGGTGCTCGCACAGGGAGAATACTTCAATATCCTTGACAATCACAAGCTCATCGTGGTCCTCGTGGAATACGGCACCATTGACTAGATCCCGTACGTTCTCCTCGTAGCCTTTCGTAAAGAACATGAGCGCTTTGGCGTATCGTTCTGGCGTCTCGAGGAGCCCTTCACGCTCTGGATCCTCTCCAATGCATTCGAGAATCGTCTTCACAGCTCCGGCAAGCTTTTGAATCCTTTGTTCAGTCTGTTCAGGTGTAGACTCGAGACGTTCCCTTGTTCCTAAGCCTTGAGCGTAAAAAATAGAGGCAATCAGTGCTTCAGTCGCATACACGAAGGGTTGAGGCGCAACAACATACTAGGCCAACTGAGTCCATCAAAGTCTATAGGCGGATTCAACGTATACGGACTCGCAGGACGGCTGATGGCAGTCGACGGAGGACTGGTCTGGTCTCGAGGATCCCTTGGAGGTTCGCTCAGGTTGCGCTTGGTTGGGTGTGAGGGGACGTCCGTCGCCATCTCCAGCCCATTGGGCTTCTTCTCCTCGCCATTGGGCTTATTATCATCAGTAGCAGGAGCCTGGACGCTCGAGTCCGACGGGAGCTCGACTTTCGCTGCGTCTCGTAGCTCTTCGGGGTCCAGGGCGTGTTTCCGCTCAAACGACGACCTGATCGAGGAGTTCAAGCTCTCTCGCTCTCTGGTATTGCTCGGCATGCGCACCGAAGAGGCCCCGTTCAGCAGATACGACGGAACTGCCGACTTGGGCTTGGGATGAAGCGGTTGCAAATCTCCGGGACTCATCCTGTATGTTCGTTAGGGTGGGGGAATTATCGTAGGTGGGATAGATTTTTCTTTTTTTTCTTTCTTTCTTTCTTTTTTTCTTCTGGTGACGCAGGGTTTCCTAGTTGACAGAGCGACACAGGCAGTCAATTGCGTTCATCTCTGGCCAGATAGTACTCGGAGAGCGGCGGGTTAGAAGTCCAGGACGAAGGGCGCCAACTTAAGGCCGGAGGATGAAGGCTCCATCTCCATCGCGGCCGTTTTGTCTTCCCGCCGAAAATTTTCCAGCGGCCAATCAGCCTTTCCCGCAGTTCGGAGAATTGAAAGAAACCGCGGTCACTATTTCCACTGGTCCATTGCTAATGCCAGGATATGTACATCCAGGAGGTTTTGAAGATGAAGACTGAGGTAGAGACGGGGATGCAGGACATGTTGAAATTTGGGCTGGAGATCGCCTAGTTCTTACGCGGAACAACAGTGATTACTATGCAAGGAACGAGAATAACTGTTGACGTTTACATCGTGGGTACAGTACATGGTGATGCTACACGATTAACCTGGCTGAGAAGACGGTACATCGATTCATCAAGACTCCAGCTCCTCCGTAGGAACATCCTCGATGTCCTTGCCTACAATCGCATCTGCAACCTTCCATACCTGCAACAGGTTGTCTTCGGCCGCTGAGCAAAGCACCCAGGGGTCGTGAAGGTTCCAGCTGAAGTCGGAAATGCGGTTGGTATGTCCGCCATGCACGAACAATCTAAATAAACAGGTTATGGGTTAGCAAAGTGAAGCTAAGTGTAACGGGGAAGTACATGGGGGATCGTACAATTCAGGTGGCCCGTCTTGGGCGTCTTCTTGAGTTTGTTCTTCACCTGCGCGGCTGAGGTCCCAGAACATGATTCTTCTGTCGTAACTCGCGCTCGCCAGCACGGATTCTTCAAATGGATGCCATGATAGCGATGTGACGGAGTCCTGGTGGCATTCTAGGGCGTGAAGTTTAGACTTGAGGTTTCGGAGATCCCATAGACCGATGGTCTTGTCAGCGGAGCCGGTAGCCACTACGGTCTCTGCGGCCGGGTTGAAGGCCACTGCGTTGATGGCATCCTTATGCTGACCCTTGGCAGATGCTGCAGAGCGAGTAGTGTCTGATTCACGGATGTCTAGAATCTGGAGGGTGATATCATCGGAGACGGTGCCGACGAGAGACGAGTGGAGTGGGTGGTATTGAACATCATTGACGATGGAAGAGTGGTGTGTGTACGTTCTAACGGGTTTCAGGGCCCTGTTGCCTTTGGTATATGTGCTTACGTCCCTGCGCAAGAGTTAGTAAAGGGACATCTCCTGATTCCAAGATATAGTTAACATACCATAACCGAACAGTCTTATCTTCGCTTCCTGTAGCAAGCCCTCCCGGGGTATGGGGATTCCAGCTTAAACCGAACCCTTCGCTCGTGTGTCCTAACAATTCCAGCTGCGGGTTAACGGTCCCCTGTGGCACGCTGGGGTGTTTCGACCGGTCCCATATCATAACCCGCCCGTCCGTGCACATGGTTGCAATGAGATTGGCATTTTGTGGCTGGTAGCGTGCCTTGTTGACCTCCCCCTTATGATCGATCTTTTGCGTGATGTTAAATTTCACCTCCATCGAGGTTTTGTTGGGACCGGCGCCGCCATACCCCCCAATCTCCCCCCTCTCTTCATCATAATCTTCGGCTTCCGGGTTCTTAGCGTTCGGCAGCTGTACTTGGGCTATTTGAAGATAGTTCTGAGCTTCGCTTGATGTATGAGTGCCTAGCAGGAGGCGATGTGTGGTGTATGGTTTATCAGGGTCCCTAAAACAAAGACTATAAGACCGTGTACAAGCAGCACATGTACGAGAAGACTCACTCCTGCTTATCAGGAAGCCATTGCGCTGTGAGAGTTGGCCATTCTAGGGCAGTGCTAAGAATCATATCATAAAGGAAAGGCGCGTTCTTCTTCCATGTTTTGTATTCTTATCAAGGCGGTCAGTCAGCGCAAGTTCCTACTCAGAATTCTGTTTTCAAGGACGTCGCCCGTACCTTCATTAATAATCTTCTCCTCAGCGATCTCCTCCTCGTGATCCTCCTCTAAGCCTGTCGTTCACAGTAAGCAGTTTGATCAATCTAGTGATAAAGAGGGTCCAAACATACTGGGCGAAAAGTGGTCCATCGCGCCGTGGATATCACCGAATTAAGCTAAAAGGACGTATACAGATACAGCGGCAGTATCTCTGACTCGGGAACCTCTGGATATCTGTAGTAACAAGCGCGCAATCAGCTGTAGCAGGGCGGGCAAAAGATGGACAAGGTGTTTGAACTCTTCAAAAATACGCGATTTCGCGCGTTAATTGAGCTTCATGTAACGTGGCGCGGGCCGAGGTTGATCCGGCGGCTGGAGAACGTGACTTCGAGGCTTTCCAGGTTGCTTTTTGGGAGTTTGAAGCCACAGCTCGAAAACCGCACGACGATGGCCTGGTTGTAGCTTCAACCGTCTCTTCTTTTCCTCTGTTTCTGCTATTCACTGTACAGTATTGTTGTAGGGTTGCAAGAGGACCGCCTCGAGCAAGCCTGCTATAGTTACTCGACCTGAATACCCTACGCCTGCAGGTGCTAAACCCCCAACCGCAACCATGGGTGTCCCGAAATTCTTCAGATGGCTCTCGGAGCGGTACCCGGCGATATCGCAGCTTATTGCTGAGAACCGGATCCCGGAGTTTGACTGCCTCTATCTTGATATGAACGGCATCATTCACAACTGCACCCACAAGGACTCGGACTCGCCGACCTTTCGAATGACGGAGGACAAGATGTTTATTGCTATTTTCAACTATATCGAGCATCTTTTCGGGAAGATCAAGCCAAAGCGACTTTTCTTCATGGCGATCGATGGTGTGGCTCCGCGAGCAAAGATGAACCAACAGCGCGCCCGTCGGTTCCGTACCGCTCTCGACGCCGAACTTGCGAAGGAGAGGGCTATAAAGGAAGGCGTGGAGATGCCCAAGGAAGACGCATTTGATAGCAACTGCATCACTCCCGGAACAGAGTTCATGGCGAAGCTTACGAAACAATTGAAGTACTTCATCAACAAGAAGGTGTCAGAAGATGCGGAGTGGCAGGGAGTCGAGGTTGTTCTTTCGGGCCATGAAGTCCCCGGTGAAGGAGAACACAAGATTATGGAATACATTCGCCAGGCAAAGGCGCAACCAGAGTACGATCCAAACATGCGGCACTGCTTGTACGGGTTGGATGCGGATTTGATCATGTTGGGTCTTCTGAGTCACGACCCTCACTTCTGCCTTCTCCGAGAAGAAGTAACGTTTGGGCGGCAGAGCTCAAAGAAATCCAAGGAACTCGAGCATCAGAATTTTTACTTGCTTCACCTTTGCATCGTTCGGGAGTACTTGGAACTGGAGTTTCAGGAATTGAAATCGGACGGCACTTTAAAGTTTCCTTTTGATATGGAACGGGTTATTGACGATTTCATTTTAATGGCCTTTTTTGTTGGGAACGATTTCTTACCCAACCTTCCGCATCTACATATAAACGAGGGTGCGCTGGCGTGGATGTTCAAGATATATAAAGAGGTTCTACCGAAATTGGGGGGTTATGTCAACGAACATGGCAAAATCAACATGGAGAGGCTGAGAATGCTATTGGTGGCTTTATCCGATGTTGAATTCCGGTTTTTCGAGGCGGAATATTCAGATGCCAGATGGTTGAAGTCGAAGACACTGGACGGGGACCAAACTCCCACTTTACCGGAAAAGCCCAATGTGCTTACAATATCTCCCGCTCAGAAGCATATCTTTAATAGAATAAAGAAATACGTCACTCACCGCCCAGTGGATGACGCCGGTCAGCCAGTGCCTCTCGACCTATCACCCTCACTTCCTGCGAAAGATCGAAAATTCGTGGAGCAACTAGTCGATAGTCTCCACCTGAAATGGAGTTCTGTTTTGAATCAGCATGAGGAGCGGTTTTTGCGCGTGCAGTTACCCTCTAACGATGAAGACGAAGACGAAGACGAAGATGACGAGTCGCAGATTGCAATATTACGCGTTCTTAAGAGATACGATAATGCAAAGGTCAAAGAGGCCACCGCCGAGGATGTGCAGATGGCAGCTGAGAAGAAGTATGAGAAGAAATTCCAGGAGTGGAAAGATAAATACTACAGAGACAAATTTGGATGGGGATTGGACAATGCAGAAGAGATGCGAAAATTGACAGAGAACTATGTCCAAGGCCTTCAGTGGGTTCTATTCTACTATTACCGTGGTGTCGCCTCGTGGCCGTGGTTCTACCGTTATCACTACGCTCCTATGATCTCCGACATTCACCTTGGTCTGGGTGCCGACGTCGACTTCAAACTAGGACAACCCTTCTTCCCATTCCAGCAGTTGATGGGTGTCCTGCCAGACAGGAGTAAGAAGATTGTGCCTGTGGCATATCACAGTTTGATGACAACCCCTGAATCTCCGATCATCGGCTTCTACCCACGAGACTTCGAGCTTGACATGAACGGAAAGAAAATGGAATGGGAAGCTGTGGTTAAAATCCCATTCATTGAAGAGGATCGGCTTCTCAAAGCCATGGCGACGAAGGAGCATTTATTGACTCCAGATGAAAAGTCGAGGAACTCGTTCGGTGTGACGCTAAAATATACGCATTCACCTGATGTAGAGTTCATCTACCCCAGCTCCCTACCTGGTATCTTCCCTGACGTTTCGCGGTGTCACTGCATCGAAAATGTCTTTGAGTTACCTACCATGGAAGGGTTGGACCCATATGTGGGATTGGTAGAAGGTGTTAAGATTGGGGCCGAGGCACTCGCTGGATTCCCAAGCTTACAGACCGTTCCCCAGACAGGACAGCTTGGCTTCCACGGGGTGTGCGTATTCCAACAGGAGAGTCGCAACGAAAGCATGGTCGTTACTATAGTCGATCCAGAAATTGCAGGAAATACTACAGACGCAAAGGTGAAATTGGGCAAAAGAGTCCATGTTGGATACCCATTCCTCCAGGAAGCAAAGGTGGTGTGCGTCTCGGACGAACTCTTTGATTATGTTCAAGTTGACGGCGAGGAACACGTTGTGGCTATTCCGCATACCCCAACACAAATCAATCAGTGGAAGAGGAAGGCTGAGAAGATTGAGTCGTACTACAGTAGACGACTGGGAATGGTTATTGGTGATGTGGAGACCATCGTGCGCGTGGAGATGTTGAAAGGTCTGATGAAAACTGAAGATGGAGCCACTGTCAAGGAGTTCACGGAAATCCCTGGAGTTGAGACGGAATACGCTGCCCAGCTTATTGTGGACTCGGTTTTCAGCGAGGATCTTCGTTTTATTGAGCGAGCAGCAGTCCCTATCGAAGAGGAATTCCCAGAAGGTGCGCGAGCATTCTTTTTAGGCGAATACAACTATGGCGCCCCAGTGCACGTTACTGGGCATGAAGACGGAAAGCTATCGGGACTGCTTTCCGCTGTGAAGGGGAGGGAACCAGAGTTTGGGAGGGAGCATGTCATGAACGCTGAAAAGCTATCAAGATATACCCCTTCCTTCGCTATTGCGCGAAACTTACAACTCAGCCCTCTTACTTTAGCCAAAATTACGTCGTCTTTCTCCGTGAATGTCGACGGATCACGAGTCAATCTCGGACTCAACCTCAAATTCGAGGCAAAGAAACTCAAAGTTTTAGGATATTCACGACGCGGAAACTCCGGATGGGAGTTTAGCGAAAAGGCCATCGGACTTCTCCACGACTATATGATTAAATTCCCAGATTTTATTGCAGGTATTCAACGGAAGCCTCAAGGCGACGTGTTTGAACCTACCGATTTCTACCCCGCCGATATCGCGAAAGAGAAGATCAAGGAGATTCAGGCGTGGCTCAAATCCATTGAGTCGAAAAACTTCGAGCGTGTCCCACTTGAAGCTGAACAACTTGACTCGAGCATTGTAGAGGCAATCGAAAAGACCGCCGATGAGCTACACCAAACCAGAGCCGCTCCGGTGGCACAGAAAATTCGAGGTGTGCCACGCAACGCACTGTTGAAGCCTGCGGATGCGGAACACCGTCTCAACAGCCAGCACTTCCAACTTGGAGACCGTGTGCTTTACGCCCAAGATTCTGGAAAAGTTCCAATTGCTTCGAGGGGAACCGTCGTTGGCTTAACACGCACATCAAGGCACTTGCTTCTTGATGTGCTTTTTGACGTCTCATTCATGAGTGGTACTACCCTCTCAGATCGATGCTCGCCATTCCGCGGCTCAACCGTTCCTGCGTCGTCAGTTCTTAACCTGACTAACAAACAGCTTACTGCTCTATCGCGTGCTACTGCACAAAAGGAACAGGCCCGGAGCCAACAGCAGCCTTCTAGGGGGTACGGTGCTCCTCAAGGACCGGGTGGTGTGGGACAGCTGAAAGAGGCATCGACTCCACCACCACTCACGAACAGCTATCGAGGAGCCGCCACAGGTCAACCATCAAATGGCAAAGTTAACGGAGCTCCGAATTGGAATGGACGTGGCCGCGGGCGGGGTGCCTTGCCTATTCGCAGCCATCCAACCGCTGAGAATACGACCGGTCAGCAAACACCTGGATTCAATAGGGGTAGGGGACGTTCCGGTTTCAACCAATCTAACGGGCGGGGAGCTAACGGACAGCCGGGCCGTGGACGTGGAAGAGGAGGATATGTATCTGTGGAACACATGAACCCTGAGGCTGACGTCTTGAACCACAACCCGAACTTCAAGCCCCGGCCATACAACACAGTCCCTCCGCCAGTTTCCCTCAATCAGCCAGCTTCCCAACGAGGACGCGGTGGGCGTGGTAGAGGAAGAGGTCAGGCTCGAGGTGGTAGAGGTAGAGGAGGGGCCGGGGCCGGGGCCGGAGCTGCAAGCGCAGGCGCTGGAGAGACTGCAGCTTAGAGGGTGTTCAGTTCAGCCTCTGCTCCTTTTATGGCTAATGACATGAGATATGGAATGGGGTATAGACAGGTAACTTTTGCAAGGCGTTGCTGGATCGATGAATATTGTTCCATCTTTTCCTTCCTCGGAAACTTTGACTATCATGTTTGTTGCCAGCCAGCCTCAGGTGTCTGCATCGCATTACGCGCTTGGCTAACGGAGGAGGACTAGACAGGTTTAATTGACATTCATATGTCACATGAAAAGATAAACTAATAAAAAGAATTCCAGGAAGGACGTGGCAGTCCTTCTTTGGTCTAAAAAAAACCGATCTCCTGTGCAGCGATTAAAATACAAAGATGTGCACGCCACCACTCAACGCCGAGTAATCTGCAGCTGCAGAGTGACCTGCATCAACTGGGTTCCTGGCTTTCTCCTCGCGATCTCACAGGCGAAGGATGTAAGGGCGCCCAAGAATGGAGAATGTAGCCATCAGACTCCACTGGGCCGCCGTTTTCCCACTGCACAACTGGCCTGCCCCCTTATCTAGGCTTCTCCCAGCTGGACAACTGCTCCATCATCCGCGACCAGCGTTGGGGTTAATACGAGGTTCACCGTAGAAATCGATCGTGTGCTTGCATAGTGACGTCATGGATATCTTCCTGCTGCACATCATCGCGACCCAAAAGTTTGGCAAATCTCCGTGCATTTGGACATGCAGCATCGATGAAACTGCTTGGGATGTCGAGACTACACCGCGAGTTCTAGACCTAAAATATCTTGCTTGGGAGGAATAAGCAATAAGAAAAGGAAAAAAAAAAATAACCCCCGTTGAATACTAACCGCAGTTTTCGCCCCCTGAGATAAATTATCCGAGATAAAATGATCCCCTTATCTTTATCTAACTGACTCATTCCATCGTATTTCTTATTCATGGAATAAGATGCAAAGCCTTTTCTCTTTTCTTTCGTAATATCCGGCTTACTTTTGGGAATTGTATACCGTCCTATACTCCTTTCGCCCTGATATTTGGGTTGGCCGTGTGCAACCCCCATCGTGTCCGAGTGGTTAGGGCATCCCGTGCGTTCCACGGCCGTTGACCAGTCCATATCCTCCGGTTAAACCTCTGGATTGAGTAAAGCATAATCTTCAGCCGCGAGCTCATGTGTTCTCCGGAACCATTCATCATCAACGGTATTGCAAGTCAAGGACAATCCACCTCAACGGGCCTGTCTTCACGATGACAGCGGAGAGTTCTCGGTTCTCGGCAGAAGTCCTGTTAATGGTATGGCGAATATCGATTCCGTTCTGTTCTAATTTTGATTTACGATTCTTCTTTATCGGTGTATCTGCACAAGCTGGAGCTGTCGTGCCGTTTATTTATACCGTTGTAGGGATGGCTAACTTGGAAACCTGTATAGGACGACCGCTTAGCCCTAATTCATATTCCAATAGACTTATACCCCTTTTTCGTTAGCCCAATTCTTCGTCTTCTCTTTCATGATGCCCCTCCAATGGATGGAGAAAGCGGAATGTTATCGGAAACTGCTGCTGGTTTCGTGAATATATCAATAACACCAATTGAATGCTCTATACTATGCCCTCGAGAGCTGGCAAACCTCTACTTCGTTCCTATGGTGAACGAGTTCGAAAAAGCCGCTACATCAATAGCTTCGAGTATTCAAATCAGCTCAGAAGACTATCTGGTCATGCAGGTCGAGGGACAAGGACTAGACGCTGGCCAACGTGTGGTTGAGCTAACCAGCCCCCTTGCAATGGCCGGAATGTAAGTTCAGAAGTGACGCCGCCCTTTTATACTCCTTGGAACCCATTTGCTGATTGATGCGATGTCGAAAAGCTCCATATTCTTCATATCAACGTATTTTTCCGATTATATCATTATCCCCAAGCGCTCAAAACAGCAAGTCACAGAGACATTCGCCGAGCGAGGGTTTAACGTCGACGAAGGACCCCCCGATCCCGAAGGTGGTCGACGAGGTTCATCTCCAATTATCCACGTACCCGGCTCCAGATCAGATACTCCGCCTCCATGTAGCGTATCGGAACTGCAGTTACGAACATTCGCAACTCTTCAGCAACATCTTATCCGGCCGCAGGCTGATAGCTCCCTGCGTCTTGTACAATGTGCTGCACATTATAGGGAATTCACAGGGACAAAGTCCTACTCAATCCTCCGACCTAACTTGATATCCGCCCTCCTCAACGATAACCCTCGGTTCTTTTCCCTAACAATCGCCGCCTCCGACCCTGCGCCATCTTTACTCCTGGAAGAGCGGCTGTTGCCTCGGTTTTCTCTACCTAGTGACCCTGATAGGGAGCCATCGTCACCGGTAGAGGAGGATACCAACTTGCTGCTAGGCTCGAAGGACGAAGTTCTTATTGCCATCACCCTCGACTTGCGGGAACTGCCCCTTGAAGCTTCTGGGATTGTCTCGGGGGTGGCTAGTGCACTTGTAGCAGGCACACGCAGAAAAGATGGAGCAGAGGGGGAAGTCCATGAAGTAAGTCGAACATCAGCTCGAGAATGCTTGGAGGCAAAGCCATATGATTAGTATTCTGCTGACACAAATAGGATCTGGAAACTAGTTTTCTTAGCACAGCTCGTGCTGGGAACGTTATAGTCCGTGAAGAGGACCTGGAGCGGGCAATGGAGTATTTGAAGGCTGTATTGTAGTATTGCATGTATTCTGGGCATTTATCTGGAGGCTTTCGTGATTTAAAATACCGAGCGGAACTATAAGGTCTAAATCTAGTTCATTGGAGAGCTAGAAAGGCTGGTGGATTTTGTATAAAAATGACATTCTCCCTTCTTTTTGCCATTTAATGACTTAGCAATCACCGATGCCGTGACTTTTATTATCCGTAAACTTTGACAGAGCCTGGAATAATAATCAGCTGAGAATCCACGGATAAGAGGGAGAATCTCTATTCAGAACATACCATCTGAACATCCTCCAGCCCACGATCGCCCTTTTTCGTTCCAGGCAACGCAGCTAACCACCTTCACACTGGCACCCACCGGCACAGTCTGAATAACGTTCCCAGTCGAGACGTCCCACGCCATAACGTTTGCTTGGGTATTGCTTCTGCTGGTATTCCCTTCTGGAGACTCGCTGCCACTCAGCACCACGCTATCTCCCTTCGCAAAGGTAGACCGGATACGTAGCTCCTTATTCATATATGTAGGCCCGTGCTGCTTCTCAGCTGGTGCTGACGGGTCAGGGTTTCCATCACCAAAGCTCTTGAGAACTGCACCGTCGTCACGATCGACCATGCGGATTCGCCCATCCAAACATGAAGCAAGTATGGCTTTCCCATCCGTGGAAGACTGTACGCTAGTGACGGGGTGAGCCATGACATCGACCTTCAGCTCACCCATTCTCAAGTCGTAGGTACGAATTCGACCATCGTAGCTCGCAGTGATTATACTGCTTGTAGGTAAATGGACGTTTATAGAGGAGACCGTATCAGTGGCTTCTGTGAGGGTTTGTATCGGTTTCGACGTAAGGGATCGGGTATCCCATATCTTCACATCTGAATCGGCGCTTCCTGTAGCTCGAGATGGCAGCAATTAGCTCAATGGTCTACCACACGCGATAGGAGACGATAGCGAGACGGATCAGATCCTACCTGATATTACTACCGAATCAGCCTCTCCGCCGAATTCCACGGCTTCAACTCGTCCTGAATGGCCAGCCCACCTTCTCACAGTAGTCCCGGTCTCAACATCCCAAAGAAAGACCTGTTTATCCCCGCCTACGCTGGCAAATCGCGCATTATCTGTGCTCACTGCTATGTCTAGCACGGAGTATCCATGGGCTTCATATCTTTGTATCGGCGAGGTTGTTATCTGTGGTGATGAGGACGACGACGATGGAAGCGCGCGAGATAGATGGACAGAGCGGTCGGAGGAGCCAGTCAGGAGATACGTCCCGGGAGAACTGGAGAATATGACAGCATTTACCGGGCCTGAGACGAGTGAAGTCAGCGGTTGATGCTCAATGAAGCGTGGTGATGAAGCGATACTCGGACAACGCGCTATCAACCCACTATCGGCGCTGTCTCTTTTTACATACCAGTATGAGTTTTGAGAGTGTGAAGAAGGGTTGAAGGGAAATTTGTAGAAGTCGACATTTGTCAACCTGTAGTATACGATGTAGTCTTTACCTCGCGGAGCAACATAGCTACAATGACGAGGATGCAGAATATAGAATGTTTGTAGGTTTAGTCAGACATTATTTATATCGGCGAACCCGCGATGGAGTCAATACTAAAAGTCAATTGTTGGAATTAAGATAATTTAAAACTTATAGCAAAAAACATGATCTCGGAATAAAGAAGGGTAAAGAAACACATTAAACTGAAAGGGGTTGGCAAGAATCGCTGGCTCCGGGAATATAAAAAGGCAAGGATGGGTATATTACAACCCAGAAAACAACCACATCGCCAGTCGACCATCGACCGTCCAATGCAGAATCAAGCGTAGGAGCAGACATGAGAGTTCCTGGAGAGGGAAGAAGCCATTCTTTCGCCTATAACACTTCCACCCGTATCTCACTAAACCATGACGGCCGTTTAACGGCGACCGTGGCTGCGGACTTGCGGGGCTTGCATCTGGTCGAGTTCCTGCTCGAGTTGTTTGATCCTAATGACATGTTAGTTATGAATACGTAGGGACAAGCATTAGTTGTGGATAGTGCGTCAACATACGCTGCATGGGTAGTTTCCAAATCCTTGTTGAGTCGATCTCTCTCGGCAATGAGTTTCTGCTCCCATTGTCTGAATCGTTGTTCCTCGATCTTGACCTGCTCCGTGAATCTCTTTCGCAGGTTCTCTTCCTCTTCCTTGAACTTGGGGTTGTCCAACTTTCTTGGCCTGGCTTCTCCGAACTTTCTGGTCTCCATCTGAAGTGCCCGGTAGGCTTCATAATGTTGCTCCTCGGTGGTATGGATAAGGTCAAGCATGTGTGTTCGGATGAGGATGGAGCGGAGCTTCTTGAAGTCACAGTGATCTTCGTTCTCAACCTCTGCCACACCCCAAGAGTACTGACGACCCTTGACAATGTGACCGTCACTGGTCTTGACGTCCTTCTCGGAGCCGATAACAGAGAATGGCATGACAGCCATCAAGCTGCGGGCGTGCTGGGCAGCTTGCTCGTCATCTTCCTCAACAGGGGGTTGGTAGATCTTGATTCCTTGGGCTTCGATGACAGCGCGGATCTGTCACACAGAACCGTTAGTCCTATGATTTTTCTTCGAATAGAGGGCAGCGTTGGGAGGAAAAAATTACTTACTCTCTGCTTGAAGCGGGCAAGGTCGGAAGGACTTAGAGTATCAGCTTTGGCAACAACTGGGATCAAGTTTACACGGGAGCTGAGGCGCTTCATGACTTCGATGTCAAGGGGCTTCAGGGTATGCCCGGTTGGCCGGATGAAGTACAAACAAGCGTGGACACGGAGGTCGATCTTGTCGATACGGCGGGGCTGTTGCTCCTGCAACATGTAAGACTCGTGCTGGTCGTCCAAGAATTCAATGATGGGCATCCATGAATCACGGTTGTTGACATAGTCGCCAAATCCAGGGGTATCGATGACGGTCAACCGAACTATAGAGATGACGAGTTAACCCCCCGGCTTCCAGATGCGCTTCTCTCTCTAGCTGCTAAAATGTAGTGTATTGTACCTTTGAAAAATCGCTCCTCGAGCTCTGCCTTTGTGATCTCAATCTCAACGGTCTTGTCGACTTGCTTGGCATGTCTGCGCTTGTGGTCTGCGTAGTTCTTGATCGTGGTCGAGAAGAGAGTGTTGATGAATGTGGTCTTTCCCAAGCCTGACTCTCCAGCAACCTACATTATACCTATCCGTCAACAGTCTGTCCATGAGCAGCAAAAGGGGGAGGGGGCAGGTGAAAAGGAGCAGGTCGCACCATAATCGTGAAAGCGGCACCTCGTTTCGCGACAATCTTGTGTCTGTTCAATTCGGATTAGCTGAGGCCCTCTATACCTTGAGAAGAGTCCATACCGTTGGTTTGGCAACTATGCGAAACGGTCAGCTATGATCCATGCTAGTTGCAAAAAGCGATTGCGGGTAACTTACATTGGCAATGCCAATTGGCGAAGCGGTCTCAGAAGTGGTCGACGCCATTGCGAGAGTGTGCAGGCAGTTCAATCGCAGGGAAGAGGGCTGGGGTCTGGCGTTGAGGTCTGGAGGCTAGAGAGTGGACTGAGGAGCTGGTGGTGTTTCTTGAGCCGCCGTTTGTTTGCTGCTTGAACTTCTTTCCCTTTCTGCCCCTGAGTTGAGACCTGACTAATTTGGACAAGGAGGGCACAGGCGCTAGGTTGTATCGGGTATAGTACAGGGCTTGCGGAATATCTAACTTCCGGTCCCTTTTGGGTTATTAGTAAGACTTGCGGAATATATAATATCCGGATCCGAGATATTTTTTTTATCTTCTATTACATAAGTCAAGAGGTTCAAGATATCAAGAAGAGGGTGAAAAAGAAGGCAAGTTTGCGCCGGCGAGGATACTCATATATTGGAGACGATGAAGACGGATTTCAAGGTGGGTTCGCTAGTTACTGCTCTGGCCATGCTCTATACTGACTCACTCGTAGTTTTCCAATCTCCTCGGGACCGTCTATCGCAAAGGGAATCTCTTGTTCACTCCCGACGGCTCCTGCTTGCTTTCTCCCGTTGGGAACAGAGTCTCCGTCTTTGACCTGGTCCAGTGAGTGGTGGTCGCTTCACTTCAATTGCTCTTGGGAATGCCGGTTCAGCTAACCTGACCTCTCAGAAATACCTCCTACACCCTCCCGTTCGCACACCGGAAAAACATCGCCCGAATTGATCTATCTCCCAAGGGCAATCTTCTACTCTCGATAGACGAGGATGGCAAGGCGATTTTGACCAATTTCAACCGCCGGCTACCGATCCATTACTTCACTTTCAAATCTTTTGTATCCGCACTCTCTTTCTCGCCCTCCGGCCGCCATTTCGCAGTGGGGTTTGGCAGGAGGCTCCAGATATGGCGAACACCTTCCACCCCAGGAGCTGAGGGCAGTGGAGAGCTAGAATTCTCGCCATTTGTACTACATCGGGATCTGGCAGGACACTTTGACACGATACAAAATATTCATTGGTCGAGTGACTCGCGATTCCTCTTGACGGCATCTAAAGATTTAACGGCAAGGATATGGAGCGTGGATCCGGAGGAAGGATTCGAGCCTACGACTCTAGCTGGACATCGCGAGGGTGTTATCAATGCTTGGTTCTCTAACGACCAAGAGTCGGTAAGTTGTCGCTGCACACCAAATTTTTTTCCTAGAGCACAGCTAACCCTACTCACGTTAGATATATACTGTTAGTAAAGATGGCGCACTGTTCCGCTGGGGATATGTATCGAAAAAGGGCGAGGATGGTTCCACGTCTGATGAACGTTGGAGAATCGTTAAGAAAGATTACTTCATGCAAAACGCCAAAATAAACTGTGCTGCTTTCCACGCAAAAGCTAATATCCTCGTTGTTGGATTTGCAAACGGGATCTTCGGTCTATATGAGATGCCTAGCTTCAGCCAGCTTCATCTATTAAGGTATGGATACACATGATGCTCTACTATAGCATGCACGTTCTAACAGGCTTTTAGTGTCTCCCAAAGCAATATTGATTGTGTTACTATCAACAGCTCTAGCGAATGGCTTGCGTTCGGTTCCTCGAAGCTGGGCCAACTGCTAGTGTGGGAATGGCAGTCAGAGTCATATATACTAAAGCAGCAAGGGCACCTGGATTCCATGAACGCTTTAGTTTATTCCCCTGACGGCCGAAAGATCATCACTGCTGCAGACGATGGAAAAATCAAAGTTTGGGATATCAACACTGGTTTCTGCATCGTCACATTTACTGAACACAAGAGTGGTGTCACGGCCTGCCAGTTCACAAAACGTGGCAATGTGCTCTTCACAGCATCCCTAGATGGATCGGTAAGAGCATGGGATCTCGTACGGTATCGAAATTTTAGGACGTTCACTGCCCCTTCTCGGTTATCCTTTTCCTCTTTAGCTGTCGATCCCAGTGGTGAAGTGGTATGTGCCGGTTCTCTGGACTCCTTTGATATTCACATTTGGTCTGTTCAAACAGGTCAGCTTCTTGACCAGCTGTCGGGTCATGAAGGCCCCGTCTCATCCCTATCTTTTGCCGCGGATGGAAGCCATGTTGTCAGCGCCAGTTGGGATCGCACAGTTAGGATATGGAGCATATTTGGGAGAACACAGACGAGCGAGCCGCTACAGCTACAGTCAGATGTGCTTTGTGTGGCTTTTAGACCAGACGGAAAGCAAATTGCTGCCTCCACGCTTGATGGCCAACTGACGTTCTGGTCGGTCGAGGACGCTGTCCAGCAATCAGGTATCGATGGTCGTCGTGACGTGTCTGGAGGAAGAAAGATAACGGACAGACGCACTGCTGCAAATGCGGCGGGTACCAAGTCCTTCTCTACTGTAGCATATAGCGGTGATGGCACATGCCTGCTAGCCGCTGGAAACAGCAAATATATCTGTCTCTACGATGTTGGCACGAGCTCCTTAATTAAGAAGTTCACCGTCTCTGTCAATACGTCGTTAGATGGAACACAGGAATTCCTCAATAGTCGAAATATGACCGAAGCTGGACCCCAGGGCTTAATTGATGAAACTGGCGAAGCATCTGATATTGAAGACCGAAAAGATACTACACTCCCAGGAGCCCGTCGTGGAGACGACGGAGCGAGAACAACTCGCCCTGAAGTTCGTGTGATGGCTGCGGCATTCTCACCCACTGGGAGATCATTCTGTGCTGCATCCACCGAAGGCCTACTAATATATAGCCTCGACAACGACATGATATTCGATCCCTTTGACCTTGACATCTCCATCACACCAGATAGTATCCTTGCCACTGTTGCAGCAGCCAAAAAAGCAGCCTCGTTACAGCTCTCTAACTCATCGACATCAGACCCTACCACATCTGATTCATCATTCCTCAAAGCCCTTATAATGGCATTCCGCCTCAACGAATCCGAACTCATACGAACAGTCTACGAATCCATCCCTCCATCCGAAATCCCTCATATTGTCCGCCTAATCCCTACCGTCTATGTAACACGCCTCCTCCGCTTCGTCGCCAACGCCGCAGATGAAACCCCACATCTAGAATTTAACCTTCTCTGGATACAAGCGTTGCTAAGCATACGAGGGCGCTATATTAAAGATAACGCAGCATCCTTTGCAGCAGAACTAAGATCTGTCCAAAGAGCGATTGATGGAATCAGAAACGACCTAAAGAGACTTGCTGATAAGAACTCGTATGCTTTGGAGTACTTCCTTTCAAAACCTGCTTATGCCCCAGGAGCAAAGAAAATTAGCGCCAATGGGTCGAATGGACTACTTTTGGACAGCTCCAAGGAAGGTGAGGATACCCAGATGGGTGACGAGGGCGCTGAGGATGTCCATGAGAGTGATGGAGATTGGATTGGATTGGAGGAATAGTCGGTTCCCTCTGGTTGGGTGATTTCGTTTCCGAGCGATGTGATGCATATTTTATTGGGTTACTTGCTACTATACAGAGCTTACTCGTTATCTATGGGTGAATGGTGTTTTGTGTAGGAGAAAAAAGCATTATGTAAAATTCAAACGCTCTGATGTTATTGGTCCTCATCGTTGGTTGTGTATTTGGATCTGCTTCGGGGATATAAATACGACATAGAGTAAATAGGTGATAATACAGTTGAGTAAATAAATGGGAACCAGGGGAATATTAATTATGTCAATTAATCGGTTGGGAAATCAAGGTACGCATGCCGTATGAAGAGAAAATTCGCCCAACGCCAGGTGCGCCAAAAGGAACCAATTCATGACTTGGATACTATCCGAATGCGAGAAAATGCTCAGTAATGTGCTTTTCGGGTCGATGGCGTTATCTTCTTCGATCACGATCTTCGTCGTCATCATCATCTACTCGTGCTCTCTTGGATCCCCGCTGGCCTGGCTCCTCTGCTTCCTGGATACCATATCTCTTCTGTCCTGAACCGGATGATCCACCAGTGACTTCGGCAATCATTCCATCGATACCGAAGGGGTCAGCGGTATCCTTTTCGAACTCCACGGGGCCTTCCCGAGCCTATATACCAAGATTAATTAGTAAGGGCCTAGCACATTTATGTTGAAAATACGGAGCACTTACCTCGGCGTCTTCAGTCCCCTTAAACCCTCCCTTTGCACGTCCTAGCACTTCGAAACGACCACCTTTGCTTATTTTATCCATTTCCGCGCCTCCAGCAGCTTCATCGTCGTCATCGTCCATTTGAGCTCGTGGCCGGTATATGCTGTTAATGGCATCCTGTGCAGCAAAAAGCGGTTTGTCGTAGGCTTGGTCCTCGTTGAAGCCGCTCTCTAAACCGCTAGTCTGGTTGAATAGTCGAGAATCATACATGGTCTCCCTACTCTGTGTTGGCTTTGCCAGTCCCAAAGCAATTTTTTCGGAGATATCACGATTCTGTTCTCGAGCCATGACCTGTACACGGCGCTCAGCGCCCATTCGAGATTGACGAAGTTTCCGCTCATCTTCTTGTCGTCGCTCACGGCGTCTCTTCTCACGTTCTCGAGCAGCTTCGTCATCCTCATCTGGGCTCGGTGATCTAGACGAATATGGTGAAGCGCTTCGGCTACCGCTACGGGACCGGGCGCGAGATTCATGTCGGCTATTAGATGCTCCAGATCTAGCGTCCCTCGCCTTCTGGGCAAGTTGTCGAAGATGTTCTTCCTTCTTAGCTTTCTCCTTTTCAGCTAGTTTCTGCTGCATCTGTGCTCTCTGCTTAACTTCTTCTCGAGCATGTCGATCAGCAGTGAACAACGCTTCCGCAAACTGAGCGAATTTATCATTAATCGAAACATCCTGTAACCCTCGTCCATCGGCAGCCAATCGTTTATCAAGAGGTACCGTGTAACCCTTTGGATTCTTCCAGTTCGAGACCGGGGGAGGAATTCTCCAGGCCTCCTGGTCTTCAGCCGTGAGTTTTCTGGGAGGGGAATGTAGGACTGGCGGAGGTGGCGATGGGGGTCCACGTGGAATCTTCTTATGCTTGAATTTCGGAGGCTCAAGGGGATCTATTTGTTTTTCCACGATTTTCATAATTCGATCATTCTTTCGGCTGGTATCCCCCATCTGATTTGCAGGGGTATATCGAACAAATGTAGGCTCGTTTCTCTTTCCGGTGCTGACGTTCTTCGGTTTCTGGGCCGAAACTGCTCCGGTAACCAACTTTTCCAGGGCAGCCTTTGTCTTCTCCATTTGCGCAGCAACTTCTTCCTGTGATGGCCGGTCCAGTGATATTTCCCCCATATCTACTCTTTGCCGTAGTGGTATAAGATCTTTAAAAGACGCATGTACAATTCGATTCTCATTATGGCCCTGTTTCGCGATAGCGTCGTATTTCACTTTGCCCTCGGCGTCAACCTGCAAGGCCAGAGCATTTGACTTGTTCGGCGCGTCTTTGCGGCCCATATCAAGAGGATACTGCGCAACAGCAATCTCTGGGAATGCACCACCATCTCCAAAATCTTCCAACGACCGTGGTCGCCATCCTGCGCGTTTTCCGTAAGGTGGTGGGCCAGCCCTCTGCATGCGTAGAACGGTTTCATTAGGGACAAAACGAACAAGGGATAGAAAATCGAAAGCTAAAGCGTGACTGAAGGGATTATCACTCACCTTTACCACTATCTGCGTCTCATCAATCGCATCAGCTCCAACAACTCTCGGTCCGCGTCGTTGGGCGTGAGCTGGTAGCTCCTCATTTTCGCCTGTGTACTTCGGAGCGGGCAGGGACTTGAACAGCCCTTCGCTGAGGGAGGCCATGGTCGTAGAATGCCGAGTACGAGTCGTCTGGGTGAGAATGAAATCTGATATAGAGGGACGACCGATACCTCGCTGCTTTCGATGCTTTTCATGAAATCAACGGAGAAACCTTGGCCACCGGATAATCATTTTGCCGTTTGATTATATAATATATCTTTACTTCAACTTCCATCGCTGAAAATAGCTGGAGAGGAGGAAGTAACAATTTATCTATTGCACCAGTGGAATAGAATGTATACACTTCGAAGGAGAAGGACGGATTGGTATGGTGCCAGGGATTTTTTTTTTTTTGTATTTTCGGTATTTACTACCTGCCAGTTTCTCGCTCATTCATTCAAAGCAACTATTAGAGACATAACACCGTGGGCTCCGCAGTTGCATATTCACATCGTTAAAGAAAGCCTGCCACAGGATGCCCGATCAGAGCTGTTGTGCGACTCGGGCTTTAGCAAGGCTGAATTTGAAAAAACAAAGGCCCATTTAACCCCTCCAGGAGATATTGAAATCCCACCCATATCTCTCACCGCTCTCTCTAAAACTGTCCAACTCCATCTTTCTGCGATCCGTTATGTAAAGGAAAATATTCGTTACCATAATTCGTGTCGGGGGGATTCGTATGCTGCGACCTATCTAGGGGTGACGTGGTAGGATTAGCAAGAAGTGTCAAGAAAGTTGAATCGGTCAAGCCTGCCATGAGACAACGACTTGGTGAGTCGAAGGAGTAAACATCATGACTCACCGAGACGTGTATGTCTAGGCAGCTGCAACTTGGCGAATGAAATAAGGATACCCCGAGGATGCGTATGCCCAGTATCCAGGCTGCAAGTTCTCCATGATGTCATTCGTGGTTCGAAGAGAGTAGGAGCCGTCAATCTCGCGGCACCACCACTGCTGGCCCTCGGCCGGACGGTATGGCACCATGGACTGAGGCCTCATTGCACCAGTGGCTCTTGCGACTGCGAGGTTTTGGGCGTCAACTTCCGCGCGGGTTGGGCCAATCCAGGGGACTGTACCTGCTGGGACCTGGTAGCCAGTGCGAAGAGGTACCGGAGATGCGTATGGAACCTGAATAGCCTGCCCTGCTTGCTATAAACGAAGTTAGTATTATATACTATTCAAAATGAGTGCAGCAGCCAAGTGAATTAATGGGCACAGAAATGAGGGATATGAAAAAGACAAAGTACAAGATGGCCATTTAAAATGATCTGCTGGGTCACTCCGAACTGGCTAGTCTGAGATACCGGCTGTCTTGAAGGTGGAGGATTACCACCGTTGGGTGGGCCTCCAGGCAAGATAGGAGCTGGTGCTGGAGGTGGAGGAGGGCCAGAAGGATGGCCTGCGCCGACATGGACACTCTGCTGCATCTGGGGGGGAACATATGTGTAGACGGTTGGCTCATTATGCTGGCAGGTCGAATATCTTGAGCGACTTGGATCGATTGTGCCATATTCATAGTACTGAACCATGGTGCCCGCTCAGTGATATAGAATATCTCTTGCTGACTTGGTAGGTTGTTGACGCTCCAAGAAGACACACAGATGATGCCAGGAGAAAAGAAACACGAGGAATAGGTAATGTGTGTGCAGAAGAGTGAAAAGGGTGAAAGGAGATAGGTGAGGAAAGTGAGGGAGAAGAAGTGGAAGAAAGCGAGAGTAAGGACATTTAGTGTGCACGGGCTCTGTCTAGAATTATATCTTTGCCTCACTGGGGAGCTGGAGAGCAGCACAGCTGGCAACTTACATTGACAGGGTAGAATCCATCTCCAGGCCGTACCATGTACCACTGCCTGGTCTTCTTCGGTGGCTCCTTTGGGTCATCCTCGATCACCAAAGCGCGGTAAGGAACACACCCAAAACACATCTTGGAGGGTTCAGATTGGAGTAGTAAGGGGAACAATGATACGAGTTAGACTGATAAAGACAATGTTAAGATACCAACTTGAGACTGTGGATCTCTGGCTGATAGACAAGATAGGAGAAGAATGTGAAAAGAAAAGAGAGGAGATCAGAAGATGAAACTATTTGCACTGTTTCCCTCATGCGTCGCCGCATCTATAGCTGACTACATGGATGTCCATATACAGTGAAAGAAAGCACTACATCCACTGGCCCTACTGTGATAGACATCTACTCTCTACATGGTGAGCAAACCAGACAGGCAAAACCTACACTCGGAAACTTCCGTCTACGGTGACTAGAGCTGTAACTAGAGCTGTAACTAGCGGCAGCCGGTCCTTCAGTCTCTCGATGCCTCCCCAGAAGCTGTGACACCTAGCACCAAGAAGCCTCATTTTTATACGCCGTGTCAAGTCAAAAGCTACATCCAGATCGAGCGGGATGGAAACAAAGACGAGTGAGGGGAACATCTACATTTGGTCAAATTGTTACAGCGGTGAGACGAGGAATCGATGATTCCGCGTGGCAAACAAGGTATCAAACACGTCAGGTCGGTGTCGCCCGACAAAGGGTAGTGCCAACAAGTAAGCAAGGATTCGAGGCTCTGGGACGAGGAAAGGAGATTGGGTGGTAGATTTGGAGTGATCCTGGTCAATAGACCTATATCCTGCAAGGAGATATAGAAATATATAAAGATATTATGCTGAAAAAAATATGTTCTAGATATCAAAAGACGGTGGTATATGCCCAGGAGGCGGGGCTGGGGCGTGCAGGAATCTCAGTTCAGAGCATCATCAGAATGTCTCTCAACGTGTGAAGCTAATATATCGACTAGTGTATCCGTCCTACAATCCCTGGGTACATCCAGGGGGCGCCAGGTGGGCTTCAGAGTTGGGATGATAGGACTCTAGAACGCCGTCGCGCCTGTGCCGAGGGGTTGCGATGAAGGGTTATCGCTGTAATATACATGGGAGGACCGGCCTACACCATGTGTGACCGCATAGGGCATGTCACGGCCTCACCGTCGGCGATCTCAACCGAGTGCTTCCTCCATCCAAAGACATATTCTATCCGCAGGGTCTTAGGCATAAACGGCGCAGGGTCACTAAAGCCGATAATGTTGCTCTAAAGTCATAATGTTAGAGCTGTAGCATGGCTAGAAATATAACACGGAATACTAACCTTGATAACAGCACTCGGTATGTTCAACTGGCCCTGGTAAACAAGAGCCGCAATCGGGATGGTGACATCGACCATATTTTCACGGGCCCTTGAGTCGGCTCTACCCAGTCTGAATGACGATGCCGGCGGGATATGTCCATATTCAGCGTGAAGAATCACCAGGCCACCCCTTTGTTCTTCTCCGTCCTGCCTTCGGTTGACTTGTTCTCTCATCAGTTCGATAACCTGCAAGCTGTCTGCCTTGCGTTTCTCTATGAGTTTTTGCACCCTCCTTTGCTGCTTAGCAATCGCTTTCTTCTGTTCCCGTCGCCGTCGTGGACGCAAGTATCCAAACTCCATGATTGAGTATGTAAGCCATGGCACAATCACAGCAAGACTAGCAATATCGGCATCCACCACTTCCAAGGGACAGATTGCGATTGGGAATTTCAGGTTTTGACCAAGCCTACTCCATGTAATTGAACAAACCAGCCCCTTTTTGCCTTCAACTCCAACACCGAGGCCCATCCGAGTGAACTTGCCAAATTTGCGAGAGGCTGATATCATCCATGCCAAGGAGAGATCTATAGAAACGGTGGCCGCGATGGAGAGTTGGACAGGTGGACTGTTGACTGTTTCTTTTCGAGGAGTATATCCCTCGTAGCTCCACTGGGATAGCGCTGGCTTCTCGGGCTCAGAGAGAAACAGGCTCCTCCCATAATCGACAGACAAGTATACGTTAGCCGGTGATGTATGAAGGGATAATACCCAGGTTCCTAGCGGCGCGGATTCCGCGATTCCACGCATTCTCCTGGCAGTTTCGACCTTCTGCTCGTCATCGTCGTCGTCGTCGTCGTCAGAGTGTCGCGGTATCTGAGCGGCCTCTTTGGGAAGTATATTCAAACCAAGTTCAAACTTGCTGTGCTCGCGAGGCATGTTGACTTCATTGTCCTCATCGTTGAAGATTCTAGCTATGGAACCGAAAAAGCCTGCGACGAAGGATGGCCAGTCAAATGACCCGCTGGACCAATTGCAAAATATCGTTTTGTTGGCACCCAGCTGTCTGGAAACTGATACATTGAGGGGCGGTGGCCTATGCAGTGGCGAGCAAAACACGTTTGTATTTAAGGAAACGCTAAACGGCAGTGCACTTGGGATAGGAGTTACCGTCTTACGCACAAATAGGTAGAGTATCGGGGTGGGCAACAGTTGGGCTCCGACTGCAAAGGATGAGTGTCCTAAGTATGGGAATAAAAGGCGATTTAGGGAACGGCCTTTACCGCCACTGGCTTGTACTCTATGCCCCAGAGAAGCTCCCAAAGTGAAATTGCCAGTTATAAGGCTGAGCGGCATATCCTCCTAAGGAAAGTAAGAAACTGGACACTCTATACAATGCTCTGGAGCATCACTTACCACTACCTTTCTCTCTTCGTTTGTTTCCTCAACAACCATAGTGATCACTCGCTTCATTCTATGAATATCTCCGCCCGCACTTGCATAAACCACTAGCTGCATGTCTTCCTCTTCGTCTTCGGGATCAATGGCGGCCTTACGATCTGAACCGTCCCCGCTGCCATCCTCGTAGTCTTCGTTATTAGATGACTTGAATCCTGGAATGGTAGGGAACGGCGTTTTAAACCTGAAACCAAGCTCTGCATGCGATGTCCTCACGTTAGGAATCTGTACGGTGGTCGTATCCGCTGTTTTTTTGAACATGTCTGTCGCATCCAAGTCAACCTGCATGTGTACCTACATGTAACATTAGCACATAGGGCTTAGCGTGCATAATGGAAAGGGGGCCAGTTAGCCACCTACTTTACTTTGAACTAGATCTTCCAATACAGAATGTTCCTTGTCTTTCATCTTCTTCACAAACCATCGACGGAATTGTGCTTCATCCATGGCCTTTACCCCTACTTCCATCCTCTCCGCCTCGCCGGCTTTCCCCAAAAGACCTCTGTAGCTCCATTCTTCATTCACACCTTCCTCTCCCAACATATCATAAACCACCCGCTTCTTGGGATCAATCAGGGTTTCGTAGGCCAACTGTATCTTCCCGAAGTGGCTTCGGGCGGCTTCTTGCATATGCGACGGCTGTTTGTCCGGGTGAAACGAAAGCATCAGGGCCCGGTAGGCAGAGCGAATCGCAGCGTCGGTAGGCGGGGGGTCGCGCGACAGGGCCAGAAGAGAATAGTAGTCAGTTGTATCGGTATAGGACGACAGCATGTCATACTCCCGAGCTATGCTATCATCGTCCGGAGGGCTCTGGGACCCTCCGGTTGCGCCATTGCTGCCTATGTGGGCTGCCATTTCAGTTCAATAAAGGAGCTACAGCTCTTCCCATCAGGCGGACACGAGACATGAGATCTCAGTTAGTAGTGATTGTTGATTAACCGAAGCGGACATAAACACCGTGGTTAAAGCCAAGAGGCGACATTGAAGACTGTGTGGATCATGGCAGGTCCTAGGCCAAACTCTATTACTGAGCTATATATCCTTGAGTCGCAAAGGACTCCCCGTCTATACAGATCAACAGTGACAATACAGCTCAGAAGGCTGCAGCTATTCTTTGAGTGCGGGTGACGGACTTTTGCCCTATACCAGTAGTATCATGCCCGAGTTTGTAGGCGAAAAGAACTGAGGGCGTTGGAGTTTCCTCATTGGGAGCTTTTTTGTCGGCCCGGAACATAGATAGTCCGAAAAGTAGGATTAAAATAAATCCGACTTGGCAGGAACATGTCACGTGGATATTTCAGCCGCATCCTCGAACATCGCAAGCCATTCACAGATAGGCCAGTAACTAGCGAATTCCTGCTGCCTCCTTGCTCTTAGACAGGATGTAGTGCTGTGAAGGGCATCTAGTGCTGTTTAGTACAATATATCATGGCCGTGCAGGTTTCAGGGGGGGTGATGATTGATACGTGCCCACTGACTCCTCAGTTGTCCCCCTAATGTCTAGCGTTGGCACGTTGGATGCTGCCTTGTGTTATAATCATAACACTGTCATAAATATCACTTCTTAGGGCTCACATCATTTTAAGTCTCTGATAGCCTCCCTCATACAACTCACTGTGCCAAAATTAATCGCCAGAGATGGCTGAGAACAGTGAACTTGGAGATATACCCCCGACTTTCAAAATCGACCTTTCTCTCCCGCCATCACAAAGATATAAGGCATTGGCCTCCTTGTACCGCTTCAAGCTGAAGTCACTTGTCGACATCTTTAACGAGCTGCTGACTGGTCTTTTTGGCACAGGGTCCATAAAATGGGTTCACCGCGTCGCCCCAGTCTTGTTGAAACGCCTGTATACTGACGAGGAAACGGAGGAGATCAAAGGAATAAGCGAGGCCACAGGCATAGGTCTATACATCCTTGTATCTCTCAACGTCTTTCTCGACCTACTTATGGGATGCACTAGCGGGGCAGCCTTGACAAAACACCAGCAAGATCTAGATGCGAAAATGCTACACTTCCGTACCCTCGATTGGGATATGGACGAACTCCGCCAACTGATCGTGAAACTTGAATACATTCGCAGCTCCGAAAGTGACACTGCTCTTGCCACGAGTGTAACATATGTGGGCTTCGTTGGGGTCCTCACTGGAGTGAGAAAGGGATTAAGCATCTCCTTGAATTTCCGCCCCTGTCACGATACAAGCAGTATTTTGGCAAACTATCGGTTCTATGGAAGTCATTTACTCGTCCTGCTTGGTATGAGGCGATCGATATCGTCTTTACTCAGGAAATATCTCTTGTCGCCAAATCTAGAGCCTACCCAACGTCAGTCATGGCTTGATCGAATACTGAGGCGGAAGCCTGCTCCAAGGCAAAATCAGACTCCCCTGGATCTAATAACAGCATCTCTACCACAAATACCCACAACAGCAGCATATTTGGTTATGTGTGACGGGAAATCAGCTGTGGTGTTTGAAAAGGATCATCGAAGAGCAACTATCCAACGATCGTCGTCATTTATCGTTGTCACCAACAGTGATTCTGTGGACGACTCTCCCATTTTTCAGGAAGATACCCCGCGCCGCGATGAAAACTGCACTGGGGCAGCGATCAACTCCACTGAGCCTGTAGGCATGGATGATGTGGTTTTCCTTAGCAGCGAACGAAGGTGCTATATGCAGAATGCGTGGGAGGAAAAGGTCCAGGCTGCTAAGAGGGTATCTAAGACCGAGGACTCAGGAAACGAAGCAACTATCGGCTCATCGTCAACATGCCGAGACTCAGTCACACCTAGAACGGATGCAGGGCAGCGAACCTGCTCATCAAAGTCTACCAAGGAGTGCTCTGTTGGCGTTTTGTCTGACTCGAGTCTTGAGCATCAAGTTACCGCGACACCATCTGAAGTTTCTAAATGGATAACAGAATACCCCGTCACCAACGAGATGACTCACTTTTCAGCTATTATGGATCCTACTTTGGGTACAGTGGCCTGGGTCAAGAGATATCTCGATCCGCCACCTAGCAATGATAATGATAATACAGGTTGAAGCTTTTACCAGGTTAAAGCCTCCCTTCGATAGACAGGCCATTTCCTATGTACTTTCTTTGGTTGCATTTCTTGTGTTGTTTTTGATACCACTCCCCGGCGTTATAGAATCACTTATGCCTATTCATTTTGTCCGCAAGGTTGGTTGGCTAGGTAGGGTCTGGGTTTGGTTGGGCATCTAGAATCATGTTTGTGTATAATAAATCAGCTCAAAGAACTAAATGAATTCCAGAATGCATGAATGCTAGTATTACCCGTCCCCCATTTTTTTTATCTAATTTCCTAATGTACATCAAATCTCCTCCCATACAGGTAGAATAAATCAAAGACTGAAACATGTATTAGTACGAAGTTACCACCCCCTTTAAGATATAAAGAGAAACCCAGTAAAAGAAAGTAAAAAATTTCAAACAAGTCCTTATCAACTGTTGTTTTAGCCCCTATGAGGTAATAAAGTACCACTTTGGACTGACCGCGCCTTTATGCAATGGTTGAAACAGATGCGTCTTTTGATTGGTGGTAAGGTAGCCATCAGGTGGATGCTGCACTTTCACTCTCAGCTTCACTGTTGGCTTGCTCATCTGCAGATGTACCAGTGGCCTCATTATCTGATTCGGCAACACTCTTATCAGATTGCTTGCTAACTGCAGTGCTAGATGTTGAAAGAGCAGTTGGGTGACGGCGGGTCCTTGTGACCATAAGATTCTCACACCAGGTAGGGACCTCTTCTACAGCTAGATGAGGCTCTCTTTTGCGGGTAAGCAAGAATCCCTGAATCTCAGCTGGCGAGAAGACATATTCTGGAAGAAGTGCGGCGAATGAAGTTGCCAGTTCATTAATATGTGTAATGGTAACCTGATGACTGGCGCTGACGCTTGTGCACTCCCTCCCCCTTTTCTCGTCTGCTACTGATTGATCATGGCTAGCAGGAGATTTCTCTGGCTTAGAGTGATTAAATAGCTTAGAGTTCAGGACAGCTAGAGATTTCTCAATGTGTGAGGGCGATGAAGTGGTTGCATTAACGCTTCCCGGCTGATCTGGAGAATACATTCGGATAAAGATCTCTCGAATCTGTTCCCTATTTGCCAATGTAAATTCAACCATCATGTCTACTCTGCCGGGGCGAATAAGTGCATCATCGAGTTTATCGGGGTGATTTGTTGTCATAACGAGGACTCGTCCTTCATGGGAAGCCACGCCGTCGATTGCGTTCAGGAGGCCGGAGAGAGAGATGCCCTTGGGTTCCTCGTCGGCGTTCGCCCTTTTCCCTTTCTTCGCACGATTGGCTGGTTGTTGGACTGCCGTCTTCAAATTAGGGATAACGCTGTCAGTCGTTTCGTTGGTGGTGTCGGTTGTTTCTGTCGATAGGTCTTCATCGGCCGTAGTACGTGCTAACCCTGCAGTATCAATATCCTCCAAGAGAACCACACAGCGTCTGGGCAAGGAGTTAAACAGTAAACCCAGGTCTTCCTCCGTTAAGCTTGGTTCAAGTAGCGAAATACAATATATGTCCAGTCCGAATACGCCGGCTATGGCGAAGCTCAGTGATGTTTTCCCCGTACCAGGGGGCCCGTGAAATAGGTAGCCGCGTCGATAGGGTATTCCACGGTTTGCGTACCATCTTGGGGTAGCAGGATGAAGGTATTCGTTGATGTCCAGCAACAGTTTTGTTTTCTGAGTGTTATCGAGGACGACAGTTTCGATAGGTCGAGACGGGCGAGTGGCGGCTCTGCTCCAGGCGTATATCCCCCGTGACCGAAATTCCTTTGGACCAGGTCGACGAATCGTAGTCTTGCTTCTCTCACGAGCAAAGGAGGCATCTCTTGCTTCCCTGATCAGCTCCTTGATGGGCTGCAACGATCTTCCAAGCACGGTGATGGTCAAAGTTTCATCGCTGCTGACCATGTTGAACCCCATTCGTCCATTCAAGACAGGTTCCTTCTCTCTCGACAGTTTGAAATAGTTTCCCTTGTGGCGGAACCAGGAGAACTCATAATGCGGCTCGAACCTCGGAGGCACTTTTGCTTCCCAGTTGCTGAAATTGAGGAGAGTGTCCTGAGATGCTTTTCCGGATACATCTGCGCGTAGGTCCTCGTCAGAATCCCAACTCATGTGGCGTTTGCTTTTGGCACGCATCGATCGGCTGGTGGTTGCGATAGCCAGTTCGGACACCCAGGCTATGACTTGATCATAGATATCGTCGTGAGAAGGAACAGTGATAGATGCTGTCATATGGGTCATGAGCAGAGAGTAGGCGTACTTGTAGCAATATACCCATGCCGTGGTGACCGTGAATATCAGCACACTCAGGGAGACAGCAACCGAGATGTCGAACCCGGTAATTTGAAAGATGAAACCCGAGATGACCGAGTAGCCTGGCAGGAGAGCATCGAGTATATTGTTCGGCAGTTGGGTCAGGTTCATTTGGGCAGAGCTATTGCTCGCCGTAGCAGCCAGTGCATTTGGCAGATAGAAAGTCATGGCTGACGCCACAGATGCAGTTCTATCTGCAGAATGCACATAAAAAACCTTCACCAGACGTTCAATAAAGCTGTTCCTAGCACTGGATCTGTGATATAGACGCGTCGGGTGGCTGCTCTGTACAACAGATAGGGGGTGCAAGGAGAAGGTGGCTCAGGAGCAACCAGACCAGGAAGATGGGTATGTTTGCTGTATTTATATCAGCTAGCGCTCCAACACCAGGGTACTGCACCAAGAGACAGCACCAGGAGACAAGATCGCCTTGCTGTGAGGTGTGTTCAAAGGGATACAAGAGTAGTAGAGGCGGATGGGTGCAGATGCAATTTGGTGATATAGGCTGGTCACGGGCTCTGGTGGAAAACTGCACGGGATCCAGCAGTAAACAGGAGAGCGCGCTCTTCACAAGATACTCACGCTGGTAATACAATTTTCAATTCCACGCGCCCAATGCATCTGAACAATAAATACAATGTCGAGACAAAGAGGCTGTCAGGTATGTCAGGAAGATGGACGGCTCTAGACTATCGACATGACTGCTGAGACTTCGAGATTAAAAGCGAACACGATGCACTTCGCAGTCCTTGAGGCACAGGGTGCAACAGTTGCGAAACCAGAGAATTCGAAAACGATAACGAGCGATAATATAACTAGTTATCCAAGAGAGATGTGGCACAAACCAAGCTCACAAAAGAAAAAGTGGGCGCATATATGTCCCCCCCGACCCGACACGTTTGTCCCCGATAAGAGAAAAGGAAAAAAAAAAAAAAGGAAGAAAAAAAAGGAAGCCGTTGTTTGGGCTCCCGGCTGGAGAATGCGTACCCCAGGCAAGACGCTTATAATTCGTGGCAAACGCAGGGCTGCACGTCGATGCGGCACATAGAAGAGGTAGATGGCTACCTACCCACCCGCCTTAGTCCTGGCCATGGCTTGAAAAAATATGCTAATATATGTATGTATAACAGAAACTTGGACGGTCTTTATAGGACGAAGTTCCAGAGCTGTGGTTTTGGGTGGAGGCCATCCATATGCCTGCGGCTCACTAGAGGGACATGGCCCCATGGTCTAGCAGGCGCCAGGGACAGGGTTAAGAGCCCAACTGCCAGCCAGTGGACGGGCAGGGCGCTCGATTTCAAGGTCGATCGAGGTCTCTGCGGAAGCAATGAAAATCGGGGGGCCTGCTGCTGGATCTCGCACCGGTCCAAGCCGTGGGCCACACGCCAAAAAGTTAGATTCTGGCTTTATTATATGTGCTCTGGCTGTCAGATGATGGGTTGGCCGTGGAACTCATTGGCCGGCGGCAGGCTTATGTTCTCTCCTGCGGCGGGAGCTCGAAATCCTTATGCCGCATGACACGGGAATGGGACGTGGGAGCGGAGGATTTACGAGCAAGCTAAAAGCAAAACCCATACTCCGTCGACTTGGGCCATGTATCTCCTTCGTTAGGGTCATGGTTCCATGGGCTAGAGGCGAGAGAAGGGCCCGTCCAGAAGGGTCCAACTGTTAGTCCTACTCTGTTTTGACCCGGCCGAAGGGAACAGGACGTTGCTCCAGCTGTCATTTTCGCACTGGACGTATATGTAGAATGATACGCATCATGCATCTGGCACTAGAATGCACGAAACCAGAATGCCAGCTACCGGTTTGGTTGACATGGCTGCAAGACAATGTGGCGCAATCCGACATCTACATCCGTTCGTATTCGAAGTCTCCCCCAGGCAAGGCTCACAAGCAAGAGCAGCCCCTCCTCGCATCCTCAGGCAACAAATGTCATACTCCGTCTTGAAGTGTGGAGTTTTTGGCCCCCATCGAGAGACCTCCCTATATCGACATGGTACATGCATCTGGATCTGAGTTCCTGGTCTCTGTGTAGATGCGAGCCGTCTATCTGGCATCTGACAGGAACGGTTGCACGTTCGAAGCCCAAGGCCACAGAATGAAGGTTCAAGGCAAGCCCCTGTACTGATGCACTGCTGCACTGCGTATATGCCTTATTCCATGTCAGATGGTAATTGGAGCGGATCCGAAGTGGAACCAGCTAGGCGTATGTATAGGCGAGGCCCTGGGTCTTCCTGACCCTGAGATTCGAAGAGATTGACCGACAATCTACGCCAGCGCACCTACAAGGTACGGATCAGATATCGCGTCCTGCGGCACGGCTACCTGAGTCTGGTATCGTCGAGAAGAGATAAGAGAAGAGAGAGGGAGAGAAGATAGACGGAGAGAGAGAAGACGCGGTTTACGTCATAGGCTGTGATCCCAGGAGGATATCAGGCCGTCCTAAGGTGAGAGTCAAGGAGAACAGTGCAGCCTTCCACGGAACGCCGGCTGAGGTTGGAGTATGGCCACCAACCGGTTCTACTCTTCGAGAAAACAGGGACAAAGAAGATAGGATAAACCTACGCCGCATCGCGACACGGTTGACCATGGATCGGGTAGATGGGTATAACATCTACATTGGCAGGTTGGTACCAGCCAGTTGAAAGTACCTTTCAGCCGCCTCATGCCATGCATAATAATGAATATTTCAGTATCTTCGCGCTTCGAAACCAGGGAGGCCTGAAAGAGGCCAACATAACGCACGTCATCTCCGTCGTGGGACCAAGCGAAAGATCTACTGCGATTAGCAGCCTGCACGCATACGATATCCGGGACCATCTCATCCTAGCTCTCTCTGACCGGGGAAACGAGAACATCCTCCAACATTTCCCGCCGGCAAATCGGTTCATCGACGAGGCCATTGCCGATGGCGGCGCCGTGTTGGTTCACTGGTCAGACTATACCCTGAACTATCACATCTCTGCATATGCATCTTATGTCAACTCTCTAACCCCGAGTATAGTGGTCTGGGAGTATCCCGGTCGGCAACTATTGTGCTCGCGTACATGCTTTTCCAGTCTCGTCCGAAGTTGAACCCTGGAGTTGCCCTGGTCGTGCTTCAGAGTAGCCGTGCTTGCTGCAAGCCGAATCCGGGGTTTATGGAGCAGCTGGGGCTATACCATCAGATGGGATGTCCTGACAGTGTCGACGACCAACCTATCTACCAACAGTTCATTGAGAGTCTCACGTTAGTCTAAAGCATTGCCTATCTTTGTTACAGCTACAACCTCATGTATTGCTTGAGCCTAGGTATCATTATGGCAGACCTGTTCATTATATCATGGCCAACTACCTAGTGACAATAGAAAAGCAGAGCAAACCCAGCATCAGCACCCGTTGAAAGCGTTTAATTTAAAATTTTTGGTATTGTACTCGAAAAACAGGATTACATCTAAGCCTCGTTGATGAGATTGTGGAAATCCTCAGGAGCACGCTCTGGCGCTTTGTCGGTCTTGATGGCCAATTGACCCAGCTTCTGTTTCGAGAAAGCAGCAGCGTATGGGTTGAGTCTGAGAAGGACCTGCTTGTTGTTGAGAGGGTTCTTCTTCTGGACGCATCCTCTCTTGGTCTTGGCCTCGCCTCTGGGTTCCCTGAGGACGGACTGGACTTCGGAAGAGTTGATGAGACGGGTGATGTCGGCGTTGGAGACGATGTTGGAGGGGAGGAGGAAGTCTCTCTTGAGGGCGGATGGGGTGGTGGTGGTGCCGTAGATCTCGTCGAGAGCGCTGAAGGCAGAGGAGGTCCAGACGATGAAGCGTCCGAGATGGCCACCTGGGGCGAGCTGGAGGAGGTTGAGAGCGAAAACGGAAGAGGTTTCAACACCGGGGATGTTGCGGAAGGCCTTGACGAGTTCCTTGCCATCGACATCTGGGTTGTAGACGACAAGGGGTCCACGGCGTTGGCGGTATCGGCGGCCTCTCAGCTTACCCTTACCAGCACGGACTTTGCGGGACTCCTTGACCTTGACGAGGTCAGCACCGGCACCAACGGCCTGGAGAAGGGCGACGGCAGCCTTGGTCTTGGTGATAGCATCACCCTCGAAGGCCTTGGAGTCAACGACGAGTGGGACTTCTGGGACGCTCTCGACACGGTGGCCACGTGCGAAAAGAAGGGCGGGAACGGAAGAAGCAGCGAGGGCGGAGGCGGTAGCGAATCGCCTGTAGAAACATAATCGGTCAGTACCATTCCACCCAGCAGCTCCAGACAGGACAATTCTTCATCGTAGAAGGACTATCACGTACTTCTGTCCAACGTTGATCTTCTGATGCCACTTGCGCCAGACCTTGGTGGGTGCGAACATTCGTCCGGAACGACACATGTTACCGAACGCAGCCTGACCAGCACGGTGAGTACCACCACCGGAGACACGGGGGATACGTGCAACAGCACGACCTGAGATCCAAGTATCAGCATCCAAATTCTCCCATTTCCCATTATATCGAAATTCCTCAATCTTCAAAACGTACCGGTACCCCATGACTCGGCGGAAGTCTGTTCACCGGCCTTCTCGCTCACGGCATATGGTTGTCTCTTGTTCTTTGCGACACCGGTGTGTACGGACCTGGTCAATTCGTCAGTAAGGTGCCATCTCTCTCTCTCACTCTTGTTCGGAGGTGTATATCGTACTGGACAATGTCGGGACGGATGGGCGCAAGGAAAACCGTTGGGAGCGGGTGGGTAGAGCCGCTGGGCTTGCCCTCCGCCGTGGCGATGGAGACAGTTGGACGAGAGGCCATTGTTGTCGACGTGTTGCTGGTGGTTAGTCGGCGTCTCGAGGTTTGGCGGCTTTGAAGATGTTGAAGCTCGTCGCGAGTGCTTTTTTCGCTTCGCTCAAAGTGGGCAAACACAAACTCTAGCCCTAAGCCCTAGTTTTATGAATTAGTCATGATATCAGTCACATGATATCAGATCACGTGTGTAGCCCCTTTCTACGTCGAGGAAAGTATGTATCTATGAGGTTGATATTCTTAATGTTTGCGATATTCTTTGTATTCTTGATATTCTTGGTGTTCTTGATGGAAATTGCAATGTTACCTGTGTGGGCCAGACTAATCTACTGTTAATACAAGGTATAAAACCATGTAACCCAGGACCATGATGGTCGTTTAGTAAAATGAAGCCTGATATCTATCATGTTCTGCAGTGTAGCACAGTGGCCTTTCTCTGCATATATGGGAAGGACGACGTTTCATTCCATAGTGCTAGTGCAACTTCATTTCATCTACTATGGTTTAATCTACTTAGGCTACAGCCTGAGGAAAAGAAAGGTTTGCTCCATAAAGTCTTTGATTTGATTTTTCATCTTTTTGTAAAACAAGTTTTGGAGGTATTCCTAAAGACCGTATCGTTATTCATGCACCGTGAAGGTATGCTGGGAAGTAAAAGACAAAAACACCACCACCCATAAAGTAAACCTTTTCCGTCATATGTAGGAGATCCCGAGTCCTTGGGCAACTTGAGAAAATATGTTCAAATGAAACAAACTTCCTGAGCAAGCGTGTCGAACGATGCTAAGTGAAGTACCCTTTTGCGTGCTCCTCGCCATAAAAAGGAAAATGGAAGACAAGGAAAAAGTCAATGCCAGTTAGGGAAATGAAATAACTAGGGTACAGAAGTTGAAATGTTTGTCAAGGGGTCGTGCTGTTCTGCTTTATCAAATGAATGAGAGCTGAACATCAGGCCCGATTGTTCTGTATTTCCTTATTTAAGAACGGCGAGGAAGGTAGTGGCCGCGGCGGCGGTGCATTGGGGAACGCTTGCCTGGAAGAGACTCACAGGTCACTCCGGAGGCGAGGTCCATGGCAGGAGACCACTGGCCGCTGGCACAGCGCTGGTACTTGGAGCCAGAGCAGCTCCACTTGCCCTCATCAGTGCATGGTCCCTGGTGAACAGTGCCGTTGCCAGGTGGGGTTGGCATGCCGGTGGAAGATGGAGCTGGCATGGTTGGAGCGGTGGGGTTGGCAGTTGGGGCTGGGAGGAAGATTCCGCCGTTTCCTGGGCCAGAGTCACCGGCTGGGGGAGCTGGAGCAGATGGAGATGGGACCGGAGCATAGGTTGGAGCTTGAGTTGGGGCCTTGCTAGATGCAGGAGCAGAACCGTAGGTGGAAGAAGGAGCTGGAGTGCCGCCCTTATCACCACCGGCACCGCCAGATCCAGCCTTGGGAGAGTTGCCGCCCATGTTGGCACAAACAGAGTCTCCTGCCTTCTGAAGACGGTTGGGCATGCCAGCCTTCTCAGAAGAGCCACCAATCTCGGGGAACATGACGTCCATGCCTTCGGCAGTCTCGCAGTAGGGCTGGCTGGGAATTTCGACGTTGGCAATGAAGATAGAAGGCATGTCAGCACGCTTGGAGAGAGGCATCAGGCTGCGTGGGTCACGCTTGGGGGTGGGTTCCCAGCGCTTCTTGGAGCCACCGGTGACTTCGATGGGAGCACAGTTCATGTACATCTCACGGTTTCCGATGCGGTTGAACCAGGTCCAGGCAAGAGTGTATTCTCCAGGGGCGATGCTGGATGGGATCTGGAACTCGAACTTGGATGCCCCGTGGCCGTTGGGGTCTTCTGGAAGGTTGCCGTCGACATTGGCAGGGCAGCCACCGAGAATGGAGTGGATGACCTTGAACTCGGAGTTCTTGGTTGGCGTCTTGTCGGTAGTGAGACTGACCTGGCAAGATCCGCCTCCGTGGACAGCACTGCCCTTGAAGGTAAGGGGGATCTTCTCGCCAATAGCGAACTTGTTCTTGCTGGAGTCGAACTTGCCGGGGAGATAGCTTCCACCATTGTCCTTGGCCGGGTTGAACTTGCAAGGGTAATCAGCTCCGCTTCTCAACAAGGGGCCGTTGTCGAGGTTCTCGGGGTTGAATGGGATTGGGCTCTCCATGACCATATGGGCGTTGGCGAGGCCGAAGAAGGCAGCCGCAGCAGCGATAACAGCTTTGGAGTAGACCATGGTTGCGGTGTAGTTGTTTGAAGTCTTTGTTTTTCGAAAGATCTGAAGGAGCGTAATGCTGAAACGTTCGACACGAAAAAGTTGAAGGTTGTAAAGAATGAGTTGATCAAAGTTGGCGATGAGGCGTTTTATATCTTTCGATTACTTCGTACCAGACGAGGTAAAGACAAAGAATATAATAGCACTGATGGAACTTTGTCGACAGATGCAGAAAAGATGCTGCTTGAAGCGTCAGTTGAAGTTCAAAATTTGCGCGTAGATGTCGCTTAAAGTGAGTAGAAGGTGAGTAGAAAGTGACGGGGCGTTAAAATGTCCCAAAACGGAACTTCCCGCCATCACCACCAACTAACAACACAACACAACTATCTCACCTTGTTGATAATTCAGTTGGGACAACCCGAACTATATATGCAAAGTATGGTATCTTGGGTCTGCAAATGTTGGAAAAGGAATGTGAGTCTCTTCTGCAATGCCACAGGCAGCTAGTAAGAGTGTAAAGGAAGAAAGGGACTGGCCCAAAGGAGAGAAGCTAATGAACAATGGTATAGATCGAGTCGAAACGTTCCAGCGTGATGAAGAGAAGAGAGAAAAAAGCGGAATGAACCAGGAGAACTCGCAGTCTTTAATACTTTGGCATCTCTGCCAAAGTTCAAGCACCAAGTGCCGATGTCTGCCCGTTCCTCTGCCCCTGATGCCGTCGAATGTTCAAGCTGACCTGTACGATATACAATCCTACTGGCTGCCGGGCTCCAATCCTAGGCGGCATTAAGGCGACATGCCACGGCATGCACACGAGAAACCCACCTTCGAAACGCCCAAGAGGGGCATCTGGAGCAGGAGTTTTGGCGCCCGAGTTTTCCTTTGCGGTTATGCTGGCGGATTGGCTATCTCCAGTCTCCACGCAGCCACACGCTAGGTTTGCTCCGAAAAAGAAACCATGAAGAGCCCCACGTAGATTGAGGCGTTACCATGTTGTTTGCTGCGGAAAAATGACGATGTATGTCGCACAACTTACATCCTGGCTGAGGAGTGGCTCAGCGTATCGGCTACATGCGAGTTCCATACGGACAATCTGTGTTCGATAGAGGAAAATTTTGATCGCTGCGCTGAGAATTGGGAAAGAGAAAGAAAGAAACGGCATTCTTTGCCGCCACACTCAGCTATCCAAGAATGAACGTCCGTGTTCAGGGGTAGGAACGTAATGACTGAAAAGCTTGCGTGAGAGATATCCTAGTGGTGCTGGGCTTCTCTCCCTCATTCGTCTGCTGGGTGAAGAATAACTTTTTCTTACCGCTGCCGTGTTGCGCGTATGCCAGGGCAAACGGCTTAACTTGCCAGCTGGGCATCCATCTCATCCACTTGGGGGCCGCCGTTCAACGAAAAGGATAGCCGATGTGAGGGCCCTGGGAGAGGGAGCCTGTATGCACCCACCCTGCGAAACGGACATCCGAAATGGACGATCTCAGGCGAATTGGACATCTCGAGTCCTAACCGCCGGCGAGGAACGAGGGCCAGGATTCCCCGCTATTGGCTGGTATCCTTGACTCTCTTGCAGTTGTCAGCGTAGGTAGAGCCCGCCACATAGGTTAGGTGAAAAGATCCTAGCAAAGGGGCCCTTGCTAGATCTACGAATAGGCCACTCTCGCTCTTCTCCGATCTCAGCATACGATCCACCTTGAAAAAAGCATTGCTTTTCCCATATGCCAGGGCGAATTTCTTATTGGTTTATGGAGTTAATTTGGCTTGTGAGAGATCCAAGCCCCTGCAGGGGTGAACAACCACTCGAATGCATCTGGAATGAAAACCTGAAACGCCTTGCTGGCTCTCCGCAGTTTGTGCTGATCGACGACGGAGTGTGCTCCTGCACGACGGCATTTTATCCATATATATTCACAGGCGTGGTCCATCCATGACGGTGTGAGCCTTGAAGGCCAGGGAGTTTCACCGCTCGCGAGAACCTCCTATCAGGCTAAACCGCTGGCAACGGCGTGATCCCCAGGTATTCACCCTTGTAGACAGTCATATGCGTATGGATGGCGGGATCTACTTCTTAAACGACGTCGTTATTGAAGTCAACTTCCAACTCCACCCGTCGGGGGCTGATCCATGGCGACGAGGAAAGTCCGACCACGGCTAATCCACAAGTGCGGCAACTCCCACAAAAGTCGACCGAAAACCACTCGTTCGACCCGTGTCTCTGTTCTGATAGCGTTGTCGACACCTCACAAGCCTCCGACATATTCCTCCTACATCTCTTTTGAGAAACATGAAGGCTCAGGTTGAAAAGGCTGTTTGTGCACAAGGGGGCGTCGACTTTGTGCTTTAAAAATTGCAAAACCCTTGATCCATGGCTCGGCGGCAAAGACAATCCAAACCCAATACTGGGTTTATACTACTTACAGGGCCGATCCCTGATAGATTCTATGAATATCTTCACTTCACGGCGGCACCCGAGAAGGCTACGAAGAAGGCATAGTCGGTTCATGGGACTCTGCAGCGGTTTAGATGATGCATGGGGTAGGGCGCGAAGTTGAAGGAAAAAGAACACCTCCTCTGGTCCAGTCCATGCAATACCCGCAAGTGAACCTCAAACGGCTCGCTTCTTTGTCGGGTGTATCTCGCTCCTCCCTATAGCACTTCCTCATATAACTACAAAGTAAGGATAATGGCTGGAATGGCGAGAACAAGCTTCAAGAGCCAACCAAGGCTCTTGAAACATGTCACTTGGCATATGTAGGTGCCATATAGACATCAGTGTCAACGCATCCTTTATTTTTGGGTTTAACTGCCTATTTATGACACGTTTTGTTTCATAACCAAATAGCGCCGCATTTCCCCTCCTTGCTAATGCGGGTTGAAAGCCCCTCCTCCATGGCATCACAACCTCGATATCAGGTCGTTTAGCGAGAGACCACACATCACCAGAGAAGCCTCGGAGTTCTCTATTATTTGCTGAGCCAACTTCCCAACCATAATGTGACAGTGGTATATCCCGTTTCAGGTGGATGTTCCAGCCCGATCGATTGCACATTTGGGTTCCCCATATAGTTAAATGACCGGTCAGGCAGAAGACGGCCTCTCAGCATCTGAAAAAAACGACGAAGGTGCCTTCTTGTCCTATCGATCCCAAACACGTAGTTAAGGCCAGTGACCATGGCTATCAACGAAGAGAAACATGTTCGATATGATTCTCTTCATTTCTTTCCCTTCTTCTTCCCTTTCTCCGTCGGTTGACTCGCCTCGAACCTGCCTTTGACCAACGCATCCCTCGCAGCAGCATTGATGATTCGAAACCGATCAGGTCCCAGCTTCACTCCTCCATACCACCGTGTCACTACTACCACGACATCCCACACATCCATCAGCTGCATGAGATGCAACAACCGCCCGCCGGCCGCTGTTTCGCCGTCATCGTCGAAGTCTTGAACGATCGTGTCACGACCTGGTTGCTGCTGTTGGCCATCCAAAGACTGCTGATGTTGTCGAATACGCCATGCGGTGATATTATGTGTTGCAGAAGCCACTTTCTTTTCTGAGGCAAGGAGATAGTCAAGGTATTTCTCAGCCTGCTCTTTGGATTGGACAGTTGCTGCTCGTGCAACGAATATGGACTTCTTCTCGATGATAGGGTCAGATATTACCCATGGCGGAGGAGCCGATAATCCCAACGACTGAAGACCGCTTTTTTCACTCTCGTTGACAGTAGTTGTAGGCGTAGCCTCCTGGGCTGTAGCTGTAGTATCATTCTCTGTAGGCTTAGCTTCGTCAAACCGCTCCTCCGCATCGACGATCAAATCGTAAAGACACACGGAGCCTTCGGTCCATACCCTCCCAGCAGAGTCCGCTAATATATCAGCCCACTTCTTTCCTTCACCTCTCGATCCAGTGGACGCAGGCCCAAGTACGCGCGGGGGAGTCAACGGGTATTCAGGATCGAATCCAAGTAGGAATGAGAGGTTCTCGTGGTTCGGTATGGTGAGAATTATCGTGTACTGTAACGACGAGTCTGCGTCTGGAGATGAAGTTGTAAGTGTTATCGTAGAGGGGTCATATATAGCATTGACAGCTTCGATTTCTTCGGCCAGGTCTTCATTTTGTATTGTTCGCTCTTCTTCGCTGTTCATGGGTGAGAAGTGCGCGGTTCCCCGCAATCGATTATCACGATAGAATGTTGATCCTCCTGCTCAATCTTGGACCTAAGATAGATATTTGATCGCTTAAGAGAGCTCATCGACTAAAGAATCAGTATAGTTAGTTTTGAGTCTTTCTCCGGTGACTAACGAGGATGTTGTTGTGTATTTGCATGTCAATCTTCTAGAAATTATACGAGGATTTCCACAATTTAGAAAATGGTCTGATTTGCAACTACAACGTCATCGTAGAAGTGAAAACCAATGAACCACTCCACCCGGATATGTAGAGAATTTAGAAAAGGATACAATTGATTGCAGCAAATATATTTATATGTTAGAATTGTGCTTATCATATAGAGACTCTACATGGCTTTACAAGATTATGTTCCAAGCATGCCGATTGTTGAAAATTGTAGCATCAAAACATACGCCTATCTCCGCCCTGCTAGAAATTAGCAACAGACTTATAGCTGAATATAGAGCCAGTAGAAAGCCCGACGGTTGATAATCTCAATTGAGTGCCATGAGTGTATGAGCTTATGATCGGGGCAGGATACCTATATACAGCTTAAGCATCAGCGGAGCATGTATTGTTAATATGCGATTAAATCACCACAAGGTTGGCACCCCGAAGCAAAGTCACAACTTTATAGAAAAGAAAGCCAACAAGCTTTATAACTTATGTATTCTGGATTGGTAAATGTGGCAAGAATAGGAGTAGAGACTTATCACTCCATAACTCGCTCGGTTGTAGACCAACCCCTGAACCAAGAACCATATATTGAAGAGTAAGGTACTGAAATAGGAAATATCTAGTAACAAACGTATCTCACTCTCTTTTCTATAAGGAGTTTAGAACCGAAGGTGTGAAGACCCTGCCTCCATTCTCTCAACCTAAAGCCTTATCCAAGGCCTGGCCTTTGCACATCTCGTAATAATCACCCTTTTTCTCAAGCAACTCGACATGAGTGCCTGATTCGGTGATTCTCCCTCCCTGGAAGACAAAGATGCAGTCCGCATCTTTGACGGTACTCAGTCTATGAGCAACAGCAATCGTGCTCCTCTTACCACCTTTGGTAGCCTCGTTCATAACATCCTGGACCATCTTTTCGCTCTCCGTATCCAGTGCACTTGTCGCTTCATCAAGGAGCAGCACCTTCGGGTCTCGGATCAGAGCCCGAGCAATGGCAATACGCTGGCGCTGGCCACCAGAAAGCTTAGAACCGCGAGTGCCAACTTCGCTCCCTAGACCTTCCGGTAGTGATAAGATGAAATCATAAATGTTTGCGTCTTTACAGGCTTGCTCCACCTGTGAGTCTGTTGCTTCCTTCGATTCAAGCAGACCCATGGCGATATTCTCGCGGATGCTGCCTTGATATAGTATCGGCTCTTGCTGGACGAGCGCTATGCACCGGCGATGGTCTTGCGGCTTGATCTCGTGGATTGCCTGGTTATTAACAGTGATAAAGCCAGAGGTTGGATCGTAAAAGCGGCAGAGGAGATTGATCATCGTTGATTTTCCGCAACCTGATGGGCCGACAAAGGCGACAAATTTACCTGGTGGAATTTTGACGTTGATGCCAGAAATGACGTTTGAGTGTGCGCGAGAAGGGTAGGCAAAGGCGAGAGCTCGACAATCGATAGCAACGGCTCCATTATCATTTGAGAAGTCATCTGAAGAAGGCTCATCTGAAAAGTTATTGTCAATAGGGGGTACTCTCCGGCGTAGCCAGAAGATGTAGTTTGTAGAGCTTGTTGCCTTTGTGATGCCGGTAGTGTATTGAAAAAGAGAAGCTGCATTCTCACCACCAACCACGACGGCAGTAAACACTACAAAGAACTGCTAATTGGTGTACTCGTGAGTAGACACGAGTTTTCCGCCATACCAGAAGCCTAGGGCCATCGCTAGGAAGGTAATGGACTGCGTCAAGGCGTACCAGAGCATTGTAAAAGTCAATGCCTTCACAGACTGCTCTGCTACCATATCTAGCCTTTCCTGGTATATTTGAAGCATCTTATTTTCTAGTGTAAGAGAAGACACCGTACGGATAGCCGAGACCGCTTCTGCTGCAATGGCAGCACTGCTAGCGAAGCGTGCAGAGGTATCTTCCTCCAGCTTACACTCAAGGAGGATACGGAAGTAACCGCTAAGAAGCAGCAGAGGGAGAGCAGCAAAGACACACACGAGGCCGAGCTTCCAGCCATAAGCAATGCCCAGGACGGAGACAGAGATTATAGTGACGATGTTGATCAGAATTAAACCTGAGTTGATACCCAAGAGCTCGTTCAAGTTCGAGGCGTGAATCAATAGCCGAGCGCTGATTGCACCGGTAGCGTTATGTTCCAAATCGAAGAATGCAATATCTTGCTTCATGGTGTTTCTGAATAGTTCCCGCCTATACCTCCGGCTTACTTCCTGTAGGGTATATAATAGTTAGGATTGAACGCACCGCAACCAAAGGAGGAGTGGGATATATTCACCTGAATGATGATGTTAGCCGTCCATCCTACAACGAAGTAGACGAAGAAGTTTGCAAGAGCTATAACGAAGAACATCAGCGCCCAGAAGTCTCCACGGCGAACAGCCTCGCTACCGCGCAGCTGAAAGACTTCGAGTGTCCGCGCTAGAATGACAGCCTGTGCTGGAAAAGTAGCACCTGTGACCAGTTAGAAAAGATACTGTAGGACTGTCTGTTAGAACTGTCTGGCAAAACTGACCTCCAAGAATACATGCAAAAGCGAAAATCGAGTAGGATCCCCATAGATTCCGCTGCTCCTTTATCAAAAGCCATAGACACTGGATTAGACTGTATCCCATAGTCTCCTTTGAAAGTGCTCTAGTTTTTTCATCCACGGGGAGAGACTCTGGGCAAACACTCCCTGTGCGATGCAATGACAGGGTCATGTTAGGCTTCTCCTCATCTTTCTCTTTATTGATTCCCTTCTCTTCCAAGTCGTCTTGCTCTTCCCAGTCATCGAGCTCTACCAAGTCATCCTGCTCTTTAGTCTTGCGGTTTTTGTTGTCAAGGTCCTGCGTACGGACAAGCCTCGCATAAGCACCATCCTTGGCTAAGAGTTCATGATGCGTTCCCTGCTCAATAATTCTACCAGCGGACATGACGGCGATATTGTCCGCCTTCTGCACAGTAGACAATTTGTGTGCAATAATGATGGTAGTCCGGCCAACAGAGATATTCTCTAGTGCGCTTTGAACGATCTTCTCTGCCTTCGGGTCAAGAGCACTCGTTGCTTCATCTAGCAAGAGAACGGATGGCCGGGATATGATACTGCGTGCTATGGCGATGCGCTGCTTTTGCCCTCCAGAAAGCATGCGTGCACGCTCACCAACTTGGGTATCGTACTGCTTGGGCAAGTTCTCAATAAACACATCCGCATAAGACTCTTTACAAGCTTCTTTTACCAAAGCAAGCTTCTCCTCATATGAAGCCTCTGCATGCTGTGTTCCTACCAAGCCGAAAGCGACGTTGTCAAAGATTGTCCCACTAAAGAGAACGGGCTCCTGCTGCACAAGACGAATTTGTGTGCGTAGCCAGGCAATATTGAGCTCTTGTATGTTGATGCCATCAAGTAGAATCGTACCGGCTGCTTGGTCGTACCAGCGTTCAAGGAGTCCAACTATCGTGCTCTTCCCTGAACCGCTGGCGCCAACCAGGGCCGTAGCCTTGCCAGCAGGCACATTCAGGTCTAGGCCATTGAGAACTTGCGTCTCTGGACGAGATGGGTAGGCGAATTTGACAGCGTTTAGTTTGACCTCGCCAACACATTTCTCAGGTGTCAAGCCAGCGGTCGAGAGGGAGTCGATAGCTGATTTCTTGTCGATGATACGGAAGAGCTCGTCAGCAGCAGCGGCGGCTTTGGTGATTGTTATGATCTGGGGAGCGATGTGGGTCAGAGATGTAGCCGCAACAACTACCGCGAAGATGACACTGTAAAGATAAATCAGTAACGCATCAGCAGCGAAGAGAAAGCGAGCACTTTACGTTACGATATCACCCGGCTCATCAACCTCGCCACGAGCGTACATCCTGACGCCCTGCCAAAAGGCAAGGCCGTATCCCGAGTAAACGCAAAAGAACTCAGTGGAGAATAAAGTACCATAATTCGGCGATTTCTTTATTCCTACACTCTCTAACTCGGCAAGGAAACCTTCGTAGCGCTTCGCCATCACCGGCTGCAACCAGAAAGCGTGAACGGTCGAGATACTTGAAAAAACCTCTTCGGCAACCAGACTAGAGCGCGAAAGGATAGCCATCAACTTGTCCTCACTCTTCACCTCGATGCTCATGCAAACACCGGTAACAATAAGGATTGCCGGGACGATGCAGGTGGTAATGAGGGTCAACTTCCACTGCACTCCGAACGCGACAGCAAAAGCGGCCACAAAAGTAGCACAGCTTTGAACAAAGATTGATAGCTTTTCTGAAATGCCGTTTGTAATAATATTGCCGTTCGCAGTGACTTTGACAGAGGGCGAGCCATCCTTTTTCGAATCGAAGTAACTCGTGTCCTGGCGTAGGAGGCTTCGTAGAAAGTCCAACCGCAATGATTTTGTAGCCCGAATGGCCGCTATAGACGCGGCAACAGTGTGAATGTAGACGAGAATGAATTTGAGGATGAACAGATAAACCAAATAAAGGCTGGTCCATGTTAGATCACATTTTATCCACCCTGGGAAATTTTTGGAAGGCCTTACGAGTATTTGGCAACTTCCCTCCTATAACTACCAGGACTAACAGCACCAATGGCGAAGTTGTTAAAAGTCGTCACAAACTTGCCAAAAACTAGATCCATCGACGGAAGTGCCGAACCGGCTGCGATAGCAGAGGTAAAGGATACGCAGTAGAGGATCCAGGTCTTCCGATCGGCATAGTTGGATATGCGTTTGTAACTCTTGAGGCCGGTTGGATTTGCCTTTTGATCCAGTTCAATGTCTGTCATGGCGGGTAACGATAGGAAATATAGACAAGAGTATCTTGTAAGGAAGATTTACCAGTAACAGTGCCTGAATAGTGCCAGCAGGTGTTATATTGACATTCACCAGAGACAGGAATCGAGGTAGCGGACATTATGGACCGCCGGGTAGATATCATATGCGGGGATTCTTGCTGGTTGCTCCGACTCCGAATACCAAGTATGATAGCAACCAATTTATCCAATGGAAAGTACATGGTATCCTAGCTGCGTTGGCTGGGCATGCCAGGCATCATAAAATTGCGCAGAGGCAACACACATAATGTCTGCATTAGGGGCGTAAAGGGGTTGGGGATGAGAGCCTTTAGCGGAAGTTGGCGACTTGGTATAAACCGGGGTCTAGCGTCAGCCGCATAACTAGTTAACTAGCCAGTTAAGCACAAGGATCGGGAGGCCAATAACTATCCTAACCCTGACAACCACGTCGAGAGATTTTTTCAATCTGCCATTTTCGAGAAAACGTTTTATAGCAGGGGTAGATATGAGGATAACTCTTAAGTAAGCAAAACTTCCATGACTGAATTTTGGCCCTACAATGACCTAGTGGAAATCTTTCATGAAAAATCAGGTATATAGAGCATTCAGCTCAACAAATATTCAACTAATGAACTTTTACCTGCTCGTTGGCACATTCCATGAACTATATATTTTGATCGGCTGCGTTAGAGTGTCGACGCTAGCAATAGATTATTTAGCCAGGGAATTAACTCCTTATATCGCGCGTAGCAATATATAATGATCGCCAATCCGCTAGTTACACCCGGAGTAGGTATACTCCGTAAACCATTAGATAATTCAGCATCAAATCTGCTTCATATTAACTCCAACTTAGGAGTTAGTTAACTTTGAGATTTAAGCTTGATCAAAATTAGGCTTGTGGAGGAGTCAACCTTATTTTGTCAACCTTACCTTTAACTACCGTCTATCCAATTACCAGATAAAAATACAGCAATTAGCTCAACGGACCATGGCACTCTCTATAAATCGAACTCTAAAGGGTCACAAAGCGTCGTACAAGCTACTCGAAATCCTCAAAGAACCCTCGGTTTTTAAAGCCTCCATCATCCCATCAGCCGAGAGCTCGCATGTCGCTGCCAGCAATAGGCCGTAAGTCTCTATTTTCTGCTCATCCGCCAATAAGTCCGTGAATCATAACGCGTGTAGTTATGTTGTGAAGGATCTCCTTATGGAGCGGGAGCTCCGCGCCCATCAGCTACCGGTTATAAAAGAATGCCCTTATATTCGCCAAGTAGTGGACGTCATCGAGAAAGATGAACACGACGACTGGAGCCCATCACCCTCGAAAATACAGAAGCGATTGGTTCTGGAATGGATGGACACAGATTTGTGGAAAATTTGCCCATTTGGCCGACCGTTTTCGAATCCAAGGCTACCTCAAATTGTTACCAGATCGATTCTTGAGGCGCTGCTGGTATTCCAGCAGATGAAGGGTGTGCATACAGGTAGGGAGTATTTATTTCTAAATATCATCTTTTAATGTACTAATGTCCATTAATCCAGATGTTAATCCAAATAACATCTTTCTATCCAACATCGACACCTCTTTGCCTATCGTTAAGCTAGGTGATTTGGACAATGGTAATCCCCCATTTCCCGACCTTATAGTCTGTGAAACATGAATTACTTACACTTTACAAAAGCATTTTCGGAGGGCATTGCCAAGAATAACCCTGGTGCTCAGACTGACGAAACACGCGCTCCTGAGGTGTGGAAGGGCCTAGGAGTATGGCATCCATCTGATATGTGGTCTTTGGGGGTGACTGTATGTATATTCCTGCCAGCCTAGACCTGCCGAGAATATTGGGATCTGACGTTAATTACGTAGCTTACACATTGGCTTATGTCGGACACCCTATTTGGGTCTTGGGACAAGATCATTGAAGGAAACCATACGGCGTGGTGCCTCGCAAAATACACCGGCTTGTCGGCCCTATCGATATACCCGAAACTCCAGAGTATAAAGAAGACTTTGAAATGGCCGCAGCACTGGCTGTAAGCGGATATATGCACCCTAAAACTGGCAAGGAAACTCCCTTCATAACTGTTGGGTCAGTGCGGGAAGAATTGCAAAAACTCCCTAGGGAAATATGTTCTGTGGAGTGTATTAATTTTATTGAGCATCTTCTTGTGGTTGACCCGGCTAAGCGCCCAACCGCCGAGGAAGCATTGCGACACCCGTTTGTTAACTCCATAATGCTTGATGTTTAGATCTAGACTTGGGTCTATCGCGCTCTTTGGTCTAATCTCTTTAATTGTTCGATATATTTAAAGATGGTTATGTGGTGTTCACAGCTAGATCCTGTATCTGTTTATTGATAGATAGCACTTGGAAGCGTATTTACTATACTTCACTTCACCCACAGTAGATCGACGTTATTGTTCAACTAATAGTCATATCAATTAGCACTGTAGCACAAGGCCTGCCAATGGCTCTATTTTAACGTACTTGACCAAATATAAAAAGTTCATTAAGACTTTGACCAAGCCTTCTGTAATTAACTTTGTCTAACTATCTAATAGGGAAATTTACCTAGGCATATAAATTGAATCTAGATTATAGAATCGTTCAAAATTACTTTGAATAAATAATAAAAATTAATTAATTAATTGGGTATCTAACTCCTACTGGTTGGCAAGCTCTATAACATCCGCACTATAGGGCCACCAATAATCCTCCTCATCTAGGTCGTCGTCCTTAGTTATATGACCCTTCACATCTGAGACGCAAGTTGCAAAGGAAGAGACCGAAGTCGAGGAAGAAAAGTCACCATCCGATGTATCGGCGGTTAAATCAATACATATTGACTTTTGCGGTGAAATTGATTTGGATGTCATTCTTAAACCCTGTAGTTTTGATGGTGATGGCGTCATTGGTTCAGACTTTACTTGAAAATTCCTCGATCTTGATGGTGACGACGTCATTGGGGTTGCGTTTGAGCGCTGCCGTAACGACAGTCTCCTAGTGCGCTTCGGGTTGACAGCATCGCTCTCATCGCTACTGATGTCGATTATTTCCCGAGGAGAATCTCGGGGTTTTTGAGAGATTCTCCTCGGGGTTTCAAGATGAGCGCGCTTGCGAGGGGATTTTGTAGATGTGCTTCGTTTATTACGGGTCGTTGCAAGTGTGACATGTTTTAAAACAAGGCTTTGGCGTTCTTCGGTGAGAAGACTTCGTTCACTGATAGGAGGACCGTCCAACTGCAGAGCCTGAATATTCGGTTCCAGAGGGGTTATTGACATATCGTCTGGTTGGGTACCTGCTGGTCTAGCCCAGCCTGCGTAAGGGCCGTCGTAGCAAGCCCCTTGGCCAACACCGAATGTCGGATGTCTCGTTAGCTGTCCGGATTCAAGTAGCTTTTTCGACTCTAGAATACCACTTATTTCATAATCTGCCCCATTCCGCGTATCGATTGGTGCTTCCTCATAAACAAGATTCTGGCCATTTTTGTGACTAAATGGTGCAGTTGACAGGATGTGGATTGACCCGCTACTATCCCCGACAACCATGTTTGTTTGATCAGGAGACAAGGCGCCGGACATTATCCCATGGCCGAAAGTGGCAATTTCATCCACAACCAGCTCGTTTGAGGAGCGCCTAACATCCCAGCACTTGACGATTCCATCAGAGCCCCCAGTATAGAAGTTTGGCCCGCCCCACACTGCCATACAGACACCAGTGTCATCCTCTTCCTGTGGAACCGTTTCACTTAACTGATTGAGAGGTTTGCCATGCCCAAGCTTATGAAGTATATGGGATGGGTTGCGGCGATCCCAGACATAGGTCAAGTTATCTGTGCAGCTCGCGGTGACATAATTATCATCTAACGGGCAAAAGGTAACCTCATTTATATCGAGTGCCGGGCAGTGGAAGGAGTTGACCTCGTGCTTCGACCTTACAGGATCATAGAATCGAAGGAATGAGCGGTCATGCGTCTCAGCCAATCTAACTATTGCCGTAGGTGTTGAGCATCCGACCATGAAAATGGGCTGAGAGGGATGCCATTTGATATCACTGATATGCTGTGACATCTCCCATTCGCCTAGAACACTGACATTCGGCTTTTCCACTTGCCAGAGAACCAGTGTGCCACATTTAGTAGACGAGAAGGTTGTTCTCAAGCCTTTGCGAGATAACCCCGTCACAAGCAAATCAGCGCATGATGGGTTTGTGCCCCAAACCAATGAAGATGGCATTAAATTCGAAAAGGTTTTCAATGGAAGGCAATCATAGGTGTCATTTCGTTCTGACCATATTCGAATTGGCTTAGCGTCCTGGCACCCAGTGGCTATAAGGTTTCCCTGTAAGTTGGAGACAGACATAACTTCAAGTTTCTCAGGGTGATATAGAGTATGGGTGCAATTTAACTTTGGTTGAGATTCGCATTCGTCTGACTCTGGCTGAGTCTCCCATAGCTTTGGCTCAGATTGGAGATTCCACACCTTCACGGTCTTGTCGTAACTGGCCGTAAACAAGCGATCTCCGGACCACTGCACTGCACTGATGGTCATGTATAGGTTGGGACCAAGGGTATTAAACGTGCTCTGATTCGCGAATTCTCCTGTAGTGATTAGAGGACGAGGAATTCGGTGGTCAGGTAGTTCTTTGATTGACTCCATGGCCAAATCCCCTAAGAGTAGATTGTTGTTACGGTTGTACTGCATGTTGTTTTCTTCACAGTGCGCAGTAGTGCCAGCAACAAACCGAGTCCCGTCCGGCGCCCAAGATAAGGCCATTACGTCGTGTGAGGCACCAGTCCAGGTTTTCCACAACTCCCATTTTTGAGAATATATATCTCGTAGGCTACCATTGACAGGGTTCCTTCCTCTATAGCGCGTATACCCCAGCGCACGAGATCGCAAGAGGGCAGAGGGCAGATGTATATCAGAACACACCGAGTGCACCTGAGGTGAGAAGGTTGTGGTCGGATAGGCTGCAAGGCGTGAAGGTATACTAGAGAGCATTCCTGCCTGCGCATCTACGACAAACGTCGAGATGGCAAGGGAATTCCTCCAATTTAACCCTGACAGGGCCTTGCATTCCCGGATGGTATCAGCGATGGCGGCATGGCCGATTTTCTCAACCATCTTTCTATACCCCTCCGCTTGATACTTCTCAACAGAATGACCAAAAATTTTACCAATCCGCTTCACAGTTCTGTGGAAGCTCTTGGGGATATCCCCCTCAATTGAAACTGGGATAAACAAATCGCCCAGCTCAAAACCAGATGGTAAGACGTCGTTTAACTCCCGTAGCCTTCGGACACGTCTGTTCATTGACTCGGTATTTAAGAAGCGTGTGGCGTTGAAGAGATGGTCCTGAAGAGGTATATCATCATCTGGAGGTACTTGGCCGGTAAGGAACGAATAGACAGCTGACATCTCGCCCTTCGAGAAGTCAACATGGAAAATAATACCCTCCTCTCCAATGGGCGTTAGCGAGAGCAACTCCCCGCTCTTCCTCCTCCTCTCCGCGGAGCTATAAGGTAGTTCGGTATCTGCATTGTCGTCTTCTAGCAACGGCTCATGGCCCGGAGAAACTGGGTTGAGTGGCTCTCGAATGATGGAGCGGGTCTGAGATCGATACAAAACCCTTGGTCTAGTAATCTCGATACTTCGTTTGGTTGCTGGGCTTGGGAGTTGAGGTGGCGGCGGTTCATAGATCATTGGTTCCGGTGCTGATGATTCCTGTTCTTCCTCATCGTACTCATATCCCGCAAACCCAGGAATTGGTGCGAAATAATTGATTGGCTGTGTCGTTGCACGACGCGGACGCCTTGACGATCTAGCCTCTGCACGAGAAGTCATTTTGGGTCGGCCTGGAGGTCTTCCCCTAGGTCTCTTGAACTGTGTAACGACGGGCCTTTCTTGTTGCTGTTCCAGGGGGGATGAAGGTACCGAATTGAAGGATGCTGCAGTAGGAAGATCCTCGGCTGCAGATTCAGAGAACAGAATATGGTTCGATTCGACACAGGAACTTTCCGATGCTAAGGTGTTGTTATTGTTATTATGCGTTGCTTCAGGCAACACAGCCCAAGGCCTGCTAGGGCCATCTGAGTCTGTACATAACACATCTTGAGTGTTATTATCTTGCTTAGTCCAGCTAAGGCCAGGAGAGGGTAAATCATCCTTTTCTATTAAATTGGGGCTGTGATTCTCCGAGTCATCATGATACTCCGAGGGGTGCGTTTTGTTTATTAAAACGGTGCCTTCTTCTGAGCACTCGAGATGTCTCTCTGGATTTTCAGCATTATTGCCCGTCGTTGATAGCGGCAACTTTAAAGACTCTGGCTCATCAGCTAGGGACTCGGCCTTCCTCTTCAACGGATTAGCAGGTGATATCCCTATAGGAGACGGCGAACTCTTCCGACGACGGAGAAACTGGTTAAGTAGCTGCTGAGCCACCTGCTCTGGATCGTCCTCGTCATCGTCGTCATCATCTAGTCTTATAGATGCCAAATGACTTCGGAGCGGAGTTCTTCGTGATAGCGAGGTTTTAAGCGCCATAAGACACGTTATCTCACGTTCGTTTTCTCCCCTCGACGGTCTACAAATTGATAAACAGTTAATTCTTCAATGGGTCTGATATTGATATAGGACGCCATAAACCTACCATCCACGCCTAGTGTGTTAATCTCGAGGTCTTTAACTCTTCACATCACCCAATATTCGAACTTAGTATTAAACAACTGAGGCGCCGTCTATTTCTCGGGCCCAAGAAACGACTTTAAGGGGCGGCTTTCGTGTGTGGAGAGGCTTTCGGGAGGATCTATCCGATCACGAAATTAATGAAGGTAAAAGAGGTATCTATGTATGAACAGCGTATGTACACGGCGTATCCTCTGCGTAGTAGATAAAATAAGGGCACAACGAGGAGTCGACGCTTGTCGAGTGAGCAACAGCGTGTATATTGTTTAATTTTTGTCGTTTCGTGAAGTCGCGTCTGGAGAAAAATGACGAGTAGATGTTGATGCTTATGTAATATATATACTACCTGCTATTGGCTACTTCATCCACTTCCAACTAATATTATCTCGCCCAGAATATAATTTTATAATATATCGCTTTATAATTACTATAATGGTTAATACGTGAAAAGGAGCGATAGTATATAATATAAAAGAAATAGACAGGAAATAAAAAATAAAAAAAAAAAAATGAAAAAAAAAATGCTTTAATCGAACCTGGCAGGACTCGAACCTGCAACCTCCTGATCCGGACTCAGATACTCTACCATTGAGCCACAGGTCCAGCCTTTAACTTTGAAAGTAAGGGGTACTTCGTGATATCTGGCAGATATCTTCTGCCTACACTATACTGTCACAAAGACGCATATACTTAAGAGATATGAGATATAACCAGTGGAAGGATGAAGTCATGTAAGGTATCGATATTCGTGACTAGCTAACTAGATTTTGTATTTATACAGTGTTGCTAACTCTTACACCACCCGTCTCTGACATTACACAGTATCAGTAGATATGGTAGATATGCAGAATAAGAGGTAAGGGTGCCTGGTAGAGAGTATATATCTACTTGCGGATGCTTCGTCTGCGGAGAGCAACCATGCTGTCATAGAGGACATCCTTGAATGCGAACAAGAAGGCTGCGGTGAGCACGCTTTGGCTGACCTTGGGGCCAATTCCTATAAACACGGTTAGTTCCGATGGCTACAAAAGAGATTGTATAGATGGGAACGTACCCTTGTACAAACCAGCCCATCCTTCCTCCTTGATAATCTTCTTGAACTTATCGTTCAAGCTCTCCTTTGGCCCATCCTTGTTAGCAACATGCATCCTGCTCTTGACAGTGATGTATGGATAGGTGATGGAAGTAGCAAGTAGCTTTCCGAGAGCGCCGAGATAAAAGGCGTCCGTGGCAGTCATCTTCCGCCTTCGCTCAACAACGTTCTTCAACTGCTCGAAGAAGGTATATTGCAGAATAGGGTTGATGACCAGGATAAGGGCCGGCAGGACACCGGAGAAGAGCGCAGCTGGACCTTCCTGGCGCAAGAGGTCCTTCAACGTCTCCAGAGTAGTCTTGGCCCGTTTGGCACCTCCTTCTTCAGTGGAGGATCGCTGGGCAGTCATACGTGTGTTGACGACCCAGATGGGGTTGGTGATCATAACCGTGGCGCTGCCGGCAATGGCGCCTGCGATCATGGATTCGGCGGTTGTGAGTTTCTTGGATGCGCGGCCAGCTTTGATGGCGGCCTTCTCGAATGCAGCGCGGGTCCATTCGTACCAGTAATAGTACACAAAGTTGGTTACACTGATGCCGAATACAGCGGACTCAAGGCCGGAGTATAGTCCTCGGATGCCTTCACGCTTGATGATATGGCGGATGGCTTCGATGGTAGAAGACTGGGCACGCTTCGATTCAACTTGCGCTCGAGTAGAAAGAGTGATCAGCGGGTATCTATACAGCAACGTAGAACCCAGTCAGCGCAGGCACTTCGAGAAAAACCGATCATTCGTGTTAGATATACGGGGGAGCGATGCGTACGTCAAGACCATAGACAGGATTCCACCTCCGGCTCCGGCCAAAGCGTGCGCGATGTTGTCACTCTGTTGCGCAGCAATGGTAGGCGCAGTCTTGGGCTTCTGAGCTACCGTAGTAGCAGCTGCTTGAGATTGAGACATCTTGTAGGAGGTATATAAGTATCGTTACTTCGAATGGCCCGGTTAATAAGGACTGGCGCGCTGGTTTAAGGAGAGAGTCGCGAAATGGTCACACTGAAGAATAAAAGGAGCGAAGTGCACAGTATATGTAAAAAGATAAAACCGACGAAGCGACCAAACCCGAGATAAAAAGCCAAATCGCAGGCAGAGATACCGACGGCCTTTTCCCTTTTTCTGCTTGTGATTTCTCGTCCTGCGACGAAGAAAACGCGGGTTGGAGGAGGCCGAGAAGTTCATATGACGTTCTGCCGGCTTATGCCTCGGCTCTTGCCCGATGTGGACACGCGCCTCTACAGAACAAACCATAGAGCTATATTGTACATATATATATGATCTGATGAAGTGAATAAAATTATAAGGATAGATAACGCCTACGTGGTAGGCCCCAATATACCCACCGCTTGCTAGAATACACCGCACCTGGCCGCAGACTCCCAGAAGTGATTTATAACCTCCAATGCTCCGTAGCGCCCTGTTTGGTGGATTATACCACCGATGCCAAATCCGAGATGAATAAACAACCAAAGCCTCAAAGCTGCCACCCTGGATAAAGAAAAAAAAATATTTGTACGCCCCCAACAGTAGCCACATCATACGGGACTCCTTGCTTCCCACGGCTTGATCCTCTGTTCCCAGTACTCCTCAACATTATTCTTGCTCTCCGTGCGTATGAGAACCTCTGTCACTTTAGTAATCTCATCCCGATGGGGCTCCGGTGCCTCAAGAATAGCCTCCTGGCTGCAGCTGGTCACTTCACTCTGCTGTTGTTTGCGTCCGCCGCGTCCGCTTCGTCCGCTTCGCCCGCTCCGTCCACTTCGTACACTATACTTAGACATCGGGTAGCCATAGTCTCCTGACAGTGTGGACGCGCTGTAATTTCCACTATAAGATTTCTTGCTAGGTGTAGAGCTAACGGTAACTGTGGTGATTGATTTTGTTTTCGGAGCGTATGATGCAGAGTGGGACCGGCTGTCGGGATATGGCCACCATCGTATCCTGAGTCCGCCAGAAGACGTTATGTGGTGGGCATGTTTAGCTAAGGGAGCTAGAGTAGGTATAGAAGCTGTGATGATGACGAGGTAGTGTTTGAGAGCTCCCCAGATAGCCAGGTCAGACATTTTCCAGGCGTAGTCCATACGAGGACTGAGACGGGAGATGTAATAAGCTTTCATAACAGGTGCGATAAAAGCACTATTGATATTAGACGGAAGCGTTAGAAGACCTTGTAAAAAAAAGCCGACGTTAGATATAAATGGAAAGAGACCTACAGTAGGCTTAGCGAGAGGATGGTTGAAAGAGTGATTTTTGTGCGCAGTGGCATTTGCAGTTTGGATATCACAATGATAGGATACCCGGCAAGGACTAAATCCGACAGGCAACAGCAAGCTATGGAGTAATATTAGTATTCAGTTCCTTTCCTTGCGATGGGGGTATGGGGTATTCTAACCACTTTGAAAATAAGCAGAGGTTTTCACAACGCTTTCCGGCCAACATCTTCCTCTGATCGTTCGATTGAAAGCAGCGTCAATGGGCCTGCATTGACCCAGGATGATAAACACGTCCACCGTGTTGACGAGAGTGAGCAAAACTATGCCAGCATAGAAATAAAGAGCTTGACTTTTCGCCTTGTCTATAATGCGTACAAGAAGTAGCATGGCAGAGACTTTTCCCCAATTCACAGCCAAGTCGTGCATGGGTCCCGAAATCCAGAAATATTTGGTCATTTGTATTATCTGACCCAAAGAGAGTTGGGCCTGGTGGGATCCCAGGCCAGAATCAACAGACGCCGTAATTAAAGCTGAATGAGCGCACCCGAAAATCTGATGGGTGATCAGTCCATAGGTCAATCGTGGATAAAGAAGACCAATATCATACCAATGCTAGAATTATGAAAATATCGTCCCAGCCGAAGAGACGAGTGAGACATGTCCGTACCCATACTCTGATCAATACTACCACGGTCGAAATAACGAAGCCAAACCACGCAGCTGCAATGATCATAGGGCCCTTATCGTCGCTGGGTTGCCCGTTGCCTATCTCCCAACCTGTATCCATCTTTAGCGAGGCTGGTTTCGCTGGTGTAAGGGGTAAGACTGATTGATAGCCCGGTAATAAGGCCTCATCCGACGGAGCTTCGGCTCAAAAAAATAAAAATAAAAAAATTTCAAGGTCCCATGGGTTTTCAAGAAAGAGGACCAGTAAGGGTATGAAATATGGGCGATGTGGACGCAAGGGTATGGCAAGTTCTCACGTCAACGGCTGAACTCTCTATCGAGTTCTTACCACCCTAAAACCATGTGGCATCCATAACTAGAATGTACAGAGTACAGTTCCAGCCTCCCTTGCACGGCAAGGTCGGCGCCTCATCGTTCATATATCAAACGAACCCTTAACCCCTAGTTAAAAGTCGTGACATGGATGAGAAAAGCAAGTTCAAGGCATCCCACGCCATCACCACTACACACACCCATGGCTGTTTAAGGTTGGTATCATAGAAGCATGCCACAAGCCATCGGACCGCGAGATGTTCATGGCATTGGATGTCGGCAAGTTCCTCCCTTAGTAAGATCTTTTTTGCCACGTCTAAGGGCAGTTAAGATTGACGGTGGCTGCCCGTACGCTTCGTCGAGCCGTGCGGTAGCGACCTGGAGCCGCGTTTTAGATCGAAGCTTGAAGCGTTTTAGGAACAAGGAACTTTCAAGCGAGTTTGGGATCGATAGGCTGGTGGCGTTGGTTATGGCGATGTATGTGAGGAATAAGAGGTGAGGGTTTTGACCTGTATGAACTTGGCGATGCCACTAGTTGGCACTTTGTTTCTGGGCGAAGATCTCGGGTTGACCTCCCCCGGATATATGAACCAGGGTCAGTAGCGATCTCTCCGGTACGGCGTATCACTCCATACTGAGTGCCTAGAGTCGTCGGCTGGACCCAGTATTTCGAGAAATGATTTTTCACCCTGCAGCACGGAGTACTCCGTAGATCAGTCGAAATGTTTTGAAGGATGGCCTTCATACGAGGGCCCATAAATGTCTTCGGGGACATAAATATCTTCGGAGAATGAGAGCCGTACGCCATCTTTCCGTGGCAATCATTTGGATGCAGACGCGATCCTTAGAGAAGGACAGCATGACTTGATCGATATGCGGAACATTTTCATGTCAAACCAAGTTGTTCAACTAACTCAAGCTTTGGCGACATCTCGCCGTCATGGCGCAAGCTGAAGGGCTCGAGTTAAAATTTGCAAGCCAAAAAAATCTTCGGACGCGGCCCAAACGCTCGTTATGCCTCGAGTACATATAGATCATCAGTCCCGTACACGAAGGATCATGACTCAGGAACCCCTGAACCCTTCAGTCGGATAAAACAGCCAGACGGCGCTGTTAGTAACCGCTTAGTGATAATCGTTCTGTCAGCCTTCAAGTTCGCTGGAGCAAGGGCTTTTACCCGAACCTTCAACACGGAGGCCCAGACCAGCAGGCCGGTATATCGTTTCTGACCTATTGCTACTTTCGGCTCGGGGCTGCGAATAGAGTGTGGTCAGTTTACTCCATCTTCATCGACATAAATATTGGCCTATGGGAGCGGGAAGGCTTAGGTTCAATAGTGTTGATGGAGTGACGTTATGTCCGGCGCCTGCGAACTTAAGATAACTGTAATATATTTAGGCAAAGGTCAGTGAGCTCAGTGGCAGCCCTCGGTTCATCCCTTTATGCATAAAACAAGTCGATATATCAGCCTTGCCGTCGACAGGGACGAGGTTGGCGGTTAAGCGGAAGAGTTAGGGAGCTACCTCGGCCTAAACAGGGTAGGACACGTGATGATTATCCTGATATGAAACTGGCAGGCCGAAGAGATCGAAGATGGGCACGAGCAGAGGGTGCTTTGACTACGGAGTACGCTGGAGAGAAAGCAAGTGCAAGGACCTAATGGAAACATATTCTAAAGATAGCCTGGACGTTTACAGAATATATGTAAGAGAGCGAGATAGAGAAAGAGATGAAACTGCAGACGGAGAAAAGGAGAAACGGAGAAAAAGGATATGGTACGGTAAGTGTGTTCCATTCGAATCAGCTGTGGGCGATACGATAGGATAGATATCCCAGCAAAAACAGGTTTATAATAAAGAAAGGGAAAGAAAAAAGGGGGGGGAGGGAGGTTAGAATAAACACATACAAAACCAGAAGTATGAGGAACGCAGCATTAGGTTTTCATAAGACGGGTGGGGCCTTCCCGTGATCGTCGATGGCATAGATGGAGACGGGATCAGGACGGGATGGGTATGGATCGGTTGGAGGGAGGGGACAGGAATCAAATTCGTCATGGTATGATACGCATGGCTCGTAGTGTAGGTTAAGTAATGTAAGACAGATGCGGACCGGACGGGGCATGAGGAAAGGGGGGGAAGGGGAGGGGAATAAATAAAGAAACCAAGTGTAAACAACCCATTTAAAACGACATTAAATTAATCCCACCGCCCCCATCCGATAGAAACACTGCTTTCATGATGCCAATTTCACGCCAAAGGGAAGCACAGGACAGCACATGGCGTGGGAAAGGAGAAGCATAACCACGGCATCGGTCGAGGTGTAAGGGGAGTAGAAAATGGAATTTAACAGCATGAGCCGCCGGTATTCGACTGCACGCCTTGTCCCTGGCCAACTTGCACGGTTGGCTTGTTGTTGACGGTTGCGGTCCCCATTCGCTCCTTGATCTGTCTGGCCATGGTCAAGAAGGCTTGTTCGACGTTAGAGGCGTTCTTGGCGGAGGTCTCGAGGAATGGGATGCCGAGACTATCAGCGAATTCCTGGTATATTATTAGCACAGATATATCATGGAAAAAAAAAAAAAAAGACGAAGAGACTCACCTTTGCAACGGTGTACTCGACGACCTTCTTGTCTTCCATATCGCTCTTGTTGCCTACGAGGAGCTTGTTGACGCCCTGCGTGGCGTAGCGGTCAATTTCTTGCAGCCACTGCTTGACGTTGTTGAACGAGTCCATATCCGTCACGTCATAGACAACACAGATTCCATGGGCGCCTCGGTAGTAAGAAGATGTGATGGTTCGGAATCGTTCCTGGCCTGCGGTATCCCACTACTCATTACATAAACATTAGTACGGATTCGTGATACGGGCGATTTGTCGGTGAAGTGAACAACGTACGATCTGGAGCTTGACGGTCTTTCCATCGAGTTCGATTGTTCGGATTTTCTATCCAGGCCAGAGAAGTCAGTGTACAAGCTTCCACAGCTGCGTCCGGAGGGGACCGGGGACCAGGGACGGGGGGCGGTGGGGGAAGGGCCAACGTACGAAGTCGACACCGATGGTAGAGATGTAGCTCTCTGTGTAGGTATCGTCTGCGAATCTGAGGAGCAAGCAAGACTTTCCTACACCGGAGTCACCGATGAGGAGGAGCTTGAACAGGTAATCGTATCTACCACGCCGGTCAGCATCTCTATCACGTCACATGCAGGATGACGACTGCAGCCTTGAGCAAAGGCGATATACGGTGTCGTCAGCGTCCAGAGAACGAGGGAAAGCTCTACAGTCACATCAACGGGTTAGCTGGGCTATATCTCCATCGGCTAAGGCGTGGGAGGTGCCGGTCCAGGGTCTGGCGGCGAGGGGAGCTGCTGGGCGAGAAGCTGGCACTTACTACTCAGGAGTCATGGTGAAGGTGACGGGAGGGGAAGAGAGGCGACGGAAGGGTCAGATAGCTGCTGGTGGCGGACGGGCGGTAGCTGGATCGAGACGTGCGACGGTGTAGTATCTGTGCTGGCTGGCTGAAGGAGAGTCTGGCAAGGGGAAGACTGGGGATGCTGCGTCGGGTTGGATGGTTGCTCTGCGTTTGCTGGGCTGAGGGCGGAAGGTCAAAAGGCGAGAGAGCGAGGTGAAGGTCGAAACAACGTGATACGCTCTTCCGCCGGACGCTAGGCCGGAACAGGCTAGCACACAGATGTACCTCCCACCTCTTTTCGGCCCAGAGGTACTTCCACATACTACCCTATATCTCTACATCTCTATACCTATATATATATATACCTATCTATATATAAGATGGCAGAGATTATTTACTATTTACTAGATACTATTTACTAGATACTATTTTACTAGATACATGGGGCTCCGTGTTGGAGAAGCTGGTATCAGGCATGTGATACACTCACGCGTAGCCGTGAGTCTGGAGCCACTCGAGGATGGCCTTCTCCTCTCGCTCCTTGTAGTTGGCGTTGGACTTGATGGTGTCCGCGGCGATGACCAGGGCACGGTCATATCCGTCCTGGTCCTTGTCGGCAAAGAACTTGGCAATGTCCTGCTCGACGTCGTGGTCGGCATACTTGATCAAGCTGAGACGCACGAAGCGCTGGAGCACGACCTTGTTGGAGCCCAGCTTCTCCTCGATGCGGCTCCAATTGGCCTTGATGAAGTCCCACAGCAGGTAGCGCGCCTTGGGGTTGGCGGCCAGGCCGGAGGAGCCGGTGTGGACGTCCTGCTGGGAAACCTTGGGCGAGAAGAGGAATTCCATGAACTCCTTGATGAGGGCCGGGTCGGTGGTGCGGGAGAGAGCGCCAAGGCAGATCTCCTTGCCGTCGATGGAGGTGTTTCGCTCGTACTCCTTGACCAGCTCGTCGTACTCGCGGCGGCCTCCTTCTCCAACATTGACGGAGAACACGGCGGAGCGGAGGTTGGTGTTGATCGCGGACTGGTCTCCGGATGCCCAGGCGTCGAAGCGGCGCTTGGCCTCGGCGACAGTGCTACTCTCGCGTTAGAACGATCATCGTTTCAGGAACGGGACTTGGACTTACCCTTCGTGGCCAGAGCGTCCGGCGGAGGTGATGAGAAGCTGACGAAGCTGCTTGGTCAAATAGTCGTCCTCGGCCTTGAACTCCCAGCCAATCTTCTCGGTTGCGGGAGTCACCAGCTTGCGGACATAGGCCTTCAGGCCAGCAGAGACAGCCTCGTTGGTTCCGAAGATGGATCGAAGGCCACCGATGGAGGTCATGATTTGTTGCCAGACGCTACGGAAAGTTAGTATAAAATCATGCATAAAAAAGTTGCAGGAGCACATCTTACAGGCAGTCAGTCTCATCTTGGAACTTCTCAACCAGGGCGAGCAAGGAAGCAGTGCTTCCCTCGCCAGAGACAGCCAAGGAGGCAGCATCACCAACCAGGCCGATTCTGTCCTCAGTGCTAAGGAGGTGTCTGGATTCACCAAGCTTGATGAGGCGGTCTTGTGGGTAGTTGGTGTGGTAGAAACCACACTGGTCCTTGTTGACCTTGTAGAATTCACTGCAGTTGATGTTCTCAACGGCGTCAGACTTCTTGGTCAGGTTACGGATGTCGGCCTTCTCTGCCTTGGGACCGGATTGGATGCCGAGTGGGATCCACCACATGGTCTCGTCCTCTTCTGGCTTGACATCGCCAGATGCAAGGAATCGTCGTTGGTCAACGGTGATTTGGCTAGGCTGTTCAGAAACGGTCACAACAGGGAAACCGATCTTGCGGATCCATGGGTCCTAGGTCCAGTTAGTATATAAATCAAGATGCCGTGCATACAATGAATGACGAACCATGAAGGATGTGACATCCTTTCCTGAGACCTCGCTAAGGGCAGACCATAGGTCGGCGGTGGTGGCGTTTCCTTTATCGCTTGTTAGTATTCCTCCAAGACAGGAGAGTGAGACCGTGCCACTAACCGTAGGCATGGGCCTTCAGGTACTTGGCAACACCCTTGAGGAAAACCTCCTGACCGAGGTGGCTGCTCAACATGCGAATGACGGAGCTACCCTTCAAGTAACTGATGTGATCAAAGATCTGGTCAACCTCGAGGGCGTTTCGGACTGGAACCTCAATGGCGTGAGACGCACGTAGGGAGTCGAGTTTCATTGCTTGTTGGACACCTTCAGCCTGTAAAACTGTCAATATGGGAAATCACAATAACAAAGTACCTCTATGGTGACGTACGACAAACTGCGACCAAACGTTCCATTCTAGATAATAGTTAGCCTTGGCCATATGCTTGAACTTTGATGTAGAGTACTAACCTGGGTGGAAATGGTCGACGGCAAGCCAGCCAACCCAAGTAGCGAAACCTTCATTGAGCCAGAGCTCGTTCCACCAGTCCATGGTGACGAGGTTACCGAACCATTGATGGGCCAATTCTATACTCCTTTAGTAACAACACGCATGATGAGGGAGGTGTAGTATCTACCGTGAGCAACGACGTAGGCAACGCGGTTTCTGTACTTTTCGTCAGATTTTCCCTCCTCGAAAAGGACGGCGGTGGTTCTGTAGGTGACGAGACCCCAGTTCTCCATAGCACCCATGGCCTTTCACACAGTTAGCATGTCAATTCTACAATATGAGAGCAATAGGGGTAGTCTTACGAATTCGTGGACGGCAAGGAGATCAGACTTGGGGAGAGGATAGTCGACCTCGAAGACTTCAGAGAAGTAGTCCAAGGTTTGGGAAGCACACTCGAGAGCAAACTGAGCTTGCTCCTTGAGGCCCTTGGTGGTGTAGACACGGACTGGGATGCTGGCACCGTTGTACTTGCGCTTGGTCATGGTCTCGACGTACTCGAAGTCACCGACAGCCCAGGCAAGGAGCTATGATCGACGTTAGTACACGCCTTATATAGGATTACGGGAATCCTCACGTAGGTGCTCATGATGGGAGTACGCTCGAACGAGACAAACTCGAGCTCAGGCTTGCTTCCGTCCCGCTTGGCCTTGACGGGCATGTTGCTGAGGGCAGTCAGACCCTTTGGAATCTCGACCTCGAAGTCGAAGGTGGCCTTCAGGTTGGGCTCGTCGAAGCAAGGGAAGGCCTGTCTGGCGTCACAGGCCTCGAATTGGGTGCTGAGCATGTACTGCTTGTCTCCAACCGTGGGTATGCTTGGTCCCGGGGTGGCTACCGACTTGTATTCGGCACGGCAGAAGCCAGCCATGAAGTTGTTGATGGTTCCGGTGAAGGAGACGGTCAGGAGCATGTCTGCTGGCTGTATCTCCTCTGCGAACTTGAAGATGGCCCGCTCGGACTTGCGGTCGTATGAGATGTCCGTGGCCTTGCTGGCGGCACTTCCTGCAGAAAGTAAGTATACATCCTGGAACGTGTTACAGACTAGACAGACCATCTTTGGCAGAGATCTCAGCTGCCTGGACGTCAATTGCCTTGACATTGATGACGACCTCCTTGGTTGGACGGGTGATCTTGGTGTCTATCTTGACGGTTCCCTTGTATCCCCAGTTGCCGCCAATGGTCAGATCGTACAGCGAGACATGGTAGTGAGATGGCTTAGCCCTGTTATCATCGTCAGCAGTCTATCCGTCTCGTCTACACGGGACACTCACACGTCGGGCAGCGTCTCCCTCTCGCTTGGGTTCATCGTGCGGAATTCAGCAGAGCAGGATCTTTTCTGGAGCGGGATAGCTAATCCAGCAGACTTACGAGCCGACCTGAGTGATCGAGATGCTAAAGATGAGAAAGGTGAAGAAGAGGATGCTGAAGAAGAAGAGAGGGAAGAAGCATGGAGGGGCCGGAGGAGGGGCAGAAAGTCACTCGCAGGGCGGGCGCGGGTGCAGCCATGACGTCGCGCTCCATGGCTAGCCGCCGCGCCTGCGAGTCTGCGCACTCGGCGCCCGCAGACCTGAGCCACGACCATCCACGCGACGTATATCAACTAAGATATAGACAGACAGAAGATACAGGCTGGCAGGGTATAGCAGAGGACAAGCTTCTCGGAGTAAACAATGGCTTCTTGGTACGGCAACCTAATTGAGACCTCAGTCTGCTTTATGCAATTGAACCGTCCTCGAGCAATTGAACGACAGACATAGAGAATAGTAAGTACTGGACTCCGTACAGATGTAAAATAAAAGATGAAGTTCTGATCAGATTCTGATCTCGCCTAAACCTGCCGGAGCCTGCAGCCAAGACGCCAGAAGAAGATCGGCTTCACGCGAGTAATTCGGTCTCTAGCGCGCCAGCGTCTCAGCAGCACGTATCCCGGAGTCTCTCATGGCGCACTCAGACGAAGAGTACAGTGCCGCGGGCTCGGAGGACGAGCTGGACGAGAATCTCGAGGAGGAGGACGAGGACGAAGACGATGTCGATGTTGACGTGCGTACGGCTGGCGGCCGGCGGAGAGACCGGGGCAGGGCCAGCAGGAGCAAGAAGAAAAAGAAGAAGCGCGACGGAGCAGAGTGGGAGGTAGCCAGGACGTGGGAGACGCTGGTCGAGGGCGCGGACGGGACTATCAGTGCGACTGTAGATGGGCTGCTGGAAGCTGGCAAGAGGAAGCGGTAGGTCCAAGGCCTACGATCTTGAGATGTCAGAGACGAGTACTGATATTCAGCAGGTTGCTTAAAGATACTACACCCTTACAGCGAGGTATCATTCGACATCTCATACTCGTTCTCGATCTTTCCTTTGCCATGGCGGAGAAGGACCTTCGGCCGACCAGATACCTCCTCACGCTCCGGTATGCGCAAAAGTTCGTGCTCGAGTTCTTTGAGCAAAACCCCATCTCCCAGCTGGGTATCATGGGCATGAGGGACGGGGTTGCAGTGCACATCAGTGATATGAGCGGGAACCCGACAGAACACATACTATCCCTCCATGCGTTGCGGTCAGAGGACCCAAAGGGCCTGCCGAGCTTGCAGAACGCCCTCGAGATGGCCCGCGGATCCCTATAGTGCGTTGCCATTCCAGATCTACGAGATACACACATACAACTAACTATTACAGCCATACTCCAACACACGGCACACGAGAAGTCCTGATCGTCCTCGGTGCCCTCCTCTCCTCAGACCCAGGAGACATCCACCAGACAATCACCTCCCTGATCGCCGACAAGGTACGGGTAGGCATCATCGGTTTGGCCGCCGACGTAGCCATCTGTCGCGAGATTTGCGCCAAAACAAACGACGGCAATGACTCCAGCTACGGCGTCGCCATCGACGAGAAACATCTCTGGGACCTCCTGCTGGCCGTCACCACTCCACCGGTAACTTACTCCCAGCGCTACTCGTCCAGTTCCCTCCTGATGATGGGCTTCCCTTCACGCACCGTAGAATCCTTCCCGTCGCTCTGTGCATGCCACTCCAAACCCGTCAGAGGCGGCTACATGTGTTCCCGGTGCGGAAGTAAAGTATGTTCGCTACCTGCCGAATGTCCAACCTGCGGCCTCACGCTTATCCTCTCCACCCATCTGGCGCGATCATACCACCACCTCTTCCCGCTGATCAACTGGGTCGAGGTTCCGTGGAAGCGAGCGTCGAGAAGTATCAGCTGTTTCGCATGCGGCAATGCCTTCCCTCCCGTCCCGCCGCGAGAGAGATGGGACAGACGAGAAGGATCCGTCAAGGGTATGAGCGTCAGTAGCAGATACGAATGTACAGTGTGTCAGCACCATTTCTGCATCGACTGTGACGTCTTTGCTCATGAAGTTGTGCATAACTGTCCCGGCTGCCAGAGTGGTAAGCCCATGGGTGCTGGTCTGGCTGCTGAATCGGCGGCAGAGTCTCATGCAAACGGCCACCTTCAATCTAGCAACGGTGGAGATGCAATGGATACTGGCTAGCCATGTATACCCATGCCTTTTCTCTTGTCAACGATTCAACGACTTGCTTTACTCCTGTACTATAAGAAAGCGATTTGCCCTCTTTTCCCATTCATCATAAGCATCATACCCATAACAACTAACCCTTACATTCGAAGATCCTGGCGTTTGGTTAAATGGTATAGTCTGGTAAAATATAGTACATTCTACCATTCATATCTATATTTTTATGAAGCCGAAGTAACTACTGCGGACCATCACCATACGTTATACGCTTTCGTATAAACTTGACAGTTTCTAAAGATTCATATAGCGGTCGCCCATCAGCAGGTAACCGGTAGATAAATAAAGAAAGAGGACTAGGGGTAAAATGGGCAAGCCGAAGGGTAAGGTGAGGAAAGGTGATATATTTAATAGCGACTGGCACTATTTAACTAATTCGGAGCGGGAAGATCTAAATCTCCCGATATTTAACTATACGCAACCCTCAACCATCAACAACCAAACACATTTACTCCAATCCTCAAGAAAGGGCATATTCTATTCACAGAGACAGTCTACAATACTCCCTCTGCCCCGTATGAATTAACTACCACGTACGATAAATAGAGAATACACATACATATCCCCCGCAATGGCCTTCCCCGCAATTTCATCTACCGACCCAACCACGACGGCCTCAACAGCATATCCTACAGACATATACCAGAGACTATGCTCCTACTCCTTCACTACAGACCCAGAGTTCAAGCTTGGAATAGCAACTATACTCGGCCAGTCGGGAACGCCCGCGACAGACGAGCAGGTCAACCGGACAGACGACCTGGTCGTGAAAGCGAAATGTTTCTACTTCTCAAAGTACGCATCTCTCCAACGTAAGATAGATATGACCAACTATACTAGTTCATGGCTAACCTGTTTTATGCAGGAAATTCTCCATCCAGCCACCAATTGACTATCTCTCATACAAACAATGGCTCCAGCAGCAACCCCTACAAACCAACGATAATACGCCCCCATCTTCAAATATTAACACTATAGCTACTGCCCCAGAAGCCACGTCGATATCTACAACACAAGAGACGTCCAAATCGGAGGAAGAACAGCCCGTATACCCGTCATCTTTCGCACGTATAGTAGAGCTCATCACAACAGGCCAGCCGATACCTGGTATTCAGCAGATACCGGACACGGTGTTGACGGGCCAGGAAACTACTAGTACCGCTCAACGGAGGCGGAAACCATGGGAGACAGATGCAGGGGAGCAGAAAGGTGGCAAGGAGGAGGGAAAGTGTAGTGATATCGTCGAGAACGGTGATGGTAGCGGGTTAATGGTGACTCAGTCTATTGATTCATGAAGAGTATAGGGTTCTGGTCGTTTAAAAATGATCAATATCGAGAGGCGAAGCTCGATCCTGAGCTTATCGATGCTATTCTCGTGGTTGCAGCGGAGGGATGGGAGCTAACAAGGCGTTTTTGGGAATTGGCGGCTAAAATTACCTCTGGTAATATCTACGTTTCTACAGACATCCTCTCATTTTGAGTACTATGCATAAATCAACGAACGCAACGAACATCAGTCTTTTTTTTTGGGTTTTGGCATCTAGATGCTATGGAGGCTATCATACATCAATTAGCGAATACAACACATAAGGCATTAATGACCAAATAACTCCCAGTCCTTCATATGCCCACAGTCCCTGGAAGTGTTTTTGAGCAGGCTCCCGATGGAAATAGAACGGATAAATGGTGAAAAGGTAAGGAAGGGATGGCCCCTAGGAAAGGTAGAAAAAAGAGTGAAAGTGAAGATAGAAATACAACAGAATAGCCCCACCGAATACAACATGAAACTAGACCATTGAGGTAAACCAAAGCACCAGGTAGCTACCCATGCCTATTTTTTGGATAAGTTCATCTTCACAGCAGATATGACAATTTAAGTGAATGAAATAAGGAAGTAAGGTAGTTCCAGACAGGGGGAGAAGACATCGAAGAAGGCAATAAAGGCAAAAGAAAAAGAGATGGGTAAAAAAAAAGAGGAATCAGATTGGATGTTGGAAAAGGAACCCTCAACAAACCAACGGACAGATATGAGGATCTAGGGCTTTCTGAACCAAGCACAGCATCCACGGATTTGAGAATCTTAGAAAAAGGGAAGATAGTTGTAAATTAGGCTCCGATATGCGAATCACTTCTGTTATTCGCCGCAGCTGAGGTACTGACAGTGGGTTAGCATCATACAATTAGCCGTCCGTTTGCGAAGAGGCAGAGGAGTCTCAACGAAATGGAGGGTAGTTGCTAGTCCACTGAGAGCTGCGGTTGAATCTGGCTCCAGTAATGGCGCTAGGAGCACGTTCCTCAGATGGGGAGTTGAAGCGGCTAATCTGGATACCTGCTCCTGGTCCAGGGCGAGTAACGTGGTTTGGGTTGCAGCAGAGCATGGCAACACGAGATCCAAACTTAGAGCCTCGGAGAGAGACCATATGTTTACTATTAAGGGTTTAGTAAAGAAGTGTAAGAAATATGAGGTATTCACCAACCGTATATGGCCCGCGACCAGTTCACGGTGCTGGTTCCCGGCGTTGAGAAGGATCCATTGAATCAAGTAGTTTCCATATTGATCCCCAGCAACTACTCGGAGTGTTAGTAAAAGGCTTGGTCAAATGATCCAGAGGTTATTATGAGCACATACTATCGATCAAGGGCATACGGGGGCGGTCTGGACGGCCAGTACAGACTCTCGCGAGGTACCTGTCAAGGAATTCTGCACCACCAATCTTCAAGCACTTCTCAACCACTTTAGAAGCAAACTGGTCCATGCTATAATCAGTGGCCCAGGCAAGAATATGTTCAATAGCACGGCTCTTGTCAGGTGGCGCCCCATGTTCACAGATGTGCTGAATGCACCAATTACCAAACTGGCCATGGGCTAGGAGGTCAATTTTCGCAAGAACTTCTTCAATGGCTTGACGCTATAGAAATGTAAGTAAGTTATTCTATAATCTCTTTGCTTTTTTAGAGGCTTACCTTTTCATCCTCGACACAATTTTCAAAAATATTCTGAACGACAAGACTTCCAGTTTCTCCCAAGGCAACCTCATGCCACATGCCTCTAAGCGCTTCGTTGACTTTAGCCATAATCTGTGGTGGTTCACCACTCCAACGGAGTTCAAAAAGTTTCTGCCACACATGACAAGCATATCTATGGATTACTGTTTCAGGGATACGACGAAGGAGCTCATGGACCATAACAGCTTTGTGTTCCTCTGGAACGCAGTCAAACGCTTTCTGGATAACATGGCAGCCAAAAGGGTCCATGCTTAGGCTCAGGGTGTTGCCACGAACTGCATTAGCAATAGCGATAACTTGCTCGGAAGTGCCATGCTCAAAGCAGCGCTGGACGAGGAAATTGCCAAAGCGATTGATCATCAATGGGTAGGCCTGGTTGGCGATAGCTTCGATGATTTCGTACTTTTGTTCGGAAGTGCCAACCTTCAACTTTTGTTGAAGGAAGATGGACGCCTGCTGATCATTGTTACAAACAATCTTGTCCACGATATACTTCCAGTCGCAAGAAACGCTCTTGTCTAGAAGACGACGATAGTTCAGAGGCTCAAGTGGAGACACGTAGGTCGAACCAACCCCAGAAGCAGTCTAACATAAGGTTAGTCAAATATTTAGGTTTGAATTATATGTCAGTTCTTACCGAAGGTGCCCAAGATCCAGGGGTAGCTGAGAACGCGGTGAACTCTGCAGCCATTGGGGATAGAGGTGTGCCAATTGGACGAGGCTGGTAGGTGTTGACACTAGGGAACACATTCTGTGGTTGGAATGCTCCAACTTGTTGCTGGCTAGCTGGCCTGGGAAGAGTGGTAGCAGGAGCTAATGGTGGTGAGAATGTACCCCATGGTGAGGTCTGAGGTGGAAAGCACGAAGCTCCACGGTTTGCTTGAGTAGCACGACGATTGGTTGGCCCCTGAAGTTGGGGAACTTGTTCGGCTGAGTAGCGGTTGTCGAACCCGTAGGGTGGACTTCCGTGTCCAGGAAACATACGTTGGTTATGAGGAAATCCAGGCTGAGAGTTGAATCCTTGCTGGCTAGTACGGTTTCCCCAATTACGACTGACATCAGGGTTGACATTGGCGTCATGCAACGCGAAATCACGATGGCCCTTGTCAGCGTTGCCAAAGCCATTCACCTGTGGCTGGGAGTTTGCATTCCAGAGACCGCGGGCTCTATTATATCCTCCAGCGGATAAGGCATCTGAGATGTCAGAACGAGCATCATCTTGCATCGTCCACTGGTCTTGACGCTGGTTGAATGGACGAGTAGAGGCATTGAAGGCATTCTGCAAGCTGCTGATGGTCTGTTCCGTGATTTCACGACCACCGAAGTCAACTTCAGACGGTGGCCCCATAGCTTGGTCAAGTGTATGTTTGATAACCCGGGTTTGGGCTAGCTCTTGCTCCTGCAAGGCAATACGAGAGTTCGCAGCTTCCAGTTCTTGTTGCAAGCGAAGCATCTCCTGAGTATCCATGCCCTTTCCAGAGTTGAAAGCATTCTGCCAGGCATTCATAGTAGGCTGGTCAGCCATTTGGGATGGGAGAACTCCTCCAAATGTAGTAGAAGATTCTCCTTGGGTTACAAGAGGGGAAATATTTTCTCCAGAGGGTTGTTTTGCCAAACGGGGAAGGGTATCAGAAACTTTGGTGGCCGCATTGCCGGCAGAGGAGCCAGCCGTAGGATCCTTTGGGGACAGCTTTGCAAGAATTTGATCCATAACGGATTGCTGGTTGAAGGAGGGAATCGAAGAACCGGCCTGTTCAAGCTTCGGCTTCTGGTGAAGTTAGATTAAATCTGATGCAATGTGGTTTGTTCAGTATCAGATATTGTGCCTACCTTCCCCAACGAAGCACCATCGTCGATCATCGAGGTGTTTTGGATATTTCCAAGCTTCGACGACACAAGGGGATTGGCCCCAGTATCTACTGTACCGAGATTCATCGTTCCCTATAAGTGAGTTAGAATGTCAGTTAGTTTTATTTATATCAATCATCCAAGCAGGAATATTTCAGGAGAACATACCGAGCCAAAACGCCCGTGGGAAGCAGTGTTAGTCGCCGTGGCGTCGAACTGAGCCTGGACCTGAACAGACGGCTTTCGAGACGCGTTAGGAGAGTCCATGACCTTGTAATACATGCTCAGCACAGTTTGAAGGGGTTTTCAGATGAACAAGTAAGAAAAAACAGTAGATAAAATCAGATCCTTGAGTGGCTGATCCAAGTCAAACAGCTCAGATGGGAGTGGGAGGTTAGAGCAATATGCAAAGAAGTAAGAAGCCACTCACTGGCCTCTAATATCACAAGAAGAACTCGTGAAAATGAGACAGCTTGACGCGTATCAGAGATCGAAAGCAACGCAACGCAGAATCGAGCTACCTTTGAAGCCGTAGAGCTAGAAGATGAGGGGGGAGAAACCAAGCAAATATGCAGGAAAGTAGATGGAAGAGGTGCGAGAAGAGAGGGCGAGATCCGAGAAAGAAAATACAGCAGAAGGGGAAGATTAGAAGAGAAAGTATGAGCAGAGATCAAGATACATGGAACAAAATAACAAGAAGGGCAAGGAAGGTAAGCTGGCGAGCAGCAGAAGGCGAGGTTGAGGCTTGAAGAGAGTGCGAGGGGAGAAAGAAGAAAAAAAATGAAGAAGTTGAGGTTGAGGTTGAGGTTGTGGGATGCAGGCCCAAAGGGGAAGGGCGGTGGCAGAAGTCTTGCGCTTAGCCGTTAGCCTGGCCCCTGAGTTCCGGCAGGTTCTCTGCATCCTGGGCAGATAGATGGAATAGCATGTCTCTTAGACAGTTACAGCTATGGCGGCCGCCATGTTGCTACGTTAGGGTATATATTTAAAGGTGTATCAGGGTATCATGGAGATGGCAGAGTGACAGGTAGCAATCTAGGTAGATTGGTAAGGAAGCACATATAAAAAATGACATGTATAGATGCCATCACTAAAGAGCTGTCTATTGCGCAGTGTTAGTGAACAAACTCTACATCTAGTACAAAGCTCAGACGTTGCCCTATGAAAAGGGATATATCTACTCAGGAAACATAGGAGGCGGCAGAAATCTTCCAAGTGGAGTCGAAAAATCCAGCAGCATAAAGAGAACCCTGGCCCTTCAGCGGAGTTCCCTTGTTGACAACGACAAAGTCAGGCTGGCCGACTCCCGTTAGGACAGGGACCAGACGAGCCGCCTGCTGGAGACCGGCCATGTCGTATCCCCAGATGACCAGCTCAAGGCGTTCGTTCTCTAGAGGACGTATGAAGATGGCACCAAGGCCCGCCTCGAATGGGTATGTTGTTGGACCTTGTGCGGACTGTACGACCAATCCGTTCCCGTTAAGGGAGATCGGGAATGTGGCAAGCGTAGACGGCCCGATATTATGGCCAAGCGAAAGAGTAATAACATTGCCCGTCGCAGTAGTGGACGCGGAGCCATCGGATGAAGTGAACAAGTCACAATCGGCCGATAGATATTGGAACAGATTTCGGCACGTTTGCAGTGCAAGGACATCAGTATCGCTAGAACTAGACGATACGGTGAATGGTCCAGGTGTGCGAAGAATAGCGTTCACACCTGTCTGTCTGCCGTACCGCTCGGAAGTAGTGCGCCATGAAGCTTCCTGAGAAGCCATCCACTTCCCGGAGTTATCCTGCGTGTACCACGTTGTTGCAGATTTGATTTCAGTCGTGACAGGGAACGGCTCTGAGCCATCAATCTGGATCTGCGATGGAGGAAGCGCTCTCACAGCGGATAATTCTAGATGGAAACGACGGATGTTGCGAGTCGTTATTTTCCAGACATGGGTACTCAGATCTCGTTGAACGTTGATGGATCCAGCTCGATCTGGGCTGTGCGATTGATCCACAGATATACCTCCTCTGGAACCCACGTACCCCGCAGGAGGGATGGTGATTGCGAAGTTGACGGGGAGGAGGTGGTCCGAATCAGGGCGTTTGGCGTATTTATAATAAAATTCCTTGAGGTAGTCAGAAGTCATTATGCCATCATACCAGTGATTTTTTCCAGGAACTTCGAGATATTCCGAGGGCCAGCCATTCTCTTTCATCAGTCGATGCATGAGACGTGAGTGATAAACGACTACATTGTCGTCCGAAGCGCCATGCTGCTGGTGTACAGGGATCCCAACAAAGTTGTCAAGAAGAAGCTCATGCTTGAAGTCCTGGCGTGCCCTGAAAAATTGGGCGGCCAGCAAGGCATCCGTATTATGCCACATGGAGTATGGAACATAATCTATTCAAGGGGAATGGTGAGCAGGGTATCAACAAATTGTAGGAAGAAGATAACGTACTCTCGATAGATGTATAACCTGCAACAGGAGCAGCTGCAATGACGTTGTCGGGGTAATGGGAGATAGTGTACCAAGTTCCCTGGCCTATTATCATTAGCTCCCAAAACCATCCTTCAACTTAAGTTCACTGATAAACTTACCGCCATTCGAGTGACCGGCAACTATCCAGTCCTCGATTACTATCTCAGGTCCAGTCCACGAAACGGCCTTGATCCAGTCATTTAGCGCATGGACTGAATTTTGCAGGTCGGCGAATCCCCAAGTGTCTAGAATCAAAGTCAGTTAACAGACAATAAACAGAATATCAGGAGGAAAACTTACGCCAATCATCTCCACTCCAAGGTGTGACACCACTAGGGAAGAGGGTCCAGGCGCATATATCTTTTACACCATCGAGCATAGTCCGAATTATCTCATCACTCGCTGCTTGTCCTGCTCCGTGGAGGCCGAGGAGCACTGGGAGCTTTGCTGTCTTATCTGTGCATTTCTGAGGTGATGGTGGACGCATAGTTGCGTAAGATACCACGCCTCCTGGCTGGATAAAGGTATTTTGTTGAACCTCGGACATCTGCCGGCTTGTAAATTTGATAGTCACTTTTGGCGTTTGACGAACTGTGGCGCTCCCCTTTACCGTATATTCGAAATGGAAGGAAAGCTCTGTTGGGAAAGTCGACGCCTCTGAGCCTCGTGTGATCGTGAATCCCACGGCACGAGATTGGTGTCCATCTAGCCTTACTCCCTTCAAGAGCTTCAATTCAAGTCCCGAAGTCTATAAATTGTTAGCATATACCATCCGGAAAACGAATGATTCAAACCACGTACCGGATCATCGGCCTTGATATCGGTCACTTGTACAAGGCTTCCCATGGCATTTTGAAGAGTAATAGATGCATAGGGGCTAATCAAACGATTCTCAACCACATCTGCTACCAAAATGCTCTTCGCATCCACAATCAATTGACTGGGTATTTTTTCCGCCACAAGGATGATATCGATAGATGGCTCGCCAACACCACCGAGGGCACGGACATCACGGACCACTCGAAGGTCAATCTGATGCGGTCCAGGTTTCAAGCTCAGGAGAAGCGGTGCTCTTCGAAAGGCAAAAAAGTCACCACCAAAATACAACTGGTCGTCAACCCGAATCTCCCAAGTTCGAACCGTGTGCAACGCAACTGCAACAGGCTCGGTTCCGTTTCCAGGTACGGTTAGCTTTCCACGTGCCCATGCTTGGTACTGCAGTGCATCCCACCCGTATACAGATTGAAGGGACGTCCGGTTCTCAGGTGGTAAGTTAATATGGAGCGTAGTCTCTGGTGGACTAGCGGTTGAATTGAGACTAGACGAGGCGGGTGACCATTTCACAGCCCCATCTGGCCCTAGGGAGCTGAGGAAGGAAGCATTGGGGTCATATTTCAGCTTTTGAAATCCGCCATATGTCTCAAGAGGGTCGGTACCCCATGACGACTCTAGGAGAGTGTGTCAGTGTCATCGATTATATAAAAAGGGATGTAATTATTTATAAATAAATATTGACCACTGACCTCTTGTGCCTATCTCGAATGGGCCAAGAACCTGCCATTCCTTGGAGAAGAAAGGAGTATCTTGCTCCATAGTCTCCAGGTTGGGGACATTGTCCGCAGGGTTAGCCGCATCAACGCCGTGACATGTCAACAGCGGGATGCAGGCCCAGGTAGCTATCTGGGAATATTTCATGTTTCCTTGCTGCACGAAACCTGCAGTATTTGCGAAGTTATTGAGGGTATCAACTCCGAATTGTGAGGGGAATGAGTCTGCGAGACCATAGAACCATTGTGAGAGTAGATTGCATGTCCAGACGACGGATGCTGGCATTATATGCATCTTCGTCCAGCAGCTATCTACGCTCTATGCACGCCAGCCTGATAATTGAGGCCCAGATGATGATTGAGACCCGGACTGGCTAAGAGTACCACGGCGTCAACGAATATTTAGGAAGTCGCCAAATTTTTGAGGAAATTGGAAACCGGCCCTTTGATGCTCATAGTGAACCTTAGTTGATGGCAATCTCCCCCTCATTTTGAAATCGACACGGGAAGGTCAGCTGGATGGCCCTCTCTAGCACTTCGCGGTCAGACCGGAATGTTAGCTTTTGTATAGCTTCGTTCAACGTGAAGAAGTCAGCTGTATAATCAGCCTCTGCCGCGGGGCCGTCCCCGGCAGCCACTGCGATATACCACCAGATTAATTTTGCGCTAGAACGCCCATCAATCTCTCGGACCGTAAGCATAAATGGCTCACTTAGGTTGTGGTGATACCGCGCCTGGTCTGAAATATGGTGGTGGTCTAACAACCCAGCTGCTGGTGGCGCTCGAGTTGACATCCCAACGGGGTATACGCAGCAGTCATATCCGGTTTCCTCTTTCACCTCTCTCAGGGCCGCTTCCTGGCGGGTTTCACCGACATTCCGCCGGCCCTTAGCCAGCAGCCATTCGTTCCCATGGCGGATCAAACAAACTCTCACTGGCTGCTGCAGGTTGAACAGGATGGCGCCGCAGCTCTCGACGAATTCCTCGGATGTGTACTGGCGGGTCGGAACCCCAGAGGCGGCCATCTAGCGAGACTTCCCACCTGAAGTTAATATAACTAGTGGGTTATATGTGAGGGGATATATCGATGGCAGCGGTGGGCAGTGGTTTGCCTCCCCCGAGGAGCCAGGAAGTAGACGAGGCCAGAGGCCAATGGAGGCTCAAAACTGGTTTTGGGTTGGAGGCGGCAAGTCACGTGGAACTCCTAAATGCTGACGTCCGCTTATTATGTAAGACTGACATGCCAACACATATCGTAGATAAGTACGGAGTATACGGAGTATAGATAGTCTATATAAAGGTGTCTAATACTGCATTATCAACAGTCGGTGAGTGCCCTTGGGCTTGAACTCGAGATGCTTCTTCTCTCACGGGCGACTACAACATAATGTCACGTGGATGACACGTGATATGTCTGCTGTCAAGGCCGAAGGACTTGAGACATGTCTCTATCTATTTTTACTCCATCTTACTCTATCTAAGATCATACATCTACCTACGTACGCATCCCTTGATACTCTGTCTCTGTACTAATCTATACGGAGTCGTTCTATAGATAGTTGACATGTATGGCTGCGATAAGCTCAAAACACGTGTCGCCGCGCCCAATCACGAGTGCGCCTTGTCCCTGTGAACGCCAAGCTATCCATCTTATTCCTGTCTTCCATAACTTTTCTGGCCTCATCAGCGTTACTGGTGACATGTCCAGCCACAGCTCGTCTCCAAGCCGATAATGAGCGTAACAACGCTTGTCGATACGCGGCAGCAGAAGTCTTCCGGCCCGCCACAGTCCTGGAAACCTCAAATGACCGTCGACAGCTCCGCGACGGAGAAATTCCCTGGCCTGGGAGATGACGACGCAGTGAACCAGGAACAGGAGGACAGCGTTTTTGTGCCATCCACGGTCAGGTACGCGGGGGAATCGCTATGGCAGCCACGCAAGAATAGGGCATACTCGCGTGGGCCAACGCCCGTTGACCGTTCACACCGTCCCCGCAAGAGCATCAGCGAGGCACTGGGGTCATTCCGGACTCGGGGAACGAGTGTTAGCTTGAACGCCCAGGAGCTGGCCGAGTCGCTGAAAGCTCCGATATCTTACAAACTCATCGTGAGTGCTCTCTTCATGAGTGGTACATAGAAGGGCGCGAAGTGCATTTGCTAATTGACTGTCCAGGGCCTTTGCATCATCTGGTACATGACATCAGCTCTCACGAACACTTCCTCGAAATCCATCCTTACAGCTCTCCCAAAGCCCATCACACTCACGATCGTTCAATTTGCATTTGTATCAACATGGTGTCTCGTTCTCGCATACCTCGCTTCGGTGTTCCCAGCTCTAAAAACGGCTGTGCCCGTACTCAAAAATAAAATCCGCTATCCGTCATATTCCATCGTCACCACCGCTCTACCGTTAGCCGGCTTCCAGCTACTAGGACACATCCTGAGCTCCATGTCGACTTCAAAAATCCCCGTTTCGCTAGTCCATACCATAAAGGGGCTGTCTCCACTCTTCACCGTGCTCGCTTATCGCATCTTCTTCCGCATCCGTTACGCTAGGGCCACCTATCTCTCCCTCGTCCCCCTCACGCTAGGTGTTATGCTTGCTTGCTCCGCAGGATTCTCGACGAACCTGTTTGGGATACTCTGTGCGCTTGCGGCTGCGCTCATCTTCGTGGCTCAGAACATATTCTCGAAGAAACTGTTTAATGAGGCGGCGCGTGCGGAGGCTGAAGGTCAATCACCGGGGGATACCAAGCTTGACAAGCTCAACCTTTTATGCTATTGTTCAGGGCTCGCCTTTCTATTAACGCTGCCGATATGGTTCCTATCCGAAGGCTATCCCCTCATCATCGACATCCTATCTTCCGGCGCTGTCAGCTTGTCGGAGAAAAAGGGTGCACTTGACCATGGCGCCTTGACGCTGGAATTTATCTTCAACGGAGTCTTCCACTTTGCCCAGAACATCATGGCATTCGTTTTACTGTCCATGGTATCGCCGGTCTCATACTCCGTCGCTTCACTCATCAAACGAGTCTTCGTCGTTGTGGTCGCCATCGTCTGGTTTGGTAATTCAACCACACCTCTGCAGGCGTTTGGTATTGCCCTCACCTTCCTCGGTCTCTATCTTTATGACAGGAACAAGCAGGATGATGCCGCGGACCGACGGGCCAACGCAGACCGCTTCCAGAAACACGACAATATCCTTCCTCTCAACAATGCCACCAACGGAGCCGGCAAAGCTTGGAATTCGAACGGATATACCTTCCCAACCCCAGCGGTCGGTGGTCTCGGAATCCATCCAATGGATGTCAATGGCAAGAAGGAAGACGACAAGGCCAATGGCGTTTCGAGAAGGAATAGCGTTGCCCGGCCATGGCTGCCGCCAGGGACTAAGCAAGAGTCTACATGGCAGCCAGGCGATGTCTCATCACCGCCGCAGAAGTAATATATGTTCACGCTACCAATTATGTATCTTTTTCAGGGTTCATGGAGTTTAGAGGGACTCGGGCCATCTTTTCCGTTTTTTTTCCCTTTCTTCTCTTCTTGTTAATGTTTTTTTAATTGTACGAAACGCGGCGTCTGCACATGGCGGCGGATCCAAGGCCTTCTTTCTCTTTTTTTTGGTAACTCGGAGGATTGGATAGACTCTATATACCTTATGGCCCTATTATTTGAGCAACAAAATAATATGTCGAATTTTCGAGATTAAAAAACGCATCAGAGTGACGCATATAATGTTTTGTAGCATCCGTCGGTAAGGAACTGCTCCATAACGAGGCCAAACAAGTCGACCCTAGGGCGCTCCAGCTACGGTGCAAGATCTGCTCTCGGATCACACTGTAGAGGAGGAAGGGCTGGCAACTCTCCGAAGAAAGCATGCCCTCCACCTACAATAAACCATGTCCGTTTAAAATGAGTTGAAGAAAGAAGGGAAAAAAGGAAGGGAAAGCGAGAGAGAGAAAAATGATATTTTTATGTTCGCTCGCGGTGGGCGGAGGACGAGTTCTTCCGGCCCGGCGCTCTCCGCCAATCCGGTGCAGAGGATTTGAATGAAGGCAGAGGAAGCAACAAATAAGTGCAAGGGAAGAGAAGGACGTCGTCTTCATCGCTCACGAGCAGGCTATCACCACCGCACGCAGCCTCACGGTTCTCGCTCTCCTCCCATCTCGGTGTCCTCCTTGCTTAGGTTGTTTCTCGTCAGCTATGCGGCCACAATTGTTCCGTGTCGCCGCACGATCGAGGAGATGGACGGCCCTCAATTGCTCCCGGCCATTCAGCACCACAGGCGCCAGGCAGGCGGAAGTTGAAGTCACAATTGGTCCGTTGCCAGCTCGTCCTGGTTCTCTGGGTATTTTACTAACGGGTTATGAATGTTTTAGATGGCAAGAAGGTGTCGATAGAAGGTATTGCGATATAACAGACCGCACACCCCACGACAACACACAGGCATACTGACAGGCTATTTAGCTGGTTCCGCCCTGATCCAAGCTTGCGAGAAGGCTGGAGCGACAGTTCCTAGGTATGTTTATATCCGCATTGGCTATTTTATATATATGATCTAGATTGCTAATGGTTATTGTAGATATTGTTATCATGAGTAAGTCAAACAGCTATATACACCGCAAAAACATCACTAAACATTTCGACAGAAAACTATTGGTTGCAGGAAATTGTACGATAACATCAATTCCTCGATATTTTGATGATTTTACTTACAAGTACCCGTTTTAGGCCGAATGTGTCTCGTTGAAGTCGAGAGAGCACCCAAACCCGTCGCCTCCTGCGCGTGGCCCGTCCAGCCCGGAATGGTAGTCAAGACGAACTCGCCTCTAGTACACAAAGCCAGAGAAGGTGTTATGGAATTCCTACTCGCCAACCATCCACTTGACTGCCCCATTTGTGATCAGGGAGGAGAATGTGATCTCCAGGACCAGTCGATGAGATATGGCGCCGACCGAGGAAGATTCCACGAGGTTGGAGGAAAACGTGCTGTTGAGGATAAAAATATTGGTCCATTGATCAAAACATCCATGAACAGATGCATTCACTGCACACGATGTGTTCGTTTCGCCAACGATGTTGCTGGTGCCCCCGAGTTAGGAACCACCGGACGCGGAAACGACATGCAGATTGGAACTTACCTCGAGAAGAACTTGGACTCTGAACTGTCCGCAAACGTCATCGACTTGTGCCCAGTCGGTGCGTTGACCTCAAAGCCATATGCATTCCGCGCCAGACCATGGGAACTTAAGCACACCGAAACCATTGACGTTCTCGACGCTCTCGGCTCCAACATCACGGTTGACACCCGAGGAATGGAAGTTATGCGTGTTCAGCCCAGACTAAATGACGATGTTAACGAGGAATGGATCAACGACAAGACCAGATTCGCATGCGATGGTCTCAAGACCCAGAGACTCACCACCCCTCTTATCCGTCGGGATAACAAGTTCGTTCCCGCAACATGGGAACAAGCCCTGACTGAAATTGGAAACGCCCACAAATCTTTGGCCCCCAAGGGCAACGAGTTCAAGGCTATTGCCGGCCACTTGATTGAGACCGAATCTCTCGTTGCCATGAAGGACCTCGCTAACAAACTTGGATCTGAAAATCTTGCTCTTGATCAAGCAGGTGGCAGCCAGCCTATCGCACACGGAGTTGATGTTAGGTCTAACTACCTTTTCAACTCCAAGGTTTATGGAATTGAAGAAGCCGACACCATGCTCTTGGTCGGAACCAACCCCCGTCACGAAGCTGCCGTTCTCAACGCTCGCATCCGCAAACAGTACCTCCGCTCTAACCTTGAAGTCGGCCTTGTTGGTGAATCCTTTGAAAGTACCTTCGAATTTGAACACCTTGGAACCGATGCCGCAGCCTTGAAGACTACCCTTGCTGGAGCCTTCGGAAAGAAACTTGCTGCCGCAAAGAACCCTATGATCATTGTCGGAAGCGCTGTGGCAGAACACCCCGATGCCAAAGCCATATTTGAGACAATTGGATCTTTCGTCGACAAGAACGCCGCTAAATTCACCACTCCACAATGGCAAGGTTACAACGTCCTACAGCGCGTAGCATCTCGAGGCGGTGCCTACGAAGTTGGTTTCACCACTCCATCCACTGAGGTCGCCAACACCACCCCCAAGATGGTCTGGCTGCTCGGAGCCGACGAGATTAGCGAAGCCGATATCCCCAAGGGCGCCTTCGTCGTCTACCAAGGCCACCACGGTGATCGTGGAGCTCAGCTCGCTGACGTCGTCCTCCCCGGTGCCGCATATACTGAAAAGACCGGAACCTACGTCAACACCGAAGGCCGCGTTCAAATGACCCGTGCTGCCACCTCACTTTCCGGAGCATCCAGAGAGGATTGGAAGATCATCCGAGCAGTCAGCGAGTTCCTAGGTGCCCCATTGCCTTATGATGACGTTGAGATGTTGAGAGATCGCATGGAGGAGATCAGCCCTGCCCTCCGAAGATATGATATCGTCGAGCCCTCATCCCTCGCCTCATTGAGCAAGGTACAATTGGTAGACCAGAACCGAGGTAGCAAGGCTACCGGCGCGCCATTGAAGAAGCCAATTGAGAACTTCTACCTCACAGACGTTATTTCCAGAAGGTATGTTTTCACCCTATCCCCCATTTCTCATTAATTTCACAAATATACTAACTCCAACCCCCTTAGCTCACCGACAATGGCAAGATGCTCCGCTGCCAAAGAAACTGGAAACCCGGAGACCAACTTCATGGCTCCCGGCGAAAGCTCCGCTACAGCTCAAGCCATCCAAGGATAATTTTAGGCTAACCATAGATCTATCTCTACCTAACCTTCCTTCATATATCACCCCGCCCCATCCATGCATTGCCATGCCCTGCCAAAACAACTGATTCCTTGTACTTCCTTGCGGTTCTAGGCGTTTCATTCTCCTTTGTTCTCATTTTTATGTCTATATACATATTCTACTTTTTTTTACTGCAATTGTTCCATTTCCCCCCCGTGTTTGTTACCTGTAGCATCATCTACATAAATGTCCTACCTTGCCATCTTTTTGTACTTGTCAATGTGGATAGAAAGTGGCTCTTTGCTTTGCGTGGCAGGGAAGGGGAGGATAGGGAGCGAGCTGTGTGGGTTTTGTTTTTATACAAGTTGGGCCTGATTAATCTAGAGTTAACCCTGTACAAGAGGAAAAGTATGATGAGGGAACTATTCATTTCGTTAAACATTAATCTCTATCGTAGATGTATCTCTTAATAGACTGGGCAGCCAAAAGGGAGATGGATTCAACTCGGATCGTCATAGTTCATCATCAGAGTCAGTTTCATCTCCATCCGCGTTCGCTTGGCTCGTTTCTATGACCGGTTTAGGCGCTGCTGCCCGTTTCTTGCCAAACGGCAATTCCCGTGGTGGAGGCGGCTCTGTAGCCTGGGGTTTTGCAGATGATGCACGCGTATTCCGAGTTACTTTTGCAGCTGGAGCACGCGCCGGCGCTGTTCTAGCTTTAGTCTCTGTCTTTCCTCCCCTCTTCGGTGCGGGAGCAGGAGGTGCTTCGTCGTCTAGTTCTGAAGCCGTCTCCTCCTCCAGGGGCTCTGGTGTGTCCTGTCTTTCGTCAGTGGTATTGTCTTCGTCTTCTTCCGCTGCATTGCCTGTTTTATCAATATCCATAACGTCAAAACCATCATCACTCTCGGATTCTTCAGGTGCTGGTTCATCCGCCTTTCTCTTACCCCGCCTACTCGCGGCGGGTTTTCGGGAAGCTGTCTCAAGAACAGCTTCTTTTTCTAGTTCGGCAGCTAGAACTTGTCAGCATCGATGTCCCAAGAGAGCAGAATATTATGTATCACAAAACCAACCTGTCTCCGGATTTTCCTTGGCCTTCGTTAATAGGCGTTGTTGGCTTCTAATTTTGGCCTTCTTCTCATTCAATAGCCCAACGAACTTTGCGATCAACTGTTCGTCATGCTGGTTCTTAGCTTCAATAAATTCCGCTAATTGGGCGTTTAATTTCTTTATCGTGTCCTCCGCTTCACGATATTTCGTTTGCAGGCTAGAAACTTGTTCTCCCAGCGTCTTCGCCTTGGACACGGCGGTTCCGGCCCATTCAAATAGTTCAATCGCCTGTTCATCGTCTTGTTTTAGGATAACAGTGCCCAGTTTTTGCTAATGCGGGGAAATTATCAGTATCAGAGTCGTTGGGTAAAGCGGGGGGCATCAGGCCATACCGTAATCGAGTCTATACGTTTTCTCAATGTGATATGCAGCTCCTTATCGGCCTCGTCATCGTCGCCATTAGATTGTACCGACGCCAGGATTTCCAGTCCGGAAACCCATTCTGAATCTGCATTGGACTCCTGGCTCTGATTGAAGGCGTAGGAAAGGATTCCAGCCCATTCCTCATCGTCGCCACGGTAGTTTTTGGCTTGTAGCTTTTTTATTCCCGCTGTCTTCACTAGGTATCAAATACTTTGTTAGTCCAGAGTCACTGACGGTACCAGTATGTGAAACGATGAATCAAGTCTTACCAGATCCCGCATACGGGTTCTCTCCCTCTGTTCCAACAAGCTGCAAGTCCAAGTGGGAAGACCCCGATTTAGATACCTTGATCAGAGCATAATCGCCGGAAGCGTCACTCCGCGGGATTCGAAGGATACTCTCGTTGGTCATTGCCAGAGTGACTGTCCAAACAACAGTCCATACAATAGAAAGAGTAATATGGGTTATCCAACAGAGTGTAGGAGTGCATGGTGTTTTATAGAGCAAGCTGCTGCCTAGAGCCGATAAACAAGCTGTGTCACATGACCACTATCAAATGCCGGTCATCAACATCAACATCAACATCGACATCAACAACAAAAGTCAGAGACAAAGAAAACAAAAGAGAGACAGAGAGAGAGAGAGACCAGGCTAGGCTGCTAGATTGGGTGTTATTAGGTACGCGGTATATACGGTGAGCGTTCTATGGCTGCTACCGTCCAATTGCCTGCGAACAACGCTGACTCCCGCTGGTCAGCATCATTCCTTGCCCAACGACGCCCAAGAAATTCGACCACTAGGCGCCGCCGCTCAAAGATTTTCCACCACGACTCAGCCTATCCGGCGGAGGATACATCGCAGGGCGGCCGCCCGCCAGCGAGGGATTAGCCGCTACTGCAGCAACTGCGCCGTCTATGCAGTCCCCTGGAGCCAAGTATATAGGTATATATAACAGGCGGCTGAGTCAGCTGGCGCGACGCGCCCGTAGCCGCATCGCTTAGCTGTCCAGAACCAGCTTAGGCGCCCTTCCCTGGCCCCAACCTCCCCCGACACGCCCAAGGGTCTGTATCAGGGCCTGCCTGCAATCTCGTCTGAGACAGCGTGCTTCATCCTGATATTTCGCCCTTCGCACCTCGAACCCCTTTACTCATCACCGCCGTTCTCGCCACTACGAACCTGGGGGTCTATCGATCGCGAGTGGGCCCCATTCTGGTGCTCGTCCCTGTTTTTTGCCGCACCATCTACCAGCACGTTAACCCCGAACCACCCTTCCTACACGCCGTACAACCGTCCTTTTATATAGCATATTAACGCGCACTGGAGGCCTCAATTGAAGCGAAGATACAGCCCGGCAGGTACTCTTCGCGAGTTCTTCATGAAGCCTCCGACGTTTGGCCCGAAACTTCGGTGGTCATGGAGTCCAACATGGACACTCTAATCATGCACAAACCGAGCGAAGACGAGATCGAGTGTTGGGATGACGATGAAGACCTGCAGTGCGGTGATGGCATACAGCTACGCACCGTCTCTGCTACCACGTCGGTCACCGGATCCTCCTCCGTTCGACCCTCGGGCCACCGCGACTCGATCTCGTCTCGACGTTCTTGGAGGTCGGATCGTGACTCCAACGTCGGCGACGATGAAAGCTGGCAACTCCTGCTTAACCCAAGCGACGACTCACCAAGCCAGGACGCGATTGCCTCGGCAAAAAACGCGGGAATTCCAATTCCATCCGGTGTTCCAAATTCTGCACTACTTGGGGGTTCAATAAAGAGGCTGGGTGGCCGGAAACAGAGGGCTATCGTGGGTGACGACTGGTTAGAAGACCTAGACCTTTCGGCTTTTGACGCAGGGCCCAAGGTCAAGCTGGATCACGAAACTACGGCCCCGGATTCATTGCTTCATTTTAGCACCTTGCCTGCCCCCAATTTTGGTAGACAGGCAGACAATCATTCCTTTGTCCTCCATGACCTAGTCAAATTCCGCGATACGGAGGAGGATATGTTATTTGGCGATGTGTCTTCAATAAAGATCACAAAGACCCGTTCCAGTCAGGAAGTAAACCTGCCATCAGGGCTGGAATCCTGCACAAAAGATGAAGACTTTGAGTCGGAACTGGTCTTGCCAGACGACGATACACCGCTTCGCCTCTCTAAACGTCGTGACATTCCAATTACATCCGATTTCCTCGCAGATGACTTTGACACCGAGTGGGCAGAAGGCAGCATCGGCGTACGTTTTGGAGGTACTCGAAGGGATGGTCGGTCCAACCGCAGCTCGTCCGTAGGAGCTCTCAGTCCAAGCATGTCGAGCTGCCTGACCATCGAAAGCGAAGATGATGGCATCGACGGGCTAATCCTTCCCGACGGCCCTCTAGACCTGGAGAAGTCGCTCCAAAACAGACATAGGCCGCATTCACCGCAGCCCAGCGTTCCTGAAATCCCTACTGAACAGCAAAATACCCCTGGTGACAAAGGTGCTACCCACAGCGAACAGACGAACGATGACTTTTTCTCAGGCATCGAGATAGGAGATGGCGAAGCATTCGACTCTGGAAAACTGACCCTTAACCGAAACGTGAAACGAAGGATTGAACCACCATCAACTCCTCCCAGACGTGGAGCAACGAGCATCACATTTACCAACAAAGCTCCAGCGGCGGGCACGCGGATACCACGACTCTCTGCCCATGAGCGGCCGCACTCTACATATCTTGAACCCGTTTCCGAGAGCGGAGCGCCTGTCCCTCAACCTCCAAGGCGCCCTCACTCTCGTCTTAGTGGACACGGCGCTCATTCCTCCCTAACAAACATTCCACTTCCAAGCTCCCTGGCTGCTAGCCTCTCACCACCCAGTCGAAGGGTTCTGGGAACCAGGCCTTCCAAAGAAGTACTCCGAGGCGATCTGATGAACACCAACACGCAGATACTCAAGTCTAAACGTGCAACGCCAGTTATCCGACCTTCATCAGGAGGCTCAACCGGTACCCAGACCCAAAGTTCCCCGTCAAGGCAGGATGGCAATAGCAAACCTGTAGCCACATCTCGTCCCAAAACACCAGTTGACCGCCATGGAACCGAGAACCGTCTTCACTCACAGCGCCGTCCCCAGGTCCCTTTCCTTCCAGCTGGCGTTTCTCCAAGCAAATCTCATCATGTCAGCGTCAAATCTAGTCGACACTTTCGTCGAACTGACTCCGAAAGCTCCGGAGATATGCTCATGAACCCAAGATCAGCATCTAGACCTTCAAAACGGACGCGCTACGATAGTTCCGGTCGGCCTATCAACTATTCAGGTGATACTGTTATGGCCACAGTAAAGCAAACCATCACGAAACCCACTCGCCGCAAGAACTTTGGTGATGGCACCGAACTTGATATATTCAATGACCTGCCAACCTCAGCGTCCCTGGAGAGCAGATTCATGAAAGCTCCCATCAAACGTGGTGCTCCTCGTTCTCTTCGTAGCAAATTAAGTCAATCGCACATTACTGCTCCCAGAACGGATACCCCTACCCCAGCAACGGGACCAACGAGCCCGCCAGCGCAAGATTCCACGCCTAGGTTTGCACGCGACACAAATGCGTCAAGGAACGCACGAGAGCAGCGCATAACGTCAATGGGCAGCAATCTCCAAGGGGGTCCACTGGCTTCGCTGAGTCTAAACTGGAAAACACAGCCTATCGGTCGCGCTCTGCCTAGTCCGTCGCTCCCACGCAGTCGTCATGGGCATAAACATTCCCTTAGTAGGCCCCATCTCATCAAGCCGATGGGTAATGGGGTCCATGATGCCAAAAGTTAGCATATCCCCTTGACTTTCCGTCGTGAGTTGTGTTTTACTAATCATGATATATTATAGATGTCAAGGGCATGCAGTATAATCCCGCGCTTTACAAGTGGGAGGGCAATGAAAACGCTACAGCTGGCTTCGAGATGCCGTCAACGCCGGCTCCCCTGAAGCCATCTCCTGCCCTCATCTCCAATGTAGGAGGTATTTCAGGCTCTCAGGTTGTAGGTGGAATGGTGTTTGATCCCCAACGAATGTGCTGGCTTAAAGCAGCCAACTCGCGCCCAGGAAGCAAGTCTGGCCCTCCCCTTTCCGTCGACGAGGAGGAGGATGTCTTCGCAGGCCTTGACGACCTCGAAGACCACCCACGAAAGTCGACCGTAGCAGCTTCCAGCAACCCGTCCTCTCCCAGCTGTGCTGAAGCTGATGCCATGAATCTGGATGATAAAAGCGGAGGTGAATCATCAGATGAATGGGCCATTACAGAAGAATTTGATGTTGGACCCGAGTTTATCAGACGCCAGCGTGCCGAGGAAGAGAAATGGAGAAGAAAAGTCGGCAAATGGATAAGTGAAGATCGAGCGAAACTGGGTGACGAATGGCGCTGGGCTATTCGAAACCTTGTCGGCCAAGGGCGCGCTGTCTGATATGCCGTGCCCAAGTCGGTAAACCCCCGTTTATACATATACCCTTTTTTGGAGGTCGTGACTGCTTCAATGCTTCAAAGTACCAAAAATACCCCATCATAGAATTGCGAAGCGGCGTTTTACGTTATGTTGTTGCTGTTGTGTGTGTTGGTTTTCGTTTTTTCCTCTCTTACCCCTTACCTTTCGAGATATCCATATGCATATGGTTGCAAGTTGTCCGGCGCATGGCTGCGATACAGACCAGCCAATATCGGGGCGGGGATGGATGCGGCTTTTCTCTTTCCTCCTTTTTATTTTTATTTTATGACGATTTATCACGAACATCTCAATTGGGTGGGGGTCATGGTCTGGTGGAGGGAACTTATAGTCCCCTTCAGCTCGCCTTATATTTAACCCCCGGTAATGACTTGACGATTTATATTAATTACTAGGAGTTTAATTAATGATAGCATTTTCCGTTTTCTTCTTTTACGAGCTTCGATAGAGTCTGCGTCCATTCCTTCACAGCACTCGGGCGAGTTACTCGGTCGAGTTCAATGTCACCTTGAAGGTGCTACTCTGACTGACCTTGACAGGATGATAGGATAACATAACTTGGTCCGCCCGTTGCTCTCGTGTACCAGTCGATAGATACTTATACCGGCTACGATGTAACGGGGAGACGAATCTTGGTAATGTTCATCGTATATGTGAGCGAGCATCTCCTTGAAACGTCCCAACAATTTCATCGTACAGCTATATATAACTTCCCAGCCTATATACCGCCCTCTATCTACATGTAAGCTTACGTTGACTACCAGCACATGCTGCTCGCCTTGTATGCACAGTTCGGCCTTTTCAGAGGCGAGAACATGAAAATAGCATTAGGATATAAGAAGAGACGCGTATAGCAGTCTATACACGGATGAAGAAGTCCGGTTATTCTTACTTATTCCTGCGTGTATCCCTATAGTTTATCTTCCTAGCCACTCTTTGAAGCCTATTTACTAATGTTCTTCCTCGCCCTACATAATATCCAGTTATCATCCTGAACACGCCCTTACTCCGTATTCCTTACATATAAGTCTGCATCCTCCCTACAACAATTCCAAGATGGCAGACAGACAATATATATCAAACGTGAATCGATGAGTGTCCACTGGTCGGATGAACTCGAGACTGACGTCATGGCTACAGGCTTCAGGATGGACGCTTGCATATCAGAGGCGCTGCTGAGTTATGCTTCAGCTGCAGCGACGGCAAGGTTAAAGAATGATGACGATCCCGAGTCTGAAATCCTAGAGGGCGTTTCCTCTCATCCTGGACCTTTGTCCCGTTTCTGTCTCCGTGGGGGATCGATGAACAGGATTATATCCACCCTTCAAGCGAACATGGTTCACTATCAAGCAGCCCCAGCAGCCTTGATCTATAACCTGCACGCTGATATATGCACCTCAGCTCCGCGATATGATCGTCCCAAGTCAACCAACACTGTCTTTCCTTTAGAAAGGAGCTCGATTGTCCATTTGCTCAGTGCTTCACGGGGATATGTTGACCCCCCTAGCTGGAGATCTGCACCTATGACTTGGTCTTGCATTCTGTCCACACAACCATGTACTATGTACGTACACCGAGAGAAAGGAGGCAAACGAAATAATTTCCACGACTCCAGACTCCAGGTCTGCTCTCACTACCTTGGCCTGCCATCTGCCGTCCTTCTCATCGCTTTCGAAGACCTCCTAGGGGCGATGATACTTTTTACGGAGCCACTCTAGAACATCGTCGGGGAAAAGGGCGTTTCCACCAGCCGGCGAGCTATTGATCGTATACATCCTGAGCCAACTCGTATTTGGCGAAGCAACACCTTACATGCGCAGGAACCACAGATGTGGGCGAGCGGCACTACTGCAGGTAGGGGCCATTTCCGTCGTCCCCGTCCCTTGTTTGTGCCCCCATCTTTGCTCTAATCCGTTTGTCGATGTGGCTGGCGGGATGGCAACCCGTTCGTCAGCGGGCGGAAATATATTTAACGACTAGTTTGCCCATCCTCGTTGGTTCTGCTACTTATATGTACCGGGACATTGATCTGAACAAATAGCTCGTACGCTGACTGACTATTGAATAGGGTAGGGCAAAGCAGGGCAAGGAAAGGCAGTTAGTTCGCGCCTGGCCATCCATCTCCACCCTTGCTCTCCTCCACTCCGGTCAACATATGGCTCCCCAGCCAGTTAAATAAGCAGGGAAACTCTGTTTATTTTTCATTGGGCATTATTCGTGGGAATTTAACCATCTCCTCGATTTCTATCCTGTCTGAGCGGCTGCAGCAACACACGAGGTTTATCTCAATGACATGCATCCTCTGCCATTCCCTTGAAATCCCGCAAAAGTTGATCTGTCGACACAACCCGGCAGATAGACGGTGCCCGGCACCTAATCAGGCTCATAATATGCAGCGCTAGGCGCACGGATGCCCCAGTTGCTCTCCCCGGCGAATGCAAACGGGAGCTGTGACGAGAGCGACGGCGATTTTGTTGGTCAGCTATGCTGTGTACCTCTGTGTCCTCTCTCGCCCTTTTTGCTTGCTTATTGCTCGATGTGACAACAACGAACATAAAGCTGCAGGTGAAGCGGTTGAGGGGGGATGTAGGTGAAAAAAAAAAAAAAAGGGAGACTCGCGAAGGGGAAAGGGGAAAAAAAGGGATTGACAACGATGCACAAACGCGCGATGCCTTTCAGTTCCAGCTCTCCCGAAAGTCCCGCCCGTCCAACGAGGATAATGAAAAGCTAAACAGTGAGCTTTGACACCCGAAACCTCTGCAATCAAGGGAAGCCATGTCAGCGCCAGCCATCGGCTATAGTACCCTAGGAGATAAGGCAAATACGGGAAAGGAATCCTGAGGGGGAATGCAAACAGGAGGAGGCAGAGATTACTTGTATGAGAAGAGCCGACGAGTGGGGGTTAGCCCAGCTGGGTGCATTTAAATTCCGGAATACCCTGCCTCGCCCTAAGTATGTATACGTACTTACTCATCCCGTTTGATTGTGCAAACCCAGGGATTCGTTCGCCCTTTATTCTATGAACTCAACCAGCATTATACCCCGTACTATCCCGCGCGTCGATGATTTGGGGTATGCTGGATGATGCCAGGTGTTACCTTTGTTCTAGACGTCGGCTACAAATTGTTACGGAGAATGTACAGATATGGAATACCCCGGCCAGGTCGCTAAGAAGCCCAGGTCGGCCTCTTCCGGGTCGTGGCCATCGTATTTTCTATTGATCGATCGACAACACCTTCGCCATCTACCCATGCGTTTTGCCATCCACTGTATACTCCATCCTCATACGCTTGGCTCTCATCTACCTCTACCTTGGCAGGCTATCACGGTTGGAAAGAAACCAGTTCGTGGTTCACGACTGACTGACCCCTTCTAAAATAAGTAACAAGGGCGAGAGAAAAGTGGAATGGGAAGGGAAAAGAAAAGAGTGTCTGCTTTTGGGGCGGAGTACAAAGTGTATACAAGTGTACAAGATGCTGTGGGGGGAACAGGGAGGTGGCCGTCGTACAATGCATCGCCTACGAATCACTAAGCCGTATAGAAACGCAATAAAAGTAAAAGCAAAGCATTGCCTGAGTCTACCGTCAACAGCTTCGGCGGTTTTTGCGGCGGATCGGAACGGGGCGAAAGGGCCAAATATGATGCGTATGCAACAATGCGTTGTGCATGTCTCTTTGCGGGCATTCCTGATGCATACATACATGCTGCATATACCCGTTGTATATTATAACTTTAATATCCGGTTAGTAAAGTGTTCCGTATGTAGCTTTCTTGCTGGGTTCTACGGAGTACACTCTCCCACATAGAGTATCAGGTTAGGGTCTCTACGGCCGCTAAGTGTGGGCTCCCCATGTCAAAACACCAACCGCTATTGAAAGGGCTAGGGGGATCGAAGACCGTCTGTTAATATATATCTAACATCATTGTCTGGGTTTGAGGAGATATAGAACGCGTCGTCTGGCCCGTCCTCTGCGCAGGCAGGCACAGGCACCGTAATATAGATGCAATGCACGAGGCACATCTAGAGGCAGAGGGCCATATACACTCGCAGGGATGAGGCGAGTCAGCACAAATCTCGGGATAGACGGAGTGCATAAGGAGACCCCCCGTAGCGCGCTATGTTTGGGTAGATGGGTAGATGGGTAGATGGGTAGATGGGCGAGATGCTGTATGTACTCCGTACGGAACATGTACTTAGCCGCTGTACATGAATACGTTAGGCTGGTCTGACAGGTCCCTTCGTCGTGCACAATCCAGGGGCAAAGGTGCCAGTCCCCTAGAGTCATAGGTTAGCTGAGCCCGGGGACTCCCTGCTGGAGCAGTCGGGTAATGACTTAGCACCGATCTAAATAGATCATGCACTCCATATTATATGGAGCACACAACTATCAAATATAGAAGCCTTCTGGTATATTTGGGCGTCAACTGCTTGCCAGTCGATTTGAATCCCACACCTGTGGATCATCTTCCCGTACCGAACCAACTTTTCTTTTTGGCACCCGTGTTTCCTTTTTCTCCCTCTCCTCAACCGGGACAAGGACAGCTTATTAATAAATGACTAGATTGAGAAGCCGTCGTAGCGTGGGAAGCGGGTGGTTTCAAACTTGAGGGTTGAGGGAAGAGAAGGTTGCTGCCGAAGAAACTGGCGGTTTAAAAGTGACTTCGGAGCTTCGATCTCAACCTCTCAACTTCAACCTCAAAACTAACGACAACCGTCTCTACCTTCCAACACTCCCTCCATCCCTGCACTCCAGTTTCACCAAAATTAAGACAAGTCGCCTTATTCGTGAACTGTGCGCCACGAACTCATGGCGCCCTCCAGCCTGGCTCTGGGTTTCGTCAAGAACATGCGAAACAACTTGGCGAGAGGGGACTAGCTAATCACCAGCGTGCTGCAACCGCTACATCGTTCTACTGACTTATAAAATCTCAGTAGAGAAGAAGAAGAAAAGAAAAAGGAAACCCTTCCAGCAGCGGGAGTCAACAGGCCACTACGAGTGCATACATAGGTTGACCGACAGTCCCTCCTTTCGACGCCACGGAACTCTATCAAATGCCTTCATTGGACCACAATGGCCTGCTTAAAACTCAGACGACCACGACCGAAGCATTAGGGCCTAAAATTATCAAGCACATTTATCTCCCGCAATTAAAGGGGGGGCGGAAGCCAAGAGGAACTTGAACACGGCTTCTCGGAAGCCAGATCTTCTTTTCTAGCCTCCTTATCCCAACAGCCCGTTTCTATAATAGGGCTTCCCCCATTCGCCGCCCACAATGCCATTGTCTTGTTTATACCGGTCTGGTGAGCTTATCGGCCAGCGAAGATGAAACTACCTCCGTGCTAATTATCAGATAGGTCAGCTCTATGGAGTACTCCGTACTGCATATACTTCTTCAAGTTGATGGGAAACACCGTCGAAATTTTCATGAGGCAGAGGAGAAAAAGCAAGTACCCTTACAGGGGAAAAAGGAAAAAGGTCGACAACCAAAGCGGGCCTAATTAGTGACGAGTTAGTGCGGCCCCGGCTCCTAGGGCCCGAGTTTTGGCATGTCTAGACCCTCCCGACAGGCTAGCAGCCTTACTTTTTGGTGTGGCCTATCCCAAACGAAGCACGGTACTATGTACTTACAGAGAGGGCTGCGTAACTACGGAGTACTGGAACAACGGGATCAGCTTTTCTTGAAAAAGGGTTATTCTGCTACTCCGTATGCCCTTGATCCATGTGGTCTTGGGTCGATCAACAAACCCTGACGAATCCTATCCCCCCCCCTTCAAAAATCTTATAATTTTTTTTACTCGAAAGGTGGGGAGAAGGGAAAAGAACGAAAAAATTAGCATGTTTTCTTTTGCTTTCCAACATCCCTCCAGCCACCACCACATCTACAATCCCTCCCTTTGCAGGCTAAAAAAATCAATATGGACGGCGTCAAGCCGTATTACTGGTCAGAACCCATGCACCTTTCTGCATAAGCCAGTCATTCCTTCTTGGATCCCCTTAAAAGATGCTGACTACAATGCAAATCGGTCGTACCTTGCAAGGTGCCAGAGGTACCTGGTCGACGACTGAAAGGTAAAATCAATTCAAGAGAGACAGCCAGAGCTGCAACGTTTCTCCAAATCATATTAATACTTTCTCTGGTCTGATCGTTGCCCGCTCTCTCCGTGCTTGTGTTGAGGTGCCAGGAAAGCCCCTTCCGAACATTCCATGCACCGGACTCGCCTCTTTGCTGCGTTGTATTTATCTCCTGGCTTCTTGTCACCCAATTCAAGCCATTGCAACCCGGTTGTTCGATGGCTTGTTAACTCTTTTTTGAACATCACTCAGGAAACCTTTTCTTGTCTGGTTTTACTATTAATTGAACCCTGCACCCGCGTTTCCGCTCGTTGATCATCTTCAGTCCATCGAGGTTATCCCCGGTTCACATGACGCTAACCCTCAGATCTATTCTTCTTATTAAATATTCCCGTCCGTGCTGGCGCTTCTCTTAGTCGCGGGTATCCGTGATCTAGTTCCACTTCTTATTAATCGGCATCCGCATAAGATCGAGCGTCAAATTGTTGAGTGTTAGTGATATTTTTTTGGAATAATCTCGCCTGTCAGTCGTCTTCCTCTTCTTTCATTCCCCGGCCCCGTGGCGCTTAAGAAGAGCTCTTCTGCCACTATCCTTCGCCGGCCCACAGATATAGAAAGGATAGAACGATAGGGAGGAAGCAAAGGCAAAACAAATTGCGATTCACTTCCCACTATCAATGGCATGCGATACACTTTCTCGTCCTTGTGTCAATACTGCTTCCCACAACCCTCACTTCTCCCCTGCCCCCTTCAATGCAGATACGATCTCGTCCCGAGCTCATGACATTGTCGACTCCTCTTCTACCGTTGCGTTGAGGTTACTTGCTCCTGACAGCGCTCTCTTGGACGATCACAGGAAGCATCAATATCAAAACCAGAGCCAACGATCCGCAATTGGCCCATCAGGCGGCGCAGCAGTCATGTCACACCACTACCAGCACCATGAGGAGGACCAGGAGTATACCTACGGCAGAAACAACCAGTACAGCTTTTCGCAGCCACCCTTCAACCAGTCTTATTCGAGCCACCAAGTTCTGGCTCCATATAATCATCATTCCGCCGAGGCAACCTCTATTCCTCCATCATATCCATCACACCAGGCTATGTACACGCAGCCTCCTCAGCACCCCTCACTTCTGACTCCTCCTTCGTCGTCGTCTACGGGATATCAGTGCCACCCACAGTATATATCACAGCCTAGATTTCCTGCACCACACAGGCTTTTTCCTCTACACGAACCGTTTTGGGAGATAGAAATCGAAGCTCAGGAATCCTGCAATGAGCAAACGGTCATGTCAGAACCTGTCATCCCCGCTTTGGAAGGATTTCCGGATGTTCGAGAGTTTGATCAACTCATGAAGAGGTAATTTCTTCCTCATTTATGCTACGAGGCTAGATCGTCCGGTTTTACAGAAGCTAATGGTTTAATATAGCTACGTTGATGACCTTTCTGTCAAAAAGCAAGACAAAGCGTTGATACACTCCAGGAGAGCGCGAAATATCAAAATAGTTCTCACCGACCCAAAGGATACGGCTATTGAATCTGCCCAGTTTAGGTACGTTCCCCAACGACCAACGGTCTAGGAAAAGCATGAGAAATTATGCATTGAATATCATGAACCCCCAAAAGCCATAAGAGACATATTTTTTACTCCAGGGTCTAATGCTGCTCTAGGTTTTGGGTGAAGAAAATGTTCAGGCTAGAGCCTAATGACAGCAGGACGCCCGTGGTTGGTCATCCATTTCGTTCAGATCGGCCCCTTCGGTTGAGATTTAAATATAAAACTTTGTTGCTAATTGATTTAATTCTCAACTGCAGTCCCGAAAAATGATATGTCATGAAGGAAAGCCGGTAGCAATACGTGAAAAGCTTTTCAAAATCTTGACTCGCGCGCATCAGCAATGCCAACACGGTGGCCGTGACAAGACTTCAGCACAAGTTAGAAGAATATATTCTTGGTAAGCCACCTCGACTGCCAAAAAGGAAACGGGTGGAATAATGATAAACACCGCAAAGCCACAATGTTGTTAACACTCTACTTTGATATAGGGTGCCAAAAGAACTGATATCACGCTTTGTCAAAATATGTCCAACATGCCAGGTTCGAAGAGGAGGATCTCGATTAACGCCCCCAACTTCATGTCGAAGCTCTCCCAAGCCTGACCATGTACTGGGTCCTTCTCCATACCTTCTCTCACCGCCAGACTCCCGCCGAGAGTCTATCATAAGCCGGCCAGGGATTCCTTATCCTGCGCGACCAGAGGCTCCACATGCAACTCAATCCAATATTCCTTCAGCACTAACTTGGCCACCAACCCCACATCATACAAGCTTGTCGAGCCAATACCACAATTCACATATGAACCCCCTACCGTCGACTACAAACAGCTGGGCATCGCTCCCAAGGACGTTGACATCAGGCAATGAATCAAATGGCACGGGAGGTGGCAGCCATGGCTTAGCAACGACATTGTCTATGCAGTCTAATCAGCTAGAGTACCACCCGAGCTACGATGAAAGCCACCACATTTCGGAATCCCATCATTACTAGGAGATCATGACATGGCTAGTAATGGCTTTTAGACACCGGATGGTCCGATGTCGAATGCTTATCGGATGTGTGTATTGTTACGATAGGGAAAGTCGACATTATGTTTTCGTCCCCATGGCGATTCCACGGAAGCATTAACCCAGCAAAGGGCATACCACACCCATTATTTTTTTTTTACCTTGCTATATCTCTGGACCTTTTCACCTTTTTTCTTTCTACTTTCTCATATTTTAATATCCTTCACCGAAAAAAATCTGGCCACGACATATACTCGTTTCGTTCTGGAATTCCAAAAACGTTTCACTCGAGGAATGCACGTACAGAAGGAAATTCAACACTAATATCACTACTAATGACGGAAACCCAAGAGCACAAAAGTTACCCGCAACATATATGACATTTTAAAAACATTTGGATATGGGAAACGCAGGGTGTTACAATGGAATATGGAAGCTATTTTTTCAAAGTTATGGCATGGAAGCACAAGGCAGTCACGGACTATTTATTTGGGAACCTCTATATTCATTTTTGTTTTCTTATCTCCTTGCACTTTTCTGGTTTATTTTTCACTTTAGGTTTATTTTTTACATGCACAGGAAATCTAAACGAAGGGGTACAGCTATGTAATATCAGTCTGGCCTTCACGTCAATAGCAAGGGCAATAAACAATACCATTGAATTGTCTTTCAGGTTTTTCTACTACTTATTTCCTTGTATGCTCTGATACTTTAACTTCTAGGATATAGGAACTCATATCAAGTCAAATAAAATAATATAGGTTTCTAAAATAAATAATGTAATTATACATACTTTCTGTGCATCTCTGACCCTTGCGATACTCAGATTAACTGAAGCACTATGAAAGATAGGTGAAACTTGGCCTTAAAGGGGAAGAGTAACCAATGAAAGAACAATAAATGAACAAGCATATAGATGAAAGATAAAATGAAGATAAAAGGGGAAAAATATAGGAGACAATGACCACATCCTTTCTATAACAGTGAACATGTTCAAACATTAGACCAGCCTCATAAGAGCATTGAGAGGAAATTGAGAAAGAATTTTAGATGTACCCAATATAAGGCACTTTGGGTAACATATTTATTACAAATGTTCTTGTGACTTAATAGATGAAAGTAGTTCATACCGCCGTTGTTAGTTCTGTGATACGGAGATAAAATTAAAAGCCGAATTTCTCAGGTCATCCATCCTTTCTCATAATAGATGTTTGCCTTTATTTAAAAGGAAAATAACGACTGCCTGGGACTTAAGCCCAGTTCTTCCTTCTGAAAGATGCTCTCTTAGCTTATACTGGCAGCGAGAATTTCTTGCCCTTGAGAACCCTATGAGAAAAAGCTGGTTAGATTCAAATATTGCGCGTTCCGGCTATAACTGAGAGGGAAATTAAGCCTTTGAAAGGAAAGATCTCAAAAACTGACTTGTTGAAATAGATCCAGAAGAAGTCCGCGTATAGGATAGTCTGAATGATGCCGGCAACAACAGCAATGGGATCTAGGTACCCATCGGCAAAGTATCGGTAGATCCAGTTAGGAATATACAAGGCACGATACGCGCCCAGCGCGAAGAGGTAGTGGGTGGTTATTGTTTCAGCTTCACCAGTGCGCTGAAGCATAAACAGCTGAGGTAAGATGGCGACCGACTCCAGCCAGATTGAGAACGCCCAGAGAATCTAAACCACGGGGAAATGAATATTAATATTTGAAAATGTATATATAAGAACATGTCGCAGGGATTTCGCGGCAAAACTCACCTCCGAGGCGGTGTACTTGTACGGGAATAGGACCCCTAGAGCAGCGCTGGCGCCGAGAAGATATACGACTTTGAATGTATCGATATTTGGGTCGTGGGTCGGCTTAAATTCATTGAGCATCAAATAAATAGTATACGCAGAAGAAGAGATGAATAGGATTTTAAAAATGGTGTTGTAAGGGGAGCCGGTAAAATTCCAGAACAGGTCTAACAGATTAGAAGAACGTCTGGTTAGCACAGGATTCATAGCTTTTCTTCTGAGTGGAGCGGGAGGGGGAATTGCTCTTCATAGCAGTAACAGCGTTGGATATAAAGCAGGGGGTAAATACCGAGGTATCGAGTAACGTAGACTATCAAGTATAATGATTGCGATTTGAACGATATTCCCGAACAACTCTGTAATAGGCGTCAGTTTACGATTCGAAGGAGGACTTAAGCTGGGTCTTGCGCATACACTTGACGATTTCATTTTGTGCAGCAAAATAAAAATGGAAAGGAGATGGGAAATATCCGCTAGAAATAAAGCCGATTGATTAGTTGGTTGCTTAAACAATTGTCACCGGACACGGTCAACAGGTTGTAAAACTGCCATGAGGAGCTTACCGAGAAGCCGGAAAATATTCATCTTGATCGTTATGCCTCAGAGGCCTCGTTTACCAGGGGCGTAAATTGTTTGCGATGCCGCGATCAGGGGGGGACTAATGGTAGGTGATTTCGGCCACGGAAGCGTAGAATTGTAGCTTAATCCGAGATGAAAGGCTCTGCTCCACGCATATGGCGATATGGCATCTGGCCGGAGAATGTACTACCCAGTTCCTTGAAGAAGCACCGGCAATGTGCGTGTTGGAATGCGAAATGTGATGCAATTCTTGAGCAGAAGCTGATGTTGACACGAAGGCCACAAGATGCTGTAATCAGCTTTGATTTGGTGACGCGGAGGAGGAAAGGAAAGACTTATGTAATCATCAATATATAGCGGTCATGTGAGATTTGTCTGATGGCGTCAAAAATTGCCCGTTTGGGTAATTTACAACCTCGGAACATTTGTATGGTGAGAGCTTCATTTTGGGCTATTATATGCTTGTTAGCAAGGATATTAGGGATGAAATGGGATCAGTTGGTTCACGGTAGCTGATTTTCCATTTCATTTCAGCTATATTAACTATGCAGAACGCTAACAGATCCTTGATTAAGATACAGGTCGACCTTTAATCATACAGTAGAGAAACCTGATATTAGTACAACGCCATGTCGAATCATAGCTCCATACAAGCCCATGGCCTTGAGCCCATAACCCTCCCAACCAACGCCTGGAAGTAAGTATCCCAAAGAATACGAGTATACAAGTGGTTAAAATGCGACTCCGCCGCCGATACCCTCAGTCTCGGACATCCTCTGGAGGTGACCGTCCGCAAGGTCAGTCCTTAACGCTCCGGTCTCACTCTCCCGGCTTAGTTTATCCCATTCTCTAAGGGACGCCCGCTTCGCTTTTTGTTTTTCAGAAATTTGCTCTAAAAGTTTTTCTTTATCGGCTTCTAGCTGTGCCAATCGCTTCTCAGTAGTGGGATCCAGGCCCGATGGCAGTAACTTGCCCCCAGGGACGGTAGTAGGAAGCCCAGCTAGATGATTAGTGAATCTTTGTGTACGTGGGTAAGTCGTAGAAGTGCCATTGCCATGTCTGAATGGTGGCCGTGGTCTTGCTTCATGCCCAGGGCCAGGCGCAGGGCTACCGCCTGCACCGCGAGGACCGGACGGCGGGTGTCCATGATGTTGCGGTGGTGGCGCGTGAGTGCTGCTCCGTCGGATCGAACTAGGACCAGGACCAGGACCAGGACCAGGAATAGGGCCAGACCCGGGCCTCATGCTTTCCCGGGGGCCAGTTGGAGGGCCGTCCCGATTGAAGCCTGGTCCAGATGCGCCTTTAGGACGAGTGGGAGCAGACAACAGAGCCATATGGCCGCCGCGTGTGGGGTGCCTCATCGATCTCGACGCGGCAGATGGGCCTACGGGAGGGGATATTCCGCCGGGCGGAGCATTCGCACCTTGTCCTTGAATCGAAGGGCTGCTCTCAGTGCGAGGGCCTGTTGGCGGTCTAGCTGGTGTGCTTTGGTTCCTATCATGGTCATTTTCATAGGGCCTTGGTGGCTCATGCGAACGTGGCGATTGTAATTGAATGTTGGCCGACGGCCTTCTAGAGGGGGAGGGAGGCCGACTAGAGGGCCTCCTACTTCCTTCAGGAAAACGGGGCGCATTTCCATGTGGATGTCCGCTATCATATTGCGACCGTGGCATCCCGGGAGGCGGACCGTGGCTTGAAGCATTCGGGTGGTTGCGGCTCGACCTCTCCTGCGTGGGAGGAGAAGAACGTCGGGATGTGGCAGCTGAACCATGAGCGGACGTTTGACCAGAGCGTTCGGCAATAGAAGGCGATCGCGGCGGTGGCCCTCTCCCACCATTGGGTTCCCCTCGTGAGCTTCGTCGATCAATACTCCTAGACCTCCTCCTGACACCACCCATCCTTGTATCTCGTGATTGTATAGACTCATTGAAAGGAGGCGTTCGCTGACGATCAAATCTATTTCGTGGAGGAGAGTAATTCCGCTCTCTCTTTGGCGCGCGAGGTGCATTGATGGTAGACGGGGACGGGTCCCGGCCGCGCTTCAAACCAGGACTTCTATTCCTATCAAATGGAGGCGGAGATCGTGACCTCCGATTGAACCTCGGAGGTCTATCGCGGCTTGGAGATGGCCGCCTGGGGGGAGAACGAGGTCGGTTGGTAAAATTTGGGCCTTTCTCACGGCCTCTAAAGAGCGGACTTCTCGATCGCGGTCTAAAGTTATCAGGTGAACGGCTCCGAGGTCGAGGTCTGCTTGGTGGTGCCCATGTATCCGCAGTTGGTCTCATCGGTGAGCGGTTACGTGACGGAGAGCGGAACGGTCGATTGTCAGGGCGAGGAGAGCGGCGAAAATTGCGATCCAACGGGCGATAGCTCTCGCCTCCGCGGCGGGTGTCATCGAATCTGATAAACAGTGTTAGTATTTTAAATCATTTAACAGCCATTTATAGGGGTATATTAAGGGCCCAGGATGCTATCCCTAGCCCATCTGGCGGTATCTTGCGAACCTTCTTTCACGATCCATAATTGCTGGCGATGTACGACGGGTGCCTGTCCTTGGAAGAGTTGCTGGAGCTGGTAATGATAGCGGTGGCAGTGCGGGATCGGTTGCGCCAGGAGATGTTAGAGAGCGTGTCTGAAGAAATAACCGCTAACACTGTTTAAAAGAAAGTCGGAATCGGCGTCGAGCAGGCCATGTCGTGGTCTGGTCAAATCTTTGTTGCTTGTTCCTGATATCGAAATATCAAAAAAGTCGCGCTTGATTCTTCGTAAGGCGCCACTAAACCCGATCGGGACTGCCGCGGTTGAAATCCATCTAGGTCACGTGTATCTTTCCCCTTTTGAAGAATTCGCAGTTGTAGAAAAGAAAGAAAAGAAAAAGGAAAGGGACAAGAAGGTCGAATAGTTAGTAGGTATGAGTTGATGCAGGTTGTATGCTTTAATCCGTATAATGCATTTGGCGGCTACGGTATTCTCTCTCGTTCTCGAAATGCTCGTGTTTCCCAGGTATTATAAAGCCCCTATTCAACTCCAGCTCCTATTGTACATATGGTATGTTCCCATGGACTGGCTTACCGCTTGGTTCGCCGTTCCTCGTCCTTCTTCAATCTCTTTCGGCTTTCACTCGCAATCATATCACTGAGATCTTCCTGGAACCAATTTGGATTCTCCTCTTGCTTTTTCTGCGATTCGTAAAGGTTCTTCAAGCTTTCCTTGTCAAGACTTTGACCCTCCAAAGCTTCTAGATCCACAGCTACATCAACATCGCCAGGCCTCTTCCGCTTTCGGTTCTCATCCTCAGCTCCAAGGACTGGGAGATTGGCTGTCGTTCCCTTAAGATCGTAAATTCTGTCACCGCCGAAGAACCCCTTAACCTGTGTCTCACGTTCGGGTATGACCTGGTAGGCAGATCGTGGTTGCGGTGATTCTTCGGTTTCTGTGCCCCTGTGGTGCTTTCGAACATCAAACTCGCCAGAAATGCTATGTGTTCCGCCAAACTCGGAGGGAATAGAGGAAGCCATTCCGCTTGGGGTCTCCAGACCGCTCGGAGTTTGTAGCCCTGCACCGACATCCTCTTCATCCTCTTCCTCCTCGTCTTCCTCCTCACTTTCCTCTTCCTCCTCCTCTTCCTCAGGTGGTTGAAGCTCTCCCCACAAATCTTTCTCAACCGGCTCACCTTGTTGTACATTTTGCTGCGTCTGTAGCACGCCAAAGATATCACCACCATACAAAGGCCTGTTGTGCTCGTCAACTGGAGGTTTCCCGTATCCTCCTGGGTGGTATCCCCACATCGCACCAGGAGGTGGCGGGGCATTGAGGCCGGGTATTTTAATCGCGGGATATGATGGCGGAGGACCGAATCGTTGTTGATTTATCAACCAAGGTGGCGGGGCTCCCGGAGGAATATTTAATGCTTCCTTTAGTTCATCACTAAGCTCCCCAGGCCGGAGATGCTTCAAGTTGGTCTCGAACTCCTTTCCTTCGTAGTAAACCTCACCGTACCTTGTCAGCTCTGGCTTCGTCTGAAATCGGAAAAATGCCTCGTAGAGCTTCTGATAGTCGATATCAAGTTTTCCCATCTTAGGCTGTACCCTTTCACGCTGTTTCTGTTTTAGTGTTTGCTGATCCTGTTTCTCTAAAACCGCATCTCTCATCTCTGCAATGCCTGTCTCCTGGATAAACTTGGGTAGTTGGAACGCAGCCTTTTCGATTCCTCGTTTGGATGACAAGTATTCGCGCTTCAATGACCAATGGCCCGGCACGGGAACCACGTTGCGATAAGTCTTGATGTGAACTAAGAGCCTTGGATCCGAAGCATCTGCATCTGTCCACTCCACCGCCTCGGGTTTCCGGACCATGGCCTTAAGCTGAGCAACCGATAGTTTATTCATCTGCTTGCGCTTCTTCTTCGATATTTTGGCTTCCACGTTATCTTCCTCTTCTTCATCCGGGATATCGTCTACGTCGAAGTACATTTCGGGTTTATCTGATTTTTTCGTGGTAGAGTCTTCGGTTTCACTCTGGTCAAATTTCACCATCACATCCTGGTAGAGTTGAAATAATTCATTGTCCGCTTCGGCGGGCGCAAACGTAGTTGACGCATAGTCGAGTTCATCGTTTGGCTTCGAGTCGTCTGGTTTACTCTCGGTCTTGGTGGCGGTTGGTGCAGTTACAGGTTCCTCAGAGGGAGTCGTTGAAGACACATCTCCGCTGCCTTTAGATTGCTCCTGGGTTAAACGTGTTAGCTTGTGTTCATTATAGTGACGGCCGCCTGAGCTACAAACCTCAATTTTCTTAGCTTTCTTCTTCGCCCTTCTCAGTTGATTTTTTGACGGTTTCGCGACCGCCGCAGGCATGATGAAAAGTTGGTACCGTCACAGGGTTCAAGCACGGTGTTATGGTCGGTTAAAGAGATTAATAAGCTAGATCGCAATGTATGCAAGATTTCAGGCTTAGAAGATCAGCACCGGAAGTATTGTAAAGGGGTTTGTTGTGTAAATGTAGCTGCAATAGCTAATGAAGATTGTCATATTTCCGCGATGAACACCAGCGGCGCCAATCAACATGGTCACGTGATGTAAATTTGGGCCAGGCAAAATGTCTATTGAGCCACAGAAATTATACAGTTATACAAAATCTAATTAAATTATTCCATTGGAGGGGAAAACAAACAGTGCTAAAAGCCGGAATTAATACAGAGAGCCACGCGCTATTCTGAGCGGGCTCCATTGTATTCCATATCATGGATGCTGTTGGGCTGGGCGCCGAACATATCGGCTTGGAATCATAAGCACAGCATGAATACCGTGTCAACGGAAACCCAGCCTAGTTATAAGGCTATTATCAGACAGAGATGGTGGGTGTGCTCAAACAAAACGTAGATGGACCTGCACAGGAAGAATAAGAGCATCTTTACCCGATGCTAAATGCTAAGAAATCCCTGTAAAAACGAACCCATATATTGTACAATATAAACTCAAAACGGTCATCACGAAGGCCACTATCTCTTCTTCTTTGCCGACTTCGACTCTATAAATCATAACGGTTAGTGAATTGTGAAATAAGAGGGTGATGGCCGGGGAAGCCGTATAGCGCCTGGGATCTGCAGTTTGGATATAGCCATAGAATGAAGCAACTTCTTCATATAGGCAATATATGGATAATTCGTACCTGCAGCTGTGCGTTTCTTCTTCGGTGGCCCCTTTCCACGTAGTTTTCGCCTGTAATTTAAAGGTATTAGCCGCTATCCAAACTCACAAGCCTTCTTGGTCATGTTGCCGTAGGCTACAGCTACGGCTGGGTTCTAGAAAAGTCCATACACTTGTTTTATGTCCTCATCGTGTACTTTCTCGTGATCGTATGTCTCAAGACCTAGTGGAAGATAGGCATCTTGGAAGTCCCGGAAGGTTAGGGTCTTTCTGGGGTAATATGCAGCAAGAGTAGCTCCGCGTAGTCGCTGGCGTAGAATCTTGTTTCCCAGTCGGAGACCTTCAGGATTGAAGGTGTGAGTGAAGATGCGGCATTGGGCCTAGATGAGATATGAATACGTTAACGAGAAGTCTTCACCAGGGACGAAATCGCCTTAGAGGACAACAATTGACAGCCAGGGTTGACAAAACACGGAGCGCAAACCTTTAGCAGATCCAACATCCGCGACCGGGGAGCCGCCATTTCGTAAATTGTGCTGTTCGGGACTGGACTGGAGCTTTTATGGTAGATGTCGAGGTCCTCGTTCCATCAACACTTTTTGAACGATCTTGAAGCTGACGTTTAGACTTTCCCTTCTTGGCTCCGCTCGGCTAAACTTGCTGACAAGCACCCAGCATCAGGAACCTCGCGAAGGCTCGAAATTCACGATCGTTCAACACCTGCCCTTCTTCCTAACAGAATATATATTTAAATTAATATAAAATGGGAACCAAGCGAGCATCAGACGCGGGCGGCTCCCAGACCACAAAACGAGCCAAAAAAGAACCGGTATGTGACTCCTACGCGTTATCGAACAGCTCATCCACGATCTTCGAGAAATTTATGGATAACTAATTATCTTTTATTTTTATAGAAAGAACCGTGCGAGAAGAAGCCGGATGAGACGAATACGAAGCAAAATGAAGAGAATCGACTACATATTCAATTCCAGCTTATCCAGCTCCAGAGGCTTACTCAAGATCTACTCGCCCAGTCCGATCTCATTGAAAGCGTCGAGAAGGACAACAGCAAGGGTATTATGAAAGGATTGAAACGTATACATAAAGCATTTGCAAGCTCGGAGACACCGTCATTAAACCACACTAAGCAGTTACGGCTTCCGTCGATGCCTAGCGAACCGCAAACACCGGCGCGTATCCCGGAGGATGCGACTCTGCCTCTTCTACCTCCCATTAAAGACGAGACCCTGAAATCTGCAGTATTCACACATACAGGCATTGTGGAGCGAGGCCCAGGATCCGTTTCATCCTCAGAGAAGACGTACGACAGATTAGAAGTTCTAGGAGATGCTTACATTGAACTTATATCGACCCGGTTAATATGGGAGAAATTCCCTACCCTGCCCGCTGGTAAAATAGCGCAGGCCCGCGAGACTATGGTGAAAAATGAGACACTAGCTCAGTATGCAACGGCATATGGCTTTGATAAGCTGTTAAAGACTTCCTCAGATTATCGAAATCATCCAAAACGGTGGATAAAAATCAGGGGTGATGTGTTTGAAGCTTACGTTGCCGCAGCAATTATCTCAGACCCTGAAAACGGCCTTCGAGTGGTAGAAAGCTGGCTAACACAGTTATGGCTGCCCAAGCTTGCAGAAGTGAGGCTTCCCGTACCACCAGCAGAACGAGGGCAGAACGGCAACATAACTTTCAAAGATAAGCTTTCAGCTACGGTTGTGAGTAAAGGGATTAAGCTACAGTACATTGATGAGAAGCCTCCCGTGCGTGATGGAGGGTTGGTCACTTCTTTCATTGGTGTCTATCTTACTGGATGGGGTTATGAGAAGAAACACCTAGGCTCTGGAAGTGGATTGAGCAAGTCGGAGGCTGGTAACCAAGCCGCAATTCGTGCTCTGAACAACCGGCCTCTGATTGATGAAATCAATGCCACAAAACGAGAATTTGACCAAAAGACAGCAGCTCTGAGGGCCGCAAGCACGGCCTCAGAGGCGACTTAATGACCCCATATCTGTGGTGCAGAATTAGTTCATTGTATATAATGAAATATACCAATTTTTTGATCAAAAATGATACATTAAACTTGCTATCTACCAACTTTTAACGAAAGACTGGTGCAAAATAAGGGGCGCAGGTGGAAGGTTAGAGATGCTGACTAGTCACTTTCTCCATCAAAGTCAGCTCCGAAATACGGCATTGCACTTTTATTTCCGCCCGCAGAGCCACGGTTAGTGCAAGTTCTATCTCCGGCTCAACTTCCCGAGCGTCAAAAGTGTTTCCCTCGTATAGGGCTGATGGGAGATCAGTGCCAGAAACACTTCTGCCCACGGAGAGTAGGAGAGACTTCTGGACGTAATTTCCCTTGGCCGTCCATCGCACTTCACGGTGTCTAATCTTGTCCACCCACTCATAATTCCCTTTCCTTTTCGCAATGAGGTAGGTCATTACGAAGCGGAAATATAAATATCGACGTGCAGGGCGCGTGCTACCTTGGAACGCAAGTTCCATGCCGTCAATCCTCTACTGAGAGATCAGATAAAGGGAACTTGAGTAAAACAGTGGCCGTGGAATCCAACTTACTTTCCAATATTGAAACCAACTGGTTTTTTTTACGCCTGGGTCCACTAGCAGACATTTCCATTTCACCGGCTGACCTTCGTCGGCAGGTAAGCTTGGAATAATGGCAAAGATGCCAGCCTTTAATCCCTTCGCTAAGATTTTATGAAGAACGATACCTAAGCAAGTTTAGTAGCATGTCTAAATCTTCGTCGGAAGCGCTTTACTTACCATTTCTTGGGTTGGGGAGGTCAAACTCTTCAATTCCAAAGAGGAAGGCCAGCGCATCCCCGGGCAAAGATTCGGGCACGAGATATACAGCTTGGACTTCAAATTCGTCGAATGGCCCAGCGATAGGACACAAGACCACACTGGCTCCATCCGAATAGGAGTTCGCCCTTAGGTAGATAACGACTTCTCGTCTATACTCCTTTTCCTCGAGCCTGTTGTTAGGGGCATACGAGGCCTTCCAAGCCATGGATTTGCCGTATGCATTCCTAATGACACTGTCCTTTGAGGGCATCTTAATATTTTCAAATCCCCGTGTATTGAGTTCTTCCTCCATGTCTTGTTCAACTGCTCTACGCATTTTTTTGAGAGTGCGTAGCTGTATACTCGCGAAGAAGGCGTGCCGATCCAGCGCCTCGACCATCCCGTGGTATTCGTCCAAGGTTGACTCATGAACAGAGACCTTGTGACGCATGATAAATTGGCGATGAAGATAGTTTTTAACGTTGGCGGTAAGTTCTTCCGCTCTCCTATCTAGGAACCTGGATATTTCTGACGACTTGGACATCTTGAAGGTAGTTCTGGTATGCTTAACGCGCAAAATGTTTTGGCTTAAGCAGTTTTTATGCGTGGATATATGAGAGTATGGTAAAAAAGAAGACTAAGAAGGAACGATGACATCCTTAGAGGAAAGAGGATATCTATGTGCTTGTAATACGCAGTTTTGGGGGTCGAGGGAGAACAATAACCTAGGATAAAGGGGTATGTTCACTTGTTTGCGGGGATAAGAAGGAGACGGAGGAAGATATTCAAGCCAGCAACTCAGGTATAGAGGACAACTATGGACTGCAATGACGAGTTGTAGATATCATGGTGATGTCATAAGGGTCTCTCTTGCCCTAACATCAAGCCCTATGTCACGTGGTATAAACATGGCCCTCTGAGGTTGAGATCTGAAATTTGAAAAGCTGCGTAGATGGGCTCGAGTTCCCATATCGATTGCTATCTTTGGGGTTGGCCGATGCCACGAGGAGAGACCGGAGGCCGGTGGTATCAACTGCGTCATCGCAAAGAGTCCCTCGATCATGACTTGGAATCAGGTGGGTGATATAAGCAAATCGTTCTATCACCCTGTGCATTGGCTACCTAGATTGTACGTTGACCATCAAGATATGAAGGCTATCTTTAGTCCCATCAGGATAGGAATGCGGAGGTCAATTCCCGGATATACTCATATTCCCCCTAGGATTTCATCAAGGCCTTGGAACGCAGTTCATCTGACACGACAGAGCCTACATCGCGTATTACACCGAGGAACATCCAGATGCGCATGAGGGCCGCCCACCAGCTCTCTCGCGGCCGAGACACGTACTCCCTGCCCGGTGTTATCATGGTCCAGACACAGAGATCAGTGTTGAGCATCGAGATGGTTGATTGATGTTGGCGATTAACGTTAAGCTTCCGTCGTGGCTAAGTTGAACGTTCACTCCACCAGGCGCTCTTGACCAATCGCATTTTTATGCGAACGATTTCCCGAAGAGGAAGACCTTCGTTCCTTGCGCCGTAAAGAATTTCAGCCGCGTAAGTCATTCTCGGCGTTCTCGGACTCCCTCGTGCATAGCTCACTCGACTAACCGAAGTTGACAGGAGTTGCGACCACTGGCACTGAAGATACGTACGGAGTATGATGTACTCGCAGTGCGCTGGATCTTCTCTATCTTTCAGATATTCAGTACCTTCTTCTAGTACCAGTGAATATATCTTATATATTCCAAGGTACACAATCAGACCAGACCAAGTCTTGAGGAATTGATCTGTGACAAGGGTGGCTAAACCAGAAACTCCCCAATAAGACCCTCGTATGACGATCGGCTCGTGGCCTTGAGGCTCTCCCATCCAGTTCCAGACTCGTCACCAAGGGCATTGCTTATTCTAACCCGCTCCATCTCATAATTCTACTGGGTGTCTGCCCTAGAATCGCTATACTTACTTATCGCGGATTACGAATATCTCCAACAAGGCCTTCGAGTGGGGCCAGGCAGATAAGTTCAGGCACGAATGCGAGCTATGCGAGAGATGGCCCCTGTGGCCATTGTGAAGGTAGAGCGTTATGCACTGCCTCGAATTTTCCAGGAGAGGGTGTGAGCATGCAAACGGTCATTTATATGATAAATTGGGTGGTTTCAGAGAGATATAAACGAGATATAAAGCCATGCTCTTCTCGCGTGGCTTCACGTCATTAGAGCAATTACTTCAGATACACACCACATCTCCATCAACTCCTATTCATATCATATATACCATTCTTGTCCCCTTCTACTTATTTATTTATATATAACCTCCCTCCTGTCATACATCACTACCTACAGCCTTGACAGATTTCTTCTATACACCAAACAAGTCTCTGAATCCCAGCCATGTCCTCCGATACCAATCTCTACTTCTATAATGCCTCCTTACCGGCCGCCGCTGTCTTCGCCATCCTCAATGCCATCCCGACCTCTTTCTTGTTCTACACCACGGTCATCGGTCCAAAGACTGGCAAATACCGCAATACCTCGTTCTTCATCCCTATATGCATAGGCGGCTTCATGGAAGTTCTGGCATACATCGTGCGCTGTGTCAGCATTAAGATGAATACGGTTATCGCCTTGTATGCAGGATCGAGCTCCCTCATCGTCATTGCGCCTGTCCTTGTATGTGCAAGTCTGTACCTCCTCGTAGGAAGACTCATCCGAGCAGGTCTCCCTTCATCTGAAAAGCAACAGCGCATTCTGGGAATCAATCCATGGTGGCTACCACGTATCTTCGTCACGTCGGATATTCTGAGTTTCTTGACACAAGCGTCTGGGAGCGGGATTGCTGCGTCCGGGAATTGGGAGGGAAGCACTAAAACAACCGGCGAAAATGTCTTGAAGGGTGGATTGGCTTTGCAATTGATTACATTCTCGTTGTTCCTGGCGTTGGTGGCCCGATTTCATAGCCGTGCGAATGCTGTGTCCAAGAATGGAATCGACAGCGGTCTATTCAAAGTGTTGCTGGGAATCTATATCTCCGGTTTTTTCATTGAAGTGAGATTCTATCCTTACGCCACTTAGGCGATTACCCCTTTCACATGGTAGTTGCTAACATTGATAAATAGGTTCGATGTGTGTACCGCCTAATCGAGTTCATCCTGGGTATTGACGGATATCCATTCCGTCACGAATGGCCCTTGTACATTCTTGAAGGATTGCCCATGCTTTTTGCGATGTGTACATTGGCATACTTCCATCCTGGAAGGTGGCTACCGAGGGAATCACTGAATTCGGAGCCAGATGCTGAGGAGTTGCACAGCAGGGATAGATATTAAGCTGCCCAAGGATACCCTATTTTCCTTTGTTCAGAGTGAAGAAAGTATTCTTCGGATGGCAGACAAGCTCGTTTTTCTTTTCTTTCCTTTCCTTTCCATGTTTTTTTCGTCTGAGCCTCGATCACTCTAACATATATTCTCCGCGAACCCTGTTTACCCGTTCCCCAATTATTAATATAGAAGGAAGTGGCGCATTGTTGTTTTCCGTTGCTTCTTATAATGGAGATTTCAAGGAAGTGATTCAGGTGTATCTGGCATTTTCGTATGTATCGGCAGCATTTTCCCTCCATCATTAAATCTTTCAACATAATCCAAAAAAGTTTTCTGTAGCGTCTTCCCTACCTCCAAAGTAAAGATTTTGTGTTGAGTGCCGCATCGATATATCGCTTCAAGTGGCCACTTGATATATGAAGTAAGATGAGGGGGTAGTTGTCTATAGATGACTTCGACCCACTGAACCTGATATAATGTCACTTCTGGAACCCTTGCACGCTCGGGAAGGACGGATGCAAGCAGTGGAATCATTAATGTTTCGGTGGCTATGTGGTATGCAAACAGAATGAGGGTTGTGGTGTTTTTTGGTGAGATGAAGTTTGCAAACTGAGCTTCACTAATATCGTACCATGCAGAATAGTTCTTTTCATACGTCAGGAAGGCGTCATTAGAGGACTCCTGCACAGCGAAGAGGGTGTCTAGCAGGCATTTCCTAAAATAAGTGTGGACTTCATCCTCCAGGAGCGGTGTTAAAGATTGTAGTGATTCGATCCCACGCTGCAACAATGCCGGGTTAACTATTATAGGGGCCATTGGCTCAGGGAGAAATTTCGTAAGATTTTCAGTCTCTTCCAGTGGAAATATGCTTTTGGCGGCATTTTTCTGTTTTATTTTGGTCGTAACAAGGGAGCAGCCACGGATAAATATCACAAAGTCAACGAGAGCATCAAACATATATCCGGACTGCATGGTGAGAGCGTAACATGTTGCAAGCAGAGCATCCAACTCTTGGACACTTAAATCAGGTTTGGCCATAAGCTTATGAAGACCCTTCAGGGCTATCCCTCGGTGCTCTATTGCGTTCGCTGCAGTAACGGGATCTCCATTCGGGCGAATAATAGAAAGATGCGCTGCGCCAAGTCCAAGGATAGCATGCATAACGAAATCATACTAGAGTTGCTGTTTAGCAGGCCTTATATTTCATGTAAAGGCTAGGAATTATCATTACCTGGTGCGCAAGCAGAGGGATAGACGCTACCCAGGCGGTATCACAGCCAAACGGGAGATAGGGGTGAGCTACCAGCAAGTAATGATGGAAGAAACCCATATCTTGAACCGAGAAAGGCGTTGGATTCGGCTGGACTGGGATCAACTCGCTGGTCCCTCGGCCATCGTCACCCCGGATTCCGCGCCTGGGATACTCGCATTTCAGGTCTTTGGAGGTGCAGTTCTCGCACTCGGGCTTCGTTTCCGAACACTTGATTCACTGTCAGCCCGGATTTTCAAGTCTGATGCTTTGTTGCAGGTGCCACTGACCTTGATCCGGCGCGATTTGCAGTTATAGCATCCAAGCCGTGATTTCGTGTGCGGTCTCTTGGAGACTGCTTTCGGGTGGCCCTTTGCAATAAGCATGATTGTTGTCGTATCCCAAAAGCTCTGCCGTTCAGCGTCTCACTCTCTAGGTGTAAAGATATAATAGCTGCAAGGATGTTGAAGCTGTCCGCGGCCACCTGGACACCTGTCGGTGCGCGCACTGTAGGGACCGTGATGCTGTATACAAACCCTTTTGAGATCCACGAACTGTATATATTCTGAGGTCCAGGATATTTCACTTGGCTGCAGAGTATTCTAGGCGCGAGGTGACGAATGCAGTTTACGTAGACATGTCCAATCTGCTGTGAACATACAACGAATATCCCACCCTGCCTTGTGGCCTGGCTCCTTAAAACTGCACTAAGGCCCTGCTATACGAGGCGCGAGATACGAGGCCGATGTTCACGCAAAGGGTCACCGTGAAGATGGGAGACCTTGGAGTCTATGATCTGACAGTCAAGAGATATTCATCAATAGTTATAGAATCTAGTAAGTTGGTTAACTATGCGTAGGAGTATCGTGATATCTAAACAGATGCAGACGATGGTTTAGTACTGGAACATACTGAACAATGGAGCATTTGACCTCATATAGGCTTGATATCTCTTCTAGTCGTACTTTCAACTCTCTCGATATCATATGAGCCAGAGGCCTGTCTCTGGGCTTTAGTGCCGTAGTTGAGAATAGTATGTGTATAAAAATATTGTAAACAACCATCCGCTGCAGGATACCTCTCGAGGTTGCTATTGTTATCAGATCACCGCGATCACAGGTTTTAACTGAGATCAAGGTAGTATATACTCCGTAGAGGGCCGTCTAAAACAATTATATAGACGAAGTGGTTAGGAGTAGCAGTTGAAGACCATGTTGTATAGGCGAAGGAGCAAGGATAGTGTGGTTTTCCAAGTCACTAGACGCTGCGTCAACCATCCAAACCAGCAACAACATTGCAAACTCGCTTTCTGTCAGGATACAGCAGCAATCGGAAGCCATGTTCGCCCGGAGACGACTGGTATCGTCCCTGGGGACGGTCCGGCAATTCTCAGCGTCATCCAGACTATCGCTGGACCTCGCACATCATGTCTACCATAACCCCCAAGCATCTGAAGCTGCGCAATCCAATGCCAGGCCGATCATATTCATGCATGGGCTCTTCGGCTCCAAGCAGAATAACAGGGGTATGAGTAAGTAAGCGGAAGCCATTTCACCTTGTCTGCGTATCCTGTCGGTTCCATGCTGACCGCTTTGTGATGTGATCTAGGGTCCTGGCAAGCCAGCTGAACTCTTCAATCTATGCCATCGTGAGATACCACCAAAACAATATGTGACTGCGCAGTTGAAATGGGGATTTCTATATTGACATGTTCATCTACCAAATTCAGGACCTCCGAAATCATGGCGACTCACCTCATGCGCCGGAACATAACTACCAGGCTATGGCAGATGATGTCGAGAAATTCATAAAGAGCCACCGACTGGAAAGGCCGGTCCTATTAGGGCATTCGATGTGGGTGTCAAAATGGATTTCTACCTTTCCTATGACTACAGGAGTGCTGACGATGCATCAGGGGAGCGAAAGCAGCCATGATACTTGCTCTTCGTGCCCCAGATTTGGTCTCCGCGGTTATCTCGGTCGATAATTCTCCGATCAGTACTCGATTGAGTGATAACTTTTTGTCATACGTCCAAGCCATGCAGGAAATAGAGAAAGCCGGAGTGACTAGACAGAAAGAAGCAGACGAAATTTTACAGCGCGTGGAGCCGGTTTGTTTCTCCCACTGAGTTGTCTCACGAAACTATGTCAATATACAAGCTAACGTAGGGGAATTACCTTCTTGGATGCATATAGTCTCTACCTATTCGACAGTTCCTCCTGACAAATCTTGCACGGCAACAGGGTGAAGCTGCCTTACGATTTCGAATTCCCTTGGCTACTCTCGGTGACTCGTTGAGTAATCTGGCAGGCTTCCCATTTACCGAGTCGGACGGTGTCAAGTTCGAAGGTCCGGCCCTTTTCCTGAGGGGGACTCGAAGCGACTATATCAAGGATAAGTCCGTGCCTATAATTCGACACTTCTTCCCAGAATATAAGCTGAGAGATATCGATGCTGGACACTGGCTTATATCTGAGAACCCCGAGGCTTTTAAGACAGGTATGTTTAACGCTACCCATAGATTTACCCGTCAAGTAGTAAATATAACTTGATATTGGATACTAACTACTTCTGTGCAGCTGTTGTGGATTTTATGAGGGATCTACATTGAGTGTCATAGCTGCATCATGTTACACCATCTTGGGGTATTTGTATTTAGTACGGGCGGAGGGATGTATAGGCACAATATAGAAAAGGATATAGATGGTAGAAATAGAGAACCTTGGTATACGGCGTGGTTGATCGTTAGATCATTATATTTCAATTTGATATGCCTATTGATTTACCCATTACCCACTAAGACCGCGGGTAAGTTCAAAATCCGGGGAGGCATGCATCATTAAAGAAAAGAATACAGGTCGTACTTTATTTTAATCGTGAACTGGTGGAATAAGGTGGCATAAAGGAGGTTAGGTAACATAGTGAAAACACCTTAGGAGAGGGTACAGAAAACAGTCAACAGCAGCGCCCTTTTAACATTTCCTTTTTGAAGAAAGAAATAAGCTCTGCCATTTATATCAAGGACCATACACAAGGGGAAGGGCGTTAAAATTTCATTAATTTTTTTTAAATTCCCTCCCGACTCTCAAATATGACCTAAACTGACCACGACTCCTCCCGCTGTGATTTCCGTGGTAGTAAAAGAGACATTATTTTAGATGCTTAGACGCTCTCCAAAACCTTCTCCTTGAATTCCCGCTCAACCTGTTGGAAAGTAAATACGTTAATTACGTTAATAACGAGATCAAATGACAAAAGGGGTGAGCTTGAGTTGACTAACCTTCTGTCCCTTGTCATCAGTGCTGGCCTCACCGTGGAGGGCCAAGAGAGCACCCAAATCGAACTTTGGCGACTTGAGGAGCTTAACCTTGCGGATGTGAACCTGTATTTATCGATCAGTATATGGCGCACCGATATACGCGAAATATATAGGGGGAGAAACGCACGTTCTGAAGTGGGTAGATGCCCTGGGTGGACTTCTCGATCTCACGGCCAATAACCTCTGGGACGAGCTTGGTGAGCTGGGTGAGAGTGCAGCTGGAAGCCTGGCGCTGGATGATCTCGGTCATCTTCTTGCGAATGGCACGGATCTGAGAGCTCTGGGCGTAGGTGGTCTTCTTGATCTGGTTTGGTCGTCGCTTGGTGAAGGCAATGGCGAAAAGACGGACGAGGTAGTCATCGGTGGTCTTGACGGTGACATTGGCCTCGATGAGGGTTTGCCATTTGCGGACAAGAGATCGGAGCTTGTCGGATGTGAAGTCCAATCCGTGGAAGTTGGTCAAGCAGTTCTTTCCCTGTACTTCATCGACACGTAGCTTAACCTTGCGGAAAGAGTGGGCTTCGTCCTTCTGGAGATCGGCGAGGGAGACTTCGAAGACACGGCCTTTCAAGTAGTCGTTTGCGTTCTTGAGACCGGTGGTTCGGTTGACCAGGGTTTTACCAACACTTCACACGTTATCAGATCAGTCGTTTGTTCTTCTGTTTGATTATATGGGAGGGAGAAGGGTTTGGGATGCTGGTGGGATAGCCATACTCTCGGACTTGGAAGGTGGTAGGAGCCTATATATTTTTGATTCGTTAATTTTCCATATCCCCAGATTGATGGTTGTTCGCAATATTGAAGCAGCAGAGTGCCAGTACACACCTTCACGAGGTACTCATCCTTTCGTGTGAAAGGGTCCACGGTTCTCTTCTTGAGGCCCTTCTTGCCCTTTGATAGACGCTTATTCCTGAGGGTCGCGGTGGTTAGCCAAGTTCCTTGCCTGCGGTTAACGTGCTGCAGCGAAGGAGATGCTCACTTTCCAACAGCCATGTTTGCGATTCGGGTCTATCTTTTGCAGTTCCGAAAGACAGACAATCCGTTGGGCGACGATGGGTTCAATCGTGGTGGACGTTGTCGGCGTTGTGATATCAAAATCAAATCCCACACAAACTTCCCACTAAGCGAGTTGTGCGCGCTAACCACTTCCGATTGTGTGCTTATGTAAGGTGCTAGCTATAACATGCCGGCTTACGCTAAACCTGATTAGGACGAGGCCGAGATTTCTTGATTATGTAATGCCATTTCTACTGAACTCGCTATCAAAGATTTATCAACATTTCCAAGATGCAACCGAGCCTGCCTTGCTAAAGAGTACGAGATCAAAGGTTTATCTGATGACTGTGGTAGAGTCGCCTGCTGAAGGAGTGTATCCGTTCGCTCGTTCAATGCTGCCTAGCTGTTAGTGATGCATTCTCCGTCTTGGGGGAGTACACAGGGATAGCTTACATCGACATCGTCCCATGGACGTCCTTGGACATTCGAAAGCTCCTCCATATTCATGACCTTTCCGCTTGTGACTAAGGAAGAATGTTAGCATAATCGAGCCTATACCCTAGAAAGCCTATACCATGTGAAGAGCAACATACAGTAACCAGCATGGATCTTTGCATCAATCTCAACTCTGCTGTCCTCGGGAATCAAGTCGTCTGGAATGGGTACACGCTCAATGATCGGGATGCCTTGTTCCACAATGGCGTCGTGTTTCATGCTGCCGCCTGAGTTAGTTTCATTGAACATATAAAACGTGGACTGGGAAGCATACTTGGACATGCTGAGCATTCGATCAATCTTGGTGATTCCTAGCCAATGCAGAATCTAGTACCGTGGTTAGTCAAAGCGATTGCTGATGCCGACGACTTGCTTCGATACTTACATCGGGCATGAGAGCTTGGAAGCGCATATCCTTTCATCCGTTAGCATTTGGAACTGGACCAGAGGTGGGTGGAAACATACCTTAACACCGGCGATATTTTCGGTTCTCTGGAAGTATTCGCTTGCACCTTTGCATGGGGTTAGTGATATTCATGGAATAGGAAGGGTAATGACATACGATCAGAGCCTCGTTTACCTAGCTGGATATTAGCATGCGATGCAGAAGTTAGGGTATTCGGGATATGATACTTACGGGCATTATAGACCAGATATTTCGTGACTTCGCCGAGTGCTCGTCCTTCCTTTCGGAAGTATATGACCACTCCACTGCCGCCCTTCTGTGCCTCCTTGACGGCCTCTTCCACTCCGAAGATCAGGTATGGACGACAGGTGCAGATATCAGAACCAAACACGTCACTACCATTACACTCATCGTGGACGCGCAGAGCTAGCTTGACATTTGGGTCGGCCATTTTAGCTGGGTCACCGAAGACATATACTGTCAGCCCCCCAATTGGTGGTAGGAAGACCTTTATGTCTCCTCGAGTAATGAGTTCTGGGAACGATCCGCCGGTGACCTCGAAAAGAGCACGACGCAGAGTACCCTCATCTACAACCAAATGCCATTGGAGTTAGCCAACGACGAATGAAGTTTGCTCGGGAATTAGGATGCAAAACTGACCTATGCCGAACCGCTCAGCTACCCCAGGAAGATACCAAACAGGCTCCACGGCGATCTTCGTAACGGCTAGTTCTCCCGATTGGTTAAGACAAATCTTTCCATCAGGTACCAATCTTCCCTCTCGAACACTATCGGCAAGCTCTGGCAGCTTCATATGAGCTCGCGTGATGGCGATGGTCGGGCGGATATCAAGCTCATGGTCCGTCCTCAGGTCTTCAAAGAGCCATGGCGCGAGATGGCCCCACGGATCCATGGCGACAATCTTTTTCTTATCACCCCATTGCGGGAACGGCCCAATCTTCGCAGCAGGCTCGGTGTCGGTAAAGTCTGGTCTATGTTCAGTGTCTAGATTGTTGCTGGCGACCGCTAGAGCATGGTAGATGGAATACGATCCTCCGTGTGCTCCAATGGCTTAGAAAGAAAAGAGGCTGATTAGCGGTGAACCTTCTGCATTTAACGAGTGACGTGTCACCTACCATTTCGTCGCCGGACGGTATCATACTGTCTGCTCACAACAACGGGCCCTCTAGCCTTTGGATCCATGTTACCCCAATCCATCTTGATAGGGTCAATACCCGATTGTCCGGGGTAGGTCGTGAGAATGATGCGTGATGTTCCACCACGCTTCGGAGCTTTATTCGTAGTCGATGCTTTGGGTATCGTTGTGGCTTCGTCATCGGAGGCTCTCAAACGTCCGTCCTCTTCCGTGGTCAGTGCAGGCATCGATTCCGGCGGGAATTCTCTGTCCAGAGCTTGTTCCTCTGTCATCATCTTGACAATGTCCTTGTTGAAAGAGATGTTCTCGACACGTCCATTCATCGCGTCAAGCAAGAGACTCAATCTCTCCTGATCAAGTTCAAGCCTCTTGACCGCTGCCAAAACCTGAGATAGTATTGGATTTTCCTCCTTGTCGTCTGGCGCTTTATATTCGGGGTTCTTCAGCGATTCGGAGCTCTGCTGCTCAACCGGCTTCTCCTCCGACCCCTTTGGCTCGTTCTGCTCATCCTTGGGAGCCATGGCTGGTTCCAATTAAACCAGATGGTAACTGAAGAACTCAACTGAGGGGAGAAAATGCAGCTTCTATGCCTTGGTCTAGCTGCTGTCGGAGGTCACCGCAAGTTGGAGATAGCAAAGAGAACTGGTATCGGGAAGCTCAGAAACGTAGTCTAGAAGTGGTGGAAACGTCTAAGCAAGAAGAGGGAGAGATGGCCTGCTATATAGCCCACAGATAGAAGCAAGAAAGATGTCAAAGGAGAGAGAGAGTCTCAGTTGGAAGTGAAAGCTATAGAAGTGCCCAGCAGAGGGAGGGATAAAGTAAGTAACGTGCCTGCCCAGGGTCTCGTGATGCGGGGACGATCAGCTTCCTTATCTGGACACTCTGATTGGTCGCAGCTTCTATGTGGGGCATATATGGCACTAGACCACTTACAGACTAGTCTTATGCTTATATAAGTATCGCTTATATAAGTATTCCTTAGTCAGCTTACTCATCCAGACCCTTAGACCAGAAGTCGCGATGCCATCGATTTAAATGCGCTGGAACTGAACAAAAAAACGGCGAAGAAGCAGCGGGACTGATATCACTGTTGAAGCAAGGGATCCAGGCCCCTGGCAGCATCTATACCTAATTAAAGGCGAGAGTGCCTAGCGTCGTATTTGTCGCTGATATTCTATAACCAATACCCGAGAAACCACTCGATATGGTAAATTCTAGTTCATCTTCCCACTTGCTGATACCTCCCAACTGACAGATGTTCTCTTCAGGGTAAACGCAAAAAGTCCTCGCGGAGTACGATAAAAGCCCCAAGAAAGGTCATTACCCCTTCCAGCGGGCCGAGTCCCTTACCCTAGCGCATTTGACACACGCCCAGCATTTACAATTTCCTGGAACTAACCAAGTACTTTTATGAACATATAGGGCGAGCCCCTCCCTACCACATTCGATTGCCTATTCTGCAACCACGAGAACTGTGTTCTGGTGAAACTCAACAAGAAGCTGGGCTTTGGAAATTTGTCGTGTAAAGTGTGCGGGCAGCGCTTTCAGACGGGGATCAACTGTAAGCGGCCTCCCTATCCGATTAGGCAGTCCAATATACAAAGTCTAACGCTTCTGGGGGAATTCCCTGGGACTATAGATCTCTCCGCTGCCGTGGACGTATACTCCGATTGGGTGGATGCCTGCGATGCCGTTGCGAAGCAGCCTGAAGAAGGGGCAAGTGGTAGTGCCGCCAGAGCCGACCCCGAGGGTCCATCTGCTCCAGCTGCGCCAGCTGTAGCCGAAGAAGTGCTTGACGACGACTATTAGATCCAGTCTTTTTCATCCTGCATATGTGGATTATCGTTATTGGCGTTGAGGTGGGGGACTTCTTCTCTGGAGAGAAGATGGTTATTTATCATCTAGGCACACGCATATCGTTACGGAAATACAAAGGAAACCCCCTTGTTTGGATTTAATATTATATTCATTCTGAATTTCTTCATAATGCTACGGGCTTGATGTAGGTTGACTCAAAACTGAACCACCGGAAACGCCTTGTGTGCTTCGAACTCGGCCAAAACGGACATGCAATACCAAGTCAGTTAACCCAACGACGGCCGTCCCAGGTACTCTGGTATAAGCAAATGGACGATTCAGATACTCTATAGAGTATAGTATCTATCACCAAAGTCACCCAAGCCGGGTATTATATACCTAAGACAAGCATCAGCATGAACGTCCTCAAAAGGTACGGATATGGGGACGGGAACGAACTTCTTCTCATCCAAGCCCTGGTCAATGAAAGCCGTCACAACCCTCAGCTCGGGGAACCTCTCAGCAAAATCAGCAACTCCCGACGGGCTGGCAATGAGATTTATAAATAGAATATGGTCCTCCGGCACGCCCTTGGACTTTAATACTTCAACCGCCATAGTTGCAGAACCGCCTATCCCACGTTTAATCAGCATAGCTCCAAAGAATGTGTCAAACCAGCCCCCCTTGTAACAACTTAGTCCTTACCAGTAGCAAACATAGGGTCAAGTAGGAGAACCCATCTACTCGCAATGTCCTGAGGCAGCTTCTCATAAAACAACGCCGGCTTGCACGTCTCTTCATCTCTCTGTATCAGGATCTTTCCAATGCGAACTGATCTACAGCAGTCACGAAGACCCTGCTCCATCGCCTCGCCGGCCCGCATGATAGAAACACCGCATATTTTGCCCTCGAAGCCTACGCCCGCGTACGAATGGCCGACGGGGGTGGTGACGGTCTTTTGCACCACAGGTAGATGGTTCAGGCCTTCTTCAACGAGTAGACGGATGATTCGGTTGGAGTAGAAGACGAAATCTGCTCGGCAGGTCTGTTGGTCTCGAATCATACTATTCCCCGGAGAGAGATGGTGTTTAGCTTGTACTCGTGAATAATAGGTTGATGTACTCACGTCAATAGAGCAATCAGCTGTGGTGTCTGTGGCAGCACATTAACATTCTCATACTTGACCACCTTTGACACGGTTGCAGCTGGCTTCTTATCATCTGGTATGGACACTGGCCCAACTCCTCTGACTGGGCCTGGTTCATTAGATGCCATGGTGATAGCTCCTAGCTTTACAAGCACACTTCTTCAGAAGCACTCTCAGTTGGAGCAATAATGACAATACTCTCCAGGCTTCCAGGGCAGAGAGAGCTGTATAAACCAGATGACAAGCTGCACAGCCAGATGAGTTTCCTATATCGAGGACTCTTGAGGGCAAAAGATGAAAATGTGTTTGATCCAATGTGGGGAAGGTGATATTTATTATGTGCGGGGGCTAGAACATGTGATGAGGCTGGAAGATGAAGCTGACTTCAATAGTTTCAGGTTGATGTTAGCGATATAGGTAGTTATAGAGATAGAGCTAGATGGATGTATATATCAAGTCTACAGTGTTGATTGTGTGGAGTGTCCTTGCTGGATCTCGAGTACTCGTACGTGGGGAGAATGCAACGGCTGACCACATGAGCATATACTCTTTTGAGCTGAGATACTTCCGCTTGTATACAGCTGCTAGATACCTATACAGCCTTGCTTTAGTCTATATCGCTGGCGGCTAGCGGATACATAGAGGCTGCGATAGTCAAAGTCACGGGGTTGGCAGCTACTTTGGAGATCGATCCTGATAACCACCCACCATCCAGCAACAACAATCACTACTATCAATTCACACAGAGACCTCGCTGAGCTGGGTCTATATCAATGGCGCGCACTGTATAGTTTATATGATAGCCTCTCTTTGATTATCTGCAGAGATGCGTGTGTGAGATCCCATGGTTACATCCACAGTCTGTTCATCTCATCACCTTTTGCGCGCTATGCACTTTCACATCTATCAGGCTATTGAAATCACCTCTAATGATAGTATATGAGAAGCTAATGAGCATTTGCATCGATTTCTTAGGTCAGGCCATCTTCAAAGAGCAGTATAATTGCCACCACCTTCAGATGATACGCCCTTTGATCCCCCACAGCGCGCTGCTTTGCGCCTCCACCTACCGTCCAGCCTGGCTTCAATAGAGCCTTACTTTGACCTTGACTTTGCTCCAGTATCCAGTATTCTTCGACTGAGAGCGATTCAGCATGCCTACGACTGATAAATTCACGCCGTCGCGTAAAATACGGACATATGGCAAACAGGTGCGCAACCACGGTTTTGGCGTTTTAGGGCGAGCCGCCGGCGACACAGATAGACATCCAGGAAAGACAAACGATGTCTTGTTGTCGAAGAAGGAGGAAGCTCCCGAGGCTGGGAAAAAGGACACCCGGGGTACGGGAGCTTTGACGCCCGTTGGCAAGGCTGTATCGCGTACGCCCAAGGCAAAAGAGGAAGTTGATATTTTCGACGTCCAACTGTCCGATGAGGACCGCCAAACCCGGGCTCAGCCATGGCTAAAGAGGAGAAAATTGAACACACCGAAGGCTGGATGGCGGTCAGAGGGAGTCGAGAAGGTAGTACCAAAGAGCACCCCACCACAGAACCAGGCTGTGTCAGATGCTGTAGGTGGCCGCGATGGCAAGGATGCGACATCCCTCGTTAGGGATGGAAAGAAAGATACCGAAATGGAAGTGGCTGTCCGTTCACCGATCAAGGCAAGGCGAAATTCCAATGCTCGGAGCTCGAAACAGGTAGCAGACCGGCCTCCTTCTCGACCAATGACGCAAAGCGGCGTCAATACATTGCTAAACGGACGTCCTACGGCTGCAGATTTGCGAGAGCTTCCGGTACGGGAGCGCAGTCTTCGCACACCGCAGAAGGGAGTACCTCAGTTAATGAAGTCTTTCTCAACGGGTACAGACCGGATGAGGCATGTGGATGGACGTTTCAATATTGGAAGCGCAGGGCGCGGGCAGAAGCATAACGGACTGCCAAATAGAATCACATCTACAGCAGAACGAAAACGGCTAGTGGATGCGTTAGGGAGCAGAGAGAAGACAGACTCTCCTAGCGATTCATCGGGAGACGAAGCTCCGAGCAGGGACCGGAATTCGCGTGCTAGTTCACATGCTCCAACGCCATCAATCGATCAACGGACTTCCGCTGATACAATGGCAACAGAGAGCGTGGGAGGAACTCACCCAAGGCGCCAGAAACAGATCAACCTCCACCAGGCAACACCAAGTGGGCTTAAGGTAACATATTCCAGACAACGATCCTTCTTGAACGAAATGGATACGATAGAGGAAGTAGGTGGTAACTCGGCTGCTCCGGGTTTCCCGCCTCCTCCTGCATCCATGACAAGCAAGTTGGGTGGTGATACAAGTTTTCCTCCCTTGGGCCTATCAAGCCAAATATCCGGTCTTCCTGCTGGTCTGGAGGAAGAAACGGCCAGCGGGTCAAGCACAATCCGGAGTATTCACGAACTCCGGCGCTCCGGAGATAACGCAAGGTATCATGCTATCATCGAGACTATTTTTGAAGATATCGAGGACAAGACTGCCCCCATATCGAGAAAACGCAGTGGAATGGTCCAGTTATGCACGAAACTTTTTGATCCTCAGTTTTCGCAACGGTTCCTAAGCAATGCTTTAGAGAAGCGGTTTGCAAAGATAAACCCAGGAGAATTTGATCTTGTCTGCGGATATCTCACATCTTGCATCTACGCGCTGTTATTAAGCTCCGGCTCTATATCCCCGATGACATTACATTACTGTTGGATGCAGATCCTAAGGGTTGCCCCGTTCTTACTTGGGGAAGATAAAAGCATGATAGAAATTACCAAGCGGCGAGAGTTGAAGATGACCAAGGCCGGCAAAGCGGATATCCAGGATATCTGTGAGAAAATAACAGAAAGCAAAATCTGGACGAGCCAGATTCCATCAACCGTGACACCTCAGCTCCTAACTCTTCGTTGTCTTGAGCTGGCGATCCGAAAACTTCGAGAAACTGGAAACGCGATGGAAACCATGTCCGTCCCTGTTTTGCGTCAAGTGATAGATATCCTTCTCAAACATTCCTTGGTAGACGATATTGATAAAGCCGGACCAGACGAACTTCTTATGCTTGAACTTACACTCTCTATTCTAGAGTCTTACACTATACACACATTATCATTAGAGGAGGAGCAACAGGAAGCGTTGAAGCCACTCTCGAAACTAGGCTTGCTTCTATCAAACCTGGGCCGCCAGCCAGATGCTCGCAGCAGACAGATCCAGATTCTTGAGATCCGTCTGATACTAAACATTACCAATAATAATCCTACACTGTGTGAGGAATTTTCTACGCCTGAGTTCATCGAAGCTCTAGCGCAGATCGTGCTTTCCAGCTTCCAGTCTGTTGGAGACGAGTTTACAGGGTCACAGAAGGAATCGCTACTGGATACGGTGATTCTAGCACTTGGAGCCTTGATTAACCTTGCCGAATGGAGTAGCGCTTCCAGGCAAGTCTTGTTGGAATCAGAAGTCGCCTCTACCACGTTGATCGACCGGCTATTACCGCTGTTCGTTGATGGGCTAGAAGCCATTGCTGAGGTTAGCCAATTGCCCATTCTCAAAATTCCTCTCCCCCGCCACCATGCTAATGAAGAGTTAGGCCGATTCCGTTGTCCAAACACACTCCAACGTTGCGTTCGGATATCTATCTGTCCTCCTCTGCACCGCCTGCCTCGATGACGATGCACGATCTTACTTACGAACAAAACTACAAGCTCGAACCTTTGAACGTCTCCTAGGCACGGTGGAGGAGTTCCTTCACTATCATCGAAAAGTCGAGGACGAGCTGCATGACGCACGAGGGGATGGCGAGGATGCCATGTCGGGCTTCACCTCTCGCCTGCAAGGGATCGTCGACCGTATACGTGACGCCGAGAGGCCTTGAGGTGGGAGCCTGACACGATATGACACGACCTATGATTTGAAATGTAGTGCTATGATGGGAATATAGGCAACAGGATATATAGCTATATCAACATTTGCTAATGATAATGTTTGTCTTTGCATGCAATATGACGATCCACCTTAGTAATGTGCTGATGTGATTGGCTGAAGGCTGACTTGAGCCTCAAACTTTAAGTTAAGGTGCGCGGGTACCTAAACTCTCGATCTCTTAACAATTCACGTATACAAGCTATAACAAACTACGGAGAGCAAGGTGAAGAGAAGGCCGTAAGCTAGTAACTATACTCGAGATATCATATACCGCGGCAGGGCAGTATAATGACGACTGAACAAACGATGAACATAGAGCTACTGAAGGGCAGTCCTACAATGGACAGTACCACATTGGACACCATCTCGTCTGTAGTATCATTCACCGACGCAAGACTCACCTGTCCCATCTTATCATCTCATGCCAAAGCAACGACTGCTGGAAGGGAGATTGCATCACATATAGCGAGGGCCAGAGATACCGGTGCCAGCATTCAGATATACGTGTTCTCTAGACGGCAGTACGTCAACCACCTTATCTGCAGTGTATCAAGGCTATAACCTTGGGCCCACCCGTTCCTCAATGATGAGAAGCTCCGAGAGTCCACTGTTTTACTTCAAGCTCGTTACATCATTACTACAAGGATACATCTTTACCTTCCCTCAAGTCCGGTAGCCCCATGCTCGAGTTCGTCGGACATCATCTAGGACTTAACGTCAACGGCCACGACCAGCAGGCTAGGATCCGTCGTCCTATCGCCAGACGGGGAAATTGAGGCTGGCCCACTTCCCGTGTTTGGCTTTAAGGGACCGTTTACGGAGAACCTCAGTAGATGACTTGCTACCCTGCTGAAGATGTTAAACATGGAAGCGAGCCGGGCGGATATCAATTTTCTCCGAAACCTAAAGCTGGCGGTTTCTCGACTTAAAAAGGCAGTTGAGATGTTCCTGAACGGTTAGGTAAGGGAGATGAATATACCGTCGAGATTTCTACCTCGATAACGGTAGAGTTGGGCTGCTTAGGTGTTCTGTCGGATATGACGGAGGACCCATGTGGCGGAATACGTAAAGCCATATCTATAGAGTAGGAGACGCCGACATGCAACTGTCTCAGGCGTTTGGCAATGTCTGGTGTCGTCTGGACCGGTTACATCAGAGAGTCGCGTGCTATTACCGAGCGTACTCCGAGCGTGAAGGCGACGAATATCCAGGCCCCACAGGTGTTCTAGTTGTAACGTCCAAGCCAGCCACAGTGAGAACACCCGTCCCTGCACCCGAATTAAGCGCTGGCTCTAGCAGACTGGAGGTGAGGCGGAGGTAGCGGAGTTCGCAGGTGGCGAAAGTTGTGCCTGCGTCTTCACATGCGGCGGGCCTGCCGAGATGTGAAGTGAAGCGAAGACTATCAAGTGTAGGTAGGTAGATAGGTAGAGTAAGAGTAGAGTAAGAGTAGAGTAAGAGAAGAGAGGAAGGTCGCGTGCCCTCACGTGAGACGTCAACCTGGGCATCAACCCTGAAGTGACCAACAGACCAACAGACCAACAGACCGACAGACTGACAGTTCGCAACGAACCCCCGTTCATGCTGCGACGATGCACGGAGGAAGGGAGGTAACGGGCTGGTCGGCCGCCCGCCGCGCCGTGCGGATACGACAGATCACCTCGGCCGCCACCGACAGACAGACAAGCCTACAAGCCTACAACGATGACAAGTTACAAGCCTTCAACGATACAAGTTACAAGCCTACAACGAAGATTCAACGACGACTGAGGCGGTGGATCTGTTCTGGGCCGCTCAGCTGACTACGCCGATCCTTCGTGCATGGCTTCTAGAAGGCGACGGTGCTTAGCTGTGTAATTATCGCGACGGAGGACAGGCATCTCCATTGGGCCTGCAGGCTGTGCGATGTACGATGTATACGGGCGTGTGCAGCCTCGATCTGTCGGCATTGAGATCTCATCTGATCCGGGCACCTGGGAACCCGCCGAAGCAGGTTTTCCCTTCCACGCAACATGACGGGCGTAGACGGCACGCCAATCGCAGGCTTGGAGTTGGAGCAGACACGGAGCGACTTACAGCCAGCTTGACGGGCGTTTCAAGAGCTCCCTGGATCCCTGTGCGGGCTATTTCAAACTGGCCTGGCCGATAGATCACAGGCCGGCCCTCAGGATAGCAGCGCTTCGAAATGAGAGGCACGGCGGACGGACAGGGCGGCTGGAGAGGCCCAGGGCGCGGTATCACACGGCCGGGGCGAGTCTCAGGGCGGTTGCAGAGCAAACAGGGCGCTATTAATATATTCGACGAACTGCTTGACGGCCGAGTTTAGTGATGAAGGCCCAGACGCGGGTCTTTCACGTGGTACATACGGTATCCTACACAGGGATGCCATGGATGATGAGATGGATGGATGCTGCGATGGGTGAGATGCGATGCGATGGCGATGGACGATGAGACGGAAGAAGAAGGTGATATAGAACAAGAACATGAATACAAAGCGAATAAGAGAAGAGAATAAGAAGAGAGAAGAGAAACGTCATCAGGCAAGCTTCCAGGATCCTGGCTAGATCGCATCAAAAGCAAGCATAGAGGCCAGAGCAGCTCGCCGACGTACATATAGAGTAGTACCTCCTCCTCCGTACTTTGTCTCCTTGTATGATAACATCCGCCTCTTCTGCTCCTGATCCTTATATACGAGCAGAGTAGCTTGAATCCAACGGCCAAACCTTAACGAAAATATCTTCTCCTCTCTCTCTCTCTCTCACATCTACAATCACTCTCTACAATCACTCATCTACGGAGTACAGTTACAATGCCGGCTACGAAGCAACGAAAGGTCGCGATAGTGGGCAGCCGTGCCGTCGGTGAGTTCGTCCTCTCCCGGCCAGCGAGATAATACTGACAGATCAGGCAAATCCTCCCTCACAGTGCGCTTCGTCGAAGGCACCTTTGTCGAAAACTACTATCCCACCATCGAAAACACCTTCAATCGCACCATCAAGCACAAGGGACAGGACTACATCACCGAGATCGTCGACACTGCTGGCCAGGACGAATACAGCATCCTCAACTCGAAGCACTTCATCGGCATCCACGGCTACATGATCGTCTACTCCGTCGCCTCCAGACAGTCCTTTGAGATGGTCACCGTCATCCGCGACAAGATCCTCAACCACCTCGTGCGTCTATAACTCTACCTTCTACAGACCAATGCTAACAGCGTGTAGGGCCAGGATTGGGTTCCTCTCGTCCTCGTCGGGAATAAATGCGACCTCCCATCGGACGTGCGAACGGTGAGCGCGGAAGAAGGCAAGAAGCTGGCAGAGAGCTTCAACTGCGCCTGGGCCGAAGCCAGCGCCCGCAACGACACGAACGTCTCCTCCACCTTCGAGCTGATGATTGCTGAGATCGAAAAGTCCCAGACGCCCAGCGAGCCGGCGAATAACGGCAAGTGTATCGTCATGTAGTCACCTCGCTGTGTGCCAAAATGACGGCCTCGAACGATGAACAAACAGTAACGATTACGCTTCTCTTCCCTGTGCCCGCGAGTGAAACGACGAACTGCCTTATCCTAATAATAAATCCTTCCGGCTGGCTGTAATACGGTTATACCCTTTTGCTTCCTCTTCTCTTCTTCTCTTTTTCTCTTCTTTCTTTTCGCTGCTTCGTCTGTATCACTCTGGTCGGTCTGGCTCCTGGGTTTCTTCCTTTCCTTCTCCTGGCTGGGTTCTTTTCTTCCTTCTTTCTTCCTCTCTTCTCCTGGCTGGGCTTAATCTTTCCCTCTCTTCTGTTCTTCTACTGGGTTGGCGACTGACGCCGATGACGATGGGATGTATTCCTTATTATCTTTCCTTCTTCGTTTCCTGGGAGTATGGGTTGTTGATAGACCAGCGTTAGAACGGATTGGGGTCACTGTATGCTTATGCTTATGCTTATGCTCTTCTCATGCTGCTCCGTGTTATAACATAATACTAATGGACTGTCTTCCTTAATTGTATATGTATCTATAATCGTATATGTTATCTATCATTGTGTCTATAATCGTGTATAATCGTATATGAGTATGCACAGCCGCGGAACGCCACACCGAGTTACCCCTCCAGTTCTACATCTTCGTCTTTTGTGGCCATCGCAGATACACACGACACTACATAGCACTGCACATCTACTGCGCTCTCGGAGGTCAGTCTGCGTCTTCTCAAGTGGTTCGCGTGTCTCTTAACCGGTCTCCAGGTCGCCGTCAAGCACGCCGAGTCATCTCTGCTCATCCATCACCCCGCATCGAAAAAAAAGGACAAAAATTATACAGGGACCACGAAAATGCTCGACATCGCCGACCTCATACCCGAACGCGGTGGTGACCCGAAGAAGGTCAAGGAGAGTCAGAGACGACGGTTCGCGTCTGAAGATATCGTCGATGAAGTTGTGGCCTTGTACGAGGATGCCCGCCGGAGTAAGACTGTCTATCTCCCTCTTGTTCCATGGACGGGCAGCGCCAATGGCTGGACTGGATATAACTGACGGGTGTTTTCTTCATGTTTAAGCACGCTACGAGGCTACCCAGGTCGGATCGAAGATCAATGGCGTACAGAAGGAGATTGGCATGAAGAAGAGGGTTGGTAGAGATACATCTACGGTTGATGGGCCATGGCTAATCGGATGGATAGAATAAAGAAGATGCGACGGACCTGCTTCAGGAAAAAGCAAAGCTGGAACAAGAGAAGAAAGCTATCGAGGACCGGGCCGTGCAGTGCGAACAGCTTCGTGATCGCCGTCTGAAGACTATCGGGAACTACGTCGATGCCTCTGTCCCCATCGACAAGAACGAGGATAACAACACCGTCATCCGCACCTGGGCACCGCCAGACACCAAGGTAGAGAAGAAGGACTGTCTCTCTCACCACGAGGTCCTATACCGTCTCGATGGCTACGATCCGGAGCGAGGTGTGAAAATCGTCGGCCACAGAGGCTACTGTCTGACTGGATACGGCCTGTTCCTCAACCTGGCGCTGGTCAACTATGGACTCGAGTTCTTGTTCAATAAGGGATACAAGCCCAACCAGCCTCCTCACTTTATGCTGAGGCAGTACATGGCCAAGACCGCGCAGCTGGAGCAGTTCGACGAGGAGCTGTATAAGGTGACTGAGAGCGAGGACCCGAGCACGGATAAGTACTTGATCGCTACCTCGGAGCAGCCCTTGTCTGCACTGCACGATGGAGAGTGGATTCTAGAGAAGGAGCTTCCTATAAAGTAGGTTCATTCATTCGATTTTTTCTTTTTTTTTTTCGTTAGGTTGTTGTCGCTGACAGGCCGGTATAGATACGCTGGATACAGCACCTGCTACAGAAAGGAGGCCGGCGCACACGGTAAAGATGCATGGGGAATCTTCCGTGTCCATCAGTTCGAGAAGGTAAGTCTTGTACCTTACTACATCATACACTACTAACACGTCCAGATCGAACAATTCCTCATAACGAAGCCAGAGGACTCGTGGAAAGCGTTTGACGAAATGATCGATACCTCTGAAGAGTTCTACAAATCCCTCCGTATCCCTTACCAAGTCATCGCCATCGTCTCCGGCGCCCTCAACAACGCCGCGTCCAAGAAACTCGATCTGGAAGCCTGGTTCCCGTTCCAGGGCGAGTACAAGGAACTCGTCTCCTGCTCGAACTGCACGGACTACCAGACTCGCGAGCTGGATATACGGTTCGGATCGAAGAAGTTAACCGACGTCAAGAAGAACTACTGCCACGCTCTGAACGCCACGCTGTGTGCCACCGAGCGAGCCCTGTGCTGTATCCTCGAGAACTACCAGCAAGAAGATGTAGGCTGCCTTACCATATCATATTTTATACTTCCCCTTATCATATACTAAAAACTTCTAGGGCATCATCGTCCCCGAGGTCCTGCGCAAGTATATCCCCGGCAACCCCGAGTTCCTGCCGTACGTCAAGGAGCTGCCCAAGGACAGCACGTCGCAGAAAGTCAAGGCCAAGGGAGGCAAAGACGCGGGAAAGGCAGACGTGACCAAGGGAGTGCAGGACCTGAAGGTTTAGGCCGTCTCGTAGGCGAAAGACAATGATCAAGCACGACATCTATGGAAGTATTGTTAGTTGCATGAACTAGCGGTATATCCCTGCTCTTGGATAGCAGGGGGCGCCGAAGCCGGACGGAGTATATACGGCCAGCGCAAACACAACGTGAATGAAGACGACCATGAACATGTCTACAGCCGTATAAACGTAGCTAGAACTGCCTGAATAAAAGGAATAAACTGTTAAGACGCAGGTTTATAGAAAACATCCATATGGAAGCGAGTTTAGTCAGCGGGGCCTCGTTTGACTTCATATGGAGCAAAAAAAAAAGAGTCATGCAAAGACAACTCATTGTTAAGGGCGTAGATATATAAAGCCCTCGCCTCCGCTGTCTTGACCTTTTCCTCTTCTCATCCTCATCCTACTTTGATCCTCGCAGAAAGAGTATACACCATGGGCTCCCCTCCAAAAGACATCAGCGGTGCTGCCCGCAGCCTCTCAGACCAGGTCTCAACCAGCTTAAACCTCTCTGTCTCGCCGTCAGCAAACCGAGTATCTCCTCTGTCCAGCTTCGATGCCAGAGGCCGAAGGCAGGAATCCACTGGCTTCCCGCCAAAGCTGCTGAAGCCGTTCGCTACTCAGGATATCAAGGTGCTGTTGCTGGAGAATGTTAATATTACGGGACGCAGCATGCTGTCGGAGCAAGGATACCAGGTGGAATTCCTCAAGTCCTCGCTGCCAGAAGACCAATTGATTGAGAAGATCAGGTTGGTTTGCGTCCGATCCCTCTCTTTTTCTTCGGTTATACCGATATCTCTCTTTTTCTTCGTTTATACCGATCTGCCCCTCCCCCACTATCCTCCGATAGAGCCCAAGTGCCGGAGAATAATATTCGGAGAATTACGGCTGACCGTTAATATGCAGGGATGTACATGTCATTGGCATTCGATCCAAGACGAAACTCACGGAGAGAGTGCTTCGGGAGGCCCATAACCTGTTGGTCATCGGCTGTTTCTGTATCGGAACGAACCAGGTCGATCTCCAGTATGCTGCCAACCATGGTATTGCCGTGTTCAACTCCCCCTTCAGCAACTCTCGCAGTGTTGCCGAGCTGATGATTGCTGAAATCATCACTCTGGCCCGTCAGCTGGGTGACCGTTCCCTTGAAATGCACAATGGAACCTGGAACAAGCTCAGCAACAAGTGCTGGGAAGTCCGTGGGAAGGTTCTCGGTATGTATCTACGAATATCACTCTCCTCTAATAGTACTTGTTCTAACGATGTTCCTAGGTATCATTGGATACGGACACATTGGCTCCCAGCTTTCCGTTCTTGCAGAAGCCATGGGTATGACCGTCATTTACTACGATGTAGTTAACCTGATGGCGATGGGAACCGCCCGCCAGGTCCCCACGATGCAAGACCTGCTCCAAACAGCCGACTTCGTGACCCTCCACGTCCCCGAACTGCCAGAAACCAAAAACATGTTCTCTCACAAGCAGTTTGAACAGATGAAAGATGGCAGCTACCTGCTCAACGCCAGCCGCGGAAGCGTGGTTGACATCCCTGCCTTGGTCCAGGCCATGCGTACCGAGAAGATCGCCGGTGCCGCTCTAGACGTATACCCCAGCGAACCTGCAGGGAATGGAGACTATTACAACAAAAATCTCGCACCGTGGGCTGCTGACTTGCGGGGACTGAAGAATATAATCCTAACCCCGCATATTGGCGGTAGCACCGAGGAGGCGCAGAGTGCAATTGGAATCGAAGTCGGCCAGGCTCTGATAAGATATGTCAATGAGGGAACTACCCTGGGTGCCGTCAACATGCCTGAGGTAACTCTCAGGTCCCTGACGATCGATGAGCCTAACCATGCTAGAATTATCTTCATCCATAACAACGTTCCCGGTGTCCTGCGAAAAGGTATACATCTATATGCTTCGTCGTTTGCTATACCGATGCTAACATGTCACTTTAGTTAACGAAATTCTTGGTGATCACAACGTCGATAAACAGATGACCGACAGCCGAGGCGATGTATGTTGTCTCCCTCCGATGATGGGGTGTTTAATCAATTGCTAATGGTTATCTTAGGTCGCCTACCTGATGGCGGACGTTAGCAGCGTTGACTCTGATAACATCAAGGATCTATATGATCAACTAGAGGGACTCTCATGTATGTCTCCACAACATCCCTCTTTCTTGTCCAGAAAACTAACCACAAACTTAGCCCGTATCATGACTCGCATCCTTTTCTAAACAAAAAGCAGATATGCATAAACCAACAATAGAACGAAAAAGGGACATCCCCCTAACCCATTCATCTTAAATTTTGTTAATATTCTTTTTCCTCCTTTCACCACTTTCTTTAACAGCCTGCACACCTGGGATTTTCGGACCGGAGAATATTGGTAAATTGCTCGCAGTTGGGATAACGGATGATGACGACTCGTATGGTGTTATGTAGGTTTTCTTTATTTTTTTTTATTTTTTATTTTTTATTATTTATACTTAGCCATCTTCCATTCAACATTGCTATGGTCGGATTCAACGAATGTCCATAGACAAATTCAAAACAGAATCAAAAAGAAAGGAACAAAACTTCTCCTCCCGATGTTTTCCTGATATGCGCCAAAAGTTCATTTCTTCCTATCCCAGATCTGTAATATGGCAAGTAGTGAAAGGACGTTGATTCGTCTGTAGATGCTCGCTGAACTCCAGTTTCGTTTACCTGATGCAGTCCTCCGGATAAAACGCGTGAAGGACAGGCGGAAACAAAGCTGACAATTAGATCAAGAAAAGGTAAGGTGGGTCAAATATCGAAAACACAAAAGCCTGATTATCTGGTATTGATTTGGTGGTGGAATGAGTAGCAAAATGAAGTCGTTCGGTCCAAACGAGAATGTTAACGTCTATATAGATGATGAGGGAGCGCACCAGGATCACCAGTCCGGCTACGGTCCCTTGACTCTGGGCTCCGGCTTCGGCTGGGTCGCCAGTACCGATCTCTTGATACTGGATCGATATTATCCCTCCGCGGAGGTAACGTTCCATCTCCCCCTGATCTGTATCTGTCGTTACCGCCACCAACATAGTTGGGTACATACGAGTCTCTACCTCCATCACTGATACCTCCTCCACCTCGAGGCGGTGGCGGTCTATCGCGTCTTTGGTCTTGACCGGGCCCTCCGCCCCGACGAGGACCACCCTGCCACGGAGGATTAGCTGGAGCGGGAGGTTTGGGTGGTAAGTTTGCATCACGTTGCCATGCTGCGAGATGGCCATGTGGTTCGCCTGATGCTTTTCGTTTGTGACCATGAACTGGATCAGGTCCGCCACGGCTGTCATATGGCGGTCTGGAGGATGGGGGCATGTTACCTCCATAGCCAGAACGCGCTGCAATTGGGACTCGGCTTTTCTTTGGATCAGTTGTTGGTGGACGAGCAGAGCCGGAGGTCCATTCGCCATGAGCACCCATCCCTACCGACCCTCCCGCGGGTGCTGGGGGTAGTGCAGCCTTTTGGCCGCGGAATTTCCTTCTGTCGAGTTCATGGGAATCTTCAAATGACGGGATGTCGCCAGGACGAGCAGGTAGAGGGGGGGTAGTGAAGTATGGGTGTTTAAGTGCATCGATGGCATTTATTCTTTTGCGCCAATCGAGCCTCAGAAGTTCGGTTAGAAGAGAAATAGCGACGGGACCTTGGCTATAAATTGCATTTTAGTTTCCGACATGTCTCAATGAGTATATGTTACTTCTTCCAAGGCAGACTTACTCCTGGAAAACGGTTGCGAGAGTTGGGCGTTTGAAACCAAACGATCTGATTGGTTCGGCTCCTGGTAATGCGCTCCATCCTGGCATATTTTCTTCGGTGGGTGAGCCGACGAGATTGAAGATGAGTTGCGCTTGATTAAGGTCACTGCTTCCAGCAAGAATAGGTTTTCCTTTGAACATTTCACCGAACACACATCTGCATCAAAATTAGTATCCCAAATGTGCCGTTGATGTATAAAATGTTTCACTTACCCGGCTCCCCACAAATCGATGGCGGTAGTGTAGCGGCGTAGTTGGAGAAGAAGTTCAGGGGGCCGATACCATCGAGTGACAACCAGTGTCGTGTATTCCCTCTTCGCTTCTCCGCCTCCTTTACCAGCAACTGGTGGTGCTTCATCATAGGGTCGCGCAAGCCCAAAGTCAGCTATCTGAAGCACTCCTGCATTGTTAATCAACAGATTGGCAGCCTTCATATCCCTGTGCAAAATTCGATTCTTGAAACCGTCACGTTAGTAAAAGATAGATGCGTAAACCGAACAGCTGGCGTCGTACCTCGTGCAGATACTGGAGGCCCTTGAGTAGCTGTATCATGTAGCATTTTATCTGAGGTTCGGAAAACTGAACATCTGGGTTCTCTAGCAACCCGGACAAGTCGTGTTCCATATAAGGAGTCACCATGTACATTGAAGGTTTCTTTCGTCCTTCGCCTGTTGTAACAGTCAGACCCATGATTTCAGGCCGAAAGGTAGCTCGGAAGGTAACAAACCTCTGCTCCGTTCTACAGCCATTTCTTGAAGCTGTAGAATATTTGGGTGTGATAGGATTTTGAGAAGCTTGATCTCTCGTAAAGCCGTGATTGGGAACTGGACAGAAATGTATCAGTCGACGCAATTTGGTATTACCAGTTCCTTCAGAACTTACCCCGTCCTTCTCATTATGCATTAATATCTTTTTCAAGGCAACTAACGAGCCCGCTCGTTTTGACCTGGCTTTATAAACTTCACTTTTCGTGGGAGAAACTTGATCAGCAACGGAACCGTTGATTGCATCAGAAGCTGTAGACAATACCCGAACGTTCCTTCACCGAGCTTCCCTAAGAATTCAAATTCGCGAATGGAGGAACAGCCTTGGAAGCGCAAACGGCCGTCCTCATCGCGCTCCAGGGACCGTTTTGGCCTGGGCGATGAGCTTGACGCAAGCATCGCGGAGGCTCCCCAAGAACCGAGCTTGAATATTTATCCCCAATACTCGTCCGACCTTTTAAATAACCGTATTCACGTTCGTCTCGCGGATTCGGATATGGCGATCGATAGTTGGATGGATGCGCGCAACTCAAGCATGCGGAGTTGACGAACGGATGGGCCAGTGGTCTCCGGAATAGCGGTATCTGGTATTAGAGGGCCTATAGAAATAGCTCGAACCGTTGACCTCTCATCTAGTTGCGACCGCAGGGGATATGAAGCTCATCGGTAGAACAGTGAATTTCTACACGATAACGAAACGGATAAAGTTGATGCCACTGTGTGTAGTCGTGTGGTGGTGTCCGCTGTGTTTAACGTGAAAATATCGGACCCGGGGCGGTTTCTGCTGCTATTGAGTCAATGGGAACAATAAAGCACAATGGCAGCACTGCATGAAGGCCATTGAAAGCGAAATATCTCGGTCCTCTCCAGCTTCCCCAAAAGAGACAAATCGCGAACCTCGGCTCTTCTGTTTTTCCGGCGGCCGAAAGTTGACCGGAAAGAATGACGCCCAAAGAAACGAACGAACCGCCATCACCACCAACCACCGGAGCGTCGTCGCATCTTCTCAGCTCGGAGACCTGGTGGGACTGTTCAGGTATGTCGGACGCCATGCATTGGAGATGAACTGGGTTCTTTGAGCTGTCGCTAACCCTGTCTTGCGCTGTAGAAACGCCAAACGAAGCACCCCAACTATGCCTTCCACCAACCATTCGATTAAGGTGCCTCCGGGCCCGCCATTGTACAGATTCGCTGCCACTGCTCTTGGAGCTAGCATGTGGTTCTGGGTATGTCGGAGACACTTCTTAGCCGATAATGCTACGATAACCTCGAATTGGGCTGTTCAATATGTCTCTAACTGATATATCCGATTTAGTTGATGTACCGTGCTAAGAAAGACGGCCCTGTCCTCCTCGGCTGGAAGCACCCATGGGACCATTAAACTACTCGTCTCACGTTTTCTCGCATGTCATTTCGTTTATCGCAAAAAATACACCCGAGTCGAGATGTTAGAGGATATCACTCCACCTACGCGCGGGTACTGATCCATCAATTCTGGGGGATGCATCGTGAATCAGGCATAACTCCTGTGGATAGGATGCCCCATAACTCATGGAATATTTTACAGTTAATTGCGATAAACTCCTTGTATCATCAGGAAATCACACTTTCTGCGCCCCGCATGATGTATATATTTCATAGAAAGCATGTTCAACAGCCCTTTTTTTTTGCTATATCTCTGCTGAACCTAGTAGACTATACAAAATACACCGTATAACTATACATCATCGCAATCTATCGTACTCTATCAACATAATAAATGTTCACGGTATTGAAAACCCCAAAATCGGAAAGGAAACCCTCAAAATCAAAAAAGAAACTGGCCAGCGGCACCTATGTTATACGTGCAGATTAGCCATATTGTATATAAACTTCCAAAGGCCATCACCGCCCGCCTTCGAGCAGCACTTTATATCGTCGGCGTTGCTTTTTGGTATGGGGACGTATCCAACGATTCAGTTGACCGAGGCCGCGAGCTAGTTGCGGGAAGACGTGATTCTCACAAACCCATGCCGCTGCAAAACCACCCAATGCAAGAAGTAGAATCCAGCCCTTGAATTCGGGTGACATGTATGTCAACTGCATCAGCTTGTATAGCCATTTTGCAGGCTGGAAGAGCATATATGAGGAGAATAGGAAGATTATGATGATCGTGGCCACGAACGGGACTATTGAATTCAGGTCAGCTATCGCCAGTTGCTAGGGCCTATGGGGCGTGGATAGAACGTACCGTTTGAAGTCGCTGGCTTCCGGAACGGCCGACCTGCACTCAGGACTACGCCGGAAAACACATATTGGTAGCATGAAACTAGGAATAGTGCTGTGTTTTGAGAGTTTTTGATATTGGTCTCCTCGTGACTAATTTTTGGTGGAATATACCTAGTACTGTTAATACCGGATGCAGGAAACAGTGAAGAGGATATGGCTGGTGCAGACTTACCATTTAGGGATTTGGACTGTCTCATAGGCAACGGCCTGGATAAGTATACATATAGCAATCTGTCCTAAAAGAGGAGTTAAGACCTTCCGCGACACGAGGTTTGCAGTTGGCCTCTTGCGGCATAGGACTGAGCTTGGTCCGATCCATCCCACTAATCATGGTTAATTAAATTCCGCAGTAAATCTGAGCGCCTATAGACTTACTAAAGATAGCGACAGGTAATATTATCGCAAGGTCGATATAGAGGAACTATAACTTGTGGTTAGAACGGTGTGTTTTGAACAGTAGATAATTTTGAAGACTGACCTGGAAATCTCCTAAATTCGAAGCAGTTGCGTAGAGGAAGCTAACGGAGGTAAATTGAATGGCCGAGTAAATACTCATATATTTGAAACAGCAGAAGCTTGTAACTAGTGCCGCTCTTCCTTCTCTATATCTCTATTAGCAACGAAGGGGCTGGGTGGGAGCCTAGTGACATACCTGATAAGTTTTGGAACACATGAGATATCGAATACTCTGCTCGTAAATGGTGCAGCGACTGACGCCTCTGCTTCCGAAAGCGAGATACCCACGTCTGCAGCTTTCAGGGCGCCGCAGTCATTTGCCCCATCACCGCAGAATCCACAGTCATAGTCGAGAGATTGTAGCTTTTCAACCAGCTCGTGCTTCTCATCAGGGGACATTCGAGCAAAGACTTGGCCGCGGACGAGCATCTATTTCATGTTAGAGAACTTGCATTTACGGATTCTTGGGGATAGCTCCTACCTTATTAAGCACCTCTTCAGAGCCATAGTCGACCACCCAGCGGAATACATCTCCAGTTACCGCAATGGCGTAGTTGGGTTTATTGTAATGGTGATATGGAACAGAAACATCGGCTCCAGAGCTATGAGGAAGTGGCTGTGAAAGTTAGAGATTGGACAAAAGAAGTTTCTATAGATGTAACTTAGCTTACCGTCAAGGTATGTTCATCGAGTTGATGGTCTTGGTTATCAATGCTCTGCCAGCAAAGGCGAGAATTTGGATCGGACGAATCCCCTGGTTACACGTTAGCATATGAACCACACCATGGACAATATATTGGGAATTAACTTGCCTTCCACAAAGTAGGGAACGAAACACGGAGCGGAGCCGTCAACAAAACCGCATTCCCGGGCAACGCTGACAGCAGTCAATATATTATCACCGGTACACATCACATTACGGATACCGGCTTCATGTAGTTCGGTAATGACCTCCTTAGATGTAGGTTTAAGCTTGTTTTCAAAGATGATAAAACCAATGAACTCGAGATCCGTTTCGGCGTCTGCTCGGTTCATCGAAAAGATGTCTCGGAGGGAAAATTTTGGGATATGTTTTGTTGCGCAGGCGATGACTCGGAAGCCGCGGTGGGTATAGTAGTTAAGTAGCTCTGAGAAATCAGGTGGTACTAAAATAGGGGGTTAGTAAGGTGAGAAAATGGTTGAATAAGAGTTAAAAACTCACAGCTTTTAGAATTGCATATATCCTTCATACACTCCGGAGCGCCTTTGACAAAAATGTCAACACCATCACTTCCAGGTTGCCGAACAACGACACTCGATCGACGTAGTTGAGATACGAATTCGAAAATACGAAGGATGGATAGCTCGGTGATATCGTCCTGCCACCACAAAGTTAGACTAGGATGGAGAATATCGGATAGACATATGGCTTACATTTGTCAGATCAGTGTCACCGGGGGGAGCAAAATTTAGCGAAGATCTCGCAACAGACGGAGAAATATGTTCATAATCCTCGTATACTTCGGCAGTGTTGTGGCTGCCTTCTTCGTAGGACCAATTCGTGAATTCGAACATCTTGACATCGAGAGGGTCACCTATTAGCTCTCCATCTACCATCCTTAGCGAATGGCATGTTGCCATGGTGTAGAGAATAGCCGTGTTAGGCCCATAGTCCTGTGTAGGATCTCGCTCGGCCCGCAGTTGGGGTAGAATACACGGTGCTTCCGTTAAGAGGTCGCTAAATCTATACTCAATGAAAGATTAACTATCTGCCAATAAGGATCTAGATTGGACAGACTTCCTACCTCTGGTCTCTTTGGTGACTTAATCTAACTCCAAGGACATCGAGGCCGTCTTCGGTTAATGTTCCGGTTTTGTCGAAGCAGACAACGTCAAGCTTCCCAGCAACGTTAACCCTTCGAATATGTTAGCACTTGAAACAGTTAAAGCATCGTCTGGGTCTTGTCATACCTTTGTGGGCTGATACAGAAGATCTGCTGTGATTTAAGCCTTGATATGGCGAAGTTGATACCAATGGTCAGTGTCGCTGGTAGGGCGGGTGGCACAACGATGGTGATAAGGTCTAGTGCCCTAACGATAATCGTATGCCAAACGATCTGAAGCAAACATGTTAGGATCAGATACTGCCGTAAAACAGGAAGGTGATAAGCTTACCCCTAGACGAATAAAATTCACAAAGGATACAATAAACCCAATAACAGCAATAGCAGCCATCACAGAAATATAGCGGAAGGAATCCTGATAGAATTTGAAACCAGATGGCTTGGGGAACAGCATTGATCGAACAAGTGCACCCTTTGTAGTATTGAAGCCTGTTCGCACAACCATGGCTAGAGCAGCTGCTTCATCATCGGCGGGATCCTGTGGTCTTCGGGCGCGAATGAGCTTTGTACCACAAAATAAGAAATGCCTGGCCACACTCGGGTCAACAGATGTTGCCGCTAGATTTAATTGGGCAAGAGAGTGATCTGTAACAGGGAACTTTGAGACTGGGACAGATTCGCCTGTTGTGGACCGTTAGATGTAATTACACGAATAAGCGTTGAGCGATAGGGGCCAAACCTGTTAGCATGCTCTCATTCACAATACAATCTCCAGAGAGTAGGAGGCAATCGCAAGGAATCTGAGACAGAGAGGGATCAGAAACTTCAAATACGTCGCCAGGTATGAGCTCTGTTGAGGGTACGGTTGTCCCTATATACGTCGGTTAATGCTAGATATAAATACTTGACGTCTTCAGGGAGAAAACTTACAAAATCCGCTTCTCAGAACTCGAATCTCACACTCGAAATGCGCAATCTCACGTAGTCGACGCATGGTCTACGTAGTCAGCCTTGTATATATCTTTTAGTAGCCACGGGGTGTAGTAACCTACCGATCTAGTCTCAATAGCAGTTGCAGTGATGCTAAAAACGGAAATAAAGAATATACAAGTAGCATAATAGTAGTATTCATCCATTGACCAGAGAGTTAAACTGGCAATTTGGAAGATATAGAACGGATGAAATGCCTACAAAGTAATTAGTAGATGGAATTTCTTTCATACGACAAAATCGCACTCAGGGAAGAAGCTCACCTCATCAACCAATATTTGGGGGATAGTCTTGGCTTGGATATCAATAATATTTGCGCCAAAGACTTGCTCGCGACTCTCCCTCTCGTCCGCATCTAAACCGCGTCGTAACAACTTCACATCCGCCCATGCTGGATCTGCCCAGGTTCCGCTGATACGAAACTTGTCTTGTACCGGTTGGTAGTAGAAGCGGACATAATGATAGTCCAGATATCGAAGATTCGGCATCATAGGGTCATCGTCGTACTCATAGTTGGCTGCTGCGCCTTCTTTGTTTGTGCGCCCGAAGACGGTGGATAACTGGCGTCCATACGACTGGTTCTGAACATCCTGTATGGTGAATTGGCCCCATTGATTTTCAATAGCTACCCATTGGCATTTATATAGCGGTGTCGGAGTGCCTATTAGCGAAACTCGCCACCGCGGCACCCATCTAAATAGCAGATAACCCAAGCCGCAAGAGAGAATGCAGATAGCGAGATAGGCCGCCAAACCGGTCACACTGGTTGAAAACCCGGCTATAGCAGCAGTCAGATCTTCGGAGGCAATGTATATCTTCTGACTGACTATGCCATCGGACGACTTTCCGCGTGGATGGTCAGTGGATGAGGCACGGCGCCAGAGTAAGGGGTCTTCAGCGGAGTCGTGCGAGGGAGTCAGACCGAAGTAGCTAGACGGGCGGAAGGAGATCTCAGCATCAGCTTCCTGGTCTTCACCATGATCTCGATCTCGATCGCGGTCATGGTCTTCGTGCTCGTCGGATGGGATGCGATGGACGTGCAGGTCACCGTTCTCAAGCTCAGGCTCGATGATCGCCTCCTCGTCGCGGTCATCTGGCCAGACGAGGGATCCATTGTTTTCCTGAAAGTAGGTAAAGCTGACGTTTGATTCGCGGCGAGAACGGCGGCGGACGAATGATGCGACGCTGGAGGGTATGCTTTCTGATATAGGTCCGGCATAAACCTTGTGCTGTTGTTAGTCGTCATATCTCTTTTCCTTTCGGGGAGTAGGGATAGTGAGCTCACCTCATCCTGTGCCATCTCTACGTCCGAGAGGAGGCTGGTTCTATAAACAATTAGTCCATGCTACGATCTCTAGCCAGGGGAATGCATATAGTACCTGCTCCGCATGAAGCTGTTGCGGTAGATGCTCCGCGGCTGGGGCCCGTCATGGCGGTCCTCGCCGTTAGTGTGCTCGTCATCCATTTGGGGCAGCACGAAAGAATATGTTGCATTCTCACGGGCCGAACTAGATGTCCCTAGATGCTATAGATGCGGCTCGAGGAAGTAAACAGAGCTTCCAAGCTTCGAACTTCCTTCGAGCCATGGAAGATCGCTGAGTCACGGGGTCGCGGATCTTATCACCACGTGATGCGGGCTCCTGATAAGCATCTCGGCTGCAGCGGTTATCGGAACGGCGGAGTTATTATTCCGGAGCTGCGATCCGCGCCTAGCCAGATATTGTAAGTGTAGCTTGGTTAGCTCTTACTGTCTATTGTCTATTGTCCGTTTGTTAGATATAGAATATCCGTAGAAAGGTAAAGCAATAATACCGTTTAAAGGTACTACTTAAGCAACGGTGGACGAACGTTATTTCGGCAGGGCGGAACAACCATTATCCGATGCTCTCTGTCGGGAGATCTTCCCGCTCGAATTCTCTTGTCAAGACGACACCTCATCTGTCTGTCATACATCATGAATTCGTGGGCTATCCTGACTCGTAGCGATAGCAAATGAACGTTGTTTGTGGCATATAAACCCCCTGACGGTGTTGCCCATAGCTCAAGAAGGAACTCAGAGCCGAACCTCCACTCAACTCGGTTACCTCGATCAATAACGCCTCGAGATTCTACAGGCTGCAGCAGGGGTTTATAGTTCTTTGACAGGTTGAACATACTGCAGCTACTACACAAAGAGATTTCTTCTCATCAGCAGGACAACTTCGTTATAGTTCATAGAACAATACAAAAGAACTAGAAGTCTTATCGCCGTTGGAGGCTGTTATCGTCAAAACCTCCCACCATAGAAGTCGGCAGCTATCGGGCTGTGCTATGTACGGTGGCCAGACCACCTGAGATATTCTTATGTCGTGCTTCCGCAGGTAGGGATCATGGATGCACCGTGCCACTGACGTCGCTTGAGCTCTTTAGCAAGCTTTCGGGCTTACTTCGGGATATGTAGGCGACCACCGGACGGTAAACAGATGCGTGTCCTTCGATAAAATAACGGTTTAAAAGTCTAAGTCCCTGTCAAAGGCTGCTAGACGAAAGCTCATTCCGCAGTTCCCCCCCCCTCCTCCCCCCGCGCCGATCAGCGGGACAGTCCCGTAGTCTTTTGTCGGGTTTTTTTAATTACCGCTTATATCGTGAAGATAGAAAAGCCGAATATGAAGGATGGTAAAGATAATATTAGAATAACTGCCCCGAAATGCTCATTTATACTGATTAACTATGTAGATACTGAAGCGAACGAACGGGTGTAAAGGACGAAGAAGCCAAAAAAAAAGACAATATAGAAGCGGATTTAGTGCATGAAGAAATATAAGACGGGGTTAAAATTAAATATAGGTATGAAAAAAACAGCAATTCGTAAATTCATTCAGTTCGAACATTTGCTAGGTTTCAAGGGTCCATGTGTTTCTTCGCCTCCCTAGCCAATGCAACAGTTCCTAATGCTTCTGCAACGAGATGAGCTACATGATGGTGGTCATCTCCTAGTAACTCCCGACCCAAAGCATATGCACCTGCAACCTGCTCTATCATGCGGCGCGTATGGCCGCCTTCATTGGAATGGCTGTGAGACCTAGAGCGGGATCTAGAGTGGGAGTGGGAGTGAGAACTTCTATGTCTGTGGCTGTGTCGTTGGGAAGAGTCGCTATCCGAGTCGTACGTCGAGGCATCAGTCTCCTGCCTCTGAGTTGACGATATCGCAATCTGGTTCCTACTCAGATCTGTAGAGGTTGACTGCATCTGGGTCTGTTGGGTGACTATGTCACTCTCGCCAGAATGGTGGTGTGTTGTAGTTTCTTCACGACGGTGATGTTTATAGAATCCGCCTTTGTCGCGCCTTAATAGCTCGTAAGCGCCGACTGCCGTGGCTGCTCCAATGGCGGCTTTGATAAGATGCGCGTTACGCTCTTCATGGTCGTCTCGGTCCTCGACACTTCGGATCAGCTCGTGGGCGGCGACAACGGCTCCGCCAGCTCCAACGGCTGTACCAACGTGAGACTTGATGCTTGAGTTCTCAGCCATATTGCAAAAAGGCGTAATGAAGTGGTGGTAGTGGTAATAGGCAAGAGTTGTGGATCAAGTATATGGCCTGATCAGGTAGAGTTTTCTTAAAATTTGTAAAGGTTGTATGAGGAGATGTCTTGTTGATGTGTAGGATGATGATGAGGATGATGTCTTAACGTATGGATGACGAGGCCGAGAAGGCCAATTTATACCATCCCATCATGGATAATACTGATTTCCGCACCTCCATTTGCGTCATCGTCTTCGGTCTCCCGAAGGTCAGGCGATAGTCGGAAATATCCGCGCCCCAATTCTCGCTTCAAGCCAGAAGATATGAGTTGGTATAGCCTTGTCGGACAGTTCAGGTTCTGAAATCACATGGATGAGAAGGTTGAAAGCAGTCTAGAACAGCCGCAGGCGTGAATGTGCAGGGATAGGTCGAATAGTCGTGCCTGTGCAGTGACACGAATGAGGCACTCCACTCCCGACAATTGAAAGTATAGCTTAATTTCTGCGCCGGAAGCGAAAAGAGCATGATCATGCCCCCAAAAAAAAGAAAGCAAAACGCGAGAATTCGCCGGCCGGCCAAGCCTGGATTCTACAGGGGTTAGCAGCTGTCATAGGCGAGAATCGGTTTGCTGGCGAATATAAAACGTACCGGCTCGGCAGACGCATTATCTACTGCTGTTCGTCATATTTTGTATACAGAAGTGAACATACAGCTCCGCCTGATACCGACTTGAGCATTTACCAAGCTATGTCTAAACTCCTCAATCTCATTCGCCCGGCACACATCACCCTCAGTGATCCGGGAAACCTCCTCCAATCTATCGTCGAGTACGGCGAGGACCCGTGGTTTCGGTTCCGCGGCTTCAACAACAGCGGTCACCACGGCCACCGTGATCGCGGTGGCGCTAACCACGATACCCATCTCATTTCTACCGCACCTTCACCACGATTCGATGTCCTGGTGCTGGATAACATGTTCTTCCTCGAAGGCGAATTTCCAGGAATCGACAAGGAGGCACTTGATCTGGAAATCATCGAGCCTCGAACCCTTGTAGTCCGAGCCGACATACAACCCACTGACATGCGTCGGGAATGGGGCTTGGATCTCGAGAGGAATGATACCGAAGAAAATCAAGCAGAGGAAGATCTGGCTCCTCCACCTGAAGGGGATATCGAGTCCCAGACCACCAACAGACAACCAAAAGATGTGGATCATAAGGCTAAGAAGCCTTTAATATGGGTGGGAGAACGGGCAACCGGATCGTTACAGAGATCTTTCACATTCCCGACCAAGATGGATTTCAGCACCCTGAGAGCACGGTACGCGAACGGGCTGCTGAAGATCATGGTGTGTCGGGACGCTGGCCATGAGGAACAAAAGCGGCAGAAGGCTTTTATTGAGGGTTAATAATCACACCTGGGTATTTCATCACCATAATCCGGTCCATCGTGTGGATCTCTCTAATTCAATTTGCGTCGGGAATCTCTTTATATGTACGAAGTAATGAAAGCCGTGTCATAATTTTATGTCCTTTATAAAGACGGGTAGCCATAGGTTGCCTCCATCCTCTCAAAAGACATCTCCATTCTTGTAGTAGCAGCTAGTATAGGCTGACTATAGAGTAGTTAGTCTCTCGGTGTTTTGAATTATCCTATCCTATAGATTACTCACAACTTGGTGTCTATTGGTTCAATCACTTGAGATAGTTGTTGTAACGGTCTGAACCTCAACGAAATTAATTTTCCATCCGGTTTATAGCTATAGGAAGAGAGTTAGTAGATAATATTTAGTAATATGGAGGAATATCATTACGTGACTTGAAGACGTGAGATTTGGTGGATGAAGAGAAGCGCGAGGATGACGGCGACTGCTATAAGGAGTCGAAATGTTTTTGGATCGCTGCAGTATAGTAAGGTATCCCGCAGCAATAGTCGTGCCATTGGTGAAATCCAGCATATTGTATCAAAAACGTCTTCAAAGCATGTGTGTTTGGGGCTGGACAAGCGGCGATCTTGGAGCAGCCCCAGGGCCGTCATACCGAAGGCTGCCTCTAAAGCATATAGCCTTTCCCCGTCTTCCTTGGTGGGCGCCTTATGCGTTTGTGAGGTATTCCATTAGCCTCCCTGTAGGCCTGTTTTTCTCCTCTAGAGTCTCATTTGGTAATGGAACATATTCTAGAGAGATCTAGGCATAGATATGGCGTATATGACAGTTGTGATCACGGTGAGGTCCGTGTGTACATCTTTCTTTGAGGTTAATCCAGTTCCCATGGAATAGATTTTTTGATGAGAGGAGGCACAAGTAGTGGATATGGCCTCCTATGATATCATGTCGGAGATGGATCCTTCCCATCATGCCAGCAATTTTGTTGGTCAAATGCTACCATTGGACAGCTGGATGTCTGGTGAGTAGCGGGTATCTTGTTGAGGATACACCCGGTGCATCCATTGGATAGCTGCGCGGTAAACTTGTACAGCTGGTCTGCACTGATCGTACTGGTGTTAGTGTTAAGGGTGTCTCGGCTCCAAAGGGATCTCCTTAGCGATTAGGGTAACCAGCAGGTCGTCAAGTAAGATATAGATGGTTCGGCAGTCCCTTGGAGGGTAGACCCATCATCATAGCAATAACGATACTTTGATCGTTTAAGTCTGGCCTAGCCAGAGCAAGTACAACGAGCTGAGCTAGTTCTACTTGCTCTACCTAGCATTATGTCACCCACACTTGCTACATATAAAGACTCCAACTGCCTTTCTGTGGCTTTAAACAAGAGTATCCAGGTTACTTGTGTCCATAACATTCAACATGGAGCAAGAAGTGCAACATAAGTAGAGAAACAAGTAGAAACAAGTGAGAATGAAGTTGACCATTTATGCGGGGTTCGGCCTAGTCCGAGCGGATAAACTTATATTCCGGGTCGTGATATACAAAATATAGGTATGATCCTCTATTACGAGGACCATACTAGGAGGAACAACATGACAACCAGCGTTATAGAGGTCAAGAAGATGAGAAAAGCGAGAGAGACGTGATAGGCTTGCTAGCCTACTAAATACGACTTCTATACCAAGGTAAATACCCTTACTAATGATATATGACCCTTTACGCACGGGTAACATGGCTGAGATCTCGACAACTCCACCGCCGCTCAACACTTTACTTTAGTTAGCGATGGAGGAATTTGGATGGACTCTTCCCGGCCTGCCAGGCCCACTGGTTCCACCGCGACTAACTGGCCACGCAATAAAGAATGGTGGTGGCAGAGAGAATTCAGGGGTTCTAGACAACGGCCAACTTCTTCCTTCCATAGCGTGGATGTGATGGTAGGATACAAAAACGGCTTACCTGCATCGTCTGTACTCTGGAATGCGTGATATCGCACAGTAACTGTTATATAGGGCTTAGCATGGTGCGACGCCGTATCTCATTCATCCATGTCCTGACGAGTACAGATGACAGACGAAGACGATGATACCAGCAGCCTGTAGCACTGGACGTAGATGCATCTGTATAAACGGTGCAGACAGCAGCGTATCTCTTCATCATCTCTTCACCGTCATCTTCATCTTCTTCTATCTCTTCATCATCTCTTTCTCATCATCATCTTCTTCTCTTTATCATCATCTCTTCATCATCATCTCTTCATCTCTATTTATCATCATCCATGCCAAGCCTCTTGCCCGATCCGTGATAGTCACCACGCCAAAGTAGCCCACCAAAGTAAATCTTCTGATAGCCTTCAACGCTGAAAAATACACCACCACCACCCTCACTCCTCACCACCACACAACCCTCCATCGCCCGTCTCAAGCCCGCTCTCTCTGCTGCTCTCACGATGTCCGAACCGATCAGAAGCAAGAAGCCGGAGGTGACTGCCCCGTAAGTGCTGCCGGCCTTCCAGCCGCCGCCCGTTGATACCTGACGGCCTGACTGACCGTTCTTTGTAGGACCCCTCAGAACACGCCTGCGAACAATGCCCCTATTTCCTCCCACGCCCAGCAACCTGGCATCGCCAGCATTAAAGAGGGTGCGTATCACGCTGCCGTACTCGTGCAGCCCTTTTCTTGAGCCTCTCTTATTCTCCTTCCTCTGTTTTTCTTTTCTTTGTTGTTGCATATATCAGATGTAGCAGCGCTAATACCCCGTATAGAGGACCTCGACCGGGTGGCCGCTGCCTCCCTCTTCGCGCAGAACCCCAAGCTCGTCTCCATGATCCAGGGAAAGCTTGGATCCATCATCGGTCGCTCGTCCGGCTACATCGAATCCCTCCCTGCCTCTGTTCGCCGCCGTGTCGCCGGCCTCAAGGGCATCCAGACCGAACACGCCAAGCTCGAAGCCGCCTTCCAGGAAGAAGTCCTAGAGCTCGAGAAGAAGTACTTTGCCAAATATACCCCACTCTACCAGCGTCGCGCGGCCATCGTCGTCGGCAAGGCCGAGCCCACCGATGCAGAGGTCGAGGCCGGCAAGCGTGACGAGGAGGACGAGGAAGATGACGAGAAGAAGGAGAACGAGGAGAAGCAGCTCCCCGTTGAGTCCGAAGAGACACCTGCTTCTGGTATCCCAGAGTTCTGGCTGTCCTCCATGAAGAACCAGATCTCGCTCGCCGAGCTGATCACCGACAGAGACGAGGGTGCCCTCAAGGAGCTAACGGATATACGCATGGAGTATCTCGACCGTCCTGGCTTCCGACTTATCTTTGAGTTTGCCGAGAACGAGTTCTTCACCAACAAAACCATCGCCAAGAGTTATTACTATCAAGAGGAGAACGGCTATGGTGGAGACTTCATCTACGACCATGCTGAAGGCGAGAAGATTGATTGGAAGGAGGGCAAGGACCTGACTGTCCGGATAGAGAGCAAGAAGCAGCGTAACAAGAGTAAGCCATCCCGTCGTCGTTAGCCTTGTCTCACCCTTAACCCTACTAATGCTTGCTACAGCCACCAAACAAACCCGCGTCGTCAAAGTGACCGTCCCCACCGAATCATTCTTCAACTTCTTCTCCCCACCCAAACCCCCACAAGAAGACGACGATGACGTTGCCTCTGACATTGAGGAGCGTCTCGAACTTGACTACCAGCTCGGTGAAGACATCAAGGAGAAGCTCATCCCCCGCGCCATCGACTGGTTCACTGGCGAGGCCCTACAGTACGAAGAGCTTGACGACACGTTCGAAGGCGAGTTCGAGGACGATGACGAAGATGATGACGAGGACGACGATGATGAAGAAGACGAGAGGAGGGGTGATGATGATGAAGACTCTGATGAAGAAGTATGCATCCGCTCTCCAGCCCTATACTAACGGCAGTTTGCTAACCATAACAACTCTACAGGATGACGGTTCAAAGCCCAAGAAGGAAGCTACTGAATGCAAACAAAGCTAAAAAACGCGACGAAAACAAATTGACCAAAAAGAAAGAAATATGTTGATTTAAAAGAAAGATATCATCTGAACTGAACCAAAAAAAAGAACCAAAAAAAACTATCTTATCTACCTACCTTCAAACAATATGATGTCCCTCAACCACCCTACCCATCCTGCGTTCCCTTCTATTCCTCCTCCCCATCCCATCCCATTCCACCCCCTATCCGTCGATGAAATGCTGCATTTGAATTCTTTACTCCCACGCCACTACACTAATCCAATTCATTTTTCATTTCCTATTCCATAGCTTTGATGTTGTTCGCTTGTTTTAATCCGCATTTCTCTTCCCTTTCTCATTCTGCGATAACGACACCTTTTTCCCCCTCAAATCATAGTAACTTTAATATCAAAATATCAGGTCTTCTTCCCCCTTTTTTTATCTCTCCCCTTTTTCCTTTTACGTCTCATCTTTCTCCTACATGATGGCCGTTACATTTCCTTTGCATGATACATGATTCCTACCTACCCTGGGCCCGAAAGAGCTGGGCTGAGTAGGGATAGATGACGGTGATGGACGGCGATAGTGATAGTGATAAGGCGTCGGGGCTTTGAATTTTGAGATCCTCCCAACAAACACAGATTTATATTCGACCGACCTGCATCTTCATCTTTTGAGGCTTTTTTTTATCTAGAGACACGGCGAGGGCTAGCTGCATGAACTGACTATGTTTTGCGTTTGTTTTATTGGCTATATAATAAAAGTTTCCACCATTTATCTTCCACCGCTTTCTTGCTCCTTCGTATTGACAGCGCAGCACACCCGATGACGATGAAACGTACCCTGGCACCACTGGCGTCTAGCACGTAAACATGTAACATCTCTATCCCTCTATTCAGGCGAGCAAGTGGGTGGGCAGCAACATGGTTCTCGTCGCCATTACCCCTAATCCTCCCATCCCAGATTGGTGAATGAAACAGATATCAAAAGCGCCGCTCACGTGACTTTATACATCACCAAAGCGACTTCCAACACGATACGCTAATAATTCCTTATTTCAGGGGGCTTGAGAAGTGAACCCATATCTTACGCTATTTCTACGCTCCAGCAGACTTGCGAACCTGCTAAACTGGCCTCGTCGTCCGTTCCCGTTCTCGTCCTCGTCCTTTATTCTTAACGGCCTTGCGAGAGACACGTTTGGCCTCCGTTGTCGTCGCAGTTGTCGTCATCGTTGTTTTCTTTTGGGGTGTGGCCTGCGATTTTCTTTATATTTGCTTCCACCCATTGTTATATCTAATTCTGGAACGGAGACTAGCAAAGGAAGCAAAGGAAGCGCCTTAAAAGAGCTTGATTACACGGTTTTATTTGCCCTGAACACCATGCTTTAGACCCACACGCGGGCTACGTGAAGCATTTTACCCTGATTTCTCGATATCGATATCGTTGACGATAACCGTGACGTTGACCGTGATCGTGGTCTTTTTCGTGTCTTTTATTACCTTTTAATCCTGCCGGTGTCAGATCACGCGCAATGGTGCATACATATGAGGTCGGCACGCGGGCGTGGCAGCCCGATCCGACTGAGGGATGGGTTGCGTCCGAAGTGGCCGAGAAGGTGGTAGATGGAGAGAAAGTGAAGCTGGTGTTTACTTTGGAGAATGGAGAGGTGAGCTTCTACGGAAGAGCTGACCCCTTAAAATGCTGGCTGGCAGCTGGCGGCTGGCGGACAGGAAATATAAACTAACCCTGTACTCCGGAATAGACAAAAACGACCGAGACAACGCTGGCGGAACTGGCCTCGGATACTAGCGAAAAATTACCACCATTGATGAATCCGACGATGCTAGAAGCGAGTGAGGATTTAACGAATTTGTCTCATTTGAACGAGCCAGCTGGTACGCCCTTTTTAACGGACATATTATATGGAGTTTGAAACTTACAGTTCTATCCTATAGTCCTTCAGGCTATTAAGCTACGGTACCACCAAAAAGAAATCTACACATACTCCGGTATCGTTCTTATAGCGACCAACCCGTTCGCCCGTGTCGATTCTCTATATGTCCCACAGATGGTTCAGGTTTATGCCGGCAAACAGCGAGCTTCACAAGCTCCCCATCTTTTTGCCATTGCAGAAGAAGCTTTTGCGTGAGACTCACTCCCAATTGGACCCTTAACTTGAGCTACCACTAACTAAACCGGCCAGGGACATGTTGAGGGACACACAAAACCAAACCATCGTGGTATCTGGAGAATCCGGTGCTGGAAAGACCGTCAGTGCAAAGTATATAATGCGTTACTTTGCCACGCGAGAGACATCCGATAACCCTGGATCTTACTCTACTGGACGGGCGGACTCCATCAGTGAAACTGAAGAGCAAATTCTAGCCACCAATCCCGTCATGGAAGCTTTCGGAAACGCAAAGACAACACGAAATGATAACTCGTCACGATTCGGTAAATATATTGAGATCTTGTTCGATGACAGGACGAATATTATTGGTGCAAAGATTAGAACGTACCTTTTAGAACGATCGAGGCTGGTTTTCCAACCGCTGAAGGAACGAAATTACCATATCTTCTATCAACTTATTGCCGGTGCCACAGATGCTGAGAAGCAGGAGTTGGGTATCTTGCCAGTCGAGGAATTTGACTATCTGAACCAGGGAGGAACACCCATTATTGATGGAGTGGATGACAAGGCTGAACTAGACGCTACAAGGAAGTCGCTTACTACAATTGGTCTGACACAAGAAGTGCAGGCGGCCATTTTCAGGATTCTGGCTGCTTTGCTTCACCTCGGTAATGTCAAGATTGTTGCTACCAGAAATGACTCCTCTCTCTCGCCTACGGAACCGTCTCTCGTCCGAACTTGTGAAATGCTAGGTATTGACGCGAGCGAATTTGCCAAATGGACCGTCAAAAAGCAGCTGGTCACCCGAGGCGAGAAGATTATTTCTAACCTTAACCAGCCACAGGCCCTCGTGGTCCGAGATTCAGTTGCCAAGTTCATCTACTCAAGTCTGTTCGACTGGCTGGTTGAAACCATTAACCGCAGTTTGGCAACCGAAGAAGTTCTTAGCCGAGCCACTTCATTTATTGGTGTCCTTGATATCTATGGATTTGAGCATTTCGCCAAGAACTCCTTTGAACAGTTCTGTATCAACTATGCGAACGAGAAATTGCAGCAGGAATTCAACCAGCACGTGTTCAAACTTGAGCAGGAGGAATACGTCCGAGAACAAATCGATTGGACCTTCATCAACTTCTCGGACAACCAGCCATGTATTGACCTTATTGAAGGGAAACTTGGTATCTTAGCCCTGCTTGACGAGGAGTCCAGGCTCCCAATGGGTGCTGATGAGCAATTCGTTAACAAGCTACATCATAACTTCGCCGCGGATAAGCAAAAGTTCTACAAGAAGCCTCGATTTGGCAAGTCCTCGTTCACCGTCTGCCATTATGCTATTGACGTCACCTACGAGTCAGATGGTTTCATCGAGAAGAACAGAGATACTGTGCCCGATGAGCACATGGAGGTTCTCCGAAATTCCTCCAACCCCTTCATCAGGGATGTCCTCCAAGCTGCATCTGCCATTCGAGAGAAGGATTCCGCCTCCATGTCCTCCAGGGCAGTCGCAGCCCCCGGAAGGAAAATTGGTGTTGCGGTCAACCGTAAGCCTACACTGGGAGGTATTTTCAAATCTTCTCTCATCGAGCTCATGAACACCATAAACTCCACGGACGTCCACTACATCCGATGTATAAAGCCAAACGAAGCGAAAGAGGCTTGGAAGTTCGAGGGACCCATGGTCCTTAGTCAACTGCGAGCTTGTGGTGTTCTCGAAACCGTGCGAATAAGTTGTGCCGGTTATCCTACCCGGTGGACATATGAGGAGTTTGCGCTCAGATATTATATGCTCTGCCATTCATCACAATGGACCTCTGAAATCCGAGCTATGTGTCACGCCATTTTGTCAAAGGCTTTGGGCGATATTAACCAGCAAAACCAGGATAAGTACCAACTCGGCTTAACTAAAATCTTTTTCCGAGCTGGTATGCTTGCGTTCTTGGAGAACCTTCGCACTTCGCGCCTGAATGAATGTGCCATCATGATTCAGAAGAATCTTAAATGCAAATTCTACCGACGAAAGTATCTTGCCATGCGCGATTCCATCCTCGCCTTCCAGGGCCTTATTCGAGGATTCTTGGCAAGGCAGCATGCTGAAGGCGCTCGCCAGATCAAGGCTGCAACTACTATCCAGCGAGTCTGGAGAGGCCAGAAGGATCGCAAATACTACCACAGGATCCGAAACAATGTCATTCTCGTCGAGTCGTTGGCCAGGGGTTATCTCTGCCGCCGAAACATCATGGACAGTATCCTCGGAAACGCCGCGAAGGTTATTCAACGCTCTTTCAGGACATGGCGACAACTTCGTAAATGGAGAGATTACCGCCGAAAGGTTGTCATTGTACAGAACTTGTGGCGTGGTAAGGAAGCTCGCAAGCAGTACAAGTCTCTCCGTGAAGAGGCACGGGATCTCAAGCAGATCTCCTACAAACTGGAGAACAAGGTCGTTGAGTTGACTCAGTCCCTTGGATCCCTCAAGCAGCAGAACAAGGCATTGAACACCCAGCTTGAGAACTATGATGGACAGATTAAATCTTGGAGAAGTCGACATAACGCCCTTGAAGCCCGATCTCGTGAATTGCAGGCTGAGGCTAACCAGGCCGGTATCACCGCCGCTCGCCTAACAGCTATGGAGGAAGAAATGACCAAACTCCAACACAACCACAACGAGTCAATCGCAACGGTCAAGAAACTACAGGAGGAAGAGAAGGCTACCAGAGAAAGCCTTCGCATTACAAGCTTAGAGCTTGACAATGCCAAAAACGCAATTATTGTCCACGAGCAGGAGAAAACCTATCTCCGCCAGCAGGTCGTCGAACTACAAGATGAGCTTGAATTTGCCAAGAGGTCAGCTCCTATTAACGGAGTCAATGGAGACTTGTCGAATGGAAACGCTCCTACTCAACCTAGCCTGTCAGGCTTGATCAATCTGGTCGCCTCGAAGAAACCCAAGCCGAAGAGACGTAGCGCAGGACTCGAAAAGGTCGAAATTGATCGTTTCAGCGGCGCCTACAATCCAAGACCTGTCTCTATGGCCATACCCAGTGGTGGAGTTGGCCGCGGTGACATGCGAAGCTCGACGTTCGCGCCTGGAATTGATTCTGTAGAAATTGAATTGGAGAATCTACTTTCAGAGGAAGAGGAGCTTAACGATGAAGTCACCATGGGGCTTATCAAGAACCTCAAAATCCCTCTTCCCAGCTCCGATCCACCACCAACAGAGAAGGAGGTTTTGTTCCCCTCATACCTAATCAACCTTGTTACATCTGAGATGTGGAACAATGGTTTCGTGAAGGAATCCGAGCGATTCCTTGCCAATGTTATGCAGGCCATTCAGCAGGAAGTCATGCAACACGATAGCGAGGATACAATTAGCTCTGGAGCTTTCTGGCTTTCGAACGTCCACGAAATGCTTTCATTCGTCTTCCTCGCAGAAGACTGGTATGAAGCTCAAAAGACTGACAACTACGAATACGACCGTCTTTTGGAGATTGTCAAGCATGACCTGGAAAGCTTGGAGTTTAATATCTACCACACCTGGATGAAAGCTTTGAAGAAGAAGCTCTTCAAGATGATTGTCCCAGCTATCATCGAGTCTCAGTCCCTTCCTGGATTCGTCACAAGTGAAACGAACAGATTCCTTGGAAAGCTTCTCCCTTCAAATAACAACCCCTTGTACAGCATGGACCATCTACTCAGCTTGCTCAACAGCGTGTTCAAGGCTATGAAAGCCTACTATCTCGAAGATTCCATTGTGACTCAAACTGTTACTGAATTGCTACGACTGGTTGGTGTCACCGCGTTTAATGACTTGCTTATGCGACGTAATTTCCTCTCGTGGAAGCGTGGGCTGCAGATTAATTACAACATTACCCGTATCGAGGAATGGTGCAAGAGCCACGATATGCCAGAGGGCACCCTGCAGCTTGAGCATCTCATGGTAAGTCCTTCGGCTTCCTATTCCATCGGTCCTTCACTAACAATATGCCATTACAGCAAGCAACCAAGCTACTTCAGCTGAAGAAGGCAACTCTGAACGACATAGAAATCATCCAAGACATCTGCTGGATGTAAGTATCATATCAATTCTCACTTTGTCTCAGCCCGGTTACTTACACGAACACTCGTCTAGGCTTTCCCCAAATCAAATCCAGAAACTTCTCAACCAGTATCTCGTCGCCGACTATGAACAGCCCATCAACGGTGAAATCATGAAAGCTGTTGCATCCCGAGTCACTGAGAAGAGCGATGTTCTGCTTCTAACTGCAGTCGACATGGAGGACAGTGGTCCCTATGAGATCGCTGAGCCCAGAGCCATTACTGCGCTGGAAACGTATACGCCATCATGTGAGTTCCGCCCAGGTATTCTTTTAAATCATCACGATATAGCGTACTAACATAGCAATAGGGCTGCAAACTCCTCGACTTAAGCGTCTTGCCGAGATCGTTTCCGTCCAAGCAATGGCCCAGCAGGACCGCCTTGACAGCTTAGAAATGGGAGAACCACCGGAGGATTAAACATTCTCTACCTCTTCCCATGCTCCATCGTAATAAATGACGATGCCTCACTTTGGCCCCTCAATTCTACCCTATAATTCCCCGTCTTTTAGACCGTTGGCTCTTAGCCCTCGCTTCTAGGCAAAATCTTTTGAAACGTGTCCGATGGAAAAGCATAATGGTTCCTGTTGAGGACATCAATTTTCTTTTCTTTATTTTCTTTTTCTTTTTCTTCCCTATGTTTGATCCATGGTAATGTTTAACTGTTGTGATTGTGATTCCCGCTAAGACCATATTTATGTTTAACCATTTATTCCGTTTTCTGAGATCTTTTGGTTCCAGGGGGTTTACTGCTAGTTGTTCTTTGGTCTCCTTTCTATACAGTTTTACGCCCGCCTCCGCCCTGTCCACGTATTTGAACCTTTTATTTATACGCGTCTTAAAGTTGTTTGGAGGTCATTTGGAGATCTCCTACACATCGTCTATTCTTCACGCTGGCCCATTGTTATGTTCTTGTATCATATTTCTTGTACCCCACTTGCTTCAAGTGTAAAATAGACACTGCTTCAACGTCCTTGCAGGAGAAATCTGTAAGGGGCATATGACTCGGAGGAGATGTCAACACATCTCCAAATTTACGACGCTTCGGTTTTTAACGTCACTATTTTTATTTCAGGAGAAGTATTTCCGCCTCCCGATAGGAAAATGGCGTATACCATATACGTCTATAATGTCATGACTAATATTTACACCCTGGATTTGATTGTGAACTTATTGAGTAGATCGGAAAGTTTGGTCTATGGTTTAGTTTGGGTTGATTTGTAAAGTTGGTGGGGGACTCGATATAAATGTCAGTCATACTCGACCTTCAACTTTCCCCCGCCCATCACGATCATATCTATCTCTTTTACCTTTCTTTTTATTTACCGTGGAATATACCTCATATAAACCCTGTCCTCCAGTCAATCTTATATTTTATACACATTGAGTGACGTGAAACACACAGCAGATATCAATTACCGAAGTTGCCGACAAGCGGAGGGATAACCATGAAGACTATCAATTTTGTTACGGGAAACAAGAATAAGCTCGCAGAAGTCAAGGCGATACTCGAAGGTACCATTGAAGTACAGAGTGTATCAGTCGACGTCCCAGAGCTACAGGGAACGATCGAAGATATTGCAAAGGAAAAATGCCGTAAAGCTGCTGAAGCGGTGGGTGATTTCATGATCTCCCCTTCCTTTTACTCCTAAATCCTAGTTGTAGCTCTATTTTTCAATGGTTACTGACTTAAGACTCATACCAGATCAATGGACCTGCATTGACAGACGATACTGCACTGGAGTTCAATGCTTTGAATGGCCTACCAGGTCCTTATATGTAAGTCTCCTCTTGAATATAATTACATACTCTGAATGAGGAATCATGCAAAAAGTCAATCGTCTTCAAGTTTCGGTATTAACAACGTCGTAACAGAAAATGGTTCCTTGAGAAACTCGGCCACGTTGGGCTCAATAAACTGGTTGAGCCATATGAGGATAAATCTGCAGTAACAGTTGCCACTTTCGCCTTCTGTGCAGGGCCAGGAGAGGAACCAATTCTTTTCCAGGGGAAAACGGAGGTGAGTGGAATATACAGAGGTCGCTACTATTAAGACCTTAAGTAGGCCCCTATGTTGTATCAAGGAGTATGATATGGTGCTACTTTATTCATAAGGGTAACTGTAAGGTAGGTCTAACGGTAAGGACTAAGGAAAAGTCATAACGGCTATTGATTATTGGATATGAGAGGGTGCTCTCTATTTTACCCCTTGATGAAACATGGGGGCCATTAAGGGTCTATCGTAGCCCTCCGCACTCGCACTCTTGCTCTTGATCGATAGCATAGGGTAGAAGCTGACAATGAAACCGCCAATAGGGTAAAGTAGTACCAGCTCGTGGATCAACGCAATTTGGTCAGTAAACCACCCTACTTCCACACAAACAGGCCCACGGGTTGCAAGCTGACACCGCTGATACCAGGTTGGGATCCGATCTTTGAATACGAAGGCCAAACCTATGCCGAGATGGACCCAAAGTACAAGGTAAATGCGCCTGTCTCCTTTGCTTTTTTCCGCATAACCTCAATTATTCTGAAGGAAAGCTAATTCAAGCTCCTCAGAACACGATATCCCATCGCTATAAGGCGTTAATGAAGCTGAAGGCGTGGATAGAAGAGCAGAAGCAGAAGCAAGAGCTTTGATTCTCTATAAATCCATCAACCTTTTAGTGATCGGACTCGCTGCTGGCCTGCAGAATGTTGAGATAGACCCATTATTCGTTAACGCGCATCAGTCCGAGCCAGTGGTACGTGATTGCTTCCAGGTTTCTATCCACGACTTTATCCTCTGGCAATTGCTTTCGATGGCATCGTCTGTCTCACTTTGAAGTTCGACAACAATCTCCTCGTCATAAGCTTCTTTGGCCTCCTCAAGTAACACTTCAAAAATTTCGGCGTCGAGGTTCTCTTGGAGTTTCTCCTCTGAGTATGATCTATAGAAAGGAAATAAGATATGTCAATAGAAATTCCGTTATCAAGATTGCTAGGGGTATGCGATAAACAAGGGTAGAAATGTTTATAAACTTGACATGAGATATATCAACTCACCTCGCCGCCAATCTGTCATAAAGAATAGAAGTGGATGGACACCGTAACACAACCACGAGATCAATCCAAGATTTTGGGAACAGATCACACGCATGCCAGTCAATTATAAATCCACCATTTAGTACATCTGCTTCGATTTCGTCAAGTAACTAAAGTAATAGAAAGAGTTAGCTTGCGAATGCGGGCACAGTTCGAAGGAACTAGATATCAATTACCTTATCCTCATCAACAATGTGACTTTTTAGTTTCTCGTCATAACCGTCATAGCACCCTCGATCCTTCGCAACTTGATTTATAGATAAGTGCTTTAGTTCTGTCTCCTGTGCAAGTTGTTCGGAGTGAACAGTCTTCCCCACCCCTGGCGTGCCAGTGATGATAATGTTCGGTAAGGTTCTCATGACTGCTGTAGGTTAAGCAAACTAAATCTTTCGGATATTTAGCTGGTATCAGATGCCCCTGATGGAAAAGCGACTGCCAATTATATAGATATCTGAACCTTGGAATTGTATGGCTCTGGAGTGCTTGTGGTGTTTATACAAAAAATTCCCAGCAACCTCGGACGGGTTTATATTTTATCACGTGATTTTTATATTTTCCACCACCTGCACCTCCGAGATTCTTTTCCTATTTAGAACCAACTTCATCTATGTACTCAATATGGTAACGTCGTACCACTTTTGGTTATAATGTAGCCTGGGTGTTAAATGGTGAGATATCTATGGTGCCTGAGAAGGCAATCTATTTCATTCATTTGACCGCGGGGTAATGCAGCACTATACCTCTAGGACTCGGTTTTTGGTGGTGATGGTGATGGAGTAAGCCTGGAATTAATTGTCAGCACCGTGATACCTCCCTGAACAAGGTCCATGCACGTACATGAGAAGCTCGAATGCGTCGAACTGCCGCAAATATCTACTACTTCTTCGGAACGCCTTCAAGTACATTGAAGGCTTCGAAGCAGTAAATTGTGACCCAATCAGCCGTGAAGTTGCAACTGACGTCTTAAACATTGGGTCAAAAACGAGAAGATTGACACTGCCATTCTTTCGAAGTTCAAACCCGACGATTGTCATCGAATGCCCTATAATTTGATATATAAGCAATCGACGAACACTCGGATCTCAACCAATGAATAGCAGGTTAGGTTGTTCCGTACCTGCATGCTGTAAGTATATAGGAGGGAGTTCGGTTTGGATAACCTGCTTCCCAGCGGTAGGGGTTTCATGGTTGAGGAAGTATTCTGCTACGGTTAAGGAAAGGGATTCAAAGGCACTATCCTCTGATGTTTCGGTACAGACTGCAGGACGACAACTGCTTGGATTTAGCCACAGTCTCACTATTAGAATATCCACGACAATGTAAGCAAATAGGGCTGTACGTACGGTATCTCCAAACTCCGGAATAAAGCAACAGCCTATTTGAAGAATGATATGTGATTAGCACATCTAAATGCTCCTTTCGTATGTAGAGGTAGAATGGAGTCTCACCTCTGAAGTACCTATATACTTCCGTGTCCCCCTTATGCCTCCGGTTTCTCTCCTGGCATGACTATTGAAACCATTATCCCAAGCTTGCTCAATCATGTCCTGTAGCCTTAATATCGACGGAGTCCGACCAGGGAAATGTTCACAGCCAGCTGTACGACTGTCCTGGAGATAGGAGATAAGCATTTGGATATTACGATACCCGCAAAACCCACCCTCCTTTCGCATTTTGAAAATATGTCGAACATTAGGGTTGCATAGGAATGCCTGCTCTACCGAATCATCCTGTTGACATAGTCTAGCAATGACCCGGATCAGGCCATATGTTTCATTTGAAACGATCTCGACCTTGCGTAACGTTCCATCTCGCAGGATCCTATTCTCACGGATAATTTCTGGGCCTTCTTCGAGCATTTTGCGTAGCCAGGCAGGCATCTTCGCCTCCCGCGCATACGGCCCTAGCTCGGTGGTCTGTCAGAATTTCATGTTAGCTTCGGGAATGGACCTCGAATAACGCGCGTAGACGAGATAACATCTCAGAATCATACCCCAAGTTGGCCAGAACGTCTAGCTCTGTTTTTCTGCTTTGGGGCTTTGGAATGGATTGGCCCGTCCCGAAAACGTTTCCCATCATGCTTGCCCAGCGCTTTGCTTAGCTTGGGTGACAGCTCCTCGTCTTCAAAATCCTCCGACTCGATATAGCCGGGTGATATGGTATCCTGACCCTTAACATCGATTCCTTTAAGCTCTTCTAGCGCCAGTCCCTCCGCGAGATGCAAATCTAAGTGACTCGTTAGCTGAGCTTCGGTCACCGCCTCCCCGCATCCTGTAGGACAGTCGATGTATTTGGTAGCTGGCTCCGCATCCTCGTTTGTATAAAGCTGCGTGTCACCATGCCACCAGTCGGGTTTTCTGGTATTTTCGCTACTTGGTTGGTCGTCCGTTGCCAGAAATGGCGAGATACCATTTTCAGGGTGACATAACTCCACATGCTGGGTCAAAAAGTATGCGTCTGCATCTGTGAAATCGCAGAACGGACACGGAAGGGATTCCGTGGCGTCCATGATAGTTTAGGGTGAGACAACGGAGGAATTAGGAGGTTACTGGTAGTTAGTGGAAGGATCCGAATCGAGTAGCTCTGGCGGTTGGAGCTGAAGATTCACTGTAACGTCTATTTATTGTAGGAGAGCTGCGGCTGGCCTGATCTAACGTTATTCAGTGACCGCCGAGTGATGTTGAATTATAAATGAAGGGTTAGTGAGTTGAATTGTTATACGTCCATCAAATGAATTTATTGCCAGAGTTGGATATTTAGTACTCAGCCCCATATTTAGGAGCATCTTGCCACAGGCCACCAAAACGACAATGAGACTGATTTATGTGACAAAGATGGGCTCTACAACAGCAGTGATATATAGGCTGATTGTTTTACCATCCCAGGGTGAAATACAGCATCCTTCAAATAATGGCTCTCGTATGTTCTATATTAGCCCTCCTACAAGCTTTACTACCCTAGCCTGTAGGAAGCAGGAATATGAGTTTAAAAAAGCCCAAAAAAAAGAAAACACAGTCCATGCACAAGTGCATTTGGTTAACCTTCCTACATCTAGACTACCAAGGTTCATTCCACGAAGGAAGTTGCGAAAATGCCAGCTGAAAAGATTAGCATAGGAGTCTCCGATCGACCGTATGCAAATATATGGGCAGGTAAACGCATGCTAGGTATTTCAATAGCCTTTTCGGGTGTGTTCCGTAGTAGACTCTGGCATAGGTTCATTCCCGATAGCCTTTGAACAACCTGTCAACGGGCGTGCGGTCATTTTTTTCCCTGAGCCTTTATACTTAAATTAGCATGGCCTGCATCCGGATCACCCCAAGGCGCGTCGTCCTGCGGGGTTTTGACCCTTGCAAGACGGCTCCAATGTCGTACTTATATCAAAGCAGCGACAAGGATAACCGTTTATGATCCTCTGATCCTCTGATCCTCTGACATCTAGTTTCCCCTAGCATGGGGTTCTCGCCTTTCCGCCCTTCGTCGATTGACATGGCTAGACGCAGCGGTGCAGTCCGTGTTGGCTGGGGGGAGAGGACCGAAGGGCTCGCGAAAGACGGTTTTTTCTTGTTCAGCTCACGGCTTTCCACGGTCCGGCCCGGGTATCCCAAGTCAGCATTGCAACCCCCCGGGGATGTTTATATCGATAAAAAAAAAAAAAACCAAGGGCAGTCCAGGGGTTTGAAATCGAGCCGACTTTTTTCGAGATATGCAGCGGGGATCTCGCGTGGCTTCCAGTCCATATCCGCATTGAAACCACGGGCTGCTTGCTCTCTGTTCAAGGATCACCGGACTAACATTGGCGAACCCCAGGTGCATGACGGTTACATTCCCTGGCAGGGTTCTCATTTCGGGCAACAGTCGATCACCGCAGGCCTTGCATTCTCGTAGTATTCTCGTTTCTCGCTGTCTAAAGTTGTTTACAGTTAGAAGTTGCTATATCAACTTTTTCTCGAAGTTGTCGCTCTGTGTCCGAAAGAGGAAGGAAGAAACAAACAAACAAACGGCGCAAACGAGACAAACAGCCCTAAACTGCTTATCTTTCTCTTATCGGCGCTAGTCCTAATCAGGGGCTAAAGTCTAAATTGCGTGATCCTGACCCGGCGAAACCTTCCGCAATTGGAGTCCGGAAAAACCCAAAGTGGCTAGTTCTGCCGCTAAAACGTATTTTTGCAAACCAAAAGGCTATTTTCATTATGTAAGAAACGCGTTTGAAAATTACGACGTAAATCGCTTGAGTCAGCGGGAAAAAAATGGGCGGAGGACAAAGGGTCGAAGACAAAAACATCTCCCGGTCTCTCCAACATTTTCTATAGAAGGATGATACACCTGAATTAGCTATATATCCCGGGCGCCATCCTTACAGCCACTTGTTTCCTCTGCCATTGCTGCTGAAGCTGAGACCTGAGCAGTGTCAAGAGACGAGAGACCTGCGGGGAACCCTGGTATCCCCCACTGCTTGTGCTGTGCTGCGTGCCAGTTCCCTACCATCATGAACGGCAATGGTCATATAGTAAACGGCCACACGGCCGTTCTATCAAATGGAGTGTCCAACACTCCCCCGTCGGACTGGGTAGTCCAGAAATTCGGCGGGACGAGCGTCGGCAAATTCGCCCATCAGATCGTTGACCAGGTCATCCAGTATGCGATTCCTCTGCGTCATTCGTTTGGTTGTCTTAATATATTGAATGATTACTAACTGTTGTCGTTTTCTCTTTCTAGGCCGAGCACCCTCACAAACCGTGTTGCCGTCGTATGTTCCGCCCGGAGTAGTTCCTCCAAGGCGGATGGGACCACTAATCGGTGAGTCGACCTAAATGAATGATTATACAAAACGGTGGTTAACGTTGTAATGATTTGATATAGGCTCCTACGAGCAGCACGTGAGGCAGAGAACCCCAAGTCGACTCAGTACAGGACCCTCGTCGAGACAGTTCTGTCCGAACACATAACCGTGGCAAACGAGCTCATCCATTCTGTGGAATTGAGAACACAATTGGCAGGAGAGTTTGATAGCGAATGTCAGCGGGTATTGAAAATACTAGAAGCTGCCCAGACTCTTGGGGAAATCAGCAGCAGATGCGTCGACATGGTCATAAGTGCTGGCGAAAAGCTCAGCTGCCGTCTTATGGCTACTCTACTGAACGATCGGGGCGTTGACGCTGCATATATTGACCTATCTGATGCAATAGACTTCGCTGCCGGTGTCCAGGCTCTGGATCAAGAGTTCTATGACCGCTTGGCCAAACTATTTGCGGAGAAAATACATGCATGCCCCGGTAAGGTGCCAGTGCTCACTGGATATTTTGGTCTTGTTCCAGGAGGCCTCATGGACAAGATTGGGCGCGGCTATACAGACCTATGCGCTGCACTGGTAGCTGTCGGAGTCAATGCACAAGAACTACAGGTCTGGAAGGAAGTAGATGGAATCTTTACGGCTGATCCCAGAAAAGTTCCCACCGCGCGGTTGCTGGCTGCCATCACCCCAGCAGAGGCTGCCGAACTGACATTCTACGGCTCCGAGGTCATTCATCCCTTCACCATGGAACAAGTCATCCGTGCCAAAATTCCCATCCGAATCAAAAACGTCATGAAACCTAAGGGTAATGGCACCATCATATTCCCAGATTCCCGCTCAGAGCTAGAGCGAACAACCCCAGGACACGACCCCAAGTTCTTCCGCACCCGAGGCCCCCATTTCTGGGCACACAGTGAAGGCCCCAAACGGCCAACAGCCGTGACTGCAAAGCATAAAATCTTGGTCATTAACATACATTCGAATAAACGATCTCTCTCCCATGGATTCTTCGCTGGCATATTCTCCGTTCTTGATAAATGGCGGCTTTCCATAGACCTTATCTCTACCAGTGAGGTACACGTCTCGCTAGCCCTACATTCCGAGCTGCCCCTTCTCAACGGCGTTGGCCGTGACGAATACCAAATCATCGACGAGGATCTGCGTGGAGCAATCCAAGACCTACGAAGATACGGAACTGTCGACATTATTCCGGAAATGGCCATTCTAAGCCTAGTAGGTCAGCAGATGAAAAATATGGTTGGCGTTGCTGGTCGCATGTTCTCCGTACTAGGGGAGCACAACGTGAATATTGAAATGATTTCACAAGGTGAGCATCTCCTTTCCACCCTGTAACTACATATCCTCGTCAAAAGTGGAAAAACTAACCTAACAGAACCAGGTGCCAGCGAAATCAACATATCCTGCGTGATCGAAGAGAGAGATGCAGACCGAGCCATCAACATTCTTCACACCAACCTTTTCACCTTCCTCGAATAAATCTAGCATCCGCCTAGCCGGCTATTAGCGACATCTTGAGCGACATGTCCTCCATCTTGACCAGTTTCTTTTTATTTACTATCTATAATTCTTTTTTGATACCCCTTCCATTATCTACAATTTCTTCTTTGACTCTTCTGTTGTTTCTCCCGAAGATATTAAGGATATGAGAAGTGGCTATGCTCCATTCCAACAATGGAGCTAGACATGCGAATTCTACATCTGCATAACCTGTCAAGGCGCTAGCTGCGAACTAACAAGGGTTAAACATTGTTCTTTCTTTCTTTCTTTCCCTCTTTTCAGCGATGTCTTTTTTTTTACTCTAGGTCATTGACCTCAGGAAAGCAATAGACTCAGACGGCTTTCAGTTTCTGCTTACATTGCATTGCAAGTGATACACAAAATACCTCCGCGATGGAGATGCTTACATAGAGAAATGAAACTATACGTACATATCACATCTTTAATGTATTCAGCTCCGGCTTAGCGGCATGGTATTTTGGTCTGTAGTCTAGGTTGATTCCGGCATCCAGAAGCAAGAGATACAAGTAACAACTTGACATCAGCAGTCCAGTATCGAATATTCTATCAAGACATATTTATATCACCTCATAGACATCCTTTCGGCTTATCTTAATTATCTTTAAATTGACACATATTATAGCCATCGGGGAGCATGGGTATGTATCATGCACAATCCCATTAATATTCGGATTAGCATTATATCTATTATACAAGGGCCTAATCTCCATAGCCTCTCATGACCGTAAACAAGGTAAGGAAACGAGCCTTTCTATCCACGTTATAGAGTCTAGGCCATATATGAAAACCCACGAAGCTCTCCGCGACCATGCTGCTTCCCAACAACGTCTGAAAAAATTCGTAACCGGAAAGAGACCGTTTCTTTTCATCACCTCCACCATCAACCGCCATAGTGCCAACATTTATGAGCGGTTGCCCCTCAAGTTCTCCAAATGTTTCACTATGGAAAGCTGAGTGTCCATCCATCGGTTGACGCAGTTCTGTGCGCACGACTCTTCGCTTTTCGATAATGCACCGGAGCTAACCTTTCCAGGGACGCATTTCTTCCAGCACATATCTGAAAGTTCGTGGACGGCTAAGAAGTAGAAGGTATACATGTTAGTTGTGCTCTGGACTACCGGGTAATTTAGATAGACAGGGTGGAGGTATATCCGTTGCATTAGGAATGGAAATAGACGGGGTAATTACTCTGCTGGATAGTCGACTTCTGGGTCTCATTGGCAATCACCTGCTGCAACTCTTTCTTATCCGATGGAGAGAGCTTGGATGGGTCGATTTGGATTTGTTGATCCATTGTTGCTGGGTGTGTTTTCAAAGATTGGAGTGGGTGATTGCAAGGACGTAAAGCACTTCGGCAATAGCACGGCGTATAGGTAAATTTGAATATAGGCTTGCTGCTGGACTGACTGATTGTTGATTGATATCGAAACCCCGGAGAACTTCTCGAGCTTCAAAATCGACATTTGAAGGCGGTAGGAACAGGCAAAAAAATAACATTACGTAATCAATAGCTTCTAAGTTTCGTCCGCGATAAGAAGATATCTTTGAAGATTAGTTATTCTTGACAATAATCAACATCTACGCCAATTCCAGACCTCTTCTGCTTCTCCTAGTACTACCAGTCGACCCCGAATCACTCCATATTCAGCTCTTCTAAACAGCTCTCGACTTCACGCCAAGTATGCCACCGATCCGAAGCGCGCGAACCCGCAAGGCCCCTCCAGATGGCTTCGACGACATTGAAGACACACTGCTTGAATTCAGTAATAAGATGAAAGATGCAGAAAACGCCTCGCACGAAGGAAAGAAAAGACATGAAGTGTTATGGCCTATTTTCCAAATCAGTCACCAGCGTCAGTTCCGCCCATTTCCACCGCTGTTATCAAGAAGATAAACTGACGATGACCGATAGGCTCGAGATATATATACGACCTATATTATGAGAAAGAAGCTATATCGAAAAAACTATACGACTGGCTTTTAAAGAACGGCTACGCAGACGCGAACCTGATAGCCAAATGGAAAAAGCAAGGATACGAAAAGGTAGAGAAAAGAAAACCACCTTTGCAGTTGACATTTATTGATATTTTCTTCTTTTGTTATATTCGAGGCTAACTTTGTCCTTTCACCTCTAGCTATGTTGTTTACGATGCATCCAGACCAAGGAAACGAACTTCAACGCCACCTGCATATGTCGAGTTCCCAAGGCACAGCTGAAAGAAGATCAAGGCATACAATGCGTCAGCTGTGGATGTCGGGGGTGCGGTAGCAGTGACTGAGGAACGCGGGTCGGTGTCGAGTTTCCGGTTCTTTGCCTTGCGCTGAACGTCAGACTGCGGTCGAGACTTGGATAGGGCGAAAGGGGCGACGTCAGATGCACGACTGACGGACGTGTGGGGTGAAGTGCGCATTGCAAATGCAGGGAGAGAGTCGTTGTGTGACAGCGTTTATTTCGGCAGGCTGGGAACGGCGTTTTGGTCTGATTTGAGAATAAGAAGATGGTGTGAATGGACTCTTTTGGTTTTTATGGTGTTTCGATTTCTGTTCCAGACACACGCTTTGAATGACCTGGCTTGTCTTTGCTATTTTTGTTTTTGGAGCCACTCTGAGCGATCGGATATATGTATGGATACCCACCTACCCAGAGACTTGCTATACACTGTATCTACTAATGTCAAGGATATGGACCAAAGGACAAGATTCGAAATGATAAGTAATATTTTGTGCAGAAGGTAGACTGGTAGCTAAAGTCACTATCAAAATACCGATAACAATATAGACAGATAAACAGGAATTAAAACTCGTAAGCCATGATCCATAAACATAAACACATTCATTAGGGTCATTGCAAAATTCCACCAGTTCCCTGTCCCATCCTGTCCGTTCGAGCACCTTGCAAATAATAAAGAAACCACGCTAATGAATATAGAGAAAAGGCGGGAGTAAGGATGAGGGTATGTGTGAGGTGAGGTGTGCGGGAGAGTAAGGTAGTTGATGGTAGAATGGAGGGAGGAATGAAAAAGACCCAAAAGCGATGCAAAACAGAGCGAAACAAAATAAGAAAAAGCCTCCAAGTACCCGCCGTTCCTGACCACCCGAAAATAAAAAACATAACCGAGTAAAAAGAAGAAGAGAGAAAAAATGTACCAGGAATTTAATCACATATCTCGCCAGTCAAGGTGGATAAAGTGACCGGTGTAAAATCATGTAACTCGAGAATATGAGGCGAGACTGAAATGAGATATCGAGAAGAGGTAAGGAGGATATTATGTAGGAGTAGCGGAGTAAAGGTAAGGGTAATAGACTGAGCAATAGGCCAACAGAAGTGAAACCCAAATGCAATGGTCCAAGTAGAGGCCCAAAGGGTGAAAAAGCTGGGGGTTGAGTGTTCCAATAACGTGGATAAACTGGAGGAAGAAGGATAGAGTAATGGTGATCTGGAGGAGGGATTCAAAATATCAAGAATCAAGACCAAGGTAAATCCTCAACGCATGAGGAGGGATATGGGAGGTCAAAAGTGATCAAAATCGGATACCACCCTTGGGCCCGTGACAAATCCGCGAGCCCTTTCCAAGAAACTGTTTGGGAGAGCGTTCTTCCTTTGAAGGCTGCTGTCCAATTTTCTCGAATCCTTGCAAGAGATCTACACCGTCGACTTCGCCTGCGCCGTCCTCGCTGAAGAGGTTGAATGAGAATAACTCATCATTGGACGCGTCGATGTAGCGATCTGGATCAAGGCGTTTGCAAGGCGACTCTTGGAATCTGTAGGCTTTGGATTTATCGACGGGTGTCTTCAGACGCGTGTTGGCGCTGAGGGCAGTGATATCAGTAAGAACGCCGGCTCCGTGATTATCGCTCCTAACAGAGCGTTTTTCGGGTGAACCAAAGGTCGGCGTGCCAACATTAGCCAAGAAGTTATCTGAGAATGGGTCAAATGGTAGGCGAAGGTTGTCATTGGAAGTGAATACTTCGTCGTGGAGGTTAAATGCCGGGCTCCAGGGTTGCTGTACATCTTCGCCCAGTCCCAGGCGTTTTATTGGAGAGTTGACCATCTGCTGAATTTTGCGGCGGTGGTTCTGCAAGTTGGTGTTTGGTGATAGGAAAGGTGGAGGCTTGATTGGCTTCTTGAACTTGATACCTGGAGTTAGAGGAGCGGCGTGGATAGAAAGATACTCGTTTCTGAGAGGCGACGAGCCAATGGCAGCCTGAGCAGAGTCTCGTAGAGTTCCTAGCCGCATCGGGCTGATGTCGTGTGAAGAGCTTCGGATGCGAGCTATTTCTTCTTCAGCGCGGCCACGTTTGATGCGTGGAGGTTCGATATCTAGATCTGAAGTCAAAATGTGTCCAGCTGCCACACGAGGTCTCATCGCCGAGGACTCGAGGGAGGAATAATAACCGCTGTCATTCATGTTCGAGGGCTTGCGCCTCCTTGAACGTGGAACACCGGCAGAAGCGGTAGCAGGACGAGACGGCGTTGGCGGAGTAGCTTGACGGCGGAAGATGCGTGGTGCAACCGGCGGAGAGGAGCGCATTGCCTGCAGTGGTGATGAGAAATGGTGTTCTGCCTGCGGCTGTGGCTGCTCCTGCTCCTGCTCGTCACTGACATCCTCTTGAAGGGCGGGGTCAGAAGCCGGAAGAGTGGCATCAGAAGAGAGATCTTGGATGGCTGAAACAGGTGCCTCCTGTTCGGTTGTGGACGGGATATAATTGATGGTCGCAAGGCCGGTATTGCTTGAGGTTGGTGCCGGTGGCAGATCCTGTTGCTGTGGGGTGTTCAACGGGATAGGAGGCTGCTGGGTGACAGGAATGGTAGACATGATGGCAGCTTTGCGAAACGGCTTGTCCTTGAGGAACTGGGCCTCCATACCAGGTTCAATGACCCAGTAGTGACCCTTTCCTGGGTCATCCTTTGGACGTTCCTGTTTGATAAATGCCTTGTGAAGACTCAGATTATGGCGAATACTGTTCTGCCATCCGAAATCGCCAGCACGGTAAAAGGCAAAGTTGTCAGAGATCCACTTATAGATCTGGGCCAGGGTAAGACGACGGTTGGTAGCACGAAGAATGGCCATTCCTATGAGAATCGCATAACTGTAGGGCGGTTTGGATCCGTCGTCTTCGACAGGGGGCATCTCATGTGGCTCTGGCAGGCGAGTTGGTATAGGCGCCGACTGCTCGCGCTCTTCACGCTTGATCTTCTTCACGGGCGGGTCTCGCTGGGAGTCACTGCCGACTGTCAGCCGGCGTTTGGCCGGAGCGTGCATCCCCGAAGACGCGCGCGGTGCCGCCGGGAGGGAGGTGAAGTTCTCCTGTTGGATTCCTGCCCTGGACGAGGATCCAAATGACTTGGTAGGAACACTGGGGAACGTCGTGAAGAGCGGAAGGCGTGACGGATGTGGAGGCAGAGGATGTCGAGGATACTGTTCGTGAGCGAGCTTCTTTGCCGGCGAGTCGGTAGGAAACCTGGCAGGCTTCGGTGCTGAGATGGGCAGATATTCCAGCTTATTGTGTGCGATGTGGGCGCTCGTGCGACGCTGGTGCTTGATGGGAGACTGGTTGTAGAAAGGGTCCATCGACGGCGGGTTCAGGACGATATCACGGTTGTTTCTCGCCGAGTTACCGAGGGGCTGAAGCGGCATGGGCGATGGCTGTAGCTGTTTACGCTGCGTCTTGGACGGTTTTGCGCCGGGCTGGCCTTCAGCTGGCGGTGCCGAAGCCGCCGGAGGGTCCTGGTATATACGCAGCGGAGGCGGATGGCGCGTCGAAGCCATCGCGAAAACGACAGCGGCGATGAAGACGAGGCTGTAGATGGGTAGATTCAGTCTCTTGACGCGTCGAGCACGTCGAATTTACGCGATTGAGCGACGTGTAGCGTGGTGAATCGGCGCATGAACGCACTCTTGCGCGTTGAGGTAATAGAGTTGATGACCTCCGTAGATATCGTAGATATCGTAGCTATGGTCGCAGTGATGTCGTTGTAGTAGTTGTAGTGTACTCGTAGTTGTAATGGTGATCGTGGTTGTAGTGATGAAGTTGTAGTGGTGTTGGTGATGGTGAAGTTGTAGTAGTGGTGATGGTTGGGTGAGGGGATGGCCAAGGGAAGGAAAAGCCTGAAACACCAAGCGAGCTCCTTGGACACTTGGTTGGCCACCGGCGCTTCTCGCAGTTCTACGCATCCCCAGCTCTCAGGCATCTACCAGGGGCCTATAGGGGGTTTATAAGGCGATTTGCTGCTGCGATAGAGGGCATCAAACTGCTCTGCTCGTCTTTACTGGTGGATGCGCACGCTTTCACCGCAACTCTCGTCGATCTACCGCGTCAAGCTACTGTACGATTACGGGGCAGGTAAGACAGCCCCTACCACTAGGATCGGAGTTTAATGCGTTCGGACAGATACAGGATGGACAAGGACGCGAGGTGAGGCACCCGGTGAGGCGTCCGGCGCGGGAGCTGCGGCGCATGGGGAGCAAGGGAAAAGAAAACTCGTCACAGGAGGATTCACATTTGAGCCGGGTGGCTTCGAGATAGTGCTAAATAAGATAGCTAGGGGGGAGGTCATAGCGAGCAGAGCAGTCGTGTATTAGCTGCAATTGTTCGATCTGGCCTGGTCTTTTTGAAGTGTGATCACTGATATTGTCTTTTTTTTGTTCTCCTTTTGGTAATAACCGACCGATATCTTGTAGGTCACAAAATAAAATAAAACAGAACTTTCATGTCACCCATTAAACAATCCCGAGCTTGGTGGCGGCGATGTCCAGCGCATCGATGTCTGGCGTTAGTCTGGCGAACACCTTCTTCGATCCATCCGGTCTGTCACGTATTAGCATTCCTCGTCCATTACTCTCGTCCACTCCACGGGTAAATACACACCTGATGAGAGTGTTGAGCTTGACGGTTTCTATGTCGTAGAGCTTCTTGAGGGCGAGCTTGATCTGTCTCTTGTTGGCCTTGACGTCGGCGATGAAGACCAGGGTGTTGTTCTCCTCGATCTTCTTCATGGCGGACTCGGTGTTCAGCGGGTGAACGATGACCTTGTGGTGGTCGAGACGGGGCACATGAGGAATCGACTTGCGGGGGTATTTGGGAGATCGCGAGAGCTGGAGGGTCTTTGGTCGGTGGAAGGTGGTCGATGTCCTGATCTTGCGGACTTTGTGCGAGTGAGCCTGCGTGTGAACTGGTTAACTGCTGCTCTCCGTCTGCTCATCCTGCGCGCTGCTTACCCCCTTGAGAACGGCCTTGGAGGCAGCGCCAGCCTTAGAGCTGGGCTTCGTGGCTATTCACCGTTAGCATTCTATCTTTAACATGGCAAAGTATGGATTGAAGATGGGATCAGTATGGATCGAGAGCTGAGATCGCTGGACGCGGCCTGCACATCGGTCGCGAGGAGTATCTACCTTTCTTGCTGTCTTTTGGGGCCATGGCTGTCGATTAACGGCGTCGAGGTTGTTGTCGCTGTCAATTGCCTGTCCGTTTGACCGCGAAATTCTTTTGGCTCGAAGTTCTCGCTTAGTTGTATGTGGGGCACGTGATGCGTGATGCTTAGTCAGTCGCTACCTTACTCGTAACGTCTAACATATAGAGATGAAGATAGAAGAGATATGATGAAGATATGAGATGATAGAGATAGACGAAAGATGAAGGGGAGGAAGAAGTCAATCTCGCGAGGACGGCCGCCGACGGTCAGAAAACCAGTGGCCTCGCTCTCCGCCAAAGCGACCAGAAACCTCATCAGGTCGCATCACCAACTACACAAAGCGCGCGCCCGAGCACTGGCAGACGGCGATGACGCCCTCGTCCAGCAGTTAGATCAAGAGATCGCTGCAAAGGGCGGCCTGAAGAGCTACCAGATCGCCAGCAAGAAGGGCCAGTCTAAGGAGCGAGGAGGCGATTCCAGCCACGTCCTGCTCCAATGGCTTGAACCTCTCCTCGGCCAGGACACGCTATACGGTCCTACTAACAGGCTGCGTCTGCTCGAGGTCGGCGCACTCAGCAGCAAGAATGCTTGCTCCGTGACAAAGACGCTGCATGTTACGAGGATAGACCTCCATTCGCAGGAGGCTGGGATCCTTCAGCAGGACTTTATGGAACGTCCGCTACCCGTGGCCGAGGAGGAGAAGTTTCACATCATCAGCCTGTCACTGGTGCTCAACTACGTGCCCGATCCTGTAGGACGGGGGGAGATGTTACGTCGAACGGTCCAATTTCTCACCACAAATATCCAGCAGGTGTCCGGCGAATCGACGACGCCCGGTGAATTTCTGCCGGCGCTGTTTCTCGTGCTGCCTGCTGCTTGTGTGCTGAATTCAAGATACCTGACTGAAGAGCGGCTGGACGATATTCTTGCCTCTCTGGGGTACCAGTTACTGCAGAGAAAGGTGTCTTCAAAACTTATTTATTATCTTTGGAGATACAGTGATGGCAAAGTCAGGACGAGGGGAGCCGGGTTTGCAAAGGAAATCATCAATCCGGGACCGGGAAGGAATAATTTCGCCGTTGTTTTGAAGCCATCTGGATGAACGGAGTCAACGCATGGAACCGACTTTTACGATACCAGCATTAGTGCTGACGCCTTCAATTGGCTATTGATGCCACTGGGGCGATTCTGACCACACCTCCCAGGCACGGGGATGCATTACTCTTGCCAGTTCATGGGATAGTAGGCCGCTGGAACTCAACCACGATACTCACTGGCTTCTCGGTTAAGGTTGGCTTTCTACCATGGTGACTTGCCGTCAGAGTAAGCACGCAGACGGCGCTTGCATAGACCTCGACGGTTTGTGAAATATCACTACACGAACACTACCTGGAAAGAGTGGCAACTTGCAAGCCTAAAGAATATTATATGTCTCCCAAATGATAGCCAGACTAGGTATGATGCCAAATTTTGTTCATCTACTGCCGATCAATGTTCTTCCCGATATCATGTAACCATATCCACAAGGTTCGCAAACAGGGTTGCAAATACCACAGACCAAGGCTACGTTACTCTATCATTTGGTTATAGTCAGTTGTATTATACAGGGTAGCTAATCAGATATCTCCCACGTCTTCAGCCACGGGTCCTCCAGCAACTCCTTCGCTGTCTTGCGGTCTTCTGGCCGCCACGTTAGCATCCCCCTTACAAAGTTCAGGAACATCTCCTTATTCCTCCCGGTGAGGACCAGCTCTGTCTTCTCCAGGCTATTACCCTGAGGAATAGGGCAGTCCGCAATCCATTGACCTGTATTCGAACCATTGCATCAGCCTCCAGCAATGTCGACAGTAGTTAGAAACAAACTTACCATCTTCTGAGAAGAACTCCTTGCTTCTAACCCCTCGCTGGAGAAGGTCTAGGGATGGCGGGCCAAGAAGCCCGATTATTTCTGCAAGATGCGCCCTGGTTGTGTAGCAGCCTTTCTCTGGATCTATGCCATGGAACAAGTGGCCGCCTTCAAATACATCCCAGATCTATGATCCGTTAGCATACATAAATGTGTTTCTCGGGATTAAGAGACATACCATGGCTCCTACGTTCCATATATCAATAGGGTAGCTCCACGCAGCTTGAAGCATAACCTCAGGAGACCTATACACGTCCGGCTGCGCGTTGTGGTTTCGTTTAACATCACCCTTCACCACCTCTCCAAAGTCACTTAACACGATCCTACCGAAGTCTTCAGGTAGACCAAAGCGTCTAGACGTATAGATAGGAGCCTTGTCGACATATTTACGGGGGGATGGCATCTTCATCTCGTCTTTCATGAAGGATTCGAGTATCCCCTTGTCAGCAATTGCGTGTAGTATGTTATCCGCTTTAATGTCTATCACTTGCATGTTAAAAATCAACATATGTTATTGGAATCTGTAGAGAAATATTATTACCTGTGTGGACGAGCTTGCACTCTGTATGTAGATAGTCTAGGGCTAGTAGGAGATGCCGCAGGCCACCCTTCAGGAGCGCTACGGAGAATCGGCCGCTTGGATTTCGGTAGAGGAGGTCTCTCCAGCTATCCCACATCGGCGGCTGGACAAGACACTGGTGATTACCCCCTTGCCGTTCTATTTCAAACATGCCCACTGCTGTCCTAATATGTGAATGGCCAGGATGGTAAGGATTCGCTTTGGCTATGGCCTCGTAGGTTCGAAGCTCGTTTCGACACGCCTCTCCATGATTTCGGGTAAACACTTTCAAGGCAAAATATCTGTGATTTCTGTATTGAGGAAATTAGCATTTGTAGAATTGCACTGGTATGAGGTTTCCATACTGTAGGTTACGGGCGAGCCACACCGTCGAAGTTGATCCAAATCCTAGCTTGCCGAGTATTTGGTATGTGTTGGAGCCATATACATCGCCAATGTTAACTGGGCAGTAATTTCCCGTCTTGAACTCCTCATAGTGTTCCTCTTCGAGCAACTCAGTCGCAGGAATGACTTTGAAGCCGGTTGCTGGGAATCTCAAAGGTACCAATGGAGATCTGCTGAGCATGCCTCTCACCCATTTCAACAAAGGCGCCATATAATCATCTCGAACGCCACGGCTAGCTTTTACAAAGCACGGTTTAGTGTGAAATTCAGTGCAAATACGAAGAGCGAGTCAGGGCAGACGTTATCAAAGGCATTAGCAAGGGTTAGTTGACTAGCTAGTTAGCCGCGCTAAAGACGCTCAGGAGTTTGTAGGCGCCCGTCCCGTCCCCTAGCGGCTAACTACCTTAATTCCGGCCATAGTTAATCTATACTCTCGCCTTCCAACAGGGCCTATGGTAATTCTCCTTTGGTATGAACACCAGATAAATTCCCCGATGCACAATCTGATTGTTCATATCTAAAGCGGTCTACCCCGGTAATACAAGAATTTAATACCGAGACATCCTGGGGCATTATAATCTCATACGTTGGGGATCTATCTTAAAAACAAGATCGATAAACCCTTCCCATAAAGACTTAGGCGGTTTAAAAAAAAATTGAGATTATAAGCTAGGGCAGACAGTCAAAGTTACGACTCTTCGGTAAGAGTATTTGGTTATATTTGCTCCACCACCGTGTATGATCTACCACTAAATAAGAGGATATCACCAGCCTCCATATCAGCAGGAAGGGTATCCTCTATAGATCCAATGTCATGACACAATCATTCTCTTTGAAGACGGGGTAAATATGGTCTGGACCCTCCGAAGGTTGAATTTCAGCCTCCTTTAACGATTTCTCCCATCACTTCATAAGCCGAGCTGACGATGGGACAGTGAAGTGCAAGTCAAGCTTGTTTAGTATAACTCCAAAATGTTGCGAGTCAGGATCCTACAGGATATTTTCTCCCATTTGAAACGAAATCGATTGGCACTCTCAGGCGTACTATAACGCAGTCAGGTTCCAAAGATCAGTTAAAATATAGTAATATCTTCCACCGTAGCAGAGTAGTGGGTATTAACATGTTCAGATAACCAAGGAAAGACGAAATGCTTCAAAGAGGCTCTTCCAGTGTGCACTTACTTTCTTCTAGGACATCCGGAGGCCCTATTGTTAGAAAACCACAAAGGCGCAAAGAAAAGGGAGGCCTGTTCTTCTGAGTATGCTTTTTGTGAGATGTTGCTAGCTATATTGCATGGTTTATTGTCTAAACCAAACAACGTGAATAAAGGGAGTTATGGTTGGAGTAGGCGTCCATTTTAGAGGCCATCGAATTATTGTTATCTCTAGAATAAATATTTCTTTACATTGCATATTGTCCTGTTCTTTGCCATGACAGACTTCCTAAGATTCGGTTGTTTTGGGTATTCTGGTGTGATAAATAGTTTGAGGCTATATAGAACTAGCACTGTCAGAGAGAAATATTAACAATGATGTGTTGTATTCTCAATGGATGATGATGAGAAGAGCCTCCAACGTGTGCTGTGCTGACAAAGCACAAGTGATATCTTTTTCAACCCCACAATCAGGTCGTTGTGAAAAATCAAAACCTCAACACGCCGACCAGGTCAGTGACATTCAGGCTCGTCTCATTCGACCTAGACCGTTGGCTTTTAGGCACTCGACTTCTACGGGCCTGCGTGGGCAGACAGGCTCACCTACCAGGTCCCTCAAAGACGGGCTCTACCGCGTTCTGGTTGAGAGCCATCCAAGATGAGCGCGCCGCCCCCAAGTGGTGAGGCGGAGAAGAACATTGAGATATGGAAGGTGAAGAAGCTGATCAAGCGCCTGGAGGCGGCTCGTGGAAATGGAACGTCCATGATTTCGTTGATTATTCGTAAGTTGGATGTCCATTACCCCTGATGGTAGCCTTATCAAAGTACCCCGCTAACATCACCACCAGCTCCAAAGGATCAAATATCGAGAGCGGCGAAGATGTTGGCTGAAGAATTCGTATGTGTCTAATATCCAAGCCCAATCTTGCCGAGACAACAAAGAATTGCCCCCTAACCAGTGTCTCAGGGAACGGCTTCCAACATTAAATCCCGAGTCAACCGTCTATCCGTCCTCTCCGCGATTACGTCCACTCAGCAGCGTCTGAAGCTCTATACCAGGGTTCCACCAAATGGCCTTGTCGTCTACTGTGGTGAAATCATCACCTCAGAGGGAAAAGAACGTAAAATCAATATTGATTTTGAGCCTTTCAAGCCTATCAACACCTCCCTCTATCTCTGTGACAACAAGTTCCATACCGAAGCGCTAAGTGAGCTCCTCGAGTCTGACCAAAAGTTCGGGTTCATCATCATGGACGGAAACGGTGCATTGTTCGGTACCTTGAGTGGAAACACCAGAGACGTCGTTCACAAGTTCAGTGTCGACTTGCCCAAGAAGCACGGTCGTGGTGGTCAGTCCGCTCTTCGTTTTGCTCGTCTTCGTGAGGAGAAGCGTCACAACTACGTCCGCAAGGTTGCAGAACTCGCAGTTCAGAACTTCATTACCGCTGATAAAGTCAACGTTGCTGGTTTGATTCTTGCTGGTTCTGCCGATTTCAAGAACGATCTCAACCAGTCCGATCTCTTCGACAACCGTCTCCAGTCCAAGGTCATCAAAGTCGTCGACGTGTCGTACGGTGGTGAGAACGGATTCAACCAAGCCATTGAGCTCTCCTCCGAAACCCTTGGCAACGTCAAATTCATCCAGGAAAAGAAACTTATCGGCAAGTACTTTGAGGAAATCAGCCAGGATAGCGGACGTGTTTGCTACGGTGTTGAAGATACTTTGAAAGCGCTCGAACTTGGTGCCGCGGAGACCCTTATTGTTTTTGAGAACCTGGACATCACCCGTTGGGTGCTCAAGCCCTCCGTTGGATCTGACATTATCCTCCACACCTCGAAATTCCAAGAGTCTAACAGAGAGCAATTCATGGACAAGGAAACTGGACAAGAGATGGAGATCGTCGAACAAGGCTCACTGCTTGAATGGCTTGCCGAGAACTACAAGGATTTCGGCGCCACACTGGAATTCGTTTCAGACAAGTCCGGTGAAGGTAACCAGTTCGTCAAGGGCTTTGGTGGTATCGGAGCAATGCTTCGTTACAAGGTCAATTTCGAGCAATTGGCAGACGTTGACGAAGATGACGATGATGAGTTTTACGATGGTATGCTATGCTGCGCACATTTCACCTTAGATACACACCGGCTAATAAGGGTACTAGATTGACAATATGGCGACCTCGCGGGACGCGAGGACGATCGCCCGGAAATCCCGTCGCGGAGTGATCTGACGCCTACCCCTTTGAGCCGTACCAACGGCCTTAAGGGAAATCCAAACCCATCTGCTGTTCAGATCTGTGCCCCACATTCCCTCGCCGGTTCGAAGCTTCTCAGGGGTACGTTCCTCATCTTCTCACAATCATCTCACCAGTACTAACTAGTATTCCAGGACCATCCAAGCTTCGTAACATGGCCACTACAAACTAAGTGACCATGGAAGAGAACTAGGCTACGAGGGTAGACTGTTAGACGGATGTTATTCCAGCGTATCTTCGCCTCGTCAAATTCACTTCGTACAGAGTTGAAGACTGGCTGAGATGGAAGCTTCTTCGAATCTGTCGTTACTTTCCGATTCGACTTGAGCTGGGATAACGCTTCTAGGTGGAACCCCTTGCTTCTTACTACATAATTTGTGTTATTTCGCTATCCTCCTTGCACCCTCACTCGAAGATTTGGAATATGCAATTTGATACTTTATAGCTTAATAGACTAGAGTGGCTAGGATATTGGACTAAAGTATGAATATGCACAGGGTCAAGTGCTGGGTTTTTATTTGCAACTAAAATACACTCGTTATCCCCATAGAGGGTTTTAAGTAGTCTTTGGTTGATTTCAATTCATTTCGTCAAATCCTCCACCTCACGACCGAGCTTTATGCCGTGATGTTCATATAGTTCAAGATTGATGTAGTCTCCTGGATCCTCAGCAGCTATGGGAGTACCTGCTAATAGTTCATTATCCTCACAGTCCTACAGAGCTTTAAGCTTGCCATTCCTTTAAAATCACACTATTGGGAAGGATTTGTCACTAAGTTAAATAAATAGCAATATGATTTCTATAATCTTGCAAAGGTGACGTCCTCTCATGAACTATCCTCGAGCTGATCTTCCCAGCTCCCAAGGTTTCTACATGTTTGAGTGATCTTCTCCAGCTCCTTTATGACCTTATCCACAACATGGTCATCATGCACACCGTACACCCTCTGACATTCCACAAGGAACACGTATTGCCAAGCCTGAATGCCGCCAGGACGAGAGTTGATGCTCGTCAGATTGAGCCCGTATTTCTTGAAGACATGAAGTGCATCCGCTAGGGCTCCAGGAGAGGTATGGTCGACCATAAAGGAGATGAGTGATTTGCATTTCGATCCTGGAGTCGAACAAGATTGTGACTTTTGAGGAGGTTTTACCCCTTGGGTACGGTTGGATTTGAGGTTTTGTAGAATGAGGAATCTAGTTGCATTTGACGAGTCATCCTCGATATTGGCCTTAATAACTTCTAAATTGTTAAGTTTACCGGCGAGTTCGCTCCCGATGGCTGCGCTTTTGGGGTCGTTATCTTTACTAACGATCTCCGCTGCTTTCGAGGTCGAAGATGCGTCTTGTTTCTCTACTCCTTTATATTCAGAGAGAAATTTGGTGCATTGTCCCCAAACCTGCGGGTGAGAGTAGAATTTTGATACTTCCGGGTTAGCTTCAGAAGTGTTCCCTGATCCATCTGTAAGAATATATGTTAGCCATGGTACCAATGTAAAGATTCAAATGTTGGGTGTCTACCTTGGGCTTTCTTCATCAACAAGCAATGGTGAACAGTGAGATAGTATTCCCCGGACACCGTGATATCAGGGTATAAGTTCTCACGGTCTGCTAACAAATCAAGGGTCTGGACAACAGCGCCATTGGAAGAATTTTCCAGGGGTATTATGGCATAATCTGCCTCTTGTGACTGAACAGCTGAGAAGGCATCGTTGAAGGAGACCTCGGGTTGTAGGGTATTATTTGCTGAGCCAAAGCACTCTATTGCCGCCTATCAAAACAGTATAAGCCTGTGGACCAAGTATAATGGTAAATAATACTTACTTGGTGTGAAAAGGAGCCCAATGGACCCAGGAATGCTATAATGGGCTGTAGCAAGCTGTTGGCGCTGCTCAGGGCCGGCATGACAGACTGCATCGTCGTGGCCTTTTGTATAGAAACAGATAAAAAAATATTTCCTTTCCTCCGATAGTAATTCCTCCTCTGATCTAGGACTTGGTTTAAATATTCAATTAATATTTCTAGGGATACGATGAAAGCTGTTTGGAATGAGGAGGTATTAAATTTGAGAAATAACTAGTTACCCCACGGGCTTAGATCCGAGGTCGGAGACAACCCTTTATTCCGCAAATATTTACATCACAAACACCAAACCACCAAACCACCAAACCTGGACAGCTACCACGGATGCGCACATCTACAGTACACGCAAGGTAGCCATGGCCCAATTGACCAAGTCATGTTCCGGTCAACGGCTTGCAAGCTTTCTACAAAGGCGCTCAATGAGTACAGCTCCGGCATTATCGCAACTGGAGGGCGAGCTGGTACGCCGTCGACTGCCTCTGATATACGACTACCTGTCGCCTCAACCGTCACATCTACTGAATCTCTCCCTCAACAGCCTCCTTACGCAAACTCAGAGCTCTTCCCCTGCTTTCAACGAGGCACAATGGCGTCTCCCGTCAATAACGAACCCGAATTTCATGCCTCGTTGTCACCATCTAATATACTTCCCACCACAAGTTCCTTCACCAGAACTTCTTCCGGACGGCTGCGATGAACTGCATTCCCCTGGCCAGCCATTTAATCGCCGAATGTGGGCAGGTGGCTCTGTCCAGTTCTTCGGTGAAGGTGGACCGCTACTGAATGGGCAGAGAGCCGTCTGCGTCGAGGGAATACGCGAAGTGAATATAAAAGGCAAGGAAGGCGAAGAGAAGATATTCGTGGGCATTGAGAGACGGATAGCTACAATGGATGAACATGAAAGTGACGACGGAGTCAGAGACAGGGTGTGGACTCAATCTGAAGAGGATCAAGGAGATAGCATCGTCATCGAACGACGCAATCTTGTTTTCATGAAAGATAGAACATCGGACGAGATCGAAGCTTCAAAAGCTACCGAATCTTCTCCACGAAGAATAATGAAAGGTGATTACGGCTCTACATCTATTTATTATTTTCAAACCGCTAACGTCTGGCTCGTAGTCTCTACGAACCCCGAACTTATCCAAACCATTATACCGTCAAAAGCCCTTTTATTCAGATACTCGGCTCTCACATTCAATGCTCACTCCATACACCTCGACCGAGACTACGCGTGCAACGTTGAAGGATATGATGACCTCCTTGTACACGGGCCATTGACACTTACGATCATGCTTACGGTGTTCCAGAGTCATGCAGCTTCCTTAGGACAGACAGTTTCTAGTATCGAGTATCGAAACTTGGCGCCGCTTCTGGTTGAACGTGAAATGAGAGTTTGCGCTGCACGAAAATCCAACGGGTCGAGTGGTAGCTGGGATATCTGGGTTGAGGGTAACGATGGAGGGTTGGCGGCTAAAGGAACGATCAGAACGACACCGGTTACACCTAATTAAAGGCACCCTTCACCAGCATTTATACAGATGCAAGCACCAACAGACGTGGGTGCCACCTTTAGTCCGTGTAACATGAGAACCTGGGGATCCCTACCACAAAGCCCTTAAGCCCCCATAGCTACGGAGTATATATGAATATCTGGATTCCTCCCTAACCTAACTCGAGGACCAAAATATGGCTGCTCTCAACGAAGCCCAGCCGGGAGACAGCAGCCTGTCACGTGAATGGCTGCTGCAATTTATACGAGCTCAGCAACATACAACAGCACACATCGATCCCAGGTGCGCCACGGATTCATATTTCATCTTCTCCAGCAAACCTTCACTATGGCTCCTCGTACTAGGGAAGAACTGGCTCCGCTAGCAATCGTGGACCCAGCCCTTACTGCCATACTGGAAAAGGGACCGGCAGTCCGGCCGCCAATGCCATCCGACCCATACTACGGCCGGAAGGATCACACTGCCATCCGGGAGCACAGGGCAACTATCTTGAAAGAAAAATGGGCGCTCCGCTACCTTCCTGGGCCAATTGATGAAGTTACTGAGCAGGATCGGAAGATTCCTGTCCGCGACGGGTCTGAGATCACAATCAGAATCTACAAGCCTGTGACGGAGAAGAAGGGCGGGAGTCCGTTGATTGTCATGTATCATGAAGGTGGATGGGCTATGGGGGACTTGAGTGATGAGGAGGTGAACTGCCGACTGTTCTCTCGGGACCTAGGAGCTGTGTGCGTCAATGTGGAATATAGGCTCGCGCCGGAGCACCCTTTCCCAACCTGGATCAACGACTCTTGGGATGCACTTCAATGGTGCGCTAAGCACGCCTCAGAGCTCGGTGCCGACCCTTCGCAAGGATTTGTAATTGGGGGAGGGTCAGCTGGGGGGAACATAGCGGCGGTGCTTGCACATATCGCACGCGATGAAAAGCTATCGCCTCCTCTAACGGGCCAGTATCTCGGTGTGCCCGCCATCATGTGTTTCCTGCCGCCTTCGCATATTCCCGCTCAGTATCGACCTGAGTATCTCTCGCATCCTTTTGTTACCCCGTGTCAAGATCCTATCCTTAGAATGTTTTCTTTCGGGCCTCTCGTCACCCCGATCACCAGGATCATACTCGGCCTCCTACCCCTAAAACTCCTGGCAAGTATTTTCAGCATGGCGGGTATGAGCGGCGATATGTCCAGTCCATTGTTTGTGCCTTTCCATTACGGGAAATTAGAACGCGGACACAAGGATCTTCCGCCAGTTTACCTCCAAGTATGCGGGCTTGATCCCCTGCGTGACGAGGGATTGATATATGAACGAGTTCTAAGGGAGGAAGGTGGCGTGAAGACGAAGGTTGATATATATAAGGGCCTAGGTCATTACTTTTGGACGAACTTCCCCGATCTCGAAATGAGTAAGACGTTCGTCGAGGATACTGTTAAGGGTATGAGATGGCTACTAGAACAGGCCTAGCCTAGCACCTTCTCATCATGAAAAGTCATGAAACGCCTTTAGAGTTATAAGCCTAGGTACAAGAGCGGGTATAAGAACTAGCTTGAATATAGTAGACGTCATATAAAAGAAAAAACAGCCTTCATCTGATCCTCTAATGAAATAAAGGAGATCTACGGCTTGAACATATCTAAAAATTGGGATATTACGTGATGACGCGGAACAATATACAACCGGCCCGGGTCTAAAGGCAGAACTTTTTCCCAAAAGCCACATATAAATGTCCTCAAAGCTTTCTTCGACCTTAAAATTACTTCAACACTCCAACACTCCAACGCTTTTGTATCAAGAGCAGCTTGGTAGCAAAGATGGACAGGTACTGGGCGGCGCCGCCAGTCAGCAGGTGAGCATCTACTGCTAATTGAAGTCAAGCTGTCAAACTAATGCGAACGTTCAAAAGGACACTGACAGCAGCTACATTTGTCCAGTCAGTCCTGGTACATGGAGGATTTGTCTCGGGTCACCATTTTATCTTCTTCATGCCAAAGATATTTAGAATCTTGCCACAGCTATGGCGGCTTACGACACCGTTCCTGCTGACTGGAGGAGGCCTCGGTTTTTTTCTTGACCTCTACTTCCGTACGGGTTCATGAAATAACTTCTTAATGTGCCGATCACGGATTTCACTAACGGACCTACAGTGTATTCATACGCCAGCGACATAGAGGTCAACTCGCCTCGTTTCTCTGGGCCGGGTGATTTTGTCACCTATGTCATTTTCGTAGCCATTGTCATTCTGGTAAGTTGTCATTCACTCCTTGCTTTGTGCGAGGATTTCGAACGTGGCTTGCTCTTGGCTTCCAGCCCTGTTTACTTGTCATCTTCTTTCTTTTCTTCCATACACCTCTTACATCTGCCCGTCCAGTCTCTTTTAGCTGAAGCGGTTCCTGAATTCGAGGGAGATTACCCCTGCACTTCGTGCATACCCATCATTCGCAATCAATCCATTAGGGATGCATGCGGTGTAGGCATGGTGGGATGGCGGTATACCATGACCAGCGTCGATGATTATATTACGCTGGTTATACTGCTACCCTACATCTCGATAAACATATATTCCCAATTTTTTGGTTTTCTTGTACCTAGCAAAGAAACACCCTTTTATATCAATCTTTTTTTTATTGCCTCGTCAACTTCTAGTATTAAGACTGACGAATGTGCAGCTTACCGCAGGCTTCTACCTTCAAGCTTATGTATTCCTCGGAGGTATGATATCTCTTCAGTCTGATGTTAGGGCGAAGCCTGTGCGTCAAAGGCTAACTTAAACAGCTCTATCTCTCGCCTTCTTGACGACCCTCTCACAAGACAATGCGGGCAAGAAAATGTCATTTATCTTTTTCAAAATCCCGGCGGAATACATGCCCTTCGCCAGTCTCCTTGCTACACTTGTTCTTTCTGGACAATACGCTGCTATCACCCAAGCATGTGGTATTATAGCAGCCCATCTTTATGAGTTCCTAACCCGCATCTATCCAAACTTTGGAGGAGGTGTCAACTATATCCGCACACCGCTCTTCATCCAAAAGTTGTTTAGATCATCTGGGTTTGTCAAGGCTCATGGTGGTTACCGCATGTATCGCCCGCCGGCGGATCAGACCCCAAGCACTGGCGAATCCAGTGGAAGCTGGTTTTCTGGCTCGGGAGGGTCATGGGGTGGTAGAGGCGCCGGCAGAAGGCTGGGCAGCGGTTGAAGCATCGAGCTATACTTAAATGGCAGGCTTAGACGGAGTCAATGAGGTATGCTAGCGAAAATAACCAGCATTAGCAAGGCTACAGATGAATATCATCAAATTAATGTTTGAATCCTATTTCGGATTAATGTTTGAATGTTTCGGATAACTGAGATGAATAGGGAATACACTAACTAATGGAAGAAATATTTACACAATTAAATCTATTCTTCAAGTCTACTATGTCTTGTTCATAGGAATGCCCCTCTCTCACCTTTGGCCTCTTTACCCGTAAGCTTGGCCACTAAGCCTGACGTACATTCAACCCATGATTACAACCATTCTTGCTCTTACAACTATGCCTCGGATTCCATCTAAATATTGTGTATCTTTACTTGAAAGTCGTATATTTTCGCAGACTCGAACACTGATACTTGGCGGCTTACCTAAGCTCACAACTGGCGACTCGCGCTTATCAGGCATTATGTTCTTCCGTTTTGCGCGCGCTTGTCTGCGTCCAGACAACCAACCACAGACCTCGGCCGTTGCGGTCGGATCAACTTTTTGCCCACAGGAAATTTTTAGCAACCAAAAATTCCAGGAAGAGAAAAGAAGAAAGCTTCGAATATTCTAAGTCTTGCGACCCAATTGACAACGTCCACACCAGTGTTGTCTGCGCGCTCCGTATTGGGTTTGCACATTGATTGAGCTTCGATCTCTCATCTCGGACCTTTTGTGTGTTCTATTCCTCGGTAAAGAACTAGATTTTGGCCATGGAAGTTGCTACTACCGGCAAAGGCGATGTTGCCGACTACAGCATCAAGCCTGAAGCTGTTGCTCCTCCAATTCCCACGTCAGAATGGCCTCTTCTCTTGAAGAATTATGACAAGCGTATGTATCGCATTTGCAGCTTGAGTGAGGCGGGGAATAAATCGCTAATATGCGGTCTTGAAATTCAATAGTACTTGTGCGAACCAGCCATTTCACTCCAATCCCCAATGGCTGCACTCCTCTTAAGCGTGACTTGAAATCCTATATCAGCTCTGGTGTCATTAACCTCGATAAACCATCGAACCCATCGAGTCACGAGGTTGTCGCATGGATGAAGAGAATGCTCAGGTTCGCACTCCAATTTTTCACCACATCCCTCAAAGCAAGTAGATAGCTAACTGGGATACTATTTATCCCGATTATAGAGTGGAAAAGACTGGACACAGTGGAACGCTAGATCCCAAGGTTACCGGATGTCTGATCGTGTGTATTGATCGTGCGACTCGCCTCGTGAAGTCGCAGCAGGGAGCTGGAAAGGAGTACGTCTGTGTTATCAGACTGCACGACAAGATTCCCGGAGGCCAGGCGCAATTCGCTCGTGCCCTCGAGACGTTGTCTGGAGCCTTGTTCCAGCGACCCCCGCTGATTTCTGCCGTCAAGCGTCAGCTTCGTATCCGTACGATTTATGAGAGCAAGCTTTATGAGTTCGATAACGACCGACACCTTGGTGTCTTCTGGGTTAGCTGTGAGGCTGGTACTTATATCAGAACTCTCTGTGTTCACTTGGGTCTGCTTTTGGGAGTTGGAGCTCATATGCAGGAGCTTCGTCGTGTTCGCAGTGGAGCTATGGACGAGAAAGATGGCATGGTTACGTTGCACGATGTCTTGGATGCTCAGTGGATGATGGATAACCACCGCGATGAATCATACCTCAGGAGGGTCATTAGGCCGTTGGAGAGCTTGTTGACTTCATACAAGCGTGTTGTTGTCAAGGACAGCGCTGTTAATGCTGTCTGCTACGGAGCCAAGCTTATGATTCCAGGTCTCCTGCGATTCGGTAAGATATATCATCAACCATAATCCACTAATATTATTGCTAACTCGTGTCTGTAGAGGCTGGAATTGAGGTTTATGAAGAGGTTGTCCTCATGACCACCAAGGGTGAGGCTATTGCTATTGGTATTGCTCAGATGTCCACTGTTGAGCTATCTACCTGCGATCACGGTGTCGTTGCAAAGGTTAAGCGTTGTATCATGGAGCGCGATCTCTACCCCAGACGATGGGGCATGGGTCCAGTTGCACTTGAGAAGAAGAAGCTCAAGGCTGACGGAAAGCTTGACGTAAGTTGATCCGTGGAGAGTGTTACTCTTTATGTTGATTGCTAACCCTGCTCCTTCAGAAATATGGCCGCAACAACGCTTCCACCCCAGCCAAGTGGCAGTCTGAGTATAAGGATTACGATCCTCAATCTGCCGGTGCCGTGAACGCTGTCCCACCACCTGCCGCAGCAACCCCCGCAAAGGCCGCTCCAGTTGCTCCATCATCTCCTGAGAAGGACGAGGATGAAGATATGGAGGATGGCGAAAAGAAGCGCAAGAGAAAGGACGCCGAGACCCCAGAGGAGCGAGAAGAACGAAAGCGCGCAAAGAAAGAGAAGAAGGAAGCAAAGGAAAAGAAGAAGCAAGAGAAAAAAGAGAAGAAGGAAAAGCGGAAATCCAAACAGGCCGATGACGCGAGCAGCAGCGAGTAAAGGAACCAACCTTACGAGCAGTCGGCTTTTCTTTTATTTTCTTTTGTATCATATCCCTTTTTACTGTTGGAGTATGGGAAAACTGATCCAAAATGGGCTGCCTATTCACGTTGCTGGAGTATCTGGTTCTTGCTTTTGTTTCTTCGAATCTCGTTTATCCTTTTTCGATAGTTTGGGTAGTTGGGCTTAACTGAAATGCACTTTTGAACGTTACAAGTTGGCTTACTGTCTAATCCTTGGTTCTTTGCATATCGAGATCTGATGCCGTTTGCGTGGAAGGTGTAGGCTTGTTCTATCCTGTGGCAACCAACCTACCAGAAGGAGCTTACTATGCAAGTCGTCTCCTTCCAGGCTGCTATGTTTAATGCAATCAGCAACGTGATGAAGAGTGGTCGCCCTCTGACCTTTTTCAACTTGTCCTTTCGAATACCTGGCTTTCGATGTTGTACTTCTAGTGTATTACCTGCAACATGCTCTGTATCTGTGCGGTAGGAGTCGAACAAGCTAAGACGAGGCATATAACCCACCTAGCCTAAAAGTTCTCTGCCTGTAGTTGTATTCTTTGTCTAAGTGTTCGAGTGTTTGTATCTGATATGTGGTTTGTATGATAGATGTAGTCCCATACGTGGTGAGGTCATCAAGCAGCAGCTGGTCACATGTCGAGAGCTGCAGGTACATCGCGAGCACCAACTCACTCTTCCCACCAGCATCTTCCCACGCGATCACAGCTACACTCGCCCTGCCCGTCTGGTACCTGTTTCAGACTCCAGGATTGATATATCTGAGCCGCGAATAGAGAGATCTCACACTAGTTGTCACCATGGCAGCAGAACTCGAGCCGATAAAGCTCAACCCGGAGAGCCACTTGATCCTGGTACATGCAGACCTTTCCCCGCATAAGACAGAGAGAATGAATATATACTAACGAGCTATATCTATCAAAGGACCAACCTCTCCTACGTCTCCCACACGAACTAGCTCGTCGCAATTTTAAGACGGTACAGCGTATCGTGGAAAGAGAGAAGGAACATGTTATCCCAGCCCTGAAAGAATCGGCAAACGCCTCGCTCTCCGGAAACCAAGATGCCGCCCAAGCACTCGCCTCGCTGGATACGATGATAAGTCGGATGCAGGGACTGAAGCGGAAGATGGAGACGCTACAGGAAGAAGAGAAGAGTATCCTTACCCAGTCCAGGAAGCGGATTGAGCATCTAGAGGACCTCTTCGGCATACAGAGCTTGGTGGACGTGAAGTATGACCGATGGTCCAGAATAAGATTGAACAGGTTGCTCGTTGATCACATGCTACGCTCAGGTTATCTTGAGAGTGCAAAGCAGCTTGCGCAGGAGGAAGGTATCGAGGATCTGGTCGATGTGCATGTGTTTGCTCAATGCCAAAGGATAGCAGAGAGTCTTCGGAGAGGCGAAAGCAAGGAAGCTCTTCAATGGTGCGGAGAGAACAAGGTTGCGTTGAAGAAGTTACATGTACGGCACTATGGGTTTGCTGGCGTCCGTTCCTAAGCTATTCTTGCTAACAATTGCATTTTACAGAACAAGCTAGAGTTCGAACTTCGGATGCAACAGTACATCGAGATGTTAAGGGCTGGCGATAGGTCAGAGGCTAGACAGCATGCCAAAAAATATCTCACACCTCATATGGAATCATACAAAGCAGATATACTTCGCGCTGCGGGACTGATGGCCTTCCCACCCGATACTGATTCAGAGCCATACAAGGTGAGACCCGCCCAGTCGCTCAAATTAAACGGTGAAACTAACCAGCCATCCTCTCGTATAGTCCATGTACTCATCAGAACGATGGCAAACGCTTTCCAGCCTCTTCATCAAAACCCACCATGATCTACTCTCCCTTACCTCCCACCCACTGCTACAAATCGCCCTGTCGGCTGGGCTTTCAGCTCTAAAAACGCCCTCATGCCATTCTGAATATACAACCTCAGCATCGAGCGCCACATACTCTGCTGGACCATCGATATGTCCTATATGTTCTACCGAGCTAAATGAACTCGCTCGTCCTATGCCCTACGCCCACCATACGAAGAGCTCCGTAGAAAATGACCCTGTCGTTCTGCCAAATGATCGACTCTATGGCAGGGAGAGTTTGATCTATATGTCAAGCAGGGCAGGCGTTCCTGCAGACAAAGTCAGAGATCCCATAACGGCAGAGCTGTTTGATACATCGGAGATGAAGAAAGTGTATATTTCATAAGTCTGCTAGCGATACACATTCATTGTTGGCATTTGCAATTAGCTATTATGCGGGTCATTTTTGGTTTGTCCAGCTTGTCAGAGGGTTCAAGGCAGCGTATTTTTTAATGAATTAATGATCAAGAAAGACACTCTCATATCAACCTAAACTGCTATCATTTATAAAGGTGACAATAGTATCTCCAACACTATCCCCTATACTAATCGCTCTCGCTATCGGACTCCCTCCCTTTCCTTTTACGCTTTCCAGCATTGGGATTTTCATTTTCAAGCCCCTTCCGTTCAAACACATAACTCCTCGCCTCCCTCTCTTCGCCCTTCCATCCGCCTCTCCCACCATCCTTCCCTTCGATGGCACCTATTGTCCGCGCATGTGAATATCCAGGGTAGCTAGTCCATGGAAACTTGAAGCTAGTTACAACACGTAGACCAGCATGACGGGCAAGATCCCTGATATTCCATAGGGTATACGGCTCTCCTTCGAATAGAGTCACAATGATATGACCAGGCTCCTTTCTAGGTCTGTATCTCACCTCATCAGACTCGGAACCCGCATCATCTTCGTCTTCCTCTCCCTCAAAATATTGATCCTCGTCGAAATCAGACCAGTCATCATTTGAACTCGGGATCGAGAGAAGAGGCACACAGGCCTTGAAGAATCCAACTAGCAGTTCCTGGTTTGATCGGACCTGTCGATTCACGTCCGTACTTAACCCGCCAACGTGTGGGAAATTGAAACATATAATATCCCATGGTCCTCCTTCCTCGCCCCCATGGCCTGGCAGGCTACCTTTTTGTTTGGATCGGTTTGAGTAGCTCGGTCTTTGACTTGGGGCAGGAAATCCACTACGGATTAATTTACCGCCTCCTCCAGTAGCACCTAGTTTTCGAGCATCGATTGAAAAGACTACCTTGGGCGAGGATAGAGGCGAGTTCGAAGTTTGAATCAACTTAGTCTTAGTTTCAGGCTCCGACGATTTAGTAGTGCCTCCACCCTGTGATTCTTCGCTTGCTTCTTCTGGGTTCTCTTCATCATCGCCGTTATCTCGTTTGCGCTTTAAGTCACCCTTCCCGCCCCTCGACGATGAAGAAAAAGCTTCGAGTTGCTCAATATGGCCCTTGACATCAGGGTATTTTTCAAGTATCTTCTCCTCGCTATCATAGCAGGTGGCCATAAGTCTCTTTCGGCATTTATGGTGAGTCGCAAGAGATAATGCGAATGAGAAATCTCCTAAGGTAGCATTAGTTGCATGCATCTCGATAGAACAAGTAAAGACGGCCATCCAATACACACCTTCGCCAATTAGTAAGATCCGATCAGAAGGTCGAAATGGAATTTGAGGCCGCTGTTGTTTTTGTTGCTGTTGTTTAGCATTTTGCACCTTTTTTGACGGTATTGTTGATAACTTGGTGAAAGTTTTCATCTTTTTATTACTCTGCTTCACAGGGGCTTTTCGAGCTTTACCCATCTTGCTGGTTTATGGTATTCTCAAAGATATTGATTATATGAAGTTGAAATGATTTTGATTGGGGGAGTGTATATCTATGAATTCTTTTGACTCGATTTTTGATGTTCAAAAAGCCAAGAAAATCACCTTTTTCCGCACATCACAATAATGAGCACAATATTCTACGAAACTAGGAATATCATCCATTATTTCGCCAGACTGATTGTCGTAGTCTACTTCGGCGTAACGACAAAGCCATGGCTGCCCTTCTTCTACACTTTGGCAAAGTAGCACAAGTATAAATGCGCCGTTTAGCTCGTCGGTCTTTATCTCATTTTCGGAATCAAAACATCCACACCAGAAACACGGAGCACAGAGACAACACCATCTAGAGCATGCTCTAGAACAAGCTCCTCATAGCGCGATAGCAACTCGCGAGGGGAGTTGAAACCAGGTAACTTAGCGAGTAGGTATTGCTCGCACGAATATAACTGTTCCTTGGAAATCGCAGCTCATCCACGTCGTCCCATGCCTCTCCAAGTTCCTGCTCTTCACCCTGGCATATAAGGTCTTTCAAGGACTCGCGCCGATAGCCAGAAGGCTTACGTACAATCAATGCATGTCGATGTTCTAATTAATTCGATGACACTTCATGGGCTAATATCCTAGCTCATGGAGAATGTTGACAGCTAGAGTTGCCGGAAGCATCAATGTCTTGAGTATATAAAGGTTAAGATTGAAAAGCAGTACTCAATTTCAACGAATTGCTCCATCTAACCCTAGTATGGTACCTGGTACCTACCTGATGCTAAACCTGTGGTCGAAGTATATGTATGTGTCCAGGCATAAATGTAGGGATACAAAGGAAGCGGCTCTGCTGACTGGCTGTATATTTTTACAACTATGTAGTGGTTAATGTAAATCAGGTATCACTACGGAGTATCAGAGTGTCTAAGTATAGGTAAATGTGACCTTTTATATAAAAAAGACGCCAAGAGATGCTCGGGAGAGTCACATGCTTGGCGTTGCTTGGCGTTGCTTGATTCATACTTAAAAAAGGGGCTGAACCTGAAAAAAGGCCCGTCCATCTTCGCTTCATGCTCTCTTCTTCCCGCTGTATACTCCGTGCCTCCCGTTACTTGCAACTCCAGGTCAGCAGAGCATAGTCGAAGATAACCGCGGAACCGACACGATGTCCTACAACCAGAATCCCCAGCCCCAGTAGTATGTTATGCGCTCCCATTCCCTTTTACCGTTTCTGATACAGCTGTGGCTAACGCCTTTTTTTCTCTTGGTAGTGGCTATCCCCAGCAACAGGGTGGCTATCCCCAGCAAGGTGGCTATCCCCAGCAGGGGCCTCCTCCCGTACGTTTTTACCCTCTCCCTCTCTCCCGTTGCTCGTATCTAGCCAGGATACGATAGGTTAGTTATTGGCACAAAGAGAAAATCGTATTTCTAGGCAGTAAATGTCTGGGTCTTGGTAACTAATTATGCACTGGCTGAGCGCTACACAACCATATAGATGCAATACCAGCAGCCACAGCAACCCGTTGTCGTTGTGCAACAGCAGCCGAAGAAGGATAGGGGATGTCTAGCAGCCTGGTTAGTCGACCCCAGTTTCTTTTCCTTTCTTTCGATGACAGTTGAAGCTCTTGAACGTATAAAAATTGACGCCAGTTTGTCTTAGTTTGGCAACCCTGTGTTGCTGCTTCCTCTGTGAAGAATCTTGCGAATGCTGCTTCGAATGCTTAGAGTGCTGTTTCTAGTCTTTGCCCATGTTAATACTTCATAGCATTTTACACGGTGATGAACTAGCCTCGTTATATCCAACGGTGCCCTCCCTTTACCCCTCGTCGGCGGCAACAATATCTCTGAGGCCACGATAATCACAATGTTAATAAATTCAATAATAGTAAATTCCCTTTAAGTATTCTTCTACTCTAAGTATTCAAAAGTTGGCGCTGTTCTCGCCCATCAACCCCGTTATTGGCGCCCCAAGTCTAAGTCTCCAATTTCAACACCATCCGTCTCTTACATATAATGAACCAGGTAGTATAGATTACAAAGCCGTGAGTGTTTCAACCCAATCTATCCCGAGTGATATTAACCGAAATTCCTGGTCAGTTAGTAGTCATAACAAAACATACCTACGGTACAGGGTCTCTATACTGATATTGACCCAAGTTGTATAAGAATCTGCCAGGTAGCTCGTTAGCGAAGAAATCCCAAACGATAGGCAATATATGATGGTCTGGGAGATGTAATCACCTTTTCAATATATTTAACTGCAACCAGGACGCCATCCTCATCTTGAAACTCACTTTCATCCCCAAAATCAGCGTTATCTTTATCTAGGCAAGTAAGGCAATTGACAACCACTCGGGAATATACGTCACCCATTTTTTTGGGCAGTTCATCCCTTGCTAGAGCAACGAGGGTACGTTTAGTTGAGCTTCCGTTGGTGATAAATGGCTCAACCCTCGTTGGTTGCGGTAACTGGCCATCTTCCTCGTTATAGAGGACGAATGACTTCCAAAGGCCAATCTCAAGAAGACACACCCCTAGACTGTAGATATCATGCTGCATCACGTAGGTGGCCTCTGGCTGTAGCCCTTGACGACTGGGGTGCCGATAAAGGTTCTTATCCGGTGCAGGGTCTCCAAGACGCATGGAGTGGCCATCCGCCATACGGAAAATGGTGAAGCCGACAAGGAATAATGATCCAAGGGAGGATTTCCCGTCTTTAAAAACCAAGAGAGTCTCTGGACGAATGTTCTTGTGCACGAATCCGAGAGCGTGAACGTAGCAAATAGACGATGCCAAGTGCTTCGCGATACGAACTCGAGCACTCAGTGAATGGCCCTCGCCCGAGGAGAGAAGAACCCTCCGAAGACTTTGCGGATCGCGCATTTCCTTTGGGAAGTAAAAGATGAAGTCGAACGACTGGGCTCTCCCAGGCTTCGGGGCGCTGGGCTTGACCACGCCAGCGCACTTTAATAGGCTGAAACTTGCCGGGTCCACGCCCATTAGCTTTCCAGCAAGGATTCGGACATCTTTTGTGAGCGTCGAGACGTCACTGTTAACGTCGTCACACTCTGCAGGCTGGATGACGAGGAAGTTCCTATCGGGCATCTCCAAGAGCTGAGAAGTTGATAGTGGTATATTGTGACGCCGAGTGGCAGCAAGACCGTTTCTGGGTAGAAATATCTGTTTCTTTTCGGGGGATCCCTCTGGCGGGCTGTGGCGCAAGCCGCGGATTGTAGAGAGAGAGTTAGACTTGGAATCGTCCAGCGTAGGAAGATTTTTATTTGCATTCGCAAATTCCTCGTCGATGGCCGAACCGGACACCCGAATCATCAGATACCATGATGGATCAAACATCTTCTGCCATGCCTTTATCTCTCGGAGAGTCTCGTCCAGACATTCCTTGACCAAAAGGACGTATTTGCCCTTCCTCCTGGCTGACAGTATTTTGCACTGTTTTGCGTTGCTGCTGGGTTTCTCGACTTGGCCGATATTGAGAACTGCCTTGTTGAGCTTGACGACAAGGATGTGAAGAATCTGTTTGCTCAAGTCTTGATGCCCTTCACCAAGACTTTGCCAGACCCTATTGATGATCCTGAGCTGCCAAATGGTCTTAGTCCAGTAGTACTCGACCTTGGTGATGGATTCTGATATCAGGGCGTCTGCATCCCGGAACTCCTTGATCTTTCGAAGAAGGGAGTCGCCATATCTGCATTGGATACTTTAGCACCGGCATGACTTTGTGGTGTTAAGCATTGAATATACGGCCGCAGCCGCCTACTCACCTGAAACAAAGGTCGACTGCGCTCGAGACGCCAATAATCCCCAGTGCAAGCTCCATGCCTGACACCAGGATTCCAGGAACCAGTGCTATCGTCCTCGTACAAAGAACGCCTCGAGTTGGAGTTGCTACGAGAATTTGCTGCGTGGTATTCCGCCGATGGACGACAAAATGGCCGAGTTATATGGAGGGGGCGAAGGACCGTCATCACTCTCACATCCTGGACCCCTGATGCATACTCTTCCGTCTTATAATTGGCGCCTCAGTGCTCGTTTCTTCTTCCTGTCCAGCTACCTGTCTAGGAACCATTGGAGAGGCCCAAGGCTTGAAGCCCAAGGCCCAGCCTTGTCGTGTCTCCTGGCTACTGGCTTGCTATCGGTTACTGGTGTGTTGGATATGCAGAAACGAGCGCCTGACAGATATATGCAGGACTTGGCTATACACGTTTACTGGTCTTTTTACGTGTCCATGGTGTGACGACGAGTCATTGAAGAGATATAACAGTCTCATACTCCGTACATGGGCGTCAAATTTACGGCTTTTACTACAATACAAAAGACAGGATACTACCTTTTGGTTTGTCCGTTGTGCTCGACCCTGCGTTCAACATGACATCTGCCCTAAACTTTGTGGAAGATTCCAAATTGCAGTTTGATATCTGTGCTGGATACACATGCCACGTTCGCCAGAGAAGAGAAGAAAGGTGGAAGAACATAAAGGAGATCGGACAGGGGGCCTATGGCAAGGTCTGGTTACAGGAATGCATGTCCAATGATAAGGACCGCAGGCTGCGGGCAGTGAAATCGATCCCAAAGTCAGCTCGGCCTTCTGAGGCGGTGGATTATACTCACGAACTGTTGGCTATTGCAAAGTTCTCCCAGCCAAAGGTCCAGCTCTTTGTCCTTGGAATTTGGAATTTTTCTTTTCCACGCACTACCAACCATACTGACTGATCTTCTTGCTATTTTTGCAGTACGAGGACTTCTTCCTTCGATCGTTCGGGTGGTACGAAGACGCAAAATGTGTCTTTATCACAATGGAATACTTAGAACACGCCGACCTTAATGGCCACTTGGGAGAGCCGTTGCCCGAGAAAGAAGCCCAACTGATCACTGCTCAGCTTTTGCAAGGCCTTGAATACATGCACACCAATAAATTTACGCACCGGGATTTGAAACCAGAGGTGAGAAGCTCATGGCTGTGCTCTAGAACCGGATTCGAAGAATGCCATCTAATCTAAATACCTTACAGAATATATTTGTGGTATCGAAGGGCCCGAGGTGGTGGGTAAAGATCGGTGACTTTGGCCTCAGCAAGCGAGTGGAAGAATCGACAGCCCTAAAAACTCGCATTGGCACGTTTCATTACATGGCACCTGAAATGCGTAGGCATTCTGGACGCCGGGTGGGCAACCCGGGCTATACCTCAGCCGTTGATATGTGGTCGCTCGGTGTTACGGTATGCTACATGGTAACAGGGAAAAGGCCCTGCACCAGGAACAGCACTTTACTGGATTATATCAACAGATCTGTCAAACCTCGTCCTGAGACCATATTCCCTAAAAGTTTCAGTTCGCAAGGCCTTGAATTTTTGCAGGGCCTACTGGAGGCAGAACCTGAAAACCGTATGACAGTGGGAGACGCTCTACAACATGACTGGATGAAAAGTTCTATTAACCTCGAATCTGAATTATCACCCCAAGGAACGTTGAAAGGCGATTTTGAAGTCTATCCATCGTCACAGGCTGGTTTTAAACTCTCCATAGACTCTTTTCACGACGGAGGATCAAACTCCAGAATTTCATCAACCATAAACCACACGGGAGCCTCTAAAGCATCGAGAAACTGGAAGGACCTGGAACTTTCTACTCCTTTACAAGGAAAGAGCTACGGGTTGTGTGATAAGGCATCAGAATCCTTCACTTTGATTCCGGAGAGCATAGGCAGCCACCGCGATATCCCAACTAAGTATGCATCACAGGGAGGAAAAACCCAAGGGTCGGCGCTGTCAACGGCAACTACATTTATACACCTTGCAGAGGAACCAAATGTATACCTCGGACCAGAGAACCAACTCTCTCCAGGCGCCATTCAAAAGTCTGCCATAGCCTTATTTCATAAAAAAAGGCATGAGGAGGCTGAGATCGAATACCAGGAACTTGTGAGGCAACAAGGAACTCGAGGGTATTATTATTGGGAATCTATCATGAATCCTGGTTACTCTTTATATCCTGGCGATGGTGACGTACCGGGCGACGAGAAGCGGTTTAAACAAGCTCTACGAAATGCATATAAGATTCTAAGCCGTGATCATCACTGTACACTAGGTTCTATCGATCGGCCTGATAGCCCGTTATATTGCCAGGCTGAAGCAGAAAAGACAGAGAAATGCCTTAAGCAAGCTATCCAAGCTTACAAGAAGGATCAAAGTCATGACCGGATAGACACTCTAGCGTCTACATTCTGTCTTGGCCAGTTCTTATGTCTTCAGAATGACAAGAATAAGTTGAAGGACGCTGAGAAATACCTTAAAGAAGCAGTTCGGGGTTACAAGGAGGTTAAAGGCCACGGCCATCTATATACCCTGGAATCAGCCTACCGTCTTGGCCAATCCTTGTGTCTGCAGGATGACCAGAATAAATGGAAAGAGGCAGAGAAATACCTTAACGAAGCAATCCAGGGATATAGGAAGTTCTTAGGAAATAAGAAATGGCAACGCCGTGGTCAGTACGGTGACTCTGCCTCTACCTACTGTCTTGGAATCTCCATGTACCTTCAGAACAAGTGGATGGAAGCAGAGAGTCAGTTCAGACAAGCTGCAGAAGGATACAGGAAGACTAGCGTGTATAAGCGCCCCCCACATATAAGGTCTATACACTGGCTTGGTCGCTCTCTATATGCCCAAAAAAAATGGGGAGAGGCAGAAATATATTTTGAACAAGCTTCAGAATTGTACAAAAAGGTTCGAGGTCGTGATCATCATGATACCCTGCAGTCGATTAACTGGCTTGGCTTCTCATTATGTGGTCAGGAAAAATGGAGAGAGGCCGAGGTACAGCTTCAAAAGGCAACGGAAGGCTATCGAAAACTTCGAGGATGTGACCATCCAGACACTTTACAGTCCATATACTGGCTTAGCTGCTCGTTATATGGTCAAAAGAAATGGAGAGAGGCTGAGACACAAGTTCTCAAAGTGGCAGAAGTTTATGAGGGGGTTCTAGGGAGCAATCATAGAGCCTCTTTACGACTTACTAACCTCCTTTGCGACTCTTCTCTACGTCAGCCAGTAAAGTGGGCAGACGCTGAGATTCAGCTTCGAAAGTTGGTTAATAGCCATAAGAAGATACGCAGTGATAGCGAAGATACTTTAATGTATACCCATTGTCTTGGTCTCTGTTTGGATAATCAAGAGAAGTATAAGGAGGCAGAGGCACAGTTTCAAGAAGCAGCAAAGGGTCGCGAGGACCTTTTGGGACGTGATCATGAAGATACCAAAGAATCTATCAAGTGGATCGAACGAGCAAAATGGAAACGCCGTAACAAGTAGATACATCTTGTTCTACAGTTTTGGGTTTGGGGTTCATAAGGCTGTCCGTTGGCTATACTCTTATGAAACAGGCTGTTAGAGCTATATGTATCTAGTCCGGGGTTCTCATTGTGTTGATCTCGAGCCAACAGATATTATGTATATTATAGTCTGATTCGTGACACCTTTACTCACTTTACAATAACATGTCTTTAAACAGTTTACACTTGAAATAAAAGAAGAAGGAAACGTCAAATGCAGTAGAAAAGTAAAAAGAGGGAAGAAATAAAGGAAATAAATACAATACTACAATACCAAGAGTTTTCTCTGTAGTATATAAAATTGGGGATATCGAAAAAAAAGTGCCAAAGGTCACTAGCACAAAGCTTGAAAAGTAAATAAATAAATAAAAGTGGCAGGGTGTAAAGCGGATTCCGAACTATTCGTGAGCCACGCATGAAAGAAGAATAAAGGATAAGAAAGAAGAAAAAAGAAGAAGAAATTGAACACCCCAGGGAAAACGATCAGCCAAAAAAATCAAGTTCTATGAGTCGCAGGATGTGATTCGGTTGAATGGTCAACCACAAGATAAGAAAGTAAAGAAACAAAAAGAGACTGGGCGTAGAAGATGACGTTATTGAATGGATGGTCGTCCCCGGACAGCCTTCGGCCTTTCTTTTTTAAATTGGACGAGCTGGACGAAGAATGGACGCCTTGAGATTACAAAGAATAGACCCATTGATTGCATTAAAGGTCATTATCCCCAGGCCAATGCCACGCGAGAGATTGAAGCTAGATATTGTGGGCATGTAAGACCAGCTAATTGCTCACGATTTAAATCCATCTCTCATGCTCTGTGCGCTGGCACTAACGGGGGGGTTTGAGGTGGGGAGGATTCCGGTCTTTGGTTTGGCGTTCTGCTTGACCTTGGCGAGAGCGTACACGATACCACTGACGAATCCGAGAGCAATGGCGGAAACGCTGGGGAAAGTGACTGGGTCGCCGAAGAACATGAGACCAGAGAGGGCGATGGGGAGCTTGTTGAGGGCTCCGACCATGGAGTAGGTTGTGGAGGTGGTGACTCGTACACACCAGGCGGAAGCGTAGGAGATGAAGACGGTAGACAAACCGGAGAAGACCATGGCGGTGTAGAGTCTGTTGCGAGTTTCGACGGGGAAGTTCTTGGCCACGTTGGCAGAGGACCAGTCCTCAACGAGGAGAGAGCTGACGAAGAGAATTGGAATGGAGAGGAGGTTGTTGTAGAACATGGCTAGTAGAGATTAGCACCGTTATAATGAGAAGTTTATAGAGCATACTTACTATCGAAATCCTTGAAGTTGGTCAACTTGATTCTCTTGCGCATTCCGAGGACGTAAGAAGCAGTACAAGCACAGTTGACCAACATCCAGAGGTAGCCGGAGTTGAGAGTTGAAACAGCGCTTGCACCGGCGACGGTAGAGGTGCTGACAGTGTGGGTGATATCTGCCCAAGCAGCCACGACGGAGCTGAGGACCATGAGACCAAAGGAGAAGAGGGTAAGGCCGCCAACGGAGCCTCCAAACCACAGAACCTCACCATAGGCGATAAGGATGATGGTAAGGTTCTTGAAGATGGTGTAGACGGGGATGGAAAGGAACTTGAGGGCCTTGGAGCCGGTGTAAATCATGCCAATGAGTAGGAGGGAAATTGGGAACCCTGCAACGATGTTCAGTTAGCCGGTGCATAGAGAACGGACGAAAGGAGGCTGAACGTACATTTCTTGGCCTCATCTGAGTTGAAATCTCTGTAGTTGATGAATCCCAAGCTCTTACAGGACTGCACTGCAATAATACAAATAACGGACTAAAATCGTGGTTGTCAGTAGAAGTTCGTAGGAGTCGGAATCAATGACACGTACCTGAATACCGAGCAGGAAAAAGTTAAGATTAAAATCGACGCCGGACAAGACATATTTATTCGTGACGGTCATTAAAATAGAAGATGCGCAATAGGCGATAACTGCGAGCATTGCGTTGTTTGCAACCGAGGGGCCGGCCGAGCTGTGTCGGGGTTGCGGTGGAGGCTGCGGCTTATAGCTAGACGAGTCCGCGTCTATCTTGTCCATGGCGATGGAGTAGTTGTCGTTTTTCTTCTGGTCCGACATCTTGAGAGGTATCTGCGCCTGTGATGGAGGCCGTGGAGTCGATATTGGTGTAGTTGGGGAGCCGGATAGGAGATTTCGAGGATGGGTTTCAAGGCCACCTGGGCGTCTTTTCAGGGGTGACGACGCCTTTAAAACCGGTGGGAGGACGCACGGCGAGACAGTCTACAGGCGGGAGAGACGTATACAGACAACGCAGCCAGCCGAAACACCAATAAAAGGGAGAAGAGAAGCTGAGCAGCTGAAACAATCGCACGAAGGAGGCGGAGTCGGACGATGCGAGACTTGAAGTTGTTGCTTTCTTCGCGTTCGAGAAAATCTTTTTTTGGCTTTTTGAAAATCGGAAAAAAGTTGAAAGTTACAGTATGTGGTATTCCGAATACATATATTACGGCTGACTAAGGATCACGTGGAAGTCTTCCCTTTTGCCCCTTTTTGTTTCTTCTCTTTCTCTTTCTCCTTTTTCTCGTCCTTCTTCTTCTCGTTCTTCTCAGTTTTCTCCTTAGTACCTCCCTTGACTGCCTTCGGGTTTATACCGTGGCGACGGGCCTTGTTCCTCTCGGCGCGAGCGATGTACTGCGCGTCTTCGTCTTCGTCAAAGGGACCAAAGCCGTCCTCGCCATCAGTAGTCTCCGCAGCGATGGGCGTCCTATCAATGACCTCCTCGCCACTTTCAGCCGTTCCTGGTTCCTGCTGGGTCGTCTCCGTAGGGCTGGGACCAGTCTTTTTCAGCTTGCAAACGAAGAACCCGTCGACGTTTTCACGGTGCGGGTAGTATCGCCGTGTCAGCGGCATCTTGTCGTCGAACTTCTTGTTCATGTAGCTCTTGAAGCCGGGAGTTCCAAAGCTTCCCAGCCCAGTGTCGACTATCTTCACGTTGGGTCGCTTCCGTAGTACGTATTGTACGACGCCTTCGTTCTCTTCAACCGTAACGCTACATGTTGAGTAAACTATATATCCGCCTGTCTTCGAGGCGTGGTTGGTAGAATCGATAGCGGCTAGCAGTAGTTGCTTCTGCATGTGTGGCAGTGCCAAAAAGTCTCGCTCTGTCTTGGATGTCTTCACCTTCGGGTCCTTGGCGATAACGCCGGTTCCAGAACAGGGCGCATCGAGCAGCACTCGGTCGAATCCGCCAACGGCCTTGGGGAACGCCGTTCGTGCGTCCATGTTCGAGACGATGGTGTTCTTACATCCCAGACGATGGATATTTCCGATCAGACCCTTGGCACGGCTTTTGCTGGCATCGTTCGCGAGAATGCTACCAGTGTTCCTCATCAGGGCAGAGGCGTAGGTGGTTTTACCACCGGGAGCAGCTGCCATGTCGAGGATACGTTCATGTGGTTGAGGTGCGAGCGCCATGACGGGGAGAAAGGAGGATGCAGCTTGAAGGATGTAGTGTCCGGCGAGGTACTCTGGGGTGGCACCCAGGGGAACTGGGGACTCGAAAACCTGAAGGCCAACCTTTGACCATTTTCCAACGGGCTCCAAAACAACTCCTTTGTTAATCAAGGCCTGTGCAAGCGAACGTCGATTGGTGCGAAGTGTGTTTGTTCTGATAACGATAGGTCGGGGAGACTCGTTGGCCTCGAAGAAGGAGAATGCCTCAAGCGGGGTGAACAGAGAAAACAGCTTCTCCGCAAGGTAGGGTGTGTAGCCATAGTATACGCATATGTCGTTTAGGAGTAAGTCGGTGTAATCTGTGCGAGATTTCCCTGGTTGACCTAACGTGCCCAAGTCACCAAGAATACGGATAGTATCCGTTATGCGCGTTCGGAGCAACTGGAGGTTTGGAGCCAATCCAGCTGTGAGATTATCGTGTTCAGCAAATACATCCGGTCTGTCGCCTGCAATGTTCGTCTGGAGAGCAGCCTCCTGCAGCTCAAGTTCTGCCTGCGCAGCCTCTTCTTCCTTTTGCATATCCAATTTCCTGGACAGACCCTCTATATTGGCGGCCGTAAGCATCTCCTCTGCATCTGAAAGATCCTCATCGTCAGAGAACATCTTCTCCCTCGGCCGCTCTTCATCAGAATCAAACGCCGAATGGCTGTCGAGGTCAGAGTCTGCCTGGTCCAGGTCGTCCAGGTTGTCTGACCCGTCACTGACCCCGTCTAGATCGCCAAACTCGTCGTCGAGCATCTCATCATCCAAATCTTCATCAGAACCTTCAAGTTCGGATATTTCAACCGGCTTGGGAGCCTTCTTCTTGCCGGTCCTGTGAGGCGCACTCTCTGCGAGTGAGGGCTTCGCACTCTTCTTCTTCACATCATTCGATCTCCCAGGGCTTGCGCCATTGGTCTTTGCGCTTTTTGGCCTTGTCTCTTCTTCATCATCAGCTCCTCTCCGTCGCTTGGTTCCCTGGGGAGTATGATTTGGGTTGTCTGCTTTGTCTGCTTTTCGCTTCTTAACCACCTTTTTACCGCCTTTTATTTTGGATTCATCGAGCGGCTGTGGAGGACCCTGCTTTTTCCCAATGCGACGTCCGACACCCATCTTGCCTCGATTTCCCTCAAATCAAGAAGCAATTGGTCGAGCTGTTGAATTGTAGTCCTGGGTTGTCGTCTTTCTTTTTTCTCCGGCGAAATTTTGCTGATAAGCAAAAATAATTTTTAGAGTTTAGTTGATATCACGTGATATAGTAGCTTATCTGATAAACCGCAACTAAACAAACCGAACAACGAACAGTTGCAGTTGAGCAGTTGTATATTTCACGTTTGATAGAGGATATTCAGCTACTACACAGTCAGTTGTGACAGATAAAAGCTGCCGTTATGTCGGAGGTATCATTCACCAAGAGTTTCCTGGCCTCTCTGGATTCAAAGGCCATCAAGCTGCCAGCCGATACTGTCTTTGATCCACGAGCATTCGCCCCTCGTTTCCCAGTAAGAGCTCCCATCAGCAGATACAATGCATATATTGGCATAGACTAACCCTTGTTCCTTTAATCAGATTACACTACCTCGTCTCTCAGACCCGCCTCACCCACCTATGCCCAAGAAGATCAAAACCACCGCACCACCAGGCTCATCCAAGGGAATAACCGTCTATCTAAAGTCTGCCCGTAACCCCGTGATGGATATCAAACTCGGGAACGTGGCTCTAGCTACTGCAACAGTACAAGAATTAAAGGAAGCCGTTCATCAAAGAATACGACCAACCAATTTGACGGATGCCGACCAAAGAGTCCCATTAGATAAAATAAAACTGCTATGGAAGCGCAAGCCTGTTCAGGGGACATCCATCGCAGATATCTTAGCGAACGAATCTGATATAGTTAGTGGGAAGAGCCATGCCGAGTTTAGTGTTATGATCTTGGGCGGTGCAACTGTTATCCCTGAGGAGGAGCTGAAGGCAGCCGCTGCTACCTCGAAATCCACTCAGCCTATTGTACCAGGCACACAGGAGGATACGGAGATGAAGGATGTAGAAGATGTGAAAGAAAGCATACCAGACGCTGGATCGCAGCCTTCGAAGGCTGGTGCCCTGGAGACCCCTCAGTTTTGGGAGGAACTTGAAGTATTCTTACAAGAGAAAACGGGTGATAAAAGCGAAGCCGCAAGGCTGGGAGCCATGTTTAAAACTGCATGGCAGTCTAGCTTATAGTCCTAGACCCTTATAATGGCCTGTTAAGCTTTAATGGCCAAATCGAATGACTCCTAATGACATCCTTCTTCAGTAATTCATATATCTTACACAGCCAGTAGAGAACCTAATACCAAGAAATCATAAATTGTGTATATTCGTTGAACAAATAAAGTGTTGCATCAAGAAGACATAAAGCTTGAATGTTGGAAAGTTAATAGTGTACACCGAGGTGAAAAAGAATAAAAAAGGGACAAACGTTAAAAGGGATGCTGTAAGTAGAGAGAAAGAGGAAAAGGAAACGACAAAGGAAAAGGAAAAGGGCAGAAGAAGGAAATGCATTAAGTACGTATCTCGAGACAAAAGAAACAAATTTTCTCCAAGGTTCTCAAGGGGCGCAAGGAAACATATAGCATGGAGAAATTCAGCGCATGAATAAATACAAACGCTCATGTCTTATAATAATGGCATAAAGCAGAGCTGTGAGCTAATGAAGGGGGTATCATCAGGACAAGAAGATTAACCTTGAAGCTTGCAAAGGAGCAAGCCCAAGTCGAATATGCTCACGCAAAGGTCAAGAGACTCATTATAGGGATAGATAGCGAGGAGATGAAAGACAGCGGGTAATTGGCGGAGAAGCTGTCTAGCATCCTCATGGGGCGGCGGTTAGGCGTCTTTGATATTATCTTGAAAAGACCTTCACGACACCATCACCGCCACCACTAGCAACCCATCTTCCGTCTTGACTCCAGACGACCGAACATACCCCCTCGCCTCGCATTAATCTGTGGCTCGTAATTTCTTGCGTACAACTTCGTTTTTCAAGGGACCAAAATCGTAAACTTGCATCATGCCCAGCAGAGACTAGCTCTCGTCCATCTGGAGATTGGGACAGAGATGAGATTGCCGCCGGGTGTGCTAACATGGTATATGTGCATTGGCCTGTTCAGATAGGAGAATTCGGCGTTAGTTATGTTGTAAAAGGAAGGGAATGAGAGAGAATCTTACCGCTGTTAGCGTCGAAGAATCTGATATAACGGTCTTCATAACCGCTGATTACAACACCTTCAACTCCACCACTGGTGCCAGTCGCGCCATGAACGACGGACTCTTCTTCTGCCAGGGCTCGGTTGGGATCCAAGTTAGCAGTACCGTCGAAGCCGATGGTGCTGGCTACAACGGCATTAACACCGGTAGCGCGAGTACCATCGTAGGTCTCGAGGCTTGCCATTCCCACAATCTCCTCTCCAGTTCGAGTATCATAAACTAAAATAGACGCATCTGCATAAGAAACGACAAAGTTGACACCAGCTAATGATAGGGGACTAATGCATGTAGGCGCGCAGTTGCTTCGGACAATCTGATGGACCAGCGTGTAGTGGAATGCAGTCGTACTTGCGGTACTAGGTTGGGGGGAAGTAGGGAAATTGGAGCCGGAGGATATGGAATTTGCCCGTCTACTTCCGCCAGCACTTCTCCTAGAGCTAGTCTGTGGAGACGAGAGCTGCGGAGGAGAACTTATAGCCCAAATCAAGATCCGGCCATCAGCAGCGCCTGAAGCCAGGAGTACGCGGTCAGGGCCACCATTGACGTTGCATTGGTCGCCGAACACCGATTTCGAGGTGCCAGGGAGAACGCAAATGGCCCAGACGGCGTCTACGTGGCCATCCAATGTAGCCTTGGGGTCGACTCGGCCACGCTCCCAGACCTTGACGCTCGCATCTTGACCGCCGGAGAAGACCCAGCCATCTCCAATTGCACGACCGCCACTAGAGAAATTTTGGGAAGGTGGACAAGCTGCGAGCGCCGTGACGGAGCCATTGTGACCACGGTGAGTAAAGTAGCTGGTGACATCAAGGTCGGTACCTGGGGCTGCAGCATTAGGACCAAAGACACCGTATGTCGCAGGTATTATCCACCGTTTGATAGTTCCATCGTCTCCGCAGGTACAAATTTCAGGCTCAGACGGGCTTCCACCACCAGTGAAGATAACCGATCGAACGACGTCTAAGTGACCACGTAAAGCAAATCGTACTTTGAAGTTAGTTGTATCTGCCTTTGGGCCGGCCGATCCCGTCAGCTCTCGAACGTCAGGGTTGCCGTCACTTCGTCTTCTCCCGCCAGAACTCTTTCTCCGAGATCCACGTCCTCGGGTTGGAGATTTTGGAGGGATAAAATTAGCACTGGGAAAGGCATCTGTATCCGGACGGCGTGTGACAGGAGCAGGGGTGGGTTCGTTAGAAGGTGCTTCGTCGAAATTCCAACCTTCAGCCTCGTCCACAATTATGTCGTTCGTTGTAGGTGGTTTTCCGAAATCCTCTTTTCCTGAAAATGCGTCTGGCGATTTATTTTCTCCCTGTGTAGGCTCCTCTGATTTAGCGGGGAATTCATAAGTGGCATTTCGTTCCTCTTGTGGCACTTCATTTGGTCGTTGCTGCTCTTGGGATCTCTTGTCAAGATATTCTCTTGGGTTCAAACCTTGGGCGCCATTTTCGTTATACGTTGACATCATTAATTGCGAGCCTTCTGGTTCTCGGACCATATTAACGTGGTTCAATTGCGGCTGTGACTGGGCAAGCTGCTGCTTCTGTTGTTGCTGCTGCTGTTGCTGTTGCTGCTGTTGCGGGTGAAGGTGTTGCGGTACAGCTTGTTGCTGCTGCTGTTGTTGCTGCTGCTGCCGCTGGTGTTCCTGAAGGTAGCTGCCCTCTAAAGATTGTCGTTGCAATTGGTGCTGATAGTCATTGTTCATTAAGTCCTGTTCGTTCATTTCAGGTGGAGGATGTGACCCAGGAATGACATGATAGGCCACTTCCTGAGTACACTTTCCAAGGTACAGCCGAGATTTATCACGCTCATTTTCATGCTGGGCGTCTGGGCTATTCGAGTCCTCATCGTCGGCATTGTTTTCAAATCCGGATGGAGGCTTCGGTTGCTCTGTATAGAAAAACACCACGTTAGAACACCCCAAATTAAACATATAGGACCGAGATTAAGCTCCATACTCTTTTCGAGAGCCTTAAGGCTCTTCTTGGCTATTTCCTTGGGGTCAACGCCAGGTTCGACTTTCTCCCCTTCAGCCAGCTTATTCGTTTTCTCCCTTTCCTTCTTCAACGCGATTTCGAGGATCCGCACATGTTTCCCTAGAGATTCATGCATCCGCTTGCTCGTCCTGGCGTCGCCCTCCAGTCTCCCAATCCTCGACTTCATCTCCGCGCGCTCGATTTCCCAGGCGTTGCGGTCACGTTCATGTCGATGCCACTCGGTCTGGAGGAAGCGCATGACGCCTGTAAGAGCAGCCATATTAGCAAAAAATTCAAGTATAACTCGCCACTAAACCTGTCAACAAGCCCAGTGAACCGCGAAGTCCTCCCCGAAACATGCTGGACTGACCCTGTAGCGTATATTCAGTTCCCTGAGGCTGGCCTCCGCCGGTGCTCGCATCCATATTCCCTCCACCCATTCCACCATTTCCGGCCATGGCAGACTGTGGCTGCCAGGCCATTAAATACCGGGAACGACGGGCTTGTTTGTAAAAAGGACTGGCCAGAACCACTGGTAAACAGTTCTATATTGCGAGGCACGCTTGGCGGTTAAGGTCGAACGAGCGTAAGATTTTCGTTAAAAAGTCCAAGTTTCGTTAAAAATATCAGCCCTGGCAAAGCCCGCAGGCGAGATGTGAGTGCAGCAATGCCTAGATGAAGTGAATCCCCGGCGTCGTCGCCTCTGTTGCGTTCGATGCGAGGAGATCAAAAAAAAGGATCGCTGCTTGTTGTTCGAGCTCTCTAGCCTGCCAAGCCGCGATCTGGCATGCTCTTTGGTGGCTGCGATATTATTAATGTTGGCCTGACGCGCAGGAACAATGAAAGCCCGGAGGCTCAAGATATATAGATATTGTTTACTCTATTAGAACACTATCTCCTCTACCTCCATGCCGCAGTCGACACAGGTCTTGACGCCCATCCCGGTCTCTGGGTTGTCTACCGGCCGCCCCCATTGATGGACGTGTCGCTTGCGGCCGCCCAGGGTATCGCCGAATGTACCACCGCCCCCTTCTCGGTTCCTCCGATACGCCTCGAACTGGGTGCGTTTCTTCAACTCTTTCAGCTTGGTCTTGAACTGTGCCTCCTTTCGTCGCTTCTTGTCTGCTTCTCGGCGTTCAAACTCGGCGTCAAGGCCCTCGGGCGACCCCCATTTCTTAGCTGAGAATGCATGCTCCTCAACCTGGTACCGAAGAAACAACATCATGCTGTTCCACGTTGATTTGTGCGGATTTGGACGCTCTAGATGAGGCAGTAGTTCTTCGTCCTTAAGTTCAGCTGTCGTCAAGTTAGTGAATGCAGCATAGGACGTTATTTCCAGGCTGGCGGGACTCACGATCGGTAAGAAGATAGTCTTCCTTTGCTTCGGTTTTTGTGAGTAAGCTGTATTTCTCAGGAAACTTCTCCTTGCAGAGACTGCATATCGAACACTTGAAGACTTCGTCCCATTTCCAGTCGATGTCCACGGTGCCACACTCTCGGCACTTCTTCTGCTCTCCAGACGGCAGTGCTGTAGCCCCCGGCGCAAAAGGTCCATGGGGATCCCTTCGCGCAGCCTGTAGATGCTGGTGCCGCTCCCATTCTCTTTGAGTCATATGGGCCGGCTTCCCGTCTTGCTCTTTCGAATGCAGAGCTTTATTATGAGGGTCATCTTCGGCAGTCAAGAATCCACCTTTGGTATCTGTCATCTTGCTAAAATCATATTCTACATATTTGGCGAAAGCCCGTACCGGCCGGATAGTATCCAGTGGCCGCTCGCCAGTCGCCGGCGGGTTATTTCGTCCATCTCGAAGCGTTGCCGGTGTTCTGGACGGCGAGAGTACTGAGGATATGGGCCTTTTCTGACCAGCTACAACGGAGCCGCCACTGAGAGGACCGGTGCCACGGCTTCGGGCTTCAGCTTCCCGTTGTTCACGAAGGGCTTTGGCTTTCAAGCGGTTTAGTTCCTGGAGAACGGCTTAGCTACTTGGTGCCCCTGTCTTTATCAGGATAACATTAATATGTTCACGGGCTGCATACTATCCGCTGGACTTGTTCTGGAGTGAGTGTCTTTGGCTCTGGAGCCGTGGCCGCCTTCGACGGCGTTGTAGGCTGCGAGGGATCCATGTTGTCTCTTCTCCGCAGCTAAAGCAGCCAGGTATTGCTTGATAGATCGCGGGATATCGAAGTTGTTGCCTCGAGCATCGCGAAGTCACCGCGAAAAGGCGTGTAATATTTAAATTGAAAGCTGACTAATGAGTAATGATACTGTATAACCAAACTTTCACCACTTTAAATCGTGTATTGTATCGTAATCACGTGCACTATATCGCCGTCGATGATGTAACTTTCTTTCTTTCTTTTATAATTTGCAACAAGAGGGTGACGATGATAACAAGCAAGGAGTCGAGCTTCACATACCAATGCCGAGCCGTCCAGGTTCAATGAATGACAGCACCGATCAGTGTCCCCTGAGCCCGAAAAGCGTGCGGTCCGTGGAATCGAACCAGCCGTTCCCTCCACTTAGTCCTGACCTGGAATCGATCGACTATATCGAGGAGGAAGATACCGAATCACGCCAGGATGATGACGATGACGATGGCGATGATGAAGAGGTAGAGAAAACAGAGGGTGTTGAAGGCACAAATGACGAGGAAGACGAAGAGAACGGTGAAGGGGAAGAAGAGGAAGAAGAAAGAGGCACAGAAGAGGCAGAGTTTCTCTCTCAATATTCCCCACGAGCGTCAGAGTCCGAGGAAGAAAGCTCCCAGGAGGAGGATAACTTTGCCATCGACCGACCGTTCCTACGGTCTACAATCTCTTTACCCCATGCCTTTGCGCCGCCGTTCTATAATCGACCTCCTACTCCTCTCCCGCCCTCGCCGTCTTTGACATCACTACTTCGCCCATCCTTCTCCGCAACCACATCCCGCCCTACAACCCCCGATAGCTCTGATGTCGAAACACCAAACGATACTGAAGCCGCGGTAGCGAAGTCTGCGCGCAATGCAACGACAGTGCCGCGAGCCAGCCCAAAGGTCCCTACATACGAATATTATGGGTTCGTCCTATATCTAGCGTCGTCCATTGCATTCTGTAAGTACATACTCCTCCGCAGCAATGATATAAATATCGCTAACACTCTCTTATTTAGTAATGTATTTGCTATGGTCGTTTTTGCCATCACCGTTCCTGCATCAATTGGGGATTCACTACTATCCCAACAGATGGTGGTCCCTGGCCATACCCTCCTTCCTTGTCATGACACTTATATACATATACGTTGCCCTAGCAGCGTATAACACCGGCTACCTCACCCTTCCAATGAACAGTATCGAGAACCTGGTCGATGATGCAGCGAATATCGCCGTGATTGATAGCAAAGGACGACGTCGACCGGGTGGTTCAGGCAAGATGAACCCCGACTCTGCAACGGCGCAGATCATGGGCTCGCAGAAAAGGATACCGTGGGACCAAGTCTGGAATGAAGGGACTGATGCCGTTATGGACATTCCCATCGGTGGGGTGTGTGAGGTGCTTTATGGTAGTGATGACATTAATGACGGAAACAGGCAGTATTCTTCGAGCCGGGCGGTTCATTCAGAGGAGAATTGACGTCTTCCTTGCCTTGGTTTACGCAAGAAATAAATATATTTACTTAATTCTTTCCATTGAGTATAGATTGAGGATAGCCGGTTTGCTCGGCCGTTGGATCTATATTCGTGATACTATAACGATGGATGACCGTTTCATGTCCACGCGGTCTTCAGACAGTACCACATCGAGTGTTTCACGCCTGGCTAAGCTTATCCAGGTCATACTTATACATAGACCTTGTATTTTCAAGATGAGGGGCCAGAGCCAGTCATACACGGTTAAGAAGTATTGATGTCCGGTTATGTCCAAATTTATACATGAACATTATTATTATCAGATTTTTCCTTTTCGTTATGACAGGACATTGTATATACATTAGGGCGTAGCTCAATTGACATGTCACGGCTTAACCAATCCCCTTATCATGAACCAACCCCCATCATATCCAGTCCCCAATCCTCCAACCCCCAATACTACCAAGAGAATGCTCAAGAGAATGCAGCAATGGCTTTGGTGAACGCGTCGGCGATGGCAGCATTGATCAATGGCGCCAATTTGGCGAACTGCTCGTTCAGCTTCAGGACGGTCTCGTCTCCAAGTTTGGCGGAGAGATCCTTCTGCTGCTTCAGGTTGTACTTGACCAGCCAGTCGAGAGGGAAGATGCCGAGAACACCCTTCTTGAAGATAGGCTGCTTGCTGACGATGGTTGCAAGGACGGTATCGATCTTAGGCTTCAGGTTGACGAAAGCAACGGCGACGGCCTGTGACTCCTGGTCGTTGAATTTGGCGGACTCCTGCACAGTGGAGATGGCAGTCTTGAGGCCCTTGGTCAGCTTGCTGGTCTTGACCTGGATCTTGATGGCGGTGATGAGTCCGCCGTTGTAGGTCTTGACGGTGTTGTCGAGGTCGGTTATCTGCTGGGAGATGGCATTGACCGTGTTGACGACCGCGGCGCCGTCACGCTTTGCGACAGGAGAGGCGACGACGGTGGTAGCCAGAGCGGCAACGACGGCCGTGAAGATGGAGGTCAACTTCATATTTGCGAGGGTATGACGGATGGATAGATATCGAGTTACGAATTATCTGGACTGATATAGCCAACGTTCACAGGGGATCAAAGGGCGAGAATCAACGAAGATCGAGAAACCTGAGAACCCCTATGAGCACCGTCCGCTCGTATTTATATAGGCCATCAGTTCCTCCCCGCCGTCCGTCTCCCCGCAACCTGCAACCTGGGGAACAGGACTTGGACGTCCTTAGCGTCCCAAACGCAACGCAACCCCGGAAACATAGCCAGAAGCAGTGCAACACTATCATGTGCGATGGCGAGGGAGATTGAGATGGCCCGTATAGAGGCTGCGAGAACCCCTGTCCATCCCTAAAAACAGAGCTCGATGGCTGAAGCTTAACGCTTGATCACCACGGCCTCCTCGGTACACATGTGATATCTTACAGCATCTGGCCGAAGAACTGCATCAGGCAGGGTAAATAAGGCCTTTCAATTTAATATAAACGAGGCGGGGGTATCGAGCAGGGAGCAGACGGCGGGGTGTATACCGTACGGAGTATACAGTCCCTCAATTGATGTTGTAGAGAAGAGACGAGGTTGAGGCAGGAGAAATTCGAGAGGAGAGGCCGGAGAAAGGGGCTTGGCATGGCGGGAGAAGAAGACAAGGAAGACAAGAAAGAGAGGAGAGACGAGAAGAGAAGAGGAAGAAAGGAAGAGGAAGAGGAAGAGGAAGGGGGAGAGGTAGAGAAGAGAAGAGAAGATATATCGACTGTGAGCTGAGTGTCTTCGGTTCGGAGTACGGAGCCTGGGATAGAGAGATAGAGATGGAGTACGGCTTGTTGCATCTATCACCGGCAAGACTCAACCTCACCCATAACGAAGAGCATAGCTTGATAGAAGATGGCTGTTAAGTCCTTCATCTTATAGTTGTCGCCATCACAGGTTCAGGAGGTAGTTATCGGTTATTGGTTGGTCAGTCGAACATAACGACCTCTCGGATGATGTACGAGTACTCTTATGGAGTATATCTACGGAGTACTCCGGAACTACATCGATGAATGTCTGACATCGAAGAACGTCCCCATGACTATTAATCCGACTCATTTTATTCATCGCTACAGACCAGTCCGAGAAATAGTCTCCAGCGAGAATGACGATACCAAGACGCTAAAGCAGGAACTAACCTATATCCAGTTCAACGCTGCGCTTCAAGGGCGGTTCCTGGAAGTTAGATGGCGCAGCCTCAAACACCCGGAATTTCGAGATGAACAGACAAGCCAATGACAGCGAGGTCATGTCCGTTTTGGGAAGCATGCGGCGGTTCATGAACGCATGGCTGACCATGGGTTTGGCGATGGCCATATACAACCCATGACGAGAATTTCGAGAGGACGGGATATTTAAACAGGACGAAGGACCGGTTGAGAGCCGTCTTTCGAGATATCATCTCATCAGATATCACTGACAGATTTATCTATACAACATTGTTAATTGCATGAACTGAGCATGAAGACACCACTTCCAAGGCTGCCCGTTTCCCTATCAACCACCACGGCCACTATACCCCCAACGCTGGCGGCGTTCACAGATAAAACCGTCTCTCTCCGTGATGGCCGTCTGCTAGGATACACTGAATACGGCAACCCGACCGGCTACCCGCTCCTATACTTCCACGGATGGCCGTCGTCACGACTAGAGGGCTTTGCGACGGACACGATCGCTAAGCGCCATGGACTACGCATCATCGCTCCCGACCGTCCCGGATTCGGCATATCTACCTTCCAGCCCCAGCGCCGCATAACAGACTGGCCCAACGACATTCAAGATCTAACTCGCCATCTCAAAATATCCCGTTTCGCTATCCTGGGCGGCTCCGGTGGTGGGCCGTATGCAGTCGCCTGTGCCCATTCCCTACCACACGAGTCTCTTTCCGCCGTCGGTGTCCTTGCCGGCGCAGGGCCATGGGTAGCTGGCACCCAAGACGTACCCTTGGCATCGAGAATGATGGGCGTGGCAGCGAATAACTTCCCTTGGGTACTGACAGGCATATCAAACATGCTAGTCGGTTCTCTCCGATGGGTTTCGACAACAGGCTATGTGACGAGGTGGTTGGATAACTGGATCGAGAGCATGAGGAAGGAAGATGACAAGACGCCTACGCAAGGGAGCAGAGAGAACATATTAAAGATGGCCTTTGAAGGGTTTGCGCAGGGTGCAGGTGGATTCGTGCATGAGGCGCAATTGCTGTCGAAGGATTGGGGGTTTCGGTTTGAAGATGTCAAGTACGACAAGATTCGGATATGGCATGGGACGAAGGATGCGAATTCTCCGATACGGCTGACGCGATATATGGCGGAGAAGCTGCCGCATTGTGAACTGCACGAGTGGGACGATACGCATTATACCATCGGCGAGCGTCTGGAAGAAGTTATAGAGGAGCTCATGTCCAAAGAATGTGAGAACAGCGGCAAGGCGTCATAGCATCATTCTCTGTTTATCGTTTTATACATCCCTCCTCCATATGCATAGCGACATCTCTACTTAATCGAGCCATTATCCTTAGATTCATTACTGTGAAATGATTCATTTCAATAACTTCTGCTACTTACACATAGCGTGCAGATGTGCGGCGCATGTCCATCTTAATAAACATAGATAAGTGTCCCCTAGAGCTTATGCGTAGTATCCCTTGCGCCCAAGGATAGCTTAGCACCTCGTAGAATGGGAGAGACAACGTTATGAAGTGCTCTCCAAACCGCGTGGCCTCTTTTGTGGGCGTCCTGCCGTACCATCGTTAAGAGATAGGATACCCATCGGCTCTTCGTTCGCTGCCATAACGAGACAGAGGTCGGTGGCATCTAAAAAGTCGAAACGACGCTCTCTCATCAATCGTTGTTGTAGAAAGGAATATTTATCAGGTAGCATGGTTATCAGAGTTACCACAGCTCCTTCACCGCTGGGACATTCATCTGCTCCAGCCATTTCATTCCAATAGCCTCGCATTCGATGTGTGAATGTCGCGAGGGTATCATCACTTCTCCAGCCTTCTTTATGGAATTTATCGACTACTTGAGTCTCATATTTTCTTGATAGAATATCGCAGCTATCGCGAAGTATCTTCCACATTTCACGTACTGCCCCTGCTCCATGAAGCCGTTGTCTATCAGCCGAGTTAATCCGCGCTTGACAGGTTGCGTCCATGTAGTCCATCATCGAAGATGCAATGTCGCAAAGAGCCCTGTACTCTCTTGGGTTTTCAGATTCGTCCACAACGGAGTCGGACGATGGGTCGACATATTGCCAGAGTTGGTAGATTTCAAGCTTGCTCTTCCAGAATTGACTCCATCGGTTCCAGTTATAGACGCGAAGGACGGGGATGTTGGGATTGAACGAGGAGCCGATGGATGAGGCCATGCTTCGAAGCTCGACTCTCGAGAAACTGCAAATATTACGTAGTATGGAGTATTTTAGAGAGTTTTCGGGGATTAAATAGTTAAATAATAGTTAAATACCATGGGAAAGAGGGGCCTGCATTGTTTACTTGGCCCTACAGACCTGGACAAGCCAGCTGCAACTAGGGCAATATATCCCAACATCTTAAATTATCAGCAGGAGAATTATTCGCTATATTAGCCTTAATACAAGAGGAGAATTTATTCTCGACGGGCTATGATGAACATTCAAGGGAAAAACATATAATATATCGTCTGGAAATATAGACATCTATAGACCCGAACACTCACTGTGAAAGGAAGGAAAGGAAGGAATTCAACTAATATTCGTGATCGTCAGGTGCTAGTAAACAATTTACGCCGTGAAAATCGCAAGCAGTATGGATAGTTTCGTTTGAACACACCGAAGAAGGTAAGAGGTGAAGAGATAAATAGAGAGAGAGAGAGAGGGAAAAAATAGGAAAGGGAACAAACATATTCGTCAGAAAGGAAGCAGGAGGACCTAGACTCGGGGAAAGGGGAATCTCGTTGATAGATAAAGGAGAGGAAACGACGCGCCGAGCGTTCAAATCGTGATTAAAAAGACAAACGGGCTAGAATAAACTTGGATCAAAGACGGAGCGCCATAGAAATGAGGAGGGACGAGTGGAAAGAGAGAAAAAAAGTATGATCTAGGAGGATATTTAGATAGTAGGAGAATAAAAGGGGTAAGAGGGGGGGTTAAGTATATCTCCGTCATGTATGTTGTATGGATGTATGATGTATGATATATCATTTTAACATCTGAAAATCTTCACGACACTGATTACCTTCTCGCGACAGACGGGACAGATCTCAACTTGTCTCGCGCATGCTCCGCAGGCACATACGTGTCCGCAGGTATAGAACAGCGAATCCTGTTCTTCGGTATAACAGATTTGGCAAAGGTTCATCTCCTCATCAGCTACTTCCCAGTAGCTGACTCCCTTGCCGTGGCGTTTACCACTACGGTAGCCGCCAACGTATTTGTTGCCGGTCTTGTGCTCGACCCACGTCCCTTGGCCGTGTGGTTGGTCCTCAGACCAGTCGCCGGTATACGTGTCGCCGGAGCTGTATTCGATAGCGCCTGTGCCCTGGCGTCGACCTTGGACGAATTCGCCTGAATATGTATCGCCGGCTTCGGAGACATGAAGTCCTTTACCGTGGTAGTAGCCCTTGGAGAGCTCGCCGGAGTAATATTCACCGTTTAGAATGGCTTCTATGGTCTTGTGGCCGGTGAAAGATTTGGTTGGGTGTTGTCGATCAACTGCCCAGAGATATTCAAGTAGGCGATCAGGGGACAGGAAGCATCCCAACTCGACGAGCTCATTTTGTCTGTTAGGTAGTTTGTTAGTATCTAGATTTCTTCAAAAGCGCTAATACTGGCCTACTTACCGGCGCTTGGGAATGGTCTTTCCATAAACAATACATCCCACGTCGTTCATCAGATCCTTGAATCTATGGGTTGATGAGACGGTATGGACGGAAGCCACGGCTTTACGACGAGACCAGAAATTATACCCCTGGTCCTCCGGAAGATCTAGTATCTTACGGACCTGCTCGCGAACAACGCAAGACGACTTTGCAAAGAAGGCTCCAACCGTTTCGATCGTCTGGTTGTCGGCGTTGAACTCCTGTACAAAGTAATACACTTGATCACAAGGTAGGATGAGGTCCGATTCCACAACCTTCTGGTTGCGGATCATGTCCGTTTCTACTTCTTGTTCCTGATCGTGATGGTTCGCTTCAGCTCCACCTTCACCTTCAGGGATGTTATTGTTTGGTTCCACGATTGGGGAGCCTTCCATTTGCGAGTCTCCGGAGCCAGGCTGCTCTTGGGTGTCTCGCTCTGTCTCAGCGCTGTTTCTCGGTGATCCGACTGTTGCTTCATCAGCGTTTACCGTGGTCTCTTCCACAGGAGGTGGTGGTGGCACCGCGTTGACTTCAGGATAGTTCTCGGTTGTGTCCATTTCCTGTGATTGATCCAAGAGCGCAAGGTCTTGGGCTATGATGGACGCGATGATGGCCTCGTTGGCAGCTTCATCATTACCATCTGCATCTGGAAGAGGTGTGGGATCAACGCCGTTAATCTCGGGTCGATCAACAACTTCGACGTCATCTGTCATTTCCTGCTCTGATGCCTCAGAAGCATTGGGAAGGTCCTCTGTATTTTGAACAGGCGCTTCCTGGCTTTGTGCAGTTGTGTTGGTTTCTGCATCGGGAGAAGCGTCGTTCATCTCAACGTCCTCATCTTGACTAGGAGGCTGAGTCTGTTCGTTTGGCTGGGGCTGTTCTTCAATTTGAACCGGAGGTGGTGGAGGCGGAGCTTGAGTGTCGTCTTTCATCTCATTCACGTCATCGGAAACTGGTGGTGGCTCAATGACTTCTGGTATAGAGAAGTACTTCACGTCATCTAAAAACGTAGTTAGTATGCATTGCCACCGTTTCAAGAACTGATCATCACTTACCTTCTTTTAGAACCTCCACCCATACGCGTAGGGCACTCCATCCAAGACTAGACAACTGCGATCCCATAATTACCAGGGGTTCCATGCTGAAATTGAAGAGACGGACTTCATACGGCGCGCCAATAGACCATAGACGGATTCGTTCATTGGCAACTGGCGCCCACTTGGTCGAGATATGCTCGGCCAATTTAGCTCTTAACTCGCCAACCGTAGTCCCCATAGTGACGGTCAGGGTTGTAGTATCCTTTTCGGACGTTAGAGGGTTAATGATCTCATACACCTCTGCTGGGTTCCGTGTACTCTTTGACACTCCATTTAGACCATAAAAGACGACCTGAATGGGTTTCTCTGGTTCCACGGCCGAGGTATCTGGTGAGATAGCTTGCATATAACGATGCCATGCAGGTGATTGGACCCATGGCTCGAGCTTGGGGCTCAAGTACTCGGACTGTAGATCGTTGCGGATATACATAAACGCCACTGCAATCTCGGCATTGACTGGCTCTCCATTGTCGGCCTCGTCTTTATCTAGCCCCTCATAGCCCTCGACGGCCATCTTGGTGGTCAGACACTCGATGCGATATGGGTCTTCACCCTTGAACGCAAGCCAATGCGAATTGCGCCCACCGGGACGAACGAGTGGGTAATACCATCGTGATGTCCGATGACCCTTGTGCGCGATGAAGCTGAACAGCGTATACTTGCCAGTGACGCCGGAGTCGACGTGATCGGAGAGATCGAGTTCGTCATTGCGATGTACGCGGTTGACCAGGAATTTCCATTGGCGAGTTTTCTTGTCGAACTTCTGGCGGGAGAGCTCGATTTGGAGAACGGGAGGGAGAGACCATTTGCCCGATTGAGCCTTTAGGTACTCAGTGACACCAGACTGGATGCTCTCCGTGTTTTCGGAAGTGATGCGGATGCGACTGTTGAAATCGCGAGGAAGGGTGTTCAAGGACTCGTCCGACATCTTCGACTCGTCGCGTGGGCTATCGAACATGGACGCCAGCTTCTCTGCAGCTTCTGTACCAGCAAGTTCGATCTGTAGGCTACGTCTAAGTCGTTCCCAGAACTCGACGACATCCCCTGAACTCTCAAGCAGATATCTCAGCGCCCTCCGCACTCCTTCGGTCCGAACAGACGCCACGTTGTCTGCGGTCATCTCATGCACTATACCCTGCAGCGCCTCACACACTGGTTTTGGGCGCGCGGATACATCGCTGAGATGTCGCATAACATCGATACTCTTCACTAGCTCTCTAAACGGCGAGAGTAGTAACCATGGAATCAAGCCGGCTGCATGTTGGCAATAGTTCACAGACACGTCTCCCATGGGTCTCAGGCCGACGAGTGAATAAGAATCCCAGATCGGCTCAGAGTCGCTAGAATGCCACCACAGAGACTTTGTAGGGTCGTCAAAAAGGCGGATGTAGGCATCGAAACATAGAGTATCGTTGCGGAGGAGGGCCTGGCGCTGACCGTGTTGGCGGAGGTGGATGGTGTTCCATGGCCCTGGCCCGTGGAAGTGTGTCCAGCCCCAGTCGAAGTTGTGGGAGTTGAACTGATGGCAGGAGGACTGGGTCCAGCCTGTGCGTGGCTCCTCGGGGTTGTAGAGGACAACTCCAATCTGCGCGGAGACGCGGAAGTCTTGCTTTGACTTTGGAGTTGTTCCAGACGATTCGGTCTCTGTCCTTTCCTCACTGCTAACCTCGGGAAGCCGCTCCTGGTCCTTTTCTTGGCTCTTTTCGGCGGATTCTTCAGACGGGGACGGCTTGGGTGGAACAACGGTTGCAGGCAGTTTGAACTCCTGGTCAGGGGTCATATCACTCAGGACAGCGTCTGGGGGTCCCTTGAGAACTCTAAACTCCGTCTCAAGCACGACTTTATCCTGTTCTGGCGGCGTGGTAGAGCACTCTAGGTAAACACTGAGCGATCCCACGCTGTTTCCTCGTGGGAAGAACTTCAATGTCCAGTAATAGCCGCCAATGTATGCTGGCGGAGACCGAATGATGGTAGCTCTGTTGGGCTTATCCTTGGTCCCTCGGACTCCAGTTATTTTCCATGTTATGCGGGCTTTCTCGATAGGTTTGTATTCAGGATCATCCTGCTCGTGGTAAAATGATTTCTCAATATAGTCATCTGGTTGATGTCAGTAACGTGAAGATATTACCGTAAGTATAGTATTGGTGAAAGGACACTCACACTCAAGAGCACTGTGATCAGCATCCCCACTCTCAATCTCCTTTAGCTCGTCTCCTTCCGCCACGGAGGTGTCCTCCTTGTACTCAGCCCAGTAAGCAGGCTCGTCATTCTCCTCGTCTTCGTCCTCGTAGTCTTCCCCCGTCCGCTCCGTTGACTCGCTGGAATCCGTCGACCCGTCAGAGGCAGTTGATGGCGATGACCCTTCCGACGGCTCCTCGGTCTGGGATGGCTGTCCGTTTTGCAGCTCGGTGGTGCCGTTTACGGGCATGTTCTCAGCCTGAGGCTGGCCGTCTACAGCCGGCTCACCGCCATTTACCGCGTTGCTCTCACCTGGTGCATCGGTCTCCATCCGTTCTGGCTCCCCGTTGACGATGACTTCAACAACGGGAGTCTCGGTAACTTCGACAACCTGAGTATTAACTGCCTGCTCCGTAGTCTCGACCGATACGGGAGAAGTGACTTCGACAGGTCGATCGGGAGCCGAGGACTCTGTTTCCGTCGTGGTGTCGGATGTGAGGGGAGGCTGAACGAAAGAAGCCGAGGGAGGCATCACACCATTCTGCAGGGGTTGTTCCTGCTCCGGCTGTGGTGGTTCTGTGTGAGACTGGGAGTGAGTCTGAGACTGAGGCGGAGAGGTGTAGGAAGGGAGTTGGTGGTCTAGAGGCGCTGGCTGGGGTTCCACGGCAACCTCCATTGCTCTTGATGAGCTAGGAAACGCACTGGGAAGCTGTGACGTGAATGCCAGATATCTGTACGGAGTAGGCGGAGTGAAGCCAGCAGGCTACGGGCCGGTCTCGGACGGAGAGCTCCTCTGGGCAGATGAACGGAGAGACAGGCAACACATCAACAGACGATATCACAGGTCAAGTCACAGCTAACAGATGAGGTCAGGCACTGTGAGGGCACTGATGTTAGCAGCTGTAGAGAAGGACAGGTGGTGATGACTGACAGCTCGACTGCAAGATATAGATGCCAGCACCGCCAGGACAGCGTCAGAACACCTGTGCAAAGGTAAGTCGTAGTGGTAAGCGTAACCAGAGCAGCGTCTGGAGAGTCGATAAAGGTGAAGATAAAGGTGAAGATAAAGGTGAAGATGGGAGGATGGTGAAGATGAAGACGGGACGAGAGAGATCGAGATAGCAGACAGACGCTGGGCTCTCACCGTTGCAGCTCGCTAGCCCCAAAGAGGGTTTAACCGCCCTGCGCCCACCGCCCAACCAGCGCCAGGCAACCTCTCTCTCTCTCTCTCTCTCTCTACTATACTGTACTTCTCTCTTCTACTATACTGTACTCCTCTACCTACTCTCATCTATTCTACTCCGTACTCTTCTCGTCTTTTCATCTACTCTCCTCTACTCTCGCCTACTCATCTACTCTCCTCATCTACCTCGACCTGGGGAGCCGAGCTGGAGTTGAGGTGGAACCTGATCCACCGCGCCCCCAGCAGCTTCCAGGATACGAAGTTTACGCTCGCCAGACCATGACGGCAGCGGAGGCCTGGCCTGCCTGCTGCCTGGACGGCCGAGGACGGGTGTTTCATCGCCTCACACTCACAATATAGGCAATACGATAGACAAGAAGACGAGACAAGACGAGACAAAACGATAGAAGACACTCCGTCATGCGCGCTTAGCCATCAAGGATACAAGATAGAGAATTCGGCTGATGTCGACGTCGTTAGAGGAAACTCAAATAGATGGATCTACGGGTAGCGTGAAGGCTGGTCTGGACTACGAGTCTCTCGATATACGGTCATCAATCGTCTCGATATATGAGTATCATCACGACACAACTTCGACCAACAATGTCTGCTTGATACTGGTAGTCAATATCGACAAGGAGTGTTCCTACTGTCAGTCGGCTGGAGACCTCGGTATCTTCTAACTGGTTAACTCGTGACTAGGACGGGCTGATGTTAAGCGATAATCGCCTTGAAGACTATATGGAGGCGTACGGAGTAGTGAGCTGCCTGGATGTATGCATATACGTAACCACATATCCAAGGCAGCTGCGAAAGGTGACACCATGGACTCAGAATATGCTACTGCCTGGACAATATTATACTTCGATACGGATGTGACTATGCTCAATGGTAGTTCTACGCTACAACCAGATATGCCGAGTAGCCAGAGTGACTCGTTACAAGGTCTATACTACAGCAGTGTATGACTACAGGCCAGAGATGATTCGCCAACTTGCATAGACAGGGGTGACCGCCACCATGAGTCAAAGTGTTCGCCTGGCTTCAGCCTCACATCTGCTCTCGACAGGGTGGTTGCCTGGACGAAAACGCCTGCATACACTGCAGCCTCATTGCCCCACAGTCGAATCATGGCATGTAGACGCAAGATCGTCAAGAGAGAGAAAAGTATTTTATCAATGTGATGATGATATGTACGACGGTTCTGCATGTGCTGGCATGGTGCTATTGGTGTACGGTTGTCTATCTAGTCCGGACGGACCCAGCCTGATGCATGTAGACCTGCTACTTAGGTATGCGCACTCGTCCCGGGATGGGATATGTACTTCCACGGCGGAACATGCATGGTTCCACATGAGGCTCATGCGGCGGTATTCGACGGATGGATAGTATAGTATAGTCTGGATGAAGCAGTTCAGTCGTGCTCCTTTCTTGCAAAAGTAGCGGCGACAATCAGTGGGAATACCACCGTCGCTTCAGCGTACACCTTCACACTATCTGCATTAGCTTTTATTTTGCCCCAACTAACAGCCTCGTCGGGCCTAGCTCCTGCATCGCTGCCGTCAAACTCCTGGCCGGTGTTGATGTATACCGCGCTCTCGGCGCCGTTGCGCATGAGACATGCATTGGCGATGTGGTGCTTGACCACGCCGCCACCGAGGATAATCATGCCCGCTCTCTTGGCACGGACACTCAGCGTGTTAATGGCCCGTACATCCTCGACGATGTCAACGCGAAGCTGGTCAGGGAAGGACCGGAATGTGTGGAAGTACATCATGTCGCCGAGACTGCCGTCGGTGAGGGCGGGGCAGAAGACCGGTATCGAGTTCTTCCAGGCCCAGTAGTATATGGAAGATGGGTTGTTGATTTCCTTGCCTAGACGGGCGATGATCTTGCTGGGCGTCCAGTGGAGTGGTGTATCCGTCGACTTGGACGCTTCTTGTTCGGCCAGCAGGGTATCGAGGATGGGAACTACCCAGTCTTCAAAGGCGCAGTAGTTGCTGTTGGGGACGACGAGGTTGCCTATGCGGTTGAGGCCTTTGGAGCGTAGGCCGGCTCCGGGAGAGGAGAAGCTGCCGAGATAGGTGGGGGCGAGGCATTTGATAAAGTCTTCCTCGATGCCGCCGGCCGTGGTGACGATGGCAGAGACGTGCTTGTGCTGAACGAGGTAACGGATTGTTTCGCGAAGGCCGGAGGAGACCAGGTTGGAGGTGTAGCCGAGGAAGATCGTAGTCTTGTCGCCTGTTTCCGGGTCACGCCAGGCTCTCTATAATGGCCGTTAGAGTGATACCATAGAAAGATGTGACAAATCAGGTAATTACCATGTCATTGATAACCCGGGCTGCTTCGGCCACGGAACTAGCCTGGAAACCCATGGTTGCCATATTCTCGACCAGTTCTGCGGCCGTGATGTCTCGATCGGCATACTGATCAAAATCAAGACCTTTGACCTGTTTGGCACCTTCGGGAATGGCCTCTGAAGGGACCAGGACGGCCGCTTTGGCGCCCTCTGGCGCGAGTTCTTCGGAGGTCATGCTAATCGTAAAGTTGCTATTTCATGTCCATTCATGATCCCCCACTCTCGACGTCCTGGACAGAGTGTCACCAACGTTATCCACTTGTGCTGCGTCGATCCTGTGGCCCGTCGACTGTCCTCCCGATGGCTCGTACAATGTGCCTTGTCTTTCCATCCCACCAAGGAAAAGAAAGTGGAAGTTTGTTCGCTTAGCTAATCTTCAATATTATGTCATCTTAAAGATTACATCATCTCGCTTAGATCATCTTTAAGATTGCATATCACGTGTCAATGTCTGGACCATGGTGAAGGTTGAGAATACGAAGGCCGTGATCGAGCGTAGGTTGAGGATAAGCTGCAGGCGGACGGTGTGGGCAGCGAATGGGGCGTGTGGCGGCGAGGAGAGTCCTGTGGCCGCCAGGCTATGGGTTTCAAGGGCTTGGTGGTGCGACGCCAGAGTGCAGCGCACGAAGCTGTCCTGCTCGAGAACATGCGAACATCCCTGCGTTCCTTGAAATGGGCGGCCAATCAGGGCGTCAGGGGGGCGACTCCTGAGCAGCGCTAGCCCGGGTCCACAGTGACGGGATGTGTGAATGCCAACAGGTCCTGCCAGTCGTTGCGGCGCTAGGAGGGCCACAGCAGGTAGCGAGCACTCCACAGGCCGACGCGACGACAGAGGATGGACGGAGGATAGGCAGACGAGGGTAGACGGATATAGAGGATGTAGAGGATGGTAGACGGTTGGTCGAGGTGGTAGAGGATGGTATACGGTTGGTCGAGGGGGTCTGTCGCGATTCGCTCGTTGCTGTCTGTTGTTATATTTGTTATTCGTGGTCGATGCGACCTGGAGATCTGGAGGGATCGTCCACGTGACCCAACGCCATGCCCGCGCGCGAGATGGACGTTCTAAAACACCGCAAGCCCGCTAATTATGCTTCCATCCTCGAATTTTCCATCTTCGGTCTCTGCAAAACTCCTCGACAGGTCAACGAACTTACACTGACTCTTCGACGCTGGCTCACCTGGGCTGGCTGCTACCGCTGCTCGACTCGCCCGTCCATGGAACCGGACTTCTGACTGCCCTGGAGAATCTGTTATCCCAGATTCCGCTCGGGATTCGCCTCAACTTGTCCTTCACAGCCTCAAACGGGAATTAAGACTGGCCTTGCGCAACTCCAACGCGCCCTCTTCTCCTCGCTTGACGTGCTGAACAACCCGGTTTACCTTCGTTTTCTTTTTCTGTTTTGTTTATCTTTCTATTCACTCCTTCAAATCCATTTTTACCACTTCCCTTCTTATTGGTCTGGCCCTTTCCACCGCCAGTATCGCAATCGCTGCTAGAGTACGGGGTAGATATCGCTGTCACTTCCGTTTCACAGTCATCGACAGCAGCTGTGTGTGTGAATCCGCCTTGTCCGCACGGAAATTGGACTCCCGGAATCCCTGTAATGAAAGGACGCCTACCTGACTTCAAGATCCAACACCGCGCATCTTGCTCATCTGGCTTAGTTGACATCTCTATGACCGTCCAGGTGACCCTGAGCCTGTCTGCCTGCACCTATTCACGCCTCGTCTAAGGCCCTGCGGACGCTGCAAACTATCTGGTGAAGGCCCTTTTATCTTTTCGCCCGTCGCATTGCGCGTTGCGCTTTCGTTGCCTGCGTCGAATCGGGAAGTCACGTGGTTAAACGTTATTCTGGAACATTTTGATGCTGTCACGTGTCTATGGCTTCACGATTCCCGCCACGGGATCGCTCACCACCACCGCCTAGATATGGGGATAGGGGCCCTCCGCCGCCTCATGGACCGTCACATATACCCTCAGGGCCCAGGGGGAACGAAGACGCTAACTCTACGCCGCTGGGGCGGGATCCTCCCCGCGGCCCCAAGGCCCTGATCGACTCTTCGCGGGGCGGTCATTTTCTTCCATCCGGCCCCAGGGGGAGAGGATTCCCGGGCCGTAACGACTTTAGAGATAGGGATAGGGATCGAGGAGATCCGCGGGACCTGAGAGATGGCCCGCCGCCTCGACGGGGAGATGGAGGAGATCGGGATTGGCCGCGTAGGGACCGGGGCTTTGACTCGCGAGATGGCCACGGTCGTATGGGGTTTGGTCGAGGACGGTCACGGTCACCTCCCATGAGAGACTTTAGAGATTCGAGGGATAACGGGCCCAGAGAGCTGGATATACCGCGTCTACGAAGGAATTCTAGAGATGGACCGATCACACTTAACACCGCGCTGTCAGACATTCCACCCATGCGCGGGGGATCCATGCGAGGTCGTGGGCGTGGAGACCGAGATAGGGGAAGAGGTAGAGGCATGCCACTGGATGAAAGAGACTTGTTCAGAGGCCGGAGCCGGTCTCGTGATGGCTGGAGGGAATCTCGGATAGATCGCGACAGAGAACGAAACCGTGACCCGCGCGACCGAGATCGAGACAGAGAGCGTATGATCGACCGAGATGTCGATAGGAGAGACCGGTTCGATCGACGTGATGACGATAGATGGTCACAGCGTGACGATAGGGACCGGTTCGAGCGTGCTGAACCATGGAAAAAGGACCGGCCACTAGCGCGGATCGATACCAAGACACCCACGGTTCAGTCGGGCAATCCGTCATCGGCAGTATCACAGACGCCTACTCTACTATCTCTCGGTGCTTCCGGTGCTGGTGTTGAAGAAGAGGCTGCTGCTCCTCGGAAAGCGAGTAGTACGTCTTCCACACCCAGAGAGTCAAGGAGGCCATCAGAGAAGATAGAGCATGTTACCCCTATCCGTACGCCTACGCATGTACAATCTACGCCTGTTCAGCCGGATCTTCCCTCTGAACGGCCTACGCCACAGTTCTCGCCTTCCCCTGCTGCTCCCGAGGTACCTGCATTTGGCTCACTCTCTGGTGCTAGCGCTGCGTCTACGGAAGTGCCTGCCAATGAGCCTCTGAGGAAGCTAACTCAAACATCCGCCTCACAACAGCCAGATGTACCAAAGGAGCGCCCTGATCTATTTCCTTCCACTCCAATTAAGCCCCCTACCGCTCCGAGGGCTGATAGGATAGACGCCCAACAACGTTCAGACCGGAGTAAAACTGATGTCTCCCTTCGCTCAAGTCGACCACCAACGGCATCGCCAGTAGTTCAGCCTAGTTACATGCTTGATCACAGCCATCCCGTCCCCTCGCTCGACCGCATCACTACCCAAGAGTCGGTTCCTCAGCCAGGTAAACCCAGGGATGTCCGCGCTCTCTCCACCACGGAGCAGGAACCAGATCTCTTTGCATCATCGACTGCCGGCTTCACAGGACCCAGCCATACCGGATCATCTACTCGTGCGTCGTCTCTCCCTACTCAACCGCAGCCAACACAACACAAGTCACCGCCACCACCTCAATCGCTTACTTCACTGTCTCCAAATATCCAACCTGCCTCCATCCCTACTGGCCCAAGGGCGCAACAACAACGCCCAAGTGGCCAGCGACCGGGAACCAAGGGTAGTAATCAGTGGGTTAGACCAGGATATGTGAATCGAAGGCTATCGGCCACCAATTCACCACCGAGTAAGAGGGAGCTTTGGGATGAGGGGAACAGGAGACTTACACTTGAAAGCCCGTTTGCGCCTGAGGAAGTGCATAACGGTAGTGGCAATGTGGAAGAAGAAGTGAAACTTCCCATTACACCAGCAAACGGAGAAGAGAAGGAGGAGGAGAAAGAAAAGGACGTTGCTAAACCATCGAGCAAACTGATACAGGATCGTGAGGAAGTGGACGAAAATGAACGCGAGCCCTCACCATCCGAGGAACCAGACAAGCGGACTCGGGATGCCGATAACGATACGACGATGCTTGACGCTCCAGAAGTCCAGGAAACCAAAGAAACACCTAAAACGCAGGAAGAACCAGAGGAGCAAATCCCCATTCTCTTTGATGAATCCAGTGACCAACAATCCGACGATGATGCCCTTGACGAAGAAGACTTCAATCAATCAGAAATACGTTTCGAGAAGGAAATGCAGGTTCTCAAGTCGGAAATCCCGCCTCCCATACTTCAAGACCCGGTTGTTGTCGACCTGCTTCTTAGGGTTCAGATGCTGGCGATGATCGCTGATGGTGCTGCGCCAGCGTACCTTGATCAGCCCGGTGCAGCTATTGAAGTTGAAAGTGCCGATAAGCCGACTGCCATCATCCCGCTATCGGGCAAGGAAGCTGAGGAGATTGAGCTCGCCGAAGAATCTCGACATGTAGCGACCTCCAACGGCACGGCGGTGGCTATTCCAGCCATTGAACCAAAGGCGGTTGATTCGTTGCCGTTCTTACCGTCTGGGCCTCCTACTCCGTTTTCAGACATGGAGACTCTGCAGGAGAATTTCAAGCTTCATGATCGCATCAAGGACTCGTTGTTGGAGGATATTATCAAGCAGCGGAGTGAGATTGCCAAACAGCATGCTAGCCTTCGCGAACAGTATGCACGGCACTACAAAACGTGGAGGTTGAAGGTCCGTGAGATGGATAGGAAGAAAGAACAGGAAAGAAAGGCAGACTCACGATCATCGTCGACCCCTCCTCCTCCACTGGCGGTTACTACGACCGTCCCTATAATCGAAGGAAGACGCGGCTACAAGCTGAATAGCGAGCTCGACTTCCAGCTTGCCCTTAAGGCATCGGCAATCACTGCGCAAGAGGAATCGGAACGTCGTCGCGACCAAGAAGCTACCGTAAACCCAGACATGACCCGCGAAGCACGTATTCCAGACATGCTAGACGAGTATCAGAAGAAAGCCAGCCTCTTCCAAGATACAAATCAAATCGTTGATCCCGCGGACGCTTTTACTGTTTTTGCCTTCCACCCTCCGCCCAACGACTTTACGCCCGAAGAGCACAAGGCCTTCACCGACGCTTTCATGGCCCACCCTAAGAAATGGGGCAAGATAGCTGAGCTACTGCCTGGCCGTACGTTCCAACAGTGCGTGATGCATTACTATTCTACCAAGGAAGACATCAAGTACAAAGCCAAGCTTAATAAGAAGTGGACACGGAAAGGACGAGCAAGGAAAACAGCAAGGGCTCCCAAATCCAACGCTCTCATGGCTGACCTGGGCATCCGACCTGCCTACGATGCGGACGATACCGAGACACCAGTGGTTACGGATACGGGTCGGCCGAGACGTGCGGCTGCGCCAACGTTCGGTGACTCTAACGCTGATACAGAGAGCAACACGCCAACCCCAGCGTCTGGGAAGCGCGGAGCTGGAAAAGATTCTAGCGATCAACCTTCCGAGAGGGGTCCCGGTAGAAGGCCAGGACGTGGCGGGGGTGGCGGCCGTGGTGGTCGGAGAGGAAGAGGAGGCGGTCAACAAGGCGGTGCGAGAGCCGAAACTGGGACGTCTACCACTACTACTACCGCTGCTGCTGCTTCGTGCGCAAATACCGTCCCCGCCGTCGCTCCCCTGCCGAAGCCGGAGACGGAAGGCCAAGTTGAGAGCGTCATGGACGCGATGGTGAAGACCAAGGACGAGATGGAGAGGCCGCCTGAAGAGGCCGCGGTACGCACGAAGCCTGTCAGAGGGGTGCGGAACAAGGAACAGCAGCAGCTGCAGCAGCTGCAGCAAGGCCAGGAGGCTGCGGATGCAGATGCGAAAGGGTTGGGAGAGGGTGGATATGGCTCACTGCAGCCTACCAGTTATTGGTCTGTACCTGAGCAGAGGGATTTCCCAGAGCTAGTAGCGCATTTTGGGAAAGATTTCGACGCTATCTCGCAATTCATGAAGACAAAGACGCCTACGATGGTATGCAATTCTTCTTTCTAATTGTTCTTGGCGTGGAACCCGACTACTAACAAATATTTTATATAGGTCAAAAACTACTTCCAGCGCCGTGTTGATTCCGGAAAAACAGAGCTAGAAGAAGCTGCATTGATTGCAGAAGCCAAGAAAATTCGCGGCGAACCTACTGGACCCCTCCCGATTCCAAGTGTTAGCTCGAAACGACGGTATGAAGCTACGCCTTCGTCGGTTGCGCCACGAGCTTTGGCGCCCAATATGGACAACGCGGACGTGATGGACAGGACGCTAGCGCCCAAGGGCAAGCCGTCTGGTATCAATATGCCACCTGCACCGGCTGTGCTACAACCACGTCAGGGTATGGAGAAAGAACGGTCCCAACCAAAACTATACCCCCTGGTCCAGGCTCCTGCAAGTCAGCCCAACCTCGCTACCACCAGTGATGAGCTCCACCAACGCTCCGTCAGCACCTCACAATTGCCTCCGTCCCATCGAAACCAGCAGGGTCCTCGGATGGGATATTTCACTGATGAATGGAGAGACGGCCGTCCTTCTGGATCTCATGTTAATATCGCTGCCCACATGCAAGAGCAAGACGTGAAGCCAATGCCGCATTCGTTGTCTGGCCAAGCACCACCCGGTATGCCACTACAGACGCTACAGCGACAAAACCCAAACGCTGTGCCCCAGATCCAAGACCTAGGCGAGATCCCACGCTACGCTCCGCTCTCGCAGCCACCCACATTCCCCCAAGGTTCATACCTGCAGCCGCCGGGCAGCGTACGCAATACTTCGGCGTCGAGGTCACACTCTCGTCGCTCAAGCCGCACGATCCCCTCCTCTGCCGCTACCTCTCCCGCTCAAAGGCATATTAAGCTCGACACTGATCCAGCCGGTATTGCCGCCATGGAACGGCCCGCACCAATGGGGCCATCGGGGTACCTGCCGCCAGGCCATCCAGCGTCTGTAGGACGACAAGGTCCAACTCTTACCCCGCCTACAGACCATGGTCGACCGAGGATAGCTACCGCATCAGCCGCACCAGAGCCCCCACGTCACGTTCCTGCGAAACGTTCTAATATCATGAATATCCTTAACGATGAGCCAGAAGAGCCTCAGCCGCGAAAACGCTTCGCAAGTGAGCAGACGACGCCGTCGGTAGCTGCTGGTCCGCCTTCGCCTTCGCGGCCTGTTTATCAAGGCCGTCATTCGACCTCGTCTCAGCCGGCTCATCCTGAGGATCAGCTTCATTATCAAAGGCAACAGCCGTATTACCCAGGGCCGTCTCAACAGCAGCCACCCCAGCCGCCGCAGCAGCAACAGCAGCAACAACAACAGCAGCAGCAAGCTCAAGTGCAGTCTGGAACCAGCGGGCAGTATGCTGATATCCCATCTACGTCCACCAGGGGCTCTACTACCCACGATTGGATGGCAAGGTTTGATCCTCGTGAACAACAGCAATCATCACATTCGACTCCTGTATCGAATCCTTCGGTTTCTCGACTACCTAGCTATAGCCATGGATACTCTGGCTCTGGATCCCACTCGTCTCACCCCATGTCTGGCATCCAACACATGTCTGACCAGCCTCAGCCGGCAGCTCAACAGCCGCCCCAGCGGCAACCATATGCCCACCAGGGTCTGCAGCAGCCACCAGTGCAGGGTTTACAGGATCGAGGCCAACAGCCGCATTTAGGTCCAGCAGGCCGCGAATCGCCAAGCACGCGGCATATTCAAACCCATCCGCACACACGGTCCCCTGTCCAGCGACACAATGCACCATACGGCAGCAAGGTTTCGCAGCGACGCTCTGACTCTCCCATGCAGTCGGGCCCCAGCGGCATGAATCCGCATGTGAGCCAGATGTCCGGGTATAATCAGCCAGGAGGCAGCCATCAGAAACCTTCACAGAGCCAGCATCAACCCGGTCCATCGCACCTGATATCTCAAACCCACCAGCACGGAATGCAAGGGGGTAATGGACCGCAGTATGCTTCACATATTCAGCAGATACCGGCGTCTTCTTCCCGCCATCCCTCACAATCTGTGATGCAACAACAGGAACAGCAGGCTCACCACCAGCACCAACACCAGCACCAGCATCATCAGCATCAGCACCAGCACCAACACCAACACCAACACCATCAGCGTTCGCATCATCAGCCACAGCCGCATCAACATCACCAGCACCAATCTTCCCTCTCGCTAAGCCAGCGGAGCAGCTCACCCTTTAGCCACAGCCCACATATGACCCCTCAACAGGTCACCTCTCATTCCCAAGGCATGCCTCGTGGCGGGCCAATGCCAGGTTCCAATGCCCCTACCCACCCGAGCATGAACATGGGCAGATCCTACACCCCACCCTCCAACTTGGGTCAACATCATCCGCAGAGCGGCTCTGGCAGTGGCTTGTCATATTCGAATGCGTCCTCTCACCCTCTTCACCCCTCTGGTCAAGGAAATAACCCTCACCAACAACATCTACGACCTCGTCACGGATCAGGTGGCCCTCCACCACCGTCTGGATCAGGCCATCATAATATTTACCCACAAGAACCCAGACAATGACATGCTGGATAAATGTTTAATTCTATTGGCAACCCTTATTCTTTTAACTTCTGTTCTAGGCCACGGTCTTCTGTCCGTTGGCCTTGTGTATTATCACGATGCGTATGGGAAACTTCTCGTCCACCTGGAAAAAGGGGATACTACTTTTTTTTCATTGCCTTTCTACCGATCTATTACGTGCACTCTTTTGAGCCAACCCTTTTTTTTATGCTTTTTGCTTTTGCCTTTATTTACCCTGCATTGCACTGTGACCTTTTTCTATTATTATTCATTCTTATTGAGGAAGTTGGCTGGTCTACTGTGTTTCGGGATTACTTTTTGTATGTATACACCTTATACGGCGGCATGAGATAAGATGGATTGACTAAATGCGGATGCGAAGCATGGGCATGGGATTGATTCTACGTGCATATATTAAATATTAATAGTCGATAAATATATATCTGTGTTTCTATCAACGTTGAACAAGTTCAGTAATGGATAGAAATATATTCTTAGGATCTCCGATATCAAAGTGAATGTTCTGGATATTCGCCTTCGGCCTTCACCAGCGAAAGAGCGAGCCAATCGCTGTAGAATAAAATAATCTAGTCGCTACATCCCGGTCCAAGTGGATCTTGGTGCAGATTTATATGGGGGAATTCTTCTTGCATGATTCATGCTTACCCTAGCTTTGCGATACTTTGCCATGCTCGGAGGACCGTGAAGAGCGAGCTTCGATACTTTGCGGAGAAGAAGACGAACGCGATTAATAATGTCGCTCTCTTGCATTCGCAGCTTAGGGCTCTGGATGATGCATATAAAGCCCTCCGTCCGGGTTGAAATTCAAGGAAATAGCTAAATGACATCACCGGAAACACAAGCACTTCATCACCCCTCCAAACATCTATTCTACAGCTAAGCTATTATTCTACGGACAACCAAAACAGCCAGACTTCATTCTATAGCAAGAACTCTTATAACGAGCGAAATGGCCGACAAGAAACTCCTCGTCGTGTTTGGAGCTACCGGAAAGCAGGGTGGTTCAGTTATCAACTCCGTCCTTGGTGACGAGAAGGCTGCGTCGCAGTTCTCTATCCGTGGAATCACTAGAGATCCATCTAAGCCATCTGCTCAGGCTCTGGCTAAAAGAGGCGTTGAGTGTGTCAAGGTTGGTCCTCTTCTTCGTGTGCAGCTTCAATTGCTCTCTATGTATAGCTGTCCACCGGTATCGAATCTGGGCTAATCCTACATCTAGGCCGATCTCAACAGTAAAGAGTCTGTCACCGAAGCTCTTAAGGGCGCATATGCCGTTTTTGCTGTCACCAATTTCTGGGAGACTGGGAAGGCCGAGACAGAAATCCAACAGGGAAAGAATATCGCTGATGCAGCCAAAGTAAGTATCTTCTTGGAAATCTATCTCCCTTGGACCATCTATGTACCATACTCACCCCTTTTTCTACAGGCGAATAATGTTCAACATTTGATCTGGAGTAGCTTGTTAAATGTTACTAAAGGTACATCATCCAAATATACTAGTCTCAAGCATAGAGAATAAGCTAACAGGCCCTCAGTCTCTGGCGGAAAACTCACCGGAGTCTCTCACTTTGACTCCAAAGCTGCCGTGGAAGAATACATTCGCAAAATTGGCGTCCCTGCCACCTTTTTCCTTCCCGGATTTTACATGTCCAATATCCCCGGTCAGGCACTGAACAACATGGGAGGAGTGTATAACCTCAGTAACCCGGTTCCAAACAATGCCCCATTCCCCCTTTTCGACGCCGATCGCGATACGGGGAAATTCGTCAAGGCCATCTTGCTTAACCGTGAGAAAGTGCTTGGCAAGCAAATCTATGGTGCTACAGATTACTATACTCCCGATCAGATTATCGCGGACTTCCAGGCTGCCAAACCACAGGATGGCAAGGGAGGTGCTGCTATCCAGATTCCTGACCAGACGTTTAAGGGGTTCTTGGGTATGAATGGAATGTCAGAGGAAGCCCAGGAAGAGATGCTTCAGAACATGCAGCTGCTATACCTATATGGTTATTATGGGGGTGCAAGCCTTGAGGAGAGCCTCACGGTAAGTGATAGCCTTTTACAACACACTGTCAACTGGAGAGTCGCTAACGTGAGCTTACAGCTTCTTGACGAGAAACCCACTACTTGGAAGTCTTTCGTCGAACAAGAGCCAATCTGGGCTAATATCAAGTGAAGCGGCCCTTCACCTTGCTCTTTCTTCCAGGAAGAAGGAATGGTCTTTATGAAAACTAATGTGGTATAATGCATTAACGTAATAATTTAACAATAATTTCATGATATACATCCATGGCCCATCTCCCGATAAGCAAGTTTAAAGCAATATATATATGGGTATAGCAAATCAAACCTCATTTTGCATGCGTAGATCCTTTAGGATTCGCTTATTGACCATCCGTTCAGCGTACACCTTCCACAAATACCACAGTAGGAATGTTAATAAAGTCAGTGGGATAGTTGCCGCCGGATATATCCACCATTGGGAAGATAGCAAAATGTTGGTGCTGCCATTTTTCCCACCGGCAGAGCCACCATCCGATTGACCTGGCCCACCGACTAGATTCGTACCGAGAAAGCCCTAAAATTCGATTAGCAAGACGTTTAGCTACGACCTAGCAAGTGTGGCAAATGCTAACCGCAACAAATGTTCCTGGAAGGAAGACCATAGTCATGATCGCAATGGTGCTCATAGATGCGCTTTCCTTCATCGCCTCCTCGGCCATACGGGCACTGAAATGCGTGCTGTGCCGCGTACTCAAATTGAATAGCTATCAATGGGAATCAGGGGTCAGTCCGAGCCGTACAAAAATAGGGGGTGGTCAAAGCCTACTAGATCCAAGAGCCTCTGTGCTCGCGTCGCCACATTCTCAATTGACGTTTTGAAGTATGTTATTTGGTTCTCAAACCTGTCATACTCCTCCTCCACGCGGGTATACAGCCAGTCGCGATTATCTGGATCAGGCGTGCACTTGACTAGCTTATAAAACCGGTCGTGCTGGAGCCGCAGACGGGATAGAACCCCAAGAATAAAATTTAATTGCAGCTTATCTTGGTCAAGACTCGTAAGGGTCAAATGTAGCCTGCGTATATCGATCTCACCAAGGTCGGATTTCCCCCCGTGTGCTTTGATCTCTTCTTTCCCAACGGAATCGCGGGGATCTCTGGCGGCTCGACGGTAATATTGGATCGTGCTGTTAAAATGGAGGAGATGTAGGGCGAACGGGTTCCCTGCGAGAGCAGCGGTACTAGGGTCAAGGATGAAATCTACCAATTTGTCATGGAGCTCATCCTTTAGCGATTTGGGGAGGTCGTTGAATGATCGGTGTTTAAGGAGTATGACGCTCGATTGAGATTTGACGTCGTAGTGCGTCACTATTGTCATCTTCAAGTCCGCCTCTTTATCCACAGCACGGATATATGCGCGTGCTCGTATTGCATACCAGAAGTCTGACCAGAGGCATAATCAGTATTGAAACCCCGAAAAACCAAAGCAGGTAAGGGTATATACCGAAGGCGGTTACTTTATTCTTCTTCTCATCTCGACCGATGCGCGACCCGAAGATCTGCTCTTGTCCCCGTATATGCGAGCATGCGGAAGGAGGGAGATCATATCGAGTTAGGACTTTCAGCAGAGAGTCCAGCGAGATGTTTAGTTCGTCTGCGACTTCATCTTCGCTATGGGCCTCTGTCTTCTCGTCGGCGAGCGCATTGGCTTTTAGCACGCTAACAGCGGCTGCGTTGGTGTTGATACGGTGCAGTACTTTCTCATGAGGGGTCGATTCAAGGAGTCTAGAGAAGTAGAATTGTTAATAAGACAGGTTCTAGGTTGCGAAATGAACAGTTGAAGGCATACATGAACCGAATCTGGGGTTGCGGCCCAGCCTGCAACAGAAGGAGTTGGCATCATGCCATCGATTATGCGATATTTATCTCATCGATCAACCATCGTGACTTGCAGGATCGCTTACCAGCAGCTTATGCAAAGTCTCATCGTCGCAGAGTTGTTTCGTTCCTACAGGTTTTGAATAAAAATCATCTTGATCAGCCGCAGAACAAAACAAGCTTCCGGGATCCCCGCTGAAGAACCATGGTTCCGTCAAATGGATATATTGTTCAAACATCTAGATATACTCCGTACATACCTACGCCGCGGTCGTGGTCCAGCACCAACACGCGCGAAACAGCTGGATATTTCTCAGATCGCCAGGAGGTAGATGCAGACTTCAGCTCCTTCTGGCAGAGCCGCCCGTCGTCGAGAGCGGGTGAATACGAGGGGAGACCGAGGGGGTAATTCCGCCAGTCCAGCTTGTCCATGGTGGCGCTTCGTCGTTGATAGAATGAAAAAAAGAGCAGATAATCGACTTCTGGCCGTTTGGAGAGGGAACACTCTTGTCGTAAAATATTTCTCTGCTGGCCCCCTTGAATTACGAGAAGCTCAGCCTTGTGGTTACCCCTACTCCGTATGCAGGATAGTCGTCTTCTTCTTCCCCATGTTTGCTAGCTCGAGCGCATGATTTCTAAAATAAGCCGAAGAACTGTCAATTTCATGCGAAGCTACGGGGTATATGGCGTAAATATATCCCCATTCGTCGCCAGGGTGATGCTAATTAGCCATCTCCGGCATCCGCCCAGCATCTTCGCCAAAACGCCGTCCAACCATTTCAGCCGCATCTGTAGCACGTCCAAACTTCAGCATTCCCATTTGCAGCTCTAGCCCTTTCTCTCCTCCGACGGTCCACTCCCACTCATCGGTCGAGTAACGCTCCTTTAGCTCCTCGTTCATGGACTGGATAGTGTCCATCCAGACCTTGAGCCGCTGTAGCGCCGTCTCAGCGTTCTCTGAATCGAAGAAGTTCTTGGTATCTACAAACCGGCCAAGGGTGATATGCGCCATGCAGGCAGTGTAGCATGTATCTGTTGTGATTCCACTGCGCAATGCAATACTGTGCAGGTCCCTCCGTAGGTGGTGGTAGGTGTACTGATCTGTCCCAAGCGGAACAAACGCGATGGCCACCCCAACACCATCGAAGAGAAGTATCGGTCTTCCGAGACGAGCTGCCCTATGATCAGTTGCATTAAGAGTGACTGGGTGGTCCAATAATTCCTGGACGAGCCCCGACCCCATCTGGTCATACACGGACCGAAGATGGGCCATTGGACGGCGATGTGAGATCTCAATAACAGATAGATGCAGCCGCGAAGATTCAGGAAACCACATGTCTACCAGAGTTTCGCCTTTCCATCAGCTTGAAACACACAGTATGAAGAGTCAAGCCTCACCGGTTCCTACTATATCTTTCAGTCTATTCTGTAACCCATTCAGGAGGTCCAGAATCTTATGGCTTGGGCGCGCCCAAATGACCATACAGTTGACGGCCTCGTCTCCATAATGTTTTTCGACGTCCCCTGGTGCACTGGTGGCTGCAGCATACGACAAATACTGGACAAGCGCCGGACTAGGCGTGATTTTCGGCTTTGCAGATTCACCATCCACCCGTGTCATGGATGCAATGGACCTTGTCAGACTCGCTTGTCTGTACGACTCATAGGCCTGTTGTACTTTATCCTGCACGTCAAGTGGTTAGTCGATCGTATCCCACACAAATAGTTACAATGTGCATCGCTTACTGGGCTGCCCTGGCAGTCGGGGTGGTCTAGCAGATCCTGGTACCAGTTTCGTGTCTGCTGGTCAGACTCAAGTTGGGCGGGAAAGGAGAACATTCTGGTGTCAAGTTAACTGGATCTTATAGATAGTCTCGCAACTAAACGGAGGAATGAAATAGTTAAATGCTATTTCATGAAACTTGCTATCAATTATATACCAACGGAGGATCAGCATCGTGGCGCAGACTGGGTTGTAGCAGGCACTAAGAATATTGTTGCATCATAGGTGGGCTCAAGCGAAATTCAAACATGGATTCGCCAACTATTCATTAACAATATAATATTTTGACCCTTGAATTATCTTAGTATATAGACAAGCGCTCTCAAGTTCAGGTGCAATTCTTCTAGACATAATTTATGTTCAAATGCCTACTTTATATGGTGGCGCTAAATTATTTGATTGGCTGATTTACAGAAATATGATTGGCCATATTAATCGCCTAACTACCTAGGTAGAAACAAGCTTAAAAATGTCGATAAGATAAGATGAAGATTCAAGGACAAGAATAGGGGTATAAATGTCTCCAGAGTGTGCTGGATTTCTGAACTCGAAGCAATCGTTGAAATAGAGAATATTTTCCCTTGAGCCCAAGGAGACCTTCTGTATTATCAACAGGGGAGGATGACGGCACTCCCCCTTTAACTATAAATTAAGACGAGGTGTGCAAAATTTTCATGAATATGTTTCTCCCATCCACCGTCAACGGCTGTGTACAAATCGACCAGATCCAACTTCAGTTCCTGTAACTGATCGGACCTCAGGGTGAAGATGCCCGTGATGGCAAAATAGTTACCTGGGAGATGCTCTCGAGAAGGAATTCGGTTGGCAGCGAGGTTAGTCCCGTGTCTCTTGCTATTGCTCCCCATTACTTGAAAATTTTGGTGGGAACTTGTATTTGAAAAGAGTTTCCAAGGAGTAGGACGGAGTTACATGGAGAGTTGATATCACTTTTGCCGGATCCGTCACGGGAGGGTAATCCTGTCGCGAGCAGTTGAGATAGAAATCTTCAGCACACACCAAGCGTTCATTGTTCTTTATCAAACAAAGAGCCAAAACTTAACCTTAAGAGCACCAACTGGCTACGTTTTGGCTCTCTCGATGAAGACGTTTATACCTCTCTTCTCTACTTCGACTCCTTAGCAGGCTACCTGCGCCAATCAGCAGCTCAAGCTCAATATATCTCTTGCTACGCTCAGCAGAAATGCCATGCATGGTGACAGCATACACAACGGCCATATCGGTTAGATATGAGCATCCCTGGGCACAAATTTGGGTTCGTCGGAGTTCGTTTACGAATGATACCCGGTGCCAGAGAATACTGGCCCTGACCCGAGCTCGGAAACTCTTGTAGCGATAACCACATTATCGGATACGAGCCAACATGAGACCAACACAAGACATGGTTGGAGGAGACCCTTTTCGTTTTCTGAGGCAGTCGCACTACCATATTGTCATTAGGGGTGCACAGCATTTTAACGAACGGAGGCGGTAGACAAAGGTTTGCGAAGAGAAAGATATAGGACCGGTATATTTATTGTTATAAATATATGAAGCCTGAATGTCCAACTCTACGCTCCAAACAGCACCTCGTCAATTACTCAGGGGAATATCAATGGCCGAGCTACGCAGACTTAGTGGCATACTTATTGCCGCCACTTTATTTATTCAGTTGCACCTGGGCTATGGCTTACCTTCAATAATGAATCCTTTCCTGGAGCTCGTCTTCCCCCTTCTATGCGTCCAAAGGTGAGGGTCTCGTTAACTCTTAAGGAATGTGATCAACGGCAGTCGAATGAGCTTCACGAAGCCTATAGGGAAGTGCGTGATATAGTAAGTCAGACTTCCCAATCTATTACTATATCTTTGAAAGCAATACTCTATATTTCATATACATTATATTGAATATTGATAAGCTGACTCACTGGTCAGTTAAACGTAGCGCATAGACGTCTATCAGAGCTGGAGATGCTTTTGCACCGCTTGCCCGACGGCAATGTTGTGTTGCAAGGTATACATCGATCAACCTGGTACACGTATGAGAATATGTTTGGTCGTGCCTATCTTGGGCCCAAGAAGAAGAATGAGCTAGAATTTAAAAGGCTGAGTTATGTTATCAGTGAGACTCTCAGCCTAGTTTGGAGATGTTATCAAATTACAAAAGTTATCAAGCTTACAATATACATAGCACTATTTAAGTTAATGAAAGACGGAATTCAGAATCATCCAATAGAGCTATGGTGCGGCGACAAGTTTTACTCCAAGACCTTCCCTCCAGGCACGGAATTCCCAGATAACACTACCCCTGGTAAGTGTAGCATACCCACTCATGCAATAGCACCCCCTGCACTGCCTGTAGATCTAATTTACTTCTTGTATAGAGGAGCGCGCGAAGTGTTACTGGGATACCAGGCCGAAGGAAAGAGGCGGCCAACGCATTATAGAGAATACACACGGATGCAAAGGCAATACGATTGCTATGGTTGAAGGTATCAACCTAGGGACTGAAATGTTTGACCTTCTCATCATTTGCCCAAAGTGGTTCGATACCTACTGGTTTGAACAGCCCTCAATGACTGCCCTACGTGGACAACAATTTGAGGTGAAAAAGAAACATATAAGTGAAATAGGCCGCCAGCTTGCCACTACTCTGATTCATGAACTTAGCCATTCGCGAGTCCTCCTTGACAAAAGAAGAACGTGTGAGTCTCAGTGGTAGAAACCTAGTCATGTAATTGATATATGCTAACTCAACTCGACAGATGATATTATTGGGGAAAAGTCTGCGTATGGATTCAAGGAAGTCTATTTCCATGCGAAGAATAACCCCAACAATGCCTTGAGAAACGCTGGTAGGTGGGCATTCTACTGCTACGGAGGACAAAATTTACTTACATGGTAATAGAAAATTATGCTTTTTTTGCTATAGGTAAACCTTTTATACTACCTTTCACTCTAGCTATGAATCCCAAGCTGATTCGCCGGTTCAAGCAATGTACCTTGAAGGATATAACTGGTCGACAGGATTCAACGAGGCGATGTTCGAGGAGGCTCCGCTTAAGAACACTCTTCGTGGATAAGCATGGTTCGTGTTGAAACGCAAGATGCTACGGGGAGTGTTAGTGGTACAAAGCCCGCGCTGCCTTCTGGGCTAGTTATAGCATCAATCCCGTTAGTTACATTGTATTCGTTGATTTTCCTAGCTTCCTTTGAGTGGTTTTGAGTAAGTAGGATTATCCAGAGGCGATATATTTGGGTAGTTAGTTACATTCAGGGGTACCGCTACCACCACCGGCAGCAGCATCAATAACAAAAAACACAAGTGAACGATATCGAAATTCAACGTAACGAGCAAAAAGTAGAGCAAAAAGAATACGAAAAAAAAAAAAAACAAAAACATACGACAGTCGGGATTCGCTGGTGGTCACCCACCCAACTACTAACCGACCGGCAAGTGGCTTAAGTACAGCTGAGCGAACGGGAAGCTCTGTTTTCCACTTCCTGTGGTCGTATGTACTGAACAATAGAATGAGTATGGTTTTGAAGGGGAAATGCGCACCTACTAAGTATATGGCCATAAACACTGGGAACCTCATTACTTCCGTATCCCGGGGAGCTGTTGTATATATAATGATATTTATTACACCTATAATTCTGGTGCCTCGCGGTTTCATGGTTGCCATGCCCCTATCCAGTCTGTTGGGGGGCCATGGTGTTCGTTTATCCTTCATCGAATTGCAGAACTCATCAACCACTCTCCTAGCATCATCCCTCTGGAACGCATCCGGCCATCCGTACTGGCGATATTTCTGCCTAAAGTACTGAACATCCAACTCCGTGGTACAATAATTAGTAAGTGAGTCTATAAGTAACAGTCGTCTTAACTCGCCATCGTCAACTGCCACGCCACTTATAGTCTTAGTAAGCATTAGCTTGTATAACACGTGACCTCAATCCACTGATACGTCTTCCTCCATCGTCAACATCGTCAATACCAACATCTCACTCTGTGCATCTCCAACCTTCACATTCCCTCCAGCAGCGTCCATATTTGCCAAATCTTTATATTAAAAGTAATACTGGATAAATCTGGACTATCAGATTTCCATATGTCCCTGCCCACATTTTAGTGAGAGAATCTATAGATATTGGACGATGGGTCACCTACATGGATGAAACTCGTCTCCTGCTTTATAGTCGCCACTCTCCTGTTTTTTCTTTCTTCTGTTGCTATAATAGCATACCAGTGGGAGCTTCATAAGCCAAACCAGAGCTCCAAACACGGCTCCTGCGGCGGCCGCAGATCGGTACTCGCAAACATGGAAATCTATATATTCAATTGTGAGTATTATCAATGATTTTTTGGGAATAATAAAGAAAAAGGCATGAAGTATGTTTTGTTTTGAATGGGGGGAGAAGCTTACTTTGGTTTTGCGCGACGCGAGCAAACGTATAGCCAGTCAAAGCATCCCAGCCAATTGCTTGTATCGAGAAAGCTGGTCCTACTCAGATAACTGTGTCAGCACATGGAGCTATCCCTAACTGTGATAGATGATGAGCTCGTACCAGAAGCGGCTAATGCTGCGGTTCCTGCTAATAGAGGGGCACCGGCAGCAGTTGCAGCTACCAGCAGCGGATGGGGTACTATGACACCGAAGGAGAGTCAGTCTATGCACAGGATAACTGCTGCATAGTTGTACTAGCGGCTATATCGAGACTCGCATTCACCTTTGTCCAGGACTTTAAGAGCTACAACTGATGTAGAAATCACTGTCGTTCCGAAAGATGACCCTGCAAGGCCGGCCAATACGAGGATAAACATATTCGCCGAGATCATGTTTAAAAGGACAGCCAAGTTTATGATGGCGGACTTGAACAGGCCGCAAAGGGCTCCGAGGCGTAGTACCTGGAAAGGCGCTGCGTTCCCATTAACATGGGCTCCGGTGGCACATGCGGCGGTTCCGGCAGCGGCATTGATCCCCAAGTCAAGTACAGAAAGCCCGAGATGAATGAGTACTTTGGAACTGTTAGTGACCACATCCAGAGAAGCGGAGACACAACTTACTATTAGTGGATAAGGGGTACTCTAAGATCATTAGCCTCAGGTCATCTTTTTTATAGAGTGACGAACATACCTGGATCCATGGGTGTTGGTTTCTTACGCAAGGCGAAAAGGGATCCCAAATAAGGCAAAGGAAATGCTGTTTTAAACTTCCAATCCTCCCTAGCTTGCCGTACTTCTAGTTTTCTCACAGGAATCATGTTCCTTTTATTGCCCCTAGGGAACGCCGAAGGCAGGGGCAGGGAGCGTGCTTACGCCGAGATCGTCAGCCACCAGACCTGCAAGGCTGTGTGTATGCGCGCGTATACATACACAACCCAGCGATACGAGATCATATAAGAAGCTTCGAATCTCTGAGTTTCTTTCTTTCAACCCCCTTGAACCGCTTTCATTTATGTCAAAACGAATATAGCGAGTGGGGCTCTCACCTTGAAGTAAAGGAAGGATGTGGTACTTTTCGCAGGCAAAAAAGCAGACAAACCGCAGCAGCTCAGAAACATACGATAGTTATACTTACTCCGAATCTGTGTCTAGTTTGTCATGGTCTATCCTTCTCCCTCTCCCCCTAGTGGGTCGCGCTGCTAACATCGTTTGGCATCTATAGCACAGGCATATGCGTGCCGCAAAGCACACTATCCACTCGTATATGCAATATTCAAAACACCTTGGGCAGCATCCAAAGCGCTCATAAGGTGGAAAGAGAGCCAGAGACATGTTTCACCAGACTTGCGCAAAGAGATGCCACCCCAAACTCTAGCATTCTCAAATCTCGTGCCTCGAAGTGACAGGCGCGGCAGCGTTCTCGTTCTATCATGTACACTGGCTCCCAACTATCCAAACTTTTCTATAGAGTGTTCTGCAGAATACTTGCTGCGGAAATCGGGAGGCGCTGGATGGCCAACCGTCGACAAATGTTCTATGCTTGCAACGATATGCACAGAAGAGAATTCTTGGGTGGTGGCTTTCGAAGAGGAAGACAGGAAAGTTGGCACGTTTAGTAGTACGATTTCGGAGGAGAAGGCAAAGGAGCTGGAGGACGTGAAAGAGGTGCAAAAGATTGCCAGCCCGGCCGAAAAGCTCCTCAAGGACAAAGTTGTCAAAATGGTTACTGTGCCCAGGAATCATGCTCTTGATAGGATGTGGGTACGAACGAGAGGTTTTACATCGTTGAAATTTATATTCCTAGCCAGGGGTATCGACATAAACGGTGAAGGCGTCCTTAATCATAGCTGATACCTATCCTCTATCGTGGAAAATTTATACATGTTCACTGTGTTGGCCATATCCATCCAATCCTAGAGAAACGTTCACTCACTGGTGGACGCCTTCTTGCTCAGTAACAAAGACATCAACTCGATCAATGGGCCGATCAACATCATCATAGCCAGTACTTGACCAAACTTCCACTCTTCGAGGCCTGGGAGTAGCTTATTTCTTCGGATAATAAGTTCCAACATCCAAATCAGATATATACAGGCCGCCAACCGGCCTAGCATAGTGATGAATTCCCTAACGGGGCGGGGGTCAGACTTGCTCCCATCTCCTTGGGACTCACTCGACAAAGATTCCGTGTCAGAGGTTCGGGCTACAGTGCACCCGCAGTCAATAGCGAAGCATAGCATGCCCGTGAACCCAACAACCCAGGCAAGGAGGGTAACCGCGAGCACCGTAAAGCTGGTAACTAGCAGCCAGCGGATCACCGGGCTGGTTGCTTTCATATTGACCCAAAACAAGACGTAGTTGGTTTCTGCGTTACATTCCGGGCGGTTGCCAAACCGTGTCGCATTTGCAAAGACTAGAATGAAATATACCACCGACGCAACGGTTGCAAGGGCGTACAAGATAGTGAATGCCTTGGTATGTGTAGCGGACAAACGGTACCGGCCCCTGGGGCGGATAGAGAAACCAACCAGTCCGAGAAGATGTAGAATGCAGAGCGAGTGAAAGAGTGCAATATCGTCCAGTGCGCTCTTGATCATAGTGGCAAGTAAAAGAGCCAGGCCAGTCACCCCGAGCGAGGATTCTATGGCACTGGAAAGGTCATTAGATCGTAGGAAGAAGCTCACTAACGGGCTCGCGAGGCTTAGTGTATAGATGGAAGTTCGGACCTAGAGATCTCTTAGCAAAACTAGTAGTTACAAAGGAACTATAGAAAGTACCAGTGAGTCCAAAGAAAAGGGGTACATACGCCGACTCCAATGATATCAGAATCTGGTTCAATGGCACATTTGTCGACAGCCATATCTTCTCGAAGGTCGTGGGCGGAATCGTGTGAATATAACTACCTGGGTAGGATATTAACTAAACAGTAAATGTTCAATCTACCTCCCAAATGGTATGGCTGATTGAGTAGGGCATGCGTGTACAATAAAACGGGAACATCATTTATCGCAGTTATATCTCAGATGTCTGCCTTCTCGCTCGGACAAGGTAGGAACAGGCCAGGGATATAACTCGGCTGCCTCAGTCTCATCAAATACATTACACATAGCCACCTACATATGTTTTTTGTTATTTCGTATACGCTAACCCCTGTTCAAAATCAGCCAAACGATCAGTAAATACCAGGACAGGCATTGATACATACACGCAGCCTTTCCGTGTCTAATGATTTCTTATTCAACCATACAGCCTAGGCATAGTCATTGCTCGACGATCAAGTGCCATTTCCGTTGATCCTTGCAGATGCATGAAAGAGTCAGAGACAGGATGCATATCGGCGACATTTGACGTATCCGTAAAATTTCAAATAGTTCGTTCATTCGTAGACACAGACACTATGCAAATATATACACCATCTACTCCGTACTCCTCGAAAAGAAATTAGGACGGCGGAGAAAAGGCGGAGGATGAAAATGGAAACGCTCCAAGATTATTATCATGATAATAACGATACTCGAACGGGTTATACCGCGAGTCACATAACTATACAGTCTTTATTTCTGTCTCTCTCCCTATAGTAATCGCGCTGTGGCAACGATGAGGTAGAGAGCGAAGCACCACCTTGCCGTCTTCTGGCAGCCATGTTTGGGCCAGGTCCAGGGCCAGGGCCATGGTTATATCTAGGCATTTGATTGTATGGAGGAATTGGTCCCATAGGGCCGGGAGGGCGTTGTTGGTATGGAGGCCCGTTGGGCGGTGGTATGTATGCTGGTTCTTGAGCGGCCTGCTCATATGTTGGAGGGGGTGCATTAGGGTCATTGTCGTTCCTGCTCTGGGCTGAGGATGGTGGAACCATCGGTGAAAACCCTTGCGTTCGGGATGGAGGTGGTCGGTTGGTGGTGGGAGTGCGAGGGAGGGGAGTTAGAGTAGATGGTAGAGCAGAATTTGGCCGTGTAAAGCTTGCGGAGCGAGTGTTGCGTATTTGATGGTTTGTCCGACCACGGGGTGACATTGTTTCAGAATTTGCTCTGAGGTTGTTTTGTGATCGGCTGGCTGGAGGCGATGGCCTTCGCTCCTCCTGCCTGTTCTGTTCGTCCTCGTATTGCAATGATAAAGCAAATGCGTAGTCTGCATCTGTTTGCTCGGTGCTACTTGCGGTATCCTTTGGAGCCGACCCTCTTTCCCTCCGTGGAGGAGTCTGGCTAGACTCAGCGGCGCCATGTCCGACGGGGCGGAAATCACCAGAGTATAGTTCCGAGTTCGTCCCGTTGACATCTACCAGGCTCTCCCAGACGATTTCCGCATGACCTGCATATCCAGCATCAGTGACCAGTGTGAATAGCTGATTAGATAGTGGGTGCTTGAAAAGTGTCGAAAAGTGATCGTTTCGGAACAAGACGCAAACGCTACCGGACGGTAGAGATTTCTCCAAGTGTCGAAGGCCAAATGGACTTAGCTGGGTGGGGTTATCTACCGTTACGAATCGTTGGATGGTATCGATATCTTGAAACAACCGTTGCTCGTCTGGAGTTAACGAGCCTGTATTGATCGCTCTAGTTTCTAGATCCTCTCTCTGGAAATGTAGTAGTTGAATGTCGTCATGATATTCAGCCACATGAAGCATCGCTTCATGTGTTGGTGACGCTGGTGCAGCAGCCCAGCCGTGAACTAGTGGTAGGTTAAACGCACTATACAGCTCTATATCACGAGTTTTAAGGAAAGTCCCAGGCGTAGGAGGGTGTAATACCTGGCAAAAGTTAGTGAGTGGTCAATATGGTGAAGCTTTGGCAGATTTAATCATACCGGTGTCAGACGTGGGTTAACATTCATTCCAGTATGTAGCATGGTGAGAAAGACGCTTAACGCCTCAATATCGGGTAACTCCTCGTTTCCATCCTGCGAGCTCATAAGCTCGTCAAACAGGGCCTGTATCAATAAGCCTAGAGATATCCGTTCTCTCGAATGCAATGCTCTGATAAGGGGAGTTTTCGCGCCAAGCGGAGACCTTAATACAAGGCTATTAACGAGAGCTAGGAGTGGACATGGACCATTTTCGTTCTGTACCAAAACTGGGGATTGACGCAGCTCGGTCGTTCCATCTGTCCAGTTGACAATTCGTATATCGTAGACCTCGGACCGGTGGCTTGCGTGTTCAGATGTATTGGTATTTGGGTCTGGGGTTGAAGATGGTTCGACTATAGTTGGGACTGGATGCGTTTCAGTTCTATCTGTCGAATGGGGCTCGTGGTGTTCAGTATGTTCCAATGCCACCCCCTTCCCTTTATCTATGTTCTCTAAACTAGATTCGCTGGGGGTATTGATTTGAGGTCGTGATTCTCCATCTATGGAAGGCTCATGGGAATCGAAATCAATCAAATTCACTGACTCTGTTGGTGACGCAAGTTCCTTCCCTGAGGCGGTCCTATCGGGTATGGGTGTTGCCCGAGGCGCAGCTGCCTTTTCTCCAACAGCTGTATCTTCGCTATTATGGTTAATGGGCGTGGCTAGGGACAATGCGGCCATTCCAGTATTTGCCTGACTAGAGCTAGGTAGGTCTTGGTTGTCGAGAGGGGCATTCCGGCCGTCATGTGCAGAGGGAGGGAGCTGTCCATCCAGCGGATTTGACACTGCATCATGGCTTTCTACAGTGGCGGTTAGTATATGTAATCCAGTGGGGTATATGGAATCTAGGAAATACTCACCACTGCGATTCAGCTTTGCTTTGAGGAAGGGATTATTCGACTGTAGATGTACTCCCGAAGGAGATTCGCTACGTGTCCGCTCGTTAAATGACCCAGGATCTGTTTGACCGGTTACCTGGGCGGAGAATGGCAGTATGGGCGGGCTGTATGTTTGCGGCTCGTTGCCCACTCTCTCGCCCCAGATATCTGCAGTGTTCTCATAGCCGTTGACTTGAGGTACCTGTTGAAAGTTTGCGTGCCCTGGGTTGGTCATGGGAGGCCTCGTAGCTCCATCTATCGTTTCTTCGCGATCGTAGGTAGCCGCTGGAGGTGATGGGTATTGTGGTGGTTGTGCGACCGGATACGTCTGGTTATGCGATTCAGTTGGGCCGGTGGGATGTTGTACTGCGCTGCTCTGGTTCCCATTCTGGTCTTTCGTATATCCCGCACCGTTACCTGCATCAGGCGCAGGAGCATGTGTTGAAACCATAGCCGTCGACGGAGAGGGCTGGCGGAGGCGAGTGTATACAGGCCTCCACTACTGCGTCGAGCGTAATGTGAGCGTTATGGCGGTGGTTGTGGTTGTGCCTGACTTGAAAATCGGTCGCATCATAGTACCGATTCCAGCATTATATCCCTCAGCAGCGAAATGTTGTAAAACAATGGCCTCGTTCCGGTCCGTCCCTCTTAAATATGGAGGCCTTCGATGTCAGCCTAGATGGATGAGGCGCAGAGGTCTCCACCGTTACACCAGGAACTATAGCAAGCAATCACGGAGGCAAACAAGAAACAGAAACCCAACTGAGGGAACACAAGTCGCTCTCGACGCTGTGTTGAGATCCGTGGCCTGGTATCTAAGAACGCGCAGGCTGATCTAGTTTGTGACGGAGGATAAAGATAGCGTGGTTGGTCACTTTGGAGAAGGTTAGGAAGCGCCGGATGACGTAATATCATGTCGGCTAAATATACTTCCGGGCCGGGATATTTTTATCGATTTTTGGATTTCGAGATTGGCCGCAGATATTCAACCCGCGCAGCTTCAGATATTGGCATATAATCCTTGGACAAAGGGGCAATTGAGCCGGCTGGGAGGATAAAGATGCATTCCTCTATCCCGCCGAACGCATATGTGGCGCTTAAGCTGCCGTCAGACTCCACGAAGATCCTCCAGACAACACCCCATTCGTACGGCCGTTCCCCCTCACGCGATAAGAAGTATAGCTACTGACGATGGCAGGAATATATCACTGGGCAAGTATGGCTCGTTTCCATGCAATCAAATAATTGGACGCCCGTTCTACGCGACTTTTGAAATCGCAGACCACCCGGACGCCGACGGACATGTCCTGCGCATCGTCCCAGCAACGGAGCTACATACCGAAGCTCTACTGGCCGACGGCGAGGGTGATGGTGAAGCTGAAGGCGATACAAATACACCGTCCATTCCAGTTCCGCAGGAAGATAACCGAAATATAATCGACCAGGGTAGCACACAGCAGTTAACGATGGCACAGATCGAGGAACTTAAACAATCTTCTACACACGCGGGGAGGGAGATTATAGCAAGATTACTCGAATCGCATTCTGCCCTGGACCAGAAGACGCAGTTCTCACGTGCAAAGTATATGCTTAGGAAACGGAAGAAATATATGCATCGTTTTACGGTCGTGCCGATGGATGTGGGCTTGTTGACCGAGTGGGTGATTGAGCAAAAGGTTCCAGGGCGAATTATGGAGCTGCGAGATGAAGTTTTGGGCCTGGTTGGGGCCTGGGCTAATGTTCATTATGGGGGTGAGAGTGAAGTTGCCACTGATAATGCAGGGAAAGTAGACGAGGTGGTTAAGCGTGCACGAGGGAGGTGGCTAGTTGTGGATGACACAGGCGGCTTGGTGGTGGCCGCCATGGCCGAGAGGGCGGGTATACTATATCCTCCAGAGGTGCTATCAGGTGAAGGGTTTGACAGTTCTACAAGGCAGCCAGCGAAACCTACACTATCTATGGAGGATGAGACGCCTGCTGAAGGGGTATCTGCTTCTCACACAACACTAACGGTGATCCATCCTAATCTACAGCCTAACCTAAGTATGCTAAAATACTTTTCCCATGATGTCAACGAGCCATCCGAAACTCATCCGCTGTCCACTCACTTGAAAACGCTTTCGTGGTTACAGCTTCTGCATCCGTCTGAAGACGCAATATATGATATGGTGCCACCCGAAGTCACCGAAGAGGAGCTCGCGAGCTGGAAACCATCGAAGCGAGGAATGCATTTCAAAAAGAAACGGCGCTGGACCAGGGTACGTAATGTGGTTGACGAAACCAGAGCGGGCGGGTTCGATGGCCTTATCGTCGCAACTTTAATGGATCCTGCATCTATACTTAAGCACACGGTGCCGCTACTGGCAGGGTCAGCACAGGTGGTTGTTTATTCGCCATACGTTGAACCGTTAGTTCAGCTAGCCGATCTATACTCAACCGCACGCAGGACCGCGTATATCACCTATAAGCGAGAGGTGGCAGAAGGGGCCGCAGAGGATAAGGAAGAAGACTTTCCTGTTGACCCGACGCTGCTGCTAGCGCCAACGCTACACACGTCTCGCGTACGGGCATGGCAAGTTCTTCCTGGACGAACACACCCTCTTATGACAGGCCGGGGCGGGGCGGAGGGGTACGTCTTCCATGCAGTCAGGGTATTACCTGCTATTGGGAAGGTGGAAGCTCGAGGCGTGCAGGCGAAGAAGCGACGGAAGCTAGCTGATGAGACCGAGACGTCATGAAAATGGGCTTCGGGCCCTTGCAGAGGGCTGCTTAAACGGTATATTTTGGTACCTGACGGTCTAGATAGAAAGGACAGGACAGGACCGGACGGACCCGGAATAGAGCATCCAGAGTGCCGGGAACTACACGTTTTTTTTCCGCTACTCTACCGGGGGACTGTCATACCGCTACGAATGCTTAAGTATGTGGACGTTTGATGCAGGGGGGCTAATCACGGCGACAGCCACGAGAATAATGGAGGATGTTTCACCAAAGACCAGACTTTACGTACTTACACACATATTCGCATATAGACTGGCGGACCCATGTCCATGCTCAACACGTTTTCCAACTGCTTTAGTGCGGCGCTGAGAGGAGCATTTCCCCAAGCGATGGATGGGTATGGATGGAGATAGCAGTTGATACTACGGGGTTGTCGAGTCCACCCTGTTTCACCAATTGCATGACAACAATGCTACACAGAATGTGATTGTGACCTGAGATACATATGAAGCAATCCAGTACCACGGAGCAGCAAAAATGCCAATACACGCCAGTATATGCCAACATCATAACCAAGAGAACGGTTGTCGCCATTTGCATCGACGGCCTGCTACACGTGAAGTGTGAAGGGGTGATAGAACTTCCCCTTGCCGATGTAGAAAAGTGTGAATTGTGTAGATATTCCTGCTAACGAGCGAGACTAGCGACGGGGGGCGAGCGAGGGTTCTCCCCTTACGACAAGAGTCCCTATTGCAGTCCCATCGCAGAGCCCATATCGGAGGTCCTATTGGAGTCCCATTGGAGTCCCATTGGAGTTCCATCGCTGTTGCATAGTATGCGGGTACTTGCATGTATCTTTGCGTACATCGCGCTACTGCGAGGTACATCAGAGGTACTTCCAGCTATGGCCAGCACGTGCAGCCGTTATGGGTGAAGATTTGCTCGCCCGCCCGTCGCCTCCAACCTTCCTTGGGCAGCCTTTGAGCGTAAATTATGGGCCAACTAGCAGCATCAAAAAACGCCCAAATTAGAAGCTCGATGATGGAGATGCGCGCGATATGCGCCGTGCCTCGAATCAGAAGCTGGTTCCGCCATCACAACTGCCCAGCATGACTAGCATGGGCCTGATGGGGTCGAATCGATGGATATAGCTCTCCTCTGGACGCCGTCTGATACGCTGCCTGATACGCTACGAGCCTGGTGATCGGGGGATTTTAAAGCAAGTTACGGAGTACAAGAAAAATGCAAAGACCATTTCTATATATACGTATACCGACACACTGGCTGAGGTCTAATTTACGACGGGGATAGACTCCACTCAAAGAAGAACAAAAACTCACGTCCGCGAAGCCCGATCTGCCTGTCTCTCTACGGCACTATCGATGCCGAGGATAGGGTTGCCAGTTGGATTAAATGGTGGCAGGCGAGTTAGCCGCAGGACCTATAGGCAGCATCTCACCAGCCTCCGAAAAATGCCACAGCCGTCGATCCAAGCTTTCGCCTCTCTGGCTGCTTTTTCTCCCCGATGGGCTCGATTTTGTATGGGCGCGGTCAGAAGATGGCCCCCTGTTGCCCAATCACTTACTGGCCCACGGAAATTTCTTACCGTTCCCCCCAGTCCACAAGTCCACTCCGAGGCGCATCTCCACCACACAAGATGGAGATGCATGTCCCGGCTCCTTGAGAGAAGTCAAAGAGTTGCTAAGAGAAGCACTTGCTTAGCCCCCCTGCTGCCCCGGCTGCACGGGCATGGCATGCTGTCCGTCATTGGGCGTGGTTTCGGTTTCTTTTTTTTTGCTCGCTCCAAGCCCTTGGCTGGTGTCGGTTGCGATGCAGATGGGAAACCGTCATCGCAGGGACCAGAGCCCCAGGAACCACAAACGTCTTTTGTTCATATATACTCCGTGTCCCTCCCGCTACGTCCCTGTTCTCTGTTGCTTGTTGTCGCCGTTGCTGCTGTCCGTTGCTACCTACCTCTTGCCTTGACATATCTTCCCGCTGTCGAGACGAAGCATGAGATGAGCCCCGGACCACTTACAGCACCACCACAATCACAATCAACAGGATCAGTCTGCCCACCATGATCATAGCTACCGTCAAGGACAGCGTGCGCAGCAGCTGGGGCATGTTCAATGCCGTCGAGCGTCGTAACATCTTCCTATACATTCTAGGTATCACATTCTACAAGTTCGGCCTCGAAGCCTTCAATGGCTCCATCCTCGCCCTCGCGACAAATCGGTACGACTACGATGCCGCCATGAGACACGTACCGGCCAAGACGTTCGAGCGAGTCGGTCTGCTCAGCGGCCTCAACCAGGCCTGCCAGTGTGTCGGTTCGATCATCATCGCGCCCTTGGTTCGTCGTGCTCCCGCCAGACTTGTTCTGGTTATTTCGGTCGTGCTGTTTGGCCTTTTCACCGCTATCCTCATGGTGGTGGACGCTGCCACAGGCGGGACTATCATGCCACCCGAGTTCCGCGGCGACCACCCGGCCCTGGACTTTCACTACTACGGAGACTACAACACGGACGGTATTATACCCATCTACTGTGTCACCGGCATCGTTTATGGGATGGTCGAGTTGATCCGTCGTATCATTCCTCGTGATATCGTGGGCGGAAACATCCAAAAGCTTCGACGTCTCGACGCCATGGTCCACGTCTTCTACGAGATTTCCGGTACCGCCAGCGCTTTCTGCACCGCTCTCGCCCTCATCCCGAACCTGGGGAACAACTACTCCTTCATCATCACTCCCGTATTCTTCGCCATGGCCGGTATAACCTGGTTCTTCATCAGTGAGGCAGACACTTACCAGCCTCCACCACCTCCACTCTTGGGCAAACGCCCAACATATATCAAGGCCGTCTTCGTGTCCTTCTATCTCTTCGGCGAATCCATCTGGACCGGATCCAAACTGCTACTTACTAACCGCCGCTTCATCTGGCTTATCCCCGGTTACTCTATCGCTTTCTACGGTCATCGCTACCTCGAAAATGGCCTCGCTCCCGCCATCGCCCGCCGATATCTAGGCCACTCTGCCTGGGCTAACATCATCGTTGGTGGCTCTAACCTGGGTGAACTGTTAGGTGCTCTCTTCGTCTTCCTCTTCACCAACCTCGTCACCACCCCCATTCCTTGGGTCCGACTCGACGCCATCATGCTTAGTGGAGTCTGGTATCTCTCTTTCTGGACACCACCAAAAGACCAAGTGATCTATGCCTGGATCATCGCGGCGACCTTCCTCCCTATTTCCTTCGGCTGGGCTGCCGGTGACGTCTCCCTCGCAGCCTACATCCAAGCCACTCTCGCTCGTCACGAATCCAAGGCCCAAAACGTCTCAGCCCTCGGTGCTGTTATGGCCTGTCTTTACACCACTTATATCGTCACCTACGCCATCACCTCGCCGTTGCTCGGCCAATACATCGACTCCGTTTACATCCAAACTGGAGGCCGTGATGGAGGCAACATCCACTCTGCGATCCACAATGTCGCAGGTGTACAGTACAGCGTCATGGCTGTCATCATCTTTGCCAGTACCTTCATCCCACAAGGAGCATGGCGCATCAACCCTAAGATGCTATTCAACCAGAACCTCGATGCGGATCTGGAGGTTACCGAAATCGGGGATGGCATTAACCTCAAGAAGAAGAGCCATGAGCGGGAGAATTCGCTCAGCACAAATCCAAGAGATAGAGAATCGTGGTAACCCATCCACCACCAGACTTTCCTTCTCTTCTTTTACAATGCTATATACCCATATCCACATTATACCTCATCTCTCTCTCTCTCTCTTTGTTTGAATCCATGTGTTGTTCGGTTACTTTGCGCGGTGTTCTGGAAGGATTTTTCGTTTATTTATATAACTATAACCCGATACGTTAACGCGAATGCGCTCTTTTTCTTACTCTCCCCCTTCCCTTATCCTACCCTACCCTATCCTTAGCTCCATCCACTCTGTCTGCATCGCATAGCAGCGTACCGTACATCTCACGTTATCTTCTGGTTTTGATAATGATGCATATGCACGTTTTTATGTCCATTTATATACACCCTACCCTCTAATTAACCAAGGTCTGCTGTACCTTGTACTACTCTCACCCTACATTTACCCTACAATATTTACCGTTTCCGTCAGACGATGTCTTTCCTTGGGTCATCATTCTATTTCCCGCTTTATATTCGTTGACGCGACTGGGCTTGATGCCGATTTGAAACCTGATAAAACGCTTCAGACGTGCTATTCTACACCACTTTTACTTCTCCTTCTCCTTCCATTGTTTGTGTATCAGTAGCGCACGGTGTTGATAAGTGGGAAGAAAGAAAGATCTCGCAAGAAAACTAGCTAGTTAATAAAACCATCCAAATTTCAAATATATCTCTCATCCCTCTCGACCTACGTAACACCGAGCGACTTTCACCGCTGCGTCATGTGGAGTGCCCTGCATATGCATAGGTACGATCGAAGGGGCAGACTTCCACGCCCGCAGGACTGCATGTACATTAGTTCGTGACACGAACCTGTACCTGGTGCATGGATAGGAGATAACGCCGAAAGACGTTGCCACGAGCGATGCAGCCCGATTGCCATCAAATATGCATACGAATGTCGCTCACTTGCCAGATATAAATCCTGTTTGACCGCAAGGCATATAACCTAAGGCAGGGGTCTGCAAGTCGTGTAAATCGCCCCTCGCCTTCCCTGGCACCGCAACATCTCGATAGCCGCTGCCATTATTATTATTATTAATAATTATGTATAATAAATCGCTTTCCCGACCGAAGCGCCTAAATTAATTAGAATGCATTACGCAGGTTAAATTCTAGCTTCCGATCGCCCGGGAAGGCCGTGGTGCGGCCATGATGGAAAAGGAAAATGCTACCTAGCAAGGCAAATTCAACTAAGGAATCCGCCTGAATCTAGCCAGCTGGGAGGATCGTCATAGAGTACTTAGTCTGCCTTCAAACCCCAACATTCATGTCCGAGCGGCACAAATATGCAACGGCGGAACCTTCGCGGGATAGCTAGCGGGCTTATACTTTGGCTTCTATTTTCGCGTTTTGGCGTCTACCCCATAAATTTGCAGGCTTTAGGTCTGTAAATCTCCTTTTGGCCGCCAAACGACCCTCTCTTGTTAATTAAGGCGATATCCGCTTCATGGGCCTTCTGCTTTGCTTAGCATATATCGCTTAAGCCTCTGGATCCTCTTGATCGCTGCTTCAATAATCCTCGTTGCTGTCCAACCATTCCACCTATACCCAGCTCATCTCGCTGGCGGTTCACGCCAGCATTGAAATAGAGTCACGTCTCCTGAAAGCAGAATATTCTCAAGTCTCTGGTATATCGAACTTGATAGGGCAATCAATATCGTTAGTATCTGAGAGCTGGTCCCAATAACCAGCGATCCTAACCAGAGCTCCTTTCAAGATGATAGTGTTTCCATTCCACCGGCGTCCTCCCTTCCCAGAGGCTTCCGTGTATTTATCAGTGGGTCACGTAAAGCATTGATATGCCGCTTGTTGAACGCGCCGATAGATATACGATGGTAGCGGAATGGCAGCCTGCGACGGTATAGCTCATGGGCCTCTGCCTTCTCGTCACTGTCTAATGTTCGTACTCAGGAGACAGCTTCTGTGCACACTAGATCAAGTAGCCCATCAGTAGCGAGGCTCAACCTTGAATCGCCCCGTATGTAATGTTAGACTTATAGATTATATATAGCTCCAAAGTTGCTGCCTCGCTTGCTGTTGCGTAACATTCTGGGAAAGCAGTTTGACACGGTATTTTAGCATTTGCTGGGGAATCATCGTCCATGGTAAGAAGAAAGACGCGGCCGAATCTCCCTTCCGCAAGCTTCATGATATCCATCACATATCTATGGTCAATATAGTTTGCCGCAAGCTGCTTGAAGGCTTCAACTTTAAACTTGACGTAACGCTCTTCCTCTTAAGGGCCTCATGATACGGACCGGACAAATCCATAATGAAAGAGATGTTCATTTTTGCAGGCGCCTACTCTAGAAGGTAAATCTGAGATACGAGATATTTGATTGATTTGGTTGGTCAGGTGGGTCTGGAGCAATCTATGAGATTTCAATCTATCAAGCACTGATCATCTAAATACACGATATTGAGCTCCTATTTATGTTCCTCATACGGCCATGTATCTTGCCATCGCGGAGATGCCAGCTACAGCTGAAACAGGCGTTAAAACGCCGGGCGTAGCATTTGTTCGATGATGGAGAGCTGACACTGATATTTAATGAAACGGCGTAGTTGACTAACGTGTTTCGTACGATCAGGCAGTATTACACCGAATCTCCGTTCAACAGTAAACTATTAGACTGTGAAGATACCAAGGGTGAAGTGGCATACTCACCGTTCGAAAAAAAATGACTGTATATGCAAGCGTATAACTAATTTCGCGTATTTCCAAAGCATCTTGGGCGAGAAAGAAGCTCTGGTTACCTGTTAGCTGCACTGACGGATTTGAAACTGGAGTTCTCCAAAGTTGATGTTCATCGTGTCCTCTGCGGTGAGCAAAACCCGTTTGACACGTGACTAGACAAGGCGACACCGTCATTTAAAACTTCATATCATGGCTCGTATTTCGTTATGTTTTGCTATAATTCTTTCAATGCGTCTTTTTGTTTCTTCTGCTACCTAGCTTGGGCTTGGCTGCGTGTTCAAGCTGTTGGTAGCTCATCTATGAGGACCCTCTTTAGTTTTTGCCAGGTTTTGCACCGTCCCGGCCATCTTGCTGTTCCTCATTATTATCTAGTAGACTTTGTTTAAAAGGCTAGGCTTTAACGCGTCAAGGCATACGTGTAGCCGGAGAGGTTGGGTTCCTTGATTTCTGGCTTTGTGGAGGCCGCATACACCAACCCTAAGAAGATTTTTCTCCGTACGGAGGTCTGCCAGAAAGTCTTTAAGGATCCTTGCACTTTATCCATTTCCTAAGGCAAGTCTATGGATAACTTCAAGGCCTATGAAGCCAGCTTGATTAGAGGATATTTTTATCTGGTTGATATATTGGGCCTTTAAGTAATTTGGTAGCGCCCTCCACTCTGCCTGCCTCAGCTTCGCCTGATTTAATGTCTGCGCCTGGTTTACTTCTGATGAGGCCTTTCCGTACCTACCGCCTCAGTTCTGTGCTTTTTAGAATTCCTGTTTGCCCTTTGGCAAATGTTCTCAACCCGTGTGACCGGCCCTTCTGGTTTCCAATAATGCTTTGCAGTGCTTTCTGCAATCGATTTTTTCAACAAGGTCTTTGGGTATTTCTAAATCCCGGTGCTCCCTGGATAATCCTACCCACATCGTACTCTAAAAACGCGCGCAGCTATACCGGTGCCGCTTTCTTGACGGATTCTTCTTCATTCTCGGGATATAGTGAGAGTCATACCATAACAACGAACGTCCCTCTTCTAAACAATGTCGAGAGCGAGGCAGGCGCAACATATAAAGAGCGCCTTCCGTTCTACCGCTTAAAAATAAACGTCTACGATCCCGTCGACCTACCAAAAGTGCTAAGTAAATATACGAAAGTAGGATTCATCTGGCTGTGTGCCTAGTTAATGCCAGACAGTGAGGGTATTAGAATGCTGTTAATACATACATATGATACAATGACGCCGCTAACCTCAAAACTCTAGGGTTGGAAGCTGTTAGTTCGAACAAGCAACTCCCAGAACCGACTACAACAGAAGCCAAAGACAAGTATAACCCATAAATAAACACCGGCTTCTACCAATTCTTCCGCCCATCCGAAGTCGAAATAAGCATCAACTCAACCTTTTGTCCAAGCATTTCCAGATTTCCAGATTTGGGTTAGATAAGATTAGGTTTTTGAGCTTACTGATGATAAGCTACCGGCCCCATAAATAACCCAATCGGCCAATGATATTCGAGAGTTAAATCTAAAATTAAAACCTGCTGAGGGGCCGAAATTCTGTCGGGGAGCAGATAGGGAAGTAAATCGACTCCGCTCATCCATACATATAAAAGGGAGCTGGAAGCTTCACGAGACGAGATCACCACCTTGCTCTTTAGATGTTTCATTTTCCACGTTATCGTTCAACCTTTATCCATATACCTAATTGACGTTCAGCTCAGTTTGCCATGGAAGGCCTAGAGAGGCGAATTCCTGTTCAAAGGATTCGCGAGATCCAAAACTCTCCAGCAGATCGGAATCCTTATATTATTCTAGCAGTCATGTAAGTCTCTATATATATACTTCTGCTTCCCTAGCTTACCAGGATTACATCATAGATGCTCTGCCATGTTCCTAGATCTCTCAAATCTAAGTGCTATCACCATTGCCCTACCTACCATACAAACGGAATGGTCAACCAATCAAGGCGACCTACAATGGGTTATATCTGCATATTCAATTACAGTAAGGCTTGGGATACCCATTCGAAAATGAAACCAGCTCTGAATAGCATAGTTTGGAGGATTCCTTCTACTTGGTGGCCGCGGAGGTGATTTGTTCGGGTACGTTGCTCTAATCTATTTAACTTTTCATACATTAACAAGGGCAATTCAAAGGCATCGCAACGTTCTTTTATTTGGCATGACATTCTTCGCAGTCTTTACAATGGCGTGTGGCCTTGCGCCGAACTTCGTCGGCCTCGTTGTAGCTAGAGCTTTTCAAGGTAAGTCACTCCCTAGATTTCGTGACCAATAGCTCATATTAGACTATAGGCGTGGGAGCTGCCTTTACCATCCCCTCAGCTCAGGCACATATCGCTATATGCTTCCCGGATCCGGTCAAGAAAGCTCGGGCTCTTGGGTTGTGGGGTGTAGCTGGATCCGTTGGCTTTATGTACGTTTATCAGCTCTTGCACATTTTTCTCTTTCCCTCGTTTAATGCTTTCGGATTAGTGTTGGTCTTATCCTCGGTGGAGTCTTGACTGCATTCCTCGGTTGGAGATGGATATTCTGGATTTCGCTCATCCTTTCCGGTATCATTATCCCCGTCGCTTTCTTTATTCTTCCACTAGCCGAGCCATCAGCTCAGGGCGTTGCATCATCGCAGGGCATCGAAGGGACTGAGCAGCATGAACCGGCACAAGGTAACCTCTCCCGAATAGTCAGCAAGATGATAGTCCGATTTGATCCTGTCGGCGTTATGTTGAGTATTTCGGGTATATTACTCCTAACCTACGCCCTGACATCTGCAAATACTGCGGGATGGGGTGCAGTACGTATCATTGTCCCTCTGGTAATCTCTGTTCTTCTTCTGGCTGGATTCATTTTCCATGAATGCCGGCACCCTAACGGTATAGTACCGCCGCATCTCTTTAATTCGACGTCCTTCAACGTCACACTTGTGCTTGCTATAAACACCTACGCTGTTCGCCAGGCATGCACGTACTTCCTCACCGTCCAACTCCAGTCCTTTGGCAATAGCGCCATTCACACATCTGTTCTATTTATTCCATTGGGTATCAGTGCTCTCATATTCAACACTCTGTCTGGATATTTGGTACCCATCCTCGGTGCGCGTGTTATGGTAAGATTATACCTCTCTAGACAAATTAAAGCCTCTAGCTGACTCTTGCTAGTTTATCCTTGGCTGGGCGTGTTCAATCCCCGGTGTCCTGTTATTTTCCTTCGTTGACAAAGACACCTCATACTGGCGCTATACCTTCCCCGGAATGATCCTGTATATTGCCGACATTGGAGCTGTATATATCACGGCAAATTTCATCGTCGTGTCATCGGCTTCCAAGGCTAACCAAGGCGTTGCTGCGGGTGTGTTCAACGTTGCACTACAAGTCGGCGGCTCCGTACTGGGTCTCGCGGTTGTAACCGCTATTGCACAAGGAGTTCAGCATAAATATGGTGATCCATCAACCGAGCACGGTGGCATCGGCCATGTCGGCTATAGGAGTGTTTATTATAGCTGCTCCATTCTGTGCTTCATTGGATTGGTGCTCAGTGTGTTTGCCATCCAAGTACCGGACGGTATGCAAGGGAGCCTGTGGAAGAGGTTTAGAAAGGGAGAGGAAGACGTGGTCATTGAGCTAAACGATGGAGATAGAAAACAAACATAAGGAGGCCCTACCATGTCTTCGGAGTCACATTTTTGTACAGAGACACCGCGGACTAAATGAGGGAGGTCGACATAAAGGGGAGAGTACAATAGGGCCTCTCGATGTAACTGGTTCTATAAGCTTATAACTGCATTTGATTGTGCATGCAAAGGCGAGCAGCGATGATGGATGGAAGGTGTAGTTATAGCTCATCAACTAGGGGCGGACTTCAGGGGCAGCACTAGTTAAATATAATAACTAGTTGATTAGCTGCTGCCAATGGGGAGCGCGATGTCACCGAGTTATTCAACACGATGCAACATATTTTTGACACGAATCCCTCTCTATTCCGCCGCTAGGATTTAGGATATAAAAGCATCCAAATATCTGGCTATGAACGTCCTCCATTTACTTCAACGGGTGTCTTTTGATGATCGTCCTTGAGCGCGGGCGGGAGTAGCCCCTGGCGCTTAGGTTGTATCAAACACGCACAACGCACCAATTTAAAGAAAACGCCATATAGGTATCCCTGTTTTCTAGTATTTATAAATAAGATCTACGGAGTGAGCGCTTACGTGCATACAGCCCAACTCTCGCCTTAAAATTCGGCATGGTGCTGAACAAAATAGCATATATTCCAAGGGCCCTTCGGTCTCATATCCAGAGAGAGTCGAATAGCTATGACATTCTCCTTATACCTGCTGTCCGATTCATCAAAGGATGGGCAGTGCAATAAACAACACTACTACAACACACACGGAGTTTCGGGGCTGGGTTTCCTCGCCCGATAGCCGTGGCACACTTGACATCGTTTCTTCCTGCGTTATAACGATTTTCCTGTGCGGTTGGTCCTCGATATGTGTCAATGTACCGTCTCCAAGGCACCCCCAGCGGAATCTCTTGATAGACAAATGGCATATGTTCTGCCTTTGCTTGCTGGGGCCTGAGTTCATATTCATGCTAGCCCTAGGACAATACACATCTGCGCAAGCGTCAGTTGAATTATTTCGCAAGTCCGGGCATTCTGGATGGACTCTCACTCACGCATTCTACGCCGATATGGGCGGTTTCGTTTTCCAGCCATACGGATGGAAGTCATTTCCAATCAATGCTAAACAGCTGCATTACTTGGTAACGAATGGGTATCTTGAATTCCCTAGGGTAACGAAGAGAAGTATTAGCGACAGGAATAAATCCAGTGGACTTGGAAGGTGAGTGGGTTATAATTAGATATAAGTATATGCTTATGTTACTTCACTGACGCAGAAATTATAGATTAATTACCATGTCCCAAATTCTCTGGTTCACCGTTACTGTGATCGCAAGAGCAACACAAAACCTAGCTATCACGACTTTCGAACTGACCACACTTGGATTCATATTTTGCACATTGGGGGCTGCCATTTGTTGGGCACACAAACCTATGGATGTGGAATCAGCGATCATTCTCGAATCCAAGTTCACTATGGGAGAAATTCTTATAAATGCTGGTGATGCCGCCTCAGAACCATACCTACGCACGCCTATGGACTTTGTCGACCGTGGAGAATGGATTGTTAATATCTTATGGACATACTGCGTGAATATCCTAGGACATATGGGTGTCATTTACCAACCGAAGAGAGTGCGTCCCATCGAACGCATTCCCTCGTTCAGGTTCACCAAAATCGGGGGAAATATTTCCGCCACCTTCAGTATGGCGTATTTAGGGATATTCTTCGCAGCATGGAATTTTCACTTCCCTTCTTATGAGGAGAAGCTATTATGGAGAGTAACAATGCTAGTTACACTTGCGCTGGGTATATTTGGCGCGTGTTTCCAGTCATCCTTTTGCGATACTGGAATCGAACCGAAAACAAAAAGGGAAATAAAAACCCAGATTCGTTCGATGTTCTCCCGAGAGGAGAAGGATCAAGAATTTGAGCGTCTCCCACCCCCAGTGACCAGCAAGGATCTCAGCCGCCAACCTAGCGAGGAAACCAGAAAGTCTTCTAACAAGGCTCAAAATCGTTCTTGTTGCAGAAGCTGCAAGGTGATAAACAATTCACCCGACAAAGACCCTACATTCGACGCGCCATTATGGTCTATAGTTGGCGCGTTAGCACTTTTTCCCTTATACGTTATTTGCAGAGTTTATATATTGGTTGAAGACGTTATTGGACTTCGCGAATTACCTGCGAGTGCGTTTCAAACAGTTAACTGGTCTACATACTTCCCTCATTTCTGATGGAGATGGAGCTGGATTGATTAAGGCAGAGAATTTATATATGAATAATATCAAATACAATATCAACATAGTTCTATAGACACGTTCACAGTTTATCTTCCGTCTCCCATCATCCTCGTCAGCTACCTAGTTCCAACATAGATAAGATAAAAGGCGGCATATGCAGCCTTCAACCTCAAGTCAGCGCGCATATTCTACCTAGCTAATATGTACGGATAAAACCTTCACTCTTCTCAACGGCAACCTTAGTTCGCTCATCAAAATCCTCCTTCGGTAAGCCTAGCACATCATTTTGAAGCCCATGAGTAGGCTCGAAACCAGCAGAGCCATTACCTGATCCTTCTGGATAAAATCCACGCGCGTACAAAGCCCTCACGAACCCTATCGGATTCCCCTGATGCATCAAATCCACCGCAACTTTATAGCGCTCATCCGAGGGTTCGTAAGTAATCTTCCAATCCTCTTCCTTAGTCCCAGTCGCTCGCAGGACGGACTGGAACATATCCTTCTGGGTCACGTAGAACGAAGAGAAGTAGACATTCTTGTTTTTGAAGCTTGAAAGAGTCGTGCTATCGTCGTCGGCATTGTCGGGTTTTTCCTTCAAAGCTAAGAGCTTAGCAACAGCCCTTCCGGTCTGATCCCACGTCGAAGTGTTGATGCGAGCCATGCCGTCGTCGTAGAAGATCACAGATCGGTTCTGAAGATCAAACCCGAACCTGTCACTGGTACCAACCAGGCTGAACTCGTACCAGAAACCAGACACAAAGTTAATCCAGCTGCTCTTTCCGAGTTCCTCGATACGCTTGATGACAGCGCGTTGGGCGGGCCCCATAAAAGCATCGTCTGCTGCCGGATGGTTTGGATCAAATCCCCATCCGTTGGGAATAACATAGGGCACACCAGCTTCAGCTGCTGCTTCGACTAATTTGAGTTGCGTATCACTGGGCGCGAACGGTGCCATCGTGACGACGAGTACATCCTTCCCGCGAAGCGCATCGACTAGGGTGGATTGGACATCGTAGTCGACTTTTGCGACTTTGACCCCATCTGGCATCACAGCGTTGCTGACGGTTCGGGTGACGGCGGTGACTTCATGTTTCCCAGCCGCGAGAAGCTCCCGGACGATGAATCTGCCAACGGAGCCTGTGGCCTGTGTAATTGTTAGCTTGGGTACGAATATATTTGGCTAATGGTAGGGGTCTCTGCTTACCCCGACAATAGCAACGTTCTTTAGGTATGCCATCTTGAGATAAGATTAGATAAGGTTTCAAAGGAATCAATGAGCAAGAACAATGGTGTATTGGATGTCTGGTTGAATTGATATTCAAGTATGAAGTTGATGATGATATTGAGAGCCAAAAACACATATTGACGGGATTCCACAAGGCCATATTTATATTGCTGCTGTCGTGTATCATGGTTGCCTTGACGGCGATAACTTCATAGAAATTGAGGACGGGCAAAGTAAGCTCCGACAATCCGGGCAGCTAAATTCCGTTCAAGGATTCACCGATCTGGTTGTTTGTAATTGTTAGCGTGTCTGCTTTGAAATGCGTATAGATGCTTTGAAATTTACATCGGGAGGGCTCGGGGTTAACCTGATGACATAATCAAATCATTCAGTAAATCCTTTTAAATCCGACAAGTGAGCTCGGACTTAGTGATGGGGTTATCGCCGCCATAGTATGTACGTAAACTCGCCCTGTTGACTAGGTAGAGAAAGCCTGCATGATGAACGGAAACTCGAGAGACCGACGGCCGGTTGTTATGAATGCAGGAGGGGATGTCAGAACCCCGCTGTAAGCTTAGGCTGGATAAAGACCACCAGGATCCTAATAAGAAATATGATTTATTCGTTTGTTGTATGCTCATAAAAAATAGATACACCCTACTCATATTCTTGCTTCCAAAGTTTCCTCATAAAAAGGCCAAGCAGGCTCAGAGTGCAGGAAACAAGCTTGGATCCAGGATATTGCGTAGACCATTTGCTGAACAAGGATTACAGGGACTTGCCCATGAACTTCCGTTTCGAAAAGCTTAGCCACCACTTAGGTTGCAAGTCAGTTAGCTTTCATATCTAGAGTAAGATTCACTCAATGAGGGGTTCAAGCTTACCTTAGATGGCCCTTCGCCTCCAGGATATAATCTAGTATGAAGTCTGATTGCAAGTTCTTGTCGTACTTGTGAAATATATCTAGATTGAGAATACGTCAGTGAATGGTCCCTGGATCTAGCCGGCCATGGCTACATGGGTATTTCAAAGACATGGGTAATGGATATAAAGTCGTGGGGGGTAATGTTAACATACTGTCTCAAAGCCTCAGCATCTTGACGATCCTTTGGAGGCTCAAATGCTTGGTTGAGGGGAAATGCTGCGTCACCCGGTATCGCAAAGTGGTCTAGGGAGGCGTTGATAAGAGCCTGGAAACAGTCAATCATTGTAGCTGGTATACCCCTCCACCTTAAAAAGCTCACCTTCTCCGCTTCCCTCGACGCCATGTTTGGCTTGACTTTCCCCAGACACTCGCTCACAAATAATATGCCGTAAATCATCATCCGGTCTGCAGGACCCTTAATTTCAAAATTCCGGAAGAACGTATTCGCCCGGTATAGGGAGAGAACTTCATCAAGACAGTCATATGATTCGCTATCTGGGTCGATGTCGATGTCGGAGGATCCTGGGGGCAGAAGTGGTAGTGTATATGCCGGTCCACGTGTGCGAGTGCGGAGGGGGAGGATAGGGAAGTTTCCTATGCGTAGTGTAAGTAACTATCCTGTTCTGGGGTTTATTAAACAAATGATATCAGATAATTGCTGATATATGTCCTACCTATCGTCTGCACTCCCTCCTCATCGAGGAAGATAGAGTGGTATGCCTAGCAGCGGGTTAGGTATCATGCAACATAGCTAACACGGAAGAATTGGAGCTTACAGGCATTATGGCAGGAATATAACACGGCGAGAAAAAGTAACCTGGTAGGATATGAGTATCTGCTGCGTCAGGTATGCGCCGTCTGCTTGATATCGGCCTTCCAGGGGAGCTTCGTTGTATGGCGGGATGACATAGCGGAAGTCACGCAGTTGGAGGGATGGCGGAGTTTCGTTTCTCCGTCTCCGCCCTATTTACGCGGCGCGTCAAAAGTTGAAGCTATCCAAGCCCGTTGACGGTACAGAAAGTGATAAACGAGGGCCAATTGCTTCCCCCAAGCTACTATATACTTAATTTTGAGCTGTTTGGAACTGGCCTACATTTATCAACTGCTAGAAACGACCTGGTAGTACCAACGATACCGAAATGTCGGATTACGAAGATGATATGGACATTGATGCCCCGCCGGCCCAGGAGTCGACCGTGTTTAATGCTGATAGCACAGATGTGAAAGGCAAAAGAATCGTTGCTGATCTACCCGTTGAAGCAGGAGATAATCTTCCCTGGTGAGTTTGTTTCATTTATCTCTTGAAATGCTGTTTGATTTGAGTGTGGTCATTAACTCTGAGGAAAGGGTTGAGAAATACCGTCCAGATACGCTTGACGACGTCTCCGGACACCAAGACATCATTGCCACAATTAACAGATTTGTCGACTCAAACGTGAGATACACAACATTGTATACGAAATGGAATGCGCCTACTGATTATACCATATTTAGAGATTGCCTCATCTTCTACTCTATGGCCCTCCTGGAACCGGAAAGACTTCGACAATCCTCGCGCTGGCGCGACGGATATATGGAACAAAGAACATGCGCCAAATGGTTCTAGAACTCAATGCTAGTGACGACAGAGGAATTGATGTAGTGAGAGAACAGATCAAAACTTTTGCCAGTGCGCAATACGCCATCCCTCTCGGAAAACAATGAGACAAAGTGCTAATTCCGCATGTACTATTGCAGGTACAAAGCAAATATTCTCAACGGCGCCCTCGTCGGGGTCAGGCTTAGGTGCATTCAAACTTATTATTCTTGACGAGGCCGATGCCATGACTTCAGCTGCACAGATGGCGCTACGTCGAATCATGGAAAAATATACTGCCAACACCCGATTTTGCATTATTGCAAACTATACTCACAAACTATCACCTGCACTACTATCTCGATGCACACGGTTCCGATTTAGCCCCTTAAAGGAGCAAGATATCAGAAAACTCGTGGATATCGTAATAGAGAAGGAACAGGTGCAGATCCAGCCAAACGCCATTGATAGTCTGGTAAAATTGAGCAAAGGAGACATGAGACGAGCTTTGAATGTTCTCCAAGCATGTCACGCGAGTAGTATGTACCTTCTACATGGCACCACTTTCCATTGCTATTATTATATACTAATATACGCGTTATAGGCATGCCGCTCCCTTCAACGAAGGGTGCCACCAACCAGCCACCGCAAGAAAGAGAAACTATCACCGAAGAGACCATCTACACATGCATCGCTGCTCCACATCCAGCCGACGTCAAGACGATTCTAGAAACCCTCCTATCAACGTCAGACGTGACTTCATGTTTAAATACCGTACAAACGCTAAAATCCAACAAAGGGCTAGCATTGGCTGATATAATCACCGCGCTGGCGACGGAACTTCAGACTTTAGAGGTTCCTCCCCAAGTCCGGGTTTCCTGGATAGAGGGTTTGGCAGATGTGGAGTGGAGGTTGTCAGGGGGTGGAAGTGAGACCATTCAAACGGGTGGTATGGTCGGTGTTATACGCACCGGCTGTGAGTTAATGGCTGATAGAGACACGTTAATGAAAGAATAAAAGACCTGGTTCGGTCCTCCTTTATCACTATTTTTCCAACTTATATATATAGCAACGAGGTAGACTAGGATCTACCGCTATTTCCACAACACATATACCTAAGATAAGAACAGCAAACGACACAGCGGAGCGAAATGACGCAGAGTCATAGGCAATATCAAGTCTCAACATGGTCCTGGAGCGGTTTCACAGTTTTGGACAGTTCTGCCGCAGCTCCTTCCACAGCCTCCATAACCCTAAGAACATTACGGCCCATCAAATCCTTGAGGTCTTCAGCACTTACTCCCCGGTTGGCCAATTCCTGAATCAAAGCGGGATAGCGAGAGACATCCTCCAGTCCCTTGGGGGCGCTCCCCATACCATCATAGTCCGAGCCGATTCCAACATGACGGTAGCCGATCAAATTACCAATATACTGAATGTGATCAGCAACATCAGAGAGGGAAGCCTTGCCCGTTAAATTCAGATACCCCGGCAAGAAGGTCACCATGATAACACCGCCATTCGCCTTGAGCATATGCAATACATCATCCGGGGCATTTCTGGTATGTTTGCAGAGAGCGAAAGCGTTGGAATGGGAGAATATAACAGGAGCACGAGACGCCTTCAATGCGTCGCGTTGAGTGTCGGCGCTAGTGTGCGAGACGTCGACCATCATCCCTATACGGTTCATCTCTAGGACGAGAGCTTTTCCAGCCTCTGACAAGCCGCCGTGGAGAGGTTTCTTTGGGTGCTCACTATCAGCGTATTTGTTATGGCAGAAATGAGTGAGTGTAGCGTATCGGACTCCAAGCTGGTAGTAAGCTCGAAGAATGCTTGCGCTGTTTCCGATCTGGTGAAGACCTTCCACTCCCATCAAGCTTGAGATTTTGCCTGGAGACTGGACGAAGTTTTGCCTCACGTCTTTCGCACGTCGGGCTCCCACCAGGGTCTCAGGATATTCCTGAATCAGACGATGTACCAGATCAATTTGTTGGAATGTGTCATGCACACTCTTCGAGTAGACCTCGTCATCGTATTTATCAGATACGTCAGGGCTATGAGCAATGTTAGCCGTGGACGTATATCAAGCCATTAGAGAACCTACCAATCAACATAAACGCTCCAGAATTGACCTCCTACACGACCCTTACGAAGTCTAGGGAAATCAACATGTAAAGGAAGCCCTTCATTAACCGTGAAGTTTTTCTGGTAAATATCATTGTGGTAAAGGGTGCGGATGAGACCTGGAAAGTCATCGTGTGTATCTACTCCATGCGTGAGCCATGACTTTATTCTTTGACAGATGTTCAAATTAACCCAACTAACCTATCAATGGCGACTCCTGCATCAACTTATCCACGTCGATGGCTCTTTTGTCACGAGTAAGACGGCCATACGAGACACAAGCAAACAGGGCCCCGGTCAAACATAACAACTGAGCAAGCCGTAATGCCATGACACGCCAGGTAAGTCGTCTGGGGGCTTCACGTTGCTCTAACTCCGACTCGCCTTTAATAAGACTCTCCTTCTCCTCTGGTATGTCCATCTTGACCGTAAAAATAATCACAGCCGGGTGGCTTGAGTTGTGGAGGAATAGAATAACTAGTTTACGGGGAACACAGGTTGATTTATCGTCCAACTCAGCGAAAACACTAATCAGGAAGTATAAACTGTCAGCTCTTATGTTTATTCTAATCGACTAAATCTTGGACGCAGAACATATATATATAAAGATATGAATTTAATATTTAATATGAACAAAATACCCTGTTACATCTTTGCGGGAAAGCCTCGGCCTCCAGCTGAAACGCAGCCGCCGCACCAGCAAAATTCCCAGAAGAAAGTGCATTTACAACCGTCTTCGCAGCCAAAGAACAATCACCTGCAGCGAATACGCCCTTCACACTGGTCTCGCCGAACTGGTTTAGAGTACGAATGTCACCTTGTTCCGTATGTTCAAGTCCAAGTTGTTCGGCAAAAGGGCCATTCACTTCCGTCCTGGGCCCGGATACGAGAAACTATCGGAGCGCGCTAATGATCGGTACGATTATGGCGTCTCTACGGGACACAGCGGAACGGCAAATCAATGCCTATAAGCCCAAGATACAATAGCAAAGAGCGAAAAATAGGCCTAATATCGATGAATGATGATAATAACTAGGGAAACAGGCCATATCTGGCCTCTATATATGGGGGAAGGCGTAGCGTACGTACGAGCCGTAATCAAACAGATCTGCAGGGGGGGAGTGGCGTTGGCCTGATACTGCCAAGACGCCGTACACACGAAGATTCTGACAGAAACCCTTCAGAGACTTCCCTGTCATCATCAAGATGCACCGTCACATCTGACCCCTGTGGTTGCTTGACTAATTTTGTGATAGGGCTTGTGTTGAGTTTGAATTCCTCGCCGGGGTTTAAATCCGCTTGGATCGAAGCTGCGAGTGCGTCTGAGCCGTTGGTGTATATTGTCACTGACTTAGCCAGCCGTCTAGCACTTCTAGCAACATGAAGAGCAGTCTGGGTAGTCTCGAGGAGTTCAAATGCGAGAACTCCAGCCGATAAGGCATTACGCTCCTCATAGCCATGGCAGAAGAGGCAGTGGAAACTGAAAGGTGTATTAGATACGTCCCTGATTATCAGGATAAACGGAGGAGACTTACATTCCCTTTGCCCACGCGTTTTCAAAACCTTCAATGTTTGGAAACTTGTCACGTACACCAGTGGCTAGGATGACCTTTCGACCAAGCCACTGTGTGCCTGTGTTGTCCCATGCTGCGAAAACACCATCGGCTCTCTGCATTATGCCCTCGAGATGAGCCCCTTGGAACTGGACCGTCTCATAACGAGCAACAAGCTCGTCTCGAGAAGCCTTGCGAAAGTCGGCAGGATTTCGATGGTCCCAAGTTGGTACGTTATGCATATGGCTTGTGAAGCGGTTCCTATAGACGCCCGAGTCGAATATAAGAGTCGTGTGAAGTCTTCTAGAGAGGGCTAAGGCGGCAGCAAGACCAGCAGGGCCACCGCCCACGATGAGGACATCCCAGATTGATGTCATAGCTCCTGATATAGGGGCTGGACAGGAAAAAGGGTTGACACTGTAGCCGTCAACGAGGATGAGATATAAAAATAGGATGAAAAGGGTAGCAATGGCGTTTGTCATCAGGCGAATCGCTCAGGAGAGGACATGCAAATAGATCGAGCGTATCGATTCTTGCTCAGGTAGAGGGTATCATAAAGGGCTCCATGGTAGAAACCATCCCCCTTTTTATATTCGCCTTCAAGTAGCAACATTGCCAACAAACCAGCAATACCTGCTCATGAGCTCAATGTCGCCATCAGATGCCAATGGACGGAGCAATTAACTCTCCATTGAAACAAAATATTCTCCGACAGAGCTGATTTGAGATGGAAAGACTACCTTGCGGCCGCCCAAATGGCGAAGCGCGGAGACATCTCTTTAGCGCCGGAAACTTAGCTACGAGGGTTAAGTCTATGATCCTTGTCTGGATAGGAGTTGTCAGATATAACAACAAGACGGATGGACGAGTTGGTTCTCCATATCGTATAGTTCGCACCCCGGAGATATTGACATGGACACCGGAAGATACGGAACTCGACACGGATTCCAGGTGGATTTCTCCACGGATAGAAGAAAGCTTGTACGTATGCAGATCGACCCTGAGGCCCAAGAGCGTCTTGTATACGACTGACATTATCCATGACCCAAGAGCTTCTTACTTATGATCGGTGCTATTCATGCGGAATTAGACAAAGACGATATTAGGTCGATGCTTGATTCTCCCAACTAACCATTCTGTCAACCGGGTAGGGCGTGGATGCACCGTGGATACGACCATAACTAAATGCCGGTTAAGAGAAGCTTGCTTTTTCAAGGATAAGGGAAGCATTCTCCCCCACTATACAGCCCCTCAACGATAACATCCGACGGCTGCATATATATACAGTGGAAGCCGCTGTCTCTGTAGCCTTGTTTCTCCAGTCGCAACACCCCTCGGCGTGGCTTTGAACCGATATACCAGCCAACATGTTGAACTCAGGAACCTCGCTGCTGACGCTCTCTGCGGCCGTCACTCTTCTGGCTCCCGTCAGCGCTGCAGAGACTGTTCTGGGTGCTTATATCTTCTCTCGCCATGGAGACAGGACGTCCAAGTCCACTCCTCCCACCGTCCTGACGGATTTGGGCTATAGTCAAGTCTACAGCTCTGGATCATACTACCGAAACCGATACATCTCCTCCTCGTCTTCGTCTCAGGTGCTGGGAATTAGCCCGGACATCATCGCTCCAGGAGAGGTTACTGTTTCTGCTCCCCAGGACGAGGTTCTCCAGAAATCAGCCCTTGCTTTCTTCCAGGGACTCTACCCGCCAGCCGGCAAGGAAGCAAAGACGACTCTCCGAAATGGTACCGTCGTCCAAGCTCCAATGGACGGATACCAGTTGATTGCCATCGATCAGGTGCAGTCTGGATCTAACAGTGAAAATGTGGCCTGGCTACAGAGTGCCAGCTCCTGTCAGAATGCCAAACTCAGCAGCAACAACTATTTCTTATCGAATGAGTATAAGGAGCTACTTAAGTCAACTGATAGCTTCTACAAGTCCCTCACTCCGATGCTGGACCGTACCTTTGCATCGGACAAGATCAATTACAAGAATGCTTATACCATCTTCGACCTTCTGAACGTTGCTTCCATCCACAATTCATCAGACTCTTTCCCATCATCTGAGCTCTTGACTGATGCTACCTACTCCCGTCTCCAATCTCTCGCCAACGTTCATGAGTTCAGCCTGGCATATAACGCCTCGGACTCTATCCGTGCTGTCAGCGGATCCCTGCTGGCCGGTGAAGTGCTCAACTCTTTCATGGACACCATCAAATCCCACAAGACAAAGCCAAAAGTAAACGTTCAGTTCGGCGCATACGCCTCTTTCATGGCCTTTTTCGGTCTCGCTAAACTCCCCGCCGCCAACAACAACTTCAATGGCATTCCCGACTATGCCTCCACCATGGCCTTCGAGCTCGTCACCAATGCCACCACTTCCTCCGACTCCTTCCCGGCCGAATCCGACATTAGCGTGCGCTTCCTTTTCCACAATGGAACCACCATCCCCGGCTCAGCTGACACAGAGCCAGCCGTTTACCCTCTTTTCGGCCAGGAAAAGACTCTCCTGCCATGGTCAGAGTTTGTCTCACACATGAAGGAGATCGCTATCACGTCGCAGGACGAATGGTGTAAGGCTTGCGGTAGCGCCAGCAAGGATGCCCCGATGCCCCTAGCAATGGACCATCCAACCCATCCACTTCGGTCAAGAGCGACAACGGCATCTCCAACCCTGTGGCTGGTGTCATTGGTGCATTGGTAACTCTCTTAGTGGTATTGGGAGTGCAAGCTGCTGTTTTCTTCGCTGGTGGATTTACCCTTGCACGTAAGAATAGGGCCGGAAGCAATGTTAAAGAAATGTCTAAGGATTCTGTTTGAAGGACGGGGACGGAATAAATTATGAATTTACGGAAAATTCGATGCTCGACATGTTCTGGTGGCAGTTCTTACGTTTACACGAAGTATTGAACCAATATGTCTATACATGATACGATTTGATCAAAAATAAAAAAGATATACTTGATAGCTTAACAAATGAGTCGTCTGTTGTATATATCTCCTTGATGTTTCTATAAACTGCCCCGAACGGATATATTGTACATAGATGAGAAGTAGATGTCTTGGCGCCAAAGCTTGGTGTTTAGTGAGATTGAACATGCCCAGATCTTATCTTCAAGCTACACATTTGCCCATCCACCACTGCGCATGACTCTGGACGACGGAATGAATTTCATAATTAGTTAGGACTGTTAACCAAGGGTTGGATTGTTGATACCAATCTCCCAGATACAGCTGCACACCCTTACAGCCGCAATATCGCACCCAGCCGTGGCATCGAGCTCCGAGAGCGACAGCTCAAGCGTCCACCTATAGTTAGCACCCAAGAACGAGACTGAAGCCAATATGTCTGCTCATTATGATACCGAACCTCCTCCAACAGCTTCCGCTACGCTCCATACCACCGCCGGGCCGATACACATCTCGCTATTCGCCCGCCAAACACCACTGGCTTGCCAAAACTTCCTCCAACATTGTCTAGACGGATACTACGAGGGCACCACATTCCACCGCGTGGTTCCTAATTTCATCATCCAGGGTGGTGACCCCACCGGCACTGGCTCTGGAGGTTCATCTATTTACGAATACCCGGAGTTCGAATACGATCCGCGTGATGGCGAGAAGGTCGTGTTTAAAGATGAGGTTCACAGTCGACTACGGTTTAATAGGCGTGGGTTAGTGGGTATGGCGAAGAGCGAGGATGGGACTTATGGGAGCCAATTCTTCGTTACACTGGCAAATGCAGAGCGAGAGCTGAATAAAACATGTACGATGTTTGGCAGGGTGGAAGGGGAAAGCATCTATAATGTTGCAAGTATTGCAGAGGCGGAACTGATAGAAGGATCGGATAGGCCAGTTTACGCAGTGAAGATTACAGGGTGTGAGGTTGACCAACTGGGGCCGTTTGAGGGGCAATTGAAGCGGAGGGAACGTATTGCTGTTGCGGACAAGAAGACGGAGGAAGGGCCAGTGAAGGGGAAGAAGAAGAAAAAGGCCAAGGTGGGAAAGGCGTTGCTGAGTTTTGCGGCCGACGAGGACGAAGGGGAAGCCATTCTACCCACTAAGCCTAAATTCAACACGCGACTAGTCAGGGAAGAGGAGGAAGCTGCCTCGGTTGCGAAGAAGCAGAAACAAGACGAGAAGAGGAAGGATGCACAACAACGAGAACCAGCTCCAGAGCTTCCTCGTAAGAGCTCAGCTACAAAACCGGTACCTCGAGAACCAGATCCAAACACCCAGCTCCCATTACCAAACGCCGAATCACCGTCCCGCCCTGCATCTCCCTCAAGCTCGATATCAGAATCGCCGCCACCTCGCTCCCGTCGTCAATCATTGCTTTCCAAAACCAATGCGGAAATTGCCGCACTTAAAGCGTCTATGAGGCGAAGTACGGCTGTTGCACCCGTAGAGCCGGCAAGAAAGAAATCAGCCCTTGAGTCACTTATACCGGAAACGTCGATACGTGGTGCTAGAAAGAGATCGGCTGCTGGAAACTCTTCACAGGATGCAGTTGCATTCGATATGTTCAAAGCGTTCAAGGCCAAGCTTGAAAATGCAGAGACATCGTCATCTAAGAAATCGCGACGACATCATACATCTACTGACGATACCCCCTCCCAGCCGGAGAAAGGCAAAAGTATAGAAAAGAAGCAAGAGCAAGACGGCCAGGACGATGAAGAGGAACAGGTCTGCGATCTTCATTTCGTTGTGGGCTGCCAGTCATGCCGGTCTTGGGATGCCCCCGAAGTAGACGAGCCAAGGGCGGGTACAGATGATGACGATGTAGGCTGGATGACACATACGCTGCAATTCGGCAAAGATACACTTGGAAAAGACCTGAATTGGAAACGATCACATCAGCAGAATGATGACTTGGTAGTTATTGATCCGCGGCAGAAGGAGAAAGAGATAACTGGCGGCACTGGTGGGAGGAAGAGAGAGCGAGAAAGGAAGAGGAAGCTCGAGACAGGACAGGATAGGGAGTGGGACCGAGAGTCGAAGAAGTCAGGGAGTAATCGTCCTTGATCACGATGGCTTGTAAGAGTATAGACATAGATGAACATAGTTTAGTTCAATATAAACACTACCTTATTCGATGATGCAATACTACATGATACGATATACTGGAGCTGGTATACCAGCAATAGACAGCTAGGCTCAAAGTATTCAATTTCCGCTTCCCCGAGGAAACGTAGACGGTAGATAGGTAGGTGGTAAGTCGATAGGTAGATAAGGTAAGATGGGATGAGTTAGATGAGAGGTAGAGGAGAAATTATACACCATTTCAAACCATATCGGGAAGAGCGCCCCCCATAGCATTAAAAACAGGCTCCAACGAACCAGACAAGATGAACAGAACAAACTGAAAAGGAAAAACAAAACACAAGGCAAACAGACTGTGATATGCAAATGCAGGGCAGGACAAAAATAGAAACGCGATAGAAAACACTATCATATAATATACCTTTTCTCCCCTTAGTAAAAAAAAGAGACGAAGATAGGGGAAAAAAAGAAAACCGAAGAACAATCAACCCTTCAGATACCACAGACTAAACCAAACGATTAGGGCGGGACGGAAAGCCAGATAAGATGGGGTAAGTTGAGATGAGATGGAACGTAAATAAAGGCGGGAAGAGGAAAGGAACACGTAAATGGTGTTTTAAAAGAGATCTGTAACATCATTAAAGTAGTGACTTCAAGAAGGGAGGAAACAACCAAAAGACCAGTTAAAGCAAGGCAAGGCAAGGCAGCGGGAACAGGAGCGGGATACGGAAGAGGAAAAGGAAAAGGGGGAGAACGAACAAACCAAAAGCAGAAAGCAAGCAAAAAAAAGCAAACTAGCCTCCTCCGTCTTTCTGCAGAACATAGCTGATTAAATCACGGCGAATGGTAAATGGCAAAAACATATGGGATGCACCATATCACATTATCTTTTTCACGATATCCTCGTTTCATCCTTATCTTCATCCTCGAACTGGAGCTGGAGCTGGGACTCGTACTCGAACTTGAACCACCTTCACTTCCTTAGACGAACGGAATGGACGACAAATGACAAATGACAAGCGCCTGGCTCAACACTGAAAAATAAATGGCAAGCGGCAAATGGGAAAGGCAAAAGCGTGTATCATCCTATCGTTTCTTTGTACTCCAGTTTCCTCCCGTATTGATCGGTCATTGGAATGAGGCAGCGTAAATGTCGCTGGACGCTGGTATCGATGATTGGATTTGGATTGGATTAGATGGGGTTGCCCCGATCCAGCCACCATCATGTGGCGAGTGATGGTGGTGGCGGCTGTGGAGATTAGGATCTAACCTTGTCTTTAAACCAATTTGAAAAAGACGAGCAGACGAGCAGGAAAATAAATAAAAACTTTTTGATGAATCGGGCAAAAAAAGGTGTGGAATGGCGTCGACGGGTAAAACTGGGGTTATTGTTCGTTCCTTTTCTGCGGCTGTGGGGACTTCGGCTGGTTATTTGTTTTTTTGTTTTTTTGTGGATTGTAAAAGTCATTTCGTCATCCATCATCGAATCGTAAAGGGACACTGGGGTTGACATTGGTTGGTTGGTTGCTCATTCTCGTTTTCTCTTCCCAAGCTCAACTGCTGTCTGGTATATGTGGTTGGTCGTGTTTTCCTCTCCGCATGGCGTCGTCAGGTACGTGTGGTAAATTGTATTGTATTGTATTGTATTAAATTAAATCTCATGGCTTTTCTCTTTTTCGCTTATGTCTTTTCTTCGTGTCATCGTGGTATAGGGTCATGGATTCGTTCAGTATGGGCATACAGAGTTATCGATCGACTGGGTCCAGATTTTTCTTTTTTGTTTTTGATTGTTGGTACTCTTACTCAACAATAATCTCCACGCCAGGATTGCTTCTTAGCTCATCACTGCCGCGTTGCTGGTGCCCGTTTTGACGGCGAAATCCTGTACCTCGTTCTGGAGCTGGGCCTCTGGGTTGTCTCATGGGCATAGGAAGTCGTTCCTGGCTCTGGTTTTGGGTATCAAATCCAAGACCGATAGCACGGTTGGATCCGATTGCGCCGGCGGTGGATCCGGAACCGTTGTTCGATCCCGCCCCCGACGTGGGAAGATCGGAGGCATCCCAGATGCCGCGGGTGCGACGGGGAGAACCTGATGGACCTGTAACCGAGGTGCCTAATGATAGGCCGCCTAGGCTGTTGACAAGGAGATTGTCATCTACACGCTGCATGCCGAGAGAAGAGCCAGATGGAGTGGGCGTCAAGGTAGGGGTGTTGGAAGCACCACTTGTTCCTACATCGTATGCTTGCTGCTGTTGCTGGAAGCGAGCTCCGTTGGTCTGTAAAGCGGCAGGGAAGCTAGCGGAGGATGGAACGGGCGAAGGCGTGAATGAACGCAGATCTGCGAAGGATTTCGCAGCACGAAGGTTCTGGGCGTTAGCGTACCCGCCTGGTCCCGGCGAGTCTAAGACATTTAGAAAAGAGGACTGGCGCATGCCGCTGCCATATGCTTGTTGTTCATGGCGAGATTCACCAAAATCAATAGTAGCAGCGCGTGAGAGTCCACGGCGAGCAGCGTCAGAAGTGACAGTTGATGGAATGGCGGGGACTGGAGGGCTGACGTTTGTGCCTGGCCCAGCGCGGTAAACATGGACCTGGCGCTGTTCGCCAGTTCCGCGGGATGTATGGGCGAGACCCATGTTATGGGAGATAGTATGTACTATGCGGCGCTGGGCGGGAGTGAGATTTGTGCCGAAGATGAGAGCTTCTTTGCTGAGATCTTGTTTAAATAGAAGGAGCTGCGAGTAGTACTGCAGCGTCTGTGCATCATTCATGTCGACCTCTTGAGTGGAAATTAGCATATCAATATAGAAAAAAATAGTGTAAGGTGTGGATGTAAGGGCCGTACCTAGCTTACCTGCACGTTGGGAGACAGGCGAAGGAGAGGTAGCTGGCAAGTGTGAGGCCAACGAAGACATAGAAGTCTGATGTTGCAGCTGCGAGCTGGCCATCGGCCTATGCTGTTCCTCAAGCTGACCTCTACGTTCACGTTTCTCTCTCTCGATCCTCTCACGTTCCTGCGCGGGTAGCATCTTCTTATACTCAACCCTCAATTTCCTGCCCTGCAGTTCAAAATGGTTCAATAGCTCGATCACGGTAGCCGTCTCCTCGGCGGAGGTAAAGTTTGCAAAGGCCAAACCACGGAAGACGCCGTTATCAAAGTGGTAGTTGAACGCATATGGAAGCGGTAGGTTCATCTCGGTCATGAGCTGTATCAGCTGCTCTTTCTTCACCGCGAACGGGATATTTTTGATAACAATAGCGGTTGGTATGAGCTCATCTTCCGGATCATGGCTGTTTTCCGCGCGGATTTGGGGAGATTGCTGGTGCTGCCCGGGAGCTAGAGAGAAGGAGCTGGGAAGACTGTTCTGCTGGTCCAACCAGGTCTACAAATGGCAGTTAGCAGGCAACTCTAACTGGTAATTACGTGATGCAACTTACAGTGGGAAGCGCGGTGCGTGAACGAACATTCCTCATCCTCGATGTAGCAGTGGCAGAATTCACTCCCAACCCGCCCAAGCCATGCGAGCTGACACCGTTTGCATTCCACGTCTGAGCACCGGATATATCGTACTGGTAGGAGTTACTAGGCATGGTAGAGTTTAACCTATCTAGCGGGTTTGTGTCGTAGCGGCCGAGCGGTGGTTCTTCGTAGAGGGTAGAGGACATGGGCCCGTAGGCGTCGAACTGGCGCGAGTGCTGACGACGAAGCTGTTGCGGCGGGTGACGGTGGGAGCCGGGGGAGCGGGAAGAAGACGAAGAGTTGTACATGTCTTGGTAGCCACTCATGATGGCGGTGTTTCAGAAAGATCTAGGGACGCAGTTGTATTGGATAGCTGCAAGTTAACCCAAGAGCTGGCTAGACCTTGTGAGATAAAGAGACTAAGCTGCAGGTCAGGCAGGGGTGGTATGAAAACGAAAAACAACTGGGCCGACGCGCAGGGCAACGAGGACTGTCTAGAGGTATATCGAGCGGGCGGCGGAGGTCATCAGTTCGTCGGAAACGTCAAGGTCGTCAAGGCAACGAAGCAGGAGCAGTGAGCAAGCATATGCTAGCCAGCGAAAGTAGTCGTCTGCATGCGCACTTGTTTTCGTCCAGGGTGAGAAAAAAAAATCTAGCGGTGGCCGGAAACGAAAAGTAGTACAGCAGGTCGGTTGTCTGCTTTCCCCTCAGGAAGATATCGCTCACGCCTGAGACTGGACAGGAGTAGGGATGTTGGCGGTTGGTTTATAATACGAAAACAGGTGTGACTTTTTTTTGACTAGACAGTCAACGCACACCGGAAAAACGAGTAATCTCAGGATACCGACGAAACGGCCGTTGCAGCACACAGAGCAACCAGTCTATGGGGATGACGGACGGTCAAAGTATCCAGGTCGACTGATCGAGCCGGTAGAGGCGGCCTTTATCACCGGTGAAAGGGCGCAGGGCCAGGTCCGTCTGCCTGTGCCGTCAGCAGTGGACGACAAGCAGAGCCAGGCTGTCCGGGTCGACGAGCGACGAGCGATGGCCGAACCTCGCGAGCGGAAGAAACGGACGAGAGAAGCAGTGTTATCGAGCGAGCAAGAGGATGCAGCAGTGCTTGGTGGAGGATGGAGATGGAGAGGGAGGAAGAAGTGAAAAATCTCAGCGAGGAGGAGGAAGAAGAAGAAGAGGAAGAAAGATGCAAAGGGCGAGGTCGGGCGGTCACGAAGGGCAAAAAAGGCGTATTACCGTTACGCTTGCATACACCACCCAAAACCCACCGCCAAACTCACGACCAAGGAGCGCAACAGAACGAGATAGACGAGGATAGCACGGCCAGGAGAGTGAAAGAAGCAGATATTCAGTGATGAGACGGTAGACGAGCCCGTGAATAAAGGGATAGATGTGCTAACTACGAATAATACAGGCCAACTCCCCGCGGTATCGCGACCTTACGCCCGCCCGTCATCCATGGTCCAGGCGCAAACTCCGTATATCCAAACCCCCAGCCGAGATGATCAGGGCCTGCGCTGTTTGAGACTTGTCCAGGGGTATGCCCACACATTCTGGAACTCTTCAGCGCTCGGTTTCCATTCCCCCTTTTCCCTTTCTCTCGCCGTGGTGAGAATTCTCAATCTACACCAGACAGGAAAAAGAAACCATGCCAGGCGGGCCTCAACCCAAAATATGTCTTCGGCCATACAACTGACCCTGGGAGCGGGTTCAAACGTTAGCAAGCGTATATCGATAGTTCGATGCAGCCAGCTGGATAGCTAGGGGGGGAGAGAGGCGAGCTTTTGCTCCCTTGCACTCCTCGTCATCCTCGTCATCCTCGTCATCCTCGCCGTCCTCATGGCAAGTCCGTCCGCCTGTTTCATTCGTCTAAGCCCCCCCGTCTGCAACGTCCGCCACGGCCACTTGACCATGGCCGTCGTCCTGATCGTGAATGTGACCAGTTCCAAGATGTTCGCTTGGTGGCACGGCGGGAGGGTGCTCCAGCACTACCGCGATCGCTGACTGCACTGCTACTCTGCTGCTGCTGCTGCTGCTGCTGCGTAATCCGTGCTTGCCCAGATATTATATATACGGGGTCTTCGCCTTCGCCTCTCTCGCCTTGATATCAAGATCCTCCCTTTCGTCTCCCACATCTAACTGGTTCTAGTATATGATAGCGCTTCCCCCTTTCTTAGCTCCCGCACTGGTACCATACGTACCGACACGCAGGAGTCTATATCTCCTGACCACCCGATTGCGTCTGATCACTTCAGCCCTGGTCAGAGACCTCGACCTCGACCTCGACCTATGCGCGCCATACAACAAAAGAAACGATAAAGTATGGAGTACTATGTAAAGATCGAGGGCTAATGGTGCTAATAGTGCTGATAGTCTTCCGTCCCAACCCTGACGATCGCCCTGAGGGTTCGGCCAATGCGCTAAAAATTCTGTGCGGTTGTGCAATAGTTTGATGCATGAACAGGAGTACTTTTTATCTTATCGCTGGACTACCCGTACGGAATACCGGATATCTCACCCGGTACCCTCATTCCCCTTACTAGGATGCGGCTCGGCGATGAAAATATACAAACGGAGCTCTGCTGCGAAAAGTGCTGTCCTATCGCGACTCTGCCGAATCCTGGATAGCGCCACAACCTTGCGTACCAGACTGATTAGTGACCAGAGCACCGTTCGCATTATCATGTGTTGAGGTTGGTGACACAGCGTCAAAAACACGGGCGCCCATCGATGCCCATCGATACGATTACCCGGGCAACTGGATCATGCTATCCCTTATCTTGCATGATTCTCTCAAGGCCAGCGGACGCAGTATCACCAAACAAAGCTTGCTGGTTTGATGCACATGACCTACAAACAGAACTATATAATCCCAAACAATCGTTTACAGTGAGACTTGGTTGAATAAGGATGGGCAATACGGAGTACTGGGTGCGACCATTGTTCTATAGCTCAATGCGTCGGCAGTTGCTGGCTTTGTTAGAGGTTTGTTGATGCCTTTGTAGGCACTCCGTATGGGGTACTTTTCAACGGAAGAGCCCATCTTGAAAATATGGAGCAGTATCGTCTCCAGAGAGGATCAATTGTAGGCTCGGCCCAGTCGTCATATTCCTACCCCAGTAGTAGCCTCTTTCTATTACTGAGTATGGAATTCTACATTGGTATTCGACCATTCTCTTGTCCTAGTACTCCGTAAATCGTGTGATGGAGCTTGGTTTTTGCTCTTTCAATAATAATCACATGCGGGCCACCAAGCTGTCATTTGAGTCTACCCTCAGCCTAGGAATAGGAGCCAAATTCTTCTCTATCAATTCACCAACGGTTCAGAGGTGTCGGTCAGAGACGTAGGCATTTCTGGGAGCGTTAAGAAATAAGGGAGTGGTAAACGGGATTGACGTCATCGCATTGTATCCCGTATAGTTAGTGGCCGATGATTTTAAGAATATACATCGGGTCAGAGGGGAGATGAAGAGCGTGAAGGTGACTTTATGGCTTGTTGTGACTACTTTGTATATGCTTTCTATCAGGGCGGGGCCATATATAATACGAGTATTGTTCTGTCGTCCCTTTAAAATATCAGCGCGTAGGGAATTCAAAGGGATAAAGAAGTCCATGGAAGGCACACCCTCTCAATATAATAATAGCCCATAGTTTGATGTTGCGGCGTATCTCAATGCACCACAAGGAACAATTTAGGCTAGGTGGAGACCTCTTGTTGGCACCTAGAAGCTTCGGGAGGACGGAAGGCAACGGGTAGGCGGAAGGAAACATTCTAAAAGCAGGCCAGAACGAGTTATTGGGCTAGATCTCGAACCCGTACTCCGTAGCTAGGCTCATGCTTTTTACAGTCCATAGGAAAACACACCAGGGATTTCCTGCTGGTGTGGAAAGTGAAACGTGTTCCACAATGGCGGGATTTCACCTATCTTAAGGCTGCCATTGTAGCGAAGGCGCAGGGTGAGGCAATCAGCGTTCCATACAATAGTGTTTGAATCGAAGTAGCCGTCCAGTTGCCGCGTATTTTATCTTGTCAAGCGGTGAATTCAAATATTCCAACTTGGCGTTTGAAAATAGCTAGGCTCCACATACACGCCGCAATTACATAAGCACGGCGCTTGTTGCAGCGTAGCCGATGATGGAGATACTGTACTCCAAGTACCTGCAAACAATAATCTAGCGCCCAATATCAATGGCGGAATGTTATGCCGCAGCCTACTTTGTCTCTTTTACCCTTCCCTTTGTATAATTCACACCACGGAGTGAATACTTCCAAGCAAATCTCACTTGATATTTTTTCACTAATAACTATACCCACTCAATATTTTTGTTTTAAAACAAACTGATCATGGCTGCCGAGAAAGATCGCCTTGATATTGCGCTATACTACCATGAACGGGCCGGAGCGAAAGCATATTGTACCCAGTGGTCATAACAGTGAAGCTTACCCCTACTAGATATCACTGGGCATTCCTGGTATCGCCAATAGCCAAGCCTAACACCGTACATCTCACGACAAGATATGGCTCCCTAAGGCCAACATGGATATATGAGCAATCCATTCTTCCAAGGTCAAGACCGCAAAGTTGCTTGTTAGGGTATAGGTAGGCAAACTTAAAAAGCCACAGAGTAATTTCAACAAGACCAATAAAAAGGCGCCAATCATCCAAGACGTGAGTTCTTGGAGTCCGTTCCTACTTTTACGACCTGAAAATGCATGTCGTAGAACCCGGAGTGGAGATGCAGAACCTGGACGATAAAGGCAATGGAGCAGCTGGTCAAGTGCAGGGTACTCAATGAGTCCACCCCACCAGGCGATAATCACCCATAACCTGACACGCATCAGGTAACAGCTCTGTTACGCACTGGGAACCATCAATGTAGGATGTCGACATATGTCCAAAAAAAAGAAGAACAAGGGTAGGTTTGACGAGATCACTGGGACGATTCCGACTTATGATTTGATATTGAAGAAGGAAGTTACTGCTTAACTGTATGATAAATAGTTAGCACATGCCATAAGCTCTGCTTATTTAATGGACTTTAACAAACACTCCGCACAACTATATTATGCCAAAGAGCCGCCGGCGAGTTCGTTCCGTTTTGAGTTCTCGTGGGAATGGATCCAAGAAATTAGCGATCTCATCTCTCAACCCTGGGCATTCCCAAAATGAGTCCCAGGTCATCACGTACTCCCAGTAGTCGGGGAACCAGCCCGCGGACTCCCAGTCAATGATACCCGTGATATGACCATTGAGACAGTAGATATGGCGTAGTGAAAGATCACCGTGCGTAAACCTTATGTCGTAGGCCCGGCTATCCTGTTCAGCGATCATTTTATCGAATTCCTCGTGTCCCGTTGGGCTTTCAAATCCGCCGCTTATTCCTCTATGAAAGGCGGTTACGCTTCCAAGGGCCCGCAACGCTCCGCAACAAGACGTTCATCGTCAAGAGGACCGTAATCTGCTGCACCAACAACCCCAGCTTTAGTTGGCTGCAGCGAACGAAGTTCGTCTAGATAGCCGCGCAGTTGGGTGAAAATATCTTTCTTTTCTTCCGTAGACATGTTGTTAATAATCTCTGAAATGGGAACGCCGGGACATCGTTTCATCAATATATAGCAATCCCCGTTAAGGCATCGATATGTCCGGATAATATGTGGTACTGGGATTGTTGTATTTTTGGCGACAAACTCAATTGCGCGTGCCTCAGCCAAGACGTTGTATGAGCCATATTTGACGATTAGATCCGGCGTTAAACGAAAGACACGAGGAGCAAGTCCGGGTCTAAACCGTCGCAGTAGTCTCATCGAGCTCGGGAGCAGTTTCGTCTCAATCAAGGAACGTATTCTTAACGAAAGTGTGGCCGTTGTGGTATCGCTTTTGGACGCATGTTGGAGAGCAGGAGCGTCCAAAGGCCCCATCCCTTCTAGCCTGTACGAAGTACTGGTGTATTGGTGTTAACTCGTGCGTATGATCATACTGTGGTTAGGCAAGAAATGCCAGAGGATGTGAACGCCCTGCTCAAGGTTGGAATAAGGGTCATTGCCACGTGAGATGCTGGCGGCTAATTTCAATTCACGTGACATGGAAACGGAGTGAAAATGACAGGACAAGTCAAGATAAGCGGTATTTTACAAGACGTCTATGCCATGGAAGAAGTTGGATAGCTTTCTAGAACCTTTGGACACGGGAAGTGAGTGGGCATCTCTTCCTTTAGGCGCTCGTAAAGGCTCGCCTCAACCCACAGAAGGCGCTTATTGACTTAGTTCAACCTTATATCGCCCAACCAGCATGGACGTTGTTTTTCTTGACAAACCTGTTTACCCTATAGAGCATAAGAAGCTCGCCTGGCGGCTTCTTCGATCCCTATATCCTAGCACAGATCCTTATTGAATGGAATATGGCCGACGTGATATGTCGGCCTAGTATTGGACTGGTTAAACCGGCCCACTGTGTGGCAAATGAAAAATTATGGAGAATACACATCTGTGCTAGGGCTGGCCATCTGGACTTTGCTGACCACACACTCTATACCCTCAAGAAACTCGTTGATAAGGCAGGGTGAAGCCGTGCATCGTGCAGAACCGTTTCTCTGATGATATATGACATGATACGGAGCTGTCGATTTAAACACCGCAGTTAGCATATTGGTCTTCCCTCCACGGCACGGCCGTTAAGAACCCAAGGCTTCTTGTGTTGAATATAGTGCGGACCGGTATTATGAAGCTGGTACCAGTCAATCCGCAACATTATACTGTTTTATACTGGCTTGGGAATCCAGCCTAATTGGACGGTAGATCGGAAGCATGCAGGTGTTCCCGTAGTATCCGGGAATGCGGGAAGTTTATATGGACTAATAGGTGCATACAGGCAGGTATGTCACCAATTGATGGAAGGCTCCAAGAAAACTTCCTGAGTGAATGGCATGCCAGATTACGTACTTGATTTAAGGTGAGACGAGATCTTGAGACACGCCTTGAGACACAGCTTGAAACGAATCCTGAGGGACCCTTGTGGGATAAAGCAGCTTAGCTTTATTGTATACATCTTTGTTGGCTGACTATCTTCACCACAATGCTATTATTGACTCTGAATATCCTGGTATAGAAAGAGAGGGTGTCAAGGATCAGACAGCCCTGGCTCAATCACCTATTGTTATGAGGGCTTCCAGGACATCTCTGAACAATGCTTTATGCAGACACTGCTCAGGGACGTCGTCTCTGCTACGCCATTGACCTATACATACAGCTAGAGAGAACTAAGCACCTAGAATAGACATAGTCCATGTCTCCAAGGAAGTACTAGCCCACCAATAATTACATATCGTCATAAAGGAGCTCATAACACTGCCTTTATCTTACCCTTTGCCTCTCCTATATATTTTCTTCTCTATATCTCCTGCATCTCTCCCCTTCTTCGCCTTTTCCTTCGCCTTCACATCTACTTCTATTGCCGTTCTAGGATGCGCCGCGGAACCTGCTGACTCAGCTCCCGAGTCTTCCTCCGAACCAATAGCAGGTCGCATTTATGCCAAGCCCTCTAGGCGCGATTTCGCCTATCTAACGTAATTATCAAGTCTGCGAAAAGCGGATGGAAGGTGACTTGTTCTTCACGCCCGATATCATCGACATATCAACTCGCGTGATCGGACGTCCAGTGCGCTTTGAAGACCCTGGCATTGTTACCTCTACGGACCTCGATTTCCTCGATTAGGCTTGTGCTTTCCCCCCCGTTTGTCCCGTCCTGCAGGCGGTGTGTCAGAAGACTTCGCGGCCCGCATAGCAGTCCAGCATCGAGTCGAGGAGATAGGATAACGGAGGATTACGCTCGTATTTCGCCTCTGGGCTAACGGCGCAGTGTGATTGATGCTTTTCGGGTCCTCGAGTTGACCTGTTGAGTTGACAAACGACATCGACCCCCGCCGCGTTTCATCGACGCAGTCATTCGCATCTGACACTTAGGTCGAGGACGAGCAGCAACTCCGGCTATTTTTAATCCATATGCTCCGGGAAGCCGACTCAGAATTGATGATTATACGATATCGCTTCGTTTGATCTCGATACATATCTATTCAACGTGGCATTGTATCCCCCACATCCGGCCCTAGCTCATATCGAACAGCAACAACACCGCGACTCCCCATTTTATCCTTATCTAAAATATCAATACCCCGGGCTCCATGTCGTCGCAAAGTCTCTCGCGTAAGAGACCTGCACCAGGGGCCACTCCACTAGCGCACCAGCAGATTCCACCACTGCCCAATTTTCCGATGACCTCCTCACAGCTCTCCAACGATCAATTTCTACAGCAATGGGCGCCGAATGCTTCATCTTCAGGTGCGAATCAGTCAAATTTGAACGCGAATACCTTCTCCGCTGGGGATGATGGGACAGGACAAATCTCGAATCAGCTTACAAGACGGCCAGGGAACAACCAGCTTATCAGCCGAGCAAGGATGTCTGATCAGAACCTAATACCTATGATGGACCAGAATGCAGTGAGATCAAATGAGGCGGGTAGTTCAGGAAGTGGTGAGACTGAGGCAGAGATAAGGCAGAGGGCCGTTCGCGCAAAGAAAGAGGCGCAAGCAAAGCGGAAACAGATTCCGCCGTTCATCCAGAAGTTGACAAGGTGTGTTCTATATATATGTTTTCTAATATCTGGATCATCACTAACTAACCTGTCCTATAGTTTCCTAGATGACTCGAAAAATGCCGATTTAATTCAGTGGTCTGAGGACGGGAACTCGTTCATTGTTCAAGATGAAGACGAATTTGCAAAGTCCCTGATACCAGAACTCTTCAAGCACAATAATTATGCCTCTTTTGTGAGGCAGCTGAATATGTATGGCTTTCACAAGAAGGTTGGCCTTTCTGACAATTCGATGCGGGCCAGCGAGCGCAAGAATAAGAGTCCCAGCGAATACTCTAACCCATACTTCAAACGCGGTCAGCCTGACCTTCTATGGTTGATCCAGAAACCAAAGAACATGTCTGGCCAGGGTAAAGGGGGCTCTAAAGGCAGTAATCAGGTCAAAACTGAGCCTGATGTGGACGATGCGGAGAATGAAGACTTTAATGATGATGGCGGCGGGGGCCCTAGTGGTACCGGCGGTCGCGGGGATAAGGCAAGATTCAGGGGCCAGCTTGCCCTCGGGTCGGGAGAAGCGACCATGCCCGGAGAGCAACTATCAGATGTATACCGTGAACTGCAAGCCATTCGCCACCAGCAGCATGTTATATCGACCACAATCCAGAAGTTGCGACGAGAACATGAGCAACTATATGAACAGGCTACAAATTTCCAAGAGCAACACAACCGCCATGAGAATTCGATCAACGCTATCCTCACCTTCCTGGCCACCGTTTACAATAGAAGCCTCCAGGGACATGAAGGTGCTCAAGGCCTAGCAAATTCTTTTGCCGGCGCTATATCCCAAGACCATCAGGGTCCGTCGGGAAATATCGTCGATGTGGATGACTTGGTGGACCATTACGAAACGGATGTCAACCCGAATCAACCGCCTTTCAAGAAACAGAGACTCCTTCTCGGTGCACCACCTACCCATGATTCCCAAAGCCTGCCTTCTGGCTCAACCGGCAACTCTTATAGCATGGGCCAACGTAGCAGCGGTCCGCACAAGGCCAGCGTCCAGCATGTATCAGAGGTAGAAGAACTCTTCGACCAAACAAGCCCTATGAACAACGTGTCCAGTCAACAACAGCGGCCACAACAACGCCAGAGCCAAACCCAGGCTCAGGCCCAGAATCAGGCTCAGAATCTCACACATCCACATCCAAAGCACCAGGACTCCCCTGGCCACCTCCCCCAGCGAGACATCATGTCACTTATCCAAAACTCCAATGCTCGCAACAGCTTCCCTACCAACCCATCCGACTTCCCTACCGTGCTATCCTCGTTAGAAACGTCGGGTGGGAACTCGCCTCTCACCACCGCCCAGCGAGCGGATATGCTCCGTCTCATCTCCAACGAAAACAACGCTGCCCATCCATCCTCCAGCGCGTCTCAGAATAATGCTCTGATCACGCCAAATCCGCCTCAAATGCCACACAACTACCCAGCACGACTAGCCAACACGCGTTCCGAACTCGACAACTTGATTAAGATGCAAGCTGAACAAGCCCGGTCGGTACAACATCTAACCAACATGTTACAACCACTTAGCCCTACAGGATCGATACCTGGTATCGATGGTACGAACGTCCCACCTCCACCGCTTGACCTGGACAATCTCTTCAACAGTGGTGACTACTTTTCTGAGTTCCCTGGCCTGGAGACTCCAACCAAGGAAGGACAGGACCAGGCAGATACCAGGAACACAAACACGGCTGGCGGAAACAACAACAGTAGCAACGATACCGACCCCAATGCTCCTACAGACAGCCATCAAACAGACGACCTGTTCGACTTCGACACCCTCGCTGCCGACCCAGCAGCGGACGCAACATTCTCCAACCCCGCACACAACCAGTCCTCTGATCCGCTACAGTCATTGCAATCCGCCCCCAACTTTTTCGATACCTTCGACCAGTTTGATAACACGGCGAACCCTGATCTAAGCGGACTAGGTGACGCGTCAGGTATGGGCCTAAACGCCCAAAACTCCGGACATGGACATGATATGGACGGAAACCGGATAACAGAGACGTTTACCAGTAGTGAGGCTACGAGTCCTGCAAATACACATGTTGAAGATAGCCAGAACCAGGCTGCTGACGGTAATCCAGCTCATACCCAGGCGAGTCCCCGGAATATGCAGAGGCGCAGTGCAAGGAACCAGCAGCGGTAGAAAGGAGGTTTGTGATGGATGATAAGATATCTGCCGCAACCAACTTCTATCAATGTGCTAGATGGGCAATGTATATCCCTTCTACTGACTGTCCTGCCCAATTCATATCCCCTTTAGAAATTGCAGTGAGATAAGATAGAATGCGTATATCCGTATCATACCTTTCTCAACTTTTAACCACCAAAAGCCAGTTCAATACCCTCCTCCCCCCCTTTTATTTCTCCTATCTGCTATCATGCTATCAATTCTCTATTTCTTTTTAATACCCCAATCTCGTATCTAATCACCCTGGCTATGGCGAGGACTAGACTCGATATGAATACTGATAAAAAAAACAAAGAGACAGTATTAATCTATCTCCTATTCTCCTATCTCCTATTCTTCTCTTTACGGCGTTCTACTTCCTGTCTTAAACGTGATATCAAGAGAGAAAGTGGGAATGCAGCTATATCTAAGCAAGTATATGGTCATAGTCATGGTCGTGGCGGGGACATAAATGCATACTGTTGATATCTTCCATATCGAGGCCAATATCAAAACACTTCCTATCCATAATGGGATATATCTCCTCTGCCCTATCCTTCTCTCTGCCTTCAGTGCCCGTCCTCCTCACTGCCTCCACTGTCTCTTCTGACTAACCAGTGGCTAAACAGACATAACACAAGCTCACTGAGGCAACAGAACATAACACAGGACATAACAAGGGGCTGGCCCAGGCAAGTTCCGCTGCATTACCGCATGAGGTAAGCTGGCCAGTCGAGCAATCAGGTTGCGTATCTGAGATCTCGCTTAGTCCTAGCTGCTCAGGGACGAGTATAAATATCTCCTCCTCGCCGGCTCCTCGCCCTTCTTCTTCTTCTTTTCTTCTTTTTTTTTCTCAACTCGCTCTTGAATGCGACGCCAGCTTGGTTGATACACCTTGCTCCTCCCCCTTCCCAGCTGAGCCTGCCCATAAATCTGCCTCTGCTTTTCTACCACTTCTTGCCAGCTATATATACAGCTCTCATCCTTCTTCCCTGCCGCTTTTCTCTTCTCCCCTGGCAAAAAATTATACATCTGTTTTCCCCCTGTAGCAGGAGGTCAGTTTTATATAGCTTCTTTCTCCCTAGCACAACACATTCAGCACACTTCCTAGCACACTCCTTCCAGCACAGCACCGAATTCACTCTACAAAACGAGCTCATTCCCAGCCTCCTTGCGTCGCTTCGGGTCTTCCTCGTTCGCCCCTTTTCCTTATTATACCCATCCCTGTGTCTCTCCTTGCGTTGATTTTTATTCCCTGGCGCGCCTCAACCATCCTATATTCGTCTCGCGCGTCTCACGTATTCTTAGATCTGTGGGCTTTTTGTTGGAGTGACATCGGTTGAACACATGGCTATGATGACTACAAGAGATACAACGCAACGCCTGTTCATGTTGCTTCGGCTTCAAGACTGGCGCGACACACTCTGCTGATGCCTATACAAAATCCCCCTTCAAGTGCGACTATGATCACAGATTGTTTTGGCTCTGAGTCCATTTGATTCCATCTGGACGATGAAGAGTTGGTTTTGTTTTGAGTCAGCGGTATTGAAGTGGGTGTTGTGTTTCCTGTGATGACAATATAGGAGGTTATATGCAGTTGTAAGAGCTGCTACAGCCAAACTGCATCTCCAGACTGAGGAAAGACGGTGCAACTACCACGACTCTACCTTTTGTTTTGTTTATTTCTCCTGTCGTTGTTTACTTTCTTCCCGTCGATGTTTGTTTACTTGGTAGGGACGATGGACTTGTTGAAGAGTCGCATGTATATAGCAAGTCTTCGAGTTTTCATCAATGAACTCGTTCACATATCACCTTTACCCTGCCATGTAATACCTCCTACTAGACCATGAAGATAATATATAATCAATTCCATTGCGTTGAGGAGTGACTAATATATATTCGCAACGAACATAGCAGACGCCCTTCAACACGACGGAAGAAGCAAGAGAGAGAGAGAGAAAGAGAGGAGAAAAAGGAAAATATAAGAACTATAACTGTTCCACCTTTGAAACCTCCGAGTGAATAAACCGGGTAAGAAAAAGATAAAGGGAAGAGAAGAAAATAGCAAGCAAGCCGTTTTTAAGGCAAGAAGGGTGTGTAACATTTCCCACCAAGCCAGAAGCCTCCCACCGCATCCCATCTGCCATCCATTAAACAGCGCCCTAATATAACATGACGGAAAGAAAAGGGGGTGAGAGAAAGCAAATCAACGTATTCGAAGTCGAATGGCAAGAAAAGTTTAGAAGCAAAGAGGAATATAAAATGTAAACTTGGACTTTGCAACTCTCCTTGCTGTAGGAGATGATGGGATGGTTGGTGAGAGTGCGTTTTCAAGACTCGTGCTGGAGCAGCGTATAGTTTGAGTTGGTCTGGTTTTGACTTCCATTGCGTTCAACGCACAGCAAGCATGGTGAGAGAAGAGACTCGTAGGCGTAGACATAAGCGTTGTACGTGTAGGGCCCGGGTCAAGGCAAGGCCAGCGCGCGCAACGCATAATTTCATATAATAGCAACACACAAAGGCAAGGGCATGAAGTAAGGATATTTGGACCGGTAAGTATAGAAAGGAACGCCACGTAAACAAAGGGGCCGGACGGTCACATCACGTTCGATGTTGATGGTTGTTTTTGGAAACGGGTGTGACGGTATCTAGTGACTGCTATGCTTCTTCTTGTCGGCGTTGGTGATGAGTGCTCTGTTGATGTGTGGCAGGACACCTCCGTATGCTATGGTGGCGCGGATGAGGGTGTCGAGTTCTTCGTCACCGCGGATGGCGAGCTGGAGATGTCTGGGCGTGATACGCTTGACCTTCAGGTCCTTGGCGGCGTTGCCTGCGAGCTCGAGGACTTCGGCGGTCAGGTATTCGAGTACGGCGGTGGTGTAGACGGCGGCTGCGGGGAATGTTAGTATGTGATGATAGCCTGGACTCAAAGTGGGCAAGAAAAAAAGAAAAGAAAAAGGAACCGTACCTTTGGCACCGACGCGCATCTTATTGCGCGTGTTGCTCTTTAGGAATCTCTTGACACGGCCGCATGGAAACTACAGCGTACAGGTTAGCATCAGGCTGCCGGATGGAATAATATAGCAATGCGCGCGCGTTGTGTATACACGGTCAACAACACGTGTCATCCACCCTGAAACAGGCAAACGAGGAGGTCGAAAATGAGCCCGGCGAGCAGAGAGACGAGACGTCAACGAACCTGCAGTCCGGCCTTTGCGCTGTGCGATCGCGGCCCCTTGCCGTTGGCATCTTTGGGCGCGGCCTTTCCTCCTCCCACGGACTTTCCTTTACCTCCAGCCATGTTCGGCGCGAGTGTATCGTGTTACGACGGGGTGCGGACGGTGCTGTAGCGCGTCGAGGCAGTGAGCTGTATCGCAGGGACGAGTGCTCGCGTGTTTCTTGGATTCTGGTCTGTTTGCCTGGCGGGTTGCGAGGGTTGGAGGGATATAAGTTTATGTATGGTGATGGTTGGTCATAGCGGAGGGCCGATTTTATTTTTTAGAGCGAAGGTTAAGGGGCGCTAGCCGGATTCGGACAGTCAGCACAACAGACAACAGTGAGAGTATAGCACAGAGTATAGCAGTGAGTACGGAGTATAGGAGTGAGTATAGGAAGGGAGTAGGAGAGAGTATAGGGTGTAGGGAGTGAGGGGAGTAGGAAGGATATGAGACTAGGTTAGCAACTATGGTCAGTCGTTAGCAGTGTTAGCAGTAGTTATGGTGTAGCGTTGAGCCATCTTGTCGAGCGATATCAGAGTACGGCGACTCGGCCAGGATAGAGGAATGCAGTCACTGTGTCTGCGTCCTGCGGCCTCTCCTGTCTGCGATGCCACTTCGCCTCCAGCATCGTCTTCGTCTCGTTCTTCATCTCCATCTTCTTCTTCTCCTCTTCGTCTTCTTCTCCTCTCGCCTTGAAGTTTGCCAGAGGGATGACCTCTTATGTCATCAACACGTGACTTGTAGCTTTGGTGGCCCCAGGAAACTTTTCATGCTTGTTCTTCTTTTTATAGGGGAATTTATCGCAGCCTGGTTCAGCCTCTGTCGTCTCTGCTCTATTCTACCATCCTGCTGTCTGCTATAGAGGCCGCTGTCTGCCGATACCCGTTATACCACTCACCATGGCGTTCTCAGTGCTCAACCCGCAAATGTAAGCTCCCTGGAACCCCGATCGATCCGTCTTGGACAGGAGCCCTCGTGCGCAACTCGGGATAGCTAGGAAGGCGACAGGAGAGTCTCAAACGCCGGCTAACACTGTTCATAGAACCAACCTGGCCATCATCCTCGTCATGATGCAGGTGTCGAAGAAGATTCCCTTCGATAACCCCGATGTCCTCCTCGGCGTCCGCACCATGTACATCGCCTCCAACATCGCCATTGCCGCTCTGTACTACTACATCTACACCGTCATCGTCCAGAAGAAGGGTACGTTTACTTCTGTCCTCCGAAATTTACCGGCACTAACGAGGTGTAGACCTCAAAACCCTAAAATACGTCGAGCCCCCAGCGATGGGATCCCAAGACGAGCCCCGCCCAGTCGTCACCACCGTCCAGGAATACGACAAGCAGCAGCTCCGTGCTGCCCTCAAGTCGCAGCTCATGGGTATCGGCATGATGGCCGTCATGCACATTTACTTCAAGTACACCAACCCTCTGCTCATGCAGTCTATCATCCCCATCAAGAGCGCCCTCGAGAGCAACTTGGTCAAGGTCCATCTCTTCAACGCTCCCGCCAAGGGTGATTTGGAGAGGCCGTGGAAGGCCGGTGGTGGGTTGATGGGTATGGGACAGTCTGGCGTCAAGACCGACAAGGCCAGCGTTGAGAGTGCCGAGAAAAACTGGAGGGGTGGTGCGAAGGATGAGTAGAGAGCAGACCTTCTTTTCTTGGACGGGATGGCATGGAATGGATGGCATGGGACTGTGTATTATGAGGCAATGCTGTTTTGCTGGTTTATGAATATTCCTCCTTTTTTTTTCTTT